AAGCTTCCCCGTCCTATACCGTTCATACAGCAGCCAAGGGTGGAGGGGGGCGTGACGCTGGGGGAAGGCAAGGCCGGCCGGTGCGCGAGGATGCGGATGCGGATGCGGCAGCAGAAGCCTGGTCGAGGAGGGCGGCGCGTATGTGAGCGGTGCTCGCCGCGGACATCGACTTGGGGCGGTCCTGCGAGGTCCGGTTGCGGTCGCGGCGGTTGGCGCTGGGCATGGTGCGCAAGGACTCGAGGAGCGGCGTGAGGAGGTGGAGGAGGTGGTGGTGGTGGTGGTGGTGGTGATGTGGGTGGTGATGATGGTGACGGCGGACGAGGCGTCGGAGGCAGAGGTGTTGACGAAGGTGGAGGAGGCGGAGGATATGCTAGGATGGTGGGTGGTGTCGAGCTGTAGCGAGCAGGCGAGCGTGACGTCGAGTGGGAGATGCGAGTGAGTCGAGCGTGGGTCCGGGCAACGCATGCGATGCGCGAGGGGATGTGGACGATGCAGGCGAGCCGGCCGGTGGGCCAGTGGGCATGAGATCGTGCGAGGAGAGCGGGGAGGGCGGTACAGCGAGCGATGGGGTCGAGAGGGCCGGACGAGAGAGCAGGTCGGACGGGAGAGCGGGTCAGACGTGGAAGAGGTTGAGCGGACGAGAGGAGGGGGCGGGTAAAGTCGAGGGGTAGATCGTTGAAGGCGACATGGAGAGTTAGGTAGAAGGCGGGAGGTGTACGTGTACGGGGGAGGAACTGGAGCTAGTGACGACGTACCTTTGCAGATCTCCTCGTCGACCGTTTCCTTGCCTCTTCTGTGCTCCTCCTTGTCCTCCTCTTCGTTGTCGTGGTTGTCCGCGTCGTCGAGCCGCGAGTACGCAGGCGCTGGTGGAGCGGGACGCCATCGCCATGGAAACCGTGCAGCACGCCAAACGAGACAGTGATAGGCGTAGGCGTGGGGTCGAAGGGGCGCGTGTGCAAGGGGCTGAGGGAAGGAGTGAGGAGTTGGTGCGAACCGTCGAGGGATCGAGGGAGCGTGCGTGCGTGCGTGCCGTTGAGGAGGTTGAAGGAGGTCGAATCTTGGAGCTAGGTAGCGGGCATGTGTGGCACGAGGGAAGGAAGGTCGAGTGTTGAAGGGGTTGTGTGTATGGTCGTCGCCGCTTTACTAGTGGGCACTGGTGGAACCGTACTATATGGACTGCTCATGGTTAATGATGGAAGAGGCGAAATGAGATTCGTCAAGGAGAACGAGGGTGTGGTATCGGAGCGCATCGAGCAGGCTGGCAGGTGTGGTGGAGAACAGGTGAGTGGGTGTGGCAGATAGACAAGATGAGTGTGAGGGATACGGATGTCCGGGAGAGGGAGAAACTGGCGCGAGAGACGGCGACGTACTGGCCTGCTCAACGAGTTTGCATCCATCGTGGATGTCCTCGTTATCCGTTTCAACCCTCTTCCCAGTGCGTCTCTCCGCTGCAGCCGTTCCTGATCCTCGAGGTAGGGTCTGGGTGCGATCTGCGGGCAGTCGATAGTTGGTAATTTGAGGGAGTGAAGGTCGAGGGTTTTGAGAGGACGAGTAGGAGGGCAGGAGTGGTGTCGAGGAGACAAGCGTCGCCCCTGCAACACTCGCAAACCGCCCGTTACGGCGTGCGTGCACCTCCACCCCCCCCAGCCCCTCCTTCTCTACTCCCACCACGCCTTCCTTCCCGTCCACGCCGCCGACAACCTCTAACTGCTCACCGTGGTCCCGCCGCGCGTTCTCGCACCACAGAAAGGTATAGTACGTAATCGAGGTGATGACACCGAGCTCGATGTACATCAGAACAAGCCCGTGCCCGAAAGTGTACCAGGACTGGTCGCGCGTGCGGTACGAATTGGCTGGGCGGGGTAGGAGGATATTAGTCGCAGGCAAAAGCGGGCGCTTGAACCTGAGGGGACGAGGGCAGATGTGGGATCGACAGTCAAGCTGGGCTAGCACTCGAGCACACGAGTGCCCATGGCGTCAAGCAGGAAGTCCGGGTGTGTCGAGTAAGAGTCTGGACAATGCAGACGATGTGCGGAGGGGACATGGACGACACAAGCAAGTGGGCATGATGTCGAGCGGGTCGAGCACGAGAGCGAGAGAGCAAGCAAGCAGGCTGCGAGGGTCAGGCAAGCGGGTCGAGAGGGTTGGGCGAGCAGGTCGAGAGCAGGACTGAATGAGAGGAAGAGTGGGCGTGATGCCGTGCGGGGGCGGGCAGATAAGTCGAACACAAGAGGTACGTGTGCGGGAGAAGAACGGGAGTAAGAGACGACGACATACCTACATCCCTTGTGGATAGCCTCGTCATCCGTGCCCACTCTTCTCAGCTCGTCTCTCCGACGCACTCGTTCCTCGTCCTCCGTTGCCAGCTGGGTCTCATCCTCCTCGTCGACACTAGAATGGTCGCGATGCTTTGCGTGTAGTACGCGCGCGGAGGTGTCGACGGAGCAGCTTCGCAATTCAGCCCTCAGTGATTGAAGATGTTGAGGGCGCTGTATCGCGGGGGTGTCGGGGGTGTGGGGATGAATGCGTACAGGATCGATGAGACGAGCAGGAGGGCGCCGGGTGGAGGCTGTGTGAGTATCTAAGGGAACGAGTGTGCGTGGTTGTGCGTGACAGGACGCAGGCGAGAACGAACACATGGGATCGAGGAGATGGGCGACATTTGATGGGATCGGGGCCCCTGGGGGCTCTGGGTGGTGAGCGTTTACGATGTCGAGAGTGGGGACGTCGACAGCAGAGGAGATGAGCACGAGGGTTCTGGGCGCAAGCGTGCGAGGGTGCTGGGTGGCAGGGTGGCGCGGGCTGAGCGGACGACAGGGCGCGGGGTCAATGGCAGGAACGTCGCCATCGAAGGGGTCGAGGGGACGCAGGTCGAACCGAGCACTCGAGATCCGTATGCATCCTCTGCACGTTACCCATCCGATCCGACAGATGCGACCACTCAATCGAAAGCGCCTTGTTCTCTTCCAGTAAGCGGCTCTACACGCCCTGTTGACATAGATACAGTCAGCATATACGCACCCACTCAGACGGTTGATTAATGTCCATCCAATTAAGAACACAGAGGAATAAACAGTAAAAGGCGCAACAAACATCTCTCAGATCCGCTTCTCCGCGCGCAAGTTCGCGCGCTCATTGACAAGCTGCTCAACCTTTCCGTTCGCACTGATAACGGCTGCGATCGCGCGATCGCACTCGATATCCGCTCACGCGTATTTATCGTGCAGCTCCTGCAGCCAGACACTCATCCCGCAAGTCCTCCGCCTGGTTCGCGTACTGCTCCAGCGCCATCTTGTGACGCTCTACAGCGACCATGTATAAATAAAACGATGAGCACGGTCGACGACACACACGCGGATGAGACGCAACGCACCCGCCGCGTACTTGATCTGCGCGTTAGCCTTGGCGAGCAACGCCCCGAGCTGCCCGTTCTCCCACTGCAACTTCACGAGCTCGTCGCGCACCCGCACGCTGTCAGCCCCCATCTCCATCTTATACGTACCGAACTAGCTCTAGATCTCCGCCAGCTCCGACTCTGGTACGACCTCCTGCAGCTCCGACGCGACACTCCCCGCTGCGCCATTCACGCCCCCGCTCCCAGTCCAGCTCCCAGTTCCGCTGACATACGGTTCCGCACTAGCGCCGCCCCCGGTGCGCGCGAGCATGCTCTTCAAGGTGTCGCGCTCCTTCGTGTACGCCTGCACCATCACCTTGTGGCTCTTGTGCTGGCTCTCCAGCCGCCCCTATAGCTTGCAGATCGCCGGCGACGTAGGCGAAGATTTGGCGTGCAGGACGGGGGAGGCAGCGGGAGCGGCAGCAGGGAGGGGTGACGGGGACGGGAGCGTGCGTGGATGCCGGGGACGTGTCAAGCGATGCGAGTGGAGTGAGCGGGGAAACGAACGGCGGAGGCGGTGTCTGATCGGGGAGGGGAGGCGGGGCGGGGCGGGGCAGGGCAGGGCAGGGCGGGGCGGGGCAGGGCAGGGCGGGGCAGGACGAACACGCAGGATCATCTGGGCTGCGAGGTGGGCTCCGCGGGAGATTGGGGGCCAGGAGAGAAGCAGAGGCGGTGTGCGTGGAGCGAGTATTGAAGTAGGATGGGGCGTGCGCATGGGGGGGCGTGTCAGGGTCGGGATCGGTCAAGTCGATGATGGGTGCGGGGAGCACGCGTGGGCCCTGGTCCCAGGGGGCAGGTTCTGGCGGAGGGAGACGGGAGACGGAGAACTGAGCTGTGTTTGAGGAAGAAGCAATCGGTTAGGAAAGCGGATGAGCGTGAGGAAATGGAGTGGGCGAGAGCGGGGGTATTGGCGGTTGGGGGAGCAGCTGCTAGATAGCTGGGCAGCATATGCAGTCTATGGCAGGTGTGTGAGCTCGAGAGAACACGCACGCACACGGGCTTAAGGGCAGGATCAGTGTCAGAGGGGTCGAGTAACCAAGGTGGTAAGTGTGGCGTAGAAGGTCGCAGTTATGGGTGAGGGTGTCAGAGAGAACGAAGGCACGGTGTTGAGCCTGCATAGCATCGAGCAGGGAGAGCGGGAAATAGAGCGTGGCGTCAAGCGGGCGCGCAGAGCATAGACAGCGGGACCGTCGTACCGCTCTGCCTGCTCGACGAGTGTGTGTCCGTCACCATTGTCCCGTCGCTCCACCCTCCTCTGCCTCTATAACCATCTGCTCATTGTTCTTCTCTTCAATGTGCTCAACTTTGCGTGATAAGATAGTCGCTTTGCTCCACGCGTCGTGAGACAGGGTGGGCGCAGAGCAGTCGTTTAAAGAGGACGGCGCCGACACGGATGTCGTGGATGTTGACGAGAAAAGAGACAGCAGTGGAGATGGCAGAGGGTGTGGAGAGAGCATGGAGTGGGTGCCCGGAGTATTGCAGCTGCAAACTGTAAGAAAAAATGCTATCAGCAGTGCGCACTTTCTCTGAGCATCTGTTGTCTGCTGGCGTCGTCGAGAGCATGCAGAGGAAGGGTTCAGAAGAAGAAAAAGCTCACTAATGAAATCCAAAATGTCCTGAGAGAGCAAAGAGACCTCGGCTGAGGAAGCGTGTTGTGCTCGATGTTCAAATGTGCGGGGAGGATCGACGCGACGCGACGTGGCGGCGTGCTTGATCACGAGACGTTGGAGGGCACTGTGTGCCGACACAGTCGGAGGGAAAACTCCGACTGTGTCCGACACAGTCGGACTGTGTGCCGACACAGTCGGACTGTGTGGCGCGACAATCAACGGACTGTGTGCGGCACGGCCGGACTGTGTGGCGCAGATTCACCGCCAAATCTCGGACTGTCACCGAGAATCCGGACTGTGTGGCGCTGAACCAGCGCCAAAATCCGGACTGTGTGCGGTCTCGGCCGGACTGTGTGGCGCAACAGAGAGACTGTGCACAGTGTGACAACAGTGTGACAACAGTGTGACAACTGTGGGTCCGCAATCTCCCGACTGTGTGCCGCCCTTTCCCGATGCTGACTAAACTGTGTCTCCGGGTTGCAGAATACCCTCAACATCACAAACAATTACATATCTCTGGATTCCCTCATCCAAATGATAAAATTAGGGGATGATTTGAAAGGTAGTGTATGTAGGAGCATTTTATTAGTTTGGCAATGGAAATCCAAGGACAATTGTGGACTGGAGACTTGGTTTTTTGAGGTTTTCCCTCAATTCTGTATTCTGCCTGTAACATCTTCAGTACTCCATGTCTACTAATGAAAATATTAGGGTACCATGACAAATACATTTTAAGCCTATTGAATCAGACAGAATTGTGTGCAACCTCGGATTTGGCTCCCAAAACCCAGACTGTGCTTCACACAGTCTGGTTTTAGGGGGTAGACTGTTTAAATCCATATCTATTGAACCCCTGATTCAATCTCACTTCTTCTGGGCCTCAAAGTTGAAGCAGGGTATGAAGATTACAGAAAGGATTTTTTCATATTTATATTTACATTTAATTGGCAACACAGTAGTTTCGGATATCGGTGGACTCAAAAGTGTCGGTAATACTACTAGCTTGGTGTGTCGCCTGCTTATCCTTCGACGCGCGATCCTTTTGGAGGAAAAGCTTGAGCTCGCTGTTTTGTAAGCGGACCTTCGAGTTGAGCTATAAAAAAAAGACTCAGGCATCAGGCGAAACCCTCGGTCTTCGTGATCAGAATACGTTACTTGTAGCTGTAGAATGCCGTCCGTCATGATGTTGCTCCTGATGTTGCCCTTCTCCCAATTATCCTCCGCCCGCCGCGAATGGTTTTCCAGAGAGCCGCTCGAGCGTCCTCGCCTCTAGCGGTGAGAAGCACGACATTGTCCAGCACCATCACAAAGTCTGCGAACAGCACACGCGAGAGCAATGCGAGGATCAGCTTGTGGTCCTTCGGTGAGTAAGCCTGCATCAGCGCCTGTAGGCTCATGAAAAACTCGAGGTGCCTGTGCGCCTGGCGTCAGCACAGATTAGCGAATCCATCGTGGCAGCAGCATGCGCGCGTGGGTGAACGCACGCACTTGAATTGCAGGGCAAGCGCGCCGATGGCGTCGTTGTCCATGTCATCGTCACACTTCCCATCCATCACCTACATGCTGACGTCCCCCTTGCTGACTGCGCCACTGAGCCACTCCACCATGCACATGAACGTCGGCATCTCGCAGCTGGTGCGTGAGAGCAGGTATATGTGAATAAGAGACCAGAGTGACCGAGGGTCAGTGAAATTGAAGGAAAGAGGGAAGCTGCGTGTCTGGGGAAGGTACATGTATGCGTAGGGCCGAGGGCGGATATGCCGAAAGAGAGGGAGAAAGGCCGAAAGCGAGAGGTACGCACCTTTGTACCACTCGGTGTGCCCATCCAATATGCATCCGTCGTGGACGTCCCCGTTATCTGTACTCATATCTTTTCACAGCCTATCTCTCCGCCGCCGCCACTGACTCCATTCCTCATCATCCCCTGCCTGCCAGTCAGGTTGGGCTGAGGAGGAACGGTCGACTAATGAGGAGTGGAGAGCGTGAGGGCCGAGAGTTGAAGGCTGAAAGGGAAGAGGGGTTGAGCATGTTTGAGGTCGAGCGGGCACGGGGTATAGCATGGGCGGGGTCGAAAGCTCGAGAGGAGGAGGGGATGGGAGGATATAGACGAGGGGTCGAGCGTGCGTACGGTCTCAAAGATGACGTAGGACGAGGGAAGAGTAGACGAGGATCAACAAGAGGTTGAGGGTCCGAGCATGCGTGCGTGGGCTTGAGGAGACGCACGGGCGCGGATATGGGTCGCGAGCAAAGACGGGTGCGTGGCGTTGAGGAATCGCGCGTGCACGCATGAGCACGAGGGCGATATGGACTATGGAGGGGGCCGAGTGGGTGAGCGGGCTTGACATCGAAGAGATTGAGGGGGTCTCGGGGACACAAACAACGGGCGGGTGAGAAGGCTGAGAGTGGGAGGTACAGACCTTGGTAATGCTCGGTCTCCCTCTTCCTAGCTCATCTCTTTGCCGCTAGGTCCTAATCACCTTCCTCGTCGATGCACTGAAGTGCGTGTGGCATGATATTTACGATGCTTCGTACATAGACGTAGAGCACAAGTGAGGCAGGAGCGGGGGCGCGTGGAGACATGGCGACTGTGTAGGGACGGCGGGGTCTCAGCAGGACGAGGAAGGGTGAACAAGGGCACGACGAAGTGATTATGTTGCATGGGATCGTAGCAATGGCCGTGCGTGAGATCGACGAAGGAAACGACATGCGACGAGAAGAGGCAAGAGACGCCAGGAGGGCAGCAGGCTGCATGATGTGCAGACTAAGCTACTCACTAACAAACAAATATGGGCGAGAAGGCAGATGAGACGCACACAGAAACAGAACAGCCGGTGCAGCAGTGAGGAGCATGAGGGCGGAGAAAGGAGGGACAGGATCGCCACTGAGCCAGACGTGCGCAGGGATTGAACCATAATAAAAGGACCGTGAGATTTGCCCGGCAACTATTATCCTTTGATACGCCATAGCACCGCCAAGGCGGCGACGCTGAGCATGAGCACGCCCACCGTCGTCGACATCTGTGCTGAATGTTGAACCATCTGTCGACACAGTGCCGGGAGCGAATGCACGAAAACGCAGAGAATAAAGCTCACTGGCGCCAGGTGTGCGCCCTTCAGATTGGCGGCGGCGGCAGACGAGGCGTGTGCGGCGTCGTCTTCCGTCTTCATCGTCGTCGTGGACCCTGTCGATGCCTTCCGGACCGACGACTCTGGGGTGATGGGATAGTGCTTCAAGGACATGATCCTCGCATCGTCGCTTGCGTGACGCACGTCCGAGTCCGAATCGTCCTGCGCCCAAGGCACGCGCGCGCGTGCTTTGGATACTGACTGGTGCTTGTCATCGAGCAGTGTCGCGCCCTCGGACGAGCTCGCGTACCCACCGTCGTCCTTATTCAATCGGCCGAGTGCGAACGCGATCAGCCCCGGGAGGTCGCCGGCCGTTTCCGCCGATGACGCTTGCCCGAGTCAGACGAGATACTGCGCGGACTGGGAGGCGTGACGAGCCCGACGCCGTTGCGCGCGTTCCCGTTTGCCTTGAGCTGGTGTGTTGCTGCAGCGTCGCGAGCCCGGCATCCACCTTCGCGACGGCGCCGTCAAACCCCTCCTCGGCAGCCCGCACGCGCGCCTCCCAATCCTCACGCGCACTACTGATCCGCGCCCGCTCCTCAGCCCATTCCTCACAGACGCCGCTCCACTGGCCCTCAACATCCTTCTTCTACTCAGCGATGAGCGAGGTGAGCGAGGCACGCTCTTGGCTCACCTCGATGGTATGCGGCTGTACATCGGTCTGCGACGCCTGGACGAGTGACTCGAGCGAGGAGACCTTGGACTTAAGCATGGAGATGATACTTGCGCGGCAGCCTGCTGGGCTTGTTGCGTGCACGAGAGCTTGAGCGCAAATTCGAGCTGAGAGGCGAGGACATCGAGGCGCTCCTCGGACACGGAAGACGTCGAAGGCTGAAGAGCAAAAGGCTCTCGTAGAGGGGGTGACGGCGATCGTGAGTGCATGTTACGCACGTCAAGGTGCATTTTGGATCCGCCGTGGATGTCCTCGTCGTCCATGCCCATCCCTGTAGGCTCCGGTGTTCTCGATCGACCCAGCTCGTCCCTCCGCTGCCGCCGCTCCTCCTCTTCTTCCTCTGCCGCCAGCTGCTCCTCGTCCTCGTCCTCGACGCGCTCTAGCTAGCGGGGCGTGACGGTCGTGATACTCTGCGCGTCGTCGTCGTCGCCTCCGTACTTGCCGTCATCGTGATCCTCGGCATGCAGCGTCCCCGAACGTCGTCTGCCGCGTACGCTGTCTATTTCGCTTTTTTCCTCCTCCATCAGCTCGTGGAGGGTGCTGACTTCGCGATTGACGGCTTCGTGCTCGGAGAGCATGCCCTCCATGGCACAGACCTTATCGACGAAGGAGGCAAGAGAGACTTGGGATTCCTGCAGTTGAGACTGTAGTTCGACGACTGTCGCAGGAATTGGCGCCGAGCTCTCGCCAGTGGGCGGCTCAGTCGGGGGCGGTGGCTGGAGCGGTTGGACAGGAGGAATTGATTGGGGGTATGGAGGGAGATTCGAGGGCTGGCATGTGTGTCAAACGAAAATCAGCGTACAAGGCAAGGAGGCAGGAAATTACCGGGACACCACTCAGTGTTTCGTGGATCTCGTTCATCGCGCCCGAGAGGGAGTTGAGCTCTGCTCCAGTCTCTCGAGACTTATGGAGCCCGCCTTGGAGACGAGTAAGGACATGGTCGAAGGAGAGGCTGCCCTTGCCGAGGGCGCGCATGTTACCGCCCATGCCAGCGAGAGCGCTGCAGACGCCCGCACCCGCTGCTGCCGACGCCGACGCGCTCGTGCGCCTGCGCGCACCGCACGTTGTCCACCGTGCGCTTCCTGCACGCGCATAGCTTCGTCGTTAAGAACGGGCACGGCGGGCACCCGCGCGCGTCGTCCGCGTGGCATGCGTACGGTGAGCGCGGTCGCTCACACGCCGGCGGCGGCCGTGTGCACGGGTGCGGGCAGCACAGGCGCGTGCCGCACGGGATCGGCGGGTCGAGGATCGTGAGGCCGTAGTGGTAGATCATCTGCGCACGCGCGCACATCTCACCATCAGGTACAGTCCAGCCTAGTGAGATGACAAGTGCGCGACGCACCTCTTCGAACGAGCTCCGCAGGACGACGGGCACGGGCCCTCATGGTCCCGCTCCTCGCAGCGGTGGTTCCCGCACGCGAGCGGCTTCCCGCACACGAGGTCGCACTGGTACCAGCCCTCGTCCACGATGTCCTGTGGTCCCGCGGCTCTTGCGGCTCTTGTCCTTCGCGGTGCCCATGCCCGCGAGCGCCGCGAGGGGGTAGCACACGCGCGTGCACTGGTGGCGTACGGCGCGCGCACGCGCGCCACAGGGCCTGTCGCACGGGATCTCGGGCGCGAGCGCCGCGCCGCCATTGGCGCTGCACGGGACGTTGCGCGTCGTCGTGCCGCACCTTCATGGGTACACGGGATAGATGGAGTACGGGGGGCACGGGCCGGCGTAGCAGCGCGTTGTGCACGCGTGCGCGCAGCCGGATAGGGGCTTGAGACAGAGGGATGTGCAGGTCGGGACGAGATCGGTGCAGGCTGTGCGGAGGAGACGGGCTGCGGGGAGGGAGGGGGGGAAGAAGGGCGCGGAGGAGGGGTGAAAGAAGGGCGCGGAGGAGGGGTGGAAGGGGTGCTTGCCGCAGGGGCAGTGGGTTGTGAGAGCTGGGAAGAGTGGGCAGGGTGGAGGGGTGCTGGAGGGCGGGTGGCAGGGCTGGGTGCACTGATGAACGACGCAGGCGAAGAGTTCAAAAAACACAGTTTTGTCAGTCAAAATCCAGCGCGGATGGTGGAAGAACGTACCGATCGCGTGGATTCCCGCAATCAAACGACCCATCCCACTGCTCCTGCTCCTCCTGCTCCTCCTGCTCCTGCTCCTGCTCCTGCTCCTCCTGCTCCTCCCCCTCCTCCTCGCCGTCTCCACGCACCACGGCGCACGCCTTCTTCTCTCCCTTCCCGCACGCAAGGCGCTTCTCCACCCTCCCGCACCAGCACAGCGCCGCCTCGGTCACCGCGCACGGCGGACACGTGCTGGGATGGCACGGCTCCGCACAAACGGAGGGGTTGTGATCGGGTCCAGCAGGTGAGCAGGCGGAGAGCGGGAGAATGGACAAGCAGGCATGACGGTGAATGGGTGAGCAGGTGAGCGGACATTAGGGAGAGTGGGCAGAGCGGGCATGGCGGAGAGCAGGTCGAGCCTTTTCTACCCAGCTGACCCACACATACAGGCCATCGACGCGTTGCGCTTTGCTGTTGATGATGTGCGACCACACCTGGTACCGAACTGAGGCAGCCATGCCCTCTGCAAGCAGTCTGAATGCTCTTCCACACCTGCGCAGGCGATATCGACTCAATCGCAGCAAGGGTGCACTCAAGGGGGCGAGTGTGCATGGGATCTGGGAGGTGATGCAGAATGAAATTGAGTTTCAGGTCAGCGTGCAGCGGACATGGGTGCGGTCGCAGACAAAAGTTTGCGTGCGTTAGGTCGTGGAAATGTCCGCAGATGCCGGCCACATACGAAGGCGGATGCATGACCTTTGACAGACGCGCGTGCGCTTGAGAGCGGGATCTATATCAGAGGCGTTCAAGCGTACCGAGTGGTGGGCGTGCGGGAGTAGGAGCGTGGACAATTTAGGGGTCGAGGGAGCGGGGAAAATAGGTCAATGGGGGACGGAAATGATGACAACCAGGGGCACACGCGCGGGGAGGGGCTGGCGCGAGAAAGAAATAACGACTCACTTGTGTATTGCCCAACCTACTGAGTGAGCTTGTGTCCGTTGTGGACGCCCCTCGTCATTCCCCAAGCTATCTCTTCGCTGCGGCCATTCCTACCTCCTCCGTCCGGTCCTAGTGAGGAAGGAAGTTGTCAGCTAAAACGAATCCAGCAGCTAAAGATAGGCAAAAAAAAGAACAGTCAACACTACAACGCGCTGTCAGCAATGTGTGGACGCGCGACGCGACATTGCAGCGTGCTTGATCACGAGATGTTGAAGGAGCACTGTGTGCCGACACAGTCGGAGGGAAAACTCGGACTGTGTCCGACACAGTCGGACTGTGTGCCGACACAGTCGGACTGTGTGGCGCGACAATCATCGGACTGTGTGCGGCACGGCCGGACTGTGTGGCGCAGATTCACCGCCAAATCTCGGACTGTCACCGAGAATCCGGACTGTGTGGCGCTGAACCAGCGCCAAAATCCGGACTGTGTGCGGTCTCGGCCGGACTGTGTGGCGCAACAGAGAGACTGTGCACAGTGTGACAACTGTGTGACAACTGTGGGTCCGCAATCTCCCGACTGTGTGCCGCCCTTTCCCGATGCTGACTAAACTGTGTCTCCGGGTTGCAGAATACCCTCAACATCACAAACAATTACATATCTCTCGATCCCCTCATCCAAATGATAAAATTAGGGTATAATCTGAAAGGTAGTGTATGTAGGAGCATTTTATTAGTTTTGTAATGGAAATAAAAGGACAATTGTGGACTGGAGACTCGGTTTTTTGAGGTTTTCCCTCAATTCTGTATTCTGCCTATAAGATCTTCAGTACTCCATGTCTACTAATGAAAATATTAGGGTACCATAACAAATACATTTTAAGCCTATTGAATCAGACAGAATTGTGTGCAACTTCGGATTTGGTTCCCAAAACCCAGACTGTGTGAAGCACAGTCTGGTTTTAGGGGGTAGACTGTTTAAATCCATATCTATTGAACCCCTGATTCAATCTCACATTTTCTGGGTCTCAAAGTTGAAGCAGGGTATGAAGAGCACAGAATTTTTTTTTTTGTATTTATAGTTGCATTTAATTGGCAACACAGTAGTTTCGGATATCGGTGGACTCAAAAGTGTCGGTAATACTACTAGTTTGGCAATGGAAATCCAAGGACAATTGTGGACTGGAGACTCAGTTTTTTGAGGTTTTTTCTCAATTCTGTATTTTGCCTGTAACATCTTCAGTACTCCATGTCTACTAATGAAAATATTAGGGTACCATGACAAATACATTTTAAGCCTATTGAATCAGACAGAATTGTGTGCAACCTCGGATTTGGTTCCCAAAACCCAGACTGTGCTTTACACAGTCTGGTTTTAGGGGGTAGACTGTTTAAATCCATATCTACTGAACCCCTGATTCAATCTCGCTGCTTCTGGGCCTCAAAGTTGAAGCAGGGTATGAAGATTACAGAAAAGTTTTTTTATATTTATATTTGCATTTAATTGGCAACACAGTAGTTTCGGATATCGGTGGACTCAAAAGTGTCGGTAATACTACTAGTACTCCATGTCTACTAATGAAAATATTAGGGTACCATGACAAATACATTTTAAGCCTATTGAATCAGACAGAATTGTGTGCAACCTCGGATTTGGTTCCCAAAACCCAGACTGTGTGAAGCACAGTCTGGTTTTAGGGGGTAGACTGTTTAAATCCATATCTATTGAGCACCTGATTCAATCTTGCTGCTTCTGGATTTCAAAGTTGAAGCAGGGTATGAAGATTACAGATAGGATTTTTTCATATTTATATTTGCATTTAATTGGCAACACAGTAGTTTCGGATATCGGTGGACTCAAAAGTGTCGGTAATACTACTAGGCAGAACTGCGGCGCTTGATGCCTATGTTTTTTGCCCTCGAGTAAGGTTGACAAAAGTGTTCTATCTTGTTAAATGAGCCGCTTTGTTGTATAGTCTCTTTGCCCTGCTGTCGTTTTGTTTTGGTTCCGTGCTCACAATCTGCTTTTCTCTACATAGATCTGGTCTCGTGAACACTTGTACGTCTCTTCGTATCTATGGATCAGCCGGATTTATCTCTTCTTTTTCCACCATGTACAGTGCTTCGAGATATCTTCTCTGGCTTCTCACTACGATGCAGACTGTGATCCGAGTTCTTGTAAAATATATGATTTTTTGTGGATTGCACGAGGGACCGCTGATACCTAGAAGATTCAACATTTGCGCGTCCCTAGTCATACATTTAGCCAAGGGTCCTCTAATGTAAGACAACGTCGCTTCAGCGCAGCAGAGAGCCTGCTGGAGCTGCCATACACGCAAGGACTCAACCAGGAAAGTCTTGGCCTCAGGGAACACATAGCAAACTCGAGCATGAATGGACAATGCAAGTGGTATAGATAGCCGAATGTGAGAGTGCTGGGATGTACATGGACAACAACAATCAGAGCATATGAGAGCAGACTTGACGATCAGTAGACGATAGATGATATACTTGGTATGATATTACGCAGCTGGGGACGGGCCAGCATGGTTCAGGGCCGCGAGCTGCTGCCGGAGAAGGGCAACCTCATCGTCCAGCAGAGCCCTTGCCGCCGCCTCCGCCTCTGCCGCCGCCTCTGCCGCCGCCGCCCTTGCGTCGGCTGCCTTCGCTGCTGCTGCCGCTGCCGTCGCCGCCGCTTCCGCCGCCTCCGCCGCCGCTTCCGCTGCCTTCGCCGTCGCTTCGGCCTCCACCCTCGCTGCGGCCTCTTCCTTTGCGGCGGCTTCTGCCTCCACCCTCGCCGCTGCCTCTTCCTCTGCGGCGGCTTCCGCCCTCTCCCTTGCCGCTGCCTCTTCCTTTGCAGCGGCTTCCGCCCTCTCCCTCGCCGCTGCCTCTTCCTTTGCGGCGGCTTCCGCCCTCTCCCTCGCCGCTGCCTCCTCCTCCGCCTTTGCAATGGCCGCTCGCGTCTCCTCCTGCGACCTCACCCACTTGGCGGCGGGGTGATCCTCCCGGGCCCTCTCGTCCAACAGCGCGGCAAGTTGCTTCTCGAACTCAGACTTAATCTTGCCCAGCGGCGGCTCAGGGGGCTGGATGGTGAAGATAGTGAGGAAGCGCCCACGCTCGTCCTTGAGGTTGTCGACATTGTACTCGACCTCCTCGCCGTCCTCGTTGCCAAGGCCGATGAGGCGCTCGCGGAAGAAATCGTAGATCACGGTCGCATACCAGTAGCACTGACGCGAGAGGAGCGCGTAGTCGGGAGCGTATTCTTGGAGCGCAAGCAGCAACGCAGCGAGGTCGTAGTCGGTAAAGCGCTTATTAAACGTGAGCTTGCGGCAGGTCTTATACGGGCGGCGGGCGTGGCGGTCGATTTTGCCGACGGGCGCGCCATTCGGGGGGATGATGATGCGGTCGAAGGCGGGCGTCGCAAGGGAAGAGGACGAGGACGAGGCCGCGGAGCTGGGGGACAAGCTGAGGCGGGAGGAGGACGATGATTGGAACAAGGCGGAAAAGCGGCTGCCGTTCTCGTGGGAGAGGTCGGCGCCGGGGCGGATCTTGTCTTTGGGGAGCTGGCTGGTCTCGATCGTGCGCTCGACGATGATGGGCACGGTGAGCGGGGGAGCGCCTAGAACGGGGTACTCGAACTGGATGATGAGAAACTCGTGGAAGACGCCGCGCTTCCGCTTGCAGTGTTCTATGCTGGCGATGCGCGGACGGTCCTCTGAGGGGGTGGGGGTGAAGAGGACGAACCCCGCCCATCCAGTCACGTTGTAGATGAATTCTTCCTTGGGAAAGTAGAGGACATCGTTGGGGGAGGACATGGCTCTATGTGAGGGGGAAAGACAAGGGAATGCGCTAGAGAGTAGGTCGCGCAGAGCGGCTAATAAGTGGTGCATAGTGGCAGAGAGACTTGAAAGGCTATGGGCAGTGGGCACGTCCGCGTGCAACCAGCGAGGAGATGGGCGTCTAAGGGATTTGGTATTCGATAATCCCACATGCACGTGTATCTGTGCACATCAGTGAAACAGTCAGCGACATTCCGGAAGATTGAAGTTGCATGAGGCCTACCACTTATGTGTGTCGAAGATGAAAGCTTGTCGAATAGCAGTGACGCGACGTTAACGAAGACGCTGTCACGTGATCAGAAACCTTCCCCTCGCTAGCGACAGGTTCGACGAGCATGGCCTCCATCGATCCACCCTCTGATCGCAAACGCCCGCGCACCGAGCTCGATGCCGAGCTGCTCATAAATCACCCAGCGCTTTACTTCGATGACGGAAACGTCATCTTACAGTGCGGCAAGACCCTCTTCCGCGTCCACCGCAGCATCCTCCTCAAGCACTCCACCTTATTCCAGGAGATGCTCGCCCCCGCGCGCGACACCCTGCGCGATTGTACGTCGATCAAGGTCGTCGACGACAAGGACGACATGGAGGCATTATTAAACACAATATACGATGGTTTGTGCGTAGACTCATTTGCGGCCTCGCCACTCAAAATCTCCTCATCCATTGTTCACTCGCCTGGTCCTTCTCTTCTCCCTGCTCCTCTGTCAGCACTATCGACGCTTCCCAAATCACCATCGAGAACTTCCCGACCATCTCCGGTATTCTGCGCCTCGCGCACAAATACCGCGTCCCGCGCCTCCGCGTCGCCTGGCCCTCTGCCCTGGACAAGCATCTCGCGCGCGCACGCGCCCTCACTGCGTGGCGCGCTTCGCAGCCGCACGCCGAGGACCTAATCGTGCACCCCGCTGCCTGCGCTCCATCGACTGCGCCGATAACGCCCTGCTCACCGCGCTCTTCTACGACCTCAGCCGCCGCACGCCGCAGCTCATGATTCGTCTGCGGCGCTCCGGCATAGCTCGGTGCTTTGCCCCATTTCCTTGCTTCTGTGGGCGGTTTTGCGTGGTTTCGGAAATGGGGCTGCAGACCACAAAATTCCCTCAGACCACAAGATCGTGGTGAAGAACCCCGTCGTCGAGCTCGATGGCGACGAGATGACGCGCATCATCTGGAAGAAAATCCGCGAGGAGGTGCGTCGTCCCCTATTTCTCCTTTGACCCGCCCTCGAAAGCTCACGCGCAAACGCCGCATCGCAGCTCATCCTTCCTTATCTCCAACTGGACATCAAATACTTTGACCTCGGTCTAGAGGCCCGCGACGCCGTGAGCCCCCGCTATCTCCTCTCTGTGGACAGGGTTGCTGATACCCCCGCGGGCAGACAAACGACCGGATCATGATCGACTCCGCCAACGCGATGCTCGAGCACAAGATCGGCATCAAATACGCGACGATCACGCCCGACGACGCGCGCGTGAAGGAGTTCAAGCTGAAGCAGATGTGGCGGAGCCCGAACGTGACCGTCGGTGCGCTCCCCGCCTCGTCTCCCCCTCTCGTCGCTGAGGCAGCACTCGCAGATCCGCAACACCGTCGGCGGCCCCGTCTTCCGCGAGCCGATCATCCTCGAGCGCATCCCGCGGCCGATACCGCGCTGGGTGAACCCCATCGTGATCGGGCGGCACGCGTTCGGCGACCAGTACCGCTCGACAGACCTCGTCGCCCCGGGCCCGGGGAAGCTGCAGCTCGTGTACACGCCCGCGGACGGCGCCGCGCCGACGACGCTCGACGTGTACGACTTCTAGTGTAGGGGCGCCGCGATGGCGATGTACAACACTGACGAGGTGCGCGCCGTTCCTGTTCGTTGTGTGCGCGACGGGCGACGATCTCGCTGACGCCGGTGCCGCAACCGATCACGGACCTTGCGCACTTGTCGAACAAAATGGCGCTGGCGAAGAAGAAGCCCCTCGTACGGTCCTCTCTCCTCCTCCCCGCGAGACCCGTCGCTCAGGTGTGAGGTGCTTCAGTTCATGTCGACGAAGAACACAATCCTCAAGAAATACGACGGCCGCTTCAAAGACATCTTCTAGGAGATCTACGAGTCGTGCGTCGCCCCTCTCCCTCTCCCTCTCGTCGCGTGCTGACGCGTCCCCGGGTACGCAGGGAATACAAGCCCTAGTTCGAGGCCACGGGCATCTACTATGAGCACCGCCTGATTGATGACATGGTCGCGCAGGCGATCAAGTCCTCCGGCGGGTTCGTCTGGGCGACGAAGAACTACGACGGCGACGTACAGTCGGACATCCTCACGCAGGGCTTCGGCAGCCTCGGGATGATGACGAGCTCGCTCATCACCCCCGATGGACAGGTCATCGAGAGCGAGGCCGCGCACGGTGCGTGCGGCGTCCCCCGCGCTCTCCTCTGAACGCTCGCTGATGTTTTTGTGCGTGTGCACGCGCCTGCGCGCGCAGGCACGGTCACACGGCACTACCGCGAGTACCAGAAGGGCAACGAGACCTCCACGAACCCGGTCGCGTCCATCTTCGCGTGGACGCGCAGGCTGCTCTACCGCGCGAAGCTCAACCCGAACCCCGCGCTCGCCGCGTTCGCGCGCGACCTCGAGGCGGCGTGCACCGAGACGACCGACGCGGACGGCGTCATAACCAAGGACCTCGCGCTCGCGATCCACGGCAAGGCGATGCGCCGCGAGCACTGGGTCGTGACCGACGTGTACACGGATGCCGTCAAGGTGCGTGGCGCTCTTCTACCCGCCGCGATGGACCAGCCGGCGCTGACGTCCTTCCCGCATTCTCCAGGGGAAGCTGGACCAGAAGCTCGCGGCGAGAGCGGAGAAGCCGTAGGCGCGCGCGACGATGTGTTGCTATCTCTTCATTGTAGCGACGGGTGTATCTTCGATCGCACAGTCATCTGCCAGGGCAGGATCGTCACCGCCCCCCGTAAGAACTCTTCATACAATAAATCATAAGGTAAAATTCGACCAAGAAAGGACTCTCTCGTGAGTCGCAAAGGTATGTGGTATCAAATGGCACTTCCACACAACGGACCAAAAAGCGCCACGAAATAAAGCTGGGGGCTCTCGCCGCCGCAGTCAGACCGCGCACCCCCAACGGGCTCTGGCGAGCGCCCGCCGTCCGCGAGCATGCCCTCGGCGTTGGTGCTGTCCATGCGCTCTATCCACTCGTCGAGCGCGGCCCTGGCCGCGCGGGCGTCGCAGGGCGCGCGGCGGCGACGGGCTGCGCGTTGCCGACGAGGCCGTAGGGCGGGACGCCCTCGAGCATCTGCTGCGCGGCGGCTTCGTGCAGCTTCGCGGGGAGCGCGGGGAGCGTCCACGGCGCGCCCGTGCCGTTTCCCTTCCCTCGTGAGGAGGGAGGTGGAAGGTGGAAGGGGTCGTCGCTGTCTGGATCTGAGCGCAGGAGGTTGAACGCGTGCATGTCGACGGAGTCGTGCGCGTCGTGCGACTCGGCGTGCTTGAGGCAGTCGCGGGGGAACCACCGGCGGCAGGCGGGCTTGGGGCAGAAGTGCATGGGGCGCGCATCGTCGAGGTTGTAGACGGTGTTGCAGTCCGCGGTGCAGGTGACTAGGTCTTTGAGTTTTGGCCGGGGGCGGGTGTGTGGGGATTTGAGGGGGTTTGTGAGGATCGGGAGGGCGCCGGGTGAGGGTGAGGGGCTCATGGTGCCACACTTGGAGAGCTGTTGTTGGACCGCGGGGTCTCAGTGGTGACGCAGGTTGAGAGAGGGAGAACGAGGGGGCAACCTTACGTGGTGTCGAGGGGACGCGCGTGAGCGCTTGGGCATGAGGGCACGAGTGTGAACTTTGACGGCCCAGGAGGTCGAGGGGCACTGGATGGACTCGGGCGTGGGCTCGAGGACATGGCCATGGGCTCGAAGGGAAGAGGATACGCGTGCTCAAGGTGGTGCGTGCGCTGAAGGGGACGAATATGCGCAGGCGAAATTGGGAGCGAAATCACAGCTTCATCGGGTTAAGCGGACAGGCGGGCGGAATAGTTGCGAGGACACTGAGTGGTAGGCGTGCTTGTGTTCACAGATGTGAGTGTGCGTATGTGGGGTCGAAGGGATGCACGGCCGGAAACGTGGGGTGCGTGGGCTGAACGGACGAGTGTCGAGGGGAGACAGGTCGGCGGCGGGGCGGGCGGAAAGGATGAGGTTAAGATATACACGTGTGCGGGGAAGGACTGGCGCCACGAGGGACGACGACGCACCTTCATGACGCTCGTCCTGCTCAGCTAGCGTGCATCTCCCCATAGATTTCCTCGTCCTCCACGCCCATCCATGTTCCCAGCCCGTCTCTCAGCCGCCGCCGCCGCCGGTCCTCTTCTTCCTACGCTACCAGCCAGTTAGGTTAGGTCGAGGATGGGACTGTTGACGAATGTGAGATCGAGTGTGCGCAAACTCGAGAGGACGAGGGCGACAAGGATGAGGGGATGAGGGGTCAAGCGTGCACGGGGTCGAGTGTGCCTTTGGTTTTGGCAACGATCCAGGACGAGGGAGGAGTGGTCGAGGTGCCGTCGAGATGTTGTGCATGCACGCGTGCGCGAGCTGGATGAGTCATGCGGAAGCGGATCTGGGTCGGATCTGGGTCGCAGGCGAAGGCGGATGCGTGAGCTCAAGGGATGAAAGGGATCGAGGGCATTCGGTGGCGGACGGGCGTGGGCTAGATGAGTCTAACTTGGGCTTGACGGGACAAGGGGAAGCGCGCGGGGATAGCATGCAAAGGCGGGTGCATGGCGTTGAGGGGTCGCACGTTCACGCATGGGCACAAAGGCAGAGTCGGCTATTGAGGGAATTAAGTGAGCGAATGGGCTTGGCGTCAGAGATCGAGGGCGTCGCAGGGTCGGCAGAAAGGATCAGAGCGGTAGGTACACACCTTGGTGACGCTCGGCCTCCCTCTCCCTAGTTCATGTCTTTGTTGCCAGCTGTTACTCACCCTCCTCGTCAGCACGCTAGATCGCGTGTGGCATGATGTCTGCTATGCCTTGTGCGTAGGCTCTGGGGCTTGAGGGGACGTACGCATATAACCTTGGGTCGCAGGCAAATGGATGCATGTACTGAAGAGAACCGAGCGTGCGCAGGCGGGATCGAGGGTTAGGTTCGACGCTCGAGCGGGTCGAGAGGGCAAGGGTGGCGTCGGGCATGCACAGGATCTCGGCAGTGACACGGTCTAGGATGCCTGGGCGAGTGACCCGAGCGAGGAAACCTTCGACTTGAGCATGGAGATGGTGCTCTGCGCAGCAGCCTGTTGAACTTTGAGCGTGCGCAAGAGCTTGAGTGAAGATTTGACCCGGGAGGCGAGGGCATTGAGGCACTCCTGTGACACGGAAGGCATTGAAAGCTGGAGTGCAAAAGGTTCTTGTAGGGACAACGACAATCTTCTACTAAAATACCGAGTTGCTTGAGCTGTCGTGTTGCTAACAACATAGAGGGCGCCGTGGGACCTTGCCAATCCGACCGACTGAGTTGAAACTTGGAAGGCTGCGAGGTAGGAATCTGAAAAGAGGAAAGGAATGGGTGAGGTCGATGAATGCAGGAGAAAGAGAGAAACGGCACGTCGGGACTTGCAGACAAATGAAACATGGTGGGAGAGCTTGAAGGACAAGAAATAACATGCCATACCGAGGTTAGCGCACGCGTAAAGTCTCTCATGATATACCCGAGCGGCACAAGTACCTACAGAAAGATCGGAAATCATTGTTAGACAAAGATAAGGACCACGATGGGAATCCTCAACACTGCTTTCTTTCTCAAGGCCTCGGCGGAGGCACATCGTCCGTTTGCAATGCCGAGGGCGGGAAAGAAGGGACAACGAAAAGTAGAATACAGATACACTTACAGGAGCAGGGGTCTGTCATGGTTATGGTTACAAGTCGTCTCGTGCGCGTAGAGCAGAGTTTGCTCCGGTTTTGCAATTCATCGTTGTGTGATAATGGCTTAGGGAGAACACCATGTCCACCGCGACGGTGATGTGCGCCGATCTACTCTCATTCGCCAGCTCCTCGTTGGGCAGCTTTCGTGTGCGCCTAGAAACCACAATGAAAGAATAAAATTAAAATTCAACAAGTCGACACGCGTCTACGCAAACACGATCGGAGCACGCGCGACATAACCTTTGCGCGCATCCAGGACGTCAACGCCGCTGCTGATCAACTGCATATGCTCCAGCTGGCTCATGCACGAGAGCACCTCGCGCCACGAGCCCTTGAGGTTATTGCCCTCCATAACTGTGACGTCGAGAAGCGTCTGGGCCGTCTCCATGTTCTTTGTCTTTATCTCCCCGAGGTTGTTCAAGAACGTGAACTTTGCGAGCGTCGTCACGAACGCGTTGCGCTCCAGCTCGAGGTCGAAGAAGCACACGATCCGGATCGCATTCCGGAAGCCGTCGAGGCAGAGCTCCACGACATCCAGGTTGTCCGTCTCCTGCAGTAGGCCCGAGATCCCCGCGAGGAACAGGATCCACGCGACCTCGAACATGGGCCAGACGTGTATGAAGTGCGACGCGATGAAGAACTGATCGCCACTCCGCGAACCCTTGCACTGGGACTGCATCATCGTCCTGGACAGCGCCTGCATAACCGACGCGTGAGCAAACCACCCCAGCACTGACATCTCGACGCTCGACGCCATCAAGAAGCACGCACCTCGGTCTTGTTCGCCATGCCATTCGACTGCAGCATAAACGCCTCCCTCTGCAAGTCCTGCCCGACCGTGGCGAGCGCGCTCGCCAGCCCCGCACCCGGCGCGAGCGACGCGACCAGGCTCGAGTCCACCTCATCCTTGATCCGGATCCCATTGTTCACGACATCGTCAAAGATAGCGGACAGCACCTCCTCGGGGAGGTCCGCGCCCTCGTTGATCCCGCGGTTATTCTTCACGAAGTCTGCGCGCGTCATGCGCTTCCTCACCTGCAGATTGTGCGCATCTGTGTTGAGCAGGATGACTGAGTATGAGATCACGTAGGCGGTGTCTGCAACGGACACGGGGCCGTGGCGGGTCAGACGCGCGCGCGGATGAGCAGCGCGCGGGACACGCATCGGCGTTCGCGAACGGTGTGTTCGCATTGCTTTCGATGTAGCGCTCGACGAACTTGAGCATGAACCGATCGATCTTCTGCGCTTCCCCGGGCAGGCGGAACGCCTGCAGGTAGACGCGCAGCGTGTCGACGAAGGGCATGTTCCGCAGGTCGAGCATGTTGACAAACATGTACATGGTCGCGATGTTCTCCTCGTCCCTGCAACCCGATGAGCCATCGCAAACGGAGGAGGTGGAAAACGCGCACCCTTCGCCGAGGTACTCACCGATCATCGACTTGCTCAGCCCATCGGTATGCAACAAGAACCGCGCGACGTCCTGCGGCGCCTTACTCGGAATGAACCCCGTCTCGAGCAAAAATTGTATGCCCTAAAACCCGCCCATCGGTCAGCCCCCCTCAGCCGAAGAAAACACGCACTCGCTTCGGCTTAAGGTTGAACTTCTTGACACCCTCCAGCAACATCGTCTTCTTCTGCTTCGCGCTCTCGAACCGGCCCGGGTCGTCGTGGATATCTGGCATCGGCTGCCTTGTCGCCTCCGCGCTCGGGCCACCCGTCGGGAGCCTATCCAGCGACTGCGACGCGTCGGGCGTCAATCCCTCAGGGCACCCGTCCTCGCCGACGCTGGCGCACCATGCACCCGCCGCGGCCGCGGCCAACGCCGAGTCGGGTGTGGTGCCCCACGCGACGAGCGAGCGTAGCACGGCAGTGAGGCATTCGAGGCTCTGGCGGCAGAGCTGCTGCTCCGAGTGGCCGAGCGCGGATGTGTCGAGCGAGCCTGAGACGGCCACGGCGGACGTCACGAGTGACGGCGGGATGCCCGGCGCGTGTACCTTGCTCGTGGGTGTCAGCGCGGGGCTCGCAGGGTCCGCCGGGTTCTGCTGTGCGGCGGACGGGAGCGTGCTGGTGCCGATCTTGGTGATGATGTTCATGAGGCTGCGCGCGCGGCGGGCAGGGTGTTCAGCGAGCCGCATACACAGACAAAAAAAACAAAGAAAAAACAAAGAAAAAAAACAGAGGGCAGAGCAGAGCGGAGGAAAAGAGAGGAGGCGGGGCATACTCACTGCTCGTAGATGTTGTCTGCGACTTGGCTGTCGCAATCATAGTTGAGATAAATCTCGACGAGCGCCTGCGGATCGTGACAAAGGCGTGGCAGCATACCCAAGATGGTGGCCTTCTGCTTCAGCGTCGACGTCTTCTCTCGAGGATTGGGAGGAAGATCTCGTGGAACAGGACCTCAATCTCTTTCTGCAGGCGCAATCAAAACAAAACTAGGTCTGCGAAGACAGACCCCCTACGCGCGTGTGCACCTTGAGCTTCGTCCGGAGGCCCGTGATCACGCGCCAAAATATCTCGACGCTGATCTCGAACACCTGCGGGACGGGGCTGGCTGCTGCTGAGGCTGAGGCAGAGGTACTGGTTCACCATCTGCATGAACGGGGTCGCCCATCTGTTCCCAGCCCATCTGTCTGCCGCCTCCGGTCCTCTTCCACCTTTTCAGCTAGGTCGAGCGCGGGGGTCGAGGGGTCGCGTCGTCAAGAGGACGAGGTTAGGTCAGGTAGTCGCCACCGCCGCCCCTCGAAGACGCGGCGTCGTAATCCTCGTCGTCATCAACCTTGCCCGTGGACATCACCTCGACCTCATCGTGGACGCCCCCGCGTGGTCGACCCCGCCGTCATACATGCCGCATGAGGCGCGCCCAATGACCCTGTCGTCGTCCTCGGCCCTAGCCATATACGCCGCCGCCTCTTAGCCGCCTCCGACATGTCCGTGCAGGTTCCAGCCGTTGCCATCAAGAAGGAGGTATCGGGGAGGAGTAGTTGTCGTGGAAGGTGCTGAGACATGGTTCAGGAGGCAGCCTCGTGGCCGTCGTCGTCGTCGGGGCTGGGACTGGAGGAGCCATTCGTCGAATCTCTGGTCGTTCTGGGCGGCCTCATCGGGGCGGGCCGGTGGCCGTCGACGCCGCGCGTGGTCGGAGACAGCATCAGGAGGGGTCCGCGCCCGGCGGACGCCACATCAGGGCCCTGCCAGACCCCTGTGTTGGCGGCCCCACATGTGGTAGAGACGGCGACGAGGCTGTCGTCATAAGCACGTCCTCGACGCCGCGGTTCACGAGGCCGCGGTTGTGCATGACGAGACACCGGGCAACACCGCGTCCTCGGGGAGCCACCGTTGGAAGCGAGGAGAAGGCGGCGAGGGGAAGGCGGCGACGCCGTGTTGGCGAGGAGGCAGGGCCCTCGAGGCCTCGCCGTTGACGATGTCGGTGGTGTGCACGGGGAGGCAAGGTCCAGGCGGTGAGGTGGTCGGGACCTGGCGTGTAGAGACGGCGTGCAGGCGGCAGCGTGAAGAGCTGGCAGGATCGAGAAGGCTGCTGCACGCCTGGGGTCATCGGGACCGAGCGTGCAGGCGGCAGCGCGGAGGCCTCAGTGTCGTCGTCAGGGCCGTCGTGTCAAGCGGGCGCTGTTGTTGTCGAGGAGCAGGCGGGGTGGACGAAAAGGTGAGGAGGCGTCGTCGAGTGAGGAAGCTGGGGTGAGGAGGCCAGGGTTGTTCACGAGGAGACCTCGGGCGACGCGCCGTTGTCGAGGCAAGGGACCGGCGGTGGAGGCGGCAGGGTGGAGGCGGCGGCGTGGTGGGGACCCAACGTGGAGGCGGCGTTGTCGAGCCTGGCGGTGGAGGGGGTAGCATCGAGGCGGTAGAGTCGAGGCGGCGGAGTCGAGTCGAGGTCGCCGGAGGCGGTGGCTGCGAACCTGGTGTCGTCGTCGGGAGTGGGGATAGAGACGGAAGCATCGAGGCGGCAGCGTGGTCGGGACAGGGCCGCGTCGAGACGGTAGGGTCGAGGCGGCGTCGTCAAGTTGGTGTCGTCGAGTCGGCGTCGTCGAGTCGGCGTCGTTCGAGGCGGCAACTGCGAGCCTGATGTCGTCGCTAGCACCGGCCGGTGCGCGAGGATGCGGATGCGGATGGGGCAGCTCCTGCCTGGTCGAGGAGGGCGGCATGGAGGAGGGCGGTGCTCATGGCGGATATGGGCTTGGAGTGGTCCTGCACGGTGCAGTCTCGGCCGCCGGCGCTGGGCATGGTGCGCCACAACTCAGAGGAGCGGCGTGAGGTGGAGGAAGCGGTGGTAGTGGTGGTGTGGGTGGTGGTGGTGGCGACAGCGGAGGAGGCGGAGGAGGTAGAGGGAAGGTGGAGGAGGCGGAGGACGTGTCGGGGTGGTGGACGGCGGTGGTGTCGAGCTGGAGCGAGCAGGCGAGCGCGGCGTCGAGCGGGAGATGCGGGTCAGTCGAGCGTAGGTCCGGGCAACCCATGCGATGCGCGAGGCGATGTGGACGGTGCGCGCGAGCCGGCCAGTGGACCAGTGGGCCAGTGGGCATGAGGTCGTGCGAGGAGAGCGGGGAGGGTAGCACAGCGAGCGATCGGGTCGAGAGGGTCGGACGGGGGAGCGAGTCGGACGGGAGAGCGGGTCGGAGGTGGGTGAGGTTGAGCAGACGAGAGAAGGGGGCGGGTAGAGTCGAGGGATAGGCCGTTGAGCGCGACGTGGAGAGGACGTCGAGGGCGAGAGGTGTGCGTGTACGGGGGAGGAACTGGGGCGAGCGACGACGTACCTATGGTTATGTCCTCGTCGTCCGTTTCCTCCCTCTCCTGTGCTCCTTCTCGTCCTCCTCCTCGTTGTCGTGGTTTTCGGCGTCGTCGAGCAGCGTTGGTTCGTGGGTGTTGGTGGTTGGTCCGTGGGTGTTGGTGGAGCGGGACGCCGCTGCCGTGGAGACCGTGGATCGTGTCGAATGAGACAGCAATGGGAGCGGGCAACTGGTCGAAGGGACGCGTGTGCAAGGGGCCGAGGGAACGAGCAGCTGAGGCAGATGAGCGGTCGTGACATCGAACGAGCCAAGCGGGAGCGCACGAGGGAGCCGAGAGAGAGAGGGATATACTGGACGAGAGCGGGAGGGACGGATGTGCAGGTCGACGCAAAGAAAGACGACGTACCCCGTTTGTGCCCTCTCTGTTCCCTCTTGTCTTTCCGCCGCCGCCGCCGTTCCTCAGCGTCATCTTCCTCAGCGTCGTTGTCGTCGTCATCGTCATCTTGGTCGCCTTCGTTGTCGTCGTCGTTGACGCTCGGACATTTGCGATGATTGGCGTGCTATCGGGCAGCGTGGGCGTAGGGGCGTTGGTGGAGCGGGACGCCATCGCCGTGGAAACCGTGCAGCACGCCAAACGAGACAGTGATGGGCGCAGGCGTGGGGTCGAAGGGATGCGTGTGCACGACGCTGAGGGAACGAGTGAGGAGTTGTGGCGGACGAGCGGGAGCTGGAGAGTCACGAAGTTAATTAAGTGGTCGCGTGGGCGCGACGCGAAGTTGAGTCCTTCGCACCCGTCTCTAACTCAACTCTGTCCGCGCGCAAACCTCAACCTTCGTCCCCTCGCCCTCGCCTCGACACCATGCACACCCACCACCCACTTCCTTCGCCTTCGTCCTCCCATCCTCCCGGCCCGATGCACACGCGTCCACTCGGTCACAACAACCCCTTCGACTGCTCCCTCACGAGCCCCTGCCGCCGCCGCACCCGCGTTTCGCCCTTGCGCACAGCGTGTCGCAATCGTCACGCTACCCGTGCTTCAGCGCGTCGACGTGGAGGGTGAGGAGCGTTGTTAATGAGAAGAGGAGGTGCGAAGAGGAATGCTATTAAAAAGGTCCGTATCACTTACTTTCGCTAGCCCTCCCCCAGCCCTAGTCCTGCCCCTCCCTGCACCTGCGCACACCCGGAAGCGGCTCCTCACTCCGCGTCTCTTCCCCTGCTCTCTCCTAGGAGGCGAGGACACGACCACGCTCCCCGGTACCCTACCGCCCGACGCCTTCTTCTCCGGGCACGCCCACTCGACGCTGCGCACCGCCGCGCACGCATCGCACGAGCGCACCCTGTCCTCTGCCTCCGGCTACGCGCACCACCATGTGTCCGGCGCTGCCAAGAGCGCCACCTCGCCCGCGAAGCAGCGCTACATCGTGGACGCGCACGGCCTCGAGATCGTCAAGAAGATCCGGCAGGGCGAGGTCGAGCTGCGCGATCGCACCATCGTCCTGTGCAACATCAAAGCCAACGTCCGTCCAGCTCGCTTTGCGAAGCTGAGGGCCATCAAGGACACGAAGAAGCCAGGCAAAGCCCCCACCGCGATCCCCGCTGTCTCAGGTTTAAAACGCCTCCGCGGCCGACATCGTGGCGGCGCAGGGGAAAGAGGCGGCGGTGAGCGGGGGCGTAGGCGTGGACGAGGACAGAGACGGGGTCGGGAAGGGAAAGGTTAGTCCCTCGAGGATCTGTAGATAGTAGAAGTAGAGGAAAAGAGAATGAAACATCATGTATCAGTACATGCCCTCGGCGAGGCAGAGGCCCATCGTCCGTTTGCAAAGCCGAGTGCGAGAAATAAAAGGTACAATAAGATATAATAAGAACATACTCACAGCGCGGCATCTGTAAGGTTAATGCTCGTAGGCTGTCTCATTCATGTAGAGTCGAGTTTGTGCAGGTTTTGTGCTTGTTGGCACAGCAGAATCCTGATACACGGCTGACATGACGAGCCTATCTAGCCACGGACAGGCTCGTCATGTCAGCCGCGTATCAGGACTCAGCCCTGCCAATACGCGGCTGACATGACGAGCCTGTGCAGCTGCAGCGAGGCTCATCATGTCAGCCGTGTATCAAGACTCAGCCAAGCTGATACGCGGCTGACATGACGAGCCTCTCCAGCCGCAGCGAGGCTCGTCATGTCAGCCGCGTATCGGGACTCAGCCCTGTCAATACGTGGCTAACATGACGAGCCTCTCCAGCCGCGGACAGGCTCGTCATGTCAGCCGTGTATTGGCATGGGTGGCTTCTTCACCTCTTAATGGCCTCTTTAGCCCTGCCATACCCCTGTCCTACCCTGAGCCTTCTAGCTTTTCAGGTTAGAATATAATTATTACATGTGACAATTTAATTTCTGAGCTGTGACGAGTAATCATGTCAGCTGCTTGTTGGCACAGCGGAATCCTGATACGCGGCTGACATGACGAGCCTCTCCAGCCGCAGCGAGGCTCGTCATGTCAGCCGCGTATCGGGACTCATCCCTGTCAATACACGGCTGACATGACGAGCCTCTCCAGCCGCGGACAGGCTCGTCATGTCAGTGGTGTATCAAGACTCAGCCAAGCTGATACGCGGCTGACATGACGAGCCTCTCCAGCCGCAGCGAGGCTCGTCATGTCAGCCGCGTATCAAGACTCAGCCAAGCTGATACGCGGCTGACATGACGAGCCTCTCCAGCCGCAGCGAGGCTCGTCATGTCAGCCGCGTATCGGGAATCATCCCTGTCAATACGCGGCTGACATGACGAGCCTCTCCAGCCGCGGACAGGCTCGTCATGTCAGCCGTGTATATTGGCATGGGTGGCTTCTTCACCTCTTAATGGCCTCTTTAGCCCTGCCATACCCCTGTCCTACCCTGAACCTTCTAGCTTTTCAGGTTAGAATCAGGCAATACTGCCTGCTCCTCCTCGACGATACCCTCCAGACCTTTTGTGACGTAGGAATACAACTTCCCGCCTTCTCCCAAGTTGTGGTACCCATCCACCAGGTTATCCTGAGCATGAAATCCTAAATCTCGACCTTCTCGTCTGCAATGCAGCTTGTGTTCCTGACATATCTAGATAACAAGCCTCAGCTTGTTGTTAATGCACTTATTGATATGGTGCGAGCTCCGGTCTGTGAGATTGACTGCTTCTTCTATCTCATTGGAGAGGTGCATGAAGTTGTGGATGTGGATCGACAGCACATCACGATACCATTCGTCCCCAAATTCCTTCTCTTTATGCTGAGCAAATTCCTCCAGGTACTTATTGAAATGTTCTTGCATTAAATCCAGCTCATGAAATTTGCCCGCTTTTCCTGACAGATTGACCAGCCAATTGTTGAAGAGAGCAATCTGAGTGGCCTTTAGATACTCGTAAGTAATGTTGCAGAACAGTTTCACGAGGTAGGCAGTGTATTTGGAGTGGCCAGATCCCAAGAAGGTAAAGATCCATATCTAGGGTGAGCATCCTATGGTCAGACATCGGCAGGAAGCCACTAAGCACGATACTAACCTTTAGAACTTCCCAGACTCGTCCGATGTCACCTAAGGCAACCGTACGACAGACCTCCAAAAACCAGATGCCATCTCGCATCAGAAGAATGCTGTTCACCAATGCCCAATCACTTTGGGAATTGAGTGACTCATACTTTGATTCCTTGAGCAGAAACTCGGTATCTGAACTCTCAATATCACTTGAAGAACCCTCCACGCGTGCCGCCACGACATGATCATCCATTGCCGCAGTGTTTGGCAGGCCCCTTAATTGCAATGCACCATCGAGGTCTTTGCACAGATCCAGATCCATCACCTCCATGGTCTGCATGTCCTCTGATTGCGATGCGCCGCCATGATCATTAAGATCACCAAGCGATCTCACAGATTTGTCAAGGTTCAGTTGTATGTCTCTCCCTGTCGTACTGGAATTCATGCTGTGTATTCCCCAGGTTGGTCCTATGGGTGCATCAGAGTACCATGTGCCACCCGCTAGCTTAGGGTGCAGTGTATGCATATATGCATCTGTAGTATAGTATTGTTTCACCAAGATGTCGGCATCATCAAAAAGTGCCATCAGGCATAGCAGGCGGTTTGCGACAGCCAGGGATTCAAAGAAGGCATTCAGATTGTCAGTCCCTAAGTAATCCCTAATGGTTGGTGAATCAAAAGCGGTCAAGACTAAGTTGAAACAAAGACAGTAATTACCCCCAGCAGTCAAGAATGTGACCAAGCATGGCAATATTCAGCAGCTGCATACTTGGATAAAAATCAACCTTGCTCAAATTCAACAGAATAGGACTCGATGTTGCTCGCGCTAGGTAGCCCAAGGTAGATGGGTCGGACACCTCATGGCCAGTACCCCAGTGACACTGGAAGATTCGGATGAGGTCGGTCCATTTTGTATGCCATATCTCAAGCACTGCACGCACAGATTGGAATGACCTAAAATCACCCTCTTGCACAGATAACAACTTTTTCACCTTGTTGATGCCTTCGAAGGCTTTGCCATTGCCTGTGAAAAACAATAACTTCCTCCTGTAAGTCTCTTCAGTGATTCCTAGCTGACCCAAAAAATTGCTCAATGCTGCCATCATGCCTTGCGTAGATACCTCATTGGCATTATTTGTCCCGAGCGGCTGAACCATAGTATGTTGTTTCGGATTGATTTGGTGTTTGCATGTCTGATCATTGAACATGTGTCCAAAAGCATTGCGGTGCATGGTGAGGGCTAGCACATAGAAGATCAAGGCATCGACCCAATGAAACCTCTCGACAGCATGTATGTGCACCCAGTTGATATACTTCTCTAGTGCTTCAATCGTGAGAGTGGACCATTTATTTTGCTTGCAGTTTTCTAGCAAGGGGGCTAGCTCAAATGCTCCTGGTAGGCAGTCCTCCATCTGGGCCGCTGTTGCCCCGGTTCCCACAATCATCTGGGCTTCTCTGCCAAGAGATAGATTCCAAAGTCTCTTGTAAGCTTGTATGTTGTCAAGCACCACAATGGTTGGTTGACCATCAGTGCCGACATTGCGCAACCCCTCGTGTGCCTTCCAAGCCATCATCTTGAGTGCACGTGTCACTGTTAAATATGGTGTGCAAGCTGCCAAGCGACTGCCCACTCTATACGTCGGCTGATGGCCCCTCTATGCAAAAAGAACAATCCCTCGTAACAACAATCCCTTGTAACAATGGGAAAAGGTTTGCCCATTGATTCTTCTTGAGTACTAATGCACTGATTACATTTGTCAGAACCTAATCCTCGAGCATCAGCGCTGTCTTCCACTAGCTGTTCAAGAATCCATGCACTTACATGACAGCTTGGGCGGTACTCCTCCGACTCAGTATCATCCTGTTCCTCTTCGACTGTCTCCTTATTCACCACCTCCTGATTTGATGTTTCTAAGTCTTTGGCTGACAAGTACCAACCTTCATTTGGGTCTGACTCTGGAAGTTTTCTAATGAACTGACTCAAAATCCTCCAGGTCACTGGAGCTACTGCTTTGTATTGGCTCACCAGCTTCTCCATAGAGAAATGCTGAATGGTATCCCAGGATATGAGTAGATCTAGTGATCGGGATTTGGCTTTCCTTTTCTTCAGAACTGTTTCTGCATGATCTGATTCCTGTCTTTCCCTTTCAAGGAGGTTCTCGTGTGCTGGCTGTGTTCCAGAGCTGCTTGTCACACCGACATCGAGGATGCCATTATCTGGAGATGATCCCACAAGGTCCGCCAAATTATCGGGCTCTGTTGCTGTGCTGTCGCCATGGGGTACGTGGGTCAACTCCTCTGCTTCTTCGGCTTTGGTTTGGACATCCTTTCCAGAGGCATGTACACAGAGGCCTGACGATGGCAACACAAGGTCAGTGGCCTCGTATGCAATCTTATTTCCGACAAGCTTGAGTGCCCATGTCAATATTGTAGGCTGTGCATGTGATATCGTGTTCAACTCCGCATCCACTGAGAAATAGAGGCTTTCATTGCCATGGTAGGATGGTGGGATGCTATGATGATGATTGTATATTCCTCAAACAACATTGAGAGGCTTGTGTTTGGTGCTTCCAGAGAGAAATTTCTCGAGGTACTGGCACTGTGAGGTAGAGATATCAACACAAATATTTTGTCCCTTGTCATCGCAGAATAGGCGGCAGAGAAATTCACCCAGTGACTACCTAGTAGATTTTATGGCATTGAGGATATCTTGCATTTTTCTTTCGGGGGACTGCCAATCAGCAATTGGGGCCTTTGTATGAGTTGTATTCTGGCTGCCTGGTGTCTGTGGTATGCCATATTGTTCTGTAGGAGTGCGAGGAACCCTCCACGTTGTTTGCATCTTGAAGGAAAAGGCTCTGTATATTCTTCATAATTATCCGTAGCTTATCATTTTATTAACTATGGCACGTGAACGGCATGTAGCGGCATCACCGGCATTGCTCGGCTTGAGTTGCCTAATGACATGAATCATTCGGAAACAGCCGAGGCTGGACCTCCTGCCAAATCATCAAATTTGTGTGCAGACCTTATACATAGAACGACTGTCTTCTGTGTAAAGGTCGGCCATGGAGACTAGTATTGAGTATCCTCCAGGATTAGGGCGCTGTGTAGAACTCCGCAGGATTTTTTAACCGGTTATTAACCAGGAGGTGTTAATAACACGTTAATAACCAGTATCAATAACTACATATTGTGAGTGTGGGAAAATAAAAGTAAAATCGAGAAAATGGGCCAACAAAATGATGCCCCATAGCTCACTAAGTGTTATGCATTCTATAAACTGAGCCTGAATGTATTGGAGAGGCTCAGATGGCTAGAGCATTTGAGAAAGGAGTTATGGAGTTGGGTGTCTTAGTCTAACCTTCCCTTGCAGCGGAACCAGAAAAGCTACCATGATGCAAGTTGGACATCATTCAAGCTCCTATATTCTGTAATAAATACACCCCAACTGGACTAGGTTCAGGCACTACCCATAAAATCTCAAAAGTCATTCATATGCCTCCAGAATTCAGCCAACTAACAATACTTTACTCATGTGTCATGTGTCAGCTACTGCTAACAAAAACAGTGCTAGGATGACAAGAATGGCACTGTATGCCCTCTTTTCTGCCCCCACCACCTCCTCTGGGCAAGGGGGTGAGTTTGACAATCATTTGGAAACAGAGATTCAACTAAATAACAACAAATTCGAGATATATTGCTATTTTGGGAAGTTAGTTATTAACCTTAAAAACCAAGGGGTCCGATACATGCCTGTTAATAACGTGTTATTAATGCGTTATTAACACCTGTTATTAACCCAGTTAAAAATTAGGAATTCTACACAGCGCCCTATTCCTCGGTGTTCATTGCTCTGACACTGCACGATGTATCTCCGTGGCCTCTGATTAGTTGTGATATTTTACGAGCTTTGTTCACACAGGTTACTGAGACCCTCTCCCTAGATGCAGACCCCCGCTGGACCCTAGCTATGTTTCGTGATGCAGTTGGACATGCTCAGAGTTTGAAACACACCTCCCTCTCCGAATCTACTCTACCACTGTTTTGCACAGCTATGAAGACAAATATAGACTCCACAGCTACCGAGCAGACGCCAGCCAACTCATACAGTGAATGTATCCCTTTCCCCAGTCTTGAGGTTATACAGTTGCATCGCTTCCATTCCTTACCCATACCCACTCTATATCTCTTCACCCACGTGCTCAAACAACGCAGTGCATTGCGGTCTCCAATTCAGGAGGTCGATATCATCGAATGGGACCCACCAGAGCCATGGGTTGGCGAGCTGAGGCATATCATGCCAATTGTCAATTAGAGTAGAGACGTCGGCCATGGCGATATATCTAACTTCGCCTCCAGACCGTAATTGCTTCTACATACAAATTTACGAGGGTGTATTTCATGTTTCAGACGACAGAAATTGTGATGCAATCTGATTAAATTTCGTGCCATACAGCTCCCATAAAAGGAAAAGTTGCATTTGGATTCTCAACTTTCAAACACTCTCCACTGTGTTGATCAAAGTTGAATCTGCATTTTGTGTCTCTTTCCTTGCTTTCCCCTATTGAGACTCTTTGGTTTTCAAAATTACTGACATGGCGGCCACCGTGGAGGACCATACTGGCCCTAGCCGAACTAACGAATCTGATCAGTCTCCACTTGCCTCCGTATCTGTGCGTAACAGAATATCCATCGACGCGTCTTACGCGCCTGAAATGGTCAAGTTCTGGGCAAAGAAGTATCAAGATGCGAAGAAAGAGCTTGATCTGCTCAAGGTTCGCATATGCATCACATTCTTCTCTTCTGAAGCTTCGTGCCGGGATTCTGACAAGGCAGTGACTGTGTGTCTGAAACAGCGACACCTCTTTACGCAGCCTGATAGGAACGAGCTCCAGCAGGAGCAGAAGAGCCTGAAGACGCTCGTATCTCAATTGAAGTCAGAAAGTCGCGTCCGGGCTGCCTACGAAAAAGAGTTGAACAAGACAGTCGTGAAGGCGCAGCAACAAAAGGACAAGTGGCAGGAAGAAGTTGTGCGTTTCGAGAAGGAAAGGACAGAGACGGTCGGAAAGGTCGCCGATCTGGAGGCGGAGAACGAGGCGCTCAAACAGTAGGTGTGATACTCTGCATCTATGCCTGAGTTGTGTTCATCAGAAAAGCGTCTCTAGATCGAGGACTTCTATGGTCAATGTAATGCTCTGGCTGCGGAGGCTGATCAAAGTAGGAGGGCCAAGGTCGAGGCAATTCACGCCTGTTTCATTCATTGATCCTGTGTTTCTTGAGGGCATCAAGCCTGTCCAGCTTCCGGAGACACTGTTGGACGCGCTTGGTCCGAAGGTGTCGCTCATGGTGCGTATTGAGGAGTTTAGTTGTAGCTTTCTCTTCAGTCCACGTATTTCAACTCATATGCATCGAATTGTCATGTAAAGCTCAGCGGCGATAGACCGTCAATGCAGAGGTGTGTATCTCTTCATGTGCATCGAAGGTGAAGATGAACATGCATGAGCTCAGCGATATCCACTTCATTCGTCGTCCGCCGATCTGCATGCCCCTTTGCGTAGAAGAATGTGGGATGCATGGACACTGGTTTTATCCAACAGCACAAGTACGGGAAAACGCGCCGGTTGACCTGGTGATCGAGAGTACACCAAACATGGTGAGCGCACTTCAAAATATGTAGCCCTACTATAAAATTTCAATGATGATTTGTAGTGGATGTACTTAGGGAAATACCTATGCGCGTTTATGCCGGTAAGCGAGATGCAGTTGTCAGAGTGGATGAATTTAAACGAGATAGTCTGTTCGACTCAGCCCTTGCTTGATGATGATACCTATTTTTCTAACAGACAAAAGTGATACACTGTCGGCAAGTAGCGAGTGCCGGCCTGCCTCCAGATCAAAGCGCGTTGTTACCTGCTCAAATGACTATGAAACGGCGCTACGAGACGGGCGAGTGGAGCGTCCCGTGCTTCAGTCTACGGTGTGTGGGCTTTGACGTCGATCTGTACAACAGTCTCCATCTCGCGGTAGAGGAGCTTATGAGGCCCACGGCTGCGCTGGAAAAGAGGCCGGTGAGATCAGATGCTGAGAACGACGCAGTGAACAAGAGGATCAGGATCACACAAAGCCCTGGCCGGCCTTCGGGGAATGGCACAGACGTCAGCCCAGCACAGAGTTCTTCGCTGACGTATGATCCTCATCCTGAGCTGAATCCAGAAAACATCCTTGCGAGTCCTCATTCCAGCTAATCTGCTTATGGAGTCGCTTGTATCGTGTAGCCCCTTGAGTGGAGATGGTGCCTACAGTGATTGCTAGATTTTTTGCTGTTAGTAGAATATAGAGAGAACGAGCGCGATGCTGAAGAGAGGTCTCTAGTACATTCCCAGAGGAAGTGTGGAGTGCGAAGACTATGCGAAGTCGGAAGCGGAAGCAAATCGCTGAAGAGGCACATAAGATAACCACGTGTGACACCAGGAGCCGACGTTTGAACAGTTCTCCCGTTTGATAACTCAAGCCGTGACTCTACCACTTTGACCGTGAAGCTACTCTATCCCGCCTCCAATGACCTAGCTTCGCTCCCCGAAGTGTCTACATCGACGAGGATTTCGCGCTACGTCTCGTGCGAGGTTTGCGAGGGTTCTTCCTCGGGGCTCCGGCCTCCGTACGGGTCTGATGTGGTTCGCGACGACCTACCAAAACAGCCGGAGAATTCCTTGTCCAACCTTGTAGAGTATGATTCGGACGACGAGGATGGTCCCACGGAATACCTCCATCAGTGTTCTTGCGGGCATGACACGAAAGAGCATGGTGCGGACCCGGACAAACTGGGCAGAGAAGAGTTCGGGCGTCGGGCGGAGATTGCAGTGCGTCTCGAGCAACGATTGGAGGTGCGTGATCCGTGGCTTGATTGGCCTGCTTCTGGAGCAATTTAAGGCGGATTTTCGCAAACCTTCGCGTCCGTGCATCAGGTGCTGAGTTTGAATAACTTTTGTGCAATGTCTTGCGAGCATTCATCGTCCCTGTAATCCATCTGTACACAGGCCAGCGGGAATCTGCTGGATTTTGACTACATAGACACAGAAACGGAAACTCTCCGATCACAATTCAAACTGCCCGAGCCCGCCACGAGTCCCCTGACGGAAGCAGTGGCGTCACCCGGTAAGTTCCCCGCAATCGAGGCACATACTCTCAGCAACTGTGGCTGCGTTCCGTTGCTCGATGCGCATCTAACTCGGCGGAGCATGTATCACTTTACAGCCCCTTCTTCCACAGACAAACTACCACCTTCATCGGTCTCTTCGCAGCTTGACGAGGAACTCTTACAGCCACCCGCAAAGAGACGACGTATTTCCTCATCTTCATTGAGCGACGCAGAAGACGACGAAGACGAGAACAGGCCTTTTGCATCCCGAATGGTGGGGACACACGTTTCCAGCAACGGCACTCGTCCGCATGGAAGACGCAGCGGCAAGAAGGCGTCGAGTATGAAGTCAAAAGCACAGACTGCTTCGGCGTCAATACCGCCACCCACAGGTGAGCAACAAGCAGAGATGAACGGGGAGTTTTTGCAGCTGAACGGACATGAGCCACCGGTCAAAATGGAAGACCAATTAGACGAAGGGCAGCTGGATCTGTTAGCAACAGGCGTAACCGTCGACACAGCCAGTGCAGCTACGATCTCTGTGAGCTTCTTCATGGACCATCCTCCTTCACCCTGATGTTCTCTTATAGCCCCCCCTGAAACCAGAGAAAATTTCGGCAAAGGAGCTGCGGAAGGGTGTGATCAAGATCCTACCTATCGAGAATGATGGGCAGCCGCGATCGTTCGTCATCCTGACGAACCTGAAGACGCTGTTCCAGAAACAGCTACCTGCGATGCCCCGCGAATACATCGCTCGCCTGGTTTACGACTCCAACTCGAAATGTCTCGCCATCTGCAAAAGAGGATATAAAGTCGTGGGCGGAATTTGCTACCGGCCGCTCCCCCATCGTGGCTTCGCCGAAATCGTTTTTTTCGCGACGGCATCGGCAGATCAAGTCAAGGTACGTCGATCGATCTTACTTCCATCTGAGTAAAAGCTGAAGACATATCTCATAGGGCTACGGTGCCCTGCTGATGGATCATTTCAAAGCTCATATCCGACGGACCTACCCCCGACATGATGCATTTTCTGACATACGCAGATAACTTCGCAGTTGGGTATTTCAAGAAGCAAGGTTTTTCGAAGAACATCACGCTTGATCGGGCCATATAGGCAGGTTATATTAAGGACTACGAGGGCGGAACAATCATGCAGTGCACGATGCTGCGAAAGGTCGGTTACCTCGTCACGAAGGAGATCGTGGCACAGCAGAGGGAAGCGATCTTGGCAAAGGTCAGACAGATGTCGAAGAGTCGTATTGTGTACGAGGGACTGCCACAGTTTCAGGATGGGAAGGGGGAAGGGCTCGTCATCGATCCCAAGGACGTGCCAGGTTTGAGTCAGTATACTGACTTCTTTTTTTGTTGCGGGGCAACTGACGAGCAACAGGGGAGAGCGGGTGGATGCCCAATATGAATGTTCCGTACGTGTATTCTTGTTTCGGATGTGTTCTGTTAGTCACTCACGCCATTTCAGTGCAAGCCCCTCAACTAAGAATTTTGAGCGCAGCGCAATGGAATCTATTCTGTCAGACTTGCAGGCTCACCCTCAGGCCTGGGCCTTCAAGGAACCTGTCAACGCTCAGGAGGTGCCGGATTACTACGATGTAATTCAAAATCCGATGGGTCAGTCCTATTCCTTTTCCTGCGCCATTCTGGTCGACCAATCCCACTCACGTCAACTGTTTCGCGTAGATTTCCCAACTATGGAGCACAAACTCGAAACGGGGCAATATCAAAATCTCGACGTGTTCATTGCAGACGCTCAGCTTGTGTTCGACAACGCTAAGGTGTACAATCCCGAAGATACCATCTATCATAAGGGCGCGGTTAAGATGGAACGACTGCTGATGGATCATGTCAGTCGCGTGCGCAAAATCAGCTGAACGGGTTGTTCTATGGACTTGTTCGTAATGCCAGTATTTTTATAGAGCTGGGTTGGGCATTGTGCTTCATTTGTCTGCGGCTGCGTATGCGCAAAATCTTCACAGGATTGCCGTGCAGCTCTTCCATACCGCGCAATTCTTCCAAGCCGTGCAACCGATGACAACGATTTTCTCATCCGATTTCCTCTGACAGCAGTCGGCATAAACATCTGATAAGTACAATGCTAGACGCTGCTGCGAATTTGATCTGCATTCCCTTCAGCCGCCATGACTCTCCAATTCTTTGAAACATCCATTTATCATAACAAGTGATTACAACGTCTGCCTGCCACTCGGAATTCCTGAGGCAACCTGATGCCGGCCCTGCTTGGTGGTTCGAAACGTCGAACGCGTTGCTGGTAGAGTACGGTGCATGGTCCAGGATAGAGGTGCCCGATGGCTGTTGGTGAACGGGACAAGATTGACATTAGAAATCTCAGGGAAGGACATATTGAGTGAAACATGAGATGTTAGACATATAATCACATATACACGGAGGAGGGATCGAAAAGCATAGAGCATAAGTTGCGATGGAAAAATAGCATGTCAAGTTACTAAGCGTACTAGTCTTCCCCATTGGATTCGGCCATAAAGGGGAGGGACGCTGACGTCGCATTAGCCATACCCGCAGAGCCACTGCCGCGCTTTATGTTAGCCCTCAACAACGAGCTACGCCGTGCCGCAAATATCAGGCCTCGTGCTTCGGTAAAGAATTGATCACAGCCACGCAGCTCATCGCTGACATCATTCTCCGTCCATCCGTCCATCTCAAGGTGCTCCTCGATGATCTCTATGAATCGATCCGAAGTCTTGAGGACTTCGAGGGCAGCGTCCCGAGATTGCTCCATGGTAGGCACCAGCTGTAACATGTCAGGGAGACTATAGAGTGGAACGAATAATCTTCGCAGCGTCTCGATGAGGCTGGCAAGCGGGGTGTTCAGGAATATTTTGAGGCCTGGTTGAGAGAAGGCACTAGGCCCGATTGGTTGAAAAAACTCGTATTTTCCATGTCCTCCGGATGTTCGCCCCTGCACGGTGTCGGATCTGCTGTCGAAATGCTCGATAAAGGCTTTCTTGAGCAATTTACATTGTGCCACAGGAAGGTGGCTGGCTCTATAGCGGACACTGGTGTACAGCAAGACGTGAAGACCAGATTCCAATTCATCACGAAGTTCATGGCGCGTGCTGTTAGGATCCATCAGTCGGGCCGCCGAAATGAATTGCCAAGTTCCCTAGAGACAAGAGTTCAGTTGTGAGGCAAATTACATGGCTGCCTCTCAGCGCACCGTTTGCCATTTCGTCGTCGATCCCTGAGTGTCAACCCCCTGATCATCGACATCTGGCAATATCATAGCTAGATCCCAGTCAATCAAGATTCCCTTGCCTGAATCAGATATCAAGATATTGCCAGCACTGAGATCCCCATGTCGCACGCGTGCCAATCTGAATGCCAGATCGTGCGCTGCACAGAAAGACGTTGGTAAGCATGCAAGGTGTCAAAGACATCATCGACTTACCTTTCATCCCATCGTACATAGCGCTGACGAGATCTTTGGACGATCTAAATTGGCTCAAGGGCCGTCCGATGTCCCCCAGAACTAACCGGTGAAGCCTGTGCCGCCTCGGAGGATTCGTCGTCTTGCAAAACCACTCTTTTGAACTGTACTCGTGCGTGCGCGTGTCTTGACCCAGAATGTCTTGAGAGCAGATCAGCGTCGGGATCCCGGTCACACCTGATCGTTCGAGTAGCCGATAGGTGGCTCCTTCTTTCTCGATCCCATCTTCCAAGTACCGCCAGCTGTTCTTCAAATACACAAGTTTCTGTCTGGTGATGTCATATGCAATGTACCCGTCGGTGGCTCTCCCAAACGGGCTGCCGCTCTGCCAATGAGGTTTCGACATGATGAAATAGTGTTTCCGGTGCGTGTCGTCGTCCGTGATACAAAACTGGTGAAAGGCGGCATCAGACGAGTAAAGGCATTGAGCCGTCTCTTCGTCCTCGCCTAGGAGCCTAGCAAGAAACTTGGCTCGTTCGTCAAATGCTTTCTTCGCCCTTTTGATGTCTCTCGCCATGGGCTTTGTGAGCGACGTATCTCGTCCACGTTGCACGTCATTGAAACGGTTGAACTTCCAAAGGAACAAAATCAGATGAGTAGGGTCTCTCCTCCAGTTGACTCGTTCAGTCACAATAGCTCCCGCGCGATCCCATCGAATGAAGCGAACATAGTCACCAAGCAAGACCACAGTGAACAGGAAGAACCGGTTTTGCGCCGAGAGCTGCAAGCCTGCATATGAACAGATTTGTCCTCGATTCATGGTCGCCTCCTGCGAGCGATGTAAGACTGTGTTTGTATCGCCAGAGGTCGCGCTGGGAGCGAGATCCTGGAATGGGTCCTTAGTCTCTGGCTTGCGCTCGATGCACAGTTCCATCAGCTCAAAGTCAGTTACATCACCGCCTTGCAGAGATCTCTTGTAAGCAACCATGTCTGGCTTGCGTTTGAAGTCTGCATCCAGATCGTCGGTCGTGTTGACAAATCTCAGCTTCTGGCAAATTCCAGATGCCTCGACAGCATCTTTCTGTGAATACGATATAATCAATATCGGTCTCTAATAACAAAGGGGAACATATACGCACAAAGTGATCCTCAAATTTTCCGACCCTAGGTATGTTCTTGAAGATTTGGGTGGCACGCTTGGGAGGTTTCTTGTCATCCTTCGTCTTCATGAAAGCGTCAAAGAATTCTGTGATAGGCATAGGTCCGTGAAAGTCGTTCTCAGTCTCTTCAGCAAGTAGAGCGTATTCAGCCGGTGCCTTGGATATTTCCATCGCACTGAAACGTTGAGTGCTGGCTATCTTGTGCGAAGACATGTCAGGAGCAGTAAAACAGATGTTGAATGAATCACTTACAGGGATAGAGAAAGTGCTTAAGTACTGGAGACTAATGCCACAAACTGTGGCCCCGAGTTTCGAACAAGCTTGTGATGGTGACCTCTGCTGGTGAACGTTTGAATCAACGCTGCAAGCCACGAAGCCACGGAACTCCGCGACATAGACACGTGATCGCTTTGTGGCCGAGTTACAAGGCCGCTTGTATGAACCTTTGTGGTGGCAGACGAGCCGTCATTGCGATCACTGAGCTACACAATACTTCATTCTATGAGCAGAGCGCTACACACATCAAATTAGTGATCGCTCCGCAGCCCAGCCTCTAGATACCATGGCCACGACCGGCAACGACCACGCTTGTCACAGCGCAAATGTGATCGGAGTGTGTTTGAGTGGCCTGCGACAATGGAACGATCCATCACAAGTTAAGTACAGACGACGCGCCACCGTTAGATACGGATATCCGGAGACCACGTCGGAGGTTGAAGGAGAATCGTCAACGTTGCTGCCTTCGGGAGACTAGCGCCACCACGCACCCGCGCTACTCTCGATGGACGCAGATTGGCACCAATCTTGGCGATAGATGTATAGCGTGCACGACTCCATCACCAAGCGTACCTCATTAAGAACGTGTTAAAGAAGGCACTCTGAGTTATCATTTGCTCGACACCGAAATCGTGGAGGACAGCTGAGCCTCTGCTCTGACAGCGGATAGCGAAGTGTGTCTCCTGGTGTGCGCCTCCTGGCCATCCGCTTTGTGTTAATCTGCGGCCTTCCTTTGTCAGAAATGGGCCTCGCTCAAAGCGACTCGTGGCCTTACAGAATAAAGGTAGCGTATAGGAGTGAGATAGCAAAGTAATCGCCATCTTTCTTCACGAACCCGTTGCATATGAGCCAGCCGTAACGAACGTTAATTCGCAGACACGTTGTCCGCCCATATCTAGCACACCGACTGCAGGATCTGTCGTGGCACATGGTGACGACGCGAGCGAGGCGCATAATGCACACTTGGCATCTGGCCGGTGTGCCTGTGGAACTAAGCTTGTCAGAATCACATTGTTTTGGCAAACAACGTGACGGACATACGGCGAGCGCTGCGCGCTCGTGTTTTCATGCCACAGCTTGTGCTGTATATTTTCAGGCCACGTGTCGAATGCTGTTTATTCCCCTGTGTGCTCCAATTTGTGGGAGTTTGAAGTTGGTTTTCCAAAAGAATGGGATTTGAAACTTGAAAATAGTCAAAGCCAGGAGAAAATGCTCGTCCAGGCACTTTATGTGGACGTGCAAGGAAAATGTTTGACGGTGTAAGTGAAATTGTTCGAGATATACGTCAGAATCAGCGGGCGGTGACGGTGCGTAGTAGCTGTTGCAGCCGAAGGGCATTTGTTATCCTCGTATTGTTTTTGTACAGATATAATAAGCAGCGCAGAGCGGAGGGAAAACGGCATCATGGAGTTGAACGAAGACTTGTAGGAGAAGACTACTCACAGCATCGCTGGCAGCAATCTCTTTTTGGTTCTCCCTAACCTATTGCGTCCCATCGCTTCATCAGCCCCACCCCTCTACCCCTCCTTCTGGTCCGCAACTCCTGCATCCCGCGGTTTTTTATGACCGTTCAGAACCTTCACGTCTGGATGCAGGAGCGAGGGCGCGGTATCATGGAGCAACTCGCAGACGATGTTGAGTTCAAAGGCGGCCATGGCGACGTGTACAATAGCAACAAGGCGCATGTGAATTTCTCAGAGAGGAGAGCCTGAGCTACTGGGAGTAAGAAGGTGTGTGGTTGCGTCGCGTTGCAAACATTGTCATGGAAACTAAGGGGGTGTGGAAATAGGACAAGATGCGACGACGTACGGCATAAAAACCTAGAAGAAGCTTTGAGCGTTACATGTCTTCGGTGTAACTTGAGTCGTGGAGGCTATCTCAAGTCATATTCCCTAGCTAGAGAGCACAGCGTCTTATGTGTTCCAGGTCTAGCCAGCACCAGATTTAAATATGGGTCGGCGGTACCTAATGACGAAGAAAATAGTGCATAAACTTGTGCGCATCAATGAGGCGATCCTGGCTGGGACTGGCCTATGAATATTTTCTGCGCATAGGGTCAGCAACAGAGACTACTCGGGACTGGCCTTGCCTGGTCAGGTTCTGTCAGCGACTCAGCGCAGGAAAATCTAGCGAATGTAGTCTAGGGACGATGCTGACGCTTGCCGACAATCAGTGCGAATAGAAAAGGTTGAAATACCTGATTGCGGCCAATTTGAGCACGGACAAAAAATTGAAAAGCCTGCGGAATCCGGACAAACATTGAAGCTGGTGAAGAGCGTGCCTCCTCGCATCGTCAGAATCTCTCTTTATAACTCTCCATCTACAATTCTTCTACCGCCATGGGCACCCCTGTGGTCAATGAATATCCCAGCTTATTCTGTTCGTATCTCCATGTATCGAACCGTCTCTAAGTGACTGAAGTAGCACACACATCAGGCTCTGAGACTATGAGCTTGGTGCAACTATTCGTACCAACAGAAGTTGCCCATGACACGGTCGCTGAGCTTGGGGAACTCGGAAACATGCAGTTCAAGGATGTGAGATTAGGACTGTCGAATTCACGTTATATGAAGCTAACGATGAGCTGCACAGCCGAACCTCATCAATAGGACAGTGGGCAAGGAGAGCGTCGTCTGCTCTGACCCCTCCGCCTCGAACAGAATCGGCATATTAACTGGCGCATCGATGGTCAGGTGTCTCGGTTCGATGCTACTTATGCGACCCTATCTGTTTTCATGCGTTGCAGTAGCCACCCGCTGACTCATATTCGCAGGGACTCGGCCACATTCATTCACATTTGAGGGTGTTCTCATTGGCCGTAAATACTTACAAACCTGCCTTAATGACGTCCTGACGATGGAGCGCTAGTGTTGCCCATTCGCACCTTCTTCAACTGAGGCGGAGGAGTGGGTGGAGAGCCGGGCACAGTACCGGTGCACGTCTCTGGATGTTGCGACCTCCCCTTCGGAGACGTCGAATCCCAGACCGGTGCTTGGTCCGAGCCCTGTCGGTTCCCTCAGTTATCCTTTAGCGGAGTCGCAGGCAGTCTCTGCTGCCCCGCATGCGGCGATTGTCTCTTTAAGCTCTCGTCAAGTTGGCGAACCCGGAGTTGAATGAATTCGAGGTCGTCCTTCCTTCGCTGAATCTCCTTATCTGTCTTGTTCTCCATGCGCGCAACCTCGTCAGCATCCAAATTTGAATGCAAGTTAGACTTCGACTGTATCTTCCCGAGCTCGTCCTCGAGGGACGTCAGAACGCGGTCATGTAGGCTTCCCACCACGTAGTCGTTGAAGGTCATGTATCCAAAGCGAAGGGTCTTCCACCATCTGGAGATAAGAGGCTTCAAAGAATCAAAGTACGGGTGTATGCACTTGAGGATGATTTCGTCGAGGTCGTCAGGGTTGTTGAAGAGCAGCCGTTTGTTGTTCCATAGAGTGTGATCGTCCTCGGAGTCGAATAGACAGTAAACAGCGGCATATATCGGCTTGGTCTCTTCGGTCAAAGGTTCATTGATGGAGAGCTCAATTCGACGTCCTCCGCCAGGACCATCACGCGTGAGGCAGAGATAAAGAAGTACCCAGAAGAAAGACTCGAGATCGTGAATGACGCTGTGGACAACCCGGCCCGTCGACCTCAGCGCCTCGGTACCTTCGTAACGCACATTTGAAAGATATATAATCTCGGCGCTCATGAAAGCCCTGGTGCCCTGGAGCACAATATCTGGTGTCAGACGAAAGTCGAGGGATAGACGAAGGTGTTTGCTCACTGTCTTATGTCTTATATGCGGAAGATGCCCATCCCAAGCTGGAGGGCGATCCTGATGGACAGCAGTGAGTAGAGACGCCGGTCGGATTTTCAGCATAAAAGCTCACGAAAGGCGTTTCCAAAAAGAGATCTTCTGCTGTCAGCTAAGTCATAGGGTCAGTGTCTGGAGTATGATCGAATAAACGACATCAATCACCTTTTTGTTAGCGGTTCTGAGGTCCGGATTCATGCTGAGAGCTACGTCTATATATATCAAGAAATGTGATGGGTAACGAGCGATGAGGATGCCAGCGGCCTCGTCGGTTACGGACACCTGCCAGAGGAGTTGAAGGAATCCAGCCGTGTCCTTGTCGGGAGGCCCTGGTGCTGGGTATTCTACGCGTGTGTCCGATGTTTTCGAACAATCAAGGTCGATGAGTTTACCACAAGTATCTTCGACATCGACATCAGACCTGGGACAGATAAGCACGTTGCCGGTGCTGACGTCTCGATGAAGCATAAGACTAAACCAGTAATCGCGGTGTCCTGGAGAAAGGCGGTCAATACGGTGCCAGCAGAATGCTCATAAGATTCGGACAGCTTGAAAGGATGCTTACCTTTCACAGCATCGATTAGGGTATTGACAAGCTCGGGAACGTCTTTGAAGAACTTGATGGGCCACCTGTACGTCCGCATCAAAGTGCGCGTCAAGACGCGATTTATCGCCGATCGTCCGTCGGCAATGACAGAGAATTCCAAGACCTCGGAAGAAGTCGATGTAACGTAAAGAAAGCTTTCATGGGGCTGGGACTCATCGAGCTCCGGCTTCTTGCACTTGTTCGAGCGTAATTCGGACACTCCGGGATCTTTAGGCAACTTATTTCTCTTGAGTGAAGAGGCTCGGACCTCCACGCCGCGACGAATGTGATTGGCCGTGTCGTCGACCACCATGCCTCCCTGCTCGTCGTCCATGACTCTGATGTCGACTGAGTTGACTATATCGCAGATGTGAAAAGAGGGCGGCTTGGACAGGGATTTATGGAACGTTGCTTCAGTCTGCGACATCTCCGGACGCCACGACTGTTTGAGCACAAACCGCTAGCATGTCAGGTCAGTACATATGATCAGTCAATTATATGTACCCCGAGAGACCTCACCTCCATGGTTCTCTCGTTCACAACAAGCCACACAATCGTCGCTCGACCTTCCATCACCTGCGCTCGCACGGTACTGAGAGCTTTGACTGTCAAGTACCTGTCTTCGCCCTCGTTTCCGTCAGATCTCGGACCTTGTATAGCCCAAGTTGTCTCATGCGGGCTCGCACCATAGTAGTCGAGGGTCATGTCCTTGTCTGTGGAGAAGTGATATGTAGCCGTCTCCATGCGATAGATACGCATCGTCGTGTCCCAACCGAGCCTAGAGGGATTAAGACGAGACAGAGATATAATGACCTTGATGAACTTCTTAGGCTCCTGTGCAAAAAGGAAAAAATGAATAGATGTCCCATTAGAGCGGGTAAGAACGAATAAGAACACAAACGTACGGCGTGGATATCGATCGCGGTGCGTGTTCTGACCAAACCAGAGCGGTCGCACATCCATACTGTGAGCTTCGACTTGCACAACAGAAGTCCTATAGCAAAGCGCCGGTCCAGTTGCTCGGTGAGCACCATCCGCATGTAGCTGCAGAGCTGGAGTATCCCTTCCAACATCTCCTCTTCACTGTCCTTCGGTTTCATCTCAACGGGAACGTGAACACGCAACCACTATAACTCACATTTCTTCAGCACCTCCTTTCGCTGAGACAAAGCGATGAGACCGAATTAACTGTATTTAAATCGAAGAACGGACGCACCTGAAGCTTCAACTCCTCCTTTTCAGCTTCTTCCTCCGGCCCAGAGCCCAGTTGATGCTCAAGATCTTGAATTTGTGTGTCGAGTCTCTTAAACTCATCTCAGGCGTCCTTTAGTCCGACAACGGCCAGCAAGTCAGGGCGAATTTGCGGCGACCACCGGTCAGGAGACTTCGGGATTTTATTAGGACTCGCTTGCCAGGAGATGTCAAGCGCGAGTTCAACTATGGGATTAGTGGCGCTGCAGGCAGCGACGATTGCATTGGCAGTATCTGCAAACGAAGAGTAGAGCTCCTTCTCTGGCTTCGGAACCTTCGGTAGGGAAAGCCACTGGGCTGAAGACGAGTTCAGCGTGTGGAGGACATTACAGACGTCGTTGTCAGCGGTCTTCCAGCCAAGGACGTGGTCTAGAAAGGTGTTGGTCTCGATAGTCCAGAAGCTGTCTTGGACATCGTCTTTGGCCATCTTCTTAAAGTCAGGGCCTGGGGTTTGATGCAAGGCGGATGTCACTGCAAGAGAAAATTTAATCTCAGTATCAGCTCGTGCTCGTTGAATGCGATTGTGCTGTAGTCTCCGTGGCCGACCTTTACACAGAAGACAGTCGTTCTGTGTATAAGGTCTGCACACAAATTTGATGATTTGGCAGGAGGTCCAGCCTCGGCTGTTTCCGAATGATTCATGTCATTAGGCAACTCAAGCCGAGCAATGCCGGTGATGCCGCTACATGCCGTTCACGTGCCATAGTTAATAAAATGATAAGCTACGGATAATTATGAAGAATATACAGAGCCTTTTCCTTCAAGATGCAAACAACGTGGAGGGTTCCTCGCACTCCTACAGAACAATATGGCATACCACAGACACCAGGCAGCCAGAATACAACTCATACAAAGGCCCCAATTGCTGATTGGCAGTCCCCCGAAAGAAAAATGCAAGATATCCTCAATGCCATAAAATCTACTAGGTAGTCACTGGGTGAATTTCTCTGCCGCCTATTCTGCGATGACAAGGGACAAAATATTTGTGTTGATATCTCTACCTCACAGTGCCAGTACCTCGAGAAATTTCTCTCTGGAAGCACCAAACACAAGCCTCTCAATGTTGTTTGAGGAATATACAATCATCATCATAGCATCCCACCATCCTACCATGGCAATGAAAGCCTCTATTTCTCAGTGGATGCGGAGTTGAACACGATATCACATGCACAGCCTACAATATTGACATGGGCACTCAAGCTTGTCGGAAATAAGATTGCATACGAGGCCACTGACCTTGTGTTGCCATCGTCAGGCCTCTGTGTACATGCCTCTGGAAAGGATGTCCAAACCAAAGCCGAAGAAGCAGAGGAGTTGACCCACGTACCCCATGGCGACAGCACAGCAACAGAGCCCGATAATTTGGCGGACCTTGTGGGATCATCTCCAGATAATGGCATCCTCGATGTCGGTGTGACAAGCAGCTCTGGAACACAGCCAGCACACGAGAACCTCCTTGAAAGGGAAAGACAGGAATCAGATCATGCAGAAACAGTTCTGAAGAAAAGGAAAGCCAAATCCCGATCACTAGATCTACTCATATCCTGGGATACCATTCAGCATTTCTCTATGGAGAAGCTGGTGAGCCAATACAAAGCAGTAGCTCCAGTGACCTGGAGGATTTTGAGTCAGTTCATTAGAAAACTTCCAGAGTCAGACCCAAATGAAGGTTGGTACTTGTCAGCCAAAGACTTAGAAACATCAAATCAGGAGGTGGTGAATAAGGAGACAGTCGAAGAGGAACAGGATGATACTGAGTCGGAGGAGTACCGCCCAAGCTGTCATGTAAGTGCATGGATTCTTGAACAGCTAGTGGAAGACAGCGCTGATGCTCGAGGATTAGGTTCTGACAAATGTAATCAGTGCATTAGTACTCAAGAAGAATCAATGGGCAAACCTTTTCCCATTGTTACAAGGGATTGTTGTTACGAGGGATTGTTCTTTTTGCATAGAGGGGCCATCAGCCGACGTATAGAGTGGGCAGTCGCTTGGCAGCTTGCACACCATATTTAACAGTGACACGTGCACTCAAGATGATGGCTTGGAAGGCACACGAGGGGTTGCGCAATGTCGGCACTGATGGTCAACCAACCATTGTGGTGCTTGACAACATACAAGCTTACAAGAGACTTTGGAATCTATCTCTTGGCAGAGAAGCCCAGATGATTGTGGGAACCGGGGCAACAGCGGCCCAGATGGAGGACTGCCTACCAGGAGCATTTGAGCTAGCCCCCTTGCTAGAAAACTGCAAGCAAAATAAATGGTCCACTCTCACGATTGAAGCACTAGAGAAGTATATCAACTGGGTGCACATACATGCTGTCGAGAGGTTTCATTGGGTCGATGCCTTGATCTTCTATGTGCTAGCCCTCACCATGCACCGCAATGCTTTTGGACACATGTTCAATGATCAGACATGCAAACACCAAATCAATCCGAAACAACATACTATGGTTCAGCCGCTCGGGACAAATAATGCCAATGAGGTATCTACGCAAGGCATGATGGCAGCATTGAGCAATTTTTTGGGTCAGCTAGGAATCACTGAAGAGACTTACAGGAGGAAGTTATTGTTTTTCACAGGCAATGGCAAAGCCTTCGAAGGCATCAACAAGGTGAAAAAGTTGTTATCTGTGCAAGAGGGTGATTTTAGGTCATTCCAATCTGTGCGTGCAGTGCTTGAGATATGGCATACAAAATGGACCGACCTCATCCGAATCTTCCAGTGTCACTGGGGTACTGGCCATGAGGTGTCCGACCCATCTACCTTGGGCTACCTAGCGCGAGCAACATCGAGTCCTATTCTGTTGAATTTGAGCAAGGTTGATTTTTATCCAAGTATGCAGCTGCTGAATATTGCCATGCTTGGTCACATTCTTGACTGCTGGGGGTAATTACTGTCTTTGTTTCAACTTAGTCTTGACCGCTTTTGATTCACCAACCATTAGGGATTACTTAGGGACTGACAATCTGAATGCCTTCTTTGAATCCCTGGCTGTCGCAAACCGCCTGCTATGCCTGATGGCACTTTTTGATGATGCCGACATCTTGGTGAAACAATACTATACTACAGATGCATATATGCATACACTGCACCCTAAGCTAGCGGGTGGCACATGGTACTCTGATGCACCCATAGGACCAACCTGGGGAATACACAGCATGAATTCCAGTACGACAGGGAGAGACATACAACTGAACCTTGACAAATCTGTGAGATCGCTTGGTGATCTTAATGATCATGGCGGCGCATCGCAATCAGAGGACATGCAGACCATGGAGGTGATGGATCTGGATCTGTGCAAAGACCTCGATGGTGCATTGCAATTAAGGGGCCTGCCAAACACTGCGGCAATGGATGATCATGTCGTGGCGGCACGCGTGGAGGGTTCTTCAAGTGATATTGAGAGTTCAGATACCGAGTTTCTGCTCAAGGAATCAAAGTATGAGTCACTCAATTCCCAAAGTGATTGGGCATTGGTGAACAGCATTCTTCTGATGCGAGATGGCATCTGGTTTTTGGAGGTCTGTCGTACGGTTGCCTTAGGTGACATCGGACGAGTCTGGGAAGTTCTAAAGGTTAGTATCGTGCTTAGTGGCTTCCTGCCGATGTCTGACCATAGGATGCTCACCCTAGATATGGATCTTTACCTTCTTGGGATCTGGCCACTCCAAATACACTGCCTACCTCGTGAAACTGTTCTGCAACATTACTTACGAGTATCTAAAGGCCACTCAGATTGCTCTCTTCAACAATTGGCTGGTCAATCTGTCAGGAAAAGCGGGCAAATTTCATGAGCTGGATTTAATGCAAGAACATTTCAATAAGTACCTGGAGGAATTTGCTCAGCATAAAGAGAAGGAATTTGGGGACGAATGGTATCGTGATGTGCTGTCGATCCACATCCACAACTTCATGCACCTCTCCAATGAGATAGAAGAAGCAGTCAATCTCACAGACCGGAGCTCGCACCATATCAATAAGTGCATTAACAACAAGCTGAGGCTTGTTATCTAGATATGTCAGGAACACAAGCTGCATTGCAGACGAGAAGGTCGAGATTTAGGATTTCATGCTCAGGATAACCTGGTGGATGGGTACCACAACTTGGGAGAAGGCGGGAAGTTGTATTCCTACGTCACAAAAGGTCTGGAGGGTATCGTCGAGGAGGAGCAGGCAGTATTGCCTGATAACATTGAAGATGGCACTAACTATTTGCACACACCCATTTCGTACCTTGATGGCTGTGTGGTGATTGGCAACAGCCCATGGGTATAAATACGTGGTGCCGCATCAGGTCACAACCCTTCAGTCAACTCAGAATACGTCGATGCTTAATCAGACTTATGGAGATGCTGGGGAGGGAACACTTCTGAGGCCCTGATTGCAAAGGATGACCGATTGGTGAAGAAGGCAGCGGCTGGTTTTCGACGTCTGCTTGGTCTTGCTGACAACAGAGTGGATTAAAAATGGATAGTACAATGGGCAAATGAGCCGCGTTCACAAGCACCTCCTTGAGAACGGTGCTTGCCTGCCATGAGGGTCTGTTGGATCACATAAACTTGTTAATAAAGTGCTGCCTACCCTCACATATTGCGTGATCATACCGTGGTTTCACAGCTGAGGGGGTTGTATATGCAATTGCAAGCGGAGCGTCAACGACGCCAGATGCACACAGTGATGGAGATGAGCCGGCCATTGCGAGCAGATGGTCAATGACGCCAGATGCACACGCTGAAGACGAACTGCCCGCGACTGCAAGCTGGGCGTCGACAATGTCAGATGCGCACACTGAGGTAGATATGCCCACAATTGTGAGGGGAGCAATGACAACACTGAATATGCATGCATGCGCAGAGGGCGTATTAGAGGACATGAAGTGGTCAGTAGACTGCTAAATGCCCAGGCACATTGCGAGAATGTACCGTGCTTTCACAGCTAACTGGGTCGTAGCAAGATTGATTCTGTTTGCGAGTGGATCCTCTTCGACTGCAGGTGCGCACGCTGAATGAACAAGCCAGCAAATGTTAACAATCAGTGACATTCCACTGCAAAGCCATGTGGACACTCGCCTGCTAGCACACCCATCTTTCCAGCCACTTTTTCTTGCAACATCTGGGCTCTTCTAGCAAGGGCCTGTTTCTTCCACACAACACACATGTGGTCGTATCGTTCGTTAAGATCCTGGATACCCTCCCATAGCATCCTCCCATCGCTTTCCCAGAATTCCCATCCCTCCAAGTATCATCGCAAGTCCTCGATGTCACAAATGAGATGGAAATTGTCAAGAATGGCTTGATGCTGTGCATTAGGCATGTAGCACCAGTAGGGCACCAGCGGGTACCGAGGGCCATCATTCTTCATCTATCTGGTAAGATATAAGCCATCCAAAACTCTCACTGTATGGACATGTAACTTAGAGATGAGCTTCAGGCAGATGACGCTGTCTGTCAAGGATGTGGTATGCTATCTTGAGGTTGTAGGCAGATTTTTTGAGGCAGCTTGATCTGAAGTGGCGATCGGGAAGTCCCTTGTTAGAGCAGTGATGTGCTTGCGATGGCTCTGCATGTGAAAACACAACACAAAACACACCACTAAACATAGGGTAGGCAGGGAGCTAACTTTACTACAAATATCGAGAGACCCTTGTAAGTTGCGAGACAGGGCGTGCGATACGTACTGCAAGATATCGAGATCTCTAGTGAGGTGAGGCGAGGTTACACGAGAATACTCTCGTGTAAAACAAGGTGGTGGACCGTGGGCCAAGGTGTGAGTGACCGAGGCAACTTCAAGGGCAGCGACGAAGGCCCTGACAATAGCGGCGATGAAGGTGACAAGTGCTAAATTGAGCAAGTGCAATGTTGGTGCAATGCGATATGAGCGAGATCTTTGTGCGAAGTTGAGCTCTAAACAGAGGGGTGTTCAAAACTGGTGTATTGCAGTGTCGTAGGCAGGTATTTATAGTAAGTCAAAGAGAGTATAGTAAACACAAACTCGTAAGGTAAGGTAAATCAATATTGCACCAAGACCGTAACATAGAAAAATAAAGAAAAACCATGTGCAGAGGTGCTCGCAGACCACGAGGTTCTGTCGCACTGTGGTCAAGAGACAAAGCAATATTTAGTAAAGAGGTGAAGCGGTGAGACAAGGTAAACTCTAGGAAGGTGGAGGGGCAATGGATCATGGGACCTGTACTACCCAATAAACGCACATGATAAAGCTTTCTGCAATATCATATCGCAGAGCTGCTCGTGGTGTGGTCCGTGCGGTCGATGCTTGCGAGGCGTATGGCAAGAGCTTGGCAAGAGCTTGGCGAGGTCTTTGCAGGTGCAGCATGCTCGAGGTCGTTGTGCAACACGCGTGGGGGCTGAGTGAGATAATACAAGGTGATGACTGAGGGGTGCGAGACAAGACCGCGTCGGCACAAGACCATAATGCTGAGGTCGTAGTGGGCATTGGAGGGAGTCTCTCTGGGCTGCGGGGCCACCCAGCGGTGTCTGGGGTATTCCCTGAGGTCAGCATGCTAGTGCTCGTAGAACTGCAAAAAACGGGGTCCCGGCGCTTAGAGAGGTGGTGCGCTCATCAGCAGGTTGGTCAAAAGCAGGGGGGTATGTCGAGAGAGATGTGTTGTTAGAGGCTACCGGTATTGCCTGTGAAATGATCTTGTCCGTTGCTGGGGCTGCTGCTTCCCGACTTGTAGCCATGGGGTTCAAATGTGGCATGCTGGGTGAGGTTGAGGAGGAGGCTTGCCCCAGCTTTGCAATCTGGGTACGAGGCACGAGTCGTCGGATACAACTTGAGCAAGGTAGACGATGTCGAGCCTTGACACAGGCCTTGTGGCAAGCAGGCTGCATACTGCTGAACATGTGGTTGATCTCAGCCACCAAACAGCCATTTATAGCATGAGCCTTGACAAGCTTCAGCATTTCTGCATCGTGAGCTTTCCTATTCCTTGTTCTCATGTAAACCACCATATCCATATTGTCTGAACACCTGTTTGTTCCCACGCTCACGCGTGTCTTCACAGCACAACCTACTTCTAGATCCGATGAGTGCCCATTTGTTGTCAATTTGCCTGCACGCCTCTGACCACCAGATGTCGCGGTCTCCAGCATAGACGCCTCAACATAGGTGTAGCCTGTTGCATCCCTTGAAGGGTCTTGTCCCGCGCGACAGATTTGCTGCATCATGGCAGCGACCGATGCTGGTGTGCTGAGATTGATGACAACGTCAACTTATTGTAAGTCCGCATCCATCGTAATTTTCACAGTTGAGACCACAATATGGGTGTCCGGATCCTCACAAAAAGCCCACAGGCATTCAGCATTGTCCTTTGGCCAGATCAATGAATTATAGGTGCGAATTTTGCGCTGTTGAGTGGGCCCCAGTGGATCAAGGCGACGCAAGTAGGTTACGATGCAATACCTGAGATCAATAGTGTTACAAAAAATGATTGTTTTTTTTGTGCTTTTAGCAGTCCAGGCAATATCAGGGAAGTCTTTCCCACCAAGTCCGTGCGTGAGTGTACTGAATATTATATGCAGATTAGGTCATTCACAGGATCTTTGGATTGTCTGATATGTCCCATCGCAAAAGCCCAGAAACTTGGTAAGAGATGTCTTGGCCTCTGAGCCTAGTGTTCTGCTCATTGCCAGGACAGGAATGCCAACAGGGATGCGCACAATAAAGTGGTTGATCTGACCATAGGCTTCGCAGAAGTCTGCGGCCCATGGAAGGACAACATGAGCCTCATTGATGACATACAAAGCAAGAAGCTTCCTAAACCATTCATTTTGTACAATTCTCTCGAATTCCGGTGAGTTCAGCCGTTCTGGAGACACGATGATAACCGACCACTTCCCTTGTTCAACCTCCTTTAGCAGGTTTTTGCCTTTCTGGTGCGCTTCCCTCACTGTCTCCTTGTCTAGCAAGACCACTCTAACTCCCATTCTTGACATTTCTTCCACCTCCTCACCTGTCAGATCCATGTTCTATGCTAGTGCATTTAAGACTCACCTGACACAGTCCGACATCAATCAGGGGTGTGATCATCAAGACCACAGTAGTTGACCGAATGCTTCTCACAAAGGGCGGCAAGGATCTCAGAGGCTTCTTTGACAAATGGGAGATTAAGATATGATGTAAGTATGCAACTGCTGTCTTCCCTTCGCCGCAAGCAACAATAACCAACTGATTATTTTCTTCTAGTATATTGGCAGTACTGTTAACTTGCCAGTTGTGGGGACTATTTGGCCACGGTAAAAGAGTGCATAGAGTTTCTTTAATGTAGAGGATCCCTTCGGGGGATGTCCAGCCGTTCATATTCAAGGAGGAATAGATTATGGAGAAAACAGTGTATTTTTTGGCCCCTAAGTCTCCTAACAAATTCGAGAAAAATCACGTGAGCCCCTTTAAGTTGGAGACAGAATTCTATCTGTTCTTGCCCTGCCATCTCCTGTCGACCTTCCTAATAAGACAGGTCGCTGGACCCCCTGCCAAAGCATCTAATTTGTATGCAGACTAATTGTGCTGTAAGTATATGGGCCCATCAGTGAGTGGCGGCATCCTGCAAATGAGAGCAAGTGGTGGGCGATTACAAAGGGTGTACACACCAATTGAAAACACTTGATTGTCTTTAGATTGGATTCAAGCCTGATCAGATAGCGATGGTATCTGTTTTGTACGCACTGAGGCTCGAGGGAGATAGGCAGTGGGAATTGGGTATTTTTGATTACAAGCACTCTCGCAGGCCCCGGGAAGCTCCACTAGATGTTTCCCCGTCAAAACCCTCAAAACCCAGCCAAAAAAATAGTAACCTTTACTGATTTTTGCCCCAGAAAAAGAGTAATTCCGGCAGGGATGATCACGTGTGTCATATTTTGTCATGATTTATCACACAATGTCACACTAATTCTCTAGCTCTCATTTCCGCAGGTTTCCACTCGTTTCTGTCCATTTCTTACTTGTCATGGGCACTTGCAGGTGTTCAAGGACTCCTTGCAGCCGCATCCGATATATCCATTGCATATAGTTGGCATGAGTTTTATCTTCGAGATGGTTCAGGCGGAAAGGAGATCGTGAACCGGTATGTCATCAGATTTGGACAGTGATATGGCGATTGACCACAACGTGCAGCACCGAGGAATTATCAAAGAAACATAGCACCAGCATGGCCCAAATTTTGCTTACCTGGGTCCTCAGTAAAGACAGTGGGTTGCTTTCTTGGCCTGTCGCAAGGGATTGACTAATTTGGGCTCGCCTCTGCATAGCTGTATCAGCACCCATTGTCGGAATGATGTCTCTGGAAAAGATAAAAGATCTAATCAGTGCATTTGGGGCTTTTTGATCCTGATATGGGTGCTCGCCGCTCGCTTTGCTTAGGTGCACTCAATATGAAGCTCTCTGATGAAGACATCAAGTACTTGGAGGGTGCCTATAAGACTGTCCCTATAATCAAACAGTCTTGATTTGTTGTATCCCTGTCCGGAATCGGAATGACATGTTTTGATAAGGATATGATAGTGCATCTCACATTTACTACTGGGATGCCAAAATTGTCATGAGGATTGGAAGGAAGCGAGTCAGTACATTTGATTGTGGAATGTTAAATCATGGAGGGTTGCGCATTAGAAAATCATAGTGTTTAGATGGTGGAAGTGAAGACAATCGATAGACAGAGATTATGCTTATTATCTATGGATTTAGACCAGTGCTCATCATTACAACAATGAATGTCGGAGTGAAGTTTATGCCGCTGTGCTCGCAACCAATGAAAAAATAAAACATGGTCATTGCTCCCTCTGACTGTTCAATACAGACATGTTGTTCTCCATGTCAACTATTTTTGAAGACAGATACAAACAATTTTCAAACACTAGCAATTTACCAACTGACAAGTTTCTTACTCAAATCCTTTTTGGCATACCTTGACCATCTACGCTAATGCTTTCTCGCTCACATCCATCCACTCCTTCCTTTCCATTGCCTTTTCATGATCTTGCTCTAGAACAATATCAAACCGATGCCCAGCCTATACTCCATGGCAATAGTCCCAGTCATACTCTGATCCCTGCTCGGTCTCCGACCAGAACGAGCGCAAGCCGAGCACCTCGCCAAACCCAAATGACATTATATTACTCATAGCCTATTTATCCTCGTGTCCATGATCGCAATCCCTGAGCTCCTGGAGTGCCTTGCCATGCACATACTCGTGCCGAGAAAGGTTTTGCAGGATAGCCCATTGTTCTGCATGCTCAGCTTGAGGCCACCTCAAGTGCACCTTGTAGTACACCTGGCGCAGACCGACCGCCTCGGGTCCAAGTGTCCGCGATTGTATACCATGCCTTGTGTGCGCGTACTCTGGGTATAAGAGACTCACAAGCAAGTCCCAGTCATTGCGGTCATTTGAATGGTGGCCAATCGATCTCCCATTCACCATCACATATAAGTCAGTATTGACCTATTCCGTGAAGTGTCTTCTCGCAACTTCATACAAGCTGGTTCACTTTGTCTTTGCATTGTCTTCATGGCTCCCACTATCTTCGTGGATCTCTCCATCTTTGTCATAGTTGTCGTCATCATTGTCGCTCTCGTCAATTAGTTCATCGGCAGATGTATAGCCCATTTCCAACTCTTTTTCCTTAGCAGCTGTGAGTAGCCCAGGCAGAAGGTCCTCGGCATAGCTCCTGAGGCAGATGAGTCGATTGCCTGCCCAGTTACACAACTCTTTGATACAGGACCTGATGTGGCGGCATCCAATTTGCCAATGTTGGCGGGACGTGAGGGCAAATAAGGCAACTTTGACGTGATCAGGAAGATGGGTACAAATCCGATGGCTGGTAGGAGGGATAGGTACGGCGTGCTGAGAGGTGCCATGGTTGAGTAGGACAAGAGCGTGAGTCTAGTGGCAATGCTGGTTTGCTTTTCACACTTCAATGGATGGGATCCTCCATTGTCGCAGTCTGAAAGAAAGCTATCGGATGGCTTACGCTTGTTCTGGGATGTGCTGGAAGGTGATTTGGTGGCACAGACAGTGGTACTTGGGGCCTGTCTGCCACTTTCATGAAGGTTAGAGGTCAGTCAAAAGTCAGGACATATGCTCACTCACAGTGTAGGCAGTTGCACATCTTCAAGGTCGGCGAGGTAGACTGGGCGGTAACAAAGAAAGTTGTTGAGAAACACGAGAGCTGCACTGAAGAATTCTTTGTGTCTGCCCAAGCTGTCTGTAAGTGGAAGGATGGGGAGTCCGTGACGTAATATTCAGTGAAGCAGGCTATATAGCACTTGGCTACTGCCACAATGTGGCTCTGGGAGGCATCGAAAGATATTGGCAAATGTCGTATTTTCTGTCGGCATGGCATGCTTGCCAAAGAACATAAGATGCTGGCAACGGTTGGCTATCCATTGTGCATTGTCTTGTGTGCTTATGCACTGGCCGCTGGCAGGCCTATGATATGTACCCATGCAATGGCCAAATACAGCTTTTTTGACTCGAAGTGTTGTTCTGAGGCGTGGCTCTGTGGCACAGCTGCTTTCGTTGGCGAGCGCTCTTTGACCTGTCACTTGCTAGCCAATGCTCGAAAATGTGAAGACGCACCATATGAGAGTTTGTCATCCAAGCTCGCCAATCCATACGTCCCTGCACCAGTGGTTCCTTGTGCTTCCATGATCCTTCCTTCCGCTTTGCCTGGTACTCCGCCTGCCGCACATGAATCGACGCCATGTATGCAATTGCCATGCAGGGCCATGGCTTACCTTGAACCTTATGTTTTCCATGCAGCTTTCATTCTCACCAAATGGCTTGAGGCGAGGATTTGCTATCAGACATTGCGACGATGCGCAACCCTCGCACGCATCGAGGAGATGGGTGGTACTACAATAGAAGGAAATACATCCGAGACATCCCACCCAGCTTTTTTCGCCACAGCTGGTGTGCCATACAGCCACCCTATACGCCCACCCCGTCACACACCGATGTCGTGCCGGGCGCGTCAGCCTTGCGCTGGGCTGGGCTCATGGTACTTCACACGCGCATTCCAGAACGGATACCGACCAGGGCTCAAAAAGTCCCTGGCCATCTTCTCCATCCTCCGCAGGGCCACATACACCATCGTTGCACCCGCACGTACGGAGCGCGCGGCATACTCCGCGAGCTAGTCCCGGTCCCCGAGCACAAGCGCGGTGTTTGAGCACCAGCAGGTGCAACTGCGTGTTTTGCACGCCCTCTGCCTCGGGGACGCGAGCACGGCCAGTAGAGGCATGGTCAGGTGGTCGTTGGGCAGCGTGGCACCGCCACCACGGCTGCTGTCGTCATTGTTGTCGAGCAGGTGCTCCCATTGCAGGATCTGCGTCCGCCACCACAGGGTCCACACACGCAAAGCCATAGCTGGTGTGCAGGAACTGCTGGCACCGCGTGCTCGGGAGTGGGTGGGGTGATAGATGAAGTGCACTTGTGGTTGATCCTTGATGTGAGATTGCCGATGGTGGTGACAGGGTGCCATGCATCGGTCGCCATCTCCAGGGCAGCCATGTGCAGATGTTGGGTCATATCAAAGTTATTCATCTGCCAAATCGCAAAGAGCTGCAGCACGGCCACACTGTATATGTTGGACAGTGCAATGTATGCCACATGGTCATCTTGTGACATGCATGCAAGTGCCTTGGCAATCGTGTCATTGCACTGGAGCTAGGAGTGGTAGGCGCCCGGGACGACAAGGAGCGGGCGCTCGGAGACAATGAGCTCCTCTACTGCGATCGTGCAGGTTGCATACATGCCGATGCCTGTGCCTGGCACAGGCCCAAGGCAGTTGGCGGGGGACATCAGCGCTGGGGTGGGCTGCAGAAAGCCGGGTTGGGAGAGGATGCACTGTGTCGTGCCACCTTTGAGAGAGGGTGTGGCATGTGGCCTGCCTGCAGACGAGCTTGTGTACACTCCAATGCCTTTTTTGGCAGTCTTGGCTCTGGTCATCAGCGCAGGGATAGCGAGCATGCATGAAGCTTAACGAAGCGCCTGAAAACAATAATGTGCACAATACATCTTGAGGGGGGGCCGTTTGGCAAGGTTTTTGAGGCCACACTGGGCACATGCTGATTGGCGGCCTGGGATTGATATCGCGGGTCAATAAGCGCCAATAGGAGGAAGCATTACAATGCAATGCTGTGACTTGGAACTCAGCCTGGCCCCGACACTTCTCGGGGCAATGCCAGCTCCAGCTTTCAAAATGGCCATTGGCCACAGGCGCACGATTTATTTCTGCAGTAAAAGCGGAAACATGAACTGGGGGCATGTGCGACTAATACGTACTGGCCGAGAAGAATGTGTGCCTCGTATCTGTCTCGACTGCCACATCCTGGAGACAGCCAAGTCAACTGGAAGGCAAGCGATGCTCTCTCTAGGTTTGCGCATGCACGTGCACATTTGCTCATTATCACACACAGTACAGATAGCACCTAAGTGTGTCTGCAACGTGAAAAGTGGGCAAGAAGAACCAGATGCGCAAAGGCGCTTGCTTGCTCGCTCGCACGTCACCATCGGCAGGAAAAGAAAATATCATGCATTGGGGAGGGTGATGGCACTGGCTGCGTACACAACGTCGTCAACACGGGTGCGAAAGGCGGTCCAGTGGGTGCTGCCAGCGAGGAGGAGGGTGCCATGGTCGGCAGCGGCATCAGGGGCGAGGTTGAGTCTGAGGAAGGGGTTTGTGGTGGAGCGATAGTACGCAAGGTGGAGGGCCTTGAAGATCTGCAGTGGGGGGAGGATGAAGAAGAGAAAACGCTTCAGGATTGCATGGGTGGAAGGCTCAGCATGGGAGACGGGCGCATGGTGATGATGTCTGTGTCGCGGACAACGGTGTCAGTAAGGGCGAGGGCGAGAATGATCTTGACCTTTGGCAAGGTGATGTAGGCATACATGGTGACATTCTCCATGGAGTAGAGGAAGCCAAGGTAGCACTCTACCAACTTTGGCATGGCGGTGACTGGATCATGCATGTCACATCAGCGCTTCAGCAGGCAAAAAAAAAAAAAAAAAGGGGCGCACACTACGCTCATTGACAATGTCGAGGCTTGTGTATGCAATGTAGTGGTACTTGAGGAGGTTGTCGTGCCTTTGAGAGAAGGAGCGGACAAGGATGGGGTGGTTCTGTGGGGAGATGAAGGCGATGGCTGCAAGGCCAAGGTGGGGAGCCATGCTATCATGGCGTGGTCTCGGAGGCCAAAATCTGGACTGCGTGCAGTCTCGGCTGGACTGTGTGGTGCAACAGAGACTGTGTGGGGTGACAACAGTATGATGACTGTGCGCCCGTAATCTGCGCTGGCTCTTTCCCGATGCTGACTAAACTGTGTCTCTGGGTTACAGAATACCCTCAACATCACAAACAATTACATATCTCTAGATTCCCTTATCCAAATAATAAAATTAGGGTATAATTTAAAAGGTAGTGTATGTAGGGGCATTTTATTATTTCTGCAATAAAAATGAAAGAACAATTGTGGACTAGAGACTGGGTTTTTTAAGGTTTGCCTTTAATTCTGTATTTTGCCTGTAACATCTTCAGTAATCCATGTCTACTAATGAAAATCTCAGGATACCATTACAAATACCTTTTAAGCCTATTGAATCAGACAGAATTGTGTGCAACTTCAAATTTGATTCCCAAAACCCAGACTGTGTGAAGCACAGTCTGGTCATAGGGGGTAAACTGTTTAAATCCATATTTATTAAATCCCTGATTCAATCTCACAGCTTCTGGGCCTCAAGGTTGCATCAGGGTATGAGGTTTACAGGCCATATTTTTTTTGCATTTATAGCAGCACTGAATTGGCAACACAGTAGTTTTGGAGATCCATAGACTCAAAAGTGTTGGTAATACTACTAGTGATGCAGAGTCTGTGTGTCTATTGTCCACATCCTTGTATGGATAGTCAGGTGCATTAATGATACATTCCCTAGAGTTGTGGGCCATCTGCGATGGCTGCATGTTGCCTGTGATAGCTGCTAGTCATCTGTGACAGCCTCATGCTCAATCTGTCATCTGAGTACCTTGCCCATTGTCTTTGATGGACACATAGTATCTGAGAGGGCTGCATGTTGTCTGATATGGATACCAGCTGTCTGAGATGGCTACATGCCACCTGCAATAGCTGCCAGTTGTCTGCGATACCCATATGGGCTGTCTGTGATGGCTGCATAGTATCTGAGATGTCTGCGTGTCATCTGAGATGCATGTAAGTTGTCAGTGATGACCTTGACCTGCCTGCAATAACCTAAGGTCATCTGAGACATCTGTGTGATGTCTGAGATGGCCGTACACAGTCTCAGATATCAGTGTGTTATTAGAGAAGCAGGTCATCTGCAGCAGCCATACACTATCTCAGACGTCTGTATGCCATTAAAGCAGCAGGTCATCTGCAACAGCTGTACACTGTCTTAGAGTTCTGTGTGTTATTAGACAAGCAGGCCATCTGTGGTGGCTGCATGCTGTCTTAGACGTCCACATGTTGTCTGAGATACAGGCAGGTGCACAATGCATTCATGGCCACCAGCAGATGTGACCTGTAGGGCATCCCTATTGTCAGTGATGGCCTCATTCTGCCTGCAATAACCTAAGGTCATCTGAGACATCTGTGTGTCATCTGAGACGACCACATATGGTCTCAGACATTGGCATGTTATTAGAGAAGCAGGTCGTCTGTGGCAGCCACACACTATCTCAGATGTCCACATGTCATCTGAGATGTAGGTCATCTATAGTGGCCAAATATTGTCTCAGATGTCCACATGTCACCTGAGATGCAGGCAGGTCATCAATAATGGCCTCATCTTGCCTGCAATGACTGCTGGTCATCTGAGACATTCACATCTTGTCTCAGATGCACACAGGTCATCACTAATGACTGCATCCTGCCTACAATGACTACCAGTTGTCTGAGACATCTGTGTGTCATCTTAGATGTCCCTGTATTGTCTGAGACACATGCAGATCGTCTGTGACAGCTGCACACTGTCTCAGATGTCTGTGTGTAGTTAGAGAAGCAGGTCATCTGTGACAGCTGCACACTATATAAGATATCTGCTAGTTGTCTGAGACATCGCCATGTTGTCTGATGGCTGCATGCTATTTTGAGATACACACAGGTTGTCTGTGAGGGCTGCACACTGTATAAGATATCTGCCAGCCGTCTAAGAAGTCCAAGTATCATCTGAGATGCATATAACTTGTCTATAAAGGCCACACACTAACTGATGTTCACATGTCATCTAAGATGCATGCAAATGGTCTGCATAGTGTCCGAGACAGCTACATGTTGTCTGAGATAACTGACAGTGGTCTGCAATGGACACACAGTATATGAGACATCTGAGACAGCTATGTGTTGTCTGAAACCTCCTCATTTGCCTTCTAGACTAGTACCATGTCTGACTCCTTGCCTGCCTCCTTACCTGTCTCCTCACCTGACTCCTCACCTGCCTTCTCACATGTCTTCTCACCTGTCTCCTCACCTATCTCCTCACCTGCCTCCTCGCCTGGCCTCTCACCTGCCTCCTTGCCTGGCCTCTCACCTGCCTCCTCACCTGCCTCCTCACCTAGCCTCTCACCTAGCCTTTCACCTAGCCTCTTACCTAGCTCCTCACCTCCCCAACATCTTAGATTTTTTTTGTCTCATCTACCATCCGCCTATCACCTCTTATAACCTAACTTAGCCAAGCTGATACACAGCTGACATAACGAGCCTGTTCAGCCATAGACAGGCACATCATGTCAGCTGTGTATTGGCATCAATGGCTTCTTCACCTCTTAATGGCCTCTTTAGCCCTGCTATACCCCTATCCTATCCTGAACCTTCTAGCTTTTGAGGTTAGAATTGAACCCTTAATTCAATCTCACTGCTTCTAGGCCTCAAAGTTGAAGCAGGGTATGAAGATTATGAAAAAGATTTTTTTGCATTTATAGCTGCATTTAATTGGCAACACAGTAGTTTCAGATATCGGTGGACTCAAAAGTGTCAGTAATACTACTAGGAGTGGGAATAACCCTAGGTTAGAATTCACATAAATCTGTCCTATCTAGGAATATATTTTAAGACTATGCTTATATTAGACTCCATGGGACTTGGCCATCTTAGATTGGATTTTTACCAGGCCTCAAAGTTGAATCAGGGTATGAAGATTACAGAATATTTTTTGTATTTATAGTTGCATTAAATTGGCCATACAGTAGTTTCAGATATCAGTGGACTCAAAAGTGTCAGTAATACTACTAGGAAAGTCGACCACTTTCATTGCCAACCACCCTAGAGAGTACATCCCGCAACTACGTCCATGACCTGCTGATGTCCCTTGCTCGCTAAAAACCAATACTGTACACATTTGGCGGCAATACCTCAGAATGCATCGCTACCCTCTCACATCCTACCAGAAAGACCACGGCTCTTCACCTGCGCCTGCTCTTCGTCCATGAGACCTACAGCCGAAATCTCGTGGAACTGCTCCATATCTTCCACCGCCTGCGTGTCCTCCAGCTCCCACCCCATCCATGCCTGATCCACGTTCCGCGCTTCTCGTTCGCAATCCCCAGACGACGGAGTCGATATCGACGCCCCCGACTCGTCACCCTCATCCCGCGACGTCGACCGAGACATCGCATCATCGTCTGCGTCGATAGAATCATCACCGTCGCCCCGTTCAGCAGAAGAAGCCGCCTTCCGGGTATGCGTTAACACGAAGTCCTCGTCCTCCTCGTCGAATTCCAGCGTCATGCGCCCGAGGTCCCCACTCATGCCAAGCGTACTATCTGACCTCGCAATCAGCCTCGGAGAGCGGACCTTCCCAATCTCGCGCCGAAGCCGGACCAAGCCGTCGCTCATCCCGTCACTGATACCGGCAGCCATGCGCTGTACAGGCAGCGGGCTTCTGAACGAACTCGGCTTGGAGCCAGGCGTGCCGTTTGGAAACATAGGGATGACGGGTGGAGACGAGGGATAGACCATGTCGCTTGAAAGCGCCGACGAAAGGGGCTCATCGAAGGACGAGGAGGGACGTCCGATTTCAAGGGGAGAATGAAGCCCTTGAACAAAGGCCTCGCCGTTGTCCGTGGAGTACGCGCTGATCTCAACCTCTCTGCGCACCTCAATCTTCGTAGTAGGAATGTCGAAGTGATATCGTCGAACGAGCGCGTGGTAATCCTCGCCGAGAGCGTGGAAAGAAAATTGATGCGATAGATAGACAGACCTCGGGAGTATGAATGACGATTGAGAGCATGTTAGCAGTTCCGCGTGCGATAGCCAACTTTCCGCCAGTATGAGTAACGGCTATCGTCGAAAGACGATGGTAGGACTCACTTAGAACCCTGAACCGCATCCCGACTACCTACGAAAGTTTGGTACTCTTTCAGCGTGCGCTTGAGCTCTGGCCAATCGTATTCCCGTCTTAAATTCCACGTCGCAACGTCAACCTCGCGCGCCGAAAGCTCCACAGTCCTTTCCATCATCTTCGTCAGTCCGGAAGTCCTCACGTTCTGCCCTCCCGTAGTCGGTGGTGGCGCATTTATCCAATTGAAAGGCGTTCTCGTAGGAAGAGAGATACTCGTGCCTCCCAAACCAGGAATGGCTCCGGGAACAATGAGGCTGTGATCATTAGCACGGAGGTCGATGAAGAAACGACGCAAAGACAATGTTCCGTCCGTCTGATCAAATAACAACATGTCTTGATAGTTCTTTGGCCGATAAGGACGTAGCGGTGGAGAGAGGGGCTCAGATTTGTGAGAAGGCGATGAATGAGCAGAGGTTGTCGTAGTTGGCGAGGTAGGTTGCACAGTTTCCACAGGCAGAAGCCTAGGCGGAAGCGAGTGGTCGCCCGACTTGATGAAAATGAAGCTCAGTCGACCCAGGGTTGGGTCAACAGACGAAGCACGCGGCGCACGCAATCTGACAATTGGAGATAGGCTAGTAGACAGCGGCTGCTATGGTATGGTCAGCGTTTATGCTCAGTGATGGGAGACCTCGCTCACCAATTCACCCGAGTTTGCGACACGACCATTGATATGACTTCTTTCGTCTGGCTTCCCTCCGTAAGGGTTCGTGGCGAAGATGTGCACGGTGCGCTTTCTTGAGCCGATTGCCACCCATCTTCCGTCCGAAGCCCAGTCGATGTCATCGACCACTGCAGACGTTCGGCCACGACGAAGGTCGTAAATATGCCATGGTGCACGAGCACTCTTCCCCAGAGAGTCAATAACGCGTGCGTCCATTGAGCGCATGACTCACCTCCGTGCTGCCACGACGACTGTGAAGCGCGTCGTCGGCGTCGCGCAAACCTTGCAAAGCTGGCGGCCGTATCTGGAAAACTTTGATCGTCTGGCCATCTTCAGGCACGATCATGAGTGAACCCCCATCAGACGAAAACCGGAGCGCAGACACAGAGTGACACTTGGATACCATGAACTCCGCAACCACAGCGGGTTGCGGCATGGACGTCGAAGGGGTGGATAACAGCGAACGTAAGTCCAAAATGGTAACATAAAAACCCTTCGTGTCGTCAGTAGGAGTCAAAAGCGGCGCGGCGTACGCCTTGCTCCGACCAGCCAAAGGCTCGGAGTCTTCGCCAAGATCAACAACAGCACGCACAGCGCCAGCGTCACCAGTCTCATTCTGCGAGTGCCGCTGCTCATGAGAGACGCTGCTCGCTGGTGCGCTGCGTGAAAAAAATGTGTTGCTTGCAGGAGATGCGCGATGCATGCTCACTTGCGCTTGGTCGCCGGACATGCGCGTGCGCGCGGCAGAATACGCGACTTCACCAAGCGTTCGAAGTCCGCTGAGAACATTGCCGCCCACGCGAAGCGCAAAAGTACTGATGTCGGCTTGGGAGAGACTCTTGGTGTCGTCCCTGGAAGGCTTGCGAGTGCGTGGGCGTGTCGACAAGGGAGTGGCTGTCGGAGAATCCGGTCGAGGTGGAGGAGACGCATATGCAAGAAGGCGGTGGGAGAGCGCAAAAACGGCCTTGGGCTGATCTGGCGGGAACGTGTCGGAATCTACAGGATTGTCTTGTAATACATCGGTATCTTTGTTTATGTTGTGATTGAGAGGAGGAGATTGAGGAGGAGAAAAAAGAGTAAGGGAGGAAGAGGAGATTATAGATAATGTCGTCAGTGTACAAGCCGAAAGAATACGAAGTGTCGCTGGATTTGTTGTGCTCTGCTGAACATTTAGCGATATCGCAGACGAGAAACGATAGCAACGTACAATGATTATAAAGTTTGCATTTGATGAGAATGATACAAGGCCATGAAAAGAACGTCGCTTGATGACATCGTGACGCAACAATGAGTATATAATGAATTCGGGCTCGCTGTGTGGCCGACTCGCACTAGGAGCAACTTAGCATAGTGCGAAAGAGAGCCCAAAATTGTAACGTACATGACACCCATCAAAGGCCTGTCGTGCAAGAACTCGTCTGCCTGAGTAGAATCAGGAGATGGCAGGATCGCCGCAGCCGATACAGTTCCCCAATCCGCCGTGGTGATGTTGAGGAGTTCGTCGATGGAGTCGAGGGCCGTGCAGTCCCAGATTTGCAAGCCCGTTCGGTAACCGAGCAGGAGCAGACGCCTACGGTAGTCTGTCAAGACGAGTGCGTACATACCGTATCTCTGATACTGACCTAGTCTGATCCATGTCACGATGGAGCAGGGTATCCCACTTAGACCAAGTGATCTCCTCTGCATCACCTCCAGGGTACCGTGTTCGTGTCCTTACTTGTCCAACGCGCTCATCCTCATTATCGTCGAGACTGAAAATATCCTCCGCCGTGTGAGCTCCCTCTCTCCGAGGATGACGATCCTCTGTCCCCGCGGTTCGATGTCGTCTATCAGAGGGGCTGGAAGGCGTCATGAAGCTGCCAAAAGAGACTGGGCGAGACACGCGTGGAGGGGAGGGTGCCGCGGAAGGGATGGGAATGGAGATCGACGAGGGAACATAATTGCGCATCGTTCGTGAAAGGCCCTCAAGTCGAGTGGAATGTCTGTGGTGGTAGCGTTGTCAGTGGTAAGGAGTGACTCGAGTATGGGAATAAAGGAGAGCAAGCTGTATCGATTCAGCGAGGAGCACACGTGTTGCAAAGTCGGGAGACGGACTGCGAGATGGATATAGAAACCAATCGAAAAAACGCTCGCCTCGGTCAGGTCGCGAGGCAAACACCAAATGGCGACCGGTATACGTCAAGCGGTGTGTGCACAGAAGCAAGGACTAAGAAGATACGAGTGTAAGCGCAAGGAACTCACCGAGCAAGTATTGGTGACCTGACGTGTCCAGACTCCTTCAATGAGTCCACTTGCTGGGCAGCGGGAAGTGGAAGGACCGGATCATCCTCCGCATCCGAGGACTCCACTGGTTCATAGAAACCCTGTGTCGCACCTGTAGCCGGCTCCCCAACGCGCTCGATATCGGGGTCGAAGGCAGATACAAGCTGGGGGGATTCCAGTAGTTCCGGATCAAAATCTAAGACAAGGGATGGCGAACGAGGCATGGCAGGCGGCGTGTCATCGAGCTGGGAAAGAAGAGAAATTGCAGAGGTAGACTTTGAGTTGTGTTTGCGAGAGGCATTGCGTGGGTTCCTAGATGGCATTAAACGGGGAGATAATGAACGAAGATAAAGCTCAAGACCAAGTGTGGGGTCAGAAGGGCCGTGCAAATAAATATGAGGAAAAAGGGTTCACGAAGATGGCACGATAGATATCCAAAGTAGCAGAGAGTATAGAGAGAAATAGAGCGATTCGTGCGATGAGTGTGTTGGTTAGCAGCAAGCAGCAAGAGGACGTGCGCCAGATCCGACTGCATGACTCCAGTCTCGTCCCAAGCTTCCCTTTCTGGGAAAATCGTCATCATCACGTAAGCCTTCCCCAGCCAGATCTCCCGAATCGTTTCCCGCTCTGCTCCTTAGGGCGCTGAAAGGCGCTGCTGAAATTGTGAACAGCTTGTTAGAAGACTTACAGGGATCGGTGCCAGACATCTACCGAGCAGTATTGATTGCTTCTCCTCCAGGTATCCTTCTGCCCAGTCTTCGGATGCCATATAAGTGATCTTTTCGAGTCCACCAGGAGTCCTGTGCTAGGCACACATATGAGGAATGATCTGAAGAGGCGATATCATGACGGGCGGGCCGATAAGAGAGGGTTTAGGGTATATCGCGTTGAAGGATAGTGAGAAACTGCACTACGCAGCATGGGAAATCGTTCTCCGTCGATACGGCATGCAAGCAGCATAATCACAAAATGTACATGCTCACTTTTTTTTCCTGTCGGAGCTGGTCGAATCAAAACCATACGGCCAATTCCAGCTGCTCATGACGAGGCAGCAAACACCGGAATAACATCGGCAAAGGGCACCTGGTCATGTCCAGAGTACGTTCCCACTCTCGTGTCATGTGTCGATCAGTCTGAAAATGCATATAAGTAGGATCCCGGGCAGCGAGATGCGAGCTTGCTCGCCGCTACTGCAAAACAATGACGGCGAAAATCATCGACATCGATAAGGGTTGGCAGTGGAAGGAACGCGATCCCTCTATCTCATCTGTACTCGACGAGTCGGCGCGTGGCGGATGGCATAATGCACACGCGTTTCCATCCGAGATACACGTCGAGCTTCTGAAGGCGAAGCTGATACCTGACCCGTACGTAGAGTTCAACGAACACAAGGTCCAATGTACGTGACTTCTCCGCATATTCCTCGACTCGACTTTACTTTTTCAACCATAAGGGATCGGTATGAGAGAATGGCTTTATATAACGTCATTCTCCCTTGGAGAAGTCTTTGAACATGCACAGCATCTTGAAATCGTATTCGAGGGTCTTGATACGTTCGCCGATGTGTATCTTGTGAGTTTCATTGGCAATGAACGAGTCATCGCTGACCTCAAGTGTTCATCTACATAAGAATGGAGCAAACGTCTTATCTTCGGATAATCAATTTCGTACCTATAGGGTACGTTCTTCTCGGTTTGCAGCGACGCATGGTACACTAACGACGATATATGCTTTAGTTGGACATAGAAAAGAGCGCCTTGAGAGAACAGAACATCCTGTTATTGCACTTCAAGCCCGCATATTTGATCGGCAAAACACTCGAAGAGGAATTCGGACGCGTCCGCGCGGGATCGTGTAACCTCGGTGATCCAAGCCGCGTCTATGTTCGAAAGGCACAATACGACTGGCGGTAGGTCTCATTTTATCCTCTCAGTGTGATCAGCTCGTCACTGTTCTCTCTCAGGTGGGATTGGGTGAGCTTTAACCGAACCTGTTGAGTGGCCTTCGCTCCCTAAATGCTGTTCCGTAGGGCCCTGAACTCATGACTGTGGGGCCGTACCGACCCATTCGATTGATCGCACACACGACTCGTATTCAATTCATTCACACTAAAGCTCTGGTCTCATCCGACCTCGAGCCTTCGTTTTTGCTTGACCTCGTGCTGAAAGGACACACCTCCTTAGCTGACACCGCCCGCGTGACCATCACGGACACGGTGTCGGGGGATGTGATTCGGTCAGAGAACGCTAGCCTTATTTATGCTGACGGCGGGGTGCCCAATGGAACGAGCCTATCGGAGGATATCGTGCATTGGGTGTTTCAAAAAGACGAAGTGGCGCTTTGGTGGCCGGTCGGCTATGGAAAGCAAGCACTGTATCAGGTCGAAGTTGTTCTGTTAAACAACGTGCGTGGCTTCCTCGCATACACCCATACACCTGGACTGATCCATCTCGAGGATAGGGTGGAGACGTCCTCGACATCAAAACGCAGAACATCGGCTTCCGGCGCATCAGGCTCATACAGGAGTCCCTCCAGCACGCTGATCAATACGGTAAAGGGTCGACGTTCCTCTTTGAGGTCAACAACGTTCGAATGTTCATCGGTGGTCTGTTTTCAGCTCCTTTCGCTTGCTGTTGGATTTGACATGGAGAAATCATTACATACAGGCTCCAACTGGATTCCTGCTGATAATTTCCTCACCCAAATAACAGCTGAACGGTATCGGAGTTGGCTCACCCTTCTACGAGACGGCAATCAGAACATGGTTCGACTCTGGGGCGGCGGTGTGTATGAGCCTGACGTCTTCTATGATATCTGTGACGGTGCGGTATTTTTGACATCTCTATGGTATCTTTGTTTGGACTGAAACCTTTCTCAGAGCTTGGCATTCTCATCTGGCAGGACTTCCAGTTTGCGTGTGGCATATACCCTGCACACGAGGGATTTGTAGAAAACGTGCGCCAGGAAGCAGAAGATAATGTATTGCGATTACGCCACCACCCATCCCTAGCTCTCTTCTGCGGCAACAACGAGGGTGAGGGCCCTTTCAGCTGAAAACAACTGCCGCGATCGCTTATTCTCATACAGATTATCAGCAGATTCTGCAATGGAGGGTTGAGACAGATCTTCCTGCCCGTATACTCTACGAGACTGTCTTGCCGTCCGTTGTCGAGAGCCTTACTTGCCCGCAGGTGCCATATCATCGGGGGTCGCCTTACGGCGGAAAGGGATGGGATACCTCTGATCCTACCATAGGTGATGTACATCAATGGGATGTGTGGGGCGGCAAAGAGTTGCTATGGCAGAAATATGATGAGATGGGTGGTCGTTTTGTCAGGTAAGATTCAGTTCTCACTCTGCCATTCTTCGCATGCTTGTCATTGATCTGTTTCGTCTATCTCTCTCGTGACACGCAGCGAGTTCGGGATGCCCAGTATGCCTGCATTGTCGACCATCGACTACTGGATGGGATCTATGCGTGACAATCAGAAGGAACGATACGCTCAAGCGCCTATCATGGGACAACATTGTCGTGCAGGTCAGCACGAACGGCGGTTTGCTATTCCTATGAACGAGAGCTTCCGCTTGACAAGCGACCTCGAAACGTGCGTGGTGACTAATATCCAGACGCCTCGGATCACTCCGCTGAAGGCATCGATGTTCTCAGGCATGTCTATAACACACAGCTTATGCAGTCAGAGGCTGTCAGCTATGCTTATCGTGTTTGGAGGAGGGAGTGGCGGGGGAAAGGAAAGGAATACGTACGTCCTCCAGACTTCCAATTTCCATTTTACGGCAACACTCAAATATTTCATTCTTTCAGACTGGAGGCGTCATTGTCTGGCAACTCAACGACTGCTGGCCTGTTACTTCGTGGTCTATTGTCGATTATTTCGTGAGTGATGTCACTACTCTCCCTGGCGTCAATTGAACATCTTGCATATTAGCTACAACCAAAACCGGTTTATTATACCATTGCGCGAGAGCTGAGACCCATAAGCGTTGGGATCCTGCGCTCAGTAGGTCAACCACGGCCTCATCTGTCTCACATTCTGATGCTATCAAATGCACAGGTCACCAAGAATAGAGAGACCGACCGCCCAAAACAGGTGACTTTCTTTTGACTTTGACTGGACTTGATTCTGATGGATATGACAGTTCTACGAGTTTGGCGCTTTCCAAACGAAAGAAGCAAATATCTCAATATGGAGCGCCAACTCCACCTTGATCTCGCAGAAATTGCGACTCGTATTATCATTCCACGACCTTGCGTCGTCCTGGATGGAAACACGTTCAAGCATTGTCACTCTTCTTCCAAACCAAAGCACGGAGCTCTTAGTTGTTCACGTCCCAACTCCAGCCGCCGATCCAGCGTCTGGAGCATCGGTCGTGGCCTCCGCCAAGCTGGTGGATGACGCCGGAATCGTCGTTGCGCGATATGCCGATTGGCCACAGCCCTTCAAACATCTGAACCACCTTGGGAACACGGGCCTCAGAGTTGAAGTATCCGGTGAACAAATCCGAGTTAGCGCCAAAAAGCCGGTGAAAGGGGTAGTGCTAAGTGTCGCTGGAGACGCGGGGGAAGATGTCAAATGGAGTGATAACGCGCTGGATATTGTACCTGGAGATGACCAGACCATTGTTGCAAAGGGGCTCGGCGGACGGGGTGTCGTGGCAGCATGGTTGGGAAATGAAAGAGCGATGTCTGTGTAATACTGGGACCATACGTCGTAGTACGACATGGAGAAGCATGCGTTCGATATCGAGTATCGTACTGAACACCATGCTGATGTCCGTGCGCATGAGTGGTTGTCATCATGCTGCCGGCGCGCCAGTCGTGCCTCTCACGATCGATCGTACCGCGACTCACAAATTTTGCGGCTGGCGGCTAGTACTCTCTAGTACTTCCACTGAGAACGCTCACAAGTTGCGACCTGGCCTCCCTCTATGTCTTCACTAATCTGCGGACCGTCTCGGCTGTGATATGGAGCGCAAACCATGTCAATTCTGATCTGTTCCGACATGCATTACGAGTCTGCCACGCCCGCGCTCCTGGCGTACTTTTGGTATGCTTCGTACACTTTCGTACACTGCTTTTAGTAAAGGACACTTCCAACATTGTTCCTAGGCGGCATCTCCTGAGATCCCGATGCATACGTACCTGACTGAATTATATAGCACCCACGCGGTGTGCTGAGCGCTTTGATAGCGCACTTGGCAGTAGGCGAAAATCTGCATCAAAAAGTAGGGACCTACATCACAACTCATCAGGCTTTAAGACTCCTGTCAGCTTGGAACCCTGATAAAGTTGCGATGTGGCCCGCCATCCGAATTTCTTCCAGACCGGCGCTCGCTCGCCATCCCTGGTTCCGTTTGGATCATCTCCAACCGACCCGTGACCGGTGACTCTCCAAGCCGACTGTATCGCCTTTCGCCTGCAAATGACCACGGACTGCCCACTGCACACGTACGGAAGTCGTGTCGTTGGCAGTTTGCGGTTTACAGTAAGGTGCAACAGGTTAGCCATTCGCGCAATCGCTGACGGAGAGCGCCCCTGTTCTGATTTAATTTTGTCCCTGTATCGCGGGGATGTCGGCTCGCCGCAGTAGGCCCATATATCAGTCATATATCCTTCCAATCTCCTTATCGACCTGCTCGCGAACATTGAAGCACATGGAGCCGTTTACCAAACTCGCGCCGGAGGCCCCACGTCGGTATCTCAACGCTGTATGTACGCACCGTGATGCGATCCATAAAGCCCCTTCCCGCCGTCATGCTCCCTAAGAGTCGGCTTCTGCCCCTTCTCATCCCTTGGTCCTTCCCCTCCTGCCTAGAGAGCTGGGATAGACTGGACACGCGAGAGTATGTCTACTGCCCCTGACGCTCCGACGAGTCCCTTCAAGGAGAAGCCTCCTCTCAGTCCGACAGGATCTGTTGAAGAACAGAAATTGGGATATAATGACACCAAGGAGCAGAGTGTTCACGGCCCAGCGGACGTAGATGAGGTGTTCGAGGATGTTAGGACAATCGATCTCGATGAGACTGGGAACGAGAGACCTATCGGTGCGTTGTTTCCAACTTTCTTGGGTTCTGTCCTAATGATGCGTGTAGACACGGAGCAGGACTATGCACTACGTCTAATCTCACTTGAAGACGATCCGACTCTTCCTGTGTTTACGTTCAGGTCGATGTTCCTTGGCACCGGTCTAGCATGTTTCGGTGCAGTTCTTGGACAGCTTTTTGTGCGTTATACGTTCATTCTGGATATCCACGGTCTCCACTGACAGCTTCTCCAACTACTACAGTATTTCCGTCCTCAGACTGTAAGGCTCGCTTGAACAATGCTAACTGGTGCTGGCTAACCACTCTTTCCTCATGTATCGTCGCACCGTCTTAGGTCACCGTCAGCAGCCTTTTCCTTCAGATTATCGCCTTCATACTTGGTAAAATTCTGGATCAAGCCATTCCAGGCCCTGGAGTCTCCGCTAAGATCAAGACAAGAGATAACGCTTTCTGGCGCTTTATGAACCACGGACCTTTCAACCTGAAGGAGCATGTTGCAATCACGGTACGTATGCGTACATGACTTCTTTACTTCGCAATACTTATCATACTAGATCATGGCCTCAACGGCCTCCGACTCTGCACTGGCGATTTCAATCTTCGCCGCTCAAGATCTGTATTACAACGTCAGACCCAATGCCGCAGGCCAGTACACAATCTTCTCTACATCTCTTGGCCACTTTTCTTAACTCGTTGCATTGTTTACAGTCGGCATTTTCACTCTTATTGGATCACAACTCATCGGTTATGGTCTTGCGGGCCTTGCGCGCCAATACCTTGTGTACCCCACCTGGGCCGTCTATCCGCACATCATCCCACCTGTCCAGCTCTTCGACGCCATGCATCGTGGGCAAGGTTTGTTCCTCCAGAAGAAACGCGTACGATTCTTCTGGACCGTTTTTGTGGCGATCTTCATTTGGGAGTGGTTCCCTGAGTACATTGCGCCGACTCTGACGGGAGTTAGTATCTTCTGCCTTGCAAATCGGCATAGCGCTTGGTTCACGAGGATATTTGGTACGTGCGAAATTCCTACCGACTTGATTTGTTCCTATTTTCTCAGGCAATTGGGCTTTTAGGTGGTGCTGCGGGTAACGAAGGGCTCGGAACGTTTGCTCTCTCATTCGACTGGAACTATGTCGGTAGTGGAGGCAGCGCCATTGGATCTTTGTTCACTCCCCTCTCGACTCAGATGTCGCTGTATGCTGGATGCGCGGTTTGCATGTGTGTTCACCCTCATTCATCACCTATCACGCAAATTGTTGATTGTGTTTCTAGGATCGCGTTCTGTGCCTGCTATGCAAACAACATCTGGAACGCCCAGAATTTCCCATTCTTGACCCAGCTGCTGTACTATGAGGTAAGGTACATCTGCTCGCGATCATGCCGTGGGGTTTTCTAATATTGCATGTTTCTAGAACGGAACCGAGTGAGCTTCTGCGTCTTGATAGAGTTTTCGAATGTCTGACATGTCCGTCCGACATCTTAGGTACGATCAATTGAGGATTCTGAACGACGACTTCACGCTTAATAGCACAAAGCTCGAGATCGAGGTTCGTCGTCCGTCTGTCCACTTTATTAGTTGGTACTGATCGCTGAATACTAGGGCCTCCCTTGGTACGCAGCATCGCAGTTGCTCTACAAAGTCAGTCGAACGATGTATATCGGGGGTCAGTTGTTTCATCAAAATTGTTCGAGACGAATGCTCAAACATCATCTGACCGCGTGTCCTTTTAGCCGCTGTGACGCATTTTGCCCTCTGGCACGCCAAGGATGTGTGGGAGATAGTCAAGAATGCTTCAGTATGTGGAGATTTTGCATCTTCGTGTTGACTTTGAATACTTAGGCTTACTTTTCAGACCCACGAGTGTGATGATGCCCATTACAAGAAAATGAAGGTACGTCGAGTTGTACGCCCATCCTTTCGTCTGTTCACTGAAACCTCGATCTCCAAGGTTTACAAGGAAGGTACTGTCTTTCAATTGATGTTTTGCTAGCAGCCAGTTGATTAACAACCTGTTTAATCCTGAAGTCCCTTGGTACTGGTATGGTGGCATCTTTATCATTTGCTTTGCCATAGCACTGGGAACATCTTACGGTGCCAAGTCGGGCATGCCTTGGTGGGCTTTGATTGTTGCTCTCATCATTACTGCGGTCTTTTTGCCGGTCATTGGCACATTGTACTGCACCGTTGGTTATCAGCCGTCGATCGAGAATTTAGTCCAGGTGAGTGAAACTGATATATACACCACACCTCTGGGCATCCCTCTCACGACATCTCATGGGTTATTCGTAGATGGTGGGCGGTGCTATTATCCCAGGAAAGCCCGTAGCAAACATGTACTTCACGTTGTATGGTTACCAAACGTACACTTTGACCTTGAATCTACTTCGGGACCTCAAAATGGTTTGCTTTTCTCAATTGCACTATTTTTGGCCTGACCTTCTCATTGCGTGACAGGGTCAATACACGAAACTTCCTCCTCGAGCCACTTTCGCGTTCCAAACAATGGGCGGTATAATTGTTCGTCTGTCTCATTCATGCTTCGATGCAGCATCAAGTTTATGCTTGTGTTTCAGGGAGGCTTGCTCAACTACGCCATCATGAAGAGTGTTCTGGCTTCTAACCGGGAGATCTTGTTGGACGTTCAAGGAACCAACGTTTGGTCTGGGCAGCAGGTAGGTGACATCTCTTCTTTGCACTCTAATTCTGTTCAATAGTTCGCGTAGGTTCAATCATACAACAGTGATGCCATTGCCTGGGGCGCACTCGGGAAACCCCTTTATACTCCAGGTTCACGCTACGGAGTATGTTCCACGCCCAACGGTCCCCCACAAATTACGCCACTGATGACTTGTGGCGATAGTTCGTTCCGTGGATGATTATCGCCGGTTTGGGTTTCCCAATCCCAACCTATTTACTTCACAAGAAGTATCCCAAATTCGGATGGAACAAGTGAGTACAATGCAACGTCCATGATATCTGACCTCAATGTGACTCATTGTCCGATGTTTCTTTTCAAGGATTTTCACGCCAATATTGGTGGCCGAACTAGGATTTCTGTCCGTTGGTATCAATTCCAGTGTCTTCACTTCCTTCCTTGTTGCCATCTTCTCCCAATGGTACCTTCGCAAGTAAGTAGAGAATTGGCTTGCTTTTAGCCGAGACTGATCTATGTTCTTCGCACAGATACCGCCCGAGATGGTTCCGCAAGTATAACTTCCTTCTCAGCGCAGCGTTGGATGGCGGTACTCAGGTGAGCTTCTGTCTGCGAACAAGATTGAGTGTATAACATGAACCCTTCAATCAGGTGATGGTTTTCGTCTGGTCGTTCGCTGTCGGAGGGGCTTCTGGCAACGCTGTCGATTTTCCCAACTGGGCCCTTGTCAGTGCCAAAATTCTTATATCAAGTTTTTGCGTTGACCGACTGCTCTCATTCCCAGAATCCCAAGGGTAACCCAGACTATTGTTTGCGGCTTACATGAGTGGCTTTCTGTTCGCGTGAGTCGATTGTTGAGCGATTTTTTTGGGGTTATTATGCCGGCGGACGCCTGGATCTATGTCCATGTCTAAGAGAAGTACACAAGTAGCATTGAAGCTACAGGAGAAACTGTAATTGGTTCCATTCAGTGCATGTGCAGCCTTGCTGAGTGCGTGGGTGGTTACTACAACATTGAGCTAGTCAAGGGTCGCAAGGATCGAAACTGCCTTTACTAGCGACTGTCGGCGGCGGCACAAACAGGCCCTTTCTAGAGTCTAGTTGACACTCGGAACGGTGGATCCATATGGAAAGCCCGTTGCATGCTGACGATGCTGGCGGCTAAGCGCTAAGACCTAGCCCAACGCGCCGGGAAGGCGCCAAAATAAACTCATTCTTAGAGTTCCCACGTCTTGCCCATCTTTTCCTGGTGCACTCCACTTACATTGGCACACCTTTCAGCGCCGTCCGCCCTGTGCGGGTCAGTCCAATACTACAGGGGATAGCGCTTATTTGCGCAAATATGATGCGACTCCTCACCTGATTCCCCGCTGCGCGAGGATCATGGAGCATAAACAGCGTTGAGATAGCCAGTTCCACCATTGCGCGTCGATTCCGCCATTTGAACGTCGGATGAAGATCGTGTGCTCCCGAACATTCCCAGTCTCCTTGCGCCGCATCCGATTAGATTCCGAGTCTCGGATAGAGATCGACGCCCAAAAGCGCTTGGGTGTTTTCTTCCAGCGCGTCCTCATGCTTCTTGCCATTCACTGCGTAACTTGTGATCATTCTCTCAGAATATGCCGGGCATAAGAACCCCCTCGTCGGTGTTCAATCTCTCCCACCGCCCTGTACGCTCGCCCTTCGGGAGACGGAGCGTCGCAATTCAAGCACCCTGGACGATACATGGCAGAGACATGGCGACAGACTCCGTCGACCCAGAGTTGAAACTTCCAAAGCGCTCTTCTCTCATATGCATCATAGCTTTGAATGCTCTATCGCAGGTCGGCACAAGCCCTGCCCTTTTTGAGCCCATTCGCAGCTCATTGTGAATTGACAGGTGTCGATGTTTATCGTCGTTTCATCGGCCAGCAAGTATGCCGAGTACTTGGGAGGCACAGCGACGTTTTCAGGGCTTGTGATCGGGATCCCAGTCGTGTTCGCAGGAATAGCACTCCTGCCTCTGATGGCAATTGATCGAGGTGCGTTTCACTGCACAGACTGCCAAGATATCCTTGTATTCAGGCCTTGTCTAGGAGCATACACCATCCCAATCTATTTCGCGTGTGCGATGGCTATTATAGGTCACATTCTGTATGGCCTGGCCTACCGTGCCAACTTCCTATACCTCGTTCTCATCGGGCGTTGCATCATCGGGTTCGGCTTCACGAATTTCATGTACTCTAAGCGTTTCTGCTCCGACGCCCGAATAGTCGGTATCCGCCGGCGCACGACTCTCGCGGGATGGCTTGTTGTCGGCCAGGGAATCGGGTTCAGCGTCGGTCCGTTCGTCGGGGGATTGTTGTATCGGGTTGGTTTCGAAAACGCTATCTTTAATGGGTACTCGAGCCCAGGGTGGGTCATGGCCGCTGCGTGGGCTCTATTTTGGTTCTTGTGTGTACAATTCTTCGAGGACGTGCCGAGGGAACCTCCACGACCTGAGAATGCGATCCAACACAGCCCCGTTTCTTCTCCCCACACAATCCCGCTCTCCGTCGTAGAATCCGGACACGATATTGCTTCTCAACGGTCCATCAGCCCCTCGTCGACCTTGACACCCGCTTCACACAATCCTAATCGCCGTCAATACGGAGTGATTGTGACGATGTGCTGGTTCGCCATGACCTGCTTCTTCATCCTTGGGGGCTGGGAGTCCAATTTGCCCATCTTTACCGCTCAAGTGTTCGGCTACTCCCCTTTTGCCGCCGGTAACTTTATTGCTCTCGGGGGCGTCTGCACATTCCCTTTGCTGTTCGTCAACCTCTATCTCGCGCGCCGCATCCAAGACAGGTACATACTCCTCTTCGGGGTGCTCTCGGGTCTCCTTGGCCTGCTCATCACGGTCGCGATCCTGAAGGCGGACGTGGTCACGTTTGGGTCGCTGTTCGTCTGCTGGTTCCTCGTGGCGCTCGGCTTCAATATAGCGAGCACCGTGACCATGAGCTTGCTGTCGAAGCAGTGTCCGCCGGAATGGAACGGGCGGCTGAGTTTGGCAATTCAATACAGCAACTTCGCAGGACGCGTGTCGGGCGCCGTGTGGGGTGGAGCGGGAATCAAGGTGGGGATGCTGAATTATGTCGGTCTGGAGATAGCCTTGGTTGGCATCGGAGGGGTCTTGTTCCTCACGTTGTGGAGAGAGCTGAAGGCGAAGACAGGGTGACTGTTTTTCTTGTGATATTGTAATAATTTTCGCGGCTGTATCGCATGTATCTCGAGGACGCTATCGTATATATTTTAATCAATGACATGAAGCGAAGCTAGCTGTTTGTTTTGGGATCGGCCTTCCTCAACACAATTTGGCAAGTGTCTCGACATGTCATGCGCATGCAGCGCGCTCGAGTCTTAATTATGGAAAGTTGCACGCCAGCCTCTACGCACCACGGTCAATATAAACGACACGCCGCAAGGTCAAGCCTGAGAACGGAGGCTGAAAGTACTGTAAGATCTATGCACGTCCCCACGCCTCCTTGCACGTTGCCAACAGGGTCAACAGCACGCGGAGCACAGACCCGAATCGGGAAGCGGATAGAGCGTAGCTTGCACGACGGTGACGCCAGGCACTGGCTCTGCGGCTTCCATTCTGCGCCCCAGACGTACATAGGGGACGGCGACAGCTGAGAAGCAGGCTGCGAACGACGGTAAGGACTGCGGGCGCGAGGGCTCGTTCTCACACGGCCGATCGCGTCGCGTTCCTCGGTGGTAGTGGGTGGGAGACGCGAGCGAGGACGCCGGGGACAGGCCCAGGCGCTCGGGTTTCCCGAGCGCGCTTGTCACGGCGCGAGTCCCACACCAGAACGTTAGAGGCTTGCGGCGAGCGCCGTCTCGACGCTCGTGCATGACGTGACGACCGGGGTGGACGGCTGTCGGACAAAGCGACACCTGCGCGTGCGCGCGCGCGCGCTGCCCCTTCCTGCGCCACCAGAGAAGAGCAGAAAACTTCGCGCGTCACACGCCCCTCGACGCGCGGCACGCGGGCAAGCAGCAGCCCGACGCGCCAAACTCGCACGGGGCACGCCCGTCCCGAGTGCCGATGCGCTGCCCGTGCACACGCCAGCCGTCTCTTCTCGCGAAAGGGCCGCGCGGCGCGGCGAGGATGAACCGCGACGCGCAAGCCCCGCAGGACAGGGCTTCGCGAAGGCCGCGCACGGGGAGCACGGGAAGCAGCTGGCACGGTGCCTGCGCCATCCGGATCTGGACACGGGCGCGCACGCGCACGCGCAGCGCCGCGCGCTCGCGGCCCCTGGGGGTGGCAGGGCCCACGCCAGCGCGAGCGCCCGGAGAAGCCGCGAAGCGCAGGCCGCGCGCCTCGTTGCCAGCGCGTGCAGAACGTTGCGCCAGCAGCCCCGCTTCCGCTTCCACCCGCGCCGCCCACGGCGCCGTGTCACGCGGCGGAGTAACGCACGCCTGCGAACCGTGGGCTCGGCGCAACGGACTAGCGCGTGACGCGGCGCAGGCGTGACAGCGGGATGGCGTCATCGGGGTATCACATGGGCCGCGGCGAGGCCCGCGGAGCCGCTGCCGCCGTGAGCGCAGGTGCCCAGAGCGGGGCGGGCGCAGCGGCGAATGACGTTACTCGCTACAGCCCGTTGCGCCGCCGAGGCGAACGCGTCGACCGCACAAGCGCGGGTAGGCGGAGCTCCGCCGCATCCGGTGCGCACCGACAGGGCGAGGGCGAACGAGGGCCCGGCGGGGGGGGGGGGGGGTGGGGAGGAGACGCCGAGGGAGGCGTGAGAGCCGCGACCGAGTTCGGCGCGCGCTGGTGCAGGAACGCCGGCGGCACGAGGCGGGATCACGCGCCGCGTTGCGCGGTCTCGGGGGCAGTGAGAGCAGGCGCGGTATCGGCAACGCGCGTCATGGCAGGCTGATTCGGGGGATGATCATCGTCATCGAAGCGAGCCGATGACGACGGCGATCGCCCGGGCGTCCGCGCGTGCGCTTGCCCACCGCCCACGGCCGCGTGTGGGTCGGTGTGGTGTGCACGGACGTCGCGAAGGCGTCTGTGCAGGGTCTCCACGGTGCCCGTCCTCAATTTTAGCACGCGGGGATTCAACACCCGGCGCGGATCGACGCGACTCGGGCTCGGCGTCGCCAAGGTGGGCTGCCGTGGGCCACCGTGGGCCATCGTGGGCATTGATCAATCCCGCTCGGGTCGATACGAGCGAGGGACGTACAGGGGCGTACCGAGCCCCAGGCGCAGTCGTGGTCGTGGCGCGCTCCGGCGGCGGCTAGACCCCAAGGGTCCATGGCAGCCAGGTCGGATCGGTCGCGGTCGGGGACAGGCGATGGCGGTGACGATGACGATGAGGGTGGCGATGATGACGGCGATGATGGCGGCGATGGTGATCAAGATGACCAGGATAGGGCGGCGGAGTCGGGAAACGATGCTGGGAAGCGGATATCGGCGCCGGCGTCGGAGATACGCGATGGGGAAATCGGACACGCGAAGCGGCGTGCGGAAGATGGGAAGCCAGGGGGGCGTGGTGGTTGCCCGCGCGCACGGGCGCGGGCGCAGGCGCAGGCGTGGGCGCGCGCGTTCGACTGAATGGCGTGGGCGCGTGGGGCGCGGCAGGGTGTGCGAATGGGTGCCCGCGCGGGGAGCGGATTCGGCTTCGAGCCTCCCTCGGGCCGCGAGCGCGCGTGCGTGACGTTGGCGCGTTCCACTCGTCGACGTTCGACGTCGAAGCGCCGCGCAGTCTGGCGTGTCGTGGCGTGACAGGTGCCCAGTCCCCGTCCAGCGCCGTGCCCTCGCCGCTCGTTCCCAGCGCGTCCGCGTCCGCGTGCGCTCAAAGTGCCCGGCCTCGTGCGGCGTCTCCACGCCAAGGCGAGCTGTCCGCATCCGCGCGGGCGTCCGATTCCGCGTCCGATTCCGAGGGCGGTCCGAGGGCGGTCGAGCGCGCGGTGCCCACGTTCCCGACCAGAAGCGCAGGCACCGCACGGCGAAGCCGGCGCGTCGCGCGGAGCCAATGCGAGCGAGGGCCGAAGGGGGCGACGGGCGTGGTGGGGCGTGTGGACGTGCGGACGCGCGCGGAGACGTGGGAGGGCGGTGCGTGACCGCGGGCGCGATGCGAGGGGATACGAGGGGTGGAAACGGGACGGCTCGGAGGGACGCGAAGGCGCTGCGCCGCGCGCCGTGCGGTCGTGCCTGCGTCCCGTGCGAAGCGCGAACCTTGTGCGCGCGTGGCTGGATGTGGGTGTGGGGCTGCGGACGAATGGACTGGAGAGTGGGACGCGCGGGGAAGCGTGACGCGGGTGCCGGGGAGCCGGGTGGGCCGTTGTCGTCGTCGCCGGTGTCGCGCTGCGCACCTCGTTCATGAGCGGCGAGGTGACGATCTCTGTCAGACGGGGGATCATCTGGCCTGACGGCGCGATCTGAACCCTGGGGAGCTGATGAGGATCGAGCGCGACCAAGGGGAGGCAGGTACGTGGGCGACTCACGGTTGTGAACGTGAGAGCTGCGTGACTGTACCAGCGGTACGGGGTGCAGCGTGCAACGCATCGCGGGGTGGGCAAGCGATCACGGCGCATCGAGGATGGACGCGTGCATCCACTGGGTGCGTTGGGTGCTGCGCGTTACTAGGGGCGGAAAGCGGGCGGAACGCGGTCAGGCGAGTGCGCATCCGACTTGGGGTGGGACGGCTGCGCCGGTTCCGGATTGCGGGCGATCGTCGTGGCGCGTTGTGTGGGGGGCCTCGAGCGGGCGAAGAAGGGAAGGACGGAAGGCGGGCGCGTGTGGAGGGCGTGGGGTGGCGTCGCGCGGGACGGGAGAAGCGGGTCTGGGAGGTGCGGTGCAGATTGGGAGCGTCTGGGGGCCGCGGTGGGTGCTGGAGAGGAGGTGTCGCGGGGGTGGCAGGCGTCAGCGCGGCGGGGGCGTGTGGCCGTTCGGGTGGGTGGGATGGGCATTGGGCGCCCCGAGAGGGTCTGAGAAGGGGAGAGGGAGAGGTCAGCTGGACGACGCGCCTCTGCAGGCTTTGCGGGGACGCGCCGGACTGGTGCGATCAGACGGAGGGGATGTGGAGCGAGCGGCGAGCGGGGAGGACAGCGTTGGGGGCGAGGCGAGGGGAAAAGGCACGGGATGGGAGGGACGTGCGGACGGATGGACGGCATGGAAGCCTGCGATCGGGTGCCGTGCACGGATCTGGACGGCGCTGGACGGGTGGCGGAGGGCGCCGCTAGTATAGAACGCGTACGTACTGCGCGGATGATGTGGGTGCAAAAGGGAAGAGGGAAGGGCCGAGGAGGAGGAGGAGGAGGAGTGGGCGATGCGGGTGCGATGCGGGTGCGATGCGGGGGCCGGGACCGGGCAACGGCCGCTGGGGAGGGCGGGGAACGCGGTGCGTGACGTGCGTGACGGACGAGGGCCGAGGGCTGCGAGTCATCTGACGGGGTCTGACGGGGGGACGCGGGCGAGGGCGGGCGGGACGGCGCCACGTGTGTGGGTCGGAGGCGGTTACGGCAAAGGGTTGCGTGACGGCGGTGACGGACGTGACGTAGCAGCGCCGTGGCCGCGCCCTCGCGCAGAGATCGCCACGCTCCGCCACACGCTGCCCACGCCCTATATCTCCTCCACTCCCCGGTCCGTCCATGCTCTCCCCCAAGCCCCCTCCTCTCTGTCCCCCCTCCAGCCCCTTCCCCCAATGGACCGCCTCTCCCCTCCCCTCGTCCCGGTCCCCCCGCCCGACGCGTCCGACCCCTCGACCCCCCAACAACAGCCCCCGCCCCCGACTCACCCCGCCACACCCGCCCCGCCCCCGCCACAACCACCGGCCTCTCCCGCCCCCGCCCCCGCCCCCGCTGCCGCCCCCGCCGCCTCTAGCGCCAACGGCAACCCCCAGCCCCCACCCGCACAGCTCGCCCTCATCCTCTCCACCGTCCTCCAGGAAAACGAGGACCTCAAGCACGAGCTCCACGCAACAAAGCGCCGCGCAGACCGCCTCGACTACCTCCTCAACGTCATCTCTGCCAACCAGCAAGAGTCCCCCCCGCCGTCCCCCCCGGTCTCCTCCCTCCCAAAACCCGCTCTCAAGGCCATCCTCGACCTCGAGGCAAAGCTCGACGCTGAGCGCGCAGCCCACCTCGATGTCGACGCCCGCCTCCGTAGCCTCACAGACGCTTGGGCAGACCTCGATCGCTTCCTCCAGCACGCAGAGCTCCGCGCCGCAGACGCCCGTGCCAGCTTCGCCCACGCCGTCCGTGACGGCGCCGCAAAGCTCAGCCTGAACGGCAACGCTTCCAGCCCCGCCGCCTCACCCCCTGCCCCCAACCACACCACCCTCCAACACCAGCACCATTACCAGCAGGGCCATCCCTCTTCCTCGTCCTCGGCTGCGCGTCACCCGCAGCACCAGTACCCCACCGCCTTCGCAGCACGCGGCCCCACTCCGCGCAGCACCTTTCAGCAGCCATTTTCGTCGCTTCCGTCGCTGCCCCTCCCCCCTCCGCCGAACCCCCACCCTGGCCGCGTTCGCCCGCGCGACGACGCCGCAGATGACCTTGGGCCACCCACCAAGCGGCATCGCAGCGCCCGCTATAACGACGACGTCCGTCCCTCCTTTCTACATGTCCTTGCTTCCCAGTGCTCACCCTTCCTCTCCCGACAGACCTATCTCCCGCCGCCGAACCCCTACCTCCACCCTATAAACTACTCACAGTCTCACCACGCCCACGCTCTCCCCAGCCTTCCCCCGATCCACGCCCACCCCCCACCCCACCCGCACCACTACATCCCCGCCCCCTCGCATGGCCGCGGCCGCCCGCGTTCTCGCACTCCCTCGCACACAGACGGCCACCGCTCGCGCTCGCGTTCGTCATCGCTCTCGCTTGACGAGATGCTCCTCCAGGTCGCCACTGACGACCGCTCCCGCGCTGGCTCCCCCACCGGCACCCCCCTCGCGCCCTCAGCATCTGCCGGCGCCCTAGGCGGCCGTGCACCCTTCTACCGCGCGCCTTCTCCCGACTACCCACTCCCCGGCCTGCGCGCGCGCGGGAGCATGCACCCATCCACCGCGCACCCCGCCCCGCCGCCGTCCCACCCGCACCCGTCACTACCCTCGGCGCAGCGCAGCCCCGCTCACGGCCCCGCGCTCCAAAGCTACCAGACGCACGTATTTGCGCCACCCGTGACGGGCCCCCCAGGGAAGAAGCTCGCAGGCACCGCCTCGCCAGGCGCCGTGCCCGCTACGGTTGGGGCGAAGACGAACGGCAACGGCAACGGCAACGGCATTGGTGCGCTTTTTCCTGTTCCCCCCACCAGAAGCGCACTGATTCTGATACCATCTTCTTTCCTTAGACTTGCCCCGCGCGGCGCTTGCGCCCACCGGTGGGTCGTACCCGCCCACGAACGACAAGGGCCAGCGCATCTGCCGCCAGTGCGGCCTTCCCGGGCGCTACAAGGACGGCAAATGCGTCGAAAAATGGGGGCCCGGGCCTGAGGGCCCCGGCACCGTGTGTGATCGGTGCGTGTGCGCGCGGGATCTCAGCGCCGGCAAACCCTGACCCTTTTTTTTTTTTCACCAGGTGCCGCAAAAAGATGAAGCGCGTGGAGCGCCGCGGGACAATGCCTGGCCCCGGCACGGCGATCGCCGTGAGCGCGAGTCACGCCGCGCTGGACGGCGCGCCCGCGTCGGGCGCGCACCCGCACATGCACCTGCACCCGCACGCATCGTTCCCCGCACCGCATGCACACTCTAGTAACGGGCGGAACGGTCTCGGCACCACGAGCAGCCTGCGGCGCACGGACACGGTGCTCGCGAGCCCGCCGGTGCGGCTCGTGAAGCACGAGGCGGGCGGCGCGGAGGAGGGCTCGCGGTCGCCCGAGGGGCGGAGCAGCGCGTCGTCCGCACGGGCCACACATCTGCGCGTGCATTCACACTCGCACCGCGCGCTGGCGGGGAGCGGGGACGAGGACGTAGACGCGGACGGGAGCACAGACGAGCTGGAGCACGACGTTGAGGGGGAGGGGGAGGGGGACGCGATGGTCGTGGACCCTGCGGCCGCGGCAGCGGTGGGCGGCGTCAAGCGGAGCAAGGCGTGGAAGCGCGGGTATGCGCGCGGCGGGGAGGTGGACGAAGAGCTAGAGCTGCTCGAGGCGGTCGACGCGGCGGAGAAGGCGAGCGCGGGGAGCGAGTACGTGAAGCTCGAGGCGTGAGCCCGCGGACGCCGCGCGTCCGCTCCGTTTCCTCTTTATTCTATCCTGTTTGTTAGATCCGCCCCACGTCTCCGCGCGTGAACATGCCTCTCCCTTCCGTCCGGACGTTCTCGCGCTCTCGCCTCGTCCATATGTATGCGCCGGGCTCCGCGTTTTCTTATTCACTTTTCTCATTTTTTCATACGATTTACCTTCTCTTCTGTATATAGGCCCGTTTCTCGTGGGCCGCCTTTCGTCTCTTCGTCTTTATCATCTCTTGGTCTCCCCTGGCTTTCTGGCTCCGTATCGCGTTTTTCTTTCGCTATCCCGTTGTGTCTGTTTTATATCGCGTGTCGTGTTCGCGTCGTGTCGTGTCTGTATAAATAATCTGATCTCGTCGTCGGACTGTTTTCGCCCCGCGTCGTGCGATGTCTGCGTATGGGTCAAGAACCGGTATGACTTGCTTCCGATTTGTATCCGACCGGCCGTGTAGTATGCCGTAGATGCGTCTTGTTGAAGACGATGATGATTATATGCGTACTTTCGTGCCCGGTGACTATATGCGTATGTTCATGCCGCCCATTGGCGATCGAGGGCAAGGTTCGCGTGTATGCGCGCGTGCGGTGAGTCAGAGAAGAGTCGATGCGCGGGCGTGCGGGTTTCTGTGGTTATCGCCCATACGTGAGTGGGGGAGCTCCCGCTAGGAGTGTTCCGGGTGGGAGAATGTGGTCGGTGGGTATGCTCTTACTCGGTGGGAGTGGAGAGCGGTGGGTCGATCGAATGCATCAATGGACGGCGCGTCTCGGAGACGTGTCGCGTTGGTGGTTTCCCAGCACGTGAGCACAGCCGCTCGACGCATCGTGATCTAGCAAGTAGCTTTTCGCTCTGAACGGCCTTGACTGGTTGACTTATTACTTCGACTCGCAGCTGGAAATCTCTGGCGACACGTTTCATGGTGCTGGAAAGCCAAGCCTCGGCTCTTATGCGTGCATAGAGTCCGCCTCTGATTTCATGAGGTCCTGGTACAACAGCCTACACAGAATAACGGTCCCGCTGTTTGCGCGCGCTGCGCCGCACTTAAGATCTACCGCCGAGGGAATGCCTGCGTCATACAGCGCTCGCGCATCCCACGTTCTCTGCTCTCTGAGCACTTGATGCTTATTTTGAGCCAGGCATCAGGGTCGCAGCTAGCCTGGCGCTGTCAAAGTCGCGGCGCGTCTCGCTTGCTCGCACCAAGTCATGCCGTGGTGCACCGCAGCTCCTCCGCCCCCAGCTGGCTGTGCCGCAGGTTCAAACGTGCTTGCACCTATATAAGCCGGAGAAGGACAGGGCTGCGATCATGCAGCCGAGCGCGCGGTTTTGCGTGGCCCAGCTGTCCCCGCAGGTATCAGCACCGGCACACTCCTCGGGTCGCACGCAGGGTATGCGCCGCGCAGACGTATTCGACTGCGCACGCGCATGTGCTCCCCGATGCCGAGGTGGATGTCGGTGTCGTGCGTGTGGAGGCTCGCGATGCGCTCCAAGATCGTTGCAGGCTGCGATCCTCTCAGTACAGGCTGCGTGGGTCGTGTCGCTCGCCCTTGACCAGCTCTGCGGCATTTCGCGCGCAGCCGTCTCGCGCACCGTTTGGGTCACGCACGCTGGTCGCTCATCTGCCGTCTCGCAGCGATGCGCGCACGGAGCGTATGAATAGCCCGTCTCTCTCTCCGTTCGTACGCACTATTCCTCTCGGCGACTGCGCAGCCTGCGTGTCCGATGGCGTGAGCGCTGGGATCACGTCGAGCGCGCTTTCCATTGGCTCCCCGTTCGCTGAAGCGCTCTGTCATCTCTCTCATCTGGATCTTATAGGCTGTGCAGTGGAGTGGAGGACAGGTACGGCAACCTGGCTGGAATACGCGGTTCCCCCTGCGCGCTGCGCGATTCTTGGGCTTTATATACTGCTTGAAAGAGCTGAGACCGCAGGGTCTACTACGTCCTCAAATCGTGCAAACACTTCAAATGCCTCCCCGCGACGACTCTGAAAATCAACAAGGCAATACAGGCGAAGGGGGGTCCGATTTCAGAGGTGGAGATCGTGGTTATGGGTATCGGGGAGGCAGAGGCAGAGGCTGGGGTAGGGGAAACGGAGGCAGAGGCAGAGGCGGAGGTAGGGGCGGAGGCGGAGGCGGAGGCGGAGGTAGAGGAGAAGGTAGGGGGCGGTATCGCGGTGGTGGTGAACGCAGAGGCCAGCCGTTCTGGCGCGGTCGCGGAACGGGTCACCACCCCCCTCAGCAGAACGTAGCTACAAACGAAGGGTCTCTTGTCGAGCAAGAGCACGCCTCTGCGGAAGCATCCATGCTGGTGGAGTCGGACTCATCATCTCTGCCGCCTGCTCCCGTGGAGGCCGTCGGCGTCAAGCGCCCTAACTTGAGCGGCAACAGGGGAAAATATATCATCGTGTCGACCAACTTTTTTGAAATCACCATTCCCCAATGTCTCATCCACCAATATGACGGTCTGTCTCCTATATTCCACCTGTACCTTCGTGACTGACGGAAGGCTTTGTATTCTTGCACAGTCGGTAAGCATCGGCGTTCATCGTTTCGAGTCAGATTTGATTGACACGAATATAGTCATCTCGCCATCGGGCGACAAACTCCCGCTGCGGCGCTCGTTTGACATCATCCGCAAGCTGCAGCACGAAGTCGAACCGGACATCTTCAGTCGTCGCGGCGTCTACGATGGCCGCAATAATTTTTTCACCACCCAGAAGCTCGAATTCGGCAAGAGCGCCGAGGTACGACTTTGCCCATATTTTTTCGTCCACGTTCTGAATCAGGGATGAATTTCAGTTTGATGTCGTCATGTCAAAAGCGCCCCCCAAGGCTGACGCCGACGCCGACGCCGCCGCCGCCATCGCCGATGCCGATGTCAACACCAACGCTGACGCCAATGCTGATGCCAGTGCTGACGCCAACGCTGACGCCAATGCTGATGCCAGTGCTGACGCCAATGCTGACGCCAACGCTGACGCCAATGCCGACGCCAATGCCGACGCCAATGCCGACGCCAATGCTGACGCCAACGCCAATGCCGACGCCAATGCCGACTCCGGCGCCAACGCCAACGCCAACGCCGACGCCAATGCCGACTCCGGCGCCAACGCCAACGCCAACGCCGACGCCAATGCCGACTCCGGCGCCAACGCCAACGCCAACGCCAATGCCGACGCTGATGCCGACTCCGGCGCCAACGCCAACGCCAACGCCACCGCAAGCGCAAACGCAAACGCCGACGAGACAATTGCAGTCCAACGACGTGGCCCCAAAGTATACAAAGTCCGGTTGGTACACGTCGCAGTGATCAACCCCGAGTGCGTACCTCCCTATGTCGAGCGTCAGACTCATATATTTGACATCTATCAGAGTGCTTTCTCGCTTCGTCAACGGTCAACAGTCCAATGAAGAGCGCGTGCTCACATCCGCCGTTACCGTAAATTATCATGTCTCCCTCCGAGTGCCCGGACATTGATAAACTTCTATGCACCAGGCACTCAACACGGTAGTGCGAATGGTGCCAAACTCTTGCTATCCTTTTAATTCTCGTTGCTTCTATACAGATGAGGAGGTGCGGCCCATCGGAGGTGGTATTGATCTGTGGCGAGGATACTTCCAATCTGTCCGTCCGGGAATTGGAAGGATGCTGATAAACATTGATATCTCAACGGCTGCCATGTACAAACATGGCCGTCTTATTGATTTGTGTCTTGATTTCTTGGGCATTCCAGCAGGCAATGTGGTGGCCTTGGCACCTACCCGAGGCTTTCCCTTTCGAGAGCAGATCCGGCTAACCCATTTTCTGCGTGGACTTATGGTGACCATGCCTTATAGACAGCGCTCATTTCGCATTGCGAAACTGAGCAGGAGAGGTGCTTGTGATGAGACTTTCCAATTGGATGGGAAAGAAACAACAGTTGCTGAATACTTCAAGGATCACCACAACCATCCTCTCATGTATCCTGAGGTGATCTGCGCAGTGGTGAGTTTGAGCGAGCATGTAATTCACTTCAACTGACACTACTTAGCTGCCTCGCGGGGACGTGATTCCGCTCGAGATGTGTGACGTGCCCGCAGGACAGTTTATGAAACGTCAGATTCCTAAGGACAAGAAGCGGGATTTCCTGGCATTTTCCATGATGAAGCCTGGGCAACGCTTGGCAAGCATCCGGAACGGCTTCAACGTGAGCTTCTCTCTCTCTCGTACCGATCGAATTGATTATGGAAGAGGCTTCAGACCCTCAAGTATGGCGATTCCGAATACCTCACAGACTTTGGGATGAACGTCATACCGGAGGAGTTGAGGGTCAACGCCCGCATCATCGATCCCCCGACGCTGAAATACGGCGAGCAGGGCCGGCAAAAGAGCATCGTAAGCCTTGTTTCCATCCAGCTGAATCGCTCGTATTCTTAACAGCGCTGTGCTGAAGCTACCAGCAAATGGGGCATGGAACATGTAAGTGCTCGTCAAGTGGATCTGTCTTGTGCCATTATATGAGCAACAACAGGATCGACAAGCACGTATATGAAGGATGTAGCACCATTGACCAGTGGATAGTGGTTATTTATGAGCGCAGGGCCAGATTCAACCCGCCACGCCTAGAAGGAATGATACGCGGCCTTGTATCAGGCTGCGAAAGCATCGGTAACTCGAGCATCCAAGTGGTTCATGATCCTCTCTGATATCCAGGCTGTCTAGGTCTCTCGATTAATCCATATCCATTCTACGTGAAATGGGAAAATGGGCAAGGAAACATTGGCAAGGCACATCGATCCTCGAACCTTCATCTGTCTATGTCCGTTCTGAGTATCATTATTCTGTTAGCAACTGCGCGAAGCGTGCAAAAGCTGCAAGGATGGCCGTCCGGATCTAGTCGTCGTCATCCTTCCGGGGGACGGCCAAGATGACCTCTATGCCCACGTGAAGTTGTAAGTGCCAAACCTATCTGCTTGCAACATCTCTCATGCATCGCCGTCCTGATTCTCCAGCTTTGGAGATGTGAAGGTGCGTAAAGGCATGACGTTCGCGCACAATATGTCTGCTCATTCAACGAGAAGGACGGGGTGATGACGCAGTGCATGCTGTCAACAAAATGTACCGCTGCCAGCCGGCAATATTTTGTGAATGTGGCACTCAAGTGCGTTTCCCCAGTGCCCAGTGACGACTCCATTTGTTCATTGGTCACCTCTGCACAGGATAAACGCTAAACTCGGAGGGATCAACGTCATCCCGGATCCCGCCCATGTATCGATGTTGACCGATCCCGTTCACCCGACCATCGTAATGGGTACGTCTGCCAACTCGGTCTCGTATGTGTTCAGTCGGATGATCGGTTCGATCCAGGTGCGGATGTGACGCACCCACGGCCCGGGGTGCAGCATCGACCATCCTTCGCTGCCGTTGTCGCGAACATAGACAGCCACAACGCAAAATATGTGGCGAGGATGGAAGTTCAGGACCCCAATGTAGAGATGATACAGGGCTTGGAAGACATGAGCAAGGCAAGTCCCATTCCGGCTTAGAATATTCACCAGTCTCAATAATTTCCGTGGATTTTAGTATATCTTGGAGATGTACATACGGAGAAACAACATGGCACCCAAGCGCCTCATCTTCTACCGAGGTGATGCGCGTCTCTGCAAAATTGAACGGCATTCTTACGACGAGATGCACAGATGGCGTGTCGGAAGGCGAATTCAGACAAGTACTCGAGAAAGGTAAACATTGGTTATGTCCCTTCTAACCTGACAGTCCTCATCGCTCATCGGATATCAGAGCTTGTCCTCATACAGAGTGAGCATTCGCTGCATCGACGCTTGCGGGTACTGTTGAACGCAGCTTCCAGATGCGTGCCAAGCACTCGGCATCGCGCCTAAAATCACGCTGGTCGTGGTCGGCAAGCGGCACCACGCTCGCTTCTTCCCCACAGACACCAAAAACAAGGACAAGAGCGATAACTGTCGTGCGGGGACGGTCATTGACACAGGCGTGGTCAACCCCCTTGAATTCAATTTTTACCTGCAAAGCCACGCCGGAATCATCGGGACAAGCCGCTCCGCGCACTACAATGTGCTCTACGACGAGAATCAGTTCACGTTGGTGTCGTTATAGCGCTCTTCTCACCTCCGTACTGACCCGCATGAAGTGCCGACGGGTTGCAAGAGCTGTCGTATGCTTTGTGCCACGTGTACTCCCGCGCAACGCGCTCAGTGTCCATCCCTGCTCCCGTGTATTGTATGTGTGCTACTCCTTGTTGCCGTTCTCGACGCTGACTAGATGTGTCCTCCCCAAATGACGGCAGATGCGAACACCGTCTGTGCTCGAGCGCAGTACCATTACGATCCGCAGGTCAGAATGGGGCTCTCGCTATCGGAGACGGGGGAGAGTGAGGAGGAAGGTTTTGATCTGGAGGCATTCAAGAAGGGGTTCCTCCCACTGCACGAGCGCATGATGGGATCGATGTATTTTTCGTGATTGCGGCAGAATGGACCTCGGGGGTGAATTCGACAATGCGTAGCAGACGTATGTGGGCAATCGTGTAGTGTAGTCAGGATGTTTTGAGCATGCGAGAAGTTGCATTGCCAGACTGCTTAGTAACGTGTGTCCCTCCTGTTGCCTACAAAGACGGAATCAGGTCGGCGATAGAGCGTAAATGGGTCAACGCACTAAGCTAGAAAGACATGGATAGAGGAGCTCGAGTGTCCAAAGCGATGTCTGATGCAAAAGAAAAACAGGTCAACATAATCACAGGGAGGAGAGCGAAAACTCCACCGTCAGAGGGATGTAAGCGGTAGACATGATGTCTATTGTTGGTATAATTTCGAGCGTCTTTCAGCCTGGTCATAAACCAGAATCCAGAGTTGCCTTGCTCAATAGGCACTTCTATACGCTGAGAAAAATAACATGGATACACAATATCAAACTGAGGGCTGGAAATCACCCGGTGATGGTCTCAGTCATGTTGTCACGCAAGACATTGCTCACGGGCTGAAGCCAACAGAAGCAAGTGTCATGAAGCTACGTACAAGGATGAAGATATTGCATCCCTTGGAGCCATGTCTTGGTGAAGGTTCATATTAGGGAAGATGCTATCGCTCTGTCTCAGACACAGATATATGATGATCTTCTTACATTGTGAGAGAAATGACGCAGTGATCTCTGCGGTGTCCCACGACTGTTTTCTGTGACGCTCGAGCTCAAGAGAACGAATGACGAAGTGATCTGGGAAAATGGCTCATGTGATTGAAGGTCTAGACCTTGCGATAGGAAATGTCAATGGGCGCTGCGATTGATTCTGTTAGAACTACTTCAACTGTGAACGGAATTTCCACACCCAAAATCGTAAATTTGGCCTTCGAATCAGATTGAGCATCTGTGCGCGTATATGGAGTAAGGAATCGGAAGCCATATGGTTTTGCTAAATTTTGTCGCGCAAGGTTGGGATGCTGGCTCCAGCGTTCAAACGTTCAAGGTCGCTTGTAGGGTTGTCGTATAATCGGAAATGCTTTGCCCAGTTTAGTCATGTTCTGCCATTTGGGACCGTATATTTAAGCCCCGCCTCCCATACCAGTACTTGTTGGACAGCTGAACTGAATTCTTAGATATGTTCCTCGACATGCTTCAAAGGAAGAAGACCGTGCTCAACGAAATGCATAGCGTTGAGTATGCTATTGGATGCCATGCTTCTTCCGCTTGCTCCCTGCTGCGTCATGTGCTGTGCCGTCTGATTCTCAAATTTAACGCTCCGATCGAGTCATTTGGGGTGTCTTGTTGTTCGAAGGTATCCGAGTCCTCTTGTCTGCTTATTGCAATCTAACAGATATCACTTTTGAACCCTACTTTCTGAAAAAGACCTCTAGTCTGCATCAACGGAAGGGCTAACAGTGCCCTGTATGACCAAATGGAGGTGGTTCCATGTATCTTGGATCGAACACAAATTGATAACTTGGGCTTTCCTTTCGGTGAGATCTCTATTTGGATGATATATCTCGTGTCTCACGCTTAGTTCCATAGCTATTGACATGCATTCGACCGTTCAGCAGTATTGAGCACGGCGTGAGGTAGCGTGAGGTGAACCGGAGAAACCTCGGAGAGTCGTGATTACTCGCTGAAGGACACCTGTTCCCGAGTTCAACTTCGACAGTTCGCCGCAGGGCCATATCTGTGAAGACGTACCGAAGGCCGAAAGCCCTGCCCGTTTATGCATCCAAGCGGCAGGCAACATCTTTTGTATATAAAATTGATAAGATGTGTCGGCGGCGGTTGTTAGCAGGCCGGTATAAAAGCTGCAGCAGACTGGCGGACCTCCCTCACCCCTTTCATTCCTTACGATCTTCGAACGTCTAGCTATGCTCTTCAAAAACACCCCTCGTGTATCCTATCCCATCTTCTCTCTGACGTCGCGTTCCTCGCATGCATCCCTCCGCGGAATGGCAGTTGTTGCGACGACTAGAAAGCCGAAAGCAGAAGGGTCTATCGCCTCTGTATTCACTACCTTATCTGGCGGCGCGGATACCGTCCTTCCTCCTCTTTTCTCTGATCTCAAGAAAGAGATTTGGCGCGACAATCTGGTGGAAAGTTGGCACGAAGTCCTCAGTCATCTCGATGAGGCTGTAGAAGAAGTCGCCACCAAGGGGGCAACTGTAAGAATGTCTCACCCGCTGTATCTCCATCCTGCTCATTTTTATGTGTTTTAGATCATTCCAAGAATTACGTTTTCAGAGATCAAGAAAGGCGTTTCTTTGGAGCAAGCTGCAGCAATCAAGAAAACGGGTGTTGTTGTAGTTACTGGCGGCGTTCCGAAAGAGGTGGGATGCACCAAGCGCATAAGGCATCAGTAGCTAATTTACAGTTTCCAGGAAGCACTCGCCTGGAAGCAATCTCTCCGAGACTATGTTGCTGACAATGTTGGGCGAGTCAAAGGTCAGATCTATCGCAACCCAACCCTATGCTTTATTCATTTATCTATTCGTTTATTTCAAGGCTTCCCTACCGATAACATTCAGGCATATGAGATATATAACTCGAAAGCTCAGACCCTCGCGAGAACACACCCTGCACTTGTAGAGACCCAACGGCAGTTACTAGCGCTCTGGCACACATCTGACCCGTCCACGGAGATAAGCCTCACCACACCCATCTCTTATTATGATCGCTTCCGTATCAGGATCCCTGGAGACCGCTCTTTTGTACTCGGACCTCACATTGACGGTGGATCGATTGAACGATGGGAAGACCCGGGGTTTAGGGCTTGCTTCAAGAACATATTGGAGGGAAGATGGAGGGAGCATGACTCCTTCGATGCGTCTCCGAGGATCCATGCTAAACAAGATCTTTATCATGCGGCGTAAGTATTCACACATTGATAGGCGCTTCCATGTTACTCAAACTACCAATCCACAGGAATCAGTGCACTGTCTTCCGCCCTTGGCAGGGATGGACGTCGCTCTCGACCACAGGCCCTTCTGAAGGCACTTTACGTGTCTGCCCCATGCTCCCATTAACATCCGCATACCTGATGCTTCGTCCATTCTTCCGACCGAACTTGGGGCTTTCTCTTCGCGACTGGGTACCCGATCTTGAGAGCACATCATTCCCCGGGAGTGTCATGGCGAAGACACAGGAGCTGAATTCTGTCACCCATCCGCATCTGCAGTTGGACCGTACAATGGTGTCGGCACCGAGGGTAGAGCCAGGGGACCAGATATATTGTACTATTTTAACCACCTACCATCGCGGTGATGCTGATGCCCCAGTCTCGATAGGGCACTGCGATGTTGTCCATGCGGTCGAAGGAGAGCACAAAGGACACAGCGACTCTTCTGTACTATATATCCCCGCTATTCCCTTGACTCTTCACAAGTGGGTCTTCTTCAACCAACGCTCAGACCAGCACTTGTGATCATCTCTGTCCTAGTGCCGATTATCTTCGCGACCAGCGTAGCAATTTCATCAACGGTCTTCCTGCGCCGTACGTACCGCTATATCTGTTACGATCCTCATTCTCTGCGTTCTGTAATCTAACACAATATTATCCTGACAGGGATTTCCCCGGCGGAGAAGGTGAATCGCAATTCGTCAATCGAGCGTCCGTTCAAGATGTCGCAAGTGTTGAAGGCCAGCGTATGCTTGGCCTTGCACCATTCGAAGCGTCAGATCATGCAACTGCAGGGGAGAAGGTCGTCATATCAAAAGCAAACGCACTGTTGTTCTAGGTTCTGTGTAAGATCACGTGTAGGTACAAGTACAGCTTTTGGTCCCGCAAGGGAGTCGGTTTCACATCAACTGTTGTATTGCGATTGTCGGGTTTCCCCGTCCTTTTGGGCAGAATCTTCGTTTCTATAAGTGACCCCTTCGTCTTCCACCGTCCACCAATGGTGCACGCGGAAGCCGATGACGCCGCCTAGAATCTGCCTAGATCTCGTAGGACCCTATCGTACGGTCGGTCGCTCAGAAGTCACTATCTCTTGCAGGCACGCCTTCCCAATGCATGACTTTCTTTCCTATCTGCCTGCCATACTGCAGTGCTGTGGTGATTATGTCCATACGCCTCACGAAGTTCTGCACCTCGCAGCGGCGATGCAATTCTGTGGGTTCTGCAGTGTCATCGGGACGCTGTGGGGAATGGCGGATGACGATGGGCCTGCCCTCACTCGGGAGTTCTACAAGTACATGTTCCGTCACAATGATCCAACACGGGTGGATTTCAAGGATTCTGCGATGGCGCTGAGATGTGGGATCGACGCGTCAAGGAAGGCGAAAATTGCGCTGCATCGATGGGCTGCGTTTGTACATAGATATCGGTGCGTGACGTCGGGTTGGTATATATTATCTGTTTTCCGTCGACGTCACACTGACGAGTTTACCACAGATAATTTTCAGTAGCAGTCTTCATGCGCCCCAACGAACTGCAAGGTCCGGATCCTTGAGGGGGCGTCTCAGTCGTATCGTTACTTGCGTTCCGCTTTTCAAGTTCCGTTTCAGCCTGTTGTTTTGTCTGTTGGTTCGGTCATTCTGGTATCTATGATGTTCACCTTGCGCTTGCTTTGCTTAGTACTCGCACTGTCCCTCTGCACTCGTTGACAGATCCTACTGCTCTGCTCGTATGTTTACGATTCCTTGCTTTGCTCCTTGCTACATCGATGTTTTTCTTGTCCCGACGCCCGTTTTCCATTTTTTCCGGTCCCAGTAGGAGGCAGGTATCTCCTTTCAGAGTTTCGCGAGATCTCCATCTGATATACCGGCTCCAAGCCTTTGACACCACTCGCAATCAAAGTCAAGCCGAGGACCTTTGTCCCTTCTAGAGTTTCTACGAAAATGTCATGGAAAGTCCCGGTTCAGTGTCGTGACGACAACCCATCGGCGAAGCGTGGGCGCCGGCGTTGGTGCCGCGCCGCGTCGCATAGGCTCGTGTCTTCGTATGAGCGAGAGAGATCGCTGATAGTGCTTCCGCTAGCGTCAGAGCTCGGGACGGAGGCGTGATGCGCGCGTCTTTCAAATGGGACGAGGGGGGGGGGGGGATGCAGGATCCAACTGAAAGCGCCCGGAGCCTCATAGAAAAGTCTGCATCAACCATCGTCGAGAGTTCGTTTTGCGTTCTGTTTTCATGCACGGTCCCGACGAGAAGTTCCACGATCAAAAAAGCTGCATTGCGCACGGCCGAATCTATCCGTCGCGCAAACGCTCCACAAGCAGCAGAAGCACGCCAGATCATCGCACCCGTCATTGCTTCAACAAACAATCAATACACGCGCGACCGACGCAAGCAGCGAACGACCCAAAATCGGGACCCCAAAAAGCGCTCGAAAGAACCGGTTCCTCCAGCTCACACGTCGGCCGCGTCGGTACACGCGAAGAGCTCCGACGACGCGCAGAGGACCTGCAGGGACATACCCTAAAAAAGGCCAGCGCAAGTACACGCGCCACCATCGTACAGACGTCACTTTGTCGGGATAGATGTTGCTGCAGTCCGAGCTGACGTTCGGGTTGTTGGCGAGCAGCGTGCTCGCGGCGCCCGCGATCGACGCGCAAAAGTCCCCAGACACGACGGTGTGCGTCGTCGCGCAGTCCTGTCCTACGACGCCCAAGCAGAGGACCTGCACAGGCGGAGGCCGTCAGCATCAGTCACGCACACAGAAGCCGAGAAACGCCCGGACCTCTCCCACAGGGAGGTTGTCGCAGGCGGCGCCGACCTTGTTCTGGTTCACAAAGGCCACCTGGGATCTAAAACGCGTCGCGCGATCAGAAACCGCAACAGGGACGCATGCGGCATGGGCTAACACGAAGGCGCTGAAGAAGTTGGCGATAAAGTCGCGCGTCTCGCCGGGGGATTGGACGGCGGCGTTGCGCGCGCAGGCCCCCTGGGCGCCGGCCGTGGCGGAGAGCGCGGGGAGGACGAGGCGGAGCGAGATGGGCATCCTGGTCGAGGAGGGATGCGGACGGGGAGGCTCGTGCTGGGACGCGAGGACGACGGCGCGTATCTGGACGGGGAGCACCGACGGAACCGACGTCACTGCTTCGAAAGCCGGGGCGTGTTCGCCGTCGACGCGTCCTCCAGCGATCACCACGCCGCGCGCGGGTCGAGTAACCCGAACACATCGCATCGCATCGCATCGCATCGCATCGCAGCGCATCGCAGCGCCGAGGCGATCAAAACGCACGGCGGGCGTCGCGAGTCCCGCATCGCATCATATGGGGGATCAGCAAAAGGGAGGACTCGGCGAGGGCGACCCCCTGCCGCACTCGCGTCTGTCGTTCGCAGGTGCGAGAGATTTGCCCGGAACGAGCGTGGGAGGAATCGCGGATTGAGCGGCGGGGACGCGACGCCGCGGACGGGAGGCGACCCACGGCGGCGCGTGCGTGCGTCGATTCGCGCTCGAGGATATTACTAGACGGCGCGCGCGCCCGTGGAGCTCCGTGGAGTGGGCGGACACGACGGTCGGCGGCACCGTCGAAAGCGCGATGTCGGAGTTTGACGAGACGTCGGAGAGAGCGTGTCTACGTATGGAGGCGAGCGTCGAGCCCCGTTCGCCCGTTCCGGGATCTCACTCCGCATCGAGAGTCAGTCGCGCCGGACCAGCGCCAGCGTCAGCGCCAGCAGGGCGCCGATCGCGATCAAGGCGGAGCACGCCATCACGGACGAGCGGCCGGGCACGAGCGCGTTTGGCGAGACGGCGGCGGCGGCGGAGGAGGAGGAGGAGAAAGAAAGATCCCCCGCCGCGCGCGGCGGGGCACGCACCGAGGACGGACGGACCCGCGAGCAAGTCGAGGTATGGACGATCCAGGGCGAGGCGGCGGCAGCGCTGGAGTGCCCGCGTCAATCACGTCGTCGCCGGCGGCGCCGTCCCCGCGCGGTCGCGGCACAAGCGCAAGCACGGCCGAGAGTCTCGCGAAACGGAGCGAGCGAGCGAGCGAGCGAGCAAAGGGCACGTGGCGCAGGGCTCACTGGTGGCCGCATGCCGACATCAAAGGTCGCACGCGCGGGTCCACAGAATCTGCCTTGCCCTGTCCTGCCCTGCCCTAATGAAGCGGCGCGCAACACATGGCAGCGACCGCGCGGCTGCGCCCACGGTCCAAACTTCTGGGAGCGGCGGGCGGCGGCGGGGTCTGGCCTGAGCGAGGTGAGTGTGCGGTGCGAGGGCAAGAGTCGGTCGGTCCCTCGGTGTACGCCCGGCGTAGGGCGCATCGTTCGACGGACGTGTGGACATGGTGGGTCCCGGCCACGCTGGACGCCGGTGATGGGATGCCTGCGCACGAGTGCAAGGTTAGGGGCGGCGCGATCGTGCACCGGGGAGGGATGGTTCGTGCCAGGAGTGCGCGTGCGTGGGGGTGCGACGGTGCGATGGGCGTGGGCAGCGAGCAGCAGGCAGCGTTCGCTACGGCGAGGCAATCGGTCGCGCAGGCCACGGTTCGCGCCAGGAGTGGGGCGACGAGCGCGGGCGGTCCTCGGTCAGGTCACGGGAACGTGTGCGCGCCGAGTCGTCGCTGTCGAATAGCGTTGGGGAGCCTGGGGGACTCCGTCGACGGCGGTGCTGACCGCGTGCTGCCCCAAGGCGGGCACTTAGCTTGCCTGTTCGCGATGGGCAGTATAAGCGGTCGACGCCACCGTGATCTGCGCCGGGACGCATCACGTGCGTGCGAGTCATATCGCTGACGCGGGCCTCAGTCATGCGCGAGGTTAGGCTGGCTGCTAAGCGCGGAAGGACTCGATACTTGTGCCCGATGGCTCGCTTGGCTGCTCTTCACCGTGCTCACCCTCGCCCACCACCATGCCCCACCCGTCCACGGACGCCGACCCGCACGCGTCCGCCGTCTCCGTCTCCGCGTACGTCTCCGACAAACCCGCCCTCGCCGCTCGTCCGCCGCGGAGCGCACTCAAGTCCGTCTGCCTCGTCGCCGCCTGCACCCTCGCAAATTTGATCAACGTACGTCCGCCCCCGTCCCCACCCAAGGGCCTAGCCTCACCGACCCTCCCCGCCGGACCTAGATAACGAACATCACCACCGTGTCCATCTCCCTCCCCAGCATCGGCAGGGACCTCGACATCCCAGAGGCGAACCTCCAATGGCTCATCTCCGCCTACTCCCTCAGCTCCGTGCGTGCCCCCCTCCTCGCCCCTCCCGCGTTGCAGCCCCACTCACACGTACTTGTCCCGTTGCAGGGCTGCCTCCTGCTCTTCTTCGGCCGCCTCGCAGACCTCCACGGCCGCAAGAAAACTTGGCTCCTCGGCTTCCTCTGCATGGCCGTCTTCTCCATCGGCTGCGGCTTCGCCCATAGTGAGCACCGCCCCTCTCGCGTCTCCCCGACGCGCTAACGCCCCCGCACGCACAGACGAGATCACGATCGACGTCCTGCGCGCCTTTCAAGGCATCGGCGGCGCAGCCGTCGTCCCCGCCTCGGTCCGTCCCGTCCCGTCCCCGCGCTGGTATTCATTAATTCCCAACCCCGCCCTCAGCTCGGCATCCTCGCCCACGCCTTCCCGCCCTCCCGCGCCCGCTCCGTCGCCTTTGCCACATTCTCCGCCGGCGCACCCGTCGGCGGCGCGGTGGGGATGATCATCGGCGGCGTCCTCACCCAGCTCTCCAAGTGCGTCCCCGCGCTCCTCCCCGCGTCCCTCCCCTCCCCACTCGCTCACCTCCACCCGCGCCCGCAGACCCGCCTGGCGCTCCAACTTTTACCTCATGGCCGGCATCTGCGCGCTCGCCATGGCCGCCGGCGCCCTCAGCATCGACGCCGACGAGCCCTCCACCGAGCCCGACCGCCGCGTCGACTGGCTCGGCGCCTTCCTCGTCACCGCCGGCCTCGTCCTCGTCATCTTCGTCCTCAGCGACGGCGAGACCGCCCCGCAGCAATGGAAGACCCCGTGTGAGCCGTCCCCTCCACGCGTGCGCGCGTGCGTGTCGTGCTGATGATGACGACGACGGCGCGCACAGACATCATCGCGCTGCTCGTGCTCGGCGTGCTGTGCCTCGCCGCCTTCGTCGCGTGGCAGCTCTTCCTCGAGCGCGTGCTCGACGGCGCGCACGGCGCGGGCCGCTACGCGTGGGCGCCCCCGCCGCTCATGCGCCTCTCCATGTGGACGCGCGCAAACGGCCGCTTCGCGGTCATGCAGACGATCGCGTGCGTAAACTGGTGCAGCTTCATGGCCTGGGGGTTCTGGGTCCAGGTGCGTGCGTGCGTGCGCGCGCGCGCTTAGCGGATCGTGGTCGACGCTGACGCGGACGCGGCGTGTCGCAGCTGTACTACCAGAACTACGTGCAGCTCTCGCCGATATTGACGATGGTGCGCATGCTCCCGATGTTCGTCACCGGCGTCGCGTGCAACGTCGTCATCGCGCTCATCATCGGGCGCGTCGACGTCATGTACATCGTCGGTGCGTCCCTCCCTCCCTCCACACACCCACCCTCGACCTCGACCTCGACCTCGACCCGCTCACCGACGCGCTCGCGCCCGCACACAGTCGTCGGCACGCTCTTCACCTCTTTCGCCAACGTCTTCTTCGCGCTGATCGACCCCAACGCGCCGTACTGGGCCTTCGGCTTCCCCGCCGCCATCTTCTCCGTCTTCGGCGCCGACTTCGTGTTCGCCGCCGGCACGCTCTTCATCGCAAAGGTCGCGCGCCCGCACGAGCAGAGCGTCGCCGGCGCGCTGTTCCAGACCATGACCCAGGTGCGTGCCCCCCACCCCACCCCCCCTCGCACCGTCCCGCCACACCCTTCGCTTCCTGACCCGCCTCGGCCCCCGCCCCGCCCGGCAGATCGGCACCGCCTTTGGCCTCACGGTCTCCACGATCGTCTTCAACCGCGTGCTCGCGCGCCAGACCGCGCGCCTCGACGGCGGCGCGCGCTTCGACCCCGCCGCGGCGACCGCCGCCGCGCCGAGGGAGGCGCAGCTCAGGGCGTATCAGGCTGCGGAGTGGACCGCGTTTGCGTTTGGGATACTCGGTGCGTCGCGTGGCGTGGCGTGTCGCGTGGCGTGGCGTGGCGGCGCGTGGCGGCGCGTGGCGGCGCGTGGTGTTTTTTTTTTTATATCGATGTTTGGCGCGCTCGTTGCTCTGGCGTACCCGTGCTGACTGACTGTCTGTTTCGTTGAACGCACGCACAGGCATGCTCCTCGCCTTCTTCCTCCGCGGCGTCGGCATCGTCGGGCACAAGGGCGAAAAGGCGCACGAGCCCGAGCCGGGGCTCGACAGCCAGGGCACGGTGCACGAGGACGCGCGCGTGCGGCCGTCGCGGCGTGCCAACGCCGCAAAGGCCGCAAAGGCCGCAAAGAGCGCAAAGGGCGCAAAGGGCGCGGGGCTCGCGGCCGCGACGGGGCTCGAGGTGGAGAAGCCGGCCGGGGACGGCGCGCATGGGGAGGTGGAGGAGCGGGAGCGCACGCTGGAGCCCGAGTCGGGGGACGAGACCGAGACCGAAGGTGAGGGCGGCGGTGAGGGCGCGCAAGAGCCCGTGCGTGAGCGGGACCGGGATCGGGATCGGGCGCAGGTGGTGCGCGTGCCGGAGCACGCGTGGGAGTGGGACTGGCAGGAGGCGCAGGCGCGCGCGCGCGGCGAGTCGCCCGTCATGCGCGCGGTCTCTGTCGAGCCCATGCCGCTTGTGCGATGATGGCCGCGCCCCGCCGCGCCCCGTCGCGTCTGATTTGCTTTTTTCATTTCGCTGGATCTATTGCTTGGGTTCCTCGCACGTCGTGTCGTGTTTTCGCCGCCGTCGTGTCCTCTCTCCGTTTAATCCTGCACGTATGCTATGCTATACCGCACGCTGTAAGTAAGTAGACAGGTCTGCCGCTACCGTATCTATCAGAATCGCCGCGTCGTTGGGGGGCCGCTCCGTCCTGCGTTTACAGGAAACACACCCCACTCGCCGCCCCCATCTTTACATCATGATCGCGTCGTGAAAGATAAAATAAAATCAAAACCTCGTGAGACAGCCCGCACCACGCGCGTCTCAGTGGTCGACGCGCACCTGCAGCGCGCACGAGAAGCGCGCGAGCTCCTCGGGCGTGAACAGCGTCCGCTCGCGCAGCATGCCCCACTTGACCCACCAGTCCTCCGCCGCGTCGCGCGCGTCGTACCCCCACAGCTCCGCGTTCTCCGCGTACTGCTGCGCCAGCTCGCCGAGGCCCTCGTCCTCGTCCTCGTCGTCCTCGCCCCCATCGTCCTCTTCTTCCTCCGGCGGCGCCGACGCCGACGCGCCCCCCTCGGCCGAGCACACGGACCGCGCGCCGCGCGAGCCCGAGCCCGAGCCAGACCCGTACGTGGACCCCTCGCGCTTCTCAGCGCGCCGCCTCGCGACCTCCGCCGCCTCCGTCGCGGTGATCGACGCGCGGAGGTCGGCGTCGCGCGCGGCGCGCGCAGCGCCGGAGAGCGTGACGTAGATGCGGTAGCTGCGCTCGGTGTCGTGCAGGCGCGCGGCGCGCGGCGCGTGTATCTCCTCGTAGGCGTACAGGATCGAGGGCAGCTGCGCGGGCACGCGGAGGTGCGCGAGGAGCGTGGAGAGGACGCAGGCGGACTCGAGGCAGTCTGCGGTGAGGTACGGCGCGCACCACTGCGGTGCGTGAGCGGAGTGTGTGAGCGGGCGCGGGACAGGGGACGGGGGGGAGGGCGCGCGGGGCTGCTCACGAAGGAGGGGTGCGCGGCTTGGCCGACGAGGAGCATGCGGCGCTGGGGGTCGACCCAGGACTGTGCGGGCGCGCGGTCGACGTAGCGCCCGCGGGCGAGCGTCCGCGCGTGCTTGAAGAAGTATTGGAGGCTGGCGGCGGGCGGGGGGCGTCACGACGCCTGGGCGGGCGGGCAGGGGGAGGAAGAGAGCGCGCGACGCACCGGGGTTCGAGCTGCGCGCAGTCGACGCTCGAGGGCGCGACGTACTCCCAGTCGCGCGCCGCGGAGGCGTCTTCGCCTGGCGGATCGGGGAGGTCGACGTGCAGGCCCCACGCGTTCTGGGTCGGCTGCGGGGCGGACGGTCAGGTCAGGTGAGTCCTCCTGCGCGGGAGCACGCGCACTCACGAGCGGGTATCCTGCGAGCGCGCACGAGGGCGGGGGGGCGGGGGGGCGTTAACACGACGGCACTATGGGACGCGCGCGCACGCACCGATGCCGAAGCAGTTGTTGCCGAACCACAGCATCTGGCGCGCGCGCGCGAGGTGCTTCATGCCGGGGTCGGACTCGACGACGTGCTGCTCGAGGATGCCGGTGTAGACGGAGCGGCCCGAGTAGGCGTGCTGCGCGGGGCTGGCCTCGTTGAGGGCCTCGCGCACCGTGCTGTGGATGCCGTCGGCGCCGACGATGAGGTCCGCGTGGAGGACCTCCCCCGTTGCGAGCGTGACGGAGGGCCCCGCGCCGAGGTCGCTCGTTGGGGCCGGGTCTGTGGACGGCGGCGGCGGCGCGACGGAGGCGACGGGGGAGTTGAACGTGATCTCGGCGCCCTTGGAGACGGCGTAGTCGTGGAGCATCGTGTAGAGCGCGTCGAACTGGGCGCGTGGGGGGTGGAAGGACTCAGTGAGGATCGGACGGATGGGCAGGGCGGCCGGGACGCACGGCCATAACACGAAAGTCCCCGCCGCTGTCTCTGTACATCTCGGGTTTCCACGCGGTGAGGGCGATGAGGTCGCCCGTGTGCACTGCCGGGGGGGCGCTGGTTCAGTAACGCGGACCGTGGAGAGAGGGGGTGGAGAGCACGCACTATCGCAGAGGGGGATTTCTGACAGCAGGGCGCTCTTCTGGGAGAGCTGATCGTGGAGGCCCCAGTGGGCGAGGACCTTGGCGGCGTTGGGGGGGACGCGTATCGCACCGGGCGTCGTGGGGAAGCCCGACGATTTTTCGAAGAGGCGCACGCGATGGCCATCGGAAGCGAGCGCGGTCGCGGACGCGAGACCGGCCAAGCCTTGGGGGAAACGTGAGGTAGGGACACTGGCTGTGCCTCGAGAACATACCTCCGCCTATGACGATGACATCGAGTTTGAGCATGGGCAGTGGCGGGCGACGAGAGGGGGACAGGGGACGAGGACGAGGATGTGGAGGTGGTCGTCAGGCCGAGGTCAGCGCCCTCTATCGCGCACTAGAGGAGGCCTAAATAGTAACAAGGTTGCGGAAATGCAGAGGCAGCGGGCCATTCTAAAATGAAGGTCGAATCTGGGACGAAAAGGATTAGCCAGCCCCTATTGCAGCCTTGCTAGCGTCGATGGCCACCCGCCTCGCCCAATCCCCTGTCGCGATCAATGCATACACTCTGGCACGTGCTCGCACTTGCCTTTTCCGTCCATTACACCTGCCATATCGAGACGTATCGTCGGACGAATGTCCGAGGGCTCTCCCACTGCAGATCTGATCTCAATAATCGACATATGAGAGGTTGGCTGGAACGAACCTGAGAGTCTCTGCGCCCTTTGAGGCTTCCATGTCAGAATGCCAGGCCGTTGGCCCTCTGGATATGGTGGAAAGTCTACGAGCACAGGGCTCCAGGAACCGCCATCCAGCAAGAAGTGTGGAAGTACGCACCAGAGGCTCGCGTGAAGTGCGCCCGCCCGCGCGCTCGCAACGCCATGGAGACATTCGATTGGACTCTCTCATGGCATTCTAGATGGGCGAGACTGACGTTGCCGACTCCAAGGAACCGTTGAACGCCGGCATGCCGACATACCCGACTCGAGACGCACCTCGGCCGCACATGCCTGCGTCCCGCTCCCTCCCGCCGCTCGAGACTCTCCACACCGCGTCCCCGCCCGTCTCTGCCATCTTCCCATCTCCAGTCATCCCCATGGACCTACAAGCGCCCCCACATCGACCGCGCCGACCGGATCGCGTCTATCTGTACAGCCTCGGTGTGCTGTCAGGTACAACATCACTCAGGCCCAGCAACCGTCTGCTGGGGACGCATCGAGCGTCCACCGATGCCTGTTGTCTCGCCGAGTCGCGCCGAGCAGCCCCACGACGCGCTCAGGCTACACCCATGAACCGACCCCGCCCACCCTTGATCCCTTCTTGTGACCTGTAGCCTGTCTCAATCTGATTCCGTGGTCTAGATCTCGCCCGTTGGAGGCTCGAGGTTCACTCGTGGCCGCCTGCATCCTTATAATCCCGCGCCTCTCGACTCACCCGCGGCAACAGCTCTTCCTTCTCCACTCCCATGTCTGCGCTCAAACTCGACGTGCTCATCGTCGGCGCGGGTGAGGCGCTGCCATCACACACTTTCTCTTTGTACCCCGTCCGTCTCACCTTCCTCCTTTCTAGGTCTTTCCGGCCTCGCCACCGCTTACGCCTTTGCTTCGGATGGCCATCGTGTTCGGCTCTTCGAGAGAGCCTCAGGGATAGCATCCGTCCCCGGCGGGATCCGCCTCCCGCCCAACGCGACCAAGATCCTCGTCCAGTGGGGCATGGGCGACGAGCTGCGGGAGAAGAGCGCGGTCATCACAAGCGCCACGTTCTGCGATCGTGCGTCCCCATCTGCCCTTCTCAAATTCCCTTTCCTCCATCGATCAGACGCTCCTCCCGACTTGATTCATCAGTGCACACCGGCGAGATCGTCGGACGCACGGAGTGGATGCCGAGCATGTTCATGGACAGCGGCGGCGAATTCCACATGATCAACGTGCGTGTCCGCCCTTCCTGCGTGGGTAAGTGCGCGGCGCGCCGTCGGCTGATGAGCGCCTCACGGACTCTGCAGCACCGCGATCTCTGCGACATGCTCTATACCCGCGCCGTCTCCGCCGGCGCCGAGTTCACCTTTGACAGCGCGATCACCGCCATCTCCCCTCCCTCGCCCGCCGGCCCTCATCCGTCGCGCTCCAGCGCCTCCGCGCTCGGCCCCCAGCCGTCCGTGACGCTCGCCTCCGGGGACGTCGTCCACGCCGACCTCCTCATCGGCGCCGACGGCGCACAGAGCCTCCTGCGATCCGTCGTGGACGAGCAGTGCCCCGGCGCGTACACCGGCACGACCATGTACACCGGCGTCGTCAACGCCGCGCGCGCTGCGGCCGACCAGTATCTCCGCGAGATCATCGAGATCGGCCATCCCATCTGGATGGGCGAGGGGGTGTTCGGAATGGGTGCGTGGACTCGCTTTGCTGCCGCTGCTGCCGGTGCGTGCGTGTGTGGGGTGCTCATCGTGTCAGGGCCCGTGGTGGCACAGTCTATCGCACGGTGAGCGCCGTCCCTCTGCGTCCTCGCGGCCTCCTCTGAGCGTCCCGGCGAAGCGACCCGAGGGCGAACACGCGTTCCACATCGAGTGCAGGGAGGACACGGACCTGGGAGGCCCGGCGGACTGGGACAGCGTCCCCTCGTCCTCCATTCCCCATACTGATGAATTCGAACCTCGGTACGTGCCGTACGCTGGGCGCACGGCTCCCTCGCGACCGCGATTCGGCACGCTGACCATACACGCAGGATCCGGCACCTGTTGAAATGCGTCCCTCAGCTCACACGCGTCCGCTGTTGCGCACACCCGCCCGCAGAGAACTGGGTCGACGCCGCGCGCAGAATCTTGCTGACGGGGCAAGCCGCCCACCCCATGCTGGTGCGTGACCCCGCTTGCCACCCTACCCTGCCCTGCCGTGCCCTGCCGTGCCCTTCCCTGCGCTGCCCAGTCCCGTCCCGCACTGACACCGCGCACAGCCATGCGCCATGCACCAGAGCTCCGACTGCCTCGAGTCCGCCGCCGTCCTCAGCACGCTGCTCTCCCACTTGCGCGCGCCAGCACAGCTGCCCTCGCTCCTGTACGCGTACCACGACCTGCGCGCACCGCGCGCCGCGCGGCTGCACGACCTCGAGCTCAAGAACCGGTTCTACCTCTGCATGGAGGGCGATCTGCGCGTCGCGCGAGACGAGAATATGCGCGCGTCGCTCGTGCGGCGGCGCGGGGACGACGGGGCGGAAGAGGAGGACGACGGGGGGCAGCTGGCGAGGCAGTGGGCGGAGCTGTCGGAGGTGTGGGGGTACGATGCGCGCGAGGAGGCGGAGGAGTGGTGGATCCGGTGGGGGCTGCTCAGGGAGCGCGCGGGCGGGGTCGCGGGCAAAGGCGCAGATGCGGACGCGGACGCGGCGGGGAGCGTGTTCGGGGTCGGCGGGGTGCCATTTGAGGTGTCTGGATGAGTGAGCGGGTCGAGGAGGATGGCGCTGGACAGATACCCGGTCGCGATGGGATACGATACAACGAGTGCACGTGTGTTTGCGCTGCAGACCCGACGGTGGAATGCCAATGCTAAGGACTCCCCTTCTCAGGACTCTGGTGTCTGCAAAAACCCGCCTCCGGTGCATGGCGGTACAGACCATGTCTGTGCGTCAAGCAGCGTCTTTCAATAAGATCCGTCTTTGTCTGTCTTTTTTTGTGGTCGCGATTTACCTATTGTAGGTGCTCCGAGCCGCCAGGCTTAAAATGCGATGCCCATCACACGCCCACGGCATCATCTTCTTTCTGCACTCTCATGTCCGCACTGAAGCTGGACGTCGTCGTCGTGGGCGCAGGTCTGCGCTCTTGCTGACCATGGGACCGTATCCTTCTTACACCTCGCTTGCAGGACTCGCCGGACTCGCCGCCGCCTGCGCCCTCGCCGTGAATGGGCATCGTGTCCGGATGTTCGAGAAATCACCAGAGACACCGAGCGTCGCGGGCGGGATCCGTCTTCCACCCAACGCGGTCAGAATACTCAAGTACTTGGGCATGCAGGACGAGCTGTCCGAGCGCTCTGTCCTGGTGACGAGCGTGGCGCTTCGAGATCGTGCGTTTCTCGTCTGCCTGCGCTCCATACTCGGCGCTCACATGGTGCTCGTACCCAGTGCGCACCGGCGAACTCATCGGGAACGCGGGATGGGTCCCCGTCATGTTCAAGGACAGCGGGGGCGAGGCTCGCTTGATCGACGTGCGTATCCTGTCCTCCCGCGAGGCGTATCTGCGTCTGAGCTCTCCTTGGCCTCCAGCATCGCGATCTTTGTGACATGCTATGCAAGCGTGCTATTTTTGCCGGCGCCAATGTATCTTTCAATAGCACGGTGGCCAGCGTCTCTCCTCCATCAACCCACGCAGCGCCCTCGGGGTCTGATGATCAACGGCCTTCGGTCTCGCTCCACTCGGGCGAGATCATCCATGCCGACTTGATCATTGGAGCCGACGGGGCGCGAGGCGTCGTGAGGCCCGTCGTGGACGCGCAGAACCCTCGCTCGCCCTGGAAAGGCGCGTACACGGGCACGACCGTGTATACCGGCGTGTGTGCCGCCGAACATGCAGAGCTGGAAGAATCAGGACACGAAGTGGACGTCTGGATGTCCGAGGGCTTCCATGCAATGTGTACGTGGATTCATGCCCGTCTGCTCGTGCACGCGCTCATGCCGGCCGCTCGCGGCATACAGCGTACGGTACGGTGAGTGTCGCGATTCGTGAGCGCTGTGCTATCGTCTGAGTCCCGGCGAAGGGGAGGAATGAGTACGTTTTGCATATGGAGCGCATAGAAGATTTCGTGGACGATCAGGTCGATGAGTGGGGCACCGTTCCAGCGTCCAGCATCTCACAGACTGGTGAGCTCGCACCACGGTAAGCCAAGCCGCGTCGTTGTCGTCGTCGTTGTCGTTGTCATCACCGTGTCGATATCTCAACGCCCGACGTTGATCTAAACAGCATTCAGCGGATGCTCAAAGGCATCTCGTCTTTCGCTCGCGCACGCTGCTACGAGCCTTCACCCGCAGACGAATGGGTAGACGCCTCGGAGACGATCATCCTGATCGGCCACGCCGCACACCCAATGCTGGTGCGTGCATTAGACTGTCGTTGCGCGTCCCGCGCCGCACTGACGCGCCTCGGCCCGCCCCCAGCCCGATGCGCTGCACCAGAGCTCCAACTGCCTCGAGTCCGCCGCCGTACTCGCCACGCTGCTCTCCCACCTCCGCGCGCGCGACCAGCTGGCGTCCCTCCTGTATGCATACCATGACCTGCGCGCGCCCCGCGCTGCGCGGCTGCATGAGCTGGAGGTTAAGAACCGGTGCTTCACGAACCTCGCGGGCGACCAGCGGACCGCGCGAGACGCGGCCCTGCGCGCCTCATTCGCGAAGGCGCGCTCTTCACAAACCCGCGAAGAGGCCCTGGAGGCCCCCAACCGACATGAAGACGACGACGGAGAAGCGCTGGCGAGGCATTTCGCGGAGCTGTTGGAGGGGTGGGGGTACGATGCACGCGAGGAGGCGGAAGAGTGGTGGGTTCGGTGGGGCTTGTTGAAGGAGCGGGCGATCGTGAGTGAGCACACGGGTGAGGACAGCAGGCCGGGGGTCGTGTCTGGCCTTGGCGGTGTGCAATTTGCGAAGCATACGATCGAACACGCTTGATACCTAGAGGATCCAGTGCTGTAAATAATCTAGGGCGGGAAGTGCCTTCGCACGTCGTAGCTCGCCTCATAGCACCTGCATCGTGAGGAGTATCACATCATAAGATGGTGCAGAACTCATCACTGCAGCTAGCGGGTCTATCTCTCTATCTAGTCTCCTGATGGCAGCAACGTCTGCGATTCTCTCTTAACCTTTGACGTCGTCTTCGGCTATCGTATCTATAGGTATCACCACGCCATTCCGGTTGACTTGATTATTTTTTACCTCTCGCAGTCGACCTTTGACCTTCCTCTTCCAAACACACGCTGCACTCCAGGAACCACGTGCGCGCGGACTCACCTGTCAATGGCGCGTATGCGGGCTCCGGTCAAAGAGAGGAGCGAGTTGCGAGATACTTGTGACGTATTGGCCCGCCAGCACAACCAACAGGAATGATAAAAGTAAAAATAGAACCCACCCGCAGGCTCGAAACGCGGAGCTCGCCAAACAACCACAGCATCGACCTCTACCTAAACTCCCGTGTCTGATTTGACAGTTGAGCGTCGTCGCGGCCAGCACCGGTCTGTGCTCCCGCTCACCTGTCTCGACCTGTGTTCGTCTTGCACCTTACGATCCTGTACCGCGATCGTGCGTGTCCGCATTCCCGCTGTCGTTGCTCAACGCTGATAGCCTCCCGGGGTCTCTTTCGCGCCGGCGAGCGCGTCGGAGCGCGGGATGAGTCTCTCTCTTGTTCAAGGACAGCGAGGGCGACACGCGTGTGTCCGCGTCTGAGCCCCGCTCCTGCCCCAGCACCGCGATCTCCGTGACACACCGTGAAGCATCAGATACTGCAGTGCCTGATGTCTGCAGGACCCGCCGCTGTCTCACGAACCCGGTGCATGGCGGTACACCAGACCAGACCGCGCCCGCCTGTGTACCTCCGAGCTTCGCCTTCTCTTGATCGCATCTGCTTCCGCAATCGACGTCGTGGCGCCGCTTTGCCTATTGAAGGTGCGCGTCCCAGGGTCAAAAGCCCGCCACCGATCAAATGCCCACGGCATCGTCTTCCACCTGAACCCTCATCATGTCGTCCGCTCTGAAGCTGGACATCCTCGTCGTCGGCGCAGGTCTGCGCTCGCCGTTCCCGATCCGTGTCCGTCTAACACCGTAACTTACAGGGCTCGCGGGCCTCGCCGCCACCTGTGCCCTCGCCGTGGACGGGCACCGCGTTCGGCTCTTCGAAAAATCGCCAGGGATACCCAGCGCCGCCGGGGGGATCCGCCTCCCGCCCAACGCGACCAAGATGCTCGTGCACATGGGCATGCAGGGCGAGATGTCCAAGCGCTCCGTCCCGGTGGCGGGCGTGGTGTACCGCGATCGTGCGTCCATGCCTCTGCGCTGTCTGTGCGCGGGCACTCGGCGCTGACAGCTTCCTGTGACCTACCAGTGCGCACCGGCGAGCTCATCGGGGGCGCGGGATGGGTCCCCGTCATGTTCAAGGACAGCGGGGCCGTCGCGCGCGTGATCGACGTGCGTAGCCCTGCCCCTCCATCGCTCCGCGTCCGCGTCCGTGTCCATATCTGAGCCCTGCTCTTCCCCAGCACCGCGATCTCTGCGACATGTTGTACCAGCGTGCTATCTCTGCCGGCGCCAAAATATCATTCAACAGCGAAGTCGCTGGCGTCTGTCAGCCATCGGCCCACGCGCCGTCCTCGGGGTCTGATGATCACCGGCCCTCGGTCGAGCTCTGTTCGGGCGAGGTCGTGCATGCCGATGTGATCATTGGGGCCGACGGGGCGCGGAGCATCGTGCGACCCGTCGTGGACGCGCAGGACGCGGACGCGGACGCGGGCGAGCGGTGGAAGGGTGCGTATACGGGCACGACGGTGTACACCGGCGTGTGCCCCGTGGAAGATGCGACGCCGGACGAAGGATGCAAGGTAGATATATGGATGTCGGACGGGTTCCATGCGATGTGTACGTGCCTCCCCGCGCTGGACCGCCTGCTCGTGCGACCCGACTGCTGATCTCCGCGACGGGCCCAAATGTTACAGCTTACGGCACGGTGAGTGGCACCGCTCATGCGCACCGCGCGTTCGTCTGAGTCCTGGCGCAGCGAAAGCAGGAGATCGTTCTGCACATCGAGCACGAGGAAGAGGCGGGGGACGGGCAAGCCGATTGGGAAAGAGTGCCTCCGTCCAGCGTGCCACGTGCCGACGGATTCGCCCCGCGGTGAGCCCACACGCTTCGACTCACTTCGCCGCTGCGCGACCTCACCTCCCGACGGCCGTCGACTCCCACAGCCTCCAGCGCATGCTCGAACGCGTCCCGTATTTCACCCGCGCGCGCTGCTACGCGTGCCCGCCGGCCGACGAATGGGTCGACGCGTCGGAGACGATCATCCTGCTCGGCCAAGCCGCGCACTACATGCTGGTGCGTGCGTGCCTCCGCTCCCCTCCCACCACGACGTGCGTTTCCCGCACAGCACTGACGCCACGGGCGCGCGCAGCCCTATGCGCTGCACCAGAGCTCCAACTGCCTCGAGTCCGCCGCCGTCCTCGCCACGCTGCTCTCGCACCTCCGCGCACGCGATCAGATCCCGTCCCTCCTGTATGCGTATCACGACCTCCGCGCGCCGCGCGCCGCACGGTTGCATGCGCTGGAGCTCAAGAACCGGCACTTCTTGAACCTCGCGGGGGAGCAGCGGGCGGCGCGGGACGCGGCCCTGCGCGCCGCGTTTGCGAAGGCGCGCTCTGCGAAGACCCGCGAGGAGGTGGAGGGGGCATTCCACGGCCACCGAAACGGAAACGGGAACGGGGACGGCGAGGACGAGGACGAGGACGAGGACGACGAGGACGCGGAGGGGCTAGAGAGGCAGTTTGCAGAGCTGCTGGAGGGGTGGGGGTACGATGCGTACGAGGAGGCGGAGGAGTGGTGGGTGCGGTGGGGGTTGTTGAAGGAGCGGGCGAGCGTGATGGGCGAGGACGCGGGCGAGGAGAGCAGTCACCAGACGCCGGGCATCGTGTTCGATGTGGGCGGCGTGCTGTTTGCGAGGCATACGATCGAGCACGCTTGAGCTTGGGCTTGAGCTCTGGAGGATCCAGCGCTGTAAATATTATGTTCGTCTCCGCTATGGGGGTAGAAGTTGTAGCTGTCTTTGCACGTCGCATCAGGGCACCTGCGTATAACGGAAATTGCTAAATCATAGATGCCATGGTGTGGAACACTGGTCCGTCGGCGACTCGCTTCAACCTCCGACGCAGTCTTTGGATATTGCTGCAATTGCCAACATGCTCCAACATGACCTCCCCGCCGCCCCTCGTCTCTCTCGCTCTGTAGCACAACACCCTCCCTCATCTTAGCCCGCAGGCAATACCCACCACCCCTGCGCCCCTCCTTGGCCTCCCCACCTCGGCGAACCGTCCTCTGCGCCCTCCGATCCTGGCCGCAGCAACACTGGCAGCATGCATGTTGTCCTCGCGCGCTGGCCCGAGCGCTTTTTCGCAAACACCCTGTTGGGCGTATAGGAGCGGAGCTAGGTGGGATGGGAATCACGCCGAGCGCGACAATACAGGCCTGCATTGCACATCGTTAAACAGCGACATAGGGCAATATAGGGCAATGTACATGTTTTCGCGATGACGGTCGGATGCCATCTGCTACAGGACTCTCTTTCTCAGGACTCTGGTGTCTGCGAAGCCCACCACTATAACCAGCTAAAACCCTCTATACCAGTGTAGATCCCCAGTCCTCACGCCATTCTACTCGACTCGATTGTTTTGACTTACCTCTTGCGGTCGACCCTCGATATTCCTCTTCCAAACACAGGCCTCGCTCGAGAAAGCTCGTGCTGCTGTCAATGGCGCTTGTCTGAGGAAGGAAGGACAGCTGGCTGCGAGAAGTCCAGGAACGATTACTTTAGAGAGCTCAGAAGGAGGTTGAACCGCAGGCTGGGCCGTGGTTTTTAAAACATAAACATAAACCTTACCCCCAGGCTCAAAAACGCGATGCTCATCACACAACCGCAGCATCGTCTTTCACCTCAACTCTCATGTCTGCTTTGAAGCTGGGTATCGTCGTCGGCGCAGGTCCATGCTCCTGCTCACCGTTTCCGATCTCTGTCCGTCTTAAAAAAATCATCTTACTTCCAGGACTCGCAGACATTGCAGCCACTTGTGCACTCGCTGCGGATGGGCATCGCGTTCGGCTGTTCGAAAAATCCCCCGTCATACCCGACGTCACGGGGGGGATCCGCCTCCGCATCGCGATCTGTGCGACATGCTGTGCACACATTCTATTTCTGCCGGCGCTCAGATATCCTTCAATTGCGCAGTGGCAGGCGTCTCTCCTCCATCAGCCCACACGGCGCACTCAGGGTCTCGCCCCTCGGTCTCGCTCCGTTCGGGCGAGATCGTCCATGCCGACTTGATCGTTGGAGCCGACGGGGCGCGAGGCATCGTGAGGCGCGTCGTGGACGCGCAGATCTCTGACTTGTCCGGGACGGGCGCGTATACTGGCACGACCGTGTACACCGGCGTGTGTGCCGCCGATAATGCGGACTCGGAACAATATGCACACGGAGCGGCCGAACGTGCGGACTCAGAACTATCTAAACAAGGTGCGGATTTCTGGCTGTCGGGGGGTTGCATGCGATGTCTAGGTGGATCACCGCATGCCTGCTCGTGCGCATGCTCGTGTGTGGGTGCGCGATCTCCAGCGTGTTGTGCGGTGAGCATCGCGATTCACGGGCACTGCGCGTTCGGCTGAGCTCCAGTGAAGCGAAGAAAGGAGTATATCCTGTATATCGGGCGCAACGAAGTCCTCGTAGAAGAGCAGGCCAATTGGGAAAAGGTACCTTCGTCTTGTATTCCGCGCGCTGATGAGGCCGCGCTACCGTAAGTCGAGTCTCGATTTCGTCTTGCGATCTCAGTGACCGACGTTGGTCTGGACAGCCTCCAGCGTAAGCTGGAACGCATCCCGTACGTCACTCGCGCACGCTGCCACGAGTGTTTACCCGCAGACGAATGGGTCAACGCCTCGGAGACGATCATCCTGATCGGCCAAGCCACGCACGCCATGCTAGTGCGTGCTTTTGACGATCGTATACGTGCCGCGCCGCGCTGACACGCGCTGCCCCCCCTGCTTGCTGCACCGGAATCTGCTCGATCTGGCGACGTTGCGAGCAAGGCGCCCAGGAGCGGCGACGGAGAGCGACGGAGGATATGTTGGAGGGGTGGCTGTACAATGCCCGCGAGGAGGCGGAGGAGTGGTGGTGGAGTTTGTTGAAGGAGAGGCGATCATCGTGAGGGGGGACGGGCGAGGAGAGTAGGCCCAGGGTCGTGTTCGGTGTTGGCGAGGTGCAGTTCCTGAGGATTTGAGAATCGTCATGGAATATTCTTACCATGTTTATAGGGGTATCTCTATGGGGGTAAGTGTGCATGTATCTACTGGCTGCAACCCGTCGCACCTCGCCTTCAGAGCACCTGCATTACGAGAATGGTTAAGTATAGACGATATAGAACTGATTACCGCACCATGCCCTAGCACCTGTCTATCATAGACGTCCTATCACGACCTCCACGCCTCCGACCACACTGTCGACCTCATCATCGTCTCCAACGCACTCTGACCTCTCTCGCAACAGCCCCCATCGAAGCCACCACTCCTCCGCCGCCTCGTGAGCGTCGTAACCCCACAGCTCCGCGACTTCCGCAAACTGCTGCGCGAGCGGGCCCGTGTCCTCCTCCGCGCCCTCTCCCGGCCGCAACCCCCGATCGTGCCTCGCTTGGGCGGCGGCGGCAATGGCACGCATGTTCTCGTCCCGCACTTCCCGCGCTTCCCCGGTCATGCCGCAATACGCGCGCAGGCCCAGTTCGAGCGAGTGCAGGCGCGGAGAGCGCTTTTCGCGGAGGTCCTGGTAGGCGTACAGGAGCGAGGGGAGCTGTTCCATGGAGCGGAGGTGGGATAGGAGGACGCCGAGGATGCAGGCCGATTCGAGGCAGTCGGAGCTCTGGTGCATCGCAGATGGCTAAACGGCGACGTGCGGTCAGCCATGACGGTATCATGACTTCTAGGAATGGTTAAACCGTACCATCATCGGATGCGCCGCCTGTCCGATCAAGATAATCCGTTCGGACTCGTCCACTCGGTCTTCAGATGGCGGGAGATCATAACAGTGGGCGCGTGTGAGGGTCGTAGCGTGTTTGAGAAATGATTGCAGGCTGCAAGACATCAGTTTGCCTGGTTGAAATGGAGGGACAGATGTGGCTTACCGGATTTCCAATCTGTCTAGTGGGACTTCCGAAGCTGGGACATCGTTCCAACTCCAAGACACTTCTTCATGATCTGAGGGCTCTCGCACAACATCCACGTGAAACCCAAACGCCTTGTCGTTCCTCTGTGTAAGTGATTAGCTGTCTGCGCAGTGGATGTGAAGTGACATAAGATTACCATAGGATATGCTGTTACTTGTTATGAGCTTCGAGCGCGGATCACACCTACGGATCAGGTACGTACCCATCGCAATGCAGTTATCGCCCATCCAGAACGGATGTCTCAGCGGGACGATATCCGCCATTGTTGGGTCGGCCATGATATCAGCGGTGTCCATGATTCCCGTGTAGATTGTCGTCCCCGTATATTTTGCCTGCAGTAGGCCGTTGGCAGCGCTCTCGTCCACCAATTTTCGCACAATGCTTTGAGCCCCATCGGCGCCGATCACAAGATCCGCAGTCAAGACGCGCCCGGAACATAGCGTCACAGAGGCGCTCACGCTCCGCTCGCCATCCCCGCTCGAGTGGGTTGGTGGTACCACGGATACCACGGTTCGGTTCCAGATAAACTTGGCCCCAACAGACTGGGCACGCTCCAAGATGATCTCGCAGAGGTCTCGGTACTACGCAGGGTTCGGGGACAGTCGAACGATATCGAAAAGCAAGAATAGAGAGCGCACGTACGCCCATCATATGGAAGTCCCCACCACTGTCCTTGAACATTTCCGGCGACCACTCCGTATGACCGACCTCTTCGCCGCCATTGTACACTGTAGACCGTCGCCCGTAAGCACGCGGCAATATTGCCCCGGATAAGACCAGATAAGGAATGACGAACTATCGATAAGCGGAACACGATCGATGAGGGAGCTCTTTTGTGCGAGTTCATCATGGATGCCCCAGGCGGCGAGAACCTTGGCCGCGTTTGGTGGTACACGGATAGCTCCTAGATGTGGTGGGAGACCAGATGTTTTGTCTATTACTCGTACACGGTGGCCATTCAATGCGAGTGCGCAGGCGGATGCAAGCCCAGAAAGGCCTGAATAGGACTAGTAAGAGTTCTGTGCATTCCTGTACATGAACAGAAATGCGTACCTGCACCCACAATCACTATATCGAGTTTCAACATGGGAGCCATAAGAGCGAGACAAGGGAGAAATAGACCTCAAAGGATGAAAACCGAAAACCCTAGTTTGAGGCGGTGAAGGCCAGGTGCGCGATGGTGGACGTAGTGTCTCCGACGAGTCGAAGAATCCTTCCGAGAAAATGATCAGCGAGGGAAATGAGGGGAGATGATGGCTTGTCGAGAGACCGAAAACAGACGAAAATGCGGACAATCATGAGCTCATATATGTCACAGCCTCAGGGGAACTAGCGAGCCCGTTTCAACGCGGCAGCTCGAGTCGATGACGAATGAGCGCTGACGCCTTCGACACTCGTCGCAGGGGCGGGATCCTTCACTGATCCTGCTCGGCTTGCGTTTCCCAGGGGATATCGTTGGTTTCATCGCGTTCGTTCTAGACCTGGACTAATCTGCCGTGAGAACGCAGTGTCGTTGACGTTTTCGAGTTGCTGAAAGGAGAGCAAATCACAAGAAAATCGAGGTCGTCATTATCGATACATATCAAAGGGCTGTGATCGTCCAGGGGAGAGATACTTAATTTCCGGCAAGGCTTTACATTTCTAGGACCTTGTGGACCTGGCCCCGTAAGGTCCCGTAACGAAGAGCGGCAGAGAGCAAGGAACTATGAGGAGGGGCAACAGATCGGGAGAGGAGGATCTCTAGGGAAAATGATGAGCGTACCGGTGAGACCTTCTGAGACTGCCTGAGATCCATGAGATTTCAAATTTTTAAAGGGCACCAGAAGACTACCAGAAGAGGATTCCACATAGAAGCCTGGTCTAAGATTTGCTCTCAGATCGAATTACGATACCATGAACACCGAAATACAGAGCAGGTGCTGGCATCCATCGAGGTCAAGCACATAAATTCGATATATATATCATATGCCCTCTTATGTGAGTCGGCATCGAGCCCCATGTGAGCGGAGTTTGAAAGGCTGAGCCGTGGCAGAGCGCGTCGAACTCCATCACCGCCTCGCGTCTACCACTCACAACATGACACAACATGGCAGGTTCTTGGCAGCTGACTTTAGCTTCAGAACGCTCGAGTCGATGCGCAGGCGATGCTTCTTCTGACCGCGCTCCTAGGTAGGTCATTCGAAATCGGAATTATAGGAAACCCGTGGGCCCAGGTCGTTCGACACGTACGTAGAATCATGGGGATGTACAGGTGTCGCGCCGCAATATCCTACACTGATCTTGTTATTTCCCAACTCCTGCCTTTTGTTTGCTGTATTTCGCAACAGCTCGCCACTCAGAGTACGTCGACTTTAGGTGGTGGTCGACGCTGTGTCGAATGTTCATTAGACACGTATCTCAGTTCACAGGCGAGTTGTTTTCCCCTGTCGCTTCCAATCCCACAATCCTTTGCAAATTGACGAGCAACGCTGTTCCGTATGATACAAATAATATTCAATTCGGAGTCCCCAGCACACCGTCTCATCAAAGACAAAGCGATATACGTGCTTGAAATGGTTGGTCTCTCATTTACATGGTCAGCCAGGGTCAGCCTCATCAGTCGGTCTCTCAAGAGTCGGTCATGCCCTCCTTTTTTCTATCACTGAGCTGACCCGTTGCTAAGGTACTCGTTATTGATCATTCATCTGTTTAATGACTTGATATCAATGGACTAATGGCGTGCACCATCTTCGCAAGCTATTCTCAGTTGTGACAATTCTATGACCTTATACTCTGGGCTATGACCTGTCTGCCTGCGCAATAGGAACCAAAAAGGCACATGCAGGTATCCAAAATGAATCGAGACGTTTCGGTTTCGAGCCTGTGAATGCAATTTCCTTGCACCCATTCACCGCGCAGTGCATTGCCGAGGGTCGCTTCTTTTTTTCCTTCCACAGTACTGATGCATAATGTTCGCGGAGTCTGTTTACTTTTTCATGGCGTGTAAGTACATACCTTCCTCGAATCCCACTCAACAAGGCCTTCAAACGATCGGCTTTTTCTGCGACTGGTTCCATCTCGCAGACTTATGTACGTCCTCACCAACAATGTGATCTGCCTACGGTCATTAATAAAGCGCTGCGCAGGTCATAGTTTCAACGTGTTGGATCACCTGGCAGATTGAAAGCGCGCCTGACCAGTCGCCCGTCATTCTCACTGCGCAGCTATGAGAACCACAGAAGCCCACAAGACGCTGTCTTCACCCCACCCATCTAATCCCACTATCCGCAGCATGTCAGTTGCGCGCAGTGTGAGATGATGGCGTTTTTTCTCGATTATCCTGCGCGAGATCTAGATTATTCATGATTATATTTGCACTATGGTTGATGTCGCCTAGTTGGCTACTTTTCCTTCGTGGCTCGCAGGAGCTCCGTTCTCAGGGATATATTGACTGAAGGCGAGCCCCTGTTTTGACCATCCAATCACTGCTGTCGGGTACGGTGCGTTCACATATGCTACCACGAGCAGATAACCCTGATCATATCCGAGGAAGAGGGCATGGAGGCGGCGGTAGAAGCGGTAGAGGCGGGAGAGGCGGGAGGGGCGGTAGAGGTGGTAGAGGCGGTAGAGGCAGAGGCGACCGGGGTCGAGGCGATGGAGGTGGAGATAGGGGCGATGGAGATAGAGGCCGTGGAGGAGACAACAGGCACATTGGCAGGGGTAGTCCTGACTCTGGTGATCAGGGTTTGAGAGGTTTGCGTGGAGGTCGTGGTGGAGGTCGCGGAGCAGGCCATCAGGGCGGTGGCAATCGTGGCCGCGATGACCACGGTGGTCCCGTTCACAGACAAGGCGACGAGCCTTCTCCTGTGATAGATACACCTGGTCCGAATCTCCCCTCTCACGTCGAGGCCATCGGCGTCAAGCGCCCTGGGCATGGCAATGCTGGGAAACATATCGAAATCCTGACAAACCACTTTGTCACCTCGATCCCCGAACAATCTATATATCATTATGATGGTGCGTGTCTACCACCTCATTCGATTCATGTTGCATTCTCACTTCTCCACCTCCGCTTCTATTTGTTACTACGCTGCTGCTATGATACACAGTCAGTGAGTATCTATATACTGCTGGATTCTTTGTTACCAATGCTCATTTTTTCAACAACAGCCATCAATAATGGTGGCGAACTATCCCTTCCGACGCGATTTACGTCGCAGCTCATTAGGCGTCTTCAAGAGGTCATTGCACCCGACGTCTTCACCCCTCGTGGGTCATATGACCAGCGCAAGAATTTCTTCGCACCTCGGCAGCTCTCTTTCGGACAGAGCGCGGAGGTATGCTTCTGTTCAGACTGCCCTTTCTACAGTTCTGATGAAACCCATATGATATCGGTCGCTCTCCTTCTAGTTCGATGTGATGATGAGCGACGTCCCCCCACCTTCGACGGCACCACCTCAGGATCAAGAGGATGGGCCTGGTCGGCGAAGGCGTGACCCCAAGGTATACAAAGTTCGGATGGTACAAGTCGCAGAAATAAATCCGGAGTACGCGCTTGTTTTCTTTCAGCAAAATGGATTGTAGTGTTAATCGTATTATTGCTCTCAGGGTTCTCTCACTGTTCCTGCAGGGACAGCACTCAAATGATGAGCGAGTCCTAATTGCCATTACAGTGCGCGTGCATTCGACTTATCTCAATTTGCCAAACTTGATTATTTCGATCTTCAGGCTCTCAACGTGGTGATTCGAATGCAGCCATCGCTGACTTACCCATTCAACATCAGATCGTTTTTTACGCCATCTGAAACACGTGAAATTGGTGCAGGCATTGTCCTTTGGCGCGGATATTTCCAGTCTGTCCGGCCATCGCCAGCACGTATGCTGATCAACGTCGATATCTCAACGGGTGCCATGTACCGGCCGGGATCTTTGCTTGCGCTTTGCCTGGACGTTCTGGGCCGTCCGCACAATAATGGCAACCCGAACGCGCAACAAGCTCGCTCACTGGCCCCTCGCGAGGGTCTTCCCGAACGGGAGCGTCGCAGGATAGAGAAATTCACTTCGGGTGTGCGGGTTTCAAATGACTACAAATCTCAGGAGGCAGGTAGGGGGCAAGGCAAGATTAGGATGGTGAGGAAGCTGTCGAAAGAAGGCGCAAGAGACCTGAGTTTCAAGCTGGGTGACGACGGGCCTATGGTGACTGTTGCAGATTTTTTTCAAACCGTCCTCAACCGGCCGCTAGCATTCCCAGACGTCATATGTGCCGAGGTATGTATCCATAACCCATCTATCATCTCGCGTCTTACTCTCGTTTAAATGCGTAGTTGAACACGAAAGCGCTCGTTCCCCTTGAGCTGTTGCATGTCCTTCCGGGACAAATAATCAAGAAGCAGATACCTCCAGAGAAAACAACCAACATGCTTCAATTCTCAACAATGAATCCTGCACAGCGTTTCAACAGCATCAAGGCTGGATTGGGAGTATGTCTTTTCTTTTGTCTGTATCTTGGAGCTACTGACTTTGGGTAGGTACTTGCATATGGACAGTCACAGTACCTTCATGACTGTGGGATGGAGGTCTCACCGGACGCTCTCAGTGTACAAGCACGGATATTGGACCCCCCGACGTTGAGGTATGGCACTGGAGGGCGGCAGGATACAATTGTGAGCCTCGTTTTTTTGCTCTACGCGCAGCGTATTGACACTCATCGCACAAGCGCCCGACGAACGGCGCCTGGAATATGTGAGTAGTCTGAGGGAAATGCCATGCGAATCGCTGACCACCAAGATAGGCTAGACAAGAATTTCTACCAGCCATGCATGACCATTGAAGAATGGATCGTTGTCATATATGAACGGCCAAGTAAATTTCCCATGGATGCCGCACAGCGCATGATTCAGAGCTTGATGGAGGCTTGCGCGTTGTTTGGTGTGTTATATTCATTTGGTGATTGAATCGATTTTGAATATTTTATTCACAGGAATTGTGGTCAACGGCCCGCCCGCATTTATCAGATTGCAGAACGGCCAAGGCAACGTAAAGGCAGTGCGTCCGATTCTCTCGTTTATTCTCAACTACTCTCATAGCCGTCGTCTCTTTGACACTTTGAAAAACCCAAATTTTCTCGTGTGTAGCAACTGCGTGGCCTGTACAATGACTGTCTCCAACAGAAGTCTAGGGCTCCAAACCTGATGGTTGTCGTGTTACCTGAAGGCGGGGGAGACCTCTATAGAGCGGTCAAAAAGTAAGCGTTTCCGTTATATTCTGACTAACAGAGGGTTCAGCCTGACTGGCCGTACACAACCAGCTATGGGGATGTCAGCGTGAGTTGAAGGCCTGTTCGTGCATAGGTGATTGTTCACATTGGACCTTCGTTTTCTCCTGACTAGGATGGTGTCATCACTCAATGTCTCAAGTCGACGAAGTGTACCCGAGCAAATCAGCAATATTACGCGAACGTGACATTGAAGTAAGCATCCAGTTCCCTTTTCTTGTTCTCATCTTGGACTACTGGGCAAACAATGACTGCCGTGAGCTTCAGACTGAATGCCAAGCTCGGTGGGATCAACGCCGTCCCCGATCAGCGATCAGCATCCATTCTTTTGGACCCGAGCAATCCGACAGTAATCATGGGTGCGTACAATTCTATCCTTGCCTGAATCTCTCTAACTTTGGGTTTGCGTGATCAAACACCGCAGGTATAGATGCTGCGCATCCTCCGCCGGGCATCAAAGATCGTCCATCGTTCGGAGCGCTGGTGTCCAGCATCGATAGTAACACATCGAAGTACATTGCTTCAACTAGTGTGCAGACAAGCGATGAGGACATTATTGAAAACTTGGAGAATATGGTCAAGGTTCGCTGTCTCTTGTTTGCAAAAAAACCGGAACATGGTCAAGCTCATATTTTCCTTTGAATCTCCACTGAAACAGCATGCACTGGAAATGCATATAGCATATAGGACCAACATGGAAAAAAAGACAGGCGTATCGCCTAAGCGAATCATTGTCTATCGAGGTGAGTGCATGGCCTTTGCATTCGACAGTTGATATGGAATCTTGTAGATGGCATATCTGAGAGCAGGTTCAAAGAGGTCATGGTTCGGGGTGAGGAAGTCATGGCTCGCAGGTGCTGTCATATATGAGCGCTAACATGATGCAGAGGTTGGCGTTATCCAGGGCGAGCACTTTTCGAACCTCCACGGAACTCATCGCAACACTAACTATCAGCTTTTCAGATGCCTGCAAGCAACTTGAAATCGCCCCGAAGATCACGTTCATCGTCGTGGCAAAGGGACATCACGTTCGTTTCTTCCCCAAACGCGTGCAGGAGGGTGATAGGAAGAGCGGTAACTGTTTCGCTGGCACGGTGGTGGACCGCGACGTCATCGATCCAGTCGAGTTCGACTGGTATTTGCTCAGCCATGGAGGTCTGCTGGGTACCAGCCGACCTGCACATTACAATGTCCTCTACGATGACAACAAGTTCACGTGAGCACTCCACTTATCTCTACTTTTCTACCCGACATGACAAGATATCGCAGACCCGATGGTCTGCAAGCACTATCTTTCGCATTGTGTCATGTCTATGCACGCGCGACACGTTCAGTGTCGGTTCCTGCACCGGTATACTGTGCGTCACTTTCATCCAGGGTCCTTGGCGATCTGAAGATACTTTGGCCTGTGCAGATGCGGACCTCGTGTGTGCTCGGGCAAGAAACCACTATGACCCCAGCCAAGGTTTGGAGCTAGCGGAATCTGTCGCAGGCACGGAGTCTAGCAATGACCAAGGGCAAGACCTGAAGGACCGCTTCAAGTCAGAATTCACGGCTCTGCACTCGAACATGTTGGGTTTGATGTACTTTTGCTGAACTAACGCTCCATAGGTTGTCAACATGAGGTAGAGGTGAATTTCACTGCTACATGTGATACACGGATGCTGACTACTGGCAGAATCTTTGTGGGGTGCTATCGAACACTTTTGACGGTCTAGTGATGCAACAAAAAAGGCATTCGGGTATGAGTAATGCAATTTAGGTAGAATCGAGCTTCGAGTCATTCAGGAAAAGAACCACATATTACGATTGTCAGGGTCTCCATATCTGCATACAATGACCATAACGAGATGCAAGATAGACAATATCAGTCGCTATGTTCAGACGGTGGACAATCTCACGCAAAAAAGCCTTCTCTTTTGCACCCGCCGTCCCGGTTACCTGCAATGATAAGTGCGGTATAAGGAAAGCACTCTTTGTCCACGTCAGCCATAGCCTTCCAGCAATTCTCGGGTGTCGTCTAAAGACCTTGTCTCTAGGAATCACGAGCGATCTGAGCGAGGATCAAAACGAGGAGCTTGGAGTGGTCGAGTGGCGTGCTTTGTACTCTGAAGGAAAGTATGAATTAGTGACGCGACAATATGGTGTGAGAACAAGAAAGGAATTATGCGTAATGATGGATGGAACAAGGAGGGCTCCCAAGGGCGTAAATTGATACCCTAGATTTAAAAAGAAAAATCGTCAAGCATCGCACACAAAGCTGTTATCTCAAGAAGATCTGTCACAGATTCACAGATAGGATTTCTTCCCCCTTTCGGTGCTCAACATGTGGATCATGAGAGGACGACAATGGGTTCTCGAAAGAGACGCGAGGCAGGTCGAAGGAAGGTGCCAAGCGGGGTGATCTCTTGATTTTCTTTTGTCTCTAGCGTCACGGGTACGAGGGAGTGCCTGAAAGGATAACACTGCTTTATGACCCTGAACGCCTATGCGAGAAAAATGTTTCCATTCTCCTTGATTAGATATTGACTCTTCGAAAGCACACAGAAGCTGGGGCATCAACGATCAAATGGGGTCATAAACAAGAGAAGTGAGTGAGACTGGATGGCGGATGATGGGCAGGTTGTTTTAATATATGTACCTGAAAATCGGGATTATCGCTCACCGCTGATGGTTGAATATTCTCCGAGGTCAAGGTGGGTATAATCTGGGTTATCGCGTCAGCGTTCAAGGGCCGATCGTCAAAAGGAAACAAAGGATCAAGGTTTAGCATACACACGAGCATTGGAAATCAGATCGACAGCGTATCCTGCAGTCGGGCCCACAACTACCAACGAAGGCTGAACAAAAGAATAAGAAAAGAACTTGACCAACACGCGCCGACGGCCGTCATGCGCAACCCGACTTGCACGATGCATATTGTATCTGGAGCCATGTCCAGATACAAAACTCCTGACGGAGTGATGAGTTCTCTCGAATAGTCGCGCGCAAGCTCGACAGACAAAGGGATTCAAGCATGTTTGTTTGTAAAATGCGAAGATCAGCGGGGAACGTCAACGCACCTCTTGCATTTGGCTTTGATGCGTGCCCGGGCTTCACCGTCTATTAGCTCACTAGGAATACAGGAGCATCAGAGAATACAGGACTGCTGCGCCTCGTGTGCAAAGGGGATCATCTGATGTAGAAAGGGAACTAAAAATGAGTCCGCGGGGCTTGTTTCTCGGTAAGAGTTTGGAGGTCATCATAGAATATGTCATGGCGTATTCGGTCGAAAAGGAAAGCCTTGCCCCTTGATAGAAGAAAGATCGATACGATGTCGAGGTAGCCATCGGGGGTGGAATTGGATATTGAAATCAATGAAAGCAAGAATTCTTCCCTTTTCACTTGCCAGACCGCGCAGATATGGTGAACAGATGGCAATCAATGTCGGGCTTGAAACGGAATGAATAACCCACACAACCTCGAGGCCTAGAGAAGCTTACAAGATCAACAGTGCATCTCGGAAAGAGGGGGTGCCCATAGCAGGCGTCTGAGCTGCTGCGGGCTGCGCTGCCGTGCAGTGCGTCACATGCAGCCTACTTGCCGCCTTTGCATCGCCATTTTAAAACAAGGCAATCTTTTCAAGGCTCACAGCTCAATTATTTCATGCGGTGAATGAACGTTCCAGTAGAAAGGATTCGTCTGCGAGCTTGTGTTTGAGAGACGGAGCGACGGCAGCGGCGGTGATGTGGAGCGACGCGAGCCATGTCACAAACGCGTTATGTCACGCGGCATCTGAATCGATAGCACATCGCCGCGACTTGCCTTGCAGTGAGTTTCTTTTGTGCTCAATACATAACTTCCTGCGCACACGCCACGTTTCCGTCCGTTCATATATAAGGACACGGCCAAATCGTGCTTCTATCGCACCATCTCTCTATTCCCACCTCCTGCGCGTCCCATACGTGCACCAACCCATACCAGAACCAGAACTCTTCCGCAACGCGTAGTACAGTGAGGAAATATGCCTCCCCGAGGAGCACCTGGTTATGAAAGAGGCAGTGGGAGAGGCGGGCCGCCGGGACTTGGTAGTGCGCGTGGCGGCTCATCTGCAGGTCGCGGTACACCACCGAGTCGCGGTACGCCGCCTTCGGGACCTGGTACGCCCAGAGGAGGCCCAGGTCGCGGGACGCCTAGAGGAGGTGGTGGACCGCCTCGCGGCGGCGCCTCACTCAGAGGTGGCCCTGCACCATCTGGAGGCACCTCATCGCAGATCCCAGCCCACGTCGAAGCCATCGGGATCAAGCGCCCTGGAGTTGGTACCGCTGGCCGCAATCTGGAAGTGATCACAAACCACTTCTTGACTACGATCCCGCAGGATCCGATCAACCATTATGATGGTACGTGTGAACGTCTACTCCTTTGACTATTCTTTGCTCATTGATGATGCCCGTGCTTTCGCAACTATGCCTGGGCGCGGAATGTAGTTAGTAAGTATGCTTTTCTTTTACGATCGCCCACATCCAACTCACGATTTGACAGTTATCAACTCCGGATCCGAGCTGACTTTGCCCATACGGGTCACGTTTGAACTCATCAAGCGACTCCAGCTCAATGTCGCGCCTAATGTGTTCTCGCCACGCGGAGTCTACGATGGCCGCAAGAACTTTTTCACCGCTCGTGCGCTTTCGTTTGGCGATAGCGCTGAGGTATACAATCATTGCTCTTTTCGTATCAGATTGTCATTTGACTGCGTGCAATTCTCAGTTCGATGTTTCGCTCTCAGATGCGCCATCCCCCGGAATGCAACAGGAGGACCAACCCCCACGACGTGGTCCCAAGTACTACAAGATTCGCCTGACCCGTGTCGCAGAGATCAACCCCGAGTATGTGATCTCATTGTCCCATCGCATCACATCACTCACATCTGGTTTGATAGAGTCCTTGCGCGGTTCCTGGAAGGTCGCCAATCTAACGATGAGCGCGTTCTCACAGCGATCACAGTGTGTTACGACACTTTGTTTCCATATATAATTCACCAATTAGCTCCTCCAATAGGCACTCAATGTAGTTGTGCGCATGCAACCTTCGCTCAACTTCCCGTTCAACGTCCGATCTTTCTTCACCGATGCGGAGACTCGCGACATCGGCGCTGGAATCGTGCTCTGGCGTGGATACTTCCAGTCTGTCCGGCCGGCACTCAACAAAATGTTGATCAACGTCGATATCTCGACAGGCGCGATGTATAAGCCGCTATCCCTCATGGCCCTGTGCCTCGATTTCTTTGGGCGCCCCCACAACAATGGCAATCCCAACGTCCAGCAAGCCAGCGTCATGGCTCCGCGTCGCGGGCTCCCCGATCGCGAACGCGTCCGCGTGCAGCGGTTCGTGAGCGGTGTGCGCGTGAGTAACACGTACAGAGCGCGCAATCAGGGCGGAGGGCCTGCCGCAAGCCGTGCACGGACCGTCAGGCGCTTGACCAAGGAGGGCGCGAACGATCTCAGCTTCACGGGCGATGATGGCCAGCAGATCACGGTGGCCAACTACTTCCGCCAGCTTTTGAACCGTCCCCTCCAATTTCCGGAGGCGATTTGCGCGGAGGTTTGTCTCATGATTTCTTTCAATTATCATGCATCCACTGATGAGATTGGATCGGCACATAGCTCAATACCAAAGCGATTATCCCGCTTGAGCTGCTTCAGGTGCTCTCAGGCCAGATCTGCAAGAAGCAGATACCGCCTGAGAAGACGAACGACGTGCTTGAATTCTCGACGAAGAAGCCCCAGGATCGATTGCAGAGCATCCGCAACGGGTTGGCTGTACGCAGCGTCATCTTCTCCCGACGAAGCTGACCCAAACTCAATCCGTGCAGGTCCTTGCATATGGTCAATCGGAATACGTTCGTCAGTTTGGGATGAACGTCACCACGGAGCCTCTCAAAGTAAATGCTCGTGTACTCGTCCCGCCGACGCTCAAATACGGTGCTCAAAGCAAGCAGCCGACAATCGTGCGTGCATCAATTCACGCGCGCTTTGATTTCCGCGTTGTACTCTGATGCTTGGGCCTATCCTTCTTTCAATTCTCTCCAGACGCCCCGAGACGGAGCGTGGAATATGTGAGTGTATATACTATATGGTTGACACGTCACGCTCATCTATCGTTTGCGTTTTTAGGATCGACAAGCGCGTCTATTTGCCGTGCTCGCGTGTGGAGCAGTGGATCGTGATCATTTACGACCAACAGCGCAGGTTCGACGGTAGGACTGTCGACGGCATGGTCGATGGGTTGATGCAGGCTTGCAACGTTGTCGGTTCGCACTCCGATCTTTCTCTTCGTAGTGCGTCACTCACATGACTCAATTCTCGATTGGCTAGGTATACAAATGCCGAACCATCCTGCGGTTGTTAGATACGAGAACGGACAAGGAATCATCGGCGATGTATTACAAACTCTCTCCAGTGTTTGCTCTGTATTGACGCGGTTTGGGATGTAGCAATTGCGTAACGCTGGCATGGAATGTAGGCAGAAGACAGGTAACCTGCCGAACTTGATCGTGGTCATCCTCCCCGAAGGCGGAAACGACATATACAGTGCTGTCAAACAGTAAGCACTCTGTACCCATCATGCGTAACGACAGCTGATGACTTTTTTCACGAATGCACGTATGTCAGCTTTGGGGATGTCACTGTAAGTGTCAATTTCTGCTTCCTTCGTATACCGTTCAGCTAATGCAGCACCAATTCCTATCCTCAGGCGGGTGTCGTGACGCAGTGCATGAAGTCTATGAAATGCAGCCGCGCAAAAATGCAGTACTACGCCAACGTCACCTTGAAGTAAGCGTCACCCACTGCGAGCATACCTCAATGCCCGAGATCTCACGTGTGAACAGGCTCAACGTGAAGCTCGGAGGTGTCAACACTATACCCGACCCTCGTTCTACGTCTATTCTGTCCGACCCAAGCAACCCCACGGTCGTTATGGGTGCGTTCATGAGTCCCTAACCCTTGTGAATCTCGAGTGTGACCGTGCATCATAGGCGCCGATGTCATGCATCCGGCGCCAGGCACTGTGGGCAGACCGTCCTTTTCCGCCCTCGTGTCTAGTGTCGACAGCGACACCGCAAAGTACATCGCGACAATGGGCGTTCAGACTGGAAAGGAGGACATTATCGAGAACCTCCAGGCCATGGTCAAGGTTTGTCCCGTCGTGATCACATAGCCCGACATGTTTTGAATTTGTCTGCACCTGTAGGAAGTTCTTCAAATGTATCTTCAGTATCGAAAAATGGCGGAGAAGAAGACAGGTCCGGCACCAAAGCGAATCATCTTCTATCGAGGTATGCCATCGTCCTTGCTCATTACCAGCATGTTTCTAACAAGTCTCCGCGTGCATTAGATGGTATTTCCGAGGGTCGCTTCAAGGAAGTGTTGGAACGAGGTGAGCACCACACCAAATTATCGACTTTGTTTTGACCTGACGATCTTCCACATCAGAGTTGCGTTGCATTCGTGGTAAGTCTCGCGAGTCTCGAGATGTGAGGTCGATGGCTGAGGAACAAAAAAACAAGATGCTTGCAAGGAATTGGGAATCGCGCCGAAGATCACATTCGTCGTCGTCGGCAAGCGTCACCACGTTCGCTTCTTCCCCAAGTCCGAGCGGGACGGCGACAGGAGCGGCAACTGCCCCGCAGGCACAGTCGTAGACAGAGATGTCGTCAACCCTGTCGAATTCGACTACTACCTGCAAAGCCATGGAGGATTGTTGGGCACCAGCCGGCCTTCGCACTATAATGTTCTCTTCGACGAGAACGGCTTCACGTGCGCCTTCTTTTTCTTTCTGCCTTGAGGGTCTGGTGGTGATACTTGATCCAATTTAGACCCGATGGGCTACAAGCCCTCTCTTTCGCGCTGTGCCATGTTTATGCACGTGCAACACGTTCCGTATCCATCCCAGCCCCCGTCTACTGTAAGCCCTATCTGACCTATGTGTAACATTGCCTCACCCTCCTCGTAGACGCCGATATCGTTTGCTCGCGAGCAAAGCACCACTACGACCCCCAGCAAGGACTGGAACTCTCGTTGTCGGAGACGGGTACGAACACCGAAGAGCAGGCGGCGTCCCTGGAGAGATACAGGGCTGCGTTCAAACAGTTAAACCCGAACATGAAGAAGCTTATGTACTTCTGCTGAAGCTGAGTCTGCGGTTGGGCCGTTGAAGAAACGAACGTACGCTGCCGTTTGAGTCGTAATTGTTTTGTCTTTGCTTTCGTTTGCTTGTGTGTTTTTGTATGGAGATTGATCTTGTTCTCGGTTGCTGTCTTGGCTCTCCGGGCGAGAAATGCTCGCAATTCACTTCCCTACGGCCCTTCCAGTAGTACCGTTGTACTTGAAACGGTCTGGCAATTGCCGGAGTCCTCTCCCTACACTTCTTGACGCTTCTATAGTAACACTTCAGGTTCATGGTTCTGCACTGCTGTTGTTATCGTACGGAACGTTGTATAAATTCTTCCACATACTGTGAGGCCTCGCGACAGCGCGGGTAGCATGCCTGGTTTCGAAGACGTAGACCGGCGCATATTTACACCACAAATTCCAAAATGCAGTCAACAGCAGAGGACGGTGGAAGATGATGGGGTCCCGCCGCCCCTGACCCCAACTCGGACTCACGTGCGTGTACCGCTACTGTTCACCCAGCAGCATCACGTGCATGCTCCTGCTCGGCATCATGCCTGGTCTCCGTCGATTATATCCGCTGTCTTGATCTCGGCCCCCCGTCCAGAGCTCAGACTGGTCAGCGCGAGATGGACTGAGTTCTACATGTGGCGAACGACACTCGCCGTCGTGCGCGGTGCGCTTGTCATCTTGTAGACGCAGAACCCTCCCCCGTCAGTGCACTCTCCTCTCCGTCTCTTCGTCGACTTCCAATACCATGGCATCGATGGTCTTGCCCAGGAAGAGGACGTCACTTGGCTTGACGACCGAGCTCGATGCTTGAACCTTGTCGCCTACTTACGAAACGCCACATCTACCGCCGACCTATATACACACACGCGTCTTATGGTGGCTGCCCGTCCACCCGGACGCGCCTGGTGTCTACAATCCTCAAGAGCGACTCGACGCGCTCGGCGTCGCAGGTCGACTCCCATGCCGCGCTGCGAGCCCCATCCGCGACGTCGCGTTCCCACCGCTCAACAGCGTGATCTGCGGCTCTGCGCCGCTCAATCCGCGCTTTCTCTCACGCTGATGCCGGGCAATTTTTTGGCAGCTGCGCTCATCTCCACTTGCGGGCGCGGTCTTCTCATCACGCACGTGCTCTGAAACCGGCGGACGGCAAACGTGGTGGAGGAGTCACCCTCGCTGAGTCCTTCTGCTCTGTTTCCCATGCAGGACTCGCGATGCCGACGTGCGTCTGATCACCGTAATGCTCATCAGACCACCTGCCCACGCGCGATGTGGTGATCACTTAAAGGCGCGTCGAGTCTCGCGTCTCGTGGGAGATCAGCGCAGAGTCACTGACTGTCATCTCGAGTCCCCGGCCGTGAGCACGCACGGCACATACGCCAAAGCGCCCCTCGCCGTCCCTCGTCTCCAAGTCATGTGCGGTCGCGAACACGCCTAGGCTGTCGAAGCGGTAACGTTAGCTCGACTAGCGTCCCCCGTCTAGATACGCGCCGCACACGCTCAAATATAGCGCGCCATCGCAGCCCCGTCGTATATGCCGTCCATGATGAGCTCAGTGACACATTCACGGCGCCCACCGTGATCTCGCGGCGCGCCCACACAACCATCAGAACCCGGCGAATGACTCGACTTTATTTTCGAGCGTGTACGCGCGCTCCCACAGACGAGCCCCGCGTCTGTGCGCGTATAAAAGCCCTCGCGTCCCAGCACGAACCTCCATCGGCCTCCATCGTCCGCATCCACATCCCTACTCGCCCAGCATGTCCACCTCGCTCCGCCTCGTCCTCCTCGCGCTCTCCGCTGCGACCAGCGCCGTCGTCGGCGTTGGCGCCCAGGGAGTCTGCGCGCGCAACGCCACCGTCCAATCCCTCGGCGAGACGTGCGACTTTATCTCCAACCTCTTCAATGCCTCCACGTCAGTCCAAACCATACTGCATCTCTAGATTCCCTGTTGCGTTTTCTGATCGTGCGTCTGGTTCTATCTAGATTCCAGGTGGCCTTCGTGAACCAGAACACGGTCGACGCCGCCTGCGACAATCTCCATGTGGGAGAGGTGCGGACGTTTACTGGCTTCTGTGCGCGTGCCTGATGCTGACGGCCTACTCCTGTGCAGGTCCTCTGCTTGGGCGTCGTAGGACAGGACTGCACGACGACGCACACCGTTGTGTCTGGGGACTTCTGCGCGTCGATCGCGGGCGCCGCGGGCATCGATGCGAGCACGCTGCTCGCCAACAACCCGAACGTCAACTCGGACTGCAGCAACATCTATCCCGGCGAAGTGCGTCTGTATGATGATGGCGCGTGTATTTGCGCTGATCTTTTTTTGGGTATATCCCTGCAGGTCCTCTGCACATCGTCGGAGCTGTTCACGTATACCGATACGGCCGATGTATGAGCTGGAGGAACGGATGTTTTCGAGCGCTTTTTGAGGTCCCGATTTTGGGTCGTTCACTGCTTGCATCGGATACACGTGCATTGATTCTTTGTGAAAGCAATGACGAGTGGGTTTCCTTGTGAAGATCTAGTGGGTTTCTGTTGGTGGAGCGTTTGCGTGACGGATAAAATCGAGCGTGCGCAATGAAGCTTTTTTTAATTGTGGGACTGCTCGTTGGGACCGCGCTGGGACCGCGCGCCCTCATAACGCACATAAACGGAACGCAAAACGAACTCGACGATGGTTGATACAGACTTTTCTATGAGGCTTTGGACACTTTCAGTTGGATCCTCCACCCCCCGCTTGTCCCATTGAGAGACGCACGTATCACGCCTCCGTCTCGAGCTCTGACGCTAGCGGCAGCACTCGCGTGCAGAGGCGCTATCAGCCTGCGACCTCTCTCGCTCATACGAAGGCATGAGCCTATTCGACGCGGCGCGGCACTAACGTTGGCGCCCACGAGGGCACTAGATAGTATAGCACGACGAGATCACGAGCAGATCCTGCTTCGCCGATGGGTTGTCGTCACGACACTGAACCAGGGCTTTCCATGACATTTTCGTATAAGCTCTAGAAGGGACAAAGGTCCTCAGTTCGACTTTTCTTGTGAGTGGTGTCAAAAGCTTGGAGCCGGTATATTAGATGGAGATCTCGCGAAACTCTGAAGGGAGACCCGGCTCCGACCAGGACCAGGAAAAAAACAGAAAATGGGCGTCAGGACAAGGAGAACATCGATGTAGCAAGGAGCAAAGCAAAAAATCGTAAACATACTAGCAAAACAGTAGGATCTGTTAAAGAGTGCAGAGGGACAATGCGAGTACTAAGCAAAGCAAGCGCAAGGTGAACATCATAGATACCAGAATGACCGAACCAACAGACAAAACAACAGGCTGAAACAGAAATTGAAAAGCGGAACGCAAGTAACGATACGACTGAGACGCCCCCTCAAGGATCCGGACCTTGCAGTTCGTTGGGGCGCATGAAGACTGCTACTGAAAATTATCTGTGGTAAACTCGTCAGTGTGAAGTTGATGGAAAACAAATACAATATACCAACCGATGACACTCCGACGTCATGCACCGATGTGTACAAAGGCAGCCCATCGGTGACGCGGAACATTCGCCTCCTTTAACACGTCGATCCCACATCTCAGTGCCATCGCGGAATCTTTGAAATCCACCTGTGTTGGATCATTGTGACGGAACATATACTTGTAGAACTCCCGGGTGAGGCCAGGCCCATCGTCATCCGCCATTCCCCACAGCGTCCCGATAACACTGCGGAACCCACAGAATTGCATCGCCGCTGCGAGGTGCAAAACTTCGTCGGGTGTATGGATAGAATCGCCCGCAGCACTATGGCAGGCAGATAGGAATGCAAATTCTGCATTGGGAAGGCGTGCCTGCAAGAGATCCAACACAGTCAGACGGGAGCCTCCATAGAGCTTGAACGACGACTTGAAGGGTTGTGCATCGTCCAGATGACCGTGGCAAGCGATGTGAAGCCATGAGTGAGTTTGAAGATTGTCAAGCACTGCGTCGGGCGTCGCCTGTTCCGAGACAATAGTGTCGACAAAGTCCCCGAGGCTCTGTATCTCTTTCAACTCCGCATCTACACACCTCAGAGAGTCGTCTGGTCGGCCGACGGTAAGGAGCTGGGGGTATTTAGAGCGCGTCGCAGAGATGTTCTCCCTTGCAGAAATGAGTGAAGAGAGCGTAGGAGTGTAGGATGATATAAATAGATCTGGAAGACCACATTCGCCTGTGACAAGGGGATGAGCAGCATGCAGCGGGAGAGAGCACAGCTTTCCTGTTGGACACCACCAAATCCTGGACCCCTCCGCGACTCCCAGAGCTCGAAGTCTATCGACTACTGGCTGAGCGATGAGTTTCCACAACGCGAACAAAATATCGTCCATCACCGCAGCGAGAGTAGCGTCACCGCGTCTTCGAGCTTGACCGAGCTGCTCGGACAGCTTTCCAACTTCGTCATGTAATGAGTCTGTGAGGGGAACGAGGGTGGGGCCAGAAGCGATATCTCGAATAATCAAAGCATCCGATCGGTACGAGGAGACGTTGACTACGATGACAGGCCCTTCTGCAGCGGCGTGCTTGAGACGTTCAAAGGGCACTGGCTGTAGAAACTCTGAAAACCCTTCAATCTGGCGTATATGTTTGACTATGTCGTCCCATTCAGCCGACAGAACACGCTGCTGCTTCAACTTTTTATCCCGCGCAGCGCCAAATCGTGGAGCAGGTTCTAACGCATCGGGTGCCAAACGTGATTGTGAAGTGGCAAGTTTCTCCAACTGATCGCTGACCGTCTCGAACCTGTCGGCGAGTGCATGGTCAACGGTCCGAAGTTCTAGAACGGGTTGCCGATAACCCTTCATTCTGGACCAAAGCAAAGCTCTTCCTTTCTCCAACATCTCGACCGCAGTATCCAGCTGGCCATCATCAATAGCAGACGACGCGGCATCAACTGCGAGCGAAGAGGAGTACCTAGTAAGAGATGCCCATTGCAGCTCCAGGCTGGGACTGATGACAAGGCCGCACTGGAGGAGGTCCAAATATCTTGCATATGCTGACAGGATAGAGCTGTGTCGAAACTTGCAAGCCGACCATACCCATGCATGTGCAGTCGAGATCTGATGGTCCACACCGGCAGACCGAATTTCAGTTGCGGCGGCAAGCGTATCGAAGGCCTCATATAGATCATCCTCCCTGGAGAACTTTTGAAAGCGATTCAATAAAGCGCGAGAGAGACCAGCGAGGACAGAGGCACATAGAGAAAACCCAGCAGGAGATATGCCGAGCGCTTCCCGGTAATACTCTGTGGCCTTTTCGAGATCATCCATTCGCCCTGTCGCGTTGAAACGAGAGCTCAAGTTCTTTGCGAGATCGTAGAGGAAGTAAGGGCGATCAAAATGGCCAGAAGGTATTAGAGCGAGCGCATCGCGGTTCAATTCTACCGCTTCATCAAGGTCCTGCATCTTCCCTGTCTGCATGAAACGAGAGCTCAAGCTCACTGCGAGATTGAAGAGGGAGTGGGAGCGCTTAAGATGGCCAGGGGGTCGGAGAGCGAGAGCTTCGCGGTTCAAGTCTATCGCTTCCTCAAGGTCCTGCATCTGCCCTGTCCTATCGAAACGACAGTTCAGGCCAGATGCGAGGCGTTCGAGGGATTCAGGATGATTTGAATGACCAGAGGGTCGGAGAGCGAGCGCTTCGCGGTTCAATTCCATCGATTCCTCGAGGTCCTGCATCTGCCCCGTCCTAGTGAAACGTGAGCTCAGGTCAGATGCGAGATTGTGGAGGGAGTAAGAGCGATTAACATGACCGGGTGGTCGGAGAGCGAGAGCTTCGCGGTTCAAATCTATCGCTTCCTCAAGGTCCTGCATCTGCCCTGTCCTATCGAAACGACAGTTCAGGCCAGATGCGAGGCGTTCGAGGGATTCAGAATGATTTGAATGACCAGGAGGTCGCAGGGCGAGCGCTTCGCGGTTTAACTCTATCGTTTCCTCAAGGTCCTGCATCTTCCCTGTCTGCGTGAAACGAGAGCTCAAGTTCACTGCGAGATTGTGAAGGGAGTTGGCGTGCTTAAGATGGCCGGGGGGTCGGAGAGCGAGAGCTTCGCGGTTCAAATCTATCGCTTCCTCAAGGTCCTGCATCTGCTCTGTCATATTGAAGCGAGAGTACAAGTCAGATGCGAGGCTGTCGAGGGAGTCGGGACGATATGGATGACCAGAGGGTCGGAGAGCGAGCGCTTCGCGGTTCAAATCTATCGCTTCCTCAAGGTCACGCATCTGCCCTGTCCTATCGAAACGAGAGTGCAGGTTAAATGCGAGGCGCTCGAGTGAGTCGAGATGATATGGATGGCCAGGGGGTCGGAGAGCGAGAGCTTCGCGGTTCAAATCTATCGCTTCCTCAAGGTCCTGCATCTGCCCTGTCCTATTGAAACGACAGTTCAGGCCAGATGCGAGGGAATCGAGGGATTCAGAATGATTTGAATGACCAGAGGGTCGGAGAGCGAGCGCTTCGCGGTTCAATTCCATCGATTCCTCGAGGTCCTGCATCTGCCCCGTCCTAGTGAAACGTGAGCTCAGGTCAGATGCGAGATTGTGGAGGGAGTAAGAGCGATTAACATGACCGGGTGGTCGGAGAGCGAGAGCTTCGCGGTTCAAATCTATCGCTTCCTCAAGGTCCTGCATCTTCCCTGTCTGCGTGAAACGAGAGCTCAAGTTCACTGCGAGATTGAAGAGGGAGTAGGAGCGCTCAAGATGGCCAGGGGGTCGGAGAGCGAGAGCTTCGCGGTTCAAGTCTATCGCTTCCTCAAGGTCCTGCATCTGCCCTGTCCTATTGAAACGGGAGTTCAGGCCAGATGCGAGGGAATCGAGGGATTCAGAACGATTTGAATGACCAGGAGGTCGGAGAGCGAGCGCTTCGCGGTTCAAATCTATCGCTTCCTCAAGGTCCTGCATCTGCCCTGTCCTATCGAAACGGGAGTGCAGGTCAAATGCGAGATTGTAGAGGGAGTAGGAGCGATTAACACGACCGGGTGGTCGGAGAGCGAGAGCTTCGCGGTTCAAATCTATCGCTTCCTCAAGGTCCTGCATCTGCTCTGTCCTATTGAAGCGAGAGTACAAGTAAGATGCGAGGCGCTCGAGTGAGTCGAGATGATATGGATGACCAGGGGGTCGGAGAGTGAGCGCTTCCCGGTGATACTCTATGGCCTTTTCAAGATCATCCATTCGCCCTGTCGCGTTGAAACGAGAGCTCAAGTTCTTTGCGAGATCGTAGAGGAGGTAAGGGCGACCAAAATGGCCAGAAGGTATTAGAGCGAGCGCATCGCGGTTCAATTCTACCGCTTCATCAAGGTCCTGCATCTTCCCTGTCTGCGTGAAACGAGAGCTCAAGTTCACTGCGAGATTGTAGAGGGAGCCGAAGCGCTTAAGATGGCCGGGGGGTCGGAGAGCGAGAGCTTCGCGGTTCAAATCTATCGCTTCCTCAAGGTCCTGCATCTGCCCTGTCCTATCGAAACGACAGTTCAGGCCAGATGCGAGGCGTTCGAGGGATTCAGAACGATTTGAATGACCAGGAGGTCGCAGGGCGAGCGCTTCGCGGTTTAACTCTATCGTTTCCTCAAGGTCCTGCATCTTCCCTGTCTGCGTGAAACGAGAGCTCAAGTTCACTGCGAGATTGTAGAGGGAGTTGGAGCGCTTAAGATGGCCGGGGGGTCGGAGAGCGAGAGCTTCGCGGCTCAAGTCTATCGCTTCCTCAAGGTCCTGCATCTGCTCTGTCCTATTGAAGCGAGAGTACAAGTCCAATGCGAGATTGTAGAGGGAGTCGGGACGATATGGATGACCAGAGGGTTCGAGAGCGAGAGCTTCGCGGTTCAAATCTATAGCTTCCTCAAGGTCCTGCATCTGCCCTGTCCTATTGAAGCGAGAGTACAAGTCAGATGCGAGGCTGTTGAGGGAGTCGGGACGATATGAATGACCAGGGGGTCGGAGAGTGAGCGCTTCCCGGTAATACTCTATGGCCTTTTCAAGATCATCCATTCGCCCTGTCGCGTTGAAACGAGAGCTCAAGTTCTTTGCGAGATCGTAGAGGAAGTAAGGGCGATCAAAATGGCCAGAAGGTATTAGAGCGAGCGCATCGCGGTTCAATTCTACCGCTTCATCAAGGTCCTGCATCTTCCCTGTCTGTGTGAAACGAGAGCTCAAGCTCACTGCGAGATTGTAGAGGGAGCCGAAGCGCTGAAGATGGCCGGGGGGTCGGAGAGCGAGAGCTTCGCGGTTCAAATCTATCGCTTCCTCAAGGTCCTGCATCTGCTCTGTCCTATTGAAGCGAGAGTACAAGTAAGATGCGAGGCGCTCGAGTGAGTCGAGATGATATGGATGACCAGGGGGTCGGAGAGTGAGCGCTTCCCGGTGATACTCTATGGCCTTTTCAAGATCATCCATTCGCCCTGTCGCGTTGAAACGAGAGCTCAAGTTCTTTGCGAGATCGTAGAGGAGGTAAGGGCGACCAAAATGGCCAGAAGGTATTAGAGCGAGCGCATCGCGGTTCAATTCTACCGCTTCATCAAGGTCCTGCATCTTCCCTGTCTGCGTGAATCGAGAGCTCAAGTTCACTGCGAGATTGAAGAGGGAGTAGGAGCGCTTAAGATGGCCAGGGGGTCGGAGAGCGAGAGCTTCGCGGCTCGATTCTACCGCTTCATCAAGGTCCTGCATCTTCCCTGTCTGCGTGAAACGAGAGCTCAAGTTCGCTGCGAGATTGTAGAGGGAGCCGGAGCGCTTAAGATGGCCAGGGGGTCGGAGAGCGAGAGCTTCGCGGTTCAAGTCTATCGCTTCCTCAAGGTCCTGCATCTGCCCTGTCCTATTGAAGCGAGAGGACAAGTCAGATGCGAGGCTGTCGAGGGAGTCGGAACGATATGGATGACCAGAGGGTTGGAGAGCGAGCGCTTCGCGGTTCAAATCTATCGCTTCTTCAAGGTCCTGCATCTTCCTTGTCTGCGTGAAACGAGAGCTCAAGCTCACTGCGAGATTGAAGAGGGAGTAGGAGCGATCAACATGGCCTGGGGGTCGGAGGGCGAGCGCTTCGCGGTGTGATTCTATTGCTTCCTCGAGGTCCTGCATCTGCCCCGTCTGTTCGAAACGAGAGCCCAAGAGACAAGCGAGAGCGTGTAGAGAGTAAGAGTGATTAACATGACCGGGTGGTCGGAGAGCGAGAGCTTCGCGGTTCAAATCTATTGCTTCCTCAAGGTTCTGCATCTGCCCTGTCCTATCGAAACGAGAGTACAAGTCAGATGCGAGGCTGTCGAGGGAGTCGGGACGATTCGGATGACCAGGGGGTCGGAGAGCGAGCACTTCGCGGTTCCATTCTATCGCTTTCTCAAGGTCTTGTATCTGTCCTGTCTGCCTGAAACGAGTGCGCCAGCTCGTTGCAATATTGTGGAAAGTGTCGGAGAGATTTGAATGACCAGGAGGGTGAAGGTCGATGGCTTCATCGTGTTCGTGAGTGGGTTCAGTCTGGTTGATGCAAAATCACCAGTCATCCGCGACGAGCATCAGCGTCAGGATCTCTTGGACGTACTCGACCAGAAGACTTACCATGTGGACGACAATGTCCTGTGTTTACTTCCTACAATCCGGCGACGTTTCCTCTTCTCGTGGTTGCTGCAACGTGCGATTAGACTATGAAGCGGATGGAGACAACTTTCGAGAGTCACATACCAGGTGTTGTGGGGATGGGAGTATCGTTGGTCAGAAAACTCGGAGTTCTCGCGTACGAGTACAACGGCGTTCAGTGCCAGTAGACGCCGAACTACACATGTCCAAACATCACGGCACTGTGGGTGCTTGTTGTATCCGATATACAAGAACACGCTCCTTACATAGGCAATACTTCCACACACGATCAAAAAGAAGCCAGCCTTGTCGAGTAAGCTTCAAACAAGACACCAACAGTGCACAGCGCGAAACAGAGCCGATAAGATTCAAACCACGTACCTATGCCAGAAGATGTCATTTGAGCGTGACAAGTCTCCCGAGATCTAACGAGAGACATTATACGACGTAAAACTCTCTTTGATATGAGTTGTCGGGACCAGCCCAAAAAGAAACTCGCGATTGAGAGCTCTCATTTGCGCGCAAGGTCCTTCTGCGAAGCGTGTCAAGACATTAGTATGCAGATATGACTGGTGAGAACGCGGAGATTAAGGAGTGCGACTGAGGACAAGGTCGATGATACTAAATACGCTTGGGTGTGCTAAGTGATGCTGAACACTTACTACCTTTGAGCCTGCTCGTGCTGAACAAAGCTCTAGCTTGAGGCAGGCGGAAACCACGTAGCGGTAGGGGCCGAGACCACGTTTAGGGACTACCGTCGGCATTTCCCGGCCGGGCAACATGAGCATCTGTAAGCATTCCATCCTCCTCCCATGCCCCAACAACCCCCGAGTACCTCATCGTAGCGAACGCTGCCCGTGCTCGCCAGGCCTTTTCGAACGATGGCTTGAAGGAGCGGAGCCTTGAACTTGCCGCCCATGCCCCACTGGCGTGCGATACAACCCCGCCCTGAGCAGAATTGAGCGACGTCGGGGCATCAGCTGGTATGCATGTCGCTTGGTGGAAAGCTCTGTGACGCTTTCCAGACAGTGCGGTGTGCGTTGTGCTCTACCTCTCTCTCTTCTCCTTCGCCTCCTCCACGACTCTCGTCATGTCTGGTCCTCCTCGGTTTTATTTTCTACCTCGATTTTGTCACCCTACCCAATCTAGTCCGGCACTCCGCCCTCGAGAGAATATAGCACCGTTTCCTCGTGATAGGACTGATATCGACCTATAACGAGCGAGGCTTGTTCGTCATCGCGTCGTCTTCCGCGGCCGCAGAACGCTCCTCGAGGCCCACCGACACTTTCTGTGACTCCTCGTCGATCTCCAATATCACGCTTTTAACGGCCAGCCGCGCCTCCCGGCAAACCTTTTCGCATACTTCATAGAACGCGGGTTCTGCCGCCGACCGATATACATATACCAGTCCTGCTATGATCAGCATGTCGTGCTCGCTTGGCTTGCCTGGTCGCGCGCGTCATTTCTTGCGTCAAATACTTGAATGTGACTCGGCGACACGTCGTAGGCACGAACCTCTATCGTCCTCCCCGTCCACATCCCTCCTCGACCATTTTGTTCATCGCGCTCCATCTCGTCCTCCTCGCACTCTCCGCGGTGATCGGCGCCGTCGTCGTCGTCGGCGCCCAGGGAGTCTGCGCGCGCAACGCTACTGTCCTATCCCTCGGTGAGACATGCGACTTTATTTCTAATCTCTTCAACGCCTCGACGTCGGTGCATCCCATACCCACACCATGTCCTCGCATCCTCCGTTGACGGGGTCTGGCCGCGCGCCTTCTTTCCGATACCATCTGGCCTTCATGAACACAAGGTCGACGCCGCCCGCGACAACCCCCAGGGGAGGTACGGACGTTTCTTGGATTTTGTGCGCGCGCCCTCTGCTCATGGTCTCCTCCTGTGCAGGTTCTCTGCTTGGGCTTCGTGGAACAGGACTGCACGACGACACACACCATCGTGTCTGGGGGCTTCTGCGCGTCGATCGCGGCGGCGGCAGGCATCAACGCGAGCACACTGCTTGCGAACAACCCGACGTGTGAGCTGGAGGAACAATTTTTTTCGAGGGCTTTTTGGGATGAGATTTTGGTTCGTTCACTGCTTGCGTCGGATATACGTGTATCGATTATTTATTAAAGCAATGACAAGTGGGTTCACGTGTGATGATCTGGCGGGTTTCTGTTGGTCGTGGAGTGTTCGTGCGACTGGTAGAATCGACCGTGCGCAGTGCAGCTTTTTTTATTCTGGAAACACTCGTCGGGACCGCACTAGGACCGCGTGCCCTCGAAACGCACATAAAAACAGAACGCAAAACGAACTCGACGATGGTTAACAATGCGAGTGCAGAGGATTCTCGAGCTTGGTCGAGCTGGTCAGAGAACTCCCCGACTTCGTCATATAATGAGTCCGCGAGGGGAACGAGGGTGGGGCCAGAAGCGATATCTCGAATAATCAAAGCATCCGATCGGTACGAGGAGACGTTGACTACGATGACAGGCCCTTCCGCAGCGGCGTGCTTGAGACGTTCAAAGGGCACTGGCTGTAGAAAGTCTGAAAACCCTTCAATCTGGCGTATATGTTTGACTATGTCGTCCCATTCAGCCGACAGAACACGCTGCTGCTTCAACTTTTTATCCCGCGCAGCGCCAAATCGTGGAGCAGGTTCTAACGCATCGGGTGCCAAACGTGATTGTGACGTGGCAAGTTTCTCCAACTGATCGCTGACCGTCTCGAACCTGTCGGCGAGTGCATGGTCAACGGTCCGAAGTTCTAGAACGGGCTGCCGATAACCCTTCATTCTGGACCAAAGCAAAGCTCTTCCTTTCTCCAACATCTCGACCGCGGTATCCAGCTAGCCTTTGTGAATAACAGAAGAAGCAGCGTCAACTGAGAACGAAGAGTACCTAGTAAGAGATGCCCATTGCAGCTCCAAGCTGGGACTGATGACAAGGCCGCGCTGGAGGAGGGTCAAAGATTTTGCATATGCTGACAGGATAGAGCTGTGTCGAAACTTCCAAGCGAACCGTGCCCACGATTGTGCAGTTGAAAGCTGTTCTCCCACACCAGCAAACTGATTTTCAGTTGCAACGGAACATATATTGAAGGCTTCGTTTAGATCAGCCTCTCTGGATATTGCTTGAAAGCGAGCCAACAAAGCGCACGAAAGAGCAGCAAAGCAAGCGACACAATGAGAAAATTCGTCGGGAGATATGCTGAGCGCTTCCCGATGCTATTATATGGCCGTCTCAAGGTCCTGCAGCTGCCCTGTCCGCAAGAAACGAGATTGCAAGTCAACTGCGATACCGCAGAGGAAATGAGGGGGATCATAATGATCAAGAGGAAGGAGAGCAAGCGCTTCGCGATCATAATCCATCGCTTCCTCAAGGTCCTGAATCTGCCCTGTCTGCATTAAACGAACGTACAAGTCAGATGCGAGGCTGTCGAGGAAGTCAGAGCGATCTGGATGACCAGGAGGACGGAGTGAGCGCTTCCTGATCTAGTTCCATCGCTTCCTCAAGGTCCTTCATTTTCCCTGTCCGTTCAAAACGAGAGTTCAAGGTCACTGCGAGGCCGTTGAGGGAGTCGGGGAGATTTGGATGCCCAGGAGGTCGGAGAGCGAGCCCTGATGAAGTTCCATCACTTCCTCAAGGTCCTGCATTTCCCCTGTCTGCTCGAAACGGAAGCTCAAGGTCGCTGCGAGGCTGTTGAGGGAGTCTGAGCGATTTGAATGCCTAGGAGGTCGGAGAGCAAGCACTTCCCTATTCAGTTCTATCTCTTCCTCGATGTCCTGCAGCTGCCCTGTCTGCTTAAAACGAGAGTGTAAGTCTATTGCAAGGCTGTAGAGGTATTTGGCGCGATATGGATGACCAGGAGGTCAGAGAGCGAGCGCTTCGCGGTTCAATTTCGTCCCTTCCTCAAGGCCCTGCAACTGTCCTGTTCGCTTGGAACGAGAGCGCAAGTCATATGCGAGGTTGTAGGAGTCCGAGCGACTTGAATGCCCAGGAGGTCGGAGAGTGAGCATTTTCCTATTCAGTTCTATTGCTTCCTCAAGGTCCTGCAGTTGTCCCGTCCGCATGAAGCGAAAGTGAAAGTTCACTGCGAGACTGCTGAGGGCGTAGAAGTGATGTGGATGCCCATGAGGTCGGAGAGCGAGTGCTTTGCGAATCATTTCAATCGCTTCCTCAAGGTCCTACATCTGCCTTGTCTGCTTTAACCGAGAGTACACGGTATATGCGAGATTCTCGAGGGAAGATGCGGGATTTGAATGACCAGGAGGTCGGAGAGAGAGCGCTTCCCGATGCAGTTCTATCGCTTCCTCAAGGTTCTGCATGTGTCCTGTCCGCTCGTAACGAGAGCGCAAGTCTTTTGCGAGGCTGTGCAGAACGTTGGATGTGGATGACCAAGAGGTCGGAGAGCAAGGGCTTTACGATGAAGATCGATAGCTTCATCGAGTTCGTGAGTCGTCGGTTCAGTATAATTGATGCAAAATTACCAGCCATCGGTGACGTCAATACCGGTCAGGAGCTATGATACGTACTGGACCGTTGGAGATGAGGACTTACCATGTGGATAACAATAACCTGTGATTGCTTCCTACAGTTCAAGCACGTCTCCCTTCTGCTGTTGCTGCAACGAGCAATTAGGTTATCGAGCGGATGAAAGAGAATATTCGAGAGTCACGTACCAGGCGTTATTGGATGAGTGTATCGTTGGTCAGAAATTTCGACAGCAACGGTGAGTCGATGGTGTTTGAGGACTCGATGTCGAGAGTGGTGGTTTCGTCCCCAAGACTGCGCGCCAGTAGACGCCAAACTACCCTTGTCCAAATATCACTGCGCTACGGGTGCTCAAAATTGGATCTGATGTAAAACTTTCCTCTGGGCTCAACCGACTCCCGAACGCACCATATGAAGGCGAGCAGCCTTGGAATGAGACTAAACCCTCCTTAAGTAATACCTCCATACACAGTGAAAAGACGCCGACCGCGTCGAGTGTCTAATCAAGTTGCCGACAGTGCACGACAAGAGCCAGAATTAATACCATTCAAACCACGTACCTATGCCACGTTGTGTCATCTGAGCATGATTGTGAGTGCCTTCTCATCATCCCTACAATGTCTCCCTAGGACAACGGTCTTTGTATGGCCTCGAATACTGATCGAGGTGAGTTGTCGAGACAGGCCCAAAAAAAAACATCACGATCGAGAGCTCTCATTCGCACGGAAGGTCCTTCTGCGAAGCATACGACTGGTGAGAAAGCTGTGATTTAGGTAGTCTAATGAATAAAATGGTGTATTTGCGACTGAGGACAGGATCAAGGATAGTGAATGTGCTCAGGGATACTGGACACTTACTACCTTTGAGAGCCGCTCGTGTTGAAGAAATCTCTGGCTAGGCCAAGGCTGGCGGAAGCCCATGTCCAATTTTGGAAACTCAGACTTCTTACCACTTACTTGACGGAATCGTGACCAAAGCCCAGTGTTTTGACTTGACTTGACCTTTACTCGGATTTTTGTGCATCACTCATTCTCCTCCCACCTCACCGCTCATCCTCACGTCTGTCCGCCCCCCCAATACCTCACATCCTATCTGGAACATGCCCCTATTGTGCCCAGCTGTCCGTCAACGCTCGTGCTAGAGCACTCGAGTCACCAATGAACATCGCGAGGTTATCGCGCGCGCTCACTCCAACTGAAGAACCACACCAGAGAAGGAGCAGGTGTATCCTTTCTTGCTTCGTAGCAAGTACTTGGCTCAGGATCTTCATCTCAGTTGACGATCAGCATACGGGTCGGTCGTCTTCGCACGGCGCGGCCCCTAGTACTCCCCTAGTCGAATCGCTGACTGCAACGAGACCGCGTCATTCCTTCTGTGATTCCTTGATTGTGCGCAGGATGACTACGACCTGCGGTGCACTCGAAATGATTCTCTCGCAACTAGTCTCCAATATCCAATGCTTACCTCAACATATGACAGTCCTTATTTTGTAAGTCTGCCGGGGTGATCATCGCTGGCTCATCCGGTCGCAACTTTTCTGATCGTCGGTCAGCCTAAAAGTAAGCAGGAAGCTGCAGGAAGCCCTCTACATAAGCTTCGGGGCTCGAACGGGTGTCAACTTTTGGGGACTCTCTGAGCCAGCCGATCGTACTCCTCAACGTGCACGGCAACAATCGGCTACTTCGGATACGAGACGGATCTCACTACTGTACTCGACGAAAGCGCCACATTTGTTAGGTGTTAGCATGAGATTACTATCCAAGTCAGTGGCGGCCGGACGGTCGTAGATTTTAGCATAGAGGTTGTTCGGTATTACTCATACTCGCTCAATTTTTGAGGTGGGTACGAGTCAAGGGAGGTCGAGGAAAATCGAGGGACTGAGGAAGTCTTTGTCGAGGACTTCTCAGAGGCGGCAACTGAGGATATGCCGATGATGATCCAATGAGAAGAGAAGACTATCGGCCAGCAGTCGGCCAGCTTGATGCGCCATTACGCGCGGTCAGGGCAAGGTCCAGCAGGGCCAGGTGACTCTCGGGCGCAGGCTCGATGGCGGGCATGGCTAGCCATGGCTTCGCAACTGGGGCGTCAGAAAGGCATCGGCCAGCGATATGCAGCCCCGCGCCAGCGTAGCCCTTGTTCAAGGATATCGCACTCTGGTACTTGCTCATGCCAAAAAACCGACCGCCGAGTGACCGACCGTACGATAGGGTCCTACGAGAGCAGATCTAGGTGGCGTCATCGACTTCGGCGCTTGCCATTGGCGGACTGCGTGACGCATGTGCTGAATTTGAAATTGTTATCTCCCAATTCGATAGCAAATTGTTGGTCATCTTCCTACCGGTCCTCCCATCATATCTTGTGTTTTCTTCGAGGGGCCGCGACGAACTCACTTCGAAATGGAACGTTCTGTTGCCTGATGGTGGTAAAGGGATCTCAATCCGTTTCGGAGCGTCGGAGGGGATCAAGAAGATCAGAGGTTTGTCTGCAAAGTCCTTGCTATGCTGGATGACGATATGTTCCTAAAGTTCGAAAAGTTGACAGCTTCTGTCACAGCTGCGGCGTTGATTGTGCTTTGACTATTTTCGACTGCGAGCACGAACTCTGGTATTTCAGTACTTCAGTCTTCGTGCCTCATTGAAGACCTCTATTTTTGTTATGAACATCGGAATCTTACGATCCATACTTTGCTTGCGGGTGCAGTTGTTCGCTGCTTACAGTGGCTTGCATAAAAAACCGGAATCGTGCGACACGCTAAGTCCCAGAGCAAGATGACAAAGTTACCATGTATAGTAACTACTGTCACACTACAACAAACACTTTCAGGCCAAAATACTATATATGGTAATTTCATCATTCTGCGCCAGAACTTGCACATTGCGCGATTCTGATTTTTTATGCAAGACACTGTAGCCTTGCTTAGCCTGGAAATAAATCGTCCATCATATTTCTGTCAGACGCGCATTTGGGTTTTCCCGCCCGCGCCTGCGCCTCGGTACCTCCAGGGCGACCTTCCGTTTTCCCCGTATGCCTCCTTGGCAGAACTTCTGGAAACCATCATTGAATGCATCCTCTGCACATAATCCGCTCAAAAACCCCTCTTGCGTCGGTCGCGGGCTGCTTTTTTTTTTACCCCGTCGGGTCTTTTGCCGTCTACCTCGCTTTCGTCGCTCTTTCTCGTCTCTCTTCGGGTCAACTTGCGTCAGGCAGCCGCTGTGCGGACAACTTGTCGTCGAAAGAGGTGCGTGTACACGACGACCGGCTTATCGCTTCGAGGTGGAGAGGCGCATTCTCTGACTTTCTATCTGGGTATATTTAGGCTCAATTTGCGAGCTTACCTTCCAAACCCCTCCCTCCCTTCACCCCCCTCCCCCATTGAGGATCATAAGTCATGAATGTCGGAGGAAGGTACGTCATCACTACACTGTTCGTATTACTGTGTGCTGATCGTCGCGCACGTCGCAGTTGGGGTTTCATCATGGTGGGCATGATGCTGAACCTGATCTTGTACGGGTTCATGTTCATGCAATGCTACATCTACCTGTCTGCGTTCAAAAAGTGAGACCTACTTGCCCCCCATTTTCACCTGTGCCCCGCGAACAGATGCACACGTCTAATCGAGTTCCTCCCTAATCACAGAGATGCACTCTGGATCAAATTATTTGTGAGTCTGCCTGAAGTCACTCGCTTCGTCAGCCCGCGAGCACTCAGCATCATTGGACGCGCAGGTGCTCTTCCTGTTCGTCGCGGACACGCTGAACACCGGTTTCACTGCCGGGATTATTTACGAGTACTTCATCACCCACTACGGTAAGTTCCGCCGTCGAGGTGAGCGGTGCGGACTTGCGCTCACTGCGCTGCGTGATCTCCCCCTCAACAATAGGTGACTTTACCTACCTCTCCAAGGCGACGTGGCGTAAGTCTTGTGCATGGTGACTTGCATCAGGGGATAGGGACTGACTCTAGTCCCGCAGTATTCTGCACAGGTACAGTGTGCCGGCGACCGAGTTCAAATTTCCTCTAACCCTTCGCTTGTTTCTGTGATGTCTAGATCCTGCAATGACGGTAAGCTTGCTCTCCTGTCCCTGTGACCTGTGATACACCTCTTTGTTTGCAGTCGCTAACGCCTCTTTTGCTTCTTTCCAGGGCATCATCTCGTGCTCCGTGCAAGTTTTCTTCGCCTACCGCGTAAAGCGTCTCACAGGGTCAAGATGGGCCACTGCATTCATCGGCTTCTTTGCCGGTGCATCCTGCTGTCCGTCGTCTGCCCCTCCTTTTCATGCAGAACAGATGCACTGACCGTCGGCGCCGTTCATGTTCTGTTTCATATTTTGTTTTCGTCTGTAGGTGGCGCACTCGGCACTGCAATCGCAGTCAACTGGTGGCGGGAGTTCGTCAATTTCCAAAAGTTCCAGGTGGTCGTCATCATCTGGCTCGTCTGCGCGGCCGTCGCCGACGTCCTCATCACCGCCACGCTCGTGTGGTACTTGGTGCGTCCGCAGCCGTTCTTTTCCTCTCGCGCGCGATGCTCTACGATGCATCACGATGCGATTCGCGGATCATCGGACAGACAAGGGCGGACACTGATGGTTGTTCCTTGGACAGAGGGGGAAGCGCACGGGCTTCGTTGCCACTGACGACATCATCGACCGCATCACCCGACGTGAGCCATATTTAGATTTGTTATGTTGGGTGATCGCGCCTGAACTTCATGCTTCCGCAGTGACTGTCCAGACCGGCGCGCTCACCGCGCTCTTCGCGGTCGTCGACGTCATCCTCTTCATCGCCAGTGCAAGTGTTCATCCTTTCTTCCTCCCACTGTAATCTCACTGAACTGTAACCTCACTGTTCCGTGCGATAATACAGCCCACAACCATGTATGCGCCCTCCCCTTCTTCGCCACTCAAGTAGCATGCCAGCTCACGCACAGCTCACGACAGGCACTTGCTCTTCAATTTCCCGCTCGCGAAGCTGTACACGAACAGCCTGATGTCAAACCTCAACTCACGTGCCGCATGGGAGAGCAGCAATTCGAAATTCGGCTCGTCCGAAAGCGACCATGGCCGACCGTCCGCAAACCGTCGCAAGCCTGTGAGTTTGTATGCTGCACGGAGCTCCGACGCTTGGTTTTTCTGATTCACTCGTGGATTATAGGGGCCGAACGTCGTCCTCATCACCAAGGACGTGACCTCCGTGCGTGAAAATCCTTCGATTCCTTGTTCCTACGCACATCCACGCGAGACTGACTTTGCGAGTTGGGTGCGCAGATGACCGACGGCCCACAATCGTTCACGCCCTTCTCAGGCTATAACGCACAGCAGGACCAGGAGCACGAGCACGAGCTGGACGTGATGAAGACGCCGGGCAACAACAAAGGAATAACGCCGCCCAACGGGAACGACACCTTTGTCTGAGCGCACTGCTAGCGTCGCCTCTCTTGTTATCCTTGCTGACAAGGCGGGAAATGGGCAGGGGTGGGGTGCGATTGGCATTCCTGGGCGCAGAAATGTCTACACCCTCCCTGTGCAGTGGCAGTAGCGGTGCTTCCTCAGCGCATGCGTGTATGCGTGTTGGTCTTCGTGTGCGTTGCGTTGTCGTGCCGTGTAATAGGGCAGCTGATAGGATGTGTTCTCCTGCGCCCATTATGATCTAACTTATCTCGGGTACGCCAGCAGCGTACTCGTCTGCTTATTGTAAAACCTCCTTCTCTTCCTATCAGCTACTGTCGAGATGTGAATACATGCATTATACCAAAATCTCAGCTGCCTGTCTGGCGTTCCAATTTTTTATCGTTTGAGGGACATGCTCGATGTCGAGATCGGGACCATGTAAATAGAACCTGCTAGATAGCTGGATGACGCCGAAAGGGATTTCATGAAAGCTACGTTTATGGACTGATGGAGGCTCCTGGTGAGGTGAGATCACGTGGAACGGTCTTAGGTCAAAGTGTCAAAGGACGTGATCGAATTTTGCTAATCTCCGTAGGCTTCCGGAGGCCTGTCTGCTCCCGCTCCTTCTTATCCTATTTCTTTTAATCAGTCTTGGTGACAGAGTTAAGGAAGTTCCTTGGAGCTAAGATCCACTAGACCGTTCTTTCTAGCGATTATTCTGCTAATTATCGAACCAAGAGTAACGTCTCTCCAGGTCCTCCGGAAGTGAATATATCTCGCCTCTCCCATGACCTACCAAACCGCACTGGGATAGCGAATCATTCCACAGAAGACGTCGGAGACGCCTATCGAGTAGGTGTCAAACGATGAAGATTAGGCCGAAGCGCGAACGTTACTGTCTACCCGCAATGTCCTGGTTCACGAATTTGTGTGTCAGTTTACTTTTCAATCACATGTCACTCGTCACGGTCTATCCAAATGCAGCCCAGGTCTAAATGTCGATTCCAGCGAGCGGTGCATGATAAATCCATGTAATTATCATTTTGGCCCTCAATTCCTGACACCGCAAGATGGTAGATACTACGTGAGGCAGACACTCACAAAACATACAACGTATATACTGATCGATTGAAGACGGAATCTTCACACTTTAAATTTCTTGATACACGAAGTGGAATGATCTGCCGACGGCACCGAGTCCGCACAACCTACCCTACGCAGGGCTAACTTGTGGACCTGCCAGATACGTGACCTCCGGCCCAACAGGGTAGAATCCGGCTTGCCCCCCCAAGTTTTGAGGCTTGGCTTCAAGTTTGACGTGAGTCCAGGGATCTGCATGCGGAGCATACAAAGGGTGACTGGCGTGAAATTTGAAACCTAACTCGTCGTCGCCATGTAATTCCTCTAGAATGGGCAATTCTGAAACATCGTCACCAGTCAATCGAAGCGACCCTTTCCGCACGTTGAAACCTCCGTCCTCCCATATCTGCCCGACCGTGTACGAGGCAGACTCGAGGGCGCCGGCAATCCACGTGTGATGACGCGACAGATGCTCCCCGGCAAAGTAGACACTCCCTTCTGGCTTACGAGCAGGCTCAAAGCGTGCTATAAACTGACCAGGAAGGAACATAGCGTCGCCTGTCGCTGAGCGGGTCGACCAAGCAACATCGAAGGTTTCGATGAGCAGATCGTATACACCGGAGTCGGGGTAGACCAAGCTCAAGCAATACAGAGCGAGACTGCGACGCTCGTAAGGGGAAAAGGGAAGCCATGTCTGGGAATCTGTCATCCAAGCGTACACCAACAGTACCCCCGGGCCTTCATCATCAATCCCATTCGACGGGTATACGATCCACCTGATAGGAAGGTCCGTCGTCGACTGTCCACCCTTCGTCTTTGGGGTCTCGCGCTCCCAAAAACGGGTCTTAAAACGCATACCCATCTTGTAGAGCGACTCGAAATGCATCGAACGAATCGCCATCTCCTTTTGCGGATGCCAGAGAGGGCGATCGGCAAGCATCTTGAGCGAAGCTGGAGGGATGGCGAGAATGACTTTGTCGAAGACTGCGCGAAGGGTTCCATTGTAGCCGTTGGCGGTGATCACAATCTTGTCATTTTGGTCTTTGTCTGGGCGGATACTGGTAACGCGCGCGCCGAACGTGATGTTATTGTATTTGATGATGTGAGCCATGGCCTGAGGCAAGCGATCCATCCCTCTGTCGATCGTGAACCACTGCTTGGTGCCGAAATCGATATTTTGCATGACAAGTTCGACGACACTGAGCGCAAACTGATTCGTCTGCGAGCATATGGTCTCAACGAAGTCGACGACTGAGTCAGGCCATTGAGCGATCGACTTGAGATAGAAACGGAAGGGAAAATCGTCAAGCGTAAGAAGCTTTGCGAAACCTGTGTCAAAATCGTCCAACAACGGCTTCACGAGCGGGTCAAGGACGCTTTGAAGTAAAGAGCCAGCCGTCTTGTGCCTATATTCATCCGGAACATCCCAGTTGATGTCAGCGGGCGTGACATTATTGACATCCTGCCCATCGCGACTATCACCGTTTACGTGCAGAAGATTGCCCTCGCTGTTCAGAATGTAGTCGATGAGGTTAATATGCTTGTCTTTTGGCAGACCAGGGTATGAGTTGAGATACTGGATCAGGTCGAACAGGATTTGTTGAAATTTGGATTGGGGGATACGCATCGCGCCTGCTTCGAAGTACTGGTTCCTCTCGGGGGAGAAGTGATGGGTGTAGATGCGACCCCCTACGCGATTGCTAGCCTCGAAGATGTGGACGCGGTGGCCTTTTCTGCGAAGTAAAATCGCGGCGTACAGACCCGCAACACCACCGCCGACGATGCCGACAGACGGCCGGTGCCGATGAGACAGTGTAGATTGTGTGGGCTCGGATATCTGTGAAAGCTCTGCGCTTATTGGCTGCATAGTGACGTGGTATGCACGAGATGCGGTCTGTGGCGTACAAATGGCCTTTAAGTAAGAGAATGTGAAAGAAACACTCAAGTGACATACTAGGATGTCGATTCAGATAGGTGAGCAAATCAGGCTAGTAACACGATGTGTCAGGGCGCTAGATGACGCAGGTCAACAGTGGGCGAGTGCAAGACGACAAGACGACTCCCAGGAGGTATTCCGAATGTACTGATCGCTCTTGCTCCGTCGCATCAGCTATTATACTGTTGAAATCCCAGTGACGCATACACGGCGCGCCCAAGGAGCCAGTATTAGCTATTTCGCGGAATGTGACCATTGATACTCGGAACTTGATAGGAATTAGATGAAAGGACCCTAATCTCAACGAAGTCGCGGCGACTTCATTGTGCCACTCGATAGTGAAAACGTGGTCCTATCGTTGATCGATAGATGCAGTTGCTGCTAGGATAACATGGATGGCGAAAGGGCAGAGATTCGGCACACCTCATGGGCCCATCGTGTCTGACATGATTCACTTGGACTGTTGCATGTGGACGATACGGGTGGATGAAGGGCACGATGAAAGATCAGTAAGTGCCGGTGGAAGCTATTGCTCACAGTGATCTCTCGATATAACGCAGACCTTCAGCGCATCGATTGCCATTCCACGAGTGGCCGCTTGATCACCGCACCAACCTGTCTGAACTGGGCTAATGAGGTCACCATCGCCATCACTAGCTCGGACAGAAGTGTGCGCCGATAAGCTGTTTTCTGTCAGGCGGTGTATCCGGTGATTCCTATTTCTTTAAAGCGTATTATGGAAAGTCGAGAAAGCCTGACGACTCACTACAGATGCTCGAGCACCGAACGATATGCTTGAAAGTCGCGGCTTTGAACTCGCGTGAACAGGGACTTGACTTGGATGAAGCCCTGCAGCCACGAAGCTTCTTAGCATTCATGTGCTCCATTTGCAAGCTGGCCACTCAAGGGTGCAAAGATCAGAGATTAGTCTAGATAAAGCTCAAGTCATATAAGCCACTTCGTCGCACGGCCTACAACTCAAGCGTCTTTTCTGCTCTCCCTCTCAGCATGCTTTATTTTCGACAGCTTCTCCAGCCCAAACATTCTGCTAAGCAAGCCATCCTGTGTTTGAAAGATAATTGAGCATCCAGTCAGGAGTCACAGATACACACGTACGAATCCTGTCCTGCTCATGAACGTGCTGACTATCCATACGAGCCACGCGTTTTTTGAGGTATACACCCATGCTCGAGGAGTCTTCGTCAGTGCTTCGGCGACCACAGTCTTCGCAAGTTGGCTGACTGGTAACGCGCTGTCTAGGTACAAGATGGCATGATTAACAGTCATATCCTTGAAATTGATAGAAGAAGACTCAAAAAATAATTCACCTTGGAAATGCTCAATGCGGTCACGCGCATATTCCTGGTTAATCGGCTGATATATCGAATCCGGGGGAAGTGATCTTGGCATATTCTGCATGATGCTACTTTAAGTGTTACCCGCCGCAATCTATTTGGGAACCTCAGATGATTTCTGAGAAAGGGGTGATCTAACGTACATTGATAACTTTGATACTAGTTACAAGAGTCGGTGCAGCGTGAGCTCTTACGTTGATCCGACACCATCATGAATACTTACTTGAGTGGTGCAAGTTCCACGCGCAGTGTATCCCCATACGATAGAAGTGCAGCTTTGCTTGTGTTGTACGCGCTGTTGAAAGGTACCGGCATAAGTCCAGCCAAACTCGACATTTGGACGATCCGAGAGTCTCCAGTGGCCAACAGGAGAGGAAGAAATTCGTGTACGGCAGTCATTGCACCGAAGAGGTTAACATCAAACACTGCACGGACCCTGTCCATGGAGATGTCACTCGCTGCCGAGGGATATGCTGGCAACAAATGCAAGGATGAGCACATAACAAAGGGATGACACGAGTACATCTCCAGCACATACTTGTACCACTACGATTCAAGGTGATAGGTATTGATGATCATGAAAAGATGTCAGGCACCCACGCATTGTTCACAAGAATGTCAAGCGATGACCCCGTACGTTCCGCTATCACGTTTTTCGCCTCCCGAATACTGTTAACGTCTGTGACGTCAAGAGCAAGTGTCTCGATACCAATTGCCGCCAAGGTTGGCATTGCATCGACATTACGCGATGTTGCAAAAACTTGTGCTCCTGTAGTGTAGGCGCATCAGCCAACGGCACATGGTGAATACATGGAAACCATTACCCTGCGAGTGAAACTCTTTTGCAAGCGCTTCGCCTATTCTGCCTGTCGTACATCTATAGAAGGAAGAAGTATGAGCAGAGTTGATCGCAGTTCACCATGAGATGCATGCCTTGTTTTGACGACAGTTTGGGGCGAGGGTTTGGACATAACGGCGATTCAAGATGGAACAGTTGCCTGGTTGAAGAGATGTCGTGATCTACTTAAGTAGATATCCAGGATGCACCGCCATAAGGGATTCGTGATGGCCGTAGCGACTAAGCGACTCGTGCGATAATTATCGCGACTGATATATCGAAATTTGATGCAATGAAGCGCCCAAGACTCAGGCCCTTCGCCGCTGGACCAAAATCGAGGAGTATAGTCAAGATATTTGTGAAACGAGGTCTTTACGACGCGATGGCGGCGAGACGAGCGTGCCGGAACCAGGCAATTGACGATCCAAACGAACATGAAGGAAGATAGCGATACAAGAGCTCGAGAGCAGAGCGTTGACATCAAATGATTGACTGCGAGAAAGTGTTGAGATACTCGCGCGCGTAGCTCCGCTGGAGTCACTATGATACCGTCTACCACCGCACATTGCCCCCAAATATCCCCAGGGGATATTCGGGGTATATTAGCAATATACCTCGAATATACCCGGAATATACTCGTCAGGGAATATCCCTCAAATATCCCCCAGTCAATCCCAACTGGAAGATGACTCATCCATTTCGACGGTCACCTGATGAGTGCGCGTCGTCGGACAGCGTCGAGATTTCTCTTAAGTGCTCCCTTCGTCTTACCCTCTAGGAGCCTCCAGTGTGCACATACTTTGGTGAGTCTTTCTCCCACTGAAACATGTTTCCATATGCTCTATAGTTCCGGTTTTCTCATATAATCAGTTCTAATGCCTGAAAATACGGGATCAGGACAGATTAATGAAAGCATACTACTCTAGTGGCCTCCTATGGTGACAAAGGATGCCCATCCAGGTAAGTATCTATTTTCATGTGTGAATGGATGATGGATCCTGAGACTGTCCCAAGACTGTCCCAAGGTGTATGTGGCCCTGATCGATATCCAATTCCAGGTGTCGAGGCGCGGCAGGCTGGGCAAGGTTGGCAGCATAGACAAAATCCATCGACTCCTCCGAGGCTGACTATACACACCACTTATTTTTGTTTGAAGATGTGCATGATAGGTAAGCTTAGAGACATGAAAGAAACAAGGTAGAGAGGACGGGGGGATGCAGAGGAGATGGAAACTGAGGTGAACTGAGATGGATTGCGTCGGCCGGCCGACGGACGACGGGTCAGGCACCGAGCATGGGCTAGCACAGGCGGGCGGGGTATACCCCAGACTCTCACGCTCGTCGATCGTCGGGATGCGTTCTCCTTAAGACCGCGAGGGCGCGTCCGGTCCTCCAGCGTTCGACACAGCGCCCCCTCCTCCCTCGTTTTCCTTGAATGATCTATCGCGCTGCCTCTTTCCGCACGTTTCTGGCCGTCCTCGTCGCCGCGTCTGGAGCTGAGGCTGCTAAATCTGCTAACGGCACCGACAACTGCATCGTGGATCGGACCAAGGCGCCTGGAGACCTGACCAGCTGTGGTAACAACACACTCTTCAACGTATGGCGTCCCCGAGCGCGATTCATCGCACCCTCTGGATGGATGAATGATCCACAGGGTAAGTTGTTGTTACTGTCCCGATAGATGGGTACCATGCTGACCTCCTCGTCGCGACCGTGCGCGTGTAGGCCTATTCCAACGCAGTGATGGGTCTTTTCACGCCGGGTATCAATGCAATCCCCACCACTACACTGTACGCATCACACTGACTCCTTTCTCTTGTCGCACGTCTCACACACCTCGCGCAGTGGGGCAACATCTCCCAGTGCGCGGCGCACTCGAAGGACCTCGTATACTGGGAAGACTGTGAGCGTGAGCACGACGCTCCCCTAAAACGTTACTGATCCGGCCCGCGCTTCCGAGCAGTCAAATCTTGGAAGGACTCGAAGACGATCGTGCGCTTGCCGGCTTCTCCCGTGCCTGACCCCGCCTCACTGACTTGACATTCAGTGGCCGAGCGAGCTGTACGATATCCGCGGCGTATTCGACGGGTCCATCATCAAGAACGGATGGGAAGGCTACCCCACCACAATATACACATCCACCTTCACAGGGCCACTTGGCGCTACAGCGTCGCCGCCCGAATCGCCCGGTACTGAGACACAGAGCATCGCGTACACCAAGGACGGCGGCGCGAGCTGGATCAAGCTAAACTTCGGCCCACAAGGCAACCCCGTCATTTGTGAGACCCATCCTATTTCTCTTCGTGCACCCTCTCTTTCTCACGCGCACCCCTGTCAGATGAATGGCCGGTCCAGAACATGACCGGCTTCCGCGACCCGTACGCGTTCGAGTCGCCCGTGCTCAAACGCCTCCTCTCCAACAGCACCGCGTTCAACGCGACAGGAGACACCTTCCTGACTATCAGCGGCGGCGTGCGCCTCGATGCCGACCCAAACGCTGGACCACGTCTATATCTCTACCGTCAAACGTCGAGCACCGACGTGCGTAGGTGGACGTACATTGGCGAGCTCGTCACGCTTCCCGCGCACGAGCAGCTGAGCCCCTGGACCGGCAACGTTGGCATCAACTTCGAGACCGCGGGCGTCACGCGCCTGAATGAGGCCGGCGAGGCGTTCGACAATGGCTCGGACGCGACGGCGCTCAATCTCATCGGGTACGGCACTGAGCAAGGCCGGAATGGGTCCCACGAAAACCACTGGCCGCTCTGTGCGTACCGGATGTCTGCATCGTCACTATTCTTGCTGACTTCATGCGACCTGATTTCACAGGGGGTGCTGCGTCGTACTCCGTCCAGAGCGATGGCTCCGTCGCGGCCGCCATCGACTTTGCGGGCGTTTTGGACTGGGGCAGGGTATACGCGGCCGTTCCGTTCCCAGTATCCGGAAACCGCTCGGTTCTCATCGGCTGGGTCTACGTGCGTCATGTCTCGTCTTTGCCGCCCCACGTCAGGACCGCTGACCCGCGTGTCTCGCGAGCAGGAGGACGATGAGGATCTGGTGCTCGCTGCCCAGCGCGGCTGGCAAGGCATGTTCACCCTGTTCCGCGACCTCTTCGTCAAGGTGATCCGCAACGTCGACCCCGCCGCGCCCGGCCTCAACGAAACCGGCAGCTGGAAAACGCGCAAGGAAACTGACGGCAGCACCTCCGTCGTCACCGTAAGCCTCCTCCATATCTAGCCCCCGCATACACGCTCACGCTTCCTGACCTGCGCCTCATCAGCTCGGCCAAAAGATCGTGCCCGAGATCCTGCGCGCCTACAGGAAGGAATCTGTGGTCTCGTCCCCCGCGCCGACGACGCTCAACGGCAGCGTCGGGTACGTGCCGTTCGCGCGGCAGCCCGCGGCGGCGCACTACGTCATTCAGGCGACCCTCGTGTTCACGGGGCGCGACGCCGATATCCCCAAGGCCGGGTTCCGCGTGCGCGCGAGCGCCGAGGAGTGGACGGACGTCTACTTCGACCCCCAGCTGGAAGCGATCGTCGTCGAGCGCCAGAACAGTTCCCTCATCACGACCTGTAAGTATTCCCGCGCATATACCCTGGAAGAAACTGCCGGTGGCTGACCGCGCGTCGCGCATGCTCTCTCGCCACAGACGGTACTGAGACCGAGGTCGCGAAGCTCCGCCTCTGGCCAATCCTTCGCTCCGGGCAGAACGCCTCCGCCGCGACGCGCCAGACGCTCAACCTCACCCTCGTCGTCGACAACTCCGTCGTCGAGGTCCTCGCGAACGACGTCACCGCGCTCACGACGCGCGTCTACCCGTGGCTCGCGTCCTCCGTCGGCGCGGGCTTCCTCGTGCGCGGCGGGAATGGAACCGGGAACGGGACCGCGGCGGTGCGCTACGAGCGCGTCGAGTTGTGGGATGGCCTGCTCGATGCGTGGCCGGGGCGCCCAGAGGACACGAGCGCGCCGCTGTTGTGGGATGGCCCTGTGATGCCGTTGCTCGGGGGTATTTGGGATGGGCGGTGATGCGTGAGGAGCGACATGAAGACCTAAAATGGACCGGATGATATGAACGAACGAACATATTTACCACGGAATTTAACGCGGCAATATTCCTATTACTTATTCACATCCCACTATCACACTCAACTTGACTGGCAGAAGTTATCTGAGACGTGCGAAGGATAGCAAGGAAGCGTGAAGCACTGAATGATTATGTTAATGATGTCTCAGTGATTGGGGCTGAGGTGCACTTTGGGCACCTCCTAGACTGTTCCAGCACTATGCAAAGAACGATAGATACACTCATGAAGCATCCATTTGAGCGCCGTACTACAACGTCATATAATATTACACTAATGTCCGCCTCTACTCGCCACAGAATAGACCTACACCGCTCCTTACGGCCCATGTCTCATCCCATAAACCTAACCATCCGATCGGTGCCTAGTAGTAATAGTCCTCAACATAGGTCCTGCGTACGGCCCAGAACTGACCATCGCGTGCAGCGTGAGGAGACGCGGGCGGAGGCGGAGGTGGAGGAGGAGCTGCATCTCGAGGGTGTGGGCCTGGGGGTGGAGGCGGAGGCGGAGGAGGCGCCGCGTCGCGAGGTTGGGGACCAGGTGGCGGAGGAGAATGCGGCGGCGGGGGAGGTGGTGCGTCCCTAGGGTGATGCGGAGGGGGCGGAGGGGGTGGAGGAGGCGCCGCATCACGAGGGTGGGAGCCCGAGGAAGGCGGGGGAGGTGGCGGGGGAGGTGGTGTTGCATCGCGAGGTTGAGGATGCGGCGGCGGTGGGGAACGCGCGGGTGGAGGCGGTGCTGCATCCCTAGGATGAGGATGAGGCAGTGGAGGTGGAGGTGGAGGCGGCGCCGCGTCGCGGGGATGAGGGCGAGGGCCTGGAGGGGATGGCGGGGGAGGTGGAGCCGCGTCACGGGGGTGGGGGTGCGGCGGAGGAGGTGAATGCGGTGGGGGTGGGGGCGCGGCCTCTCGAGGATGATGTGGAGGTGGAGGCGGGGGTGGAGGCGGAGCTGCATCACGGGGGTGAGGGCGCTGTGGAGGCGGGAAAGGCGGAGGCGGAGGCGGAGCTACATCTCTAGAATGATGCAGAGATGGAGGCGGCAGCGGAGGCGGAGGCGGACCTAGATATAACGCATGTTCAACGATCGAAATAGACTAAAAAATACAATCGAACACTTACCAGCCGCTCTCTTAGCAAGAGACTCGTCAACATAGCCGGCGATCAGGTCGCGAGCCATGAAGGATCCGCCATCGAAGTCAAACTCGCGGCGGGACAGGGGAGCGGCCATCGGAGCGGCACTCACGATGCCAGCTGCAGAAAGCATGCAGGCGAGGGAGACGAATCGCATCAAAGCGAACATGTCGACAAGGTGTAGGGAAAGATTTGCGAAAAAGCTGGGAGTGAGAGTATGAGAGCAGTCGGCTTGTCAAAGGCTAAATATATGAGATGATGATGATATTGTTGCTAAACGGCAGACACTCAGCTTTTATAATCTACAGACTGATGGCATCCCCGCAGCGTATGACGAGCTATACTTAGTCTGCGCAGTATCGCACTAGCGATTCACCCCAGAATCCGCGAAGTCATTTTCTAGTATCATGACTACGTCCTGACCACATTTGTCTTCGCTGCGGGCAGTGTCGTTACCTGCGGCGAGTTGTGTCTTCAAAAAGTGTGTTGTCCAGTACGACTAGACTTTATCTAAGGCTTCAACTTCTCCGAGAAAACTTGCGAGGAAAAACTATTGATGGAAGCACTGTGAATTGAGGCAAGGCCAGCTCTAGACATTCATTTTCATATAAAGAATCAGCCTCGTTCGTCGACGCTACCGCCCGCTACAACTGACCGTCAGAATCTCATCGTGCGCAGCGACACAGAGAACCCAGTGCTGCGATCTGTGTCACGAGAATAAATCGAAGTGGACCAATTGTGGAGCGACATTGGATCATGAAATATCCTTACCTGCATACCAGAGCTGCGGATTCCCAACCAAACCCGAACGTTTTGTCAACCCTCTTCACCATCACCGACGAGAACGCGACGATGACTAGCAGAGCCTTATCGTCTAATTGTGCATGAGCTGTGTGTGTTGTAACAAACGTCTCAAGTCATGTTCAACAGAGGCAGCAGCCACACCGGTGAGTGGAGAACTGCGGAGAATTGAGGTGTGCGCGCCGCGACCGTGTACGAGTACGTACCACGTGCTGGGTGTATCCTATTCGTGTTCGAGACGACGACGTTCAAATGGGGGTTCTATCCAATTTACGACGAAAACCAAGGCGCCTACGAACAAGTTCACTATCAACCTGTTGATTTAATCGCTGCAGGCATTTCTCTCCTTGGAAGACACGGACAGGGAACTCGGCAAAAAAGTGGCATTCTGCATGCAAGCAGATGCAAGCGTGCATAAAGCGGAACAATATAAGAAGGTAGGAATGGTGAAGTAGAGGGCTGCAGTGAGAATAGGAAAGAGGTTCAGATCGATAGCGATCAATGGCATAAAAGAAAAGATGAGTAATAAAACTTCTCGAAAGTAAAACCCCCCGCACGAGTCCCCTCAGACATCTGCTACTTGTCGCCATCTCCTCTCAACCCCACCGTGCTCCCTCATCCACAGCTTGATGCGATTCTCGATGTCCTCCACAACCGACCGAATCTTAGCATCGGAGAGGCTTGATTCCTTCACCGTGACAGCCATGATCTACGAGTCATACTCCTACCATACGTCTTGGTGTATTCCTTACCGTCAGTCGCAGTGGCCATGTGCAGTCACACAGCAATCCCTCCCCGACTCCGCTCCTTTCCTCTTCTCGCTCCCCTCGTCACCCGCAATCTTTGGCTTTTGCCTGGCCTGCGTAGCATTAGTCCTTCGCTTTGCTGATCGGGTTGAGCTTCGCGATGTGCCAATGGTATGCTTGCCAGGCCTTGTCTGTCTCGAGGAGCCTCTTTCTCGAGACCGACGGTCTTGTATATATAGTTGGTTGTTATGAGGGTCTTGCCATCACGCCACCTTTGACTAGTCGTGGCGGCGATTTGTTGAATAGACCTGCCGGACAATTACCACTTTTGTCGCTTGATCCTGTAGGGAAGAAGCGGACATGGTGCCTTTTCCCGACGATGACCATCGTGATCTTAGGTTTGATGCCGAGTACCACACCCCCCCATGGATCTGGCGGTGATCTCTCTGTTTCAGTAGCTGTGACCGCCGTGGCCGATCCTGTGGCCAGGTGAGATGATGGGGGTGCTGGCAGCATTGCTCGTATCCTAGACATTCGCATAGGTGAGCGGCACCGCATGATACTGAAAGCAATTGCAACACTGACATGGTTATCATCAAGAGGCCACACGGATAACTCGCTGGATGGCGACATCCAGCTCATCTGTGACCATGATGGCTGGGCAGGTGCGCTATAATGGCCCATCCCGGGGGCGCTGGACACTGCGACTTCATTGCCCATGTGGAAGCCATAGTCAATGCGATCACGGACTTCAGCCCAGGCTGTAGGCCGCATCGGCGACGTTGAGTTGTCAGAAGAGCCACCAGACGTCGAAGAGTACCCATAAGGGTGGGTGGCTCAGTGCTGTGCGGGTAGGGAGGCGGGATAGGAGTCGTTCCAGGGAAAAGTAGACGGACGTGGGTCGAGGCGCTGGTTAGGGTACAGCCCCATCGTTGGCGGATATGACTCGCTGACTGTGGAGAAGTAGACCTCGGGGAGTACTCTGGTGCCGAAGGTGGCGCCGTACTGAGTATGGGATGGTGAGTACTGGTTCTGGTGGTAGAACGACATCATTTGTGTTGTCTGTTAACAATCGGTGGTCGTCGAAAGTGGGGGGTGCGTGCTTATGGTTGCTTGTTGGACTGGCACTTTATCGCTCATTTGCAGTATCTTCTTCTCCGCGCTTATCTTCGGCTCCCAGGTTCCTGCAAGTACGCATAGACCGGAACGCCTTGTGATGGATCCAGCTTTTTCATTGTCCGACACATGATTGCGAACATAACTTTCTTCTACATAAGCTATCGGTGCGTCTATTGTTCCCCGTATGTAAAGCCGGACCCTCCTTCTTGGAAGCGACATCTTCACTCGTGGTCTAGGTGAGTACGAGCACACGTGAATGAATACCGTGTTTGATTTTCAGGATGCAGCCTGTGTTGCCGCAATGCTTCAGCATCCTTCCCCAGAAGCAAGGATATATTAGGCCTCATGATTTCTTCCAGCACTGAGATCATGGAGGGTCGTCTTCTCTTTCGTAAGGCAGAGTTCTAGCCATCTGATTCCTGTTCTGCACGCAGTCCTGATCCGTTTCTGCGGACCCTAGTCATGATGAAGGATCACGTCGTCCCAGGCTTTTGTTTCTGACTGATCATCCGTGGTTCGTCGATTCGTCGTCGGCTCTCCCTCCCAATGTCTCCGATATTCTCCCTGTTGTGCGCTTCGCGCGTGGGCTAGGACATATGCTATACCTGACATGTTTCCTGGACCGTGTTGACACAGCCGTCAACCTTCGACTACCTACTTGCGTTTCCCTGTGTTAATGACACGAGGCCACCGAACCGGATCTTTGCAACACATCTCCGACGAGTTCTCATTTCGACTCGAGGACAACAGGAACGCTCCTTCGACGAGATGACGAGGTCGACTGTCTGCGCTCCAAACCAAACCTTTGGATGCTATTGCAAGCACATTTCGTACCCCAGGTACGTACTTGGCGACCTTGATGTCACGTTCACTGTTATATTGATTGATTGAGCGCTGCTTTCTGTAAAATAGCATCATGACCGTAACATGCTTTAATCGAAGAATCGAGACATATCGGTGCTATTACTAATCACTCCTCATCCGACATCGACCTTGCTACAGCTTGCTGCAGGACATGAGAAAATGTACACATGCGCAGTGTCCTCGCAGATCACAAACTGCATAGGACGTCGCTTGTCGCTACCCGCTTCTTACATCCTTTCGTTTCGACCCGTATTGATTCTCACAACGTCCTTGGTAGAAATTTTGGAGCACAGTTTGAGAGCGGAGCAGCTACTTCGACATCCGGCTCAGTTCATGTTATGACAGCAGTAAATCTACGACTTCAAACAGGCTAATCAAAACGCTGCTTCCCGTGCTGACCGCCATCATGATTCCATATATCCGCACACCGATTCTCTTGAGATCGAGCAAGTGAGCACCTCAATCCAACTACCTCAGTACGCCGCCTTTCACCTCACGTATCTCATCTTCTAACGTCTTCCACTTCCAGGACCGTTCATCCGGATTGACCAGCTCGTTCTGAACATCGCCTGAAAAGTCGAGTTTTCCCTCTCCCATGAGTACCCTGGCAAATATTTCGAATCGAGTCAGCGCTAACCAAGATCAGAATCGCACATACCTAATATACTCAATCGGCCCCTCCGCTCTATTCTCCTCTAATCGCACCTTGTGCTGCCTTAGATCCTCGCTCGCCAGCGTAACCTCGATGCCCGTCTCCTGCTTGACGACATCCTTCACCTTCTCGTAGCTCGCGATCTGTCCCGCGATCCGTACGTGGTCCGGCACGCTCGAAGCCATGACGGGCGACATGGATAGGATGCTGAGCTCGGCCACTGCGCGGGCTACGTCCGCCTTGGAAGTGAGCGCGAACTTTTGGCTTGGGGATCCATAGCAGGTGTATACGCCTCGGTCGGTGTCGAAGCCATCTTTACATGCATACACCCGACGTGTACAAAATCAGCAAACGAGAGGAAAGTATTAGAGAGGGCATACATATCGGCTGTCTCACAGGACGTAGACAATCAGGTAAACTGTAATAGTTAAGAGGGTCAGGAGAAAATTACGTACGCGAATTGCCTCCTCCATGAACCACCCAACATACACCGCAATGATCTTCATGTCTCCGCTGTTTTCCACGACGCGCGCTCTTGCGCGCGCCGCATGCTCTCGCTTGTGCGCCCACACCTCGTGCTCGAATCCCGGGAAATTGTTTAAACGATGGTCTCTGAGGGCGAATGACAATCAACCTCGATTGAGCCGACACGATCCGTGCATGTAGGGAAAGGACACGCACGCCCCAAACTCGCTCGGAAAGTACACAGCGACGCCAGAAGCGAGCGCCGCGTCGAACAATCGATCCATCAAACCTTTGTCCGCGTCCCCGCCAAGGGCATTGATGACAGCGTCGACACCACGCAGTGCATCCCGTAGCACGTCCTTATCCTCAGAGCCGCTATCAGGTTGCGCCACAATCTGGTGCAAGACTGCTCCGAGACCCGCCAGTGCACGCGCGCTCGCGGAGTTGATGTCTCTCGTGAAGACGATTACCTGGGAGAAGAACACTCTATAAGGTGCGGTCAGGAACACGGTGGATATTTCACGGCCTGTGGGTTTTTTTGATTGTCAGGACAAGATCCATAGCAGCATTGCAGCAAGAACATGATTGTATGCTTAAAAGAAGCATACCGAGGCTGCCGGTCCCCCCAGCGATCGCGATAGATATTTGACCTCTGCTCAAGTGCGCCGATGTTGTGTAAGACATGTATGTCGGTGACAATAACCTTCTTGAAGCTTGATGGACTACGGCAAGTTACCTGACTAAGAGAGAGTAGCTCCGCAGAGCGTAGCACCAAATTCGATGTTGCCATTTCAGGGTCTTACACGCTCTCCGTAATGGGCGAGGTAGCATCTTGATATAGCAGCGTTCATAAGCTAAGTGGAAGAGGATATTGCTACAAAAGGTTGGGTAGTACTACGATCCACATATTGAAATCCATTATTTGCTCGTGAATAACCTGCTCGTAAATATGTGAAGACACTGTAGGATGAAGGAATCGGGTTGCTGGCAATAGTACGTTCTGATAAGACTTCGTGATGAGGGCCCTTCACGACTCAAAAAGGAAGACGACAAGAAAGAAACGGAGAGGCGCTTATGCAGACTGCTTGAACCCACCAACAAAGGGCTGGTTTTGACCCTGAAGAAAAAGATTAGATACTGTCGCAGTAGCAAAATTGAGTATAGCACACGTTTATATGGGCTGGCAGAGGTTGGCTTGGGGCCGAGTACTTCAAAAAACAAACGCGTTCAAGAACAGTCACGAAGACTGTGAAGGGCCTGAGCTCACGGTGTTGCCGTATCCTGGAGGTGCTCCTTCTTTCCATGACGCTTGATCCACTGGCGCCGCGTCCGATGGCTGCGTGTAGCCTCCGGCGCCAGAACCTGCGCCTGGACCCTGCGCGTAGCCAATTGACGGCACCGTCTGACCTTGTGTGGGTTGCGCACCGCGCCGACCGAGGAACGGGGCGGTGAAGCGACCTAAGCGCCCTGGAGGCCGTGTTGTGGCGCTAACACCATACGATGTCTGACTTGCACGACGCCGGCGACGCATAACAAGACACACCGCGAGTGCGCAAAGGAGAAGTGGGATGACGACGCAGACTGGGCGTCACGGCGTGTCAGGATTGCTTCAGGCAGACTGGAAACTTGTGATATGCGCGTACCGATGGCGATTGCGGCGATGACGCCGGAAGCTAAACTGTGTCGCCTCCTGTATGGGTATCCGTACTGCGCGAGTGCGCAGTCGCTGACCGCCGCGACGACCAGAAGGGCTCCGCTGAGTGATTTGGTAGAAAACATGGATGGAGATGCACGGAGGTCGTTCGAGCTTCGCAGGCCATCACTTGCTACGGGCTGGTTATAAGACAAACGCGCGGGCTGTGGAGACGCGAGCGGGAAGATGTCATCACGTGTCATTTTCCATGACGTCGGTGGGTTAGCATCCGAGGCTGGTCGTACGGATGCCTTTCCAGATCGACCGTCGGCGGAAACATCGCTTGGCCATAGATCGAATACTGTACCGAGTGAGGAGTAGTCAGTACTCAGTTCTGATCCGTGTTTAAAAAAAACTTCAGTATGACGAGAAAATGAAGAAAACCCAAGCGTATAACAGTGCCTGATTGCCAAAGAAATTCGCCGAAACTGATTTTCAACGTTCAAGCATACCAAGCTGTGATTTTTCCTGTAGGAATAGCACCAATACAACAAATGGTTAAATTTATCTAAAAGCCTACGCGATTCTTTAAACATCTTGCACTTTGGCAAGTAAACACATACTGCCGAACGGGGGATTAGTGGGTGAGCGAGATGGGTGCGCCTGCAAGAATATAATCCTACCGAAGAGTCCGCTAATTTACTAGTTCGAGTACGAGCTTCCCGCTGCCGACCTGCTCATAGAGCCTGAAGGTATTCACATTCGGCATGGCCCTCAGCTTCGCGAGGTCCCACTGGCCCAACAAGCCTGTCTGGATTGCACCCCTAATAATTTGGGTCTCTGTGCGACCCTGTTGTGAGCTTCGGCTTGTCATGCAGCCAATATCAGGCAGCCATCATGACTTGCCTTGATATTCCTTGTAGGCATAGAATTGGAGCTGAATTTTGCAATGAAACACATGTGGTGAATGGGATCACAGTGTCAAGCGGCTGTGAATTACCATAGGCGTGAATTTAGCCGTCATGGCGAAACCGTCGCCAACGTTCCTCCACAATAAAACCGGCTGGTATGCCTCACCCGGCCCGATCATACCTAGAATCTGCGTCAAGAGGCAGCAAGTGGCACTATATATAACAACTACTTACCGATGCTCATATCCTGTCTCTGTCCACTCTCATTGAGGGCATTGATTTGCCCTGTTCCAGGAGCTGGTTTGGGAGCAGGTTCTGACCAGCTGGCGAAGCCATCACCATCGACGGTGAACACCGACTGTGGCAGAATTAGCGATGCTATGTGAACTGAGTGCAGACAACTCACCTTCTGGCCCAGCTGGTTTTGTGTGACGGTGAATAGGGTTATAAATCGACAGCCTGTGTGATATTCAATGAAGGTCTCTTACCCCCATTTCGGTGTACCTATGATGGCCGTAAAATCATAAGGAATCCCGCTCGCGAGATGGAAAGATGACGAATCTCACGTCTGAGGAATTTGAACTTGGTCTCCGACCTACAGAGATACTATGTAACTCTCAAAATGGCGTATATGTAGAGGCGATAGCTCACCACTTCCGAGACTCCCGCGGCAAGCCTTGCAGAATAATCAATGACACTCGTGGCAGTTGCTGTTTCATGAAATCATCAGTGGAAAGTTAACATGAGCAAGACGCAGATACTGACAGTTTGCGGCGAATTTCAGTATCTGAAACAGACAGTGGGGCAACGCGTGAAAAAAAGACACTGATATGCACAGAAAATCTTACCTTCCACATCACCGGGTCTGCGGGTCAAATAAGGCAATGAGAACAAGGTGCAGCAGGGGGACGGTTTTGATGTACATTGACTTTTATACAGATCGGTTGTGTCGACGGGGTTGAACGTCAATAGCAGGTATGTGTTCCCACTGAGATCGCCCTTAGAGGTGCTGATGGAGAGCTTCCTGGCGGCCATTGATAGATCTGCTGGATAAGAGGGGTGGTGGGATATAGCAGTGCATTATTGGAAGACTTATATACGTCGTCCAATTTCTAGGTCGAAGCCAGATTGTATGAACCTCGGTATACGGAGGTTTTGAACATGGATGCTGAAAGCTCCGGAAACCGACATTGCGTCGCACGTCTCGGTCGGAGGCACACAACCCCTATACCCTGAGTGAATCTGTCATCGATACCCGTGTACATGGCTTGGAGGCAGACAGACTCGCAGGTGCTCGTTGACCTAACTTCGACGCTGCCTGGCATTCATGCGGTGGAACGCTTCGTGCCTGGAAGAGCGATGTTGTAGACAAAGGTAGAAATCCAAGGTTCTTGCTGCGGTCCCGAGAAGTACATCATTTTCATACACCATGTTCTTCCAAGTGATGGCCGATAACCTACGGGCTGTGGTCAGAGGATCGATGAGCACGGTGCCGTTCGAGTCACTGCGCGCACCATGACCCTTCATCCTACACTGCTGGCCATACGCTCGTTGGTTTCGATGACCGAACACTGGTATGGCTGATATATTCCACGGAAGCGATGAACACAGCGACTGCCTGCAAAGTTTCATGTCAGGGATAACTTCTCACAAGATGGCACGGGAAAGCGGTCGTGAGACTCCGTGCTGTGCAATATCATCAGCCAGAATTATACAAGTATTCAGCCTCTCAAAGTCCGCACTGCCATCGCTGTTAACCTGCACAATGAATGCCGACGCTCATGACCACCCAGTGAGTCATGCCTCCTGATTCACGACTAGAGGGCTCATTGAACCGAGCACCGTCACGTGTATAGTATGTCTTCTGGAGTATGAAAACGAGAATACCGGCATCACATGCATCTGCTCTCGTCGTTCAAAATGCCTGTTGGCTCGTTCTCTAGGAACGAAAGTCATGGTGAAAGCACCGCGGAACACTCACCTGGTACAGACTCATGACGAGACCTGAGACTATCCATGGAGCACAAATGGTAATTCTGAGTGTTCGCCCCACCCACGCAGAACAGGACGTAATGACAGGAAGTACTCAGCAATTGAGTACTAACAGCAGACACGCCGATATGTTAGGACCTGTGCCTCGCAAGGCGGGCGATTATATGAAAGTTTCACTCACGGACACACACCGGCCAGAGACCACCTGGCCTACATATACAATCACTCGTGATGTCGCAATCTCAGTCTGAGAGCCGGTGCTGAAACCCTGGTAGAACTGTTCCGGCATTAGCAGGAGGCACTCAATTGCATGAGAGCGGATGAATTACCTCTACCATTGACAAGTATGATGGTCTCAGTTGGAGTCATGGCCGCCATGCGTTTCTGAAAACCCACCCACATAGTTTTGAAGGATGACCAGGAGTGCGACTGGCCGCACAAAACATTGAGACGGGAATATAAATTTGAGACTCAGACAGTATGCCGCGATGCCGAACGGTTTCGGGCGGGCATTGAGTCGTCGGCGCCAAGCCGCTGTTGCACTGACTCATTCCGTGACTCTCCCACCGCCAATGATCTCAAAAATACTGATACAGTCTCGAGATCGGTTCAACATGGCGGTGCTTGTGTGCAACTCGTGTTGAAAGAGGAAGACCGGTGTCTTTGTACCTGTTCGCGATGCATAAAACCACGACTGTCGACGCTGCAACTGCCCACCACAGTTTATTCCACAACTGCCCACCTATTTCCATAATGGCGTTCGTTTCTTCCCGATGGTATAGCCCTGGCGATTAAGGCCCCGTCAAAGTTGTTGTAACCGGTCCTGGCACCCTTGTTACTGAATTTTCTGTCCCGGCGCATACAGAGAAACAGGCTCCCATATTATTCGATCTGGCAGTCGGTACAACGTATCACTTCCACGCTACCCATAAAGACTACTAGTGGTTTTCCGAGTAATTCAAAATCTCCTTTTGGTCAAGTATCGTTTGCTGACTCGTACCAGAGAAATAATTGACCGCGACAAGCGTTACTGGTACAACTTCAAGGATATCTTCGGCGGCGCGACAGCGCTCGGCTCCTTCGGTATTGGACGGACTGTCAAATTCATCAACAACACCGCGCGCACCGCGAGTCTCAAACAGCACGACAAAGGTGGGCATCGGTGTTCACCATCGACCCATCCCAGAGCGTCTCTCTCTTTTTGAAGGACAGCGAGGAAAGCGTCTTCATCGTTCGCGGGGGCACCGATACATCCCAGATCACGCAAGTTCCTTCCACCTCATCTGTTCTCTTCTCGTTTTTTGGTCTGACGGCCTGGCTGCCTTACCTTTCAGTGTGGGCTCTGATTCCGGAGACTTGGAGGTCTACTTGAGCAGCATCCTCCCCATCCCGCTGCCTCGTGCGGTGAGACGCTCCAACCGAGGCTACATCGACATTGGACAGGAGGATAAATTAGAAAACATAGTGGAAGAGATCAAATTGGAGCTTGACTCATACGTGTGAAGAGCTTCCGGTGAGATAGAACATCCATTTCTGTATACCTTCATCTGACTTCTAGTGTTAAAGATTGATAGCGAGTTTTTTAAGTCTCCGTTCAACCAGTTTTTCACATCTATGTATGATACGCGATTTTGTAGCTGCCTTTTATCGAGAAAATTTGTCGTCAGAAATATAGCCCGGGACGTTATCAATAATCGTAGATGAACAAGCGCGATATGCTAGGCTTACGTAAGGGGGGCAAGCGCAATGACCCAGATTCATCTTCTAACTGTGTCAACGTATGTCGATCGCTTGAGAGATCATATTGATAGCGTCAGCAGGTCAAGAGCTGAAGGACTAAGTTGGGGAGCACAAGTCGTGCTATGGGTAAAAGTCTCGACGCAACAATTAAAATGTAAGACAAACCCTTCCCTAACCGATTCCTCCTAACAGCGATATTCGCAGACTTTGGAGCGGAGGCAACAAGTATCTTGTGAGAAAGAGCTATTGTTGCAAGCAATGCCTCTCCTGACGAAACCGAGCGTTAGGTTCAGAAAGGGTGTAGGAGAAAAGAGCTGTCACTGCCAAAGGTAAATAAATGTTAAGAACCTCAACTCATACTCCACATATCCAGAGAAAATGAAGACTGGCAAAAGCTGCCTACGCCATCTGACTTGGGACGACTGTAATCTGGGAGAGCAGACTTAGACGAAAGGTTGATACCAAGGCTATTGAGAACTAAGTGCTTGGAGGGAGTTGAGCGCTTCATACCACGATAAATACCGGATTATGTGAAGATCAAAAACACGTTTTGTGTCATATTTGAGTGTAACCCATGATTACGGAGCCATATAGACATATGAATGCAGCTGTGCTCGTCCCCTCGTCCTTCGTTTATTGTCAGACGCGAGATGGCCTGACTAAATATACTACGTGAACTCAACATTTTTGATCCAACCACTTCTTCATACGTAGCAGCTCTCGCAGTGGCCGCAGCGGCATCACTGCACAGTCAGCGTGGCGTTCAAGAAGGTTTGATCGCTCGTCCCAACTTTAATCGCGAAGGCGCCTGGCTCGACGACCCACCCGCTCTGCAATGTCCATACAGCGAGCTGCAAGGACTGCACGAGTATAGTGACTGTTTTGGATGCACCAGCCCTGATGTGAAGTCATCGACGATCAGAACAGGCTCGATAACTGAATAGAGAGGGTAATAAATGAAGAAAAGACGCACGAAATATCCACTTTCTGGAAGCCTACCAGTTCTTGGTTAGGTGTTACGACAGAGCTAACCACATCGGTAAGGTAAACCTAGAGAGTGCGAAGAGAATATGTGATTAGTATGTAGAATAGACCTGGGTGCCCAAGTTCACAGCAGCCAGACGCCTACCTGGACGACCTCCTTGCCGTCTACAGAGCCCGTATTATGCACGGTCACCGTCACATTAAAGTCATCATTGATTCCGATTGTCGAACTCGAGAGTAGCAGATTCGAGCTATACAAGATGAAAGTCAACTCAGAACGCCTGTAGAAGTAATGTATACTCCTACTATTTGAATGTGGTGTAACTTAGGCCGTGGCCAAAGCTCCATAGAGGAACAGGACTGTCCAGGACGTACTGACCGATTCGAAAGATATGTCAACGTTGATGAATTGGAATCAGAGGTGCATGGCTCACTTGGTGTCCGAAAACTAGTGAGCCGTTGGCTGTGATGAGACCTGGGTCAAGGGGACGGCTACCCTTGAGGTAGTTATAAAAAACCGGGGTGGTTCCAACGCTACGAGGAAACGACACAGGAAGCTTTCCTGCAGTCCAGTAAACAAATTTCAGTACTTACGCATTGAGATGAAATTAAATTGGTGGCACCTGACGGGTTTGCTGCACCAAATATAATTTCAGCCAACGCAAGACCACCGAGTTCGCCAGGATAGAATTGCTGAATCACAGCATCGGCATCTATATTAACGTATCATTTGACCCTGTCAAAAAAAGGTACAGAGCTTGTCACTGACTGGTTTGAATCCATGGCTCGGCTACAGGTTTTCCACTGACGAATACGACAATTGTCGGCTTCCCAGTAGACTTGATTGCCTGCACAAGCGCAAGCTGTGCACCAACGAGCCCAAGGTCAGACAGGTCTACATGCTCCCCTGTCGTCGCGTTCGTTCCAGGCGTCCAAAGCAGGGTCTGGTCGAGTGACCAAGTCCCAACCATGACGACTGCGACGTCTGACTGTATAGCAGATGTCATCGCGGCATCAAATCCGGAATGGTCATTGGACCAGAGCTTGCAACCCTCCGCATAGTTGATTTTGACAGAGCTGTTCGATAGGAATTCGGTGAAGCCTGCAAGAGGCGATATCCCATTCAATGACGCATTGAAGAAGACGTAATCACCGAACTATGCATAAGCCAATGAGTGGCGCTCTAAGGCACGGGATATTTGGGACGTACGGAAACACGATCGACTTGTGGGCCGATCAACGCGACAGAGCCAACGTTAATACTCAAAGGTAAAACGCTCTGTTTATTTTCAAGCAGGACAATCGACTCAAGCTCCATCTGGTGAAGCAACTCGCGCGTTTCAGGTGTGCGAAGAGTCGTTAGATAATCGTCATAAGGATAAGGATCTGCACCATGTCAGAAAGTGTAGCGAACAGTATAAATCACACGCATGCTCACTTTCAAAGAGACCAAGCGTAAACTTTGTGCGGAGCATCGTTTTGACAGTTTCATCGATGTATTTGATGTCAACAGTGCCAGCCTTAACTTGATCTAAAAAACGGAAATCAGACAATCCCCGGCGACTAGCACATCTATCTTACCGGGTAAGGTGAGATATGTGTATGTCCCACCACCCATTTCACCGCTTAGGCCATTTTCGAGGGCTGTCTTCGCAGCGCATTCACGAGTGTCGCACGTGCCATGTAAGTTGATGAGCAAATCGACTGACCCAGCATCTGACGTGACATAGTATTGGTAGCCCCATTCCTCCCGCAACTGTGAAGCATCTGGTAAGAGGGTTCCGAAATCAGGTTGGGCATAATATACTTACAATATCAGTGAGAAGGTCTAGCGTCCGTGAAATGTATCAGATTGCGAAGCAAACGATGGTTGAATAGGAAACTGACGACTATTAGCAATAGCAGGGATCCCGTCGTAGCTGGAGTAGGCTGTCATTATGGTCAAACTCTCAACACATGCACGGTTAAACGGCTTGAGATATATCGTGCGTAGCTCTCGTTCACCTCCGCTAACTTGAGCGATGTTTCTAAGAGGATGTATGAGATGTGAATTTCAGAAAAGACTAGTAACTACAGCTTACAATCCACCCTGAGGGCTACCAAAAGCGGCGAAGTGTTTGCAGGTCGCAGCCATACGGGCGTTAGCAGTAGAGCTAACATTCCTACGTCTACCAGATTGTAGGCCAGTCACGTACGCGTGGCCCATTTCACCCGTCCTAGCAACGATAACAACATATAATGGAGCGAGAACATCCTGAGTGGGTATGCTTACAGAAATGGATCTTCGCCAAAGTTTTCTTCTACACGCCCCCATCTAAGTTCGCGCGACATGTCCAGAACAGGAGCAAAAAGTTGCGTGAAGCCAAGCCCTTCGGCTTCATCCGCAATGGTTGCGGCAGCCTTTTCCAGGAGATCTGTGTTGAAGGAGGCTGCCAGGCCAATCGGCGAAGGCCAGATAGTCCCGTTATTTGTGAAGCCGTGCAGACCTGAAGCCCGCTCAGCTCGTTAGAGCTCGCCTTCGGAAATCAGAAGTATGCAGGCGACTTGCCTTCGGACTGGAAGATGGCAGGTATTCCTAGCGTCGTATTTTCCATGAGGTATTTTTGGCCAATGGAGACGCCATAAACGAATTTGTCCCAAGGTACAAGGTATCCACCCCAGATGGCGCCAGCTTTTGTAGCCATCATTTGCTCCTAAATTTCCTCATAAGTACGATTCATTGAGATGAAAATGCGACTTACAAGGCCTGACTGATTGAAGACTTTGGTGTCATCTAATGGATCATTCAGACTCATCCAACCATTCATGTCTCCTTGAATTCTGAAAATTCAATATGAGTGCGGTCTTATGGAATTCAAAGACAGACGTGATATCCTCTGCTTGGGATTGAGACACACGATGACAGAGTTACTGTCGTCTGTCGTGCATTCATGCGCATGTCCAACGCTCTTACAAAAAGTCATCTGAGTCATAAAAAGCACTCACAGCTGAGCCACCTTTTCTTCTACAGTCATGCGCGGAAGTAAGTCGGCGACACGGTCCTCAATCGAAGCATCGGGATTTTTGTAAGTCGGCAGCGATCCATCCTTGTTTGTAGCGCGGGAATACAGGGGAAAGTGCAGGTCATCACGAACGCCGAGAGTATCAGTCGCCTTCTTTGACGCTCTTACAGTGGAGGGCAATAGTAGGAGGCAAGCCAAGACAAACCACATTGCCAGAAGACGGACCGAGGAGGAGAGCGTGCTGGATGATGAACACCGTCTGCCAATGTATTTATTCCTTCGGCGCCATGTATTGTCCTACTCGTGTTCCATGCTGCAAGATGACGCAGGTGACCCATCCGAGGAAGAGAAGAACCAGGACGGTCCGCTCATTGTGGCTCCCGAGAATTCTCCACCAAATCCGAGCTCTGAAGAAACATGTGGGTGCCTTGAATCACAGAATCGATGTTCAAGGCGTTGAGTGATTCAAATTCTGTCTGAGTTCACTGTGCAGGAATCTGTGTAGAAAAAGCAACAGAAGAGCGGAGGAGGTTAAGCGCCATATGGACACGGCCACGTGATTGAGTTGCTCAGCGTTGAGCGCTCCAAGCGTCCTCTGTGTTTCGCCGATCCATACCGTTGAGGAAGAAAGACTTTCTTCTGGGCCTTTATTCCTCGAAGACTGCGTGAGTTCCAGGAATTCACCAAAGACATTGAGGTGTCGCAGGTTGAAAAGGTGCATTGTGCACTTTCGCTTCACCATCCCATGTAAGTCTGACACTAGTAGTATCCACGTCATCCTGCCAATTTTTGACATTCACAAGGTCTACCATATTTACGCCTTATAAATCCTTTCATTAGTACAGTTTTTGTGAATCGGACCGCCCACGTCACGCGACATCGCCATCTGACCCACTGCCTGCGCAACTGTACGATTGCAGGCGCAATATGTTCGGCTTAACGCACGCTTTGTCGTCTCTGGACTCCATGTATCTTGGACATAGATCCATCGTAACGCAGATATGTCTTCTGGTCCTTTCTGTGCTTGCCAGTCGCGCACCGCCCGCAGGATTCCACGATCCTAAGAGCAGAGCGGTAGATTATGTTAATCCGTACGTACATCTCTGATCATTGTAAATGTTCTCTTCATGTGCGCACTCCTTGGACTTGCATTTGTGCTTCTTATTTTTTTCTCAAAGACGGCACGCAATAATCATACGGATGAAGCGCGGTTTATAGTTGCTTTGATCTGCGTAGGATTGTTTACGTTCTTCCTGTTTCTGACGATGACCGTTTCCGATTCCGATGCTCATGGCCCCCACTAGACTAATAGGGAACGGAGGTGATACTCCGAATGGCTCAGGAGGGATGATCCCCAGTACTTCGCCTCCTTTCGCCATGACAAGATGGGTAGCACAAACTCGGCAGAACTATGTGTCCATGACGCCTTATAATCACACCGACACCTCGATACATGGCTTTCAAGGAACGCATCAACCGGCTATTTGGATGGGAGAGAGTGGCCAAGTTGTCGTAGTCCCGGGAGCTGGTCAGGTGCAGCCCATTTTTGAACAGAGAGGGATGGCTTTCAACCATGAAAGCGAAGTGCTGACGCCGAGCTACTACAAAGCGGAGATGCGAGCGATCGAGAGTGGCATAATCGTGGCAGAACAAAGTTCAAGTGAGCAGGCTGACTTGTCTCCATCGGATGAATGCTGATCATTCACGACTAGCTTCTCGGGTTGGGCACTTGAGGTTCACGTTCAACGGTACGAGTGCGCCGTATGTTCTTCTCGAAGCTACGCGGCCTTCAGTCGTGGGCTCCGAAGACACAACGAATCTCACTTACCCCTTCGGCACGGTGTCTATCGATCCATCAAGGCAGGAAATCACGGGCTCGAACCCTGAGAGACAAGACTTCATCATCGGACCCAACGTAGCCCCATCTTTTCGTGGCTATTTTTGCGCTCGCTTCGACGCGCCTTTTACGACCTGGGGAACCGCCACCAACGGCACGCTGCACATTGGAGAAACAAGCTCTAACGGAACGATGCTCAGCGGGTATGCCGCATTCACTCCGGATACACGCGTGGTAAACGTCCGCGTCGGAGTATCTTTCATATCCGTCGACCAGGCTCGCAAGAATTTGGATACTGAAATTCCGGATACCACCACGTTGGAGCAGACGGCAAAAAAGACTCGGACAGAATGGGCTGAGAAGCTGGACCGTATCTCAGTAGAGGGCGGATCAGAAGACGATTTAACTGTCCTCTACACTGCTGTGTTCCACAGCCTTCAGGTGCTCAGTATGTTCTGTAAGCTTAATATGATCTGGCTGACTCCTTACAGTATCCATACGAGCAAAGTGAGGATGGGAAGTACTACTCTGGATATGATGACACTATTCATGAAGGACAATCCTACACTGGGTACTCGATTTGGGTAGGCACGCCTTTGAGATGCGTTCTGCATTGTATTGATGATATTTGGTAGGATACATTCCGTGCTGCTTGGGCCTGGCAGATTTTACTCGCTCCCGAAAGAATTTCCGGCATGGTGCAGAGCATGTTGCAAGACTACAAGGAGGTATATTGTGTAACTGCTGCTACGGTGCTCATCAAAAGGTAACCTCTTTTTAGGGTGGATGGCTGCCAATGTGGAAGAATATAGTCGGTGAGCAAGTTTGCTCATCTCAGACTGCGTACAGCTCATGGTATGTGACTTCGCAGAGACGAATATCATGGTGAGCTTCTCTGTGACTCTGAAAGCTGCCAAAATCAATATTCGGGTACAAGGTTGGGACCCATGCAGACTCGCTTATTGCCGAGGCCGTGCTCAAGAACATCACTGACTTTGACATCGATACGGCATATGAAGCAGTGCATAAAGATGCCACTGTCCCGCCTGTCGATGATGATACGATCTCGTACGTTGCGAAGCTTCCACGTCGGCGTATTATGAACAAACACGGTGCATCTTCGCAGTTACTTCGACAGAGAAGAACATGTTGGATATGAAGTCCGCGCTGGACTGTCGTCCGTGTATGATACGAAAGGTTGGGTAGCTGATGATATTCACTCCGAGTCCGCTTCGAGGACGCTGGATTATGCATGTATGCACATTTCGATCGCATTCTACTGCGACCATCTCTGGATTCCTTTATTTGCACAGATGACGACTTTGCGGTATCCGTGCTCGCTGGTTTGCTGAACAAATCTGAAGACGCGCAGTTCTTCCGACAACGTTCCATGATCACGCCGTTCACCATATATAACAACAAGACGGACTTCATGGAAGCCAAGAATGCCGATGGTTCCTGGGCGGGTGCAGATATGGGTTGGACTGAAGGCGACAAATGGGCATATTCATTTGATGTTGTCCATGCCATGGATGAGCTTATCGAGGCAAGGGGGGGACGGGCCGCTTTTGTGAAAAGCTTGCAAGCGCATTTCGATGGAGGTGAGTTAGCTGTATGAATGTGCGTTCTTTCTCATCAATCGGGATAACTAGGACACAACGATCATGCAAATGAGGTCGGCCGATACAGAGATATTACATTCATATGCTGAAGACCACTCCTTTCAGCCGTCACATCATATCCCGTACCTCTACGCTCTGGCCCGCGCAGCATCCATCGGTCAGGAACGTTTACGCGAAATTGTTTTCGCCAACTACGACAATAGCGTAGACGGGTTATCTGGGGTAAGCCACTTCTGATCTATCAATATCTCCACTCGTATTTGATTCGCTCTTATAGAACGAAGACTGCGGACAAATGAGCGCGTGGTATATCTTCACTGCCATGGGGTTCTATCCAGTCAACCCTGTCTCAGGTGAATATGTGGTCGGATCGTGAGCCTCCATGTCCTTATGAAGGGAAAACTGCCTGATTATATATCTTCACGCATAGGCCTTTGTTCGACAGAATAAGTGTTCGATTGCCCGGAGTCAGAGCACCCCTTCGCATCACGTCCACCGGCGCGACTACAAAGACATATGTCGAATCGGTGACTGTCAATGGGCAACCTCTTCGCGATCCCATCATCACACACGAGCAAATCGCTCATGGCGCGGATATCGTTTTTAAGATGAGCGATAAACCGCAGGCGTGGGCCTCTGAAACTTTGCAAGGGTAGCAGTTTGATACACTACTGAGTTGATCGACTTCTCTCTTTGGGATCAGCACGGACAGAATATTTTACTCTACTATCTGCTACCTGCCCTCATGTTTGCCCAGCAAAATTCTCTGTCTTGGCAAGCCTCAGTCGCTCATGGAGAAATCCTCACGAGCCAATTTTCAGTGTATTTGCACTGCATGGGCCACCTTCCTGACATAGCCTGACATGTACCAATTGAGAATTCAAATAATTGTGGAGACATTTTTTTTGTTCTCCTCCAACTCTGAGGCGCCACAGTCGACGAGATCGCCATGGAACAGCTCCAAGAAGCTGCAGAGTACCCTATTGAGTGAATATCTACCATGGGTCCTGCAGGCTACCCGCAGTATGGTCTGCACGACAGATCTCCAAATGTTGCAGTTTTAGCTGCATTTTCATGTAGCGTCATGGGGACAGGCTGAAATGTACTGATAAGTCCGCACCTTCGACAATACTTTCCACCCTTTGAACCTTGGGGCAAGGTCAGTGCTCAAGAAGCGAGAAAATGCAATTGTACACAGCAGTAAATACACGAATATGACAGCAGAGTATAAAACACGGAAAACAGATTCTCATCGTCCACGTCCATTCTGGAAATGGAACTGGAAGCCACTGCCCGAATGCTGGAAGAACTGGAATGGATTGCCGCCCGGGAAGTGCGCGCCACCGAATGGGTTTCCTCCCTGTTGGCCGCCTGCAGGATCATTGGGGTCCTCTCCGTTGTCGAAGCGCTGTCGCAATTCTGGATTCGACAGAACCTCATACGCCTCGTTGACTGCTGCCATCTTCGCTTCGCTGCCGCCCTTGTCTGGATGTGCCTTCTTTGTTGTAGCCCGGCTGGAAAGACGTCAATAAACACGGTTCGATCGTGCGGAAGCTGCAATACGCACTAAGCCTTTTTAATCGTCTTATCGTCAGCATCGCGCGCCACACCCAGAACTTTGTAGTAGTCTTTCTGCCGAGATTGTTTCAACAGACGCTGGGCTTTCTGCAGCCGTGCGTGAATCTGTGATATGAAGCGTCAGTGACAGGGCAGTAATGAAACGCAAGGAACCCATATACCTCACGGTTGCCTCCGCCACTTGCATCCCATGCACGTTCAAATATACGGACTGCCTCCTCCCACTCCTCACGTGCTAGCAACGCCTCACCCTTACCGAGCAAGCCGTCAATATCACGCTCCATATCAGTCATTCCGAGCAATTCGTCGCACCACCGCTCCCCAGCACGAGCCTGACTGAGTTGAAGGTACGATCGACACAGAGCCCGCATGATCTCCTGACGGCGTGGACTTGCACGACGAGGTGGAGAGATGGGGATATTTGAAGGGAGTTCGAGCATGGCTGGTGCAACATTGGAGTTGAGGGCGTCGTCGAAAGTCGCAAGGAATCCGTCGCCTGGAGAGGTTGGGGAGGCATCTTTCGAGGCAGACCCTAAGAGGAAGTCGACGATGCCTTTCCAGTTTTCGGAAGCCATGAGCTTGTCAAGCTTTGTAAATGACTTGTCCAAAGACTTGACCTGCCGATGTGCGCTCGCACAAGGCTTAGAGTCGGGGTCATAGTAAAGACATTGTTTGAGCGTAGACATAGGCGTAGAGGACGCGGGCATATAGAAATAGGAAAGGCGGAAGACGCGCATGAAGGCTGCGGTTGACGGTTGGGTGATTTGAGATAGCCGGCTATCCGATGTATCGTTGAGCGTGAAATATTAGAAAAAAAGAAAGGGCTCGACTCGCCTGAGATCTCCTACTGCCTGCTCAAAATCTCCAGCGGCCAGCGCACAGTAAGCCCTTTGCTGCCGAATGTTAACCGCGTGTGGCGCAGTCTTGAGAGCCTGACTTGCAGATTCTTCACAAGCAGTCCAAAGCTTTGCCCTCTGTGCGTTCAAGACCTTCTTCGCAGCCATTTCTCCGTCTGAGACATCCAAAAGAAGCTCCATTGCAGTCTTGTCTGATTTGTTCTTGGCCTGGTAGCGCTTGAGAGCGTCCCGAGCATCAGACCAGCGTCCCTCCTTGGCGAATATTTTCGCTTTCATGAAGTAGGCTTTATCGAATGTTTCGGAAGTGAGTGATAGAACCTGGTCAAAGTCCGCGAGAGCGTTGGAGTATCGGTTCAGGGAGAAGTAGGCCGTTGCACGTTTATAGTATAGAGAATAGTCCGCTGGTGATTGATCTGAACAGGAACGTCGATGTGAGTTATTTTGCGAGCATCGAACCAATTTGATACACACCGATAGCATCGCTGTACGCTCTAGCAGCATCATTGAATTGTCCCGAAGAAAGTAAGGCATCTGCGCGATTTATCAAGGGCATTAGCCCCGCAGGGTAAAGCGCACCACCCGCATTTGAATCCGCTAGTGAAAGAACAGAAAAAGAAAAAAGAAAAAGACCGCAAAGCACCACCGGTGTGTGCATTATGGAAAAGCGTAAGGATGAAAGCGTTAAATGAAGTCCGGACGCGATTAAAGCATGGTGGTTGACTCTGGACACGTTGCCGGCCCGGAACGGAAGGTGGTTCCCAGCACGTGGTATGATGTGATATATGCCGACTGCCTTGCCTGTGGGACTTTAGAGCTCCTTTACAGAGAATTTCCCTCCAGCTCTATCATTCTTCCTATCGCTCTACAACATCGCTTGATGAAAGACTTGTGGAATTTCATCACCTTTGAATGAGAAGAAGGAGCTTTCATTTCGGCCATTGTTTAGCGCAAGGGATCCTGACGAGATCAGTCGACAGTCGGAAATTCATGATTCTACACTCGAAACGAGATAGCTCTATGGCACATGATAACGTTGAGAGTTCTCAATTCTGCGGTCCGTATTGTGGTCGTGCTAACCCCATGTTCAATAAGAAATATAGAAGCCCTCTTCGCGCCATCGGAGGTAAACACAAAAATTAAAAAAGCTGTTGAGAAACCATGTACCGTTTGGACCACGATTGTCAAATTGTTTACCGAGCTTAAGGGGACTTGAGCTTGAACCCTTGATGCAGATTGACTTTTTGAATGGACCGAATTGCGAACATTAGAGATCAAGCTACGAACCATCTGAAAATGCGCACAACAGATCGGTAGGTGCATTTTGACATCTCGATCGAGGTGATAGAGGGTATAGCAGATCTTTGGATACAATGAGGGGATACAAGAGAGGCTGAGGTTTCGGGAACGATTGCGCAAATAGAGCGAATAGAAAAGTCTCACCAAATAGTAGCCCGATCTGAGTTTCCTCAGCCAACAAAGATCAGTGTAAGCCCTGTAGTATTCACGGTAGATTCGCAGAAGATTGACAAGCCTTACAAACCCTGCAAGAGAATTTTTCTGTGTTATTTATAGGATTCACGCTTATAAGGATGAGGCGGTATCGAAGTGAATCCAACTTCGAAGACGGAGCCTTGGGGAGATTGATGTGCACACAGTTAGACACCCCATCACGGCGCCTTTAACATAAAATCGCGAAGTTCCGGTGAGCCTATTCACCTGAGAAGCTATCCGTTTCAATACATGCCCCTGGCAGTGAGTCACCTTGTGTTTGCTTTGACGTCGAGACCCATTGATCGCAGTAGAGGTCTGAGATTAGCAGGCTGCTAAGAATGATATCGGGGATACGGTTTTTGAATCTCACAGATTCCTTGCGATATCCATGGATAGTTGGATAATGAGTAGGGAGCGGAGAGTGCGAAGCGGGAAACAGCACCCGTGTACGGGAAATACGACTTGTGCCTCCAATACAATGAAAAAGCAGAGCCGGATCCGAACCGAAACTCCTCCGGGAGCTCCTCCATTCCTTCTTGTCGAAGCTGCGGGACCTTCGATGTCCTTCGACGACGAAAACCCTCTTCGATTCACATCCGCGGAGTCGAAGTAGAGAGAGGAGATGCCACACTCTAGAGAAGTAGGGTGCTGTACGCATACTTCGGCTCGACCAAAAACTAAGTCTGTCCAGACATGATGTCATGAGACCAGGATGAGTCTCCCGTGACGCTGATGAAAATAAGATTTAACCGTGAGCTCGAATGAGAGCTTGTATAAGGCCAGGCTGATGGTTTTTGACACAGTCTGAACATGCCTACAAGGGAAAGCTCGTACTTGTCACGAAAACATATGAACATTGTTTGAACAGGCGTACCAGTGACGTCATCCTGGTAGAACAGTAATATGGCTTTCTGGAAAACGCTATGACGCTGTCTTGAATTTACAAACAGTGGAGCGTCGCCTTTCCAATAAAGGGCTTAGAACCATTCTTGAAGGCGAGATGATCAGAGGGGTGGGATGCATGTCAGAAAGATTGAAAAAAAAACGTGCCCATTAGTAGACCTTGAAACTTTACGGGATTTCCTAACAGCGACAAAGGTACGAGTGGGAGATTAAATTTCGAAGTGGGGTCAACCGAGGATTCCGCTCCAACTCTTGAAACAGGTGCCTATGATGCGCATCTAAATCAAAGTTGATAATGATCGGGACATATATGCACACGTCCACAAGTATGATATGACCAGGGAGGCAGCCGCGTCTCGCCGCCAAGGCACTGCTTTGCCGCACGCAGAGGGAAGGGGGCTGTCGGGAGCGCCACGAAGTTGAGCTGACTCAGCAGACTCGATATAGTTCGCGATCGTTGGGCCACGGTCCGACTACAAGTTAGCTAGACGGCCGAGGTCACAACAAGACAGCTCACTAGCATTGATCGGTAAACAAAAAAGACTCCCCGCCTTGCTACATGGAATGCTTGTTTGCAGACCAGTCGAAACAGAATATTTGCTATGCAGGACATTTTTAGACCTCGTACCGCTGGAAAATCATCTTTAACAAGAAGGGCGCCTTTCTATTGCAGAAGTGTCGTCGTGTGTACTCCAGGCTACACACCTTCTCATTTCATGATCACTCTGTTTCAAATCATCCTATGCCCTTGGGATCCTCGGGATGAACCTTCCTCGAGCTTGGAGCATCTTTCCCGTTCTGGGCCCGCATGGTTTTGCTCATCTTCTTGCCCGTTTGAGCCCATAATTTCGGCGGTCTGCAGTTCTGTAAGAAAATGTGAGAACTCAAATGCACCTTTCGGATTCCAAGGATCGTATAAAAGGCTTGTTCACCATGCTGGTAGCAGTCAGTAACGACCAGCTGAATATTGGACGAAATGGTTATCAAGCTTAGCTCATTCTTTCTGATCGCTCTCGCAGCCTCCGTCGTGGCTGCTCCACGCGGCGAAGGCCTGATACCCACAATCATACCGACTGTTCTCCCGACCGACCTCCCAACCTCTCTTCCGACAGGAATCCCAACCGACCTCCCCATCTCTCTTCCGAGCGGTATTCCGACCGACCTCCCAACCTCTCTTCCGTCTGGGATACCGACAGAGCTTCCAACCTCCCTTCCGACTGGTATCCCAACCGATCTCCCCATCTCTCTTCCGAGTGGCATTCCGACCGATCTCCCAACCTCTCTTCCAGTTGGGCTTCCAACCATCATCCCGACCTCGATTATTCCCACTATAACACTATCCATCCCCGCCCTCCCAACCGGCACTTTACTGCCCGGCAGCCAGTGCGACACGGGCCCAGTCCAATGCTGTCAGAGTTCGGGCACCGCCGGTGATCCCGGCATCGCGTCAGTCCTGAGCCTCATCGGCGTCGTCGTGGAGGACCTGGATGTCGTGGTGGGTGTGACCTGTGCACCCATCGATGTCGTTGGCCTCGGTAGCGGCGCGACTTGGTGAGCAGAATTATCCCTTCGTTGATAGCTATGGTGCTGACCAGCCGGTTTTTAGTGACGCGGACCCCCTGTGCTGTGAAGACAACAACTTCAGTTAGCTTTGTCTCGTATCGTCTACCGATCGAAGCTCATTGCGCATTGCTTAGATTCCGTCGTTGCGATCGGCTGTGTCCCGGTCAACCTCGCCCTCTAACCTTGCGCGATATTACTACGCCTCATAAGCGAAGAAGAAAATGTGGGGCGAGAGTGCTTACTTGATTATCTGCTGAAATAGTACTTTGGGGGGTGTATGAGAGGGTGTATATAAGGAGACTCATCAATGTTGTACACGCACCGATGTTCACGATGATTTTTCCGCGTCAGTACGCTATGATGTGTCCTTCAGTTCAGTATTGTGAGCAATAGGACGTCAACGCCTGTCAGAATTTTGAGGCTTGCGTGTGCATTCGCGACTGCAAAGAATTTTACGGCCCTATAATTGAGTCTGGAGTCTTAAGTAATAATAACCAGTGATGCTTATATAGCAGGTGCAATGAAACGGGACGTCGATATAGAGAGCAAACCAACCAAACCAAGGACCAATAGAAAGAGATATAGATAATGAATCCAGAAGCGATCGATATACAGAAATCTCAGAGAGCGATGGCAGAAACCCTCAAGGCATCGGAGGCCGGTCTATAGGTGCGGGGGAATGCAAGAGGGATTGCAGCTAAAAAGACGAAGTTAAGGCGCGCGCCCATCCAGAGACAACGAATTCATACCTGATCTAATACATCTGTAGGGGGCACATCGCCTCGACTGCCGGAGGCGTTTTCGAATTCTGGTCGATCCCGATGTCCATCTCCGTGTCCACCGGTCCTCTGATACTGCCGTCAATCGATCTGGGGACGCCATGAATATTTAATGCACACACTGAGTCGCGCTTGATGCTTGGGCCTGCTGCGTTCTTCTTCACCGCGGTTTTGGAGTGCCCAGTCGCCGCAGGCCCATACGGGTCTTCCCGCGGCACGATGTCGATAAGAAAGTCGAACTGGTCAGACTTGTTCAGCGCCTTAGCGATGTCCGAACGTGACAGAGTCCGCCGTTTGTTCGAGTCGGCGATGATGAACGCGCGCGAGGTTATTTCTGCGATGAAGACTGCCACGTGTCAAAGGAAAAATCCCACGTATTTTGGACAGAGATACTCACTCTCGCAAGCCTTGCAGAAAAGTATGGGCGCTATTACGTGGAGTGACGCTCGCGACGAGTTGGACTGGGTTGGAAGACACGGACTCACCGTCCGCAGCGATCATCTGCTTAAATGGAATCACGGAAGCACGTCAAAATTTGGGTGGAAGTTCCTGGAGTACGTGTGGGACACACCTTGACGTCGGGGTCATTCTTCATCACCTTCTTTATCCTGGCAAGGGGGAGGGGCGGGTGACGATAGTCAGGAGTCTCCTGCTCGGCAGCATCCACTTGCCTCTGCCAGAAGGAGCGCAGGAACTCGTGCAAAGGCTCTCCTGATTGGACGTACGGCTTGGTCATTCCTGCGCGATGGTGTTGGTGGCGACCAGTGAGAGCAAGAGTTGATCACTCCCGTGGCACACGATAAGATAACCCTTACTGCCCACAAATATCCCGATAACCATATATTATGTACTTGCTAACTGAATCGCCTCAAAAATACACTTAGATCCTACACTATCAACGACATCGAGGTCACTACGCATCCCATTCTCTTATCCAGGGATCAGAAAGGGTAAAAGGAAGTTCAGAGGTATATCGAGCGTGTCGAGGCAATGGGCTGGAAATAAAAAGGCCATCGACGTGTTGGCGTATCTCCCCGAGGTCCAACGGCGTGATAGACCACTGCCGCACATGAATCTCCTTCAACCGGCGACCGTCTCTCTCCCTCTGCGATACGAGCTCCTCCAGAGCAGCCCGGGATCCAAATGCGTGATTCTGGGCCTGTGGAGGGGGCAAAGGGTCTACCGCCCATTCTAGCGTCTGCATCAGCCGGAGCACCTCGAGGAAAGGCAGCAAGCCGTCCCGAAGATGGCCAATACAATTCGGCAGATGACGGTCGATGACCGATAGGACCCTGATGTACGGCATAAGCTCGAACATCGCCTTCCAATTGACGACGTCGGGTAAAAGGCCGAGGTCGAGAGAAAGCTCCTGGATGCGGGTGAGATTGATCATCGGAAGGGCAGCTTTGAGACACAAGGACGTGCATTCAGTGGGTCGGATGATATTCCGCACGGTGGATGCAAATCCTGACTTGTGTGTTTCGTCAAGCACAAAGAACGCAAGCGAGGCTTTGTCCCAGTGGGGCAATAATGTGATGGAAATACAGCGGCTCTCTGTGAAGGGTGCGCAATCGAATACCCCGTAAGGAATGATCAGAGGGAGAGGTTCGTTGCCTGGTGGGGTGCGGACACTCATACGTATGGCTGTGGTTGGCGGAAAGTTCAAATGCGACATGAAGGTCGTGATTGTTTGCATTGTAGCCTGTTCCATCACCAGCCGACGAAGCACGCCCAGGACAATAGGGCTTCGAATCCGATCACTAGATTCCTCTCCTCTAGGATACCAGTTTTCCAGGATCAAGACCTCCATGAAGGGGCAATCTCGCAAGAGGTCGTGAAACTGGTCCATGTGGACGCTCGGGTCACTGTGTTTGCATAGCGCGAGATGCGTCAAGTGCGAAAATTGGAGGTTTGCCCAGGAGGTGAACCCTCGTAGATACAGACGTCGCAATCCCGGCATCTCTGGCTCAAATAGAGAAGATATCTGTTCAATGTGGCCAATATTCATGCGGCCATTGTTATCAAGTAGAAGACGCTCAAGATTCGGCACAGAATATCGAGTGATGGACGTCGGTGAGCTATCCTTACTGAAATTAAGGGAATAGTAACGCAGTCGGCGTGAGTGGTCTCCAATGGCGTTCCACATAGTGAAATCGATGTCCGATACATGGAGGTAGGCATCTCTTGATCTTGCGAGGCAGGCATTAATCAAATTCCATTCTCCTTCAGATTTGGGCTTTGGAGACTCGATTCTTGACCAAAATAACGGATGAAAGAAGGTCACATCTCGCCAAAATCGGCAGATACGCGATAGCCCAAAGACATGACGAGCTGGTTCATTGGACCGCTTCCGAGTGAAGCGTGGGTCGGACACTGGAAACATCCATTGTGGGGAATCGAATGGTGGTGTAATCGGGATGGTTAATTTAAGTATGTCACCCAAGATTTCTGCGGGGAGATGATGAATGGGGAGGAAGGCGTTATGGATTGCTCCTAGAGATATGTGAACTTTCCGAAGCTAGTGAGAGAGGACATTGTTCTTTCAGCGAATAAGGTTTGATACTATACTTGTGCCACATACTGTAGAAATGTGAGGCTTGAACTGGTCGCGCAGTCTTACGGGTTGTCAATTGCAGGCGATCGGAGTGAGTGGATCAAAAGGCTTACTCGGAGCGATCTCTGAGGTCCAATGACTCTAACTTCCATGATAATGCTCCTAGCAGCTGGTCGAACGACAAGTCCGCACCGATTGGTGGCGTCTTCATTGGGATTAGAGCCTGGACCGAGCCCTATGAGTTATGGGCAAAGGTATCGTTAATTGACAATGCACAGGAGGAATCAGTTCAGCATTGACTGAGGAGGACAGAGGGTATGAATGATGGGGTTGAAAGGCTTTCAAAACACAAAACAGATAAGATAATGAGTCTCGTCGTACAATGAGCGCGCAGCTACGCAAAGCCGGGCGCTGCAGGGCGCTGCAGGGCGCTGCCTGGCCCTGTCAGATTAGTCATCATGTCAGACGTCACATCTTCCGAGATCAGTGCCGCTTGCCGACGCGAGTTTATACTTGTCTCCGGACAACGTTCTTATTTCCACAACGTCGGGCACGAAGTTATCTTTTTACGGACACCACAAAGCATCATGACGCATAGCTGCCGACCCGCAGGTAACGTCCGTAATATGCGCATTTAGGTAAGGGTAAGCTTGCGATATTTTTTCAAGTGCTCTCGGTCGATCCGACATATGATCCCATATGATCAGAGTCCCTGGTGAATAACATCAAAAGGATATTTCTTGGGCATATATAAGGAAGGCGTTGAAATTCTCTGCTCCAGTGTCCGTATGAGATGATCTTTTTGATTAGGGATACTCGTATTGCTGGCGATATTTTTCGTCGTGTGTGTCAAATCACGACGCACCATGTGTTCTCTTCTCTTAGGATTTCAAATGAAGATTTCCGAACTCGAGCATGGTTCTCTTTATAGCATATCCAGCTCTTGCGAAGTTGGATCATCCGAATGACCCAGGGAATCTTCAGAAGGCTCGGCCAGAGCAACCATGCCCGATGCCGAGTCCATCATGTCAGATGGATCTTCCCTGGGCTAGGCGCTCACAGCTGACTACACGATCAAACACTATAAAGCAATGTTTGTAGCGTTGAGGTACAACTTTCCACCCTCTCTAACCTTGAACTAGCTGGTGCGGTAAGTTTGTGTTTGGTTCGGTTATATCATCATGTTCATCTGTTCAAACACAGTTCAAGGCAGCATTCGCGCATCGAACCTGCCATCTTTCGGGTCAAGTTGAGCCACTACCTTCTCAGTTGGTAGCTTGTCCGTTTGTGTGAGGTGAGTGAGTGTAGGACGTGACAATGCGGCAAAGCTATAGCATAGACGGACAGTCTCACAGACGCTGACAAAATCCTCTGCCGACAGTGGGCCCGCCCCATGTACCATCTCCCCCCAGAAATTCTTGTGCAGATTTTCCGCACTTCGACTTACGAACGCATCGATATCCCTATTGGTGCCGAAAACCCCTCTCAACCCCATGCCGTTCTCAGATTATCCCATGTCTGCCGGACTTGGCGGAGTATCATGCTCGGCTGTCCATCTCTCTGGGACGTAATTCACACAGGATGCAGCTTAAAACTTGTATCCGCTTGTCTTGATCGATCCTATTCCATTCCTCTGCGGGTTCGAGTCGAGGTTCCGGCTTCAGACGCGAAGCCTTGGTTTCTTGACCTCATTCCGGGGTTCACGCACCGTCTCCAACAACTCTATATCCGAAGGGTCGATGATTGCGCGAACGAGACTGTATCTGTTCAACGTATCATGTCCTTTCTAAATAGCCCTGCGCCAAAACTCGAGAATCTCACTATTGATGTTCGACTTCCCGACTCTCTTCTCATGCCTACATTGTTTTCTGCATCGACGCCGTCCTTAAAGGTTCTCTCGCTAAACCGGCTGCGTTGGAACAAACAGAATCAGTTCAGAGGCTTGACTTGCCTCAAGCTTACAGGCGTCAAGGGCTTCGCTTGCGCCCAATTACACGAGGCACTACTCCAGAGTCCGGAGCTAGAGCAATTGGAACTCAGCGCCATCATCCCTCAATGCCCCGACTTGAACAGGAATTTCCGCATCCCCCTTCCCCGTCTTTGTCATCTTGAGGTCCGGAACGTCCGCTGGTCTACTTTACGCACCTTCCTTTCCCTTCTAGATATTCCTTCAAAATGCAACATCGTCTGCTTGTATCTAGACCCCCCGCCAGGAACGAGCAATTGCGTGCTGTCCGCTTTCCTCCCCGCAGATCTTTCCCTTATTCGTCCTCTCAACCAGTCCATCAAATTGGCTATAGGATTGCCAAACGCTTTGGTCCTTTGCGGGGGCAATGAGGAGTCGGCGTTCGAGTTGTCATCCGGGTGGCCAGTGATGGAGCCCAGCGGTTGTTTCTTCGAACACACACTCTTATCCCTCGTGCATGATTTTCCAGTAGACGCTGTCCAGGAGCTATGGTTAGGTCCGCTTCCCCCGCGTCCGGCATCGACGCGTCCTACGGTTGAAACGTGGAGAGCTGTTATTCAAAGCATGCCTCGTCTGCGCACTTTGGTGCTCCTGCCGGGTATCCACGTCCCGGATCTCTTGAATTGTTTCTGCTCCGAGAATCCTGCAGAACCGCCCCTCCTTCGGGATTTGACACATTTGCGGATCGTATACAACCGATTTGGTTCGCTCCTTCCTTGGAACTCTTTGGAATCATTTGTAGAGGGGCGGAGGGGCTTGGGACTTCCTCTACGAAGCTTCTGGGTGCAGGACCTTTTCTCTCGGATGAGCAGGCCTCAAGGGTGCATGGGTGGTATACTCCGTTACGAAAACGGCCGCTACACTTCAAGCAATGGACCTACGTTCCAATTGCCTGGATGGGAGTTTGCGCGTTACAACCGTTCTTTGGAGCAGGAGGCAGCTTATTGAGTAGCAAGTTTGCCTTCGATTTGCAGCAATGCTGATGAGTGGAAGATATATATGCGCCTCCTAACTCTCGGGACTACTATAGAGTTTACTTACCGACGAGTGACAATAGCTCATGCATTCGTAACAATAAAGGTATCTAGTTCTCATCGTAAGCATGTCCTTGGCTGATGCGCATAGTGCTGCTAAACATTATCGACCTCACACAAAGTAAAATGATAGACCGGAAGTAGGTTGACAGATACAGGAGCGAATCGTGTTAATATTCGGAATGCAACCTCGCTCCTATAGCCTCTGACCACAATATGATGTTTTAATTCGATCGTCGCGCTAATGCATACAACCCCAGAGATTATCCAGCTGTATGATGGTGTTTCCGTCCTTTTATTTTTAAACTCGGGAAGAGTGGTCTCGCTGGGGCAAATCGCGCCTTCGTCGGAACGGTCAAGTAACTATTGACACGTTAAAAACGAATGAATTTAAATCCCTAATAGGACTTCAACACACCAAGACCCCAGTTGCGAATCCAGGAATCGTAATCGTTTTCTACATGCAACCCTGCATCACCTAAATCTGAACTGCAATGTCGTATCTCCAAAGTATCGGCGTAGCGTCGAACCAGATCATAGCGTGACAGAACATTCCTGTGTGACAGAACATTCCTGAGCTGTTCCCGCGCGGCCTCCTCAAAATCCGGCACTCGGACTATATCAAGATAGATCGCTTTTACTGTAGTCGCCGTCCAAGTTTCGCCCGGTAAGCAACCATTTTCTTCAGAGGTTTAAGAACATTAGGGCTCCCCATAAAACCCATTGGAGGATCATTGAATACGATTCGAACAGTCTCCAAGGACTGGACAACATTGTCGTCCTCTAAAGCCCCAAAACATACTTCAAGGTCCCAGTAATGAAACGAAAATAGTTTGACCGAGCGCATTATTTTGAACATTGACAACACAGTGGAATAAGACAGGTCAGTGCGAGAGGCGAGGAAAAGATTTTTCACGTGCGTGAGATTGACCATGGAAAGAACTGACGCGATACTGGGCACTACCTATCTGAGAGGTAGGTAGACCTCGAGAGTGGAATCAAACGTGATGAGCTTGAAGCGGTCAGCATAGCCTTCGTTATACGGTGAAATCATCATCAAAGGATAGTTCTGAGAAGTCAAGGCTAGTGGGCATTTGTCGCGTGAATATGAGGGTGGACTTGTCACCCAACAATGGCACACATGACGAGATGGAAGAAGACTTCACCCCGCAACTCAGAAGTTCTTCGACCGTTACAGAAACAGACGTGGTTGTTGGAAGGGTCATATGAGATAAGAGAGACATGACGCTGTCCATTGAATCATGGTTCACACTCAGCTGGGAAAGACAATCGAGGTGAAGCATCAGCAAAACCGGAAGTGTCTGTACAGACCTGGACAGACGTTTCAGAGCCCCAGATGCTCCCAGCAAGTCCCGAATTAGACAGACACATGACTTCTGGCCAGGTGTCTGGATAGACATGTCCAGACGTACCATCTTTGGCCAGATGCACCGGAACACAAACTTAAGGTTTATTCAATATTTTATTATGGAATGTGAATAAATATCAGATAAACCTTAAGTTTTTGTTTCAGTGGGTAAACCAGAACAAAAGCTTTATCTATATCCAGGGTTTTATCCAGGGTTTATCCCGGGAAAACTCCTGCGGTGTACGCAGTGTAACTGTGGAGTGGTTTGCACATCAGGGCACCCTTATCTGGCCATACACATCTAGCCAGATGTCCCCAGATGACCTAAGCATCTGGGACTCGGCTACGGTTTTGCTGATGCTATTGTGGACGAGTTCACATTCTGTCAATTTTGGCTCGTCGAAAACAAAGAAAAATAAATAAAACTCTATAGAAGTCAAACAAATAATACGTTATTTCGAAAACGTCACGAGAAGGGGAGAAATGCAAGCTCGAAAAAACAAATCCTTCCTCGCTGAAGCGCCCGAACGGCTAGAGCTGAAGCCAAGCGAGTAAAGCGCGAAGGCCTTGTTACATAACCACTACAAGCTCACACTGACTCTCACTGACTCCGGTAGACTCCATTCTGCCAGGTCTGAGCAGGTCGAAGACGGCCGAAGCAAGGCCACGACTGATTGTCCCTATCATGAAGAATGTCAGCTTTAGGAACACTTCTCACCCTCATCGATCCGAGGGCACAAGCAATGGACAAGAAATGAGAAGAAATATCGCGAATGGGCAGGTGAAGGCGAGCTTTGCGGAGGCATGAGATCGATGGCGGCAACGTGGAAGTGGGGTGAGGTATAAAAGTGTAGGGAACAAAAGCGAAGAGAACGAAAGCGAGCGTGGGTAACAGAAAACGGTGCGTACCTCCAGCTTCAGTTCGTCATCGCCGACGATCGTCGTGCCATAGTCCCGCCGCGCCTCCTCCTCCTACCGCCGCGATGAGGTCCCGTCAGCCAAGCTATGAACCATCCCCATGGATTGGTGTCCCTATCCTCATAATCCATTGCTGGGCAGTTCTCCTTCTTGTGGCGAGTGACCCCATCGCGGCGGGCGTAGAAGAAGATATGGCACCAGTCGCAGGGGAGCTTGCCAAGGTAGTGGACCGTTACAATGTGCCGTCTGCGGTCGTACTTGCGGCAGAACGTTCTGTTGCATGGCGCGCAACGGAAAATGTCTCCGCCGTAGATCTTCTCGTCAATGACGACGGCGGCTTCGACTCGGCTAAGGGCGGGCTCGTCTCCGAGCTGGTACTGGCGCTCATCGTGACCGTGATCGTGATCGTCGGGCTCTCTGGTCTCGCCTTGGTCATCCGCAGGCGTCGATGCCGAAGGCCCTCCGCACCACAACGGGACAGGCTCGATAACTGGTTTGCCTGCGGGGTTGTTCACCCAGTGGGTGGACGTTGTTGATCTCTGGTTGTTGTTGTGGAGGGCATTGCCGTAGACCTGTGGAACGACCACAGGCATCGGGCGCAGCCCTCCGGCTGCCTCGACTAACCTCGGGGCAGGCTTGGGTGCGATGCGCCTATACCTGCGCTCCCAAGACCAAGCCTTCTCTCTCCCCTCGCTCCTAACTCTGCCCCCTACCTCTTTCGCATTCCCCTTCCCCACTATCTCCTCGCCCTCAGGAGCGCCCCTTGACTCGCTGACACCCCTAGTCATCTCTTCGAACCCCTGCCCCACCTTCGCCCTCTTCAACGGCTGCTGCTCCTCCGCGTCCAACATGCGCTTTCTTGGCGCTTGCAGCATGGCCACTGCGTCCCACCGCAGGTTGGAGCGCGCCATGTCCATCCAGGGACTCGTGAAGCGGTTCACGGTACCTTCCCATGCTGAGACGTTCGACCATTGCGCGTCGGGGGGTATGGAGCGCGCTATAGAGATGTCGTCGGGGGCTGGGTAGCCGCTGGTGATGGCTGGGGTGGCGACTGCTGCGGGCATGGCGAGTGCAAGCTCGGTGGTGGTGGCGGTGGGCGCAATGGTCGCAGCGAAAGACTGGACTATGCATGGTGGTGGGTTGCGTGGCCGTATCATCGCGTGGCCAGGGAACTTGGTCGTTGCCCAGTGATGTGGGGCCAACGGCGCCGGTGTTGATGTGGATGCCCATGCAGGTAGGGCGGCGGGGATGGGGATGGGAGTGACGGACAGTGGAGGTCCGAGGACAGGTGCGGTCTGTAGGGGGATGGCGGGTATCAGCGAGCCCGGCGCACGCGTGTTGTAGGGCTGCGTGTAGTCAATTCCGTGTGAGAGGACCCGCGCGCCCTAAAAGTTTGGGGTGAGTGGCTCGTGAGTGGCTCAGTCAAATTATCAGAACGAAGAGAAATTTACCGCCGAATCTTCGCTGAGGACCTCGGCGTCGTTGGACGCGAACCATGAAGGTCCTGCGCCAGGAGCTGCATGCATACCGTGTCAGCATATTGAGAGGCCACCGAAGGATATGCACCTACTTGAAAACTCTTCCTGAACCCAGGAAGACCAGTCGGATGGGTAGCATGACATGGTTGATCAGTTGCGCTGTGATGACTGGGAAAGGTATTGAGCAGTGTGTGTATGTAGGGTGTATCAGAGAGGGGATTGGCGAAGATCGAAAGGGCGAGTCGATCCTTGGACTCCTCCCATGGTCAATCAATACAGATATACTATCCTCGGGCGAGCGCCAAGCGACCTTTCGAACGACGCCATGGTGCGAGCGCCATGCCTTGTTCTCTGATGTCATACAGCCGTCTACCACCGCCGCACTCTCCTGCCTAGTGACATTGGGTTTGGAACCAGGAATGTGGTGCCGTCGTCGTCCGAAGGCCGTGATGTCCTATGTCTCTTACGATATGGGCCCGAATCCCAGCACTGAGTTCTGGAAACAAGGTTTTGCCTCATGTCCACGCCTCACGATGGGACCGTGTTCAAGTAATAATACACGTCGACATTTCTGGGGTGCGTTACATGTTATCATTTTGCATCTGAACCTTGATGGAGTCGGGATGGTGCAGGTCTTCTGATGGCGGGAGCGAATCGTTCGGGACAAAGCAAGGGCGACAAGGGATTTACCCACGTCGCGGTAGCCGCTTACACCGTCGGTCAATGCTCGATTATAGGGGTCAACAAAGTTATCAGTCGGTCTCCCCTCGCTTGGTCTTCTTTCCGGACGAACCCTTTGTGTCAATATTGTATCTACCATGCATGGGACCTTTCGTCCTCTTTCCATGCGGCTTTCTCGTGCTGACACTGCCTCGTCAATTCAAACCGAGTCTCGCCTCTCGAAGTTGTAGGCGCATCAGGGCGCCTGATTTTAGTGATAGTGCCATCGTGAACGGCATCATGAAAAATTCACTCGCCTTCTCAATCGTAATCTTCTAGCCGCTTATGAGATCTAGTATGATGTGCTTGTCCCAATTCGTGCGCAGGTACACCAAGGCACGTTTGTTCGCGTTATTTTTCTCCCCCTTCCTTTCTTCACAATGCATTCATTGCAGCCTATCTTCTTGGCAAGTCATCATGTTGGCTCGGGATTTGACGGCGTTTGAGAGCACAGACAAGACGACCATCACGACGACTTCCAAGAAAATCGATCCGTGTGACCAAATTTAGGGTCTATTGTTGTCAGGTTCGAGTGGCAAGATCGAATATGGGTCCACGTCCCCATATGTGCTATTGGTCACGAAATTGCCGGAGCTACGCATCGCCTGGTGAAATGTTTCGTCACTACAACGGTGCCGGCTTGGGACTCGCAGGGGCCTACTTCGTATCCGCAAACAATATCAATCTCCGCCGCGCTGCATTCTTGCCTCCCGACTCACATACCCAGCTGCCTGATGACCCAGTCATCATCCGCCTTATTCGACTATGCAGAGCCTTCGTTGAGTGGGGAAGGACCCACACACTCGGTGAGTATTGTTCGTCATATGAGTTGACGGAGCTTAGGTTCGGCTTGTACCCTCGGTTTTGTCGGAAGATTCTTGCTTTGTTCTTCATCACTTCATCGATAAAACAAGGAAAGGGGCTAACATTCCCCTGCATTCCCGTTTCGTACGTACCACCGATTCAAGAGTCTCAAATGACCGTCCGTCCGTCGGTTCTGGCCCTTCCCGATATTCATATCCCCTAACCTTCCTGCCGTTGTCTCGACCCGGTCACTATCTGTTTCTTCGCGTGTTTATCTGTTCCTTGGCGTTTTTCACGCTCTATCTGCAGATGAGATCCCTTGTTGCTACAGAAAGTCGGTATCCATTCTTTCCGGTGACATTGCGATATTCCATTGGCCTTTGAGCAATCTACCACGAGAAATGGACAAACTTCTTTTCTTTGTAATTCTAGCGCGATACATCAGGTGATAGATTTGGACAAAGTGCTAGCCTGTCATCAACATCGGGGTGGTGCTTATTGAATTGATGGATGGCACTTCGCAGAGGGCCTCATTGATCCCTGAGGCTGACTGTACGTCAAAACATGCCTTCCTGCACGGCCGCCTTGTTCAACACGAGTATAGCACTACAAGCCGCCAGTTTTCTAGATTTTTCTGATAGGGAACCAAAACATATTCAGGCCAGTAATGTAAGAGTGACAATTGCACACGCACGAGCGGTGCATCACCTCGTCGGAATCATCTTCCGAACTGGCTCTCGGTGGTAATCCTTCACCTATTCATCATCGATGACACAGGATTCCCATCCGCCAGAATAATGTACCTCTCGTTTGCATTTCCTGACCCATCGTCTCGGGGCCTTGATCACATAGCGGATATGTAGCTTCATATATTCGGCGTCCGCCTTGGTATCCCAGCCAGAGTCTCCTACGATCAAAGCCCCCGATCCAGACGCAGTAACACGCGAGAGGGAGGTGGCATATCGGACAACATTCGACGGCTGCTTCGGATGGCTAGCACGCTGTGACGCAGAAGTCGGTTGGCCGGGCCTAATAAGACCAGAGCGCGGCCTTGAATCATTTGTTCGAAGTGAGATCACAAACGTCGCAGGATGAACATGGTCAATTCATGTGCAATACAATTGATACACCATGAGGGTGGCATACTCGACCTTCTCGTCGGAGATTCCATAGATACGAGCCATACCCGAGGAAGGTATGTACCATCTAGGGAATATTGAATCGAGCTTCCTCCTGGCATCGCATACCACGGAGTGAGGTTTGACTCTTGAGAAGATTGGCGGAAGATTGTCGAATGGATACGAATATGCAGAAGTGCCTGCGGATTCATCGCACTGACCGTCCGAGCAGCCTTCAGCTTTGTTGCGATGGGAAATGGGAGAAACAACGGGGAAAAGTGGCACGAGACGGTACTCAAAAGTCTCCGCACTGTCGTATATCTAGAAGAAGAAAAATCAAATTCTACACGGCGTAGTGAAATTCGAGAACGCACATCCTCAATCGATGGGACACTGCCCTGTTCAATGGGGTATTTGACCCAACGATCCCACAACTTGTCGACGATATCCATTGACAACATTAGAGCTCATCGACCAGATTCGAATAAATTGCGCCAATCATGACGGACTAGAGACTGTTAGGACAAGGAAGTATTGCAGTGAAGAGCATGCATGCGATATCGTGTTTGATTCTGTATCCATTTGAATGGTATCATAATTCATTCTCCATGCCCATTTGAGACACGATAGTTTGACAGGTTGAATGAAATTAGCTTAGACACAAGAGACTTCTCACGAAGATAACTAACCATAGGGTGATTTCTCCAGTAGCGTTCATGGATAACATGGCAGAGATGGACCGGAGAATCAGTCGCCAAATCTCCTGTTACGAGGCAGTTCTCTGAGTTCTCTGCGTGTTGAGATATAGATGAAACACGATTCCTTGATCTGGCTCTAGGACGTTTCTCGTCTATGATGGATGAGTACTTGTGTCCACAGCTGGGAAAGCAACATGCCTGGAGAGCAAGGGGGTGAGTTGGAGTTGGCATTGTGAGAGGGACTTGAAGCCATTGGAAGGTAAATTGAGAAGGAGATGAGAATGCTGAAACGCAAGTATCCGGGCGAAGTTGAAAGTTGAACAGCGGTACGCTGACTAAGGACTTGGATACCGTTCTTAGTGGCACCGGCTGATCCCAAGATCGTGCTCGATAGTTGCAAGATAGCCTCATTGCTTTCAAGGCTCACGAAGTAGCTCAGAAAGGTGATATTGAGCGAACGGTTTCGAAAAGAATACTACTAACTCCACCAATGTAGGCGGGATGACTTGCAGCGGACACCTCAAACAACGCAGCATTGCATTCATTCAGAGTGGCATTGACACGAAAGGCGCCTGGAAGCTGCTCAACGGCTTTGGGTGAAGAGCTTCAGCATAGAGGATGTCGAAGGGGGGGGCTAAAGACTAGCAAAATCACATACTCACCCTTCTCAACCTCGCCGTGTATGACGCATGGCGCTCGCCTCCACCGTCATCCAATTTCATCCGATATCTTCCGGAGGCCCATATCATAATTAACACGTACATATTTTGTATGAAGGGGGGGAGAAATATGGGCACCGAAGCAATTTCAATGTTTGCTTGGGCCGTTGTCCTTGCCCCTCTCGAGGCAAGGACAGCGGCCCTTCAATCCTTTTCGGGACGAGGCTGCGGTCGGCACCGAGCTAGAACCTCGCAATTATTTGTAAGTATCTAAGAATGGTATCACGCACCAGCCACCATGGCCGCCATAGGATATATCGAGCAAAAATTCGGCCAGACCAGCACGACTCGAAGGCCTCGGCAGCGCGGAAGGGAGGCGAAATCTTGTAGCCGAATACGTCTTTGATGGGCCAATCGTGCCGGTATTGCCGTACGAATACGAGTCGCTCACGCATTCATGGGGGCGTCGGAGGAGGCCAAGTATTGGGATCGAGCATTGTTCTAGATATGACGCCCGGATGTCCAGGTAAAAACACCGTTGCGGTCTAGAATTACGTCGTTAAGGTTCTTCAAGGCAGATGTTGTCAGATGCGCCGCCTATCAGCCATCCATCAGAGGGGTAGCATGAGCCGCTTAGAGGTAAAATTCGTACGGTAGATGTGATAGCGCGACTAAGGATCCATCCTCCACCCCGTGAGGCATCTTGTGCCCACCGTACAGGGGAGGAGGGGACACGATGCATGGCGGCTAGTGGACAATACAAGATTGATCGGGATCTGAGTTGAAAAAAGGAAGAGGCGATGAAGCATACTCCGAACGCGCACAGACTCTTTCCGCCACTCACCTAACTCGGACAACCACTTGCGAAACGGCAATATGTCACTTATAAACGCAGAGATGGACTTTGAAGAAATGCAACACCCCACTTACCCAAACCAACTTCAGCAATGACATACCCCTACTACGCTGCATACAACACTTGCGGCTGGGAAGACGGTCTCTCGTTGCTCTCTCAAGAGCAGACGACCGCGGCCCACATGGACGCGAGCGGGCCACCCGCTGTATACCCTTCGGGGTATCCGACGCAGCAAATAAATGCCCTGTGGTACGAGCCCGTGGTATGTGTGGGTTTTGCAACATTTGCTACCAGAACACTGACAAGCCTCCATTCATAGCTCCCCACGATCGAGCCCGAGTGGGCTCCACACTACCCCCAGCTCGGGTACGCAATGGCGGGGCCGCCGCACGTCGCCCATGATGATTTTTACTTCCCCCAGCAGACGCTGCTCGCTGAGGAAAGCAATCACCAAGTAGCGACCATAGCGTACAGCACCGCGTACTGTGAGTTATCCTGTCCGTCTACCTTTCCCTCGATTACAAACGCTCCCATCAGATCATGAAAGGCTGGCGAGCCCGTTGTATTTGCCATGCAACGTCGTTCAGCCCCAGTACGGAGCCGTACATATGAGCGGGGGACCCGTCGCCGGCCCAAGCACAACGCGGGCGACGATTGGTGAAAGGATCGGGGCGAGGTACACACCTTATCAGCAGCGGCCAAGGCTAGAGGTCGCTGTTGTAGGTCCAGGGGGTATCCACGAGGCCCCTGAGGGTGCTACCCTTCACCAAACAACAAGTATATCGAGAAAGTCCGCTCGCAGGAATGACACTACGAACGGACTAATTCCCGAGGCTGTACAGGCGTCGGGCGAAGGGCGGACCCACCCAGAGGTCACAAGGCGGGCGCCCAGGATGGACATGCGGCAGACTCCATACCTGAGCTCGGACTGGAACTGCCACAAGTGCAAGGGGGGGTTCGGACGCGTCCACGAGCTCAAGCGTCACTTGAATACTGCGAAGGCCCACGTCGCCGCGTCGTTGACGTGCGACGAGTGCAAGGATAGCGCCACGTTTAGTCGGCCAGACGTGCTTTTCGCTCACAAGCGGACATTCCACGGGTGGCCCTGATGGACGGTGTCGGCGCGCAGTCGATGGAAGGGGGGTGGATGAAGTCGACTGAGTTAGGAATGAGAGGTGAGTACTTTTTATCTTGCCATCCCTCTGCATTCGTCTGCCATCACATCCCGCTTGGCCGTCTTCATCGATCCTCTTTCTTGCTCAACCTCCCCTTCTGAATACCCTCTCTAGAGAGCGATCATCGACGTCACCGCCCGAATCGATCCGAAGTCGATGGTCAGTGTCTGCCAGGACGCGCGTCCGTGATATGGAGGGAATAAAATGCTGGGGAATTTACTTACACGCATTCCAGTTTTCACAACAGTATCGCAACACATTGCTCCTGCTCTGTTCGCATCTCTCCGTGTGCGTGGTCAAGTCAGAGAGGAAACGAAGAGTGTCCTTGCGACTGTGGCGTGTGGTGGAAAGAACCAGCCGGGCCGGCCGTTCGCGACTTTGCTGCAGTATTAGGTCTTTTCTTCTTGCGCCCCCAGCTCACCTTCTACCTCCGCAAGTGACAAGCCTCATTGATCTACACTGCGCTATCGTTGACCTAATCTATCCACGCAATAGCTGCAAAGATACTTACATCGAGAGATTTATTCTATCGGGCCCAGATCATCGGTCATCTCTGTTCATTTAATACCTATCTACACACATTCCAGCGTTCCACAAAGTGCTCCTAAGCTCAATGAAGGCGTTGTTCGCTCTGCAGCCAGCCGACTTGATTGAATTGAAAACCCATGTGGAGGTCTGCAAGGCGCTTGGCGCTTCGTTGAGTACCATCAGTCTCCAGTACACTTACATCAAAGGGCCAAATAATGCAGCGTGGTTGGACTCAAAGTAGAGTGCAATGGATTTTCGTTTAATATCTATTTTCGACTGGTTGTACGCGTGTCGCGTGTTGACAAACATCAGATCGTCGGGCTAGGATGGAAGATACCCTTACAAAATGTACGACTTGTCTATCTCATAGAAACGAGGCACCATATTCTACAGGCCTGCAGACATCTTCTATACAATAAAGATAGATACATGGCTCTAGCTGATACACGCCACATTTATCGTGGCTCATCTCCCTAGGTCTCCTGAGACTGGGAGGTCTAGACCGTGGTGAGCATATCTAGCCCGAAAAATACGTCGGAAGGATGTAGCGCAGCGTCTCCCTGTCCTCTGGTTTCTGCTTCTCGGAGCGCGGCATGATCGAGTACTGCATCGAGCCTGCCTCCTCGGCGAGAATGTCACCCGCGGCGGCGGCAGCGACCAGCTCCTCTAGGATTGTCGCCGCGACGTGCCGCGACGTGTCGGCGTTGGCCTGCAGTGTCTTGAACACCTCCGCAGCGGTCACCGCCTCGGCGTGTGGCCGCCACGAGTCATAGTCAGTCGCCGTCGCGACGAGCGCGTAGCTGTTTCGCATAAGTAACGAGATATTCAAATGGACAGGAAAACAGGGTGAAAGCACACACCTGATTTCGGCCTCGCGCGCGAGCTTCGCCTCAGGAAGTACGCTCATGTTGATGAGATCGCCACCCCACTGGCGGTACATCACGCTCTCCGCGCGCGTCGAGAACTGCGGGCCCTCCATGCACACGATGCACTTCTCCGTTACGAGCTGCACGCCGCGGCCCTCCTCCTCGAGCGCGCGGCGGATTGGGCCCTCGAGCCATTTCACGAGGCGCACGCTAAACGGGTCCCCGAATGCGGCGTGTGCGACGACGCTGAGGCCTTCGAAGAAGCTCGCGGGGCGCACGCCCTTGGTGCGATCAATTACCTGCGTAGGCAGCGCGAACGTGCCAGGCGAGATGTCCTCCCGGAGAGAGCCGACGGCAGAGAATGCGAGCACCGCACGAACGCCGAGGGACTTGAGAGCGGCGATGTTTGCTCGGGCAGGCACGGCGGAGGGCGCGATAGTGTGCCCCGCCCCGTGCCGCGCGAGGAAGGCGACGCGCGCGCCAGAAGGAAGCGCGCAGATAGTGATTGGAGAGGATGGGAAGCCCCAGGGCTGTGATACGCGCGTATTTGGTACGAGGATTTGCAATGCGATGGGGTGTCGATATCGGTGAGACGTACCGTTTCGGGGTTGACTTGCTTTCTAACATCGGCGGCGGCGTCAACGACGCAGAAACGCGTATAATCGGGAGAGATCGACCTACATGAAGGTGAGGTTGTCGAGGTGGTAGAGACCACTCCCTCCGATGACGCCGACCAGCACTGCAACACGCCGATGACTGCGATGAATATACCTGAAAATCGAGCGAGGATCTACGGTCGCTCACCATTTTCTGATTCCACAGCCGTCATGTTGATGTCCTCTGATTTTTCAAGATCTCGGACGTAATTCTCGTAATGAAGAACAGAGATGTCGAGTGTTGCGCTACAAAACAGAACGAAACTTGATAGACCTTTCAAAATTTCAGCTACGTAATAATCAATCAATCTCGAAAAATGATTCAGCTTGAGGTTTCCAGGGTCCGCCTCCACAGGCGCCCGGCGAAGAACACAAGAACACGCTATCATGAATTCTTCCTATGATCGCCAGCATCTCATAGAAGCTCATCATAGACTCCGCTTTGTTGAATCCTGCGAAAGACTCTCGCGACATGGATGCGCAACAGGTGATTCAATCCTGAACTTGTACAAATAATTTCTTTGCAATTCATGCACCTTGTTAATCCGCTCAGCAGCCAACTCAATTCTCAAGACGAACATTAGCCAATATCTGAATGCTTAAGAGATCGCCCGAAGGAAAGCTCAAGACGTTGGTACACTCATCGATCGCCTCCCTAGAGAATTATTGCAAGAACATTCCTCCTATCATTGCTACCATACCGTGGCTGCGATATCAAGGATACGATACACACCCCAAGTCAACCCCCGAGCCACAAAATTATCGGCCAAAACATGCCAACATCTCGCTCTCCCATGTGTGTTCACGCTCGTATCGTCTGGCAGTAGCGCATAGGCCTTTATTGAATGCCATCCACGCCTACTATTATCGTGCATTCCAAGATATCGTTCCGTTAATCGCCAACCGTGCTGGGACAGCTCCACTGTATGTCGCTGCCTATAATAAATATTCTGCTTGGGGCTTCATTGTAAAATAATCTCAGCGCATCCACTACCTCACTGTCAGACTCAATGACTATTGGGATAAAACGAACATTTCATCGTCGCTGCCCAACCTGGAAACATAGGCTATCTTCAACCGATCAGTCAATGCTCATCCCCTCATCGCATCAGATGAAAACGAACCTCGCATACGAGTGCCCAACCTGCGACGGCTCTTGTTTAATTCATGAAAGTCAGAGCATCTTTATTCCTTCTCTGGAGTTTGCCCCGTGTGGCAAGTGGCTTTGATCGAAGCCTCCAGACCGTTTTCTTGAGGTTCAACGTGCCAGCCCGGCTCTCGAAACTCTGACCCTCGCCGATTCGGTGGTCGATCCTATTAAAGCCTTGGCCCCGAGCAAACCAATATCGATGCCCAACCTTCGTCAAACAATCTTATGGGATTGCGACATCCCGAGCGTATATGCTCTTGTCCCGGCCCTTTCCTTTCCATTTTTCGACGGTGTTATCCGTCAAACTCACGCTGTCTGAAAATGGACGGTATCGAGGCATCAATGACCGCCCCCATCCAGTTCCTGACCGTTTTGGGGGCATAACAGTTGTTGCAATCTCGTCCATGTCCCCCGGTGGCGGTTTGTGCCGTCAAAGGGTGGCGCATCTTCGAGAATATGATATCTCACAGCCTGAATGTTTCTCATGTCATAGATTTCTTCTTCGATTCCACACGGTTGCAGTCGCATGCGGAATGGTTGTTGTACATGGTGCAAATGCCGTCGGCCACGAGATTGACGCTCAGGGTCGGGGAAACGAACCTAGAGGACGTCTATGTGATTGACGACCTTCTTCGGCAACTTTACGAAAATAAACAGATGTTACCGCATCTTAGTGTCCCCCACTTGGATATACAGCACCGATCGCACGCCCGGATCAACTCTGAACATAACCTTTGGGGTGGTCATACCGTGGCAGCTGAGAATGTACCAGCCGCAGTAGAGGCCGAGCAGCCGAGAGTATCTCTACTCAAGCTATACTGCTAGTGACGTTGCGCGCTCATTCTGCTACTGCTCGTATGGGCCATGTTTGCATCCGAGATACGGACCTGCAACCCGATGCTTTACCGCGGTCCTTAATCGACGATATCAGGCAGTACGCCGAGCTAAACATTCTGAGCTTCGCGCTTCCGAATGGACCGTTCGAGGAATTGTGCTGGATGACCCCACCCTCGAGCCGTGGATCGAGGAGTGGTACTCGTAGATCGTGGTACGCTAACTCGAGTTTCTTGCTTTTGTTCATCTCAGAGGTATTGGATACACATGCCTTCTATTAAGGTTGACCGTACATAGGGGACTTGCGACTGTGAAGCACATCCATTAATCGCCTCATTGTTGTTTCATTTCGCACTCACAAGATCCAGGGCCATGTTGGACCTCTCCCAATCACTCTCCGCTCGTGACTGAATATTGTCAGTCTACTTTCTGCTTCAAGTACATGACCCACACGATTTTGCTATATAACTTATGATCATTGAAGTAATCAATGCTTCTACATGTTTGGTCAAAAAGAAATACACACATCCAGCCAGAAGAACATAAATACACTGCCGTGACTATGACTCTGTCTCTTCCTCTCCATCTTCGTCGGAGCTCGCGTCGTATGTCCGATGATTCGGATTTTCGAGAAGGAGGTCGCCCTCTTCTTCTCGTTCTTTATCTGCAGGAGCCAAGATTGGTACATCGACCGATAGGGAACATATTGAAATAATTACCTCTTCGTGACTGCTCATAGCTAGCCTCAGACTCCTCTAAGATTGTTTGCTGCATGGCACTAACTTCATCAGCGTTGGCACAACTCCGATAACGCTCAATGTATGTCCTATGGCGGTGTTAGCTACCACAATGCATACTATCGGCAAACATACCGGTTGACCTTCCAGAATGCGCTGCCCCATCCAAATCCATCAAGCAGGCGCTCGGCGTAGGAGTCGAATCCTGTCAGATAAAAGGCAGCCGCGAGAGCTTCAACACAATTAAGCCTCCACGGCTTGCCATAGTTCGTCGGGTTCGTGGCGATGAGGTATGGAACTGCGACAGCGCGGCAAAAATGTCTGAGGTCATTCGGTCAAATAATCGAAAGCGACCTACGCAAGCGCTCATGTGGGCTGGCGATTTTTCCGAACGGCACATCGTCTAGTCGTGCCCATGAGCATTCAACAACTGCAAGGCCCGCCTTGAGAATTGTGTCTCTGTCGGCGGGGCTGACAACTTGAGTGCCTTTCGGCCTGCAGATGATGTGGGGGTATATCAGGCATGTCGGATAGAAAAGCGATCAAGAATACGCACGAGAGAACGATGCCGCGGAATCGGCTGCCGACTCTGAGTTCGTCGATGAGACCCAGCCGTGCCAATTTCTTTCCAGAACACCGCCGAGGATCACAATGGTCGAAGTCCTAAACAGCGGTTTGCCGCAGTAAGGCTCGCGGTCGGCTTGACCATGGTGCAACTCACCCACATTGCGACAGGCACATTGATAGTTATTTCTACGAGGGTCAACGGTGCTCATAATGGTAAACATGTCCATGCTCACTTGCAGGAGTCCCCTCCTCACTCTCTCCCCCTTCATGCTCATCCTGAGGTTCGTCTACAGCGCTTCCTGGCCGCGCATCGTCATATTGGCCTCCGCCGAAATCGTATCTGCGATGACCTACTCCTCCTCCTCTTCCTCCACGCTTACCCCGATGGCCAGATCCATGTCCTCTGCCTCGAGAACTACCAGAAGGACCTTTCTTTGCCATGACTGAATGCTGAGCGCAAAAGTAGCGCTCAACCCGAATAGGGACTTACTCTGAGCACATGATGAGCATGTGATCACGTGCGGGCGCCCAGAAAATGGAGGACAAACTGGAAACATAGAAAACAGAAGTATTTTGTGCGTAATAAACAGTGGAATGTTTTAATGGGTTCAGCCCTGTCATAGATCACAGTAACATCCTTCCCGCCCATCGCGGCATCGGTATACACTCCCTCACGTTCTCAACCCCTCCGACCCAACTGATCAACCTCTCGAAACCCATGCCAAAACCACCATGCGGAGCACCTCCGTACTTTCGCAAGTCTAAGTACCACCCGTACGCGTTTTGATCCAGCTGGTGCTTCTCGAGAGATTGTTTCAAGATCTCTATTCGTTCCTCGCGTAGAGACCCGCCGACCAATTCCCCGACAAACGGCACGAGCAGATCAAAACACGCCACCGTCTGGCCATCGTCGTTCAGGCGCATGTAGAATGGTTTGATGGCTGCCGGGTAATCAGTTACAAAGACGGGGCCGCCGACCAGCTGCTCAGAAATCCAGCGCTCGTGCTCGCTTTGGAGACCGTGGCCCCATTGTGGTTTATATTTGAATTGGCCAGATTCGGTATGATGTTTCACCAGCTCGCGTATCGCATCACTGTACGACATCTGAGTCCATGGTTTTCTCAAAGCAGCTGCGGTAAGCATGTCTAGTTTAGGGCCGCTCAAGTCACTCCACAGTGCGTCCCGATCAGGACTATCGTTGCGAAGCACATCCTTGAGCGAATCTTCGACCACCTGGCAAATGTCGGCCAGGTCGCGTGTAAATGCCCATTCAGCCTCGAGCATCCAAAATTCCGCTAGATGGCGATTCGTCTGCGATCTCTCCGCACGGAAGCAAGGCGACAAAGTCCACACTCTAGACACCGAACTCGCGAGGGCTTCGAGGTGGAGCTGAGATGACACGGTGAGGTAGGACGGTTGGGAGAAGAACTCGTGGGTCTGGGGCGGCGTGCCGGTCGTGACGGGTGCTATTCGAAAAGTCTCTCCGGCGCCTTCTGCGTCGCTCGACGTTATGATGGGTGTGTGAGCGTAGCAGAAATCGTTTTGCTAGAAAGCTGTGAATCAATGAACACGTATAAACAATGGCTACTCACGCTAAAATAGTCATGGAGCGACCGCATAGTCTGATCCCGAAGTCGCAACACAGAGCTGGCAGTGTTCGTACGTGTTCGGAGGTGCACGCGGTCCCGGAGATACTCTGCAGACATGGTTTGTTTTTGGATGGGGTATTCCTGGTGCCTAAATTTAGTCAAAAAGTCAAAGAGTGCTTCTCAATCCTCACCTCAGGATCGCAAGCACCAAGCACGTCGACTGACTCGACCTGAAGTTCCTTCTCCTGTCCAGCCCCCCTGCTCTCGCTCAACCGTCCTGTCAAACGAACGCTTGCCCCGTTTGTCAAGCTGTTACGCCAAATTAGATCACACAAAAAGAGAAAAAGTCAAGCACGCACCTATGCGCGAGCTTAGGATCTGAGAACACAGCTTGGAGACTTTGGGCAGATGTTCCGTCGTGAATCATTGCAAACGCGACACGCTTCTGCACGCGTATAGACTTGACCCAGCCGTTGACTTGGACATTCTCATTCTTCGGCTGGAGAGACAGGATCTGGCGAATAGTGGGGCGCAGAGCTGCTGAAGTGGACGCGAAGCGTTTGAACATTCTGACACGCCTTGACTCTTGAGTGCACGCGTCGAGATCGCAGCTGACTTTAGATCACATGGAGCCTAATTGGTAAGCTAAAGTACCGTAACCCATTGAGATGACCTGCATGGAATTGTGCAGACGAGCAGGGCTCATAGCGCTCGTAGTGCTTACTAGGGCCTTTCTTTGCCTATTCTCGAGATTCACCCGTTTTTATTTTGTTCTTTTGTAAACATCTGTTTAAGGCGTCATGAAGGGGTTCCCCACAGAACGGAGCTAAATCCCTTCATCTCTCCGAGTCCCGACCCCGACCAAGTGGAGCTGCAGCAGTCTAGCCGAGGACAGTCTTTCAGAAATAGGACAGCGTTATCGGCAGGGCCGAAGAACCGAAGGGTCAACGTCCATCTGATCCATATCCAAGCGCTGGGCTACATGGTGCAATATGAGTACAGTAAAAGTCCATAAGGCCTAAGGTCTGGTCCGCAGCATTAACATAGATTCGTGAGATATAACGATGATAGCGAAGGAGAATTTTGGCCACAGCTTGAGCGCGTGACAGGCTACAAGTTGTGCTGCGCGATGTGCCGCATGATGGTGAGCGACGCTAGGAGCTCTGAAACACACAAAAATAGCATGTTGTGAGCGTTTGGCCGTAAGGCGAATGATTAGTGCTTACCAGTTGACAATGGTGCAAAGGTCTCGTACACGGTCAGGATGTTTCCAGACGTACCGTAGGCAGGTCGGTCTGGCGGTTTGAGGTTGTAGTGCGCGACAATATAGTCTTCGGAGCTCAGGCACTGAATATTGAATGGGCACGCTGATGAGCAGACCGCGCCACGCCGAGACTCTGAAGTCCACATGATGGCACCGCACGCACCGTCCACTCATGGTCTGCGACCATACGATGGCCCCATCTGTATTCCTTTCCATCTGAAGCCTTGAATTTTCGGAACAAAGTTCTGGGTACGTAGCACCTGGTCAGCATAGGAAAAGATGCAAGGCGGTCACGTGCTCACCCTCCGAAGAACGAGACCTTCCGTAAGTACTGCGTCATCGGGACCGATGCGGCAGTCTGCGTGAACAGGATGGTCCCAAGTGCCCCGTTGGGGCCAAAGTCGAGGACGATGGCGGGTTCGCGGTAAAAGTGATGGCGGTCGGCGTAGCTGGTCGACCGCCTGCCCATGTCGTATATCATGATCCCTGCATTCTGCGTTCGCTGTGGCGTCGACGATACGCGCAGGAACTTGCGGTCATACACCTCGTCGAAATCGGAGCTTGCTACGAGACCAGTGCGGTCCTCAAAGTAATATGCTGCGGGAGGACCCCCTATGGCCATGGGAGAGGGAAGAGGGTCAAAAGCGGGGGCGAGAGGAGGGTGCAGCGAGAGAGAAGGGCGAAGAGAATCAACTGCGGGAGGGACGCCTCTACGAGTTATATAGGCAAGGAGGGGCCCGGTTATGGGGACAAAGGACTTCCTTCCCTTAGTGCAAAGAAGTTCTCCAAATGGGAGGTCCTTCGCTAAGTCCAAGGCAGGTGGCGGGAGGTGCAGAATTTGCACCGGCTGTCTGATATGGGTTAGGAAAGGAACCCCATTTGCCTCCGCTTTCAGCGACCGCGCAACATAACTGCGCCGGCGCGCGTTTGGCTTCTTGATGCACAAGTCCTACGGAAATGCCCACGTAGACTGATGGACCAAAACGGCAATCTGTGAGGCCACGTGCCTGTAACAACGTATGCTAAATTGCTTCCTCGATGTGAAGCGAAGCCCCTTCCCCAGATTAGCTGAGCGGGCGGGCTTCGTGTTCCCTACCTCGACTCATGGGACCTAGTAGGACCTAGTTCTGACCAACGATGAGAACTGTGAGCCTCTGCTTGAGCTTCCCAGCCACATTTATAAGCCGTATGGGCGAGTACCGTTCGAGTTCAGGCATCGCCGGTCATAGCTATTACACCACTTCAGTGACAAAAAAACTCACAACGCCTTTGAGCCGCATTAATCCCGATTTCGATTGACATCTAGTCGCAAGTTGACAGCTTGATGAGTGACGAGTATCGTGACGGTGTTCACTGACAGGGCCCCTTTCACCGAGAGATCCAGGCGCATACCTGTTATTAGATTAGATCGCTATCAAATCGCGAGGGATTTCGTACCTGAGTCCCCTGAGCTAGGAAGCTATCCGTGTCTCCGAGATAAGCACTGGGCTGAGGGAGGGCTGGCTCCCTGACCGAAGGCCTTTGGACTGAAATCAGTCCAGCACGGCACTGATGCCGGAATGTTGTAGCCTCCCCACGGGGGTCGCATGATCTGGTATGTTTCTCTCGATCCTGTGCGGATTAGTATGATCAGAGAATAGAAGCCAGCTCAAGCCATATGACTCATTCGATTGTGTGAAACAAACACGAAAGTCCGGCGGAGGCCTTTGAGCGTCCTTGCGCTGGACTTCACGATGCCACCTGTCACAGTAAGCTATGGAAGAGACCATTTCAGAGAAGCTGAGACAACATACGATGTGTGAAGGATATGGGGTATAAATGGGCATACATGACGGACACAATCATCCTGTGACTGTTCAATGTCTTCCGAAATCTGTATATTTTTCGCACGAGCCATTTGTATTCAGTATGAAGGGACTCACTGAAGTTCTAATCTTGCAACGCTTCAGGCGCTCGAAAAGCGCGAAAAGCGCTAGATACAAAATACAGCGCATGCGTGGAATGGGAGCTACTTTGTCCAGCACCATTCCTGGTAAGATCGTCTGTTAGGGATCGCAAGCCGAGCTGAGAAGTCTCGCCATGTCTTCTGGAGCCGTGCCAACCTCTCAACAGGGTCCAACATTCTTCATCCGGGTAGAAGTCCAAGGAACGTATGATCGTTCGGAGGAGAGTAGATGTGCCTAAGAGTGATGAGTTGCACCCATGCCCGAAGCACATGGTTAGCGCTCGATCCATACTTCTTGACACGAGTTCGACTTCTTATGAACGCATCCGACCGATTTAGCAACAGTGTATGTTCTTTCCTTCCGGATGCCGACATTGGCTGCCTATATGAGAGGGAGATTGTGTTTGCGAAGCCTCATGAGCATGGAGACAACGGATGCGCGGTCTGCTAAAGATGCTTGTCACTCACATGGATACCGAATGCCCACCTCTCCCGATGCACCGTGGTTCCTTCTGGTCCGTCCTCCCTACGCTCCAATATGTCATCCATATTTTTAGGTTCCGGTCGGCGATTGCCTAACGCATCGTGCAGACCCTTGAAGCTTGAAGCTTGAAGATAGCCTTCCCATTCACCTGATGGTATCTTGTATTGAAGAGGTCCAGCGCAATCGCGTCTAGGCATAGTAGGAGGACAAAAACTGACTCAATTGGTGAAGCACAAAGTCCGGCCTAAGTTGCAGACAAAAATGAACCATTGCGTGCGCCCTGACCTTTTCAGACTTTCTGCTTCGAAGTCCAGAAACTGGAAGTAGACGATCAGACCCACAACTCCACATATGGAACGAACTTTACCATTGAGTTGGTCAATCCACCGAGAATGCAGGAATGCCTATAGAGCGAAAGAATCTTGCGCTGAACCTTTGCGTGCAACAGTATGAGCAACATGTGATCTGCATGCTAGATGTATCCCCTTCCGAGCCGCACACGTGCGAGACAGACTGAATTGATACCATGAGGAATGCGAAACGAAGCCTACGACGTGCGATGTAATCCATACGTCGAAGAGGCGAGGTAACTAACCTCGGAGCAGGTGCTTAAGCAAGAGGGACGTAAGCTGTTCACAGTGATTAAAAGGCGAAGGAAAGGCGCCGGACAGCATCGACAGGTAGCTTGAAATATTTTTCGCCGACCAAAGGCAAAGAATGGCAAGGGCGGGGCTACTGTACAACAATCTAGGCCCTCAATGGGATAGGTGATATTTTCGAAAGCCAAGTGCCAAGAAATACATACACAGACCTTCGAAGCCTCATAAAGATTAGACTGAGAGCACTATTCCAACAATATCAAGCAACTCACTAGCAAAATCGAAAGGCTGTCTCTACACAGCTAAGCCGTCTCTCTCTTCTATCATACCCGCAGATGTTTTCGCGTCGATGAACAACTCATTCATCTCCCCAATATCCTCCAATTCGATTTGTGTGCGACCGGAAAGGCCAGCCAAGATGGAAGAGGGAGTAAGTAATTGGAGCGCATATCGCAGCGAGCCCTTCTCGCCCTCCTCTGCGAACCGATCGAGAACGCCCTCGCCGAGCTTGAGGCCTTCAATGTTCGCACGCAGTTGCACAACCTTGCTGACCTGTTCCCGCGAGTACCCTTCCGTCTTGACGATCAAACACCTGATTCTAGATGTCAGATGATGGTCACCTTGCTTGACAAATGAGGGCCTTACCGGTCCAGCAGATCCACGGGAATGCCGTGGGGTGCAACAATGTCTGTTGTTCCGCGGACCAACGAATTGCCCCGATTAGTGGCAAAGATGACGGTCGGTGCCATGGGAGACTCAAGCAGGGCATTCAAATATGTGAAACACTCGATATCGAGCATATGGACCTATGTGCTCATTATGATTAGTATATACACTAGGTCAATGGGATGTCGTGAAAGCGCTCACCTCGTCGATGAAGACGACACCAGGGACGACCTCTGCAACACCTTGATCAACATAGCCCTTCACGACTTTATTGACTTCCCGACGCAGTTTATCCGTGACCTCGGTTCGCCCACTTTTGACCAGGCTACCCATGACACTCATGATATCCTGGCCACCCTGCGGCCGCGCGTTCGCCGCGTCGAGATCGCCTAGGGTCACATCCTGCACTAACTCTTTCCGTTTGTGGACGTCTCCTTTTGGTAGAGGAACATATGTCTCAGATTCTAGATCATACGAAGAGGCATAGGCGTCTGAGCGTCCAACACGCTATGTTTCATTATTCAATGCAAATTCACAGCAAAAGGAGATATACGGCGTACCTTGACGGCGCCTGTATTGGACTCGATGTATATGACATCGCCAACGACAATTTTTTCCTTCAAGATGGCTTCGTAGATGCTAGGATCAAGACGAAGTTGTTTTGTGCCCTTCACGGTTTTTAGGCCCACGATGACATGGGAGACGGTCTTGCCATATCCGCTGAGGGGGTTCTCAGATTCCGCGGGCGTCAGCTCTGTCACTTCGCCCTCATACACCTCTTTTGTCTCTTTTATCCGAAGACCTATGCAGATCAGAGTTGGACCTCAGCTGGATTTGTCAAAAAATGCTCGGTATCACACACCTATGGCTCTCCGGAACGCCTCGGCCAGAACTTCCGTCTTCTTGACCTCCGTACTGTACACCTCTGACCCAACCATAGGACAAAAGGGGACTTTTGCTCCGAGTTCATGCGACACAGCCAACGCCAACGCGGTTTTGCCTGTCCCAGGCGCGCCCACCAGCAATAACGCGCGTCCCGAGAATCTTCGCGATTTTATGAGATCCACGACGACACCACAAGCCTAATGGGTTATTAATTTACTGATACACGTTTCACCAAGACATTCATGACTTGCCTCCCGTGCTATGATTTGACCGATGAACCCTGCACTATCAGCGCTCGCAAGCCCTTCCGGTGTCAAACCAAGTCCTTTGATGTGTGAATGAGGAGCAATTCGTGAGGAACGTGCAGCAGAGGTAGTCGATGGTGGCGGTAGAGCATTGTGGGGAACTGGAGTGGAGGAGGCTGATGTCGATGTAGAAGCTTTCATGGTCGGTGGTGAAGGAAACTCGAAGGTACTGCATTCAGTTGTTCAACGCGACTCATCGGAGATTCAATTTCTTTAGTCCCACTACAAATCATAATCACGCTCGCTACGATCTGTTCATAACTTCCACCTGCACAACTATCTTCCTCATTCTGTTGAAGGTCTTGCTAGAGGGGGGCATCATCCATAACCTCACCCCGAGTTGTAGCAGCAAGGAATCTAACTTATTCTTCTAATTTAGAATCCCATTTATTGTCGAATCAGGGTAGTAGAACCCTATGTCAGACATTCCAAATACATATGACTCGCCCCTCTTCGCCCTTCGTGTCCGATCCTGCTTCCGGACCGGCTCCGATTGATAGAAAGATGAGTTTCAAAGTCTTGACGAGACATTTTGACGTGTAGGACTGGGATCGGTCGAGTATGGTGCTTGCTCGCTTGCGCGAGCTGGCACGAAGGAGAGACGTGAAGCCGATGAGTTAGCGGAAAACGCCTTGGGGAGGTAGAACGGGAGAACGTGTGGGCCTGCTGCATGATGTTGCAAACGAAGTTGATAGAAGCCGAGCAGCGGAGACTGGGGAGACCGAAAACCTCAATACCTTCTTGATCCTAAACCTCACAAAATCTGCACGCCCAACTCCCTTCCCAACTCTTCCTACCCCGAGGAATCTATATCCAGTATTCTCCGATATCGTCTTTTCTAAGTTCGTACTGGTCAATCAGGAAATGGTGTCATGAACCACACCCATGGTGGCCAGCACGGAACAGGTGACGATTGTGGAGTCTCTTCATCATGGCAGAAACAACTTTGGAAAATCTACGGTTGCATTGTACCGTCTTTTATCCTTGGTTTGGTCTCTATACGAGCTCCTTGTCAGTGTTTCACAAATCTCACACTCTTATGTTGGGATTGTCAGTCCAATCACAAAGGAGATAACCAATCGCGATAAGTGATTTTTATCTTCTGGTCGCTCTAACCTACCCTACAGGAGTCAGCAAATCCTCAGACTCTCGGATAAGCTTCTACAGAACCTCGCGAGTCACTTGCACGCTACAGGACAACTTAATCTGCTTCGCGAGTTTCTGTGGGGTATGCCCCATTACTATCAGCCTGACATAGACCTACTCCTACGTCCGACTTCCGATGAATAGGCGTGAAGATCCTGTCATCTTCCGGCAGCTCTCATGAACAAGCTTCTGCGTAGCCCTATAAAGTCTGCATCCTGGTCAGTGTTGGGATTCCAAGATACCAACTTCTCACTCTCGACATGAAGATTCTCGCTGTAGCAGCCTTACTTACTGGTACCGTTTCGGCGCATACCATCTTTCAGGTCAGGTGCTTCCGAGTCCACTCTACCCACTATACTTCTGACCTTCCCATTTCGTTCTCCAGGAATTGTACGTCAACGGCGTCGATCAGGGCCATATCAACGGAATCCGCGTTCCTGACTACGACGGAGTAAGCGTAGCCTAGATCGTGCTGCCCACAGAAACCCCACGCTCACAGATTCTTTGAGCCCATCACCGATGTGACCTCTAACGACCTCATCTGCAACGGCGGCATCAACCCTTACCACACGCCCATTTCCACAGACATCATCACTGTGCCCGCTGGCGCCACCCTCACCGCCGAATGGCACCACACTCTCGATGGCGCAGACCCGTCGGATCCAGCGGACCCCATCGATCCCTCGCACAAAGGCCCTGTAATCTCGTACCTCGCCAAGGTGAACAACGCCACGCAGACAGACGTCACAGGCCTTCAGTGGTTCAAGATCTACGAAGACGGATACACCCCGAGCGACGCGCAGTGGGCGGTGGATCGGCTGATCGCCAACAAGGGCAGGGTCACGTTCACAGTCCCGTCGTGCATCGAGCCCGGCCAGTATCTCCTCCGACACGAAATTATCGGTAGGGCCCTTCTTCCGCGGATTATGCGACCCTCTCTGATGTTAATCGCTCATCGCAAGCCCTGCATGCTGCGAGCACATACCCAGGAGCCCAGTTCTACGTTCGTTTTACCTTCCTCTTCGCACAGAGCACATCGTCAATTTTCCCATTCCTTGTGCAGATGGAGTGTGCCCAGCTTCAAATCACCGGCGGCGGGAGCACTCAGCCGGCGACCGTGAGCTTCCCTGGCGCATACAAGAGTTTGTCCTTCATTGTTCAAGGCGGCATCACCGTTAATTGATATTCCAGGTAGCGACCCCGGTATTACCATCAACATTTACGAAACGTTGTCCTCGTATACCATTCCCGGTATGTTCGACCTTCACATGATCCTCCCCACACCTTGTTCATAGGCCAACGACGTATACACAGGTCCCTCTGTCTTCACTTGCTGAAAGTATGGTTGCGAACACCTTGTACTTAAATGCCAACTGGCATGGAATCGGATATGAAAAACGCCTGCTTGCGATCGCGTGGGCTGCATTATAAATATTTCTAGTGCAGATGATGATGATGTGATAGGGCGTGATAGAGACAGTGACAACAAAGCAAAGCGAAAGCTATCACGCGGAAGGGATACAAGCCGGTGTGCAAATACAAAAATTACAGTACATACACTCATGCAAACAGGCGTTTCGTATACCTGAGCATCAAGAATCAGCAAGTATTCGATGGTCGTGATCAAAGAGAACAACTCACGAGTTCAATCCGTGTACGCCACCCTCAACTTGCGCACTGGCTGTGCGCAATTCAAACCTCACCTTCCCACTGTCGACGCCCTCTCTAAGCTCCTTCACACTCCGCACACCAATATCTTGGAACGAGTGCTGGAGGCCTGCGTAGAGGTAGGGTAAGAAATCTTTCACGCTCCCTTTATCCTGCACATCGCCCGATACGCCCTGAGCAACCTTCACGGCCGATGATTCCGAGAAGTAACGAGTAGTCGCAGCGTTCTCGTGCACGTGAGAGTTGGCTTGAGTCTTCGAAGGCGGCGATGGATATTTTGACGTGCCGTTGGTCACAGCCGAAGTAGGGCCAGGCTTGCCCTGCTCCATCGCCTCTAGAGAACCCATGCCACGGTAGGCTTTGACGCGTTTTCCCTCGTGATAGAAGTACTCGCCCGGCGCCTCCGTGGTGCCGGCAAGAAGGCCACCCATCATCACAGCACCCGCACCAAGCGCAAGTGCCTTGACAATATGACCGACATTCGAGATACCGCCATCGGCGATGACGGGCACACCAAACTTGTTCGCGAATTCGGCGACAGCGAAGACGGCAGTCGCCTGAGGCCGCCCGACAGCCATAACCTCCTGCGTGATGCAAATGGAGCCAGAACCCATCCCAACACGAAGACCGTCTGCGCCTGCAGCGATGAGAGTCGCTGCCTGCTCACGGGTGACAACGTTCCCAGCAATCACCTCGATATGAGGGTAGGTCTGCTTGATCCACTGGATCATATCGACTTGGAAAACCGAATTACCCTGCGAGGAGTCGAGGACAACAATGTCGAGACCCGCCTCGACGAGCAGAGACAGACGTTCCCGGTCGGCAGGCCGAGTCCCAATAGCTGCCGCAGAGTACAATTGCTTGCTTTCAGGACGTTTCGATGCGAGGGGATAAGTCTGGTTTTTGAGCAGATCTGAACGAGCCAAAAGGGAGACGAGGCTGCCTTTTGAGTCGACGATGGGCAATTTACCCTTTTTGGAGTCACGGAGGATATCGTTGGCTTCAGAAAGAGTCACGCCTTCGGGGGCTGTGATGAGCTCAGTGGTCATCACATCGGCAAGGCGGACAGTCGGTGATTGGAATTGGACGTCGCGAGACGTGACGATGCCGATGAGCTGACCTCCCAAGGCACCAGTATCTGAGGTCAGAAGGTCAGCTTGTGTTCCGAGATCGAATTTCGAGAGCGTAAAGCAATGGGTCAGATATGTAACTCTCCCCAAATCACACGTAAAACGCGTTGGTCAGCAGAACGAAGGTTATAACATAGAGTATATTCTCATCATTGAAAGACAGTGCGGCATGAAAAACTTACCAGTGATCGGGATACCGCAAAAACCAAGTCGTGATTTCACATCAAGGACATCCTCAACGTGATGCTCAGGAGAGAGAACAACGGGATCGGTAATGAACCCATTCTCGTGGCGTTTGACCGCACGGACCATAGCAGCCTGTGCAGCAGGCGACTGGTTGTGATGGATCACGCCTATTCCTCCCAGAAGCTAATATGTATAGGCTCAGGATCAATAAATCTGCGCGAAACACAATGCTCTCACCGCCAAAGAAATAGCCATCTCTGCCTCCGTGACAGTGTCCATTGGGCTGCTCATAAACGGAGTCTTCAGCACGACATTGCGCGTAATTTTGCTTTCGGTGTTGACTTGACTGGCAGAGAAGTCGATTTTCCCTGGGAGCATGAGGAAGTCGTTGTAAGTGAGACCTCCGTGGACATTCGAGTCCATAAGCTGCGAAACCGAGAGCCCATCGGATTTCGGGTAGCTCTGGAGCACCCTGAAAGCGGTCGAAGGATCAAGGTAGGTCTTTGAGGCTGCTGCGGGCATGACGAAAGAATTTTGTTGGGGGGAGAGAAGAGGTTTTCAGAGGTGGGTGGGCAGATTGCCAGATTGCAAGCAAAATTTTGTCAGCCATTATAAGGCTCTGATTTCAAGCGGAGCTATAAATAGCTGTGGACCCGTACGCCCCCACTTATTGACCTCTTTTGCAATATATATTCTTGTGAGAAGATAAAATCCTACCCTTCACAAAGTATGGGTCAAACATAATGTTGCTTTTCGCTTTCTTCCTCGATGTAAATCTACAAGAGACGTGAATAACTGTCAAGCATGTGACCAACTCTCCGGGGCACGTGCCCTTTCCTCCAGACGCGTAGATTGTCCCTCGATGAACGATACTAATCCATATTTCATTTTTTTGTAATTAAGAAGTCTGCTATTGGAAGCGCACCTTTGTCTCTTGACTCTATTCTGCAGCAATGTTGAGCCCACGACAACGGAACCCAAGTCTTCGAAATGCATAAAGTGACCAACACAAACCTCAGCCACCGCTGTTGGCAGTATATAAAGCAGGACAATCGCTCGGCGGTCCTTCCCATCACGAACCTTTACGATTTCAGAACACTAACCTTGCGCCTTCATTTGAGCTCAGTTCTACGCCTCAAAAACATCACTACCGGCGGGCCTCTATCTCACCTACAGCTCTACGTAGTCCGGTCTCTGTTCCGACTTCGAAACACCATCTACATCCGCCTGCATGACTATCCGTTCCATTCCAACTAGCCGTATCCTTGCCCTTACTCAATTTTTGTTCGCCTTGATGGACCCCAATCCCTTGAAATCACCTGTGATGGACGAGGCCGCATGGATGCTCGAGAGGTTGACCCTATTGGAGACCTCTAGCGCTTTATTCCCTTCGCAAACCGCCGAGGACCTGATGCACATGAATACCGCTGGACGGCCAGATGAACACTGTACGGGGGACATGAAGGACCAAAAACGTAGACGCCGTCACGGGCGTCCTCTTTCCGCCACCGCCTCCCCGTATATCTTGCCCAGTATTCTATCCTCTGCGATTTCCACCGACGCTTGCCCGCCGACTCCAAATATCAACCCCTCGTGCTCGTTCACCCTCTCTGCGCCCCCCGACTCCATCCCCCCTCTTCTAAATATGTCCCTCCCTACGGTCTCTTCCACCGACTCGATCGCGTTGACCCCCACACACATCACCAGCGTGAAGACAACTCCGGCCCAGCTGTACGCTCTGGGTTTCGTCTCAGATACCTCAACAGAGCTTTCCACGAGCAAAACACATCTCGGTCTTGGTCTCTACAGAGAATGTGGTACTCACCTCGATGGGCTCGGCATTTTGCCTCGGCGTTCCGACGGCGCCGCACATGAGGAAGCGGACGTTCCTTCCCGCATATTTCTCGAGGAGATATATCAATCCTTCTCTAGCCCCGGGTCCTTCTCCGCTCGCTCGTTCGGTTCTTCGCGTGACTTGTCTACCACAGATGAACTCGACGATGTATTCATCGAAGGCGGTAGTCTGGGATCTTTCACACGAAACGCCATGTCTGGGAATGGCTCGAGTCCGATGAGAACGGGAAGGCCTGCCAAACGGTCCAGGGTCTGCAGCGTGGAATCGCAGATGAGGGCCTTCAAGTGGGACTATGTACGGCCGACGATAGCTAGCCGCGCGAAATCAGTAAAGGCGGAAGAAAGGGATGCGGAAGGGACAGCGAAGCCCCTATGGAGATTCTAGACAGCGGAGGAGGGGCCTTATAGCATCTTGACTGCGACGTTGAGAGGGCCGGACATGTATTTCTATTGGATGGGACTTTCTCACTAGCCCTCATGTCATCATATAGACAGAATCTATGCTGCGTGCTGTATTCCACAATGTCGTGGTATCTCATAGAACGTCCGGTAAAGTTTTAATGTTCGAAAGACTTACGGATATCGAAGATTGCGACATTGACGGTGGTGACAACAAACGTTCAACAACGTATCCTTTCTGGTACGTTCCGAATGCCTTTCCAGGGAAGCATCATGAAACCGGTGAATGGCTGTGGAACCGATCATGATATATTTGGGTATAACTATAGAGGATAAAAACTTGTGAGCAACCATGTCATAAAAGATCGTGAATACGTTATAAAGTCATGAAAATCATAATCATGAAGTCGTGAAAACGAAGACACCTGACGAAGAACTGCAAAATCAACGAACGGCCCAACGCATCTTGCTATCTCAAATGCACACCAAACTCCATAAAATCGCACCAAGGACAACCGAAAAGAATGCCAACACATGAGGAAAGGGGGCATCTATGCTGCGTTTTGCCTCATTCGTGGACGATGAGGCCGAGGCCGTCGCCGCAGCAACAGAGGACGAAGACGAGACTTCACCGTCTGTCTCGGAGACGTTTCCGAGAAGTGCGCTGGCAAGCGAGCAGACCTGTCGCATCCCGCTCACAACGGAAGGGAGGTCGGGGGTGTCGAGAACGTCCGTTTGGTTCGTCCTCTCGAAACTGCAAGGCGCCCTGGGTCAAGCCAACGAGAATATACGCAGTATGCAAGGCACTCACCAATCGGCACACTGGGGAAACACAGATTGGAACGTGTCCGTACACGCGCACTTGATCACGTCGATGAACGCTCCGGGGTTGAAGATGATCTGCCCATAACCCCAATTCTGAGATGCGAGCAGTGAATTTCGTGAAATTTTGACAAACCATGGAGACATTCGCCAACACAGGAGCGGCTTCAGCGCAGCTGCTTATACTGTCATAATTTGCAGCGCAGATTGGACATGATGCCGGACTGTCAGGAAAATAAGGCTCAGTGGTGCGAGATTGGAGTTTCTGGGTATATGGCTTCGGATATGCATGCACTGAGAACTGATATATGTTTAGGATAAAGCAGAGAGCAGCAAGGATCGTGAGGATGTGAGAAGCCATGTTCGTTAAAGTCGAATCGCCTAGAATTGCCTATGTCGTCGTGGTCGTCGGTAAAGACGATGAAGACAAGCTTCTCGGTTGTCTCTCCCGTGATCAGGTAGAGAGAAGATAAGATAAGATCTAACTCAACGATGTGGATGAGATCTACTGATCTACTCCAGTGACCAACATGACTCCAACATGGCTTCTTCGGGCGCCTCTTCACGCATATCCACCGTCTCTTGTTCCGCTACCCTTGCCCGCCCTCCACATAATCTGCAGGCTATATAGCAGAGATTGAATATGATAACAGCCCAGACTCCACTTTCTGCCAACCTAACATCGGTACCTCAAAATGAGATCTTACTACTGCTCCAAGAAATCAAATTGGAAGTTGGCTAAGTCAAGAGCCAAGTCACTATCGTGCAGGAGCAGCTCCAGGACCTGCAGCAAAAGTTTGATTCATTGTAAGTCCCATGCATAAAATTCTACACATCCCACCTTAGTAAAAGGGGACCTTCTTGTGCTTTAAGTCAAAACCTTTCGACATACCGTTTCCGCAATGCAAATCTAGCGGTAGACCAGGGTATCACCCCTGTGCCCTATGCTGATGGCTAAGTACCTCCTCGTTTTCCTGAACGCTGTAAGTACTTCGAAGCTTTGAAAGGTATGTTCCTCTTCGAGACATAATGCTCTCATAGCCTTGGTAACATTGTATGACAGTACAAGACATCATGGATTTTCTCAACTTCGCTTTGCTACTAACGAGTCGAAGACAGCTTTACATGGCAAGCTGGCAACACACATTGGTGTTCGCCTCGTTTGTGAGTGAAAGCACAATCGAAGTGATCGTATATTGATCAATTTTTTTTAGCTCCCTGATCTTCTGCTCGATGGTGGGGCTTGGCCGTCGCAAACGAGTACTAGTTCTTATTCGTTCGATCTTCTTGATATTTGCGTCTGGTCTAGTCATGTTCCACTGTGCATGTTTGCTGTTTAGTTGTACTAACAACCTCGTTTGTCATTTTTGAATCGGTCTCCTTGTCGAAGTCGTATGGTCGAATTACTGCTAAGGATGGCATGTTGCCTAGGTCGGTCCCCCGAGTGACTTTGTTGTCAAATGGAAAGGATATCTGCTCCTTCGCCATCGCGTATGTCATTGCCTCTACGCCGCATGTGTCGACAGGAGTGAAGATATCCATTTGTTCGTGCTGCACGTCAGATTGTCAAGTTCATGTTTATTTAAAAATTATATCATGCCCTTCCATTGCAATTTAGTAAGTGAGTACTGTCGCTTAGAGTTTGACAGAATCGAATTTAGAGGAAAATATGCGTCCAACTAATGAGATACATCGGAAGTATGTGTACATACTACAATAAGTGCGTCTCCGGGGCTGGCAAATATCAATACAAACAGGCTCAGAAGAAGACAAAGATAAAGAAATGTAAAGACAGAGCACAGCGAGACACATCACACCACAAAATATGGCCCTATTATAGTAAGATTAACTCTGCACGTCCTACTGTTCTGCGACCGACGAGACTTCCCTATCGTCCTTGGGAGGGCGCGAGCCAGACCTGGCTACACGCTGAAACAGCGCTGAGATCCCATGCTTCTCTGCACGGTCCTTGCTCGGGCTACGACCATCAGCCCCTTGAGAGACCGATCGCGAACGAATATTGCCTGCACCACCACGACCGGTCGACTCAAACTCGTGGGCGTGCGAGGCGTGAGGGTGTCCAGGGCCAGGGGGGACGCGCTCAATAGGTGGCGCGGTGGTCTCAGTCAGGTTCGCCACTCCGCCACGACCTGTCGAGTGCCTGGATGTGCCATGAGGCCATGAACTGTTTCGAATTCAGGAAGAGACGTACACTCCTGGGCTAACCGGATATGCGGCCCTCTCAACATCTTCGACTTGGCGGATCTCCACGTCCACGGGCTCGCCGCGCTTGATGTTGCCAACGCCACCACGTCCAGTTCCATGTACCAAGACATTGCCTGGCCCTCGAGAGCGCGAGCGCGACTTGGACACAGTGATATTCCCAAGGCCGCCCCTCCCTGACGAATACTAATTTAAGATGAACATTAGGTTAGTGTTGTAAATAAGGAGATTATCGACGAACAGCGTGATTCTCGTTTGATTCATCAATCGCACGAATACGATCGCGATCATCCGAAAGGTCTTCCCCACGAGCACGGGAGGGCGAGCGGATATTGCCAGCGCCACCTCTGCCTACAGACACAACCTTACGAGTAGAAGAAGAGTTGAGATAAATCCGCAGAGGGGGGGATCAGTGCACACCTTGTCGGTACTATTAAAGGCGTTGTTCCTCTCCCTGCCTCTTGTAGGGGAGAAATCGTCGGGACCGTCAATGGAAGTCCTGTCTACTGTCCCACGAGAGACAGATGGCTGGCGGAAGTTGCCTACCCCGCCACGGCCAGACGACGACTATGAGACGGGAAAAGATAAGACAAGCCATGCAGCGTCAGAAGAGAGCGTTCCGGCGTGGTATGCAGATTGGATCGGGGCTTGTTAATGAACGCACAAATTCGCGGCCGCGGGAAGTTGAACGATCTTTCTGTAAGCCTGATATGTCTGCCATCCGAAGTGAATGGAAAGTAAGGAGAGAGGGTGAGAGAGGGTGGTGGTAGGTGGTGGTTCAGGACGAAGAGTAAATGACCGTTAAGTTAGGCACAGGCACTCATACATTTACAGCGTACCCCGGCCACTCCCAGCTCGACCCTGGGAAAAAGGTAGGCGACTCGATCGCACTCCCGATGAAGCCCGACGACCACTCGACGACCCGGCAACAGAGAACTCGTCTGACGGAATTGTTCTTCGAGAGACTAGGAGAACTGCTGATCTGCCTCGCGAATTCTTCAATTCTGTCCGATCTGATGTCTGATCATCCGAGATGTCGTCTGTCGACTCTAATCATTCCATCATCCAATCCCTCTAAACGCTGGCTTCACAGCTAAAGACAATCGGCTCTGGAAGCCGCGGAGAGCCAGAGAGGTAAGAAGTCAGGCCTGTTTATCTGCCGTGACGCTGAATGTTGAGTCTGGTTGTTTCTGGAGGTTATGGAGTCAATTAGTCCCTCGCCCCGGTCTGGCACGTCCTCAATTCCGTCACCTCCTTGCAATGAGTATTGATACGAACCCACCTTTCTATTCTATGATAGCCTCCAGAAATCCACACAGGTTTAGCGACCCTACATAACATCTGTCAACCTATTCAACGTTTACCGATCGAGATCTTGAGCGACATATTTAAACAGACCTTACCACCCTTCGAAACTCTGTTAGACCGCTTTCTTCGTGAGGACAAATGCTCCAGGAATCCCTCACAGACAAATGCTTATATTTGCCATGCTATAGTCTTATCGAGCGTCTGCAGGTTCTGGAGAGATGTCATACTCTTACACCCAACTTTCTGGGCAGTGATTGAGACACATGAGCCGTGGTCTTCACATCTCCGGAATAGCATCGATTACTTTATTCCACGTACCCTGGATGTCCCTCTACAAATTTTGGACTACAACTGCTCAGCATGGCACGTACTTCAGTCAGAATCTCGCCGTCTGCGCCGATATCTTCTTGTTGTCGACACTGACCTGCTCGTCAATTTTTCTCCGACTCGAATCTGCGTACCTGCCTTGGAATATCTCAGCATTGCTCTTGAGGGTCATCGTCAAGATATTGATCCATTAAACCTGTTTGGGCCTGAATTTCCTGGCTTGCAGCGTCTCTTACTTCGAAATGTTCCATTATCTGCCGACATTCAAGTCATAGGTCTCACGCATCTCGCTTTATACGAATGTTACGAGCAGTTGACTAAGGAAGGTCAATTTCTGGGTCTATTGCGATCCTGTCCCTTGCTCCAATCTTTGATCATTCAACATTAGCTCCCTTATTACAGATGCTAGAATAGGCTAGAACATAAAGACGATCGTGAGGTTTGCCTCGATCATCTTTCCTAGCTGAATGTGAACTAAGATTCTATGGACAGCGTCATGTCTCTCGTATCTCATTTGACTTTCCCACTAACCACGTCTGTGATCATGACAGCTGACTGAACAATGATTCTTCTGATCAATCCTTCCACTATTTCGTCGGGTGTGCTGGATTTTGGTGACAAGTCTACTCTCCTCCTGATCAGGGATCCCCCATCCACCAGCCATGATTACACTGGAGAGGAAGAGCCTGTCTTGATCTCAGCGTACAACGAAGGCGATGCTACCGGATTCATGTTATTTTGTTATGATCGCCTCCCAGAATACGATCCACCGTCCACCGAGATCCCACCCAGTTTTGCATCCATCATTTTCATGCTCAATCCCGCGCACGTGGAAAATGTTTTCCTCGGCGAATCTCCACATTTGAATTCCCCCACTCTGGCTCGTATGTTCCAGATGATACCCTCGGTCGAAATGTTTTCGTTTCATTGCTACGATTATATAGAATGTCTTAGATCTATATGGGAGGTTGAGGTTAATCAGTCTTTAGTGACCGTTCGGATCGTGTACGATCATTGTACACCATATGGATGAAATCTGCCGGATCAGTATTTTATGAGCAGTCTAGGTGCAATGGTCACTCACCGAGCTAGAAGCGGCCGGCGATTAAAGGCGATCTGCTTTGATATTGTCCAGGCGCCGGATTCCAAGCAGGGTGGTAAACTACGGGAGGAGCACACAATATTTCTGAATCGATACAATAGGTTCCGCCGCAAAATCAATGTTTTGGAGACACAGTATCACAGCTCAAAGTGGTTAGGCGATGCAGGGTTGCACGCTGAATACGAATACGCTTCATGGGTCCGCGACTGTGATCTTGGTACGTAGCGATTGCTTTTCTATGCTGCTTGAGTTATACATGGTCTTAAATAATTCTTTCTGATCAGTTACTTGACGTGCACTTGAGGGGAGGCGAACATTGCCCCGGTGAGATCATTCTTCCGAGTTTCTGCACGGAAATGGTGCTGACCGCCCTTGCTCGGCTTATTCTGCTGAGCGGTATCCATCTTTGTGCTGATGTACTTAAAAAAAAAAAAATAGAAGCATTCTTGGTTCCGTCCGGGAAAGATAGATATACTGATGATGCACGATGATTGCGTTGAGTGCAGGGGGAATAATGCTTCAAGCTTCAGCATAAGAGTGCTATATACGCGACCAGTCCGGCCAGGCCGCATGGACGCAAGGCATGCAGGTCGGCGTCCAGTCAGACGCGCTGTACATTGCAAATCCAACGCTCGACGCAAGGCTGAACCTCAACATTCAAAGTCCAACGTCTCAAAACTACCTCGAGCGCTGTGCTAAGCTTTTCCCTCCGCACCTTTGATCTTCGACAGCTTCTCCAACCCAAACATTCTGCTGACTATGCCATCCTGCGTATCAAAATAACGATACACGACTGAACGTCCATTCAAGAGGATGGGAGGGGAGGGCACGCACAAATCCTCTGCGGCCTATGAACGTGCTGATGATCTAGATAGCCTACGCGTTGTTCGCCGTGTAGACCCATGCATTAAGGTTGTTCTCCAATGCCTTGCCTACTATAAGTTTCGTGAAATGGCCGGTTGGCGTGGCACTATCTAAACATAGTGCGGAAACGTTTCAGTCACGCCTTCCGCCTCTGACAGGATTTTTGTCTTGATCGTTTATGTCCATTAGCCACACCTTGCAAATGCTCTGTGCGTTCTCAGAGAGATTCCTTGTGAATAGGCTGACATATCGAATTTGAATTTTTAGGAATGTATGTGCGACCTTCATGATGTTGCTCTCGACATTTACCGCTGCGAGATGTTTGGTGCAAATAATCAGACATACGGTGTAGTAAAGGATATTGATACGCACGTTCATCACATTGAGACAGTCACGGACGTCGCAAAAAATACGCTGTAAGTAATTGTCAGGACTCAGTTCGGGAGCCACGATCGCGAAGATGTACCCAAACGGTGCGAGTTCCAGGCGCAGTGTGTCCACAAACGAGAGACCTTCCACTACCTCCAACCCTCGTTGATGTCGACCGCGTCCTATTGCTCCCAGTGCTCATCTGTTGACGTCAACGGCGCAGGCGCGCACGCCGGCCGCGCCGGTGCCGAGCCAAGGTGATTTTGCGCCCAACGTCGACGTCACGTCGCTTGAGCGCAACGTCGCAGACCTGTTTACCAGCTTCGTGTTCCCTTCTGCAGCTGGATCTGCGTCTGGTGTGACCTTGGATGGTGACGGTGATGACGTGTCCGCCGTTGCAGGCTGATGAAAGCGAAAAGGACGATGGGACCGGCGAACTGCCGATGCTCCCGGGAACGTACCGCGCGCTATACTGTAGCTTAAGCCAGAGGACACGGGCTCATAACGACAGGTCTTTCTCATTTACACATATATTTCTTGGCCGTCCTCGCAGGTGTTGGAAAACGAGTGCTGAGAGCGGAGGTTAAAATAGTAAGCAACCGAATCGGAGGCAGCGCCATAACAGCGGGCTCGCTTCACCTTGTCCTCCAACACCCACCACTGTCGAGTGGCGCGATTGGCCTCACCGTTATTTCTCGACGACATCTCGCGTACGATATCTATAATACATTATGTATCTATACACGCAACAAATCATCGATCTCTTTCCTCTCTGTGTCTGTTTCGAGTTACTCGCCCCCTCCAAGTTTGCCATCGTCGCCAGGAAAGAGATGCTGTATGTTCCTCAACAATATTCTTACTTCTAATGAGTACACGACATGTCATCAACATCATATTATCTTTGACCAAATAAGAAACGAGTCCTGTGATTTTTGAACGTGGGAAAGGGGGTCGAATGGTTCAAGAGCTGTGATGAGAGGAAAGCATCGTCTACCGGTTAGTAACGTCATTCATATTCTAATTGAATGTCTACGCGGATGAAGTCGCTGAGAGCTCTTTGACAGAGGGAGGGATTGACTCAGGCGGCTCAGATTGCCACAATGGTTGCCTTGGAAGGCGTGGCATCGTTTCCCAAAGACACGACGCTGCTGCGTCTGATAACCAAGCATTCCCCTGCGAGGAGACGTCCAGCAATTTTACGAGCAACGTACCAACAGAAAGTTAGAGAATGCATTCAAATCCGTTGAATTCGCGCGTGAAATAAGAATCGCACAAAGCCCGGACATTGTTTGCGTGATGCCATTGTTCAAGGCTTCAATGAATAAATATATCGATGCCACCGGAAGATCCCTCTGAATTTCGCGTTGTTACAGGCAGTGAGAAATTTCGATTCCAGATAGAAAGTGAAAATTGTGAAGGAAATAATAAGGACCTGAGAGGAAGAAAGCGGTAGGAAGATTGGAGGGCAATGGGAGGGGAATACGGCCGGTGATACGCACTGAAAGGGTATACAGGAGCATGTTAACCATCGCGCTCGCTTTATCGATGGAATGATGCAGATCACAGAAGGGACCCTCTGACAAAAGCGAGGATACGTCCGTCGACTCATGAAGCAAAATATGCGGGTGTTTTCCCGCCTGGTGAGGGCTCGGGATAATTCGACGAAACGGGCAATGACCCGGCTATCGATCAGGTGCTGAACAAGGCGAAGGCACAGCCTGGCCGTCTTGAAGGCGGGGATAAACATTGTTCGCATACACAAAGTAGACACCTGCGAGTCCGAGCCCAACAGCATCCTGGTGACAAAACATTTCACCAGGCGGTGCGCAGCCCCGATAACTTCGTGACCAATAGCACATAATTACCACTCGAATACGACAACAATGAACCTTAAAATCGGTTCTGCGCATCTATTCCATGTTTCTGATCGTGATAGTCGGCTCGCCTGCCCTCTCACACGCCGTCAAGCCCGAGAGAGCACGATCGCTTGCCAGGATGGTGTGCTGCAACGACGATTTCGATTGTGAGAGAGAAAATTGGGGGGAAATGACGCGGAAGAACGTGCCTTCGCGTACCTGCGAACAGAATGCGACGCGCGCATCACAATGGTTCCCATAAGCGGCTAGAATATTCGAAGTTCGAAGGCGAGTGATCTTCCATAATGGCCTTCACGATGGCACGATCCCTAAAATCAAGCGCCCTGATGCACCTACAACTTTGAGACTCGAGGCCTGATGGAAACAGATGACACGGGATCTGTACAAGAAAGCGGCACAAAACAATGGGGAAAAGTCCCATGTATGACAGATAGTAGGATATAGACAGGAGAGAAAACGCGTCTGGAGAAGAGAACCGAGCGAAGGGAAACCGACTAATGACTGTGTTGACTGCTATGTTCGAGCACCGAACGACGGTGTAAGCGGGCAACCGCGACGTGGGTAAAATCCATCGTTGTCTTTGCTTTGTCCCGAAGGCTTCGCCCCCGTCATCAGAAGACCTACACTATCCCGACTCCATCAAGACGCAAAATGATAACAGGTAGCGCGTCCCAGAAATTCCTGGTGGAGCGTGGACACGAGGCAGAAATTTGTTTCCAGCACTCGGCGCTGGCAGTCGGGCCCATTTCGTAATAGACACAGGACAGCCTTTCCTGCCTTCGAACAATGATGGCCCCACAACACTGGGTCCGAACTCAATTTCGATAGGCGAGAGAGTGCGACCACGCGGCACCAAAAAACAAGGCATGATCGTCGGACCATGGAATTGTTCGAGAAGTCGGCTAGCGTTCGCCCCGAGGGCAGTAGTATATCTGGATGACTCGATGAGAGGAGGAGCCCAACCATCGACCGCCCATCCGAGCGTCACTAGTCAAACTACCTACCACTTAAAACTTTCCATAACCCGAAGCCATGCCGCACAACATATACGGCTGGCCTTCCTGGACACAGGAAGATCTTTCAAGTGTGTACATTTCCTTCGAGGCCTTGGAGTTTACTGAAACGACTGGCACACAGCTCCTGGTGCGGGACCCTCAGGGTACCGATCCAACAACGGTGAGCAAGAGCTCAATGTCATTCTGAAAGTAAGTGTCCTTTCGTTCTGACACGTTGACGGCGCCACTCACGAGCCACTCCCCTGTACTGTCAGGGCGCGCATGTCGCGCGTAGCCGTGGGGGACTCCAGGTCCCCCAAAACAGGGCTGGCTATAGCCAGTCCTCTGAACCGTGCACGCGCGCATGGTCGCATCACGCGGGCCCGCGGTTTTCAGTCGGGTCGGCCCACCTAGCCCCCTCCTTCATCACTCCTCCTTTCCCTTTGCCCGCCCCCTCGTTCGCCACTCCCCCTTTCCCTCGTCCTGCCACCATCACAGTCGCCCCGCCTCCATGGGCCTCCACCCAGACGTCGGTGCCAGCCACTCATCGCTGGGTGCCGCATGTGCCGGCATCGACGGCCACACCCGTGCCGTTCAAGCCCGCATCAAGAGGGGTTCCGTACCCCGCCACCCCCGCCACCCCCGCCACCCCCACCGCACCCATCATCGAGGCGCGAATCGAACCGCGGTGGGACCCATCGGTCTTCCGGCGGGAGACGAGGAAGCGACGGAGGGACGGAGAGGAGCAGACACCGCTGAAGAGGGCAAGGGTGGAGGAAGGGCTAGGAGAGGTGGTTGCCGAGGCGAGTGTATTGAGGGAGACGGTGGATGAGATAGGGAACGGGATGGTGACGGCAAGGGAGGTCAGGGGCAGAGCGGTGAGAAAGGGAAGCGAGGGGAGCAAGGGGGCTTGGCCTTTGGAGAGCGGGTTCAAGCGCATCGTGCCGGGGCCTGCTCCAGGGCCGGTCGAAGCAGTTGGAGGGCTGCACCCGAGACTTGTGGTTGTTCCACAGGTCGATGGAAACGCCCCCAACCAGAACAACAGTAGATCAACAACGTCCACCCACAGGGTGGACAACCCAACAGGTGAGTTCGTCATCGAGCCTGTACCGCTGTCTAGCGGAGGGCCTTCAACATCGATGCCTGCGGACGACCAGGAAGAGGCCGACGAGCCTCAAGATGAGGAAGATCACGACGAGGGCCAGCACCAGCTCGGAGACGAGACTAGTCTCAGTGCCAGTAAGCGCGAGGCCGCTGTCGTCATCGACGAAAAGATCTACGGCAGGGACCCACTGCGCTGCCTCGCGTGCAACAACATGTCGTTCGCACGCAAGTACGATCGCAGGCGGCACATAGTCACCATCCACTACCTCAAGAAGGTCCCCTGCGACTGGTGCGGCATCTTCTTCTACGCACGCCGCGACGGGGTCACTCGTCACAAGGACGAGAATTGCCCAGCGAGGGACTTCGAGGATCGTCACACCAACCCAATGAGGTGGTTCATGGCCTGGCTGAGTGGACCCTCGGGGTGGCGGTAGGAATAGAGGTGCGGCGGGATCGTTGGCGATGGTGAGCTGAAGCCGGAGGTACGCACCACGGTTTCTTGCCCTCTCTCGCATTCGTTTCCTTCTCTTTTGTTCTGCGCCTGTCCCTATGCTTTCGCGCCCCACACGACTTCCGAATCGTCATCATCGATCGCACATTCGCCCTTGCCTTCCCTTTCACGGCATTCGTGCTGATTTCTTGCTTTGGTCTCGGATCGATGAGGGTGCAGGAGTGTGTCCGATGGAGCTGACGACATTGTCGATAGGAATACTCAATCTGGACCTTGTCTGTGTCGTCGTCGTCTTCGTCGTCGTCCACCTGCTCGGACCTGGTGGACTGGAGTGAGTGTCTGGATCGTGTTTCACGCGGTCCGCCAATGTCTTCGTGATCGCGCTTTACCAGTTGCTCCGCGTGAGCGCCAGCACGGCGTGAAGGACAGAAATTTTCCTCACCTGCATTTCTCATCTTTTCATGATGTTTCCGAAATTGCATTCCGTCTATCCTACATCTTGTCTATCTTGATTGCCAAAGACATCTATTTTCCCTCCTTTTGACACACTGGCTCCCATACTTCCTCTGTGTGAACTGGACAAAATTGAGCTGTGCTTCGCATCATTTGCGTTGAAAACCTCCTTCGGCAGAGAATCTGAGAAAACGAGACCGACCCGTATACGTGCGCGAGTTTGGACGATGAGTTCCGGTCAAGCCCGAGCTGATTTTGGGCCGGGCGATCCGCGCTGCGCCGGCGCGTCTATACCTAGTACCTACGATCGTCATGACAGAAATCTGTAAGAGTTCACAGCACTCTTTGACACTGTTCAGTAACCATCCCAGAGCTTGATGATGGAAGGTTATATGCTGCACGCGAAAGAGGTCTATGTGCTCACTAACGTCTGGAACTATACCAGGATTTCTGTAGCGGGGACGCACAACGACAGTACATGGCCGTCATATGACATATATATCCATCCACAACCTTGATTGGTCGCTCGTCAAGACCTTCAGGCTCTCAGACGATGCGGAAATATGTTCGATGGCTATACATAGCTTGCCCGCAATCACTCAGACTTCTTGCTACAAGAATATCACACAATGATGATACATCGCGCGAGCATCAGGGAAAAGCTCCACATCAAATTAACCATAGTTAAGCATAAATATAGCTAGATTTTTTCTAATTACCATCAAGGATTTTGAGCTTACCCCCAATCTAATCCTGAAATTATAGGGTCTAATTAGAGCTAATTAAAGCTAATTCATCATATGATCTTTGGAAAAATAGCAACCAACCAAGTCCTATGATTCCTCTAATATTACTACACTTTTAATTATAGAGCTTACTAATCAAACTAAAGTCACACCTTATAATAAACTTGTCCATTACCAGAATTAAACCAACAACCTCATGCCTGCATACCCCAGACTAGTGCTCTAAACCACTAAGCTACAAGGTCTAAGTGACTTATGCAGTAACCTAAATATGATGATATAAATAAGGCAATCTCAATATTTCTAATTTTATTACATATTTATCTTTTATCTATTCTATATATAAAGAGGTCAATAAATGCCCTCGAAATTAGGGCTTTTGATACTTGAATATAGGTACTAGACAATAAGATATTAAACCAATAGAAAAAAAATAATATACTAAAAATAAAATAGTAGTACTCACGCCATTTGGATTTGAGATATGTAAAATTGTAATTAGATTATAGATTTCAATAGGACTGTATTAGTATAGACAATATCCCCTTACTTGCAAATTTGGCCATAAAGTTGATTATGGATAATATATTCTAATTAGCTCAGATTCACATTTTGAATAATTAGATCTAATTAAGAGAGGAAGTTTTTATAAATGAAGATGAGATCCACATCTGTCTGTTAGTGAATATGATGCACAGGTTAGGTCATTTACAAGGCATCTGGATTGTCTGGTATGTCCCATCTCAAACACCAAGAAACTTTGTAAGTGAGGTTTTGCTTTCCAAACTAAGTGTTCTGCTCATTGCTAGGACTGGGACACCAACAAGGATATATGTAATGATATAGTTGATCTGACCATAGGCATTGTGGAAGTCTGTGGCCCATAGAAGGACAATATGTGCCTTGTCAACCACATATCTTCCTGAAGTGGTCACTTTGTACAATCCTCTCAAATTCTGGTGAGTTCAACCATTCTAGAGAAACAATGATAACTGACCACTTCCCCAGTTCAACCTCTTTTAATAAGTTTCTGCCTTTCCGGTATGCCCCCCTCACTATCTCCTTGTCTAGCGAGACTGCTCTAACCCCCATCCTAAACATCTCATCCACCTCCTCACCCATCAGACTAGCAATCTCTGCTGTTAAATTTAGAACTCACCTAACATAGCCTGACATTAACCAGGAGGGTGACCATCAAGACCATGGCATTCGATGGCATGCTTCTTGCAAAAGGAGGCAAAGATTCCAAAGCCTTCTTTGATAAATGGAAGGCCAAGATTAGATGTAAGTCTGTGACTGCCATTTTGCCTTTGCCATAGGCAGCAATAATGAGTGGATTATTTCCTTCTAGGATATTGGCAGTGCTGTGAACCTGCTAGTTGTGGGGTCCATTTGGCCAAGGTAAAAGAGTGCTTAGAGTTTCTTTAATGTAGAAAATACCCTCAGGGGATTTCCAACCATTGAGAGAGGGATAAAATATGTGGAAACAGCTGTATTTTCCGGCCCCTAAGTCTCCTAACAAATACGAGACAAATCACGTGGGCATACTTAAGTCGGAGACAGAATTCTCAGTGTCTTCGCCCTGCCGTCTCCTGCCGACCTTCCCAATAAGGCAGGTCGCTGGACTCCGCGCCAAAGCATCAAATTTGGATGCAGACTACGTCTATCTCAGCTCTATTTCCTCTCTGCCCGTCCCCTCTCCATCCCACGAGCTTGCAGCCTCCTACATCTCTCCGCAACAGCTCGAAAGATCTGCTCGCTACCCAGGCGCATCTTTTGCCGCGACGACAATCTACGACAGGCATGTCGCAACAGCACCCGCGACGGGTCGATTGGCAAGCCTTCTACAATGTAGTCGGCGCCAGGGCGCTGTCTTCAACACCAGCATGAACACCGCTCCCGTAGATTACACATCGACGCATTGTTGACGCCTACTCCGACGAGTGCAACCTTCTCAGCTCCCGCGACCACGATAATGGCAGTGAATACGACCACGACCTTCCCCTTGCCGTCCTGACTTCCACGATATTCACACTCAACATAACAATGCTCACAGCTGGGTCGCCTGCCACGCCCTCGCACCTCTCCTATGCACCACCTTTCCCATGCACACCGCGCCTTCCGCACGTCCAAGCGCCCCGCCTCGCCCTCGCCCTCGCCCTCGCCCTCCACCATCTACTACACGTCCGCTGCAGCATTGACCAGCTCCTCCTACCCGGCATCCACCGCCACGCACCATATTTAATTCGCTGTCGCTTGCGTCCTCGGTTGGCCCCTCCATCAACTTGGACGCCGCCGCGGCAACCGACGATACCTCGCTCAACCCTCTCACTCTGATGCCGATGATAGCCCTGGCGCTCTTCACGCTCTCCATTCTCACCGCGTCACCTACCTCAACATTCGCGTCTTCGCACAGGTAATGCCTAGCGCAGCCGCGGCGGTGGTCACTGCTCGTCAAGATCCGCGACTTTGTGTTCCCCTCGGCCGACGTGCTGCTGATCTATACACCATCCTTGCATTTCTTTCTGCACCTGCGTCTGGGTCTGGCGCGACCTTGGACGACGACGGCGATGACACATCCACTGCTACTGAGAAAGACGAAAAGAACGATAAAATGGGGAAATTTTTGCTCGAGGATGGCTGCTGCTGCCGGGAACCTACAACGGAATGTAGTTCGCGCCAGAGGACATGGATTATACCCACAAGGCCTGCTCAACTGAATGTGTATTTTTTTTAATGTTCTCGCAGGGTATGAGACTTAGCGTCCCGACGCGTCTTCGCTCAGCGTTAACAGAGGGTTCTGAGAGCGGAAGTTGAAATAGTGAGCAAGCAGCGCCATAGCAGCGGGCCCACTTCAACTTGTCCTCTAACACCCACCACCGTCGAGTGGCGCGGTTGGCCTCACCGTTCCATCTCAACGACAACTTGTATCTTGTATACGACATCTATGATCCATTAAATATCGGTGTCCGTCACAAATCACCGATTCCTACACTCTCTGTGTTTGTTTTGAAGCACTCACCGCCTCCAACTTTGCCACAGTCGCCTTTCACTACGGAAAAGAGACATGCTCTATATTCCTTAACTTATTCCCACTCTGACGAGTACAAGACATCTTGTCAACGTAGTATACTCATCGAAAACATTCGAGACCACTCTTGCTATTCTATCATGTGGTAATAAGGAAATGTCGGTCTAGTGGTTCAAAAGGAGCTGAGGAGCATGTCGTCCATTGGTCCGTTATCCGTTATATTGTTCTTCTTCTGACTATATGTCTTCCTCGATGAAACGGCTAAGGAATCTTCAACAGAGGCTCAGAAATTGCCTTGTAAGGTCAAGCATTTTTTCCCGAACACAATTTTATTACACTGCTCTCGAGCTCAAGAGCAACGAGTCCTGTACGAAACGCGCTCTTCCCATTGAGGAGTCTTCCAGTGATCCCATGAATAATGCCATGATGGCAAGCTCTCTCCCGAAGCCTTGCTGCATAGATCGCGCCTGAAATCAGAATGGAAAAGGTGTTATCATGTTGTAGATTGAATATAGACATGTAGCTTTGCCAGTGGTAACCGCAGACATCCAGTTCTGACTTCGACCGGGGAGTGATGGACTTAGGTGAGATACGAATAACTTCAGTATAACAAAAACAGAACCAGAAAGCCAGTGAGATTGTGAATATTAGAGAGGACCAGGAGTGGGAGGAGGCATACAGTATACCAACTGGGTCGGCGGTACGTATCAACAAGCATGCTCCAGAATCTTTGCCATCGCCTCGCTTGATCGATGGAATGATGACGATCACCAAAGGAATCCTTCGACGTCGTCGACTCATACAGCAAACATGACGAGGGCTCGATATGAGACGGGAGATGACCCGGCTATCGATCGGGTGTCGAAGTGAGGCGAGGACACAGACTGGTTGTGTAGAAGGCGGAGGTTGATATTGTGTGCAGATGCAAGGTAGACACCTGCGAGTCCAAGCTCAATAGCACCCTAGTGACGAAACATCTCACTAGGCGGCGTGTAGCTCCGACAACTTCATGACCAATCGCACATAAGTAAAAGGGGGGCCCATATTCAACATTGCCACTTGAATCCGACAACAATGGACCCCAAATCCGGCTCTGCGCATCCACTCCATGTTACTCATAGTGATAGTCAGCTCGCCTGCCCTCTCACGCACCATCAAGCCCGAAAGAGCACACCTGGCCAAGACGCTGTGCTGCAACCACGATTTGTGAGAGAGGAAAAGGGGATAAAAATGACGCGGAGAAACGTGCCTTGGCGTACCTGCGAACGGAATAGGACACGCGCATCACAATGGATCCCATAAGCGGCTAGAATATTCGAAGTTCGGAGGCGAATGATCTTCCATAATCCCCTTCGATGGCACGATTCCCAAAATCAAGCGCACTGATGCGCCTACAACTTTGAGACACGAGGCCTAATTTGAACTGGCGACACACAGGATCTGCACGAGAAAGCATAAAACAATGGTGAAAAGTCCCATGCATGACACATAACATATGAACAGGAAAGAAAATGCGTCTGGAGAAGAAACCCGAACGAGGGAAAACCGACTGGTGACTGTGTTGACCGCTATGGTCGAGCACCGATCGACGGTGTAAGCGGGCAACCGCGACGTGGGTAAATTCCTCGTCATCCTTGCTTTGTTCCGAAGCCCTCGCCCCCGCCATGAAGCCACTTGCACCATCCCGACTCCATCAAGGTTCAGATGCAAAACGATACCAAGTAACGCACCCCAGAAACACAGACGTATATGCTCAGTTGAACACGCTCCCCTCGTGAAGGGTGAACATGAGGCAGAAATTTGTTTCAGCACTCGGCGCTGGCAGTGCCCATTTCGTAATAGACATAGGATAGCCCTTTCCCACCTTCGAACAATGACGGCACCACATTTCTGGTTCAGAACTCGATGTCAATAGGCGAGAAAATACGGCTATGCGGCATCAAAGAACAAGGCATGATCGTCGGACCATGGAATGGTTCGAGAAGTCGGCTAGCGTTCGCCCCGAGGGCAGTAGTATATCTGGATGACTTGATGAGAGGAGCCTAACCATCGACCGCCCATCCGAGCTTCACCAGTCGACCTACCTACCACTGAAAACCTTCCACAAGCATCCGTAGCACGAAGCCATGTCGCACGGCATACACGGCTGGCCGTCCTGGATGCAGGAAGAACTTGCGAGTGCGTAGATGTCCTTCAGGGCCTTGAGTTTTACCAGAACAACCTTCATACAGCTCCTGGCGCGGGATCCTCAGGGTCCCAATACACTGATGATGAGCAAGAGCTCATTATTATGACGGAAGTACGTTTCCTTTCGGTCTGACACGTCGGCGGTGCCACTCACGAGCCGTTCCTCTGTGCTGCCAGGGCGCGCATATCGCACGGAGCCGTGGGGGACTACAGGTCCCTCAACACATGGCTGGCTACAGCCAGCCCTATGAGCGCCTGCGCTCCAGATTGCATGAGGCGGGCTCGCACTTCCCCGCCATGTCCACCAACCCCGCCCCCTCCTCCGTCTCTCTCTCGTTTTCCATTTCCGCTCCAATCCCCGTGGTCCCATCTGACTGGGGATACGCCTCGACGCCAGTGCTGGCACCTCATCGCTGGGTACCGTATGCATCCGCACCAACGCCCATGCCTGTCCTTGACACACTGACGTGGCCGCACAGCCCCACTCCAGGGAAACGCACGTCCCCCGCTGCACCCGCCGCACCTCCCGCCGCCAACCCTGCTGCGCCGGCCACCATCGCACCCGCCACCCCGACCACACCTACCACCCCCATCGCTTCCGGCCTGTACATCGCCCCCGACGCCATTTCAATGGCGCGCGCCATGCCAGCGGACGCGCGACGGTCGACCTACCCATCATTGGAAGGCGCCGTGAGGCCCTTCAAGGGTCCTTGGGTGGATATGGCGCGCACCGCCATCGAGGCGCGACTCGACCCGCGGTGGGACTCATGGGTCTTCCGGCGGGAGACGAGGAAGCGACGGGCGGACGCAGAGGGGCAGCCGCAGTCAAAGAGGGTGAGGATAGAAGAACGGCTGGGGGAGGTGATGTCCGAGGCGAGTTTGGTGAGGGACATGAGTGCGGATGAGGGAGGGAGTGGGAAGGTGATGGAGATGGAGATCGGGGGCGGAGCGCCGGGGAGCGAGATGAGCGAGGAGACTTGGCCTTTGGAGAGCGGGTTCAGGCGCATTGCGCCGAAGCCTGCCCCGGGGTCAGTCAAGGCAGCTGGAGGGCTGCGCCCAATGCCTGTGGTCATTCTACAGGTCCACGACAACGCCCTCCACGCGAACAACAGTAGATCAACAACGTCCACCCACAGGGTGGACAACCCCACAGGTGAGTTCGTCATCGAGCCTGTACCGCTGTCTAGCGGAGGGCCTTCAACATCGATGCCTGCGGACGACCAGGAAGAGGCCGACGAGCCTCAAGATGAGGAAGATCACGACGAGGGCCAGCACCAGACTAGTCTCAGTGCCAGTGAGCGCGAGGCCGCTGTCGTCATCGACGAAAAGATCTACGGCAGGGACCCACTGCGCTGCCTCGCGTGCAACAACATGTCGTTCGCACGCAAGTACGATCGCAGGCGGCACATAGTCACCATCCACTACCTCAAGAAGGTCCCCTGCGACTGGTGCGGCATCTTCTTCTACGCACGCCGCGACGGGGTCACTCGTCACAAGGACGAGAATTGCCCAGCGAGGGACTTCGAGGATCGTCACACCAACCCAATGAGGTGGTTCATGGCCTGGCTGAGTGGACCCTCGGGGTGGCGGTAGGAATAGAGGTGCGGCGGGATCGTTGGCGATGGTGAGCTGAAGCCGGAGGTACGCACCACGGTTTCTTGCCCTCTCTCGCATTCGTTTCCTTCTCTTTTGTTCTGCGCCTGTCCCTATGCTTTCGCGCCCCACACGACTTCCGAATCGTCATCATCGATCGCACATTCGCCCTTGCCTTCCCTTTCACGGCATTCGTGCTGATTTCTTGCTTTGGTCTCGGATCGATGAGGGTGCAGGAGTGTGTCCGATGGAGCTGACGACATTGTCGATAGGAATACTCAATCTGGACCTTGTCTGTGTCGTCGTCGTCTTCGTCGTCGTCCACCTGCTCGGACCTGGTGGACTGGAGTGAGTGTCTGGATCGTGTTTCACGCGGTCCGCCAATGTCTTCGTGATCGCGCTTTACCAGTTGCTCCGCGTGAGCGCCAGCACGGCGTGAAGGACAGAAATTTTCCTCACCTGCATTTCTCATCTTTTCATGATGTTTCCGAAATTGCATTCCGTCTATCCTACATCTTGTCTATCTTGATTGCCAAAGACATCTATTTTCCCTCCTTTTGACACACTGGCTCCCATACTTCCTCTGTGTGAACTGGACAAAATTGAGCTGTGCTTCGCATCATTTGCGTTGAAAACCTCCTTCGGCAGAGAATCTGAGAAAACGAGACCGACCCGTATACGTGCGCGAGTTTGGACGATGAGTTCCGGTCAAGCCCGAGCTGATTTTGGGCCGGGCGATCCGCGCTGCGCCGGCGCGTCTATACCTAGTACCTACGATCGTCATGACGGAAATCTGTAAGAGTTCACAGCACTCTTTGACACTGTTCAGTAACCATCTCAGAGTTTGACGATGGAAAGTTACATGCTGCACGCGAAAGAGGTCTATGTGCTCACGGACGTCCGGAACTATGCTAGGATTTCTGGAGTGGGGACGCACAACGACGGTACATGGCCGTCATATATGTCCATCCACAACCTTAATTGGTCGTTCGTGAAGACCCTCAGGCTCTCAGACGATGCGGAAATATGTTCGATGGCTATACATAGCTTGCCCGCAATCACTCAGACTTCTTGCTACAAGAATATCACACAATGATAGTACATTGTGTGGGAGCGGGAGCCGAACGGTCGAATGAACTCTGACACGATGATAGAGCTCTCATATACGAAGTGTGCATCTTTCCATGGTTCTCGGACCATTTACTCTTGACGCCCTTCCAAACCATGCTGATCTTGATGCCCAACACCCTAACTAGGTCACTTCTTCAAGTTCTCTAATTCACACCCTCTTGGCAATACGACAGTGCACATGCAACAGGTATAAAACATTCATTGACATCCTGATTGGAGACCTGCTCTATTCGTTTGCATTCAGATCTGAACATACACGTCATAATTTCTCTCTTTTCGTGCGATGACTTCTCTAAGGGGATAATAGACAAGGCAGGCCCTCTCCTGGTTCAAAATTCGGAAGATTTCTTCAAAATGCGATCTATTTATTTGTAAGTACATCCTTTAAACAAGATGGTTGACGAGCCACATGTCTGAGTCTACGCAGAACGTCTTCGGTCATAGATTCCAGGCCAGCTCCGTCGCTGCTGTGCGCACATCAGGAAAAGAGCAAATTACTTTTCCGAACTTACAGGGCTTGTACAAGACTGTAAGTCTCGAAAAGTGGCCAAAAGCTTCCCAGAGAGTCCTACTTACCTAGGTAGATTGCCCTCTTAGAAAAGTGCTCTAAGTCAATAAAAGTCGCTTTTTTACCTGTATTAAGATGACGGTCTTAGAAAAGTGCCTTGAGTTTCCGGACCTGTGTCAAGTGTTCAGTCGTAGGTAAGGTGTACAAGATGCTTACGACTCACAAGTATCGGACTGTGAATTTCGAAGGTAGAAACAATTGACAGAATATTCATTGCCCAATATACATGAAACGTTACAATAGACAGTACACGGGCACGGCGAGAAGACAATATGTAACAACATCGGAGGGTTGCATTGACCCAGGTATCTCGCGCTAAACCTCGTCCTCATCGATCCACTCGTCCTCAACGATCTCGTCGACATCATTGGCTTCGATCTTCCCATCCTCGTCCTCGTCATCAAACTCCTCCATCCCGTCTTCGACCTCTCCGATTGACCCAACACCATCGTCGCTAGCGTCTCCCTCGCTGTTGCTGTTGCTGTTGTCGTCGTCCTGGATCGTGTCAATGATCGCTGCACGAACGGAAGGGACATATGCGCCGTCTTCAACGGCCTGGATGATTGCATTCCCCTTCCGGGACTGTTTGTACTTGGCCGCGCGCGCGAGGATCCTGTTCCAGCCGGGAGGTTCGAGCTGCTGGATTGACGATGAATAGTCTAACGTGGAATCACCCCAATTCTCCTCCGAGAAACTTGAATCACCCCTCCTTTTGTGTTTGACCCGATTCCCAGTGGCCCACATCCTGAATTCACGCTCGCCCTGTGATATTCAGTTTAAACCATGTTCATGATAGTCAGTGTACGACGTACTGCAGCGGCCGCGAGGGATAATGCCCCAATGGGCGGTTCTAAACATTTGAACTCTTTCCCCAGGCTTGCGGTAGCGGATAGGTGATATGCAAATATTCGGCAGATCCACGGTGATTCAAAGGCTCCCTTAGTTTTCTAAAATCAGGTGTCAATAGTGAGATTTAGAGGTCATACACGGACATACCACATTGAGAGGATCAGTATCATCGACAAAGTTCCATAGGAAAGGGATCTTCCTGTCGGGAGCGACTGCCCACCTCGCATACTCGGCTCTCTCGCCACTCTCGTCAAAGGTTTGCTCACCATTCCAAAAAGCGCCATCGCCGTACTTGTCGTTGAGGTCACGGTAGGCTGGATCGCCGTTCCAGAACGATTTGACGGCTTGCAGCGCGGCAATTGTGAACCCGTTGCGCCATTCGTAGATGCGTTGCATAGCCTACACAATTAGAGATCAGTGTAGGATGAAAATTGAGAAGAAAACCTACCAGACAGTACACAGCCTCAGTGGGTGCGACTGTGTGAGGGACATGTGGGAATACAGTGTCCCAAAGCTGTTGAAGCTGGCTGATCATGCTTGATACGTCCCACGGGTTTTCAAATGTGCCCACAAAGTCGCGCCAGGATGGAACGAAGACACGTCGCCAGCGTGCCTGGGTTCCAGCAGGCAGATCGTCCGTCGTAAACCCAATGGAGCGCCCGGCCTTGGGATGATTGTGCGGCTGCGACAGCTGAGGTGATTGATCAGTGTCAGGGAGGTGGTAATGGACTTTGACACCCGCAGGCTTTGAAGGTCAATCAGCCATTTTGTGCAGGAAAATAGAAAGGAAATGAAAACACACCGTGTGGTGAGGAAGAATCTTGAATTCCTCGATGCTATCTTCGTCATTACGGAGATCAGCTGGCATCTCTGCGTTACGATTGACGTTGTGCATCTGCGAGGCTTGCGTGTGCCCATGCCCAGGGGAGATGCGAATGTCACGATTCTAAAATTGAAACGTGAGTAGTCTAGAGGGATTGTAAGCAAGACCATACCTCAAGATGGTGATCCTTCTCTCTGTTCAAAGACTCCCTGTTGCGCTGCTTGGCCATGATTGGGAGAACCGCGGCGCCTTCAATGCTTTCATCTTCATCTTCGAGGCCACCATAGTAGTCGGTCCCTAATGTGGAGGTGTTGCTATCGACTTCATCAATGTCCATGGCAGTGGACACAACCTGTTGTGCTCTAGGGCGTGAGTTGCCGGCACATACTGACTTGGGGAGAGCAGGGATCTTGAATGGGCTAGCCTTCTTGGTGGTGAACCCCGGGATGAGCCCTGAAGGGATTTGAGGCTGATGCGAGCGCACCATCCTCTGCGCGTCCATTGAGGCCAAGCTGCACGTGAGGTTCAGAGCCAATCAGCGTACGAAATGAGATGCTGTAGGCAGACCTGTTTGACTTTCTATGCTCAACTTCTACGGCCTTCCTCTTCAAGTTTGACTTCAAGGATTGTTCAACCTTGCTACGTTCAACCATGATTTCGGATCTGATGGTAGGTCGAATTTTTTTCGGTACATTGATCGACTTATCCTGAGATTCTTTGCCAGAATCAGGAACCTTGCCACCTTTGATATTCATGTCCATCGTATCAACAAAAAGCGATATGGAGACGGTAAGAATTGCTCACCTTTAGCATTAACATCAGCCACTTTACTGATCACGATACTCGATGCAGATATGGCCGGAATCTTCTTCATGACCTTTTTCGCAGTGCTCATACCAGGATTGGCCGCATTCTTCATATCAGATGTGTATGCAACTTTCATGCGTTCTTCTAACAGTGCAACTTTACTGACCGATATTTTACCCTTTGCTTTAGATATTTCCTTTTCAATCTCCGCCAAATCTCGTTCTTCAGCAACTTCGCCATGGCTCCGACGGCGCACCTTAGCATCTGGGAGTCCAGGATGGCGATCTTTGTTTGAAGCTCGAGTAGCAAGGCGATGTATGGTCGGGATCTGGGACATATTGAAAATCTGGTAGGTAAAGACTTGTAGATGCGTGTGGGGGATCGAAATTTCTCCTTGGGCCTTCTGTGCGCACCTTTTGACCCACAGGTATCACCAGCTTGGTAACACCAGCCGTCTGCTCCGCAGATTAAGTCAGAGACCAGTCCGTTGACAACATAAGGTCTGTCATCGCCGTTAATTTGCGGACCATCAAATATTGAATGCATTGCTTGCGCACCGCTCCACACCACTGCCCACGCAGCCTGCCCAACCGTCGCCGCTCCCTATTGACAAGTGAGGCTTGAGGACTCATATTCAGGCATAAAAAATGGCTCAGCAACCATCAAAGGTTGTGTTATTCTACGGTCCTCCTGGTACTCGTGGCAAACTTCTCATCACAAACTTGAGGAGATGCAGGCGTGTTTCTTCTCATTAAGGGCCAGTTCCTTATTCTGTGTCATCTGCTTCTTTTTGTTTGCTAATATACGCTGATGACACGTCATTCCACAATTCTCATTCAACGTTCAGCACTGACGGCTCCCCTATTCTCTTTCAAGGCTAACTCCTCGACTCCTGTATTGTTTGCTAAATCTTGTCCCACAGGCTTCAAGACAGTGTTCAAATGCCCTCAAAGAGTTTATTCAACCACACGTCCATCAACTTATCATGCGCTCGCAATGGTTTCGGCCCATGGAGATAGAAACAGCCGAAATTTGTGGAGCGTGAGCTGTGATGTAAGCCTCGCATCTATTCGTTTCTTGATGGCATTGCGCTCTCCTTTTCGCGCCTTGTCTTGTTTGTCCTAATTCCCCCTCCTCCCATACTCATTATGATCCCTCGTAACTGCAGGTTTCTACATCGTAAATACGTCTGCGGCATCGGGACATGTCAACGCGGATTCAAAAATCCGTCAGGCTGTACCCAGCATCGTAATGCTGCACACAATGGCATTGCAACCAACAAGATCCGAGCGCCTCCACACGTGGAGGAGCTGCCACATGGCCCAGATATTCAGTTACCAGCAAACAAGCAAGAACCAAGGTGTTATACCACCCATCATCCCATTCTCGATGGTATGTAGATGCATACATGTACTACCCTTGGCTAACACATTTTGACTCTTGTATAGGAACTCCTTGCGATGCAGATGGCCATGATCTACCCCCGCACACCAAACCTCCTCCTCTAACTAAGCAAGAACAAGATGACTTTGCTCCATACAAGGATCGTGTTGAATTTGAACTAGCTGACCTTCTCTTCCGACGGAATCAGATGCCTGCGGGCGAGCTAGATGATCTACTTGCGCTATGGGCGGCGACAATTCAAGAGCCGCCGTATGCCAATCATCAAGATATGAATGAAACAATTGATGCAACGACTCTTGGGGACGCACCCTGGTCATCATTTTCTGTTGAGTACACTGGCGACATCACTGGCGACACCGTTCCGCCATGGAAGACAAAGAAATATGATATCTGGATGAGAAACCCACGTACTGTCTTCCGGAATCAACTTTCAAATCCGGATTTTGACGGGGAAATCGACTACGCTGCAAAACGGGACTTCAATGCGAAAGGCAAGAGAGTATGGAGGGATTTAATGTCAGGGAACTGGGCTTGGCAACAGTCGGTACGTGGTCACATCGCATCACAACTTATCAGCTCATGGAGCATTTCTCAGGACATAATTGCAAAGGACGAAGAGACGCACGGCTCCATGTTTGTGCCTGTTATCATTGGAAGTGATAAAACGACCGTCTCGGTTGCGACAGGGCAGACCGAGTTCTACCCTCTATATGGATCAATAGGCAATGTACACAACACCGTTCGTCGTGCGCATCGTAATGCAATCTCAATTATTGGCTTCCTTGCGATACCAAAAAGTAAGTAAAGATTCTCATGTCTTACCCAGTCCTGCACTAATTTATGATTTATAGCTGATCGACAGTATGAGGGTGACCCTGCATTTCGCAGGTTTCGACGCCAGCTATTCCATGCTTCTTTGGAAGCTATCTTTGAACCCCTCAGGTCTGGTATGACGAAGTCAGAGGTGACTCGTTGTCCCGATGGCCACTTCCGGCGTGTCATCTATGGTCTTGGTCCATATATTGCCGACTACCCGGAGCAGGTTCTACTTGCCTGCATCGTGCAAAACTGGTGCCCAGGGTAAGTGTACGCCTCCTCATAGTGTTTCTATACTCATTCGTGAAGCAGGTGTACTGCGAAACCAAATGACTTGGATGAATTCGGAGAGGGACCAGGGCGGCGCTCACATGAGCACACATATCTCCTTCAGACCCATTTTGACCTCAAAATGTTGTGGGATGACTACGGGATTGTTGGAAATATAATGGTATGTCCTTCGTTAACAATCTGTCTGTTTGTAGGTCTAACGTGTATTATTTGTGTTCGGTGTTTGAAGCCTTTTACCGCGAGTTTTCCTCGTGCCGATATCCACCAACTTCTCACCCCCGACCTTCTCCACCAAATCATCAAGGGAACATTCAAAGACCACCTTGTGGGTTGGGTGGAAGAATATTTGGTCCTTGTTCATGGAAAAACGGGTGCGGCAGTTATCCTGGCCGATATTGATCGTCGGTACGCTGGCGCCCTACTACTGCCATGCATATCTTACTAATCAAGGATCAAGAATTGCGGCTGTACCTAGCTTCCCTAACCTTCGACGGTTTCCTCAAGGACGAGGCTTCAAGCAGTGGACAGGTGACGATTCAAAGGCACTAATGAAGGTAAATAGGTCCCATAAACAATCTCATATGGTTACTAACAGATCCATAGGTATATCTTCCCGCCATTACGGGCCATGTACCTACACAAATGGTGCGCGCTATAAGGGCTTTTTTAGATTTCTGTTACTTGGCTCGGCGTGATGTGTTAGACGAGACAACACTTGACGCCATGGATGATGCTCTCGAGAGATTCCATGCTGACCGTGTTATATTTCAATCATCTGGGGTCCGACCTAGTGGATTCTCGCTTCCTCGACAACACTCAATGATGCACTATCGATACCTGATCCAGAAGTTTGGGGCTCCAAATGGCCTCTGCTCATCCATCACAGAGTCAAAACACATCAAGGCTGTGAAGGAGCCGTGGCGACGATCGAGTCGCTGCGAAGCACTAGGACAAATGCTTTTGACTAACCAACGACAGGATAAGCTGGCGGCATCTCGTGTAGACTTTACACACCGAGGAATGCTTGATGGTACATGCCTTCCTTGGTGGATTGATCGTGTTGTGGCCCAGGATGAGGCTGTAGCCCTTGATAACCCCAGTGCCATTCCAGAAGCCATTGACAATGACACTGACAGTGATGACGGCAACGCTAACAATGCTAATGACAACGATGATGCCGACGACAATCCCACTGTAGATGGTCCTCGATATCTTGGCGAGGTCACTTTAGCAGTGAAAAAAAGTGTGTCTTCATATTGCCTCGACTCGTAGACTGATGAAACTCACCTGATGTTAGTCCAAGGATATCCTCGGCGGCTTCGTGACCTCGGAACAGCTATTGGTCAACCTAACTTCACAGAACTTGTTCGAAGGTTCTTATTTGATCAGTTAAACCCTAATTCATCTCAGCTATCCTCCGATATCCCTCTCGACAATTGTCCACAAGTTTATGGCTCGGTTTCTGTATTCCCATCTGCTCTTGCTGTCTACTATGCACCAAGTGACCCCTCTGGTGTCGGGGGGATGCATCGAGAAAGAATCCATGCGACGCGATGCTGGCGAAAGACCGCCTATCCACGAAATGACTGCATCTTCGCAGAGAAGGATCCAGAATTAGATGGCTTCCGTGGGCTTCACGCTGCGCGCGTTGTCATCTTTTTTTCATTCAAGCACCAGCAGATAACTTATCCATGCGCCCTCGTTGAATGGTTTGTACCAGTTGGTGATAGACCTTGTTCAAATACTGGTATGTGGATTGTGGAGCCGCAAATAGGCTTAGGGGGAGGGAGAATTACTTCGGTGATACATGTAGACAGTATCCTACGCGGCGCACATCTAATAGGTGTCTACGGAGACGACCACATACCTCGAGATTTTAAGTTCACGGACACACTCGATGCCTTTGCTGCTTATTATGTTAACAAATTTATCGATCATCATGCGAATGAAATCGCCTTTTAATCACTTTTTTTGCCTTCTCACTTTTCTCTCGCTTTTTTTGACTTTTTAGTCGCTCGTCTCTTAAATCCAACTTGTTAGACTTTTATTTGATTGGGCTCGGAAAGGAACTTTTCTCTAAGTCTCTAAGTCGCTCAAAAAGCTGATAAGAATGAACAAGTACGGAAAAGCCCGGAAAAGCTAGCTAAGTAATGCGCCCTTTTCCTGATGCATGCACAACTTCCGTATCCCATTCCATTGTTTACGCCAAGCATCCTTATCCAAAAGGAGTTGGATGGGAGTACGATTGCGACTATTATATGCTGCCTCTACTGCATTGCCGTAATGTCCTTCTTGCGTGTTGACCTCAGCACCTCGATTCAGCAGTAGCCGCACAATGGCTTCACGACTTCTACAAGACGCCGCTTGCAGCGCATTGCTGTATCGTCCTCCTCGTGAATTGATCTCCGCGCCTTGATCCAACACCAGTTGCGTTATGGCTTCGGACCTGCTATAAGACACCGCTTGCAGCGCATGGCCGTAGTCCCCTCCTTGTGCATTAACCTCTGTACCTCGATCCAGCAGCAGTCGCACTATGGCTTCGTATCCTTCATGCGACACCACTTGCAGCATATCGCTGTAGTCCCCTTCTTGTGAATTGGCATCCGCACTTCGATCCAGCAGTAGTTGTACTATAGCTCTTTGACCGTTGTGAGACGCCGTCTGCAGCGCATTGCCATAGTATCCTCCTTGTTCATTGACCTCTGCACCTCGATCCAGTAGCAGTCGCACAACAGCGTCGTGGCCATTATGAGACGCTGTCTGTAGCGCATTGCCATAGTATCCTCCTTGTACATCGAGCTCCGCACCCCGATCCAACAGCAGCTGCGCAACAGCGTCGTGGCCGTTATAAGACGCCACTTGCAGTGCTTTACCGTAAAGTCCTTCTTGTGCATTGAGCTCCGCACCTCGATCCAGCAGTTGCACGATAGCTTTATGCCTATTATAAGATGCTGTATACAGCGCATTGAGGCAGTCTCCTCCTCGTGCATTGACCTCTACACCTCGATCCAGCAGCAATTTCACAATAGCTTCGTGGCCATTATAAGATGCCGCATACAGCGCATTACCGTAGTTTCCTCCCTGTTAATTGGGCTCTGCACCTTCGGTCAATAGCCAGTCTGCAATGTCTAGAAATCCTGCACTGCACGAATAGTACAGAGGGCCAGGGGTAGTCTTAGCATGACGATGCCATCTCGAGGAGCGATTGTCCGAATCATGCATCCTGACCCAATTCAGAAAATGCCCTCGCCGAAGAAGATGAAAGAATTTCTTGGCTAGGGGCTGCAAAGGCTGATGTACATCCGGGCCCTGCTGGTGGACATGGGAGATCCAGTGCTGCGCTGCATACAGGGCTAGTGCGACATCCAAACTTCTTTTCATCATGTCTTCATCTATACTATCCGGACTGTCAAAACGCATCAGGTAGACAAGGCATTTCGCCATGCTGCCCCGCGCGCGCACGCCGGCTCCATGTCCTCCACGCACACGGTTGATACCGCGCACGGCTGCAAAGGCGGCTTTCGCGGATCGAATCACCACACGGGTAGCACATATTTACGTTCTTCACAACAGCCGAGCGCGATCGCCGACGAATGGAGTGACCGCCCGATCGACCCGATCGCGTCGTCGACACTCGGAGCAGCGCGAGTGGGTATGTCGCGCTGGCGACCTACACTGCGGCGGCCAGCCAGCGGAGCCGCGCGCGTGTGGGGTGGGCAATGCGAGGCGTGAAACGCGGGGAAGCGAGACGGACGCAGAAAGGGCAGGATAGGCAGGAAGTGCAGTGTGAAAAGTCATCACAAGAGAACCAAACAAATCACAACGCGTACGCACATCGCTGGCAATCAGAAGCGGGATGTCACAGTCTAGAATGTAGCGCCTCTGGCGCAAGATGACCATGGTCTTGGGCAGACTGCAGGACGGGCTGATCCAGATGAGCAGCGCAGGAATTTGGCAGGATGGCGTTTCGCGGTGGCCGAAGACGCGAGAGGAGAGGCGGGAGAATCAGTAGAGCGGAGAGGACATACTAGCAGGGTGCGCAGGCAGCGGCGAGTTTGGGGCCATCGAGACCGAAGGCATTGCAGGCGTTGGAGCACGGATGGAAAATCGAGCAGCATTGGGTGATGCTTGGGTTGTAGGAGCTACCATGTTTCGTGTATCTTCCGCTTGCTTGCGGGCCTCCTGTTGAGTCTCGTGGCTATTAAACGACGGCGTTCACGATGACACTTTGTCTCAAATGAAGTGCCCTGATGCTCCTAAAATTTTGGGAGGGAAGGCCTTGATTAAATCATCCAGACCGGGGACAGCATTAGCGCGAGGAATCAGGCAAGAGGATAGGTAGATAGTTCCTCGTATAGCGGATCGGATATGAACGAGATAGATATCATGTCTTCAGGGACGGCTGGACGAAGACTGACGGCTGCGTCGAAGATATACTACGATTGGGCCTCAAGCGATATTGCAAGCGAGCTCCCATAATGTGGGGTAAATCCGGGTAAATTCATCGTCGTCCTTGCTTTTCCCTGCACGACCTGTCCCCGCTATCAAAAGATCTACACCTTCAAATGTGAAACGATAACAGACAATGCACCCCAGGAACAGGGACACACTTGATCACTTGATCATTTTTTTGCTCTCCTCTGTGCAGAAATCGATTTGTATGCACAATGCAGAAGTTCAGGCTTGGTGCGTAATGAGCACTGCATCGCATATAGCTGCCTTCGAACGATGGCGAGGCCGTGTTACTGGTTCCAAACTCTATGTCATGGGGCGAGGGAATACGGCTATGTGGCATCAAAGAACAAGGCATTATGATCACACCGTGAATTTATTCGAAAATTCCGGAAGCACCCGCCCCGAGGGCAGTATATCTAGAGGGCTTGAAGAGAGCAGAGTCTAGCGATCAACCGCTCATCCTATCCTCACCAGTCAACCTACCTACAGCCCAAAACTCTTCACAGCACCCCAAGCAGGCCGTGTTTCGCAACATAAATGGCTGGCCGACTTGGACGCAAGAAGAGCTTTCAAGTACGTACATGTCCTTCAGAACCTTGCAATTTACTGAGACCATCGATGCACAGCTCCTGGCGCAGGACCTTCAAGGTCCCGCTCCAACGATGTTTAGCGGTAAATTTCCTTTTGTTCTGATATGTCGACGGCGCCACTTATGCTCCTCTGTACTGTCAGGATGCGCGCATCGCGCACAGCCGTGAAGGGCTCCATGTCCCCCAAAGCGGAGCCGGCTACACTTCGCCCAACTATGCGCGCATGCGCTTAGAGTGGCGCGAAGCGGGCTCGCAGTTCCCCGTCGTGTCTGCCCACCCGGCCCCCTCCTTCGTCACTCCCCCATTCCCCTTTCCCGCCCACATCGCAGTTGCACCGCATACTGAAAGAGCCGCACAGTCCCACTCCAGTGGGATTACCGTCCCCCCGCCCCACCCGCCACATTTCCCACCACGCAGCACAGGAAAGCTCGACGTCGACTAAGCCTCAGTCTTTGAGTCTCGCGGTCCGTCTAGTCGCTCAAATATCCGCTGCACCCGGGCCAATCAAGGAAGCTGGAAGGCTGCGCCCAATGCCTGTGGTAGTTCCACAGGTCTACGGCGACGCCCCCAACCAGAACAACAATACATCAACAACATCCATCGGTGCACGGGGTGGACAACCCCGCAGATGAGTTCGTCATCGAGCCTGTACCGCTGCTTCGCGGAGGGCTTTCAACGTCGACACCTGCGGAAGCGCAAGACGATGCCAGCAAGCATTAAGAGGATGACGATCACGAGGTGGGCCATAACCACCTCGGAGACGAGTCCAGCCTCAGCAAGCGCGAGGCTGTCGTCGTGATCGACGAGAAGGTCTACAGTTGGTTACCAACAACTCGTTTGCGCGCAAGTACTATCGCAGACGACACGTCGTCACCGTCCACTACGCTGACCAGCTTCCTTGCGACTGGTGCGACATATTCTTCTACGCCCGCTGCGATGGAGTCGCTCGTCACAAGAAGGAGATTTCCCGGTCAGAGACTTCAGATATCGATAGAGCAACCCATCAATGTGGTTTATGGCCTGTCTAACTGAACCTCGCTATGGCGGTAGAGGAGGGGATGCGGTGGAATCGTCGGCAACGGCGAGCGGAAGCTGGAGGTACGCACCATTTTCTCTCACCCGCGCCCGTTTTCTTTCTCCTCTCTTTTGTTACGCGCCCATCTTTGCCCTTGTGCACCCCACGCGGCTTCCGCGTCGTCGTCATCGATTGCACGCTCCCTTTCGCCTTCCGTTTCACAACACTCCTGCTGTTTTCTTCCCTTTTGCTTTTGCCTCGGATCGATGAGGGTACGGGGGATTGTAGTGGGATTGTCAGGAGCTGATACTGTTTCCAAATTCCAATAGGTACTTCCATTCGCGGCCTTGCCTGAGGCGTTGTCGACGTGCTCGGACTCAGTACATAAAGCGAGTGTGCTGGTAGTTGAGGGTAGTTGTCAGGTCACGCGGTCCTTGCGCTTTACCAGCTCCGCTTCGGCGCGGAGGATTTCTCTTCTTGCTTGCATTTCTCCTCTTTCCATCTTGTGTATCTGTCTAATTCTCGGAGCCTTCTGGTTATATGTCGTTTTTTCGTCTCGACACGCCAGAATGTGAAATAGCCAACATCCTTCCTTTCGCGTGCACTGAACAAAATCGAGCCGTGCTTCGCATTGCTTTCCTCATTCCCCTCTCTGAGCAGATACTCTGAGGAAACGAGACAAATCCACACACGCGCGCATTTTTGTATGAACAGTTTGCGGTCCCTGTCCCGAGAGCCGTTTCTCTATACAAGACGAGCGATCTGCGCAGCGCCGGTGCGTCGATATGGCAGAAATTCATAATAAAGAATCCACAGCACGCTTTGATAACTGCTCAACGACCGTCTCAGGGCTTGGCGATTACTATCACTGGCCCTATGTTCGGACAAACTGGACGAAAAAAAATCCTGCCCTCTGTAGACTTCGCCTTGTACCCCCAAAATTTGCACAAACAATGCCTGCTAGACCTTTTCGAAGCCTGTATACTTTATTCTGGTGGAAACGGGGAGAAAAGTAGAAATTTGTGAACGAGACCGTTGTTCGGACAGTCTGGTCACACCGGGTCACGAATCCGCATCGCACAGCCGAAGCGGCCGCCTCTAATTTTAGACTCCGACACTTGCACCTGTGTTCGGACGAGGATCACAGTCACTGCGTGCACCGCATGGTTTTTCCCGGGATAAACCATGGATAAAACCATGGATATAAATAAAGTTTTTGTTCAGGTTTATCCGTGGGAATTACTGAAACAAAAACTTAAAGCTTATCCAAGGTTTTGTCCTGGGACAAAACTGTAACATAACCTTAAGTTTAAGCTCAGACATGTTGTTTAAGTTGGTCCTACAGTAAATCCCGGGATAAAAATTGGATAATATTTAACTCTTATGTCACAGGATTTATGTCACACATGAAAAATTGCAAATAATACTATGAAAATCAGTAATTAATTCAGTTTTCATTATACAGCTCTTTGGGCACTGCCTGGCACCAAATGTTAGATAGCCTTTTTATCCACAACATTTCTTGATTAACATCCACAAACATGGCCTTCTGCAAAGGCCACCTTGCTATAAAGAGTTTCTTAAAAAAAAACAATGTGTAATTGTAAATACAAAGTAAAGCAGCATGGACAAAACTGGAAAAGTGATGAACAAAAATAATACTAGCAATGACAAATCATCAAAGCAATACAAGGGCTAGCTTTTAACAAATTTCATCATAATAGTGTCTAGTCTTAGAAAAATAGGGATTGTTAGTATTGAATCAAAAAATCAAAGAAAGAAATAGTAAGCTGTGCATATTGTCTGATCCTCTAATAATCTATTAATCATTGGAATAATTGTCTCTTGTAACAAGTGACAGATACTGCAACAAATTACTGTTGCACCTCAAGCCAAGTGTCCAACACTGTGACAAACTACTATTGCACCCCACAACAAGTGTCCAATGCTGTTACGAAACACCTTGCTTATGCTTACCTACTCTTCTCACCTTCTTGATAAGGACTCGTAGGACCTTTCTCCTGACCATACCTCGCATTCCTGCTCCATTGATACTTGGTCCATGCTTCCGTTTATACATATTTATAGATACTGCGGCGCAGGATGGAAGCCTTAGGCTATCCACTTCTGTCCAATCTAAGGACTGCTGTTTACACAGTCTCCTTTGATTCCAAGGCATTAGTCTGATCAGTCCCTCGACTCCTTCTAAACTCTTCAGTATTGTTTGTGGCCTAGGATCTCCTCGTCTCGAACAGCCATTCGTGACATCTGGATAGCCTCTTTTTGCACAATCCTACTCCACCCTTTCCTTGTAGCAGAATACTAGCTAGTTACATATGGCGCTAGGCAGTCCCAAAAGACAAGCATCCGTCGACCGTAATAGTTACTATACACTTCGAGCGAATGATTGGACGATTCCACTTCAGTGTGGGTCGTTTCAGGTTGTAGAATACTTCTATCTGGTAATCAACCCAGTGGAGGTACGACCAAAACAATTGCACTCAACGTTACATACGGTACTATACCAGAAGTAGAAATACTGTACCCGACTAGGAAGAGCTGCTGTTGCCTTGACCCTCGAACCTTGATCAGGTCGAGACTAGCGCGGGCTCTTTGATCTAACAAGACGACTTCCCAAGGTTTAGGAAGACACATAGGGTGAGTTCCACACGGAACTGACTACCTGAAACACTCGAACACATTTGTCCACTTTGGACAACCCATCAGAAGAACTTCCAAGGGAAACTGGGTCTACGTAGGAGGACAGAATAGTGGAAGAACAGTTGACGCCCCGCTAGTACCCTGGAAAGATAGGAAAGCACCCCTCAGAACCATTGACTCTCCCACCCGAACGAGACCCGTCTTATCACCAGTTGATATCCCTAAAAAAGATATCGAAGACACCCCAATTCCCGCAGGAGTATTAACCCCAATCAACGAAGAAGACCCAGAGCCTGTAGCAGGACCGAGTCAACCAAATCTGAGCCCAAATCTGAATCCACAACCAAACCCCTTACCGATCACAGGAACTACAGACAACGAAGACGAAATGTCAGATAAAGGAAACAAGCCGAAAGACTTCGATGGAACGAGGTCAAAGTACAGAGAATGGATCTACAAATGTCATATGTACATTCTAGCCAACCTGACCAAGTACAACACGGACATGAATAAGACACTCATGGTCCTGTCGTATATGAGGGAAGGAACAGCTTCACTGTTTGCACAAAAATACTACTTCGACAGAGAACTCTAGGAGTACAAAGCAACGAAAACCAAAAAAACATGGGGAATGTTCAAAGACTTCTTGCAAGAATTAGCTGCCGCATTCAAGGATGAAAGTCTCGAATAGAAGGCGAGACAGAAATTATTCACGATGAGAATGGGAAAGCGATCAGTGGACGAGTTTGTCACAGACTGCCTCATGACAGCAAGAGAAAGTGGATTCGATCTTGAATCTACCGTCAATTATTTCCGCCGAGCCATACACCCGGAAATTCTCAAACAAATTTACAGACTCCCTGATATGCCGACAACCATGGACGATTGGGTAAAATACACCCAAAGATTTGATAACCAATGGAGGGAGCTACAAAGCATAAAAATCTCCGTACCCTCTGCTGCCGTTCAACCAAACAACCCCTTCCATTACAACTCCTCTAACGCTCTATCATCTATGAACAACTCCATCGTCCCCATGGCCGTAGATACAGTCCGAATGACCCTTACAGACGAAGAGCGCAACCGCCTCAGGATGGAGGGTGGGTGCTTTTACTGTCGTCAGAAAGGACACATGGCAAATCAATGTCCTGTCAGGGGTTTGTCTAGGGTATATGAAGGGTCAACTGGACATGTTCAACAGGGTAGTAGAATGGTGGGGAACTGCTCGGCTCAGGCCAGCAGCAGGATGGGAGGTGGAGGAAGCAGCTATGGCCAAGCGTTCTTGGCAGGAACTCCAGGCAGTACTCAGGGAGGCACTACGGCGCGGGGTAGAAGCATGGTGACAACTAACCCATTCTGGGCCAGACTTGCAGCTTGCCAAGCCCACGCACCTGGACCAGATGCGCCTATACGTGAGGAGGAGCCTGAGATTAGCCAAGAAGAGATCCAAAGGGTTATAGGAAAGATGAGATGGGATGAGCAGGAAGCGCTCCTTCAGGAATTGAGCGAGATAAGCAAGCGGAAAGAATTGGATTTTTAAATAGGCCTATGGCTCCGGTGTACCGTAGACCCGCTCCAGATCCTCCTGTAAAAACATTCATACGGCTCACTAAATCCAATCAGAAATTATCTATGAGGATAAACGTGCACTTGAAACACAAAGAGGGAACCACCGAAGCCCGAGTATTAATCGATTCAGGAGCAGAAGGGCTTTTCATTGACAAACAATTTTGTTTGGACAATAACATATTGATGCAGAAAATCAACAAACCTATCCCTGTGTTTAATGTGGACGGAACAGCCAATGATGGAGGAAAAATCACCAACAAAGCCTGCCTGCTTATGAGAATGACAAATGAAGAAGGCAATTATCACAATAAATGATGCAAATTACTAGCCGCTAACCTAGGAGGGGAAAATATAATCCTAGGAACGGATTGGCTACACGAACATAACCCACAAATCAATTGGGTAAAGAATAGTCTCACGTTTTCAACTTGCGCTACCACGTGCCTAGTCAGCTGACCTACATTCACCATACAAGCACTAGCACCTACCCAGTGAAGAAAAAACAGAACAGTTGGGTATTCCAGAATAGAAGACGATTTGGAAGAAAACAAAACTGAAGACACCTTCTTTTCCAAATTCTACGAAGAATGGTATTACCAAAATCCACTAAAAGTGCATCCCCTCGAAGCAATTCACATCGGTTCCATTGGAAACAAGTCACAACAACTGGCAGAAAAAGCGAACAAAACAAAAACGGAATGACCTATTGAGGAAATAGTCCCGGCATACATTCTTAAATGATTTGCCAAAATCTTCAGTCAGGAAGCTTCGCAACGACTTCCAGAACATTCACAATGGGACCATAAGATCGATATGAAACCAGGATGGGAACCAACGGGATGTAAGCTATACCCCTTGACAGATGAAGAAGAAGACCAGCTACACGAGATGCTTCAAGAACACTTGAAGTGGGGAACCATTAGAATATCCAAATCCCCACAAGCATCACCCTTCTTCTTCGTAAAAAAGAAGGAAGGCTTACGACCAGTTCAAGATTATCAAAGACTGAATGAGTGGACAGTAAAAAACAAATACCCACTGCCCCTGATTGATGACGTAATAAGAACCATTGCCAAATCAAAAGCAAGGATCTTCTCCAAGTTTGATGTCAAATGGGGGTATAACAACATTTGCATAGCAGAAGGTGACGAATGGAAGACAGCCTTCATGACTAAATTCGGCCTGTTTGAATGCCTTGTAATGTTCTTTGGTCTTTGTAACTCACCCGCCACCTTTCAAACTATGATGAACATCATCTTCCATGACCTCATTGTTGCACAAGTCCTTGCAGTCTACATGGATAACATCTTGGTATTTACGAAAACCATTGAAGAACATAGGCGCGTAATGACCCAGGTCATGCAAATACTTTTGGACAACGACTTGTTCCTGAAGCCTTCTAAATGCACCTTTGAGACAGACACAGTCAAATATCTCGGGTTTATCATTTCCGCGGATAACATATCCATGGACCTGGTCAAGGTCGATGGAATCGCCGCCTGGCCAACCCCGAAGAACCTGAAAGAAGTACAGTCTTTCCTCAGCTTTGGAAACTTCTATCGCAGATTCATCGAAGACTTTGCTACCACAGCCTGACCTCTCAACGACCTCACAAAGAAGGATGTACCATTTGAGTGGACTCACGAGAGGAACAAAGCCTTTGAACAGTTGAAGCATTGCTTCACATCTACTCCCGTCCTCATCTACCCAGACGGTAATCGCCCATTCCGACTTGAGACTGATGCATCGGACTTCGCCTCTGGCGCCATCCTATTGCAAGAAACGCCCAATGACGGGTGGCACCCTGTCGCTTACTTGTCCAAATCTTTCAATGCGGCCGAGCGGAATTACAATATCTTTGATAAGGAGCTACTTGCTGTTATACATGCCCTCGATCACTGGCGCGTGGACCTCAAAGGTGCACGACACCCGTTTGAGATTTGGTCCGACCACAAGAACCTCCTGTACTTCTCTACTGCAAGAAATCTTTCCCACCGCCAAGCACATTGGTCACTCTTCCTCTCCCGCTTCGACTTCACCCTCGTCCACAAACCAGGCGTTACCCACTGACCCGATGCTCTGTCCAGGCGTCCAGACCTGAAAGAGGGGGTAAAATCTGACAACAAAGATCAGGTGATGCTACAACCCCAAATATTTGTTAAAAGCGCGACAGGACAAGGAACAGTTGAAATGCTTGACAGCCAGCTGAGACGAAAGCTAAAAGAAGTTATGGCTAAAGATAAAGAAGTAACGGAAGCAATGGAGCTTATCAAAGCATCAGGACCTAGAGCACTCTCAAAAGGCTTACAAGAGTGGAATTACGAAGACAACCTTATCTGGCATAGAGGAAAAATATATGTTCCGCCAGATGATGAACTTAAAAGACAAATCACAAAAATGTACCATGATTCACCAGCAGCTGGACACCCAGGAAGATGGAAAACCTATGTCCTAGTATCAGACAACTTCTGGTGGCCAGGAATGTCCACATTCATAAAGGAATACGTAACGGGATGCGCAATACGTCAATATACCAAAAACATCACGCATCCCACACGCACCCCACTTATTCCAAACGAAATACCAGAAGGACCCTGGCAAACAGTCACAATGGATTTCATTACGGATCTTCCCCAAGTAGGACCGTATAACGCCATTCACGTAATGGTAGACAGAAGCACCAAGGGCGTTGTTTACACCCCATGTGATAAAACCATAGACGCCGAAGGAACTGCTGACCTCTATATGAAAAACATCTGGAAACAATACGGACTACCAAGAAAGATCATGTCCAATAGAGGTCCACAATTTGCGGCCAGATTCACAAAAGAACTGTGGAAAAAGCTAGGATTAACAACAGTGCTATCAACCGCCTACCACCTAGAAACAGATGGAGAAACGGAAAGAGTCAATCAAGAGCTAGAACAGTACCTACAAGCATTCTGCAACTACAAACAAATGAATTGGCCTGAATTATTGCCATATGCAGAATTTGCACACAACATCAGGGAACATTCAGCAACTCACCAATTGCCATTTGAACTCATGTATGGCTATAATCCAACCTTTGTACCTCCGATCATGCTGAGATCCAACATCCCAGGCTTAGAACAAAGGTTGGAAAGGCTAGAACAATTACGGCAAGAAACGAGGGCCAGCCTAGAAGTTGCAGCTGAACTAATGAAAAGGAAAACAGCTGAAAACAAAGTCAAATTAGAAGCAGGACAGAAAGTTTGGCTATCGGGAAAAAATATCACCACCACGCACCTGAAAGACAAACTAGCCCCGAAACTGCATGGACCATTTGAAATAGAAAGCAAACTAGGACCGGTGATGTACAAATTAAAGCTTCCGTCAACGTGGAAAATACACCCCATATTCCACGCCTCGTTAATCTTACCTTATCAAGAAACAGCCGCACACAGCCCCAACTTCGAATAACCACCACCTGACCTCATAGACGGACAGGAGGAATACGAAGTCGAAGAAATTCTTGACAAAAGAAAACGAGGACGCGGGTATCAATACCTAGTACACTGAAAAGGATACCCAAGCTCCATGGATGAATGAGTCACAAGAGTGAACCTAGGGAATGCTAAAGAACTTTTAGAAGCATACGACGTGCGACATCATAACCTACCACTATAAGCAGCTCTCGCAAACATTGAACAAACAAAATCCAAAACATATAAAAACCCAAACTCAATCATTGCAATCCCCTCATCCCTTCAATCACTTATCCATTCCCCCAGCAAACATGTCTTCCAGCGAATCCATCTACCTCTCCTCTGAAGACACTCTCGCCACACAACCTTACAAAGAAACACCCTCCACTGAACCCTCTATCCCCACGACTCCCAAGATGTCTATAGTCGAAGAACAATCTGTACCATGGGACACGGACGAAGAACAAGCAGCGCGGGAAGCAGAAGAAGGATTTGACGAGTATCTTAGGAGACTAGACGAAAACAAACAACAAGAGGACGAGATGATCAGACGACTCACAGAGGACTTCAATAGACCTGCACCTTCCCACTCCCCATCTCCACCACCCCTCATCCACACACAAGGCGATGGAATTATATTTCCCGATAGAGAGACATACCTGATGACCCCTGTTGCCTACATGATGGGACTCATCGAAGGAACACCGAACACTGAGTTTGTGTCAGGGCCCACATGACTGGAGATACAAAGGGTGTTGGAGGTTTTGGAAGAGGAAAGGAGCTTTGTCCAACACGCACAAAGGGCTTTGCAGATCCAGGAAGGAATGCTCATCGCCCGTATCAATGTAGGCGAGAGAAGACTTATGGGTTTGAATCAAACTCCACACCTCCAAGACTCCTTTCATCCCGCTGACGACATCACTCCCATCACTGAATATCACATGCCTACCACGGCTGTGGTATCTCGTGCCTCGTCTTCGGCCTCAAATGGAACACCGCTTTGCCCAATGCCGGGGGCTTATCCCACGGAACGAGGCAGAGGAAGGAATATCTATAGATTTGCGCAGATTTCACCCCGCTACCACGTCATACCCGTGCAACTGGGAGTAATCTGCTCCTCTACCCGAACTTGACCTCCCCTCCCCTTCGTTGAATATGACTCCAGCAAGTCCGACACCCAACCCATCGTCCTCTGCCCTTGAGGTGCTTGAAGAATGAGATGCTGACATCCGGTACGATGTAAAACTGCCAGGGCAAACGACGGTTTGAATCCATTGGGCCAGTACCTACTGCCATAATGAGACGAGGGACTTGGTTCTAGAACGCAGTCCCCGCATGGTTGGTAATGAGGTGGGGTATCATGACGTCCATACTCAAGGGCTATCGCGTCATGACTCAACTGTGGGCAGCGAGAATCTGTGCCCTAAGTATTATTTTGTATGACTCGGTTTGCATGCATTGCTTATGTTTTTCCTAGACTATTACTTACCATCTCTGGCACTGACAGCCTAGAGGGGGGGGGTAATGTTACGAAACGCCTTGCTTATGCTTACCTACTCTTCTCACCTTCTTGATAAGGACTTGTAGGACTTTTCTCCTGACCATACCTCGCGTTCCTGCTCCATTGATACTTGGTCCGTGCTTCTATTTGTACATATTTATAAATACTGCGGCGCAGGATAGAAGCCTTAGGCTATCCACTTCTGTCCAATCTAAGGACTGCTGTTCACACAGTCTCCTTTGATTCCAAGGCATTAGTCTGATCAGTTCCTCGACTCCTTCTAAACTCTTCAGTATTGTTTGTGGCCTAGGATCTCCTCGTCTCGAACAGCTGTTCATGACAAATGCTATGACAAACCACTGTTGCATCATGTGCCAAGTGTCTAATGCTATGACAAACCACTGTTGCACCCCACAACAAGTGTCCAATGCTATGACAAACACTGTCATACCCTGCGCCAAGTGTCTGATACTGTGACAAACTACTGTCACACCCTGTGCCAAGTGTCCAACACTGTGACAAACCACTGTCACACTCCATGACAAGTGTCCAATGCTATGACAAACTGCTGTTGCACCCCATGACAAGTGTCCAATGCTGTGACAAACACTGTCACACCCTGCACCAAGTATCTAACGCTGTGACAAACCACTTTTGTGATCATCTTGTTGAACTTGAGAACAGGGCGCTGGAGGAGGTCACAGGATCCGGCACCATGCTGAATGATACTGAACTCCAGGCAATCAAAGTCGTAGTTAAGGTGGATGCTAATGTTGTCCTGGGTGGCCCCCGAAGTTTCCCCCTTCTGCCATAGTCTATGCTTGCGTGAGTGATACACCCCCTTCCCCATGAGGATGCTTTCTTTCATGGATTGCGAGGAGGACTACACAAGGCCAACTAAGCAACCACCTTGTGGGATGAGATGACTGTGGGGACCAAGCTATCTGGGCGATCAGACAATAAGGGTGCAAAGAAGGCATCGGTGATGTTTATCTGAGATGCAGATAAGGCAGAGAGTGTGAGCTGCGATGCAGGCACCAGCTGTTACGAACTGCTCGTTCGGTAACCCCAAGAGTAGGAGGTTCTTCCCTAGGTCACTCGTGGAGGATGTGTGGAACGATGGTCTCGACTGTACGTGTAGCACAGGAGCCAGGAGTGTATTGCAATGTAGCAACTGTAGACAGTAGGAAGACTGCCTAGGAATGAAGGAGTACTGTAGGAAGACAGTACTGAACAAAGAGAATAGACTGAAGAACCTCAGCCTACTCTATGGGCCTTTTATACTACTTTAGGAAGTAGGGCGTGAGAATACCATATATGTATCCGTAGGTATTCTTTAAGTCGTCTCTCTCAATAATGACTACTCTTGTGTTTCTCCGTTAGTCTCCTTCTGGCCAGGAAAGACTAGGAGCTCAATGCCCGATGTGTGAGTAGTTTGTAAGGCGGCGTTCCATGCCCGCTACGCAATAGGCCCGTGATACTCGACCAACGATAAGGTGATCCGTTGGGAGTGGATGACCAAGGTTACTATCTGTACCTTGTTTGTACGCCTCACCTTGTGAGGCCGCTTGATATTTGTGATGATCGTGTCGGAATAGACCGCCGTTAAGGCCCGACAGAACGTGATCATAACAATACCCCCTTTCTACGTCCTATTCGCCTGGTAGGACAACGCTTTCTGCGCTTCATCGCCACTCCATATACGATTTGCTTTCTTGATCCAAAAATTGGTCTCCGGATGCGACTTCCGGGACATGACTTCGTTTTCTGGGAGGAAGACCGACTTACGTCGTTTGATCCTCTAGGAGTTTTCCGTCTCCGTTGAGCTGTTTGTTTGTCGAGTCGTGAGGGTACCAAACCTCCGCTCTGTAGGATGTTCTTCCTTCACCCCTCGGTTGTTGTGATCTTTCCTGGGTTCTCAAGCCAGGATGTCAGTCTGGCCGGCCTCCGGACAGGTGTCAAGAAAGGTGTATGAATGCGAGTGGTGTGTGGATGAATAGAAACTCTAGCATGTGGGTTCCAGCTCGTGTCATCAGGTTCTTCTTCTTCCTTCTCCGAGGGCCAAACCTCAGTGTTTCCAGGATAGTCGTTATCCTCGTGATTTTGTTGTTCCTCTTGGCGTTCAGAGGATGGCGTCCACGGGCAAGTAGGTTGATTGCTTTACCAAGGCTTAGGCCTACTTCCCCAGACTACCGTCTTAACGTCCCAAGCAGTATCGCTCCCATACGGTGAGCTTATCTCCGGTGAGGTTGCAGCCATAAATCCCAAGCAGTATTGCCCCCATACGGTGGGCTCATCTCCGGTGAGTTAGTTCGACGTCCAGAGTTTGTTTGATTCACTATGCGTATTGGGTTTGAGGCAAGGATGTGAAGAGAATTAGACTTGAAGGGTGCCGTGAGGAGTAAGGAGGAGTCTGACTCCTTCTCCAGATCGGCCCGTTCGCTTGCATGAATGGACATTAAGACCACAGCTGATATATTTGTCGGGTTGCGAGATATATCCATGATAGCAGTTTAAACGTCTTGCCGGACGTTCCGTAGTTTATTGTCGTTGCGGACGAGACCTAGTTTTACATCGTCGTGGACGCCAGTAGTTTTACATCGTTTCGGATGTATTAAGGCGCCCTGCGCTGCCTTTGTAGTTTACTTCTAGGTCATTTGCGGACCTTCTTCATCATCAACATGGAATATCTGTGGGGAAAGATGTTTCTGCACGCCGGACCATTCATCGGTTATGTGCATAGGGCCCTAGACCAGACTTTGTCCCGCAGGTTTCCACTGAGGCATGATGGGAACGGTTTATGCTATATCAAACCGGATAACTTATAACGTCTCAATATTAGGAGACCGCTCAGTTTAGCGCCGTGAGGTCGGCGTCCTCGCAGTTTAACGCCGTGCGATAGGCGAGCTATTGTCTGACTATGTCCCTCGAGTCACGATAGGCTTTTCCTTCCGAGGATGAAGGTAGTTTAACGTCTTTTCGGATGTTGTCGACACATTCTCGTCAAGAATGATGTCGACCGATGATCCCTGTACTAAAAGGGACAAGTAGTTTAACGTCTTCTCGGACGGTTGGTGACCACGGTCTTGGTCAACAACCACAACTCCTATTCGGTAAGGAGCACGTAGTTTAATGTCATCGCGGATGATTGACAGCATGGCGGTCAATCCACAACTCCTATACGATAAGGAGCAAATAGTTTTCCGTCATTGCGGACGCATTGGTGTCCAGGGGATTGGACATCAATGACAACCCCTAGGTCCAGGGGCACTAGTTTAACGTCGTTGTGGACACGCGGTATCTTGTCAAGATCGCCACGCACAATCCTTATACTTGAAAGGACAAGTAGTTTAGCGTCGTTTCGGACGCGTGGGGATAACCTTGATTTCCACCATGCACGATCCCTAGAACGAAGGGACAATAGTTTTACATCATTTCGGATGCCCGTAGTTTACCGTCGTTGCGGACGTCGATGCCATTTCCATTGCAAAAATGGCCTCGAACAATCCCTATGTGGAAAGGGACAATAGTTTATCGTCATTGCGGACAAATGAACATCTGGTCGAGATATCCATTACAATCCTCGTTCTTGAGAGGACAATAGTTTAACGTCTTTGCGGACGTTGTTTTGCCACAAATATTGTGGAAAAACAATGCTTAGTTTAACGTCATCCCAGACGCTTCGTAGTTTATCGTCGTTGCGGACGAAGTGGCGGAATAAACTTCTCCATATGAGTGGCCCGCTCTTGTCGTTCTTCCGCTATGTGGGCCAGACGAGAGTCGCTTGACCTAGTCCCTTCCTACTAGATCTTCGACTCGAGGCACGTGTCCTAGTTGCCTCCTGACTAGGTCTTGGAGCAGAATTTCTTGCACTTCGACTCCGAGACTAGACTGAGCGCTCCATGAAGAGATGCTTGCTCTTCCATGTCCCCAGACCCCTCGCTTGGAATTGAACCAAGTCGACCCGATATTCTTTTACCGAAAAGCGAGTGAATATTGGAAGCGCTTTGACCTCTTACAGGCAGGGTTCTGCGACGCAGATCCTCCCGAAAATTCGCGCTTCACCAAAATACAACCACGCTCCTTGGGTCAATGGTAGTTTTACGTCATCTCGGACGATGGATAGTTTTCTGTCATTTCGGACGAAGACTAGTTTAACGTCATTGCGGACCCTAGTAGTTTATAGTCATTGCGGACCAAGCCTTTGGTAGTTTTACATCGTTCTGGATGTATTTATGGCCTCGCATCATTATAGGAAGACTTGTGAAGTAGAGGTGGCCCACTCTCTACATCATCTCATGCGCCAGCTGTAGGATCCCCTAATGCGGAAACGATCCTGTAAAACGGGAGATCCAAAGTGGGACGTCCCAAAACACCAGTCAGACCTTGACTGTGAGGGTTCACTTAACGAGTTGTGCATCATAATTTCTTGACTCGGACTTGCAACCGGTTATGTATGGGCACTTTGCTGTACCAAGGCAAAGAGCCGGCTTGTCGACACCTACGAGTAGAGTATATGTCATGTAGAGGGTTCCCTAATGCGGAAAAAACCCTGTAAAACTGAGGATCCAAATGGGACGCTCAATGCATCTGTCAGATTAACTCCTTGACAGCGAGGATGTGAAAGGTTCCGCCGTAGGTCGTACGTGGAATTATGCCCGCTGTTGTCCTTGATTTGTACCATCATTTGAACCTAGGACTAATGGTCAGGTACTTCCCCTGCCTTCTTATCTTTTCACAGTTTTAAGACATGCAGGTCTGATAGTTTAGACGTCATTCCGGACGTGGGGTAGTTTAACGTCTCTTTCGGACGAGGTCGTACAGTTTAACGTCTTGAGGGACGATCCTAGTTTTACGTCGTTGCGGACGAACGATAGTTTAAGGTCATTTCGGACCCTCTAGTAGGGGTAGGAGTTCCTCAACTTCCTTACCCCCTTTCTCGCTCCGCGACTGCCCTTTTTCTAATAGTCATAGGGTCCTTGGTACCCATTGCCTCCTTCGTCAGGCCGATAATACGGATCGGCGTCGTCATAATTTCCAGGGTCATCTAAAGCGTCCCATGCATCGAGCTCGGATCGAGTCCAAGAGCGATTTCTTCTAGCCTCCGAATTAGCGCGGCGAGTTCTGCGGCTACTTCGGTTATTCTGTCCCTCGTCTGTACGAAATCGAGCACTAGGAGGAGGCGTTCCAGGCCGGTGTCGAACACTCCCGCCAGTAGTTGTTCCGCGGCGGAGGGTTGCCTGGGTTCCTCGACTCCTTCTTCCCTCGTTTCTTCAATAGACGGGTAGTTCCTCCTCGTCGGTACCCCCATGGGATAAGGGAAAATTTCGTACTCGGTGAGAGGAGGACGTCGTGGGATTGCTATGTGCTGGGCAACTTTCCCGTGGCCTCGGTGAAGGGCGTTCCACGACCGTGTGCGGAGTCCTTCTTGGATTTGGTACAGCCGTGGGACGTTCTCCGGGACGTGGTACATTCCAGACGACAATGCGGAAAGGGTCGGTTCTACTTGGTTGGACGGTGCCCAGTTCTCCGGTGAAGAGGAGAGCTGGAAGGAGCTCTCTGTTGACATACTGGGAGAATTCGTCGGGATGGATGAGGAGAGCTCGTGGTCGTCCGTCGTTATGTTCATACCAAGAGGCGGTGTCAGGGTCTGTTTGGAGGGCGAGTCCTCTGATCTGGAGACTGGCACTAGCCAGTCGTCGAGGTATGTCGCTATGCTCATTCCCGGGTTGCCCTGCAGCGAAGTTAGCGAGTCGTTGTAGGGCCATGGCTGTGGCCATTTGTATTACCGCGGAGATAGTGCTTCGCTGGAGGAGCGCGTCCGCGTGTCGCTCCAATTCTCTGGCGTGAGGATCTGTACCAAGGGTAGTTCTTCCCATGGAGCAGGGAATCTGTCCACCAGTTGGTACTGGCGGAGGTGTAGCTCCCTGTATAACTGGTATCGATTCAGTTTCTCCATGGCTTGGGAGTTGAGCTGCTATTCTTGCTCGTAGTCCCGAGGGACCTGCAGCTCCAATGCTCGCCGTGATTGTAGCAGGAGGTGGAACTCCCACTGGTACTTCGTCAGAGCCTGGTAGGTTTCTGTCATCAGGGTTTTCATTCTGTGATGCATCTCGTGGGGGCCCCTGGGATGACGGTTGGCGAGTTCGTTCCCTTTCTTTGAACTTGGTGTAGTCCTCGGTGTCGTCATCTGAGAAGTCATTGAGGTGTGGAGTGAGGGTGACGACGGCGGGCTCTGGACGGTGAGGGCTGGTTCCTCTATCAATTCGTCCAGCATTGCTTGGGTGAGGACTGGCTCCTCTATCCACTCGTCCGATGTCTGGGTTGGACACCATAAGGACGACATCGGGGGAGGAGTTTCTGGACGGTGATGAAGCATCGTGGTCTTCGTGAAGGAGCATTTGAGTGGAGGGAAAGAAAGAAAAAGGAGCTTGAGGGAAGAGTGGGGGAAGATGGTCCGTTTAGAGCTCTTTGGTCGCTCTTTTTATAGGCTTTTCCTCCACTTTTTCAGGGTGCTCCCGGACGAGGCTTATCAGGGTATTGGTCATGAAACTCCTTCATAGCTTCTTCCGCTGTTCCTTTTAGGAGAGTGTAGGGTTCCCAGGTGTTATCTGCCTCGGGGTATCCCGCCCACTTGACCAAGTACTTGGTTCCCCGTCCTTGTCTTTTTGAGTCCACGATCATTTCCACTTCGTAATGCTCTTCGTCGTTCAGTACCTCCGGTAGTGGTCTTGCGAAGTTTTCCCCATGCGCCTCGGTTTCTCTATACTTGGTGAGTGTTGCGGCATGGAACACTGGGTGGATCTTCCAGTGTTGGGGAATTTGAAGTCTGTATGCCAGGGTCCCTACTTTTGCCAATATTTTGAAAGGTCTATACCTCCTAGGGGCAAGCTTGAACTTTGGATGGGTCGTCCGGATATGGGTTCCTTCTAGCCATACTTGGTCTCCTTCCTTCCACTGAGGGAGTTTTCTGTGGAGATCCCAGTCTTTGGCGTAATTGCTGGCTATTTGTAGGCTAGCTGCGGCTTCTTCCTGGACTTCTGTGATCACCTTAATGCGTTCAGCTACCGCGGGTACCTTTGTTTCTAGCGCAGTGTCGGCTGAATAAGGGGGATTGAACCCGTATAGCACTTCGAAAGGAGATTTTCTGGTGGCCGAATGTTTTCGCGTATTGTGCGAGAATTCGGCAAACGGCAGAAGGTCTACCCAGTTATCTTGGTGGTAATTGCAGAACGTTCTCAGGAACTGTTCGATCTCCTGGTTTACTCGTTCTGTTTCTCCATCTGTCTGGGGATGATAAGCCGTGCTGAGAGCAGCGGTGATTCCTAGCCGCTTCCAGAGTTCCTGGGTGAACTTGGCCGCGAATTGAGGGCCGCGATCGGATACTATTTTGGTCGGCAACCCATGTCGATTGAAAACATTATTCTGGAACAGCACGGTCGTTTCTTCTGCCGTGATCGTTTTCTTGCATGGGGTGATGACTATGCCTTTGGACAGACCTTGGTCCACTACCACATTGATCGAGTCGAAACCCTTGCTTTCGGGTAAGTCCGTGACAAAGTCTGTCGAGATAAATCACCAAGGGACATTGGTAGTTTCCAAAGGGTGGATAGGAGGGTGCGTCTTGTGTGTCAAATTCTTAGTTGATTGACATACCGCACATCCGTCCACGTATTCATGGACGAACTTTGTCATGTTTTGCCACCAGTAGTGTCATTGTACCATTTCCAACGTTTTTGTTCTCCCCGGGTGTCCTACCGCGGGTGCGTCGTGATGCGTTTTGACAATAAGTCTTCGTATGGCATCGTCTTTTGGGACGCATATGTGGCCGTTTCGTCTGGTGATTCCGTCTTCGTGTGTCCAATGTCCCAGTAATCCCCTCATTCCTTGTGGCCCTACTCGCAAAAGTTTGGCGAGGGCTACCCTTGTCAGGGCATCATGTTCCAATTTTGAGCGTCGGATGAGGGAGATGAGGTCTGAGGATGCAATTTCTGTGGACTTAATATGCCGTGTCGGGGACGGTTCTACCAGTGTTTCGTCGGATTTGTTAAAAAGGTTGGCCGGGAGCAAAATTTGAGCTTTGTTGTCAGATTCCACCCCCTCACTTAGATCTGGACGCCTGGACAGAGCATCGGAATGATTTGTTGATCCTGCTTTATAGCTGAGCGTGAAGTCGAATCTGCTCAAATACAGGCTCCAACGGGCGTGTCGTCGTGAGAGATCTCGCGCCGTTTGGAAGTGTTCCAGGTTCTTGTGATCTGTCCAGATCTCGAATGGGTGTCGTGCACCTTCGAGGTAGTGATTCCAGTGTTCCAACGCTTTTATGATGGCCAGGAGTTCGCGATCGTGGACGTCGTAATTCCGTTCTGCTAGTGAAAATGACCCGGAAAGGAATGCGACTGGGTGCCAGTCGCCATCTTTTCCTTCTTGCAGGAGGGTGGCTCCGTAAGCGATTAGTGAGGCATCCGTTACTAGTCGATATGGATGCATGGGGTCCGGGTAATTCAGAACGGGTTTACTGATAAATGCCCTTTTTAATCGTTCGAAAGCTTCCTGGCACTTCGAAGTCCAGTTCCATTTTGCATCTTTTTTGGTGAGGTCGTGCAGAGGTCGTGCGATAAGGGAGAACTTATCGATGAAACGCCTGTAGAAGTTTCCTAGACCTAAAAAGGAGCAAATGTCTCGGACGGTGCGTGGGACTGGCCAATCTTGTATAGCGCCCACCTTTGAGTCTTCCATTGCGACATGGTCTTTTGAAATTGTGTATCCCAGATATTGGAGTTTTTCTTTATAAAACTCGCACTTTTCTGGCTTCAGATAGAGGTCGTTGTCGCGCAAGATTTGGAAAACTTGGTTCAGGACCTGGATGTGTTCCGCCATGTTTTTGGAAAAGATGAGGATGTCGTCCATATATACGGTTATTTTCCGGGCCGTGATGAGTTCTCTGAAGATCATGTTCATCATGGCTTGGAAGGTGGCTGGTGAGTTGGTAAGGCCGAAAAACATCACCGTGGGTTCGTAAGAGCCTAGCGGAGCGATGAAAGCTGCCTTCCACTCGTCGCCCTTCTTGATTCGTATATTGTTGTATCCCCACCGTACATCCAATTTGCTGAAAATGGTGGCCCCTTTGATCACGTCTAATAGTTCTTGGATTAGTGGAAGGGGGCACACATTTGGGATGGTGTACGAGTTCAAATGGCGGTAGTCCTGTACTGGGCGCAGTTTTCCATCTTTCTTTCCTATAAAGAAGAATGGGGCTGCCGTTTGTGAGGTGGATCGACGGATGGTCCCCCGAGTGAGGTGTTCCTTGATGAATTTCCCTAGTTCATCATGTTTCTCTGGGCTCAAGGCGTAGATTTTTGGTACTTGGGGTTTGAAAGTCGGTTTCAGATCTATGGCGTGGTCCCAATAAGTGTGCTCTGGGAGTCGCTGTGACTTTCGTTCGCTGAAAATGTCCAAAAATTCGTGATGCGCCTTGGGGACTCTTTCCTTTAGATTGGTGACGACAATTTCGTCCTCCAAATCCTGGTCGAAGCTGGCAAATCCTGACGGTTCGGGAGCCAGTTTCCGAATAACTGGTTCCTCTATGGCCTGTTTTCCTGAGTTTTTATGTGGGAGATCAGGTTCTCCCCCGTTTGGTGAAAGAGATGGTTTGGCTTGAGCCTTTCGTTTCTCTTCTGCGTATTTCCTTATGTCCTGTAGGAGCCATTTCCTTTTGAGGTATGCTCGTAGTTGGACACCAAATGTTCCGCTATGATCGCGGAGTCCTACATCTTCCGATAACCTTCGGAGATGTTCTAGGCGCTGTTTTTCGCACTCATTGATGCGTGGTTTGTGCCGTGGCTCCACGTCTGTTAACCGCCTATTGTTTGGCGGTTCTTCCCTTGCCCTAGTGAACCCATGCGGTTGCTGGCATTTCTGGGGGCACCGATCAAAGTGCACTTCACGTTGTCTCCATTCGATGGAGGGATCGTGGTATTTCAACCAATCTGTTCCCAGGATAAGGTCGTCCTTCCCTAGATTGGAGATAAACATCTGGACACGTTCAGTATGCATTCATCCACTGATGTCCCGAATGATGAGGTTCACATCCAAGGCGGATCGGATGAGTCCTGCTTTATTGATGGTGTCATCGACGTTCCGGACGCAAATGGGGTTGTTGAGTGTATAGGTGGGGAAACGATGTCTCCTGACCCAAGTTTCGTTTACTATGACCCTTTCGCATGCCGAGTCGATGGTTGCCTTTGCTCCAGCGTATTGACTCCTGCTTGATACCTTCACGTTCAGGCGTATGGGAGTGATGATACAATCATTCATTGCTCCGATACAAATACAAGTGCGGGCATCAAACTCGGGTCGTTCTTGACCTCTCTCCTTCGCTGGTGAGGGAGAGGTCAGGAAAAACGCTCCGCGTGTCCCAAGATCACTTCTCTTGCTTCATCTTCTCCTAATTCTCCAAGCACTGCTCCGATTCGAGCAGAATGACTGACGCTTCCGTTTCCCTGTCGTCCGTTAGGTAACATAGCGCGTTGCCCATGGTTTGTTTGGGGTCGTCCGGATGGGGGAGAGTGAAGACGTTCCATCGAAGGACCAGGTTGTGGTACCCGCTGGTCATTGCGAGGAACATCCTCTGTCTCCACTCCTCGATATATTCCCGCTTGGTCTCCCATAGCGGGTGCGTAGTCTTCTCCTTCCAAATCAACCACGCGGTTTCCTCTCCCTGTCGTACCCAGGCGTCTCTTCGAGTTTCCTCGAACTAGTTGAACGCCTCTATGAGCCGACCAGCAGTTAGCGCTAGAGTGCCCTAACTTTCCACAATTTGAACAACGGGGGGTTCGCTTGCCGTCAAATTTCCTCTTTTGACTTTTGGCGTTACGCTTCCTGGTAGCGTCGATGTCCATGTCAACCACCTGGTTGTTCATCCTTTGAGGAGCGGTGGTGGAGTTGTAGCGGACGGCTGGTTGAGTGTGGAAACGATTCAAGTAATCGCTGCGAAAGGAGGTGGAGTTGGCGAGGATGGCCTTTTGAGCCAATCTAGCTCTGAGTCGTCCGTCTATTTCGCAGGCTGTATTAATCCAGTCCTGGATGGTGTCCTTTGGCTGTACTTCTTTGTCATATATTTTGTCCATGACACGCGGGTCTAACCCGCGTTGGAAGTAAGGGACTTGTTCCTTGTCGGAGATGTCGGCATCGGCGGCGATGAGAATGAATTGATTGGAGTATTCATCAACCGTCATTCGTCCTTGGGAGAAGGCCATGAGTGCGCTTCGCGCTTTATCGGTCTTGCCTGTCTCCCTAAATTGGAGCTTGAACTTTGTTAAAAAGTCCCTCTAGGTTCCTAGATCAGTGGGAGGGTCCGCTCCTACTGATTTGAGAAGGAAGTTCTCGGCCCAAGCTCCTGCCGTGCCATATCTCATGCATGAAAGCACCAGGGATATTTTGTCTTGATTGGTCTTATACCGGTCGGATTCTGCTGCGAAAAGAAGGAGGCATTGGAGCATGAATTTCTGGGATTCAATGCGGTTGCCTGTATAGTTGTCTGGGAGTTTGACCTTTCCTCTCCCGGGTTGTACTGTTGCGGAAGGGGGGTCTGTAGAAGTCGAAGCTTGTCCCGACATTTCGGCAAGCGGTTTGTTTTGGGTGTTGATTGGTGTTTGGTCTGGTGAGTCGGAGTCTGATTCTGAGGTTGTTTCCTCCTGCTCCGAGTCTTCGGGGATTACCGGCGCCGGTTCCCTGTATTGTGGGGCTAATTCCCACTGAGCTTCTGTTTCGTTCCAAATATCCTCTTCTTCTGTTCCGTCTTCAAGGGTGAAGTAATAACGCCCGTTTCGGTATGAGCAGTTATCGTAATTTGGAGGGGCGTATCTGTTGTTGTCTTCGTAGACCCAGAAGTCCCCTTCGTGCCGGATAGGGCGATTGTTGTGACGGAGTTGGTTATCGATATGTCTAGTGCCGGGTGGATATTCCTGGCCTAGGTCTTGCTCCAGAGTGTGTGTAGTAACGCTCTCTTAATGGGGGTCTATTATCCCCACCAAGGAAGGTTGTGAGAGAGAGTGTGGCAGCAAGCTAGTGCGAGCAAGGTAGGGGCAGAAGAGTCTATTCTAGTGTTACGAACTGCTCGTTCGGTAACCCCAAGAGTAGGAGGTTCTTCCCTAGGTCACTCATGGAGGATGTGTGGAACGATGGTCTCGACTGTATGTGTAGCACAGGAGCCAGGAGTGTATTGCAATGTAGCAACTGTAGACAGTAGGAAGACTGCCTAGGAATGAAGGAGTACTGTAGGAAGACAGTACTGAACAAAGAGAATAGACTGAAGAACCTCAGCCTACTCTATGGGCCTTTTATACTACTTTAGGAAGTAGGGCGTGAGAATACCATATATGTATCCGTAGGTATTCTTTAAGTCGTCTCTCTCAATAATGACTACTCTTGTGTTTCTCCGTTAGTCTCCTTCTAGCCAGGAAAGACTAGGAGCTCAATGCCCGATGTGTGAGTAGTTTGTAAGGCGGTGTTCCATGCCCGCTACGCAATAGGCCCGTGATACTCGACCAACGATAAGGTGATCCGTTGGGAGTGGATGACCAAGGTTACTATCTGTACCTTGTTTGTACGCCTCACCTTGTGAGGCCGCTTGATATTTGTGATGATCGTGTCGGAATAGACCGCCATTAAGGCCCGACAGAACGTGATCATAACACCAGCAGGGTCATGCTAACACCAAGCAGACCCCTGATTGTCGAGGGCAGCGGCAGGCTAGGACAACATTCTCATCCAATATTATCATAGGAAGCTTTGCAATTGTTTTTATGCATTTCATGCCTTAAATTGTAAATTGTCTGATGCCACCATCTGGAAAACCACCCCTTGTATTGAGCTCTAATTAATTCTATTTATGCATAATCAAGAATGATTAGGATTAGACATTTTTAGCTTACCCCCCCTCTAAACCTGTTCTAATTAGACATAATTTTGCTAAATTAGGAATTATTAGGATTGATTATAACTTGAAATTTCGGAAAAATCATAATAAATCAAGCATCACAGTTCTCATAGCCTTCGTTTAGAGTCATGTCTATTAGAGCACTAGTTCAATACCTAAACACAGAATATACCTTATAACAAACTCGCCTTTTGCCAGAGTTGAACCAACAACCTCATGTATACAAGCACCCGGGACAGATGCTCTAAGCCACTAAGCCACAAGGTCTAAGATATGAACTTGGTAATCTAAATAAGTAGACATAATATAGGCAACCTCAATATCTCTGATTTTATTTAACATATATCTTTCCTCTCTCTTATAAATAAATAGGTCAATAAATACCTAAAAAGTCAGGTCTTTCAGGATTTAGTTTAAACACCAGCTAAGAAGATAATAAACCAATGGAAAATAAATTATGGCACTTACACAATTTGGACTAAGAATGTGTAAAACTATGATTGAGTATAATATTCAATGGGACTCTACTAGTATAGACAATGCTACCTGAATTTGCAAATTTGATCAAAAATATGATTATGAATAATCAAGATCCAATAAGAGAGAGGGGTTTTCCAAATAGCTACTAGTGAGGTAGAGGGTAGGGACAAGAGTATATGTATGGCATGCCTATATATAAATAAGCGCAAGATTGTTAGAGGTGATCTTAATATGCTTAATGCATATATTTCCTATATGGCAGGCAAATATATCATTCTGGCACCACATACCAATATGACTGTCTTTTCCACAGCCTAATAGCTAGAGGAAAACACCAAGTTTGAGCATCTTCTGTATAACAAGGCAATAAACAATATAAATAGTGCTAAAAATTGTAATATCAATAGTGATGATGATTGTGTACTGCACAAGACAGTATTAGCCACTATACTAATAGACAAGGTCTATAAGGCTGCATATAGCATATCCCTAAGTCCAACCCACATGTTGTGTCCTATAATGACCAGTAGCAGGCATTGGCTAACAATGACAACTCTAATGATCTTGCATGCAAGGCTAAGATACTAAGGTCTTTATAGCTTCTTGTGGCAGCTGCCAAGCTGCCAACAAAGTGGCTGGGGGCATCAATACACATTTCTCTTTTTCTATATCCCTTGTAAAGGCAGCTGGAAAGTCAGAAAAAGAGCTACAAGATAATGGTATAGGCATATATGAAGGAGAGTAATATGCTGAAATAGTATAGAATGTGCCATATCTTTACCTTCTCACTAATAGAGCAGTAGTACTTACTATTTCCTACTAATAATTAAAGACTTCTTAGTATAGAATTAGTGCTAATATCATGAAATTAGAAACCAATCCAATGCTCACAATGTGTTGCTCCCAATTAGGAAATTAGACACTTTTAAATACTATTAACACTTTTAGATACTTTTAGACACTATTAGATATAATCCAGAGCTAATACAAGGGGGTGTGTTTCCAGATGACACTTCTCTATAGTATAAACTTTTGATGGCAAATGAATTGAGTAGTTTTTGAAGCTGTATTGATATATATTTGTGTGCTCTCTGGTCTATAAATTGAATCCATGGTCTTGACTGTAAAAAATACAGATAGACTGTGGACTTGTTTGTAATCATTTGATCAATGCTTGCATGCTGTTGCTCAAGCATTGGACATTTGTTGTGGGGTGTGACAGTGGTTTGTCACAGTGTCAGACACTTGGCACAGGGTATGACAGTGTTTGTCATAGCATTGGACACTTGTTGTGGGGTGCAACAGTGGTTTGTCATAGCATTAGACACTTGGCACATAGTGCAACAGTGGTTTGTCACAGCATTGGACACTTATCATGGAGTGTGACAGTAGTTTGTCACAGTGTTGGACACTTGGTGCAGAGTGCAATAGTGGTTTGTCACAGTGTCAGACACTTGGCACAGGGTGTGACAGTGTTTGTCATAGCATTGGACACTTGTTGTGGGGTACAACAGTGGTTTGTCATAGCATTAGACACTTGGCACATGGTGCAACAGTGGTTTGTGACAGCATTGGACACTTGTTGTGAGGTGCAATAGTAGTTTGTCACAGTATTGGACACTTGGCTTGAGGTGCAACAGTAATTTGTTGCAGTATCTGTCACTTGTTACAAGAGACAATTATTCCAATGATTAATAGATTATTAGAGGATCAGACAATATGCACAGCTTACTATTTCTTTCTTTGATTTTTTGATTCAATACTAACAATCCCTATTTTTCTAAGACTAGACACTATTATGATGAAATTTGTTAAAAGCTAGCCCTTGTATTGCTTTGATGATTTGTCATTGCTAGTATTATTTTTGTTCATCACTTTTCCAGTTTTGTCCATGCTGCTTTACTTTGTATTTACAATTACACATTGTTTTTTTTTTAAGAAACTCTTTATAGCAAGGTGGCCTTTGCAGAAGGCCATGTTTGTGGATGTTAATCAAGAAATGTTGTGGATAAAAAGGCTATCTAACATTTGGTGCCAGGCAGTGCCCAAAGAGCTGTATAATGAACACTGAATTAATTACTGATTTTCATAGTATTATTTGCAATTTTTCATGTGTGACATAAATCCTGTGACATAAGAGTTAAATATTATCCAATTTTTATCCCGGGATTTACTGTAGGACCAACTTAAACAACATGTCTGAGCTTAAACTTAAGGTTATGTTACAGTTTTGTCCCAGGACAAAACCTTGGATAAGCTTTAAGTTTTTGTTTCGGTAATTCCCGCGGATAAACCTGAACAAAAACTTTATTTATATCCACGGTTTTATCCATGGTTTATCCCGGGAAAAACCGTGCGGTGCACACAGTGAGTGCACACATGATTATGAATTCAAGGAGGGACATTGTGTTTCTTCCCAGCCTTGCAAAGGCTAAGGCTGTCATTTCCTAGTTTTTTGATGGCTACTTAGGGTTGCTCTTCAGTGTGCTAGATTTGAGGTTTATACTTGTTGCCACCCTACAAGGTTGGTGTGGAGAACTGTTGTGAGACAAGGGTGTCACCTTGGGTAAACATAGGGGTGGGGCAAGTTTGTGACTTAGGAGGCTGTAGGTTCAGTATAGTCTGTGGCATGGTTGAGGAGGGGAGACAGTGGGGACAATGTTTGGACACAACTTGTTGCTGGTAAAACTATATGCGGAGAACAAATTTGCACTCCCCTTCTTCGATGCTCTATGTCCGAATGTCACGCTTGATACCTTGTATTTTTTGTACGAGTGCAACAACACACCGTGCATTTTCTTCACATACCAGAACCAATATATATGGGCTACACTAGACTATATAAAAAAAAATTGGATCATCAGGATCCTTCCTCGCATGCTCCGACTCATCCGAGGTGTGACATTGGGCTTGCAAAGGCATATTTTCAACATTTAGGAACATAAATCACCTTTAAAAAATCTCAAAGTTTCAGAAACCAAGTCTACACTATTTAAAGCAATTTATGGTCAAAATATTGAGGTTGATATGTTGAGCAATGAGCAAGAAACATAGACTGTCCAAACATAGGGCCAGTGATAGTAGAGGCTACATGCTTGATGCGAAAGAGGTCTATAATATATCCACGGATGTCTGGAGCTAGGCCAGGATTTTTGAAACAGGGACGTGCAGCTACGGTACATGTATACATATATCCATTCACCACATTGATTGATCACTCACTAAGACCTTTAGGCTCTCACACGATGTATAACTATGTTCAATAACTGTGTGCACTTCTCCCGGAACTCTTCAGGCTTTTCGGTGCCATCATATCTTACAATGATACATGGGGGTGGAAGCCAAACGATGGAGGGTCGAGTGAACTTCAACACAATGTTGGGGCTCTCATGTACGACGCATGCATCCATTCAGGGTTCTCGGACTGTCTACTCTTGATGCCCTTCCAAAATATGTCAATATTGTTGCCCACACCCTAAATAGGGTGCTTCTTCAAGTTCTCTCTAGTTCTCTCTCTTAGCAATATTAATAGAAGGTCAATGCTATGAAGCGGTACTGTATCTGGCAGGTTGGCGTGTCAGGTAAGGATTTTATTGGGAATGTGCCACTGATTAAAAGGGCGAGAATCTACCGACTGCACAGGCAAGAGGTATAAAACACAGAGGCTACAATTACTGCTGTTTTCAGAAAGGTTGGCACTACACGGATTTCGGTGATGTAATCAAAGTGTGCACGTGTGTGAGCCCCAAAAACTTTTCAGTCATATTTCGACAACCGCTATTGATACATGAATGAAAAAAGTAAATTGTGTCCTCCTTGAAAATCTGCAGGTGCAAGGCAAAAAAAATGGAGTGAAATAACTGTTTCAAAATTGACCAAAACACTCCCTACTCAAAAACTTTCCAGTCATATCTTTTGATTGGTGAAAAACATTAACATAATCTTGCTTGAACATTGTTCTGTGGAGATATCCCAAGGTGCAAGGATATAGATTGTCGAAAAACATCAAGACCTCATGAGTGCAGTGAACCTCTTCGAGGGAATCTGCAACCTGACTGTCCAATCATATCTCGGGAGTAGCGGATGCTATTGTCAAAAAAACAAAATAGGCTTGAAGCGGTAAGTACTTCTTGAGGTGCAAGGGCAAAAATTTGGACAACACACCAAGATTCCGTGGGTTAAGCCTGCCTTCTCCCCTTAGTACCTCTACCAGCACTTTCCGGTCATATCTCGGGAACAGCAGGACCAATCATCAGAATTCTAAATAATCCTAAAAGAGTAAGTACTTATGGAAATGCAAGAGCAAGAATAATGACGACAAACCGAGACTTCATGTGTCAAGCCAACCTTCTCCTTCCTCTCCCCACAGCTTTTTGGTCATATTTTGGGAACAGTAAGTGTGATGGTTACAAAACTGAATGTCCCTGGATTCTTGGATGGTTCTCAAGGTGCATGAGCAAAAATTGTGACAACACAACCAGTGCTTCAGGTTAAGGAGGCCTTTCAGGGTGTCTTCTCTTGAGCTCTGCATTGGAAATGAGTGCCAAGCATGAAAAGGCGTCAGAGATCAAAGTCAAATGCAAGAAACCTAAGAGCAAGGTGATCATTAGTTTCTGATGGAATCAAGTTACTGGGCCAGTCTCACATCTTTTGAGGGACATAATGTAGTAGACATGCCTCTTGCTGACATTACTAGAGAAAGCTGAAATCTTGTTTGTTGAAGTTGAGTGAGTGAACTGTGAGTGATATCTGACAGTCAGTTGTCTGAACATTTGTAGGGTTGCTGAGGATGATGGTAGAGGTTCAATGAGTTGTGAGCCCTGAGGCACATTAATCAAAGCTTAGCAGTCATTTGACTTACTACTGCCATCATGTCTTTATCATGGCTCTCAATCCTCAAGGCCTTGAGGACTCAAATGCAGACTTCCTTGCTCTTAATTTCCTATTTCTGACATCCTTTTATGCTTGGCACCCACTTCTAATATGGAGCTCAAGAGAAGATACCTTAAAAGGCCTCCTTGACCTGAAGCACTGGCTATATTATCACAATTTCTGCTCATGCACCTTGTAAACTATTCAAGAGCCCAGAAACATTTAGTTTTATGAGAATAGCTCTTGCTGTTTTTGAGATGTAACCAAAAAGCTGTGGAGAGAAGAGGGAGAAGGTTGGCTGAACACATGAAATCTTGGTTTGTTGTCATTATTCTTGCTCTTGCATCTCTAGGAGTATTAATTATTTCAGTATTATCTAGAATTTCAATAATTAGTCCTGCTGTTCCCAAGATATGCCTCAAAGGTATTGGTAAAGGTACTAGGGGGAGAAGGGAGGCTCAACTCATGAAATCTTGGTGTGTCATCCTAATCTATGTTTTTGTACCTCAAAAAACATTAACAGCTTCAAACCCATTTTGTTTTTTGGCCATAGCATTTGCTACTCCCAAGATATGACCAGAAAGTTAGGGTGCAGACACCTTTGAGGAAAAGGCCCACTGTGCTCATAATTCCTTGATTGTTTTTGACAATTTCTATGCTTGCACCTCAGGATCCATCCACAAAACAGTGTATCATCAAGATTTTATTGATATCTTGTGCCGATCACCAGATATGACTAAAAGAATTTTGAGAGAATGTTTTAGTTGATTTTGAGAATATGGTTATTCAACTCCATTTTTTGTGCCTTGCACCTGCAGATTTTCAATGAAAACACAGTACACTTGTTTTCATTCATGTAGCTATAGTGGTTGTCAAGATATGACTAAAAAGTTTTTGGGGCTTAAGCAGACGCATACTTTGATTATATCACCAAAATCCATATAGTGCCAACCTTTTTGAAAACAGCAGCAAACATTTGATCTATTTGTTTGCAAATCTTGTCCTTTCCTATGGGGACTTTGAAGGTCTCTGATGGGGCAACAGACAAGAAGAACCCTTCCTGTCTCAAAGGTCAGATGCTTTGGATTCATCAAGATATGACCTATTTATCTGTCCTTTTGCACTGACCTCTGCACCTAGTATTATGATTAGGTCTATCACAGCCCTAGTAGCTAACTGCTCTGATAACAATCATTACAACTACTAGGTGGCCTCATCACATAATGCATACATCATAGTATATGAGAATACCTTTGGTCATCCACTCCCAGTGGATAACACCATTGCTGGTCAAGTATTATAAGCATGTTGCAGATAGCCAATAAAGGCTTATACATACACACTCACAGAAAATAGAGATCTTTGTCTTCTTGGTTAGAAGGAGACAAGCAGAGAAGCAAAAGTAGCAGCTGAGAAAGAGCAGCAGCTTAGAGAATGCATGTATCTAGAAAAACATCCTCTTATAATTAGATCTAATTATTCAAAATGTAAATCTGAGCTGATTAGAATATATTATCCATAATCAACTTTATGGCCAAATTTGCAAGTAAGGGGATATTATCTATACTAATACAGTCCTATTGAAATCTACAACCTAAATACAATTTTACATATTCCAAATCCAAATGGTGTGAGTACTACTATTTTATTTTTAGTGTGTTATTTTTTTCAATTGATTTACTGTATTATTGTCTAGTAGTTATATTTAAATATCAAAAGCCCTGATTTTTAGGGTATTTATTGACTCCTTTATATATAGAATAGATAAAAGATAAATATGTAATAAAATTAGAAATATTGAGATTACCTTATTTATATTATCATATTTAGGTTACTGCATAAGTCACTTAGACCTTGTAGCTTAGTGGTTTAGAGCACTAGTCTGGGGTATGCAGGCATGAGGTTGTTGGTTTAATTCTGGTAATGGGCAAGTTTATTATAAGGTGTGACTTTAGTTTGATTAGTAAGCTCTATGATTAAAGGTATAGTAATAATAGAGGAATCATAGGACTTGGTTGGTTGCTATTTTTCCAAAGACCATACGATAAATTAGCCTTAATTAGCTCTAATTAGACCCTATAATTTCAGGATTAGATTGGGGGTAAGCTCGAAATCCTTGATGGTAATTAGAAAAAATCTAGCTATATTTATGCTTAACTATAATTAATTTGATGTGGAGCTTTTCCCTGATGCTCGCGCGATGTATCATCATTGTGTGATATTCTTGCAGCGAGAAGTTTGAGCAATTGCGGGCAAGCTATGTATAGTTATCGAATATATTTCTGCATCGTCTGAGAGCCTGAGGGTCTTCACGAACGACCAATTAAGGTTGTGGATGGACATATATGACGGCCATGTACCGTCGTTGTGCATCCCCACTCCAGAAATCCTAGCATAGTTCCGGACGTCCGTGAGCACATAGACCTCTTTCGCGTGCAGCATGTAACTTTCCATCGTCAAACTCTGAGATGGTTACTGAACAGTGTCAAAGAGTGCTGTGAACTCTTACAGATTTCCGTCATGACGATCGTAAGTACTAGGTATAGACGCGCCGGCGCAGCGCGGATCGCCCGGCCCAAAATCAGCTCGGGCTTGACCGGAACTCATCGTCCAAACTCGCGCACGTATACTATCGTTGCACCGGAGTTGCAAAAAAAAAAAAGATTTCTTCGTAACATCATCAATTAAGCTTCCTTTCGCTCCAATTTTTTATCATACCTGCGGAAGCTTCTTAAAATGTGTTCTGTTATTTTTTTATATTTTAGAGTGAACTGAAAGAATTGTTGTGATATGATGGAGAAGGTGTGTCCGAAAATGAGCAAAACTTGGGAGTTGCAAATCTTTCCGACGATCGGGTCACACGTCGTCACATGCGAATTTGAGCTCTGGTTGCGGGACGACTTGCGAAGCGGCGTTTCAAAAAGATGACCAAGCATCACGCGGCCCGAGGCTCCTTGTCACTCTGCCTGCCATCGGACACTGCCCGTCAAAAACAATTTGGTGAAGAGCATTGGAGTCTTCAAAGTCAAATAAATTTGTCTATATGTTTCCAGTAGTACCTGTTCATCTTCTCGATTTTTTCTTTTGGCAATTGAGCTCAAGGATCTGAGAGATCTTGAGCATCTTGTAGAGAACACTGTCCTGAAAACCATTATCCATTGCTTCCTCACTGCTGCACCCAATTTCTGTTCTTAAAAAAACGAAACTACTTGAAGAGTACTTACATGAACAACTATGAATTTTTTTGAAAGGTGCCGTCAAAAAATGCTGCGAGGAGCTCGATTTTGAACCTCCCATCCCGTTTGCAACTCCGGTGCAACGATAGTACGGGTCGGTCTCGTTTTCTCAGATTCTCTGCCGAAGGAGGTTTTCAACGCAAATGATGCGAAGCACAGCTCAATTTTGTCCAGTTCACACAGAGGAAGTATGGGAGCCAGTGTGTCAAAAGGAGGGAAAATAGATGTCTTTGGCAATCAAGATAGACAAGATGTAGGATAGACGGAATGCAATTTCGGAAACATCATGAAAAGATGAGAAATGCAGGTGAGGAAAATTTCTGTCCTTCACGCCGTGCTGGCGCTCACGCGGAGCAACTGGTAAAGCGCGATCACGAAGACATTGGCGGACCGCGTGAAACACGATCCAGACACTCACTCCAGTCCACCAGGTCCGAGCAGGTGGACGACGACGAAGACGACGACGACACAGACAAGGTCCAGATTGAGTATTCCTATCGACAATGTCGTCAGCTCCATCGGACACACTCCTGCACCCTCATCGATCCGAGACCAAAGCAGGAAAACAGCACGAATGCCGTGAAAGGGAAGGCAAGGGCGAATGTGCGATCGATGATGACGATGCGGAAGTCGTGTGGGGCGCGAAAGCATAGGGACAGGCGCAGAACAAAAGAGAAGGAAACGAATGCGAGAGAGGGCAAGAAACCATGGTGCGTACCCCCAGCTTCAGCTTGCCATCACCAACGATCCCGCCGCACCTCTATTCCTACCGCCACCCCGAGGGTCCACTCAGCCAGGCCATGAACCACCTCATTGGGTTGGTGTGACGATCCTCGAAGTCCCTCGCTGGGCAATTCTCGTCCTTGTGACGAGTGACCCCGTCGCGGCGTGCGTAGAAGAAGATGCCGCACCAGTCGCAGGGGACCTTCTTGAGGTAGTGGATGGTGACTATGTGCCGCCTGCGATCGTACTTGCGTGCGAACGACATGTTGTTGCACGCGAGGCAGCGCAGTGGGTCCCTGCCGTAGATCTTTTCGTCGATGACGACAGCGGCCTCGCGCTTACTGGCACTGAGACTAGTCTCGTCTCCGAGCTGGTGCTGGCCCTCGTCGTGATCTTCCTCATCTTGAGGCTCGTCGGCCTCTTCCTGGTCGTCCGCAGGCATCGATGTTGAAGGCCCTCCGCTAGACAGCGGTACAGGCTCGATGACGAACTCACCTGTTGGGTTGTCCACCTTGTGGGTGGACGTTGTTGATCTATCGTTGTTCTGGTTGGGGGCGCTTCCATCGACCTGTGGAATGACCACGGGCATTGGGCGTAGCCCTCCAAATACCATGATCGGACCCGGGGCAGGCTTCGGCGCGATGCGCCTGAGCCCACTCTCCAAAGGCCAAATCATCTCGCTCATCTCGCTCTCCGGCGCTCCGCCCCCTATCTCCATCCCCATCACCTTCCCACTCCCTCCCTCATCCGCACTCATGTCCCTCACCATACTCGCCTCGGACATCACCTCCCCCAGCCGTTCATCCACCCTCGCCCTCTTTGACTGCGGCTGCCCCTCTGCGTCCACCCGTCGCTTCCTCGTCTCCCGCCGGAAGACCCATGAGTCCCACCGCGGGTCAAGTCGCGCCTTGATGGTGGTGCGCGCCATATCCACCCAAGGACCCTTGAAGGGCCTCACGGCGCCTTCTAATGACGGGTAGGTCGATCGTTGCGCGTCCGCTGGCATGGCGCGCGACATTGAAATGGCATCGGGGGCGGTGTGCAGGGCGGAAGCGATGGGGGTGGTAAGTGCGGTCGGGGTGGCGGGTGCGATGAAGTCCGGCTCAGCAGGGTTGGCGGCGGGAGGTGCGGCAGGTGCAGCGGGGGACGTGCGTTTCCCTGGACTGGGGCTGTGCGGCCCCGTCAGTGTGTCAAGGATAGGTATGGGCGTCGGTGCGGATGCATACGGTGCCCAGAGATGAGGTGCCAGCACTGGTGGAGAGGCGTATCCCCAGTCAGATGGGACCACGGGGATTGGGGCGGAAATGGAGAACGGGGGAGAGACGGAGGAGGGGGCGGGGTTGGTGGACATGGCGGGGAAGTGCGAGCCCGCCTCATGCAATCTGGAGCGCAGGCGCTCATAGGGCTGGCTGTAGCCAGCCATGTGTTGAGGGACCTGTAGTCCCCCACGGCTCCGTGCGATATGCGCGCCCTGGCAGCACAGAGGAACGGCTCGTGAGTGGCACCGCCGACGTGTCAGACCGAAAGGAAACGTACTTCCGTCATAATAATGAGCTCTTGCTCATCATCAGTGTATTGGGACCCTGAGGATCCCGCGCCAGGAGCTGTATGAAGGTTGTTCTGGTAAAACTCAAGGCCCTGAAGGACATCTACGCACTCGCAAGTTCTTCCTGCATCCAGGACGGCCAGCCGTGTATGCCGTGCGACATGGCTTCGTGCTACGGATGCTTGTGGAAGGTTTTCAGTGGTAGGTAGGTCGACTGGTGAAGCTCGGATGGGCGGTCGATGGTTAGGCTCCTCTCATCAAGTCATCCAGATATACTACTGCCCTCGGGGCGAACGCTAGCCGACTTCTCGAACCATTCCATGGTCCGACGATCATGCCTTGTTCTTTGATGCCGCATAGCCGTATTTTCTCGCCTATTGACATCGAGTTCTGAACCAGAAATGTGGTGCCGTCATTGTTCGAAGGTGGGAAAGGGCTATCCTATGTCTATTACGAAATGGGCACTGCCAGCGCCGAGTGCTGAAACAAATTTCTGCCTCATGTTCACCCTTCACGAGGGGAGCGTGTTCAACTGAGCATATACGTCTGTGTTTCTGGGGTGCGTTACTTGGTATCGTTTTGCATCTGAACCTTGATGGAGTCGGGATGGTGCAAGTGGCTTCATGGCGGGGGCGAGGGCTTCGGAACAAAGCAAGGATGACGAGGAATTTACCCACGTCGCGGTTGCCCGCTTACACCGTCGATCGGTGCTCGACCATAGCGGTCAACACAGTCACCAGTCGGTTTTCCCTCGTTCGGGTTTCTTCTCCAGACGCATTTTCTTTCCTGTTCATATGTTATGTGTCATGCATGGGACTTTTCACCATTGTTTTATGCTTTCTCGTGCAGATCCTGTGTGTCGCCAGTTCAAATTAGGCCTCGTGTCTCAAAGTTGTAGGCGCATCAGTGCGCTTGATTTTGGGAATCGTGCCATCGAAGGGGATTATGGAAGATCATTCGCCTCCGAACTTCGAATATTCTAGCCGCTTATGGGATCCATTGTGATGCGCGTGTCCTATTCCGTTCGCAGGTACGCCAAGGCACGTTTCTCCGCGTCATTTTTATCCCCTTTTCCTCTCTCACAAATCGTGGTTGCAGCACAGCGTCTTGGCCAGGTGTGCTCTTTCGGGCTTGATGGTGCGTGAGAGGGCAGGCGAGCTGACTATCACTATGAGTAACATGGAGTGGATGCGCAGAGCCGGATTTGGGGTCCATTGTTGTCGGATTCAAGTGGCAATGTTGAATATGGGCCCCCCTTTTACTTATGTGCGATTGGTCATGAAGTTGTCGGAGCTACACGCCGCCTAGTGAGATGTTTCGTCACTAGGGTGCTATTGAGCTTGGACTCGCAGGTGTCTACCTTGCATCTGCACACAATATCAACCTCCGCCTTCTACACAACCAGTCTGTGTCCTCGCCTCACTTCGACACCCGATCGATAGCCGGGTCATCTCCCGTCTCATATCGAGCCCTCGTCATGTTTGCTGTATGAGTCGACGACGTCGAAGGATTCCTTTGGTGATCGTCATCATTCCATCGATCAAGCGAGGCGATGGCAAAGATTCTGGAGCATGCTTGTTGATACGTACCGCCGACCCAGTTGGTATACTGTATGCCTCCTCCCACTCCTGGTCCTCTCTAATATTCACAATCTCACTGGCTTTCTGGTTCTGTTTTTGTTATACTGAAGTTATTCGTATCTCACCTAAGTCCATCACTCCCCGGTCGAAGTCAGAACTGGATGTCTGCGGTTACCACTGGCAAAGCTACATGTCTATATTCAATCTACAACATGATAACACCTTTTCCATTCTGATTTCAGGCGCGATCTATGCAGCAAGGCTTCGGGAGAGAGCTTGCCATCATGGCATTATTCATGGGATCACTGGAAGACTCCTCAATGGGAAGAGCGCGTTTCGTACAGGACTCGTTGCTCTTGAGCTCGAGAGCAGTGTAATAAAATTGTGTTCGGGAAAAAATGCTTGACCTTACAAGGCAATTTCTGAGCCTCTGTTGAAGATTCCTTAGCCGTTTCATCGAGGAAGACATATAGTCAGAAGAAGAACAATATAACGGATAACGGACCAATGGACGACATGCTCCTCAGCTCCTTTTGAACCACTAGACCGACATTTCCTTATTACCACATGATAGAATAGCAAGAGTGGTCTCGAATGTTTTCGATGAGTATACTACGTTGACAAGATGTCTTGTACTCGTCAGAGTGGGAATAAGTTAAGGAATATAGAGCATGTCTCTTTTCCGTAGTGAAAGGCGACTGTGGCAAAGTTGGAGGCGGTGAGTGCTTCAAAACAAACACAGAGAGTGTAGGAATCGGTGATTTGTGACGGACACCGATATTTAATGGATCATAGATGTCGTATACAAGATACAAGTTGTCGTTGAGATGGAACGGTGAGGCCAACCGCGCCACTCGACGGTGGTGGGTGTTAGAGGACAAGTTGAAGTGGGCCCGCTGCTATGGCGCTGCTTGCTCACTATTTCAACTTCCGCTCTCAGAACCCTCTGTTAACGCTGAGCGAAGACGCGTCGGGACGCTAAGTCTCATACCCTGCGAGAACATTAAAAAAAATACACATTCAGTTGAGCAGGCCTTGTGGGTATAATCCATGTCCTCTGGCGCGAACTACATTCCGTTGTAGGTTCCCGGCAGCAGCAGCCATCCTCGAGCAAAAATTTCCCCATTTTATCGTTCTTTTCGTCTTTCTCAGTAGCAGTGGATGTGTCATCGCCGTCGTCGTCCAAGGTCGCGCCAGACCCAGACGCAGGTGCAGAAAGAAATGCAAGGATGGTGTATAGATCAGCAGCACGTCGGCCGAGGGGAACACAAAGTCGCGGATCTTGACGAGCAGTGACCACCGCCGCGGCTGCGCTAGGCATTACCTGTGCGAAGACGCGAATGTTGAGGTAGGTGACGCGGTGAGAATGGAGAGCGTGAAGAGCGCCAGGGCTATCATCGGCATCAGAGTGAGAGGGTTGAGCGAGGTATCGTCGGTTGCCGCGGCGGCGTCCAAGTTGATGGAGGGGCCAACCGAGGACGCAAGCGACAGCGAATTAAATATGGTGCGTGGCGGTGGATGCCGGGTAGGAGGAGCTGGTCAATGCTGCAGCGGACGTGTAGTAGATGGTGGAGGGCGAGGGCGAGGGCGAGGGCGAGGCGGGGCGCTTGGACGTGCGGAAGGCGCGGTGTGCATGGGAAAGGTGGTGCATAGGAGAGGTGCGAGGGCGTGGCAGGCGACCCAGCTGTGAGCATTGTTATGTTGAGTGTGAATATCGTGGAAGTCAGGACGGCAAGGGGAAGGTCGTGGTCGTATTCACTGCCATTATCGTGGTCGCGGGAGCTGAGAAGGTTGCACTCGTCGGAGTAGGCGTCAACAATGCGTCGATGTGTAATCTACGGGAGCGGTGTTCATGCTGGTGTTGAAGACAGCGCCCTGGCGCCGACTACATTGTAGAAGGCTTGCCAATCGACCCGTCGCGGGTGCTGTTGCGACATGCCTGTCGTAGATTGTCGTCGCGGCAAAAGATGCGCCTGGGTAGCGAGCAGATCTTTCGAGCTGTTGCGGAGAGATGTAGGAGGCTGCAAGCTCGTGGGATGGAGAGGGGACGGGCAGAGAGGAAATAGAGCTGAGATAGACGTAGTCTGCATCCAAATTTGATGCTTTGGCGCGGAGTCCAGCGACCTGCCTTATTGGGAAGGTCGGCAGGAGACGGCAGGGCGAAGACACTGAGAATTCTGTCTCCGACTTAAGTATGCCCACGTGATTTGTCTCGTATTTGTTAGGAGACTTAGGGGCCGGAAAATACAGCTGTTTCCACATATTTTATCCCTCTCTCAATGGTTGGAAATCCCCTGAGGGTATTTTCTACATTAAAGAAACTCTAAGCACTCTTTTACCTTGGCCAAATGGACCCCACAACTAGCAGGTTCACAGCACTGCCAATATCCTAGAAGGAAATAATCCACTCATTATTGCTGCCTATGGCAAAGGCAAAATGGCAGTCACAGACTTACATCTAATCTTGGCCTTCCATTTATCAAAGAAGGCTTTGGAATCTTTGCCTCCTTTTGCAAGAAGCATGCCATCGAATGCCATGGTCTTGATGGTCACCTTCCTGATTAATGTCAGGCTATGTTAGGTGAGTTCTAAATGTAACAGCAGAGATTGCTAGTCTGATGGGTGAGGAGGTGGATGAGGTGTCTAGGATGGGGGTTAGAGCAGTCTCGCTAGACAAGGAGATGGTGAGGGAGGCATACTAGAAAGGCAGAAACTTATTAAAAGAGGTTGAACTGGGGAAGTGGTCGGTCATCATTGTTTCTCTAGAATGGTTGAACTCACCAGAATTTGAGAGGATTGTACAAGGTGACCACTTCAGGAAGATATGTGATTGACAAGGCACATGTTGTCCTTCTATGGGCCACAGACTTCCACAAGGCCTATGGTCAGATCAACTATCATCTATAAAACCACCCCCTTGTATTAGCTCTGGATTATATCTAATAGTGTCTAAAAGTATCTAAAAGTGTTAATAGCATCTAAAAGTGTCTAATTTCCTAATTGGGAACAACATATTATGAGCATTGGATTGGTCTCTAATTTTATGATATTAGCACTAATTCTATACTAAGAAGTCTTTAATTAGCAGTAGGAAATAGTAAGTAATACTGCTCTATCAGTAAGAGGGTAAAGATGTGGCACATTCTATACTATTTTAGCATATTACTCTTCTTCATATATGCCTACACCATTAATATGCCTGCACCATTATTTTGTAGCTCTTTTGCTGAATAATAGCTGCCTTTACAAGGGACATAGAAAGGGAGAAATATGCATTGATGCCCCAGCCACTTTGTTGACAGCTTCATCTGGAAAAACACCCCCTTGTATTAGCTCTGGATTATATCTAATAGTGTCTAAAAGTATCTAAAAGTGTTAATAGTATTTAAAAGTGTCTAATTTCCTAATTGGGAGCAACACATTGTGAGCATTGGATTGGTTTCTAATTTCATGATATTAGCACTAATTCTATACTAAGAAGTCTTTAATTATTAGTAGGAAATAGTAAGTACTACTGCTCTATTAGTGAGAAGGTAAAGATATGGCACATTCTATACTATTTCAGCATATTACTCTCCTTCATATATGCCTATACCATTATCTTGTAGCTCTTTTTCTGACTTTCCAGCTGCCTTTACAAGGGATATAGAAAAAGAGAAATGTGTATTGATGCCCCCAGCCACTTTGTTGGCAGCTTGGCAGCTGCCACAAGAAGCTATAAAGACCTTAGTATCTTAGCCTTGCATGCAAGATCATTAGAGTTGTCATTGTTAGCCAATGCCTGCTACTGGTCATTATAGGACACAACATGTGGGTTGGACTTAGGGATATGCTATATGCAGCCTTATAGACCTTGTCTATTAGTATAGTGGCTAATACTGTCTTGTGCAGTACACAATCATCATCACTATTGATATTACAATTTTTAGCACTATTTATATTGTTTATTGCCTTGTTATACAGAAGATGCCCAAACTTGGTGTTTTCCTCTAGCTATTAGGCTGTGGAAAAGACAGTCATATTGGTATATGGTGCCAGAATGATATATTTGCCTGCCATATAGAAAATATGTGCACTAAGCATATTAAAATCATGTCCAACAATCTTGTGCTTATTTATATATAGGCATGCCATACATATACCCTTGTCCCCACCCTCTACCTCACTAGTGGCTATTTGGAAAACCCCTCTCTCTTATTGGATCTTGATTATTCATAATCATGTTTTTGATCAAATTTGCAAATTCAGGTAGCATTGTCTATACTAGTAGAGTCCCATTGAATATTATACTCAATCATAGTTTTACACATTCTCAGTCCAAATTGTATAAGTGCCATAATTTGTTTTTGTCCTATATAAAGTGTATTATTGATTTTCCATTGGTTTATTATCTTCTTAGCTGGTATTTAAACTAAATCCTAAAAGACCTGACTTTTTAGGTATTTATTGACCTATTTAATTATAAGAGAGAGGAAAGATAAATGTTGAATAAAATCAGAGATGTTGAGGTTGCCTATATTATGTCTACTTATTTAGATTACCAATTTTTTATATTAGACCTTGTGGCTTAGTGGCTTAGAGCATCTGTCCTGGGTGCTTGCATGCATGAGGTTGTTGGTTTAACTCTGGCAAAAGGCAAGTTTGTTATAAGGTGTATTCTGTGTTTAGGTATTTAACTAGTGCTCTAATAGACATGATTCTATGAGAAGGCTATGAGAAGCTATAATGCTTGATTTATTATGATTTTTCCGAAATTTCAAGTTATAATCTATCCTAATAATTCCTAATTTAGGAAAATTATGTCTAATTAGAACAGGTTTAGAGGGGGGGTAAGCTAAAAATATCTAATCCTAATCATTCTTAATTATGCATAAATAGAACTAATTAGAGCTTAATACAAGGGGTGGTTTTCCAGATGCACCCACATCAATGCAGGCGAGAGGAAACTCATGGGGCTTGACCGCTCTGAACCCCCACCAATGACCCCACTCCTGCCAATGAGTATTACATGCCATCTATGGCTGTGGTATCTTGCACCTCATCTTTGGCTTCAAATAGAGGTCTGCTTCACCCCATGCCAGGGACTTATTCCACCAGCCCTGACTAAGGGGTCTATAGGTTCACATGTCCTTCCCCTTGCTTTCAAGCCGTACCCCTGACCTTTGGCCTCTAACATCCTCCTACGCGCACTTGACCCCCTGTCGTCAAATATGACTCTAGTGGCTCCGGCGCACTCCCCCTCATCAACCGCCACCACAATCTTTAAAAGGGATAACCATCGTCCGGTATGACGTTAAACTGCCAGGGCAGACAGCAGTTCAAATCCGTTGGGCCGGTACTCACTGCCACAATGAGAAAAGGGACTTAGTTCTAAGATGCAGTCCCTATGTGGTTCTAATAAGGTGAGGTATTATGGTGTCCATACTCAAGGGCTATCGCGCCATGGCTTGGCAGTGGGCAATGAGAATTGATGCCCTAAATATTATTCTTCTATGACCCGTGACTTTATACACATTGCTTATGTTTCTCTTAGACTTTTACCTACCGTCTTTGGCACTGACAGCCTAGAGGGGGGGGTAATGTTATGAACTGCCTACTGTACCTTTCTTGTTTCTCCCATGATTTGTATAAGGACACATAGGACCTTTCTCCCAACTATACCTTGCATTCCCAATCTATTGCTACTTGGTCCGTGCTTTTGCTTGTATATATTTATAGCGGCTACAGAGCAGTAAGAAAGCCCTAGGCTATCCATCTCTGTCCAATCTAGGAACTGCTGTTAACTAGTCTTCCCTGATTCTCAAGCATTGGTCTGATTAGCTTCACTCCTTCACATCCATCAACTTATTCCTGGAAGTATTGACTTGTGGACTAGGAATCTTTTGTCCTGAACAGTCGTTCATAATACCTACCAGGTGAATAAGACGTAGAAAGGGGGAATTGTTATAATTATGACTTATCGGGCCTTAATGGAGGTCTATTCTGATATGATCATCACAAGCACCATATGGCCTTGTATCCCGAGGTATACACAAAAGTACAGATATTACCCTGGTCATCCACTCCCAATGGATCACCCATCATTGGTCGAGTATCATGGGCCTATTGCAGTGGAGAGAATTCCCCACCTTACAAACTACTCACACAATGGGCACAGAACCCCTTGACCTCTTGGTCAGAAAGAGGCAATCGGAGAAGCAAGAGTAGTCATTTCAGAAAGAGAGAACGACTTAGAGAATACCTATGGATACATATATGATATTCTCATGCCCTTCCCAAAGTAGTATATAAGGCCCATAGAATAGGCTAAGGATCTTTAGTCTATTCTTTTTGTCCAGTACTATCTACCTACAGTACACACTACCCTCCTGTGCCAACAAGCACAGTAACTGCAATACTACCTGGCTCCTGTGCTACGCAGACAATTAAGACCATTGTTCCACCCTTCCTCTGCAAGTGACCTAGGGAAGAACCTCCTACTCTTGGGGCTACTGAATGAGCAGTTTATAACACATGTAACACCATGTAAAGTAAACTAGTTGAGAACTGCCTTGATGCTCATCATCATATCTTGAGAAACAGTGTGATGACTTTTCTGCTTGTAAATAGCTCATTCCACCACCTTTTTGGTCAACCCCCTATGATATGCATCTATAAAATGCCATAAGCAATTAAAGAAGTGACGAATGACCTCAATAGGACAATTGTTGAGGCATTTACGTGCATGCTTTTTTGTATCATCAAACCTCTCCTTATAAACCTCACAATACCTATACTTAACAAAACCCCAGTACTGCCAAAAAAAGGGAATCAATAAACAGAGAGAAATAAAATTGAAAATAACAGAATAAGCAGTTTACTTATCATCTTAATCAGGTTAAGCTCACAATGGAATTTTGGGAGAAACATACAGATGTGACTGTGAGCAGTAATCTCCTGTTTAAGAAGGGAGACTTGATTCTTGACACTGGCCTAGTTTAAGAGAAGATGAGCCATGTAACAATGCTCATTCTTAATTGAGCACACTAGCGAGCACTTGACCCATATGCACATCACCTTGACAATGTTTTTGGCGATAAAATATCAATATTTCTAGCAATTTTTTGATAAATTCATACAGTACTTATTGAAAGGAGTCGATTGGTGTATTTTACATGATTTATAGACCTTTTTTGGGGGTCAGCCAATTTTTGGAGATTTCCAGGTCAAAGAATTACTTTTTCTGGACTAATGGCTCATAGGATTTTACTCAAAATATTTTCATGACATATACTCAAGCATTGCTATTGATTCCGGTGTAACTGGGAAGCCCTAGAAATGGGTATCAAAATTTGTCGACTTTGCTTGTCCGCGACTGTACTACAGTCTGGGTCACATAAGATAGGCCACATGCAAACATGACTACATCACGTGGAGTTACTTTTAACATGACAATTGGTGACCGTCAAGTGACAAAGAACATGTTAAGTAGGTAATCAATAATATTTGTTACTGATAAGTGAGTTAAGGGATAGGAGAGACAGAGAGCCTGCGGTGAGAGACACAACAATATCAGAAAGATATTACTTGATGTTGTCTAGCTGGTATAAGATAGTGTCTGGAGGTGTGCAATGGCCATGGTAAATTTTTGCTACCCAACTTGCCTGCTTGCCAGACAATCCTTTTCAATAAGCATCCATAAACCGATGTGCTCGTATGGAGAATCTATTGGCATGGCAAGTTAGATATAAAGTTAGCCTTGGTGAGGACCTGCACTCAAATGTGAGGACTCACCGTCATATAAATTAAATTGGAACAGCAGCAAGAGCTTTCTTTACATTTTGTTTGAGGTCAGCCTCCTTTGAAGAGGGAGGCAAATCTCGGTATATACACTTTGCACACCCCTAACACTGCTCAATTGGACTGAGCTCACAGTGAAATTTTGGAAGAAAAATAATTTAAAAACCACAAGCTCAACAATGATGTTAGAAGTTAGCCCACCAGCACTGTACTTACGATACGGTATTTTCCGGACTTTGTTACTTATGTGACCATACCGTTACCGTGACACCTCAGCGTCTTCTGTTCATACGCTGAGGTGAGTATCCTGCGCGCCCTGGTAGTCTTATTGTATCCTAACATATCATCCTAGGATTATCGTGCAGGTACACTAATACATACATAGCGTCTTCTGTTCATACGCTGAGGATTATCGTGCAGACTTCTGACAGGTTATGGGCCCTGCATTTGCCTAACGAATCCCCAGAAGCACGCTCACTGATCGTACAAGATCTTCCCACATCGAAGCTGATCCAAGATGGCCACAACCACAAACTCAGTCATCCCCATTGAGCCAAAGTTGAAAGACCGAAAGAGTTACGGCCTTTGGGCTTTTAAGATGGAGAGAGTACTGGAGGCACGCGGAATTTGGAACGTCGTTGGCGGCAATACCGTCACGACGCCACCTACCGACGACCCAGCCCTACCATTGTGGAAGGAGAGAGATGCAAAGGCGAGGGCGCAGATTGCTCTCTACGTCGAGGATGCACTGGTAATTTCAATCATGAAGGCGAAGTCAGCGCACTCGATGTGGGAGATCCTCCGCACGCTCTTCGCTGAGCAGAATTCCCTCAATCAGTCACTAGTCGAATCACAGTTCTACTCAGTCCGCATGTCCCCCGGCCAGGACGTGAAGCTCCACCTGGACCTACTACAGGACCTCTACAACAAAGCCGTCGCCGTCGGCTCCCCACTCGAGGACAAAATCCTCGTTCACCGGATCATCACCTCCCTTACCTCCGATTACGACTCCCTCATCAGTTCCATCACCGACACGTCCAAGGTTACGTCCGAGCAATTGATCGCCCGTATCATGCTGGAAGACCAACACCGCCGAGTCCGCGATGGCACCAAAGCAAACAGCGGAAACGTCGCCCTGTGGATGGGCGATAACGCACGTGGAAGAGGGAGAGACAGGGGAAAAGGACACGGAAAGCATCGTGGTGGGGGCCGAGGCAAAAGTAAAGGCGGCAGCAGCGGGAGACAAGTCGAGTGCTACAAATGCCACCAGCTAGGGCATTACGCACGCGACTGCCCCACAGGCAGCAGTAGGGGAAGACCTGTAAACAAAGATCAGTCCAATCTAGCGAGCGAGCGCGAGGCGTCGCTCTTTAACTTCTCTTCGCCGCCCGAACAAGCCCTCACGACGAACGCCAAGTCAAACACCTGGGTCGTTGACTCGGGATCATCATCCCATGTTGCAAAGCGGGAGGAGATGTTCGCCGAATACTCGCCAGGCGAGCGCACGATTGAAACGGCCAAGAAGGGCCACACAATGCGCGCCGCCGGCACAGGCTCCGTCACCATTTCGACTGGGCAAGCCGGCAAGCGGGTAGACTCGGTGCGGCTGCGTAACGTGCTGCACACGCCCGACGCGACAGAGAATCTACTTAGCGTGAGCAAGCTCGACCGCGCCGGGGGATCAGCTGTTTTCGGAGGGGGCAAAGTCGTCCTGCTGAACAAGGATCACAAACGAATCGGATCCGGGTCTCTCGTCAGAAGTCTCTATTACCTGGATACGATCGGCCGCCCAACGACAAACGATCAGCCCCCTACACCACCACCCATTACCCCCGAGACCGCTTTCGCCGCCACCTCACTAACGCAAGCCTTATGGCACCGGCGTTACGGCCACCTAGGGCAAGGGAACGTGGACCTTGTCATTTCGAAGGGTCTCGTCGATGGGATCAAACTCACATCGAACGCAAAGGCGCCGACGTGTGAGGACTGCGTCTACGGAAAGCAGCACCGTAAGCCTTTCCCGAAGCAGGCAGACCACCGGGCAAACAACTTACTGGAATTGGTCCACATGGACGTATGCGGCCCAATGGACAAGAACGGGATCGGGGGCGAGCGGTACTTTGTCACCTTTACCGACGACAAGGCCTGTTTCTCCACCGAATACCGCATGCGGCAGAAGAGCGAGGTGCTCGACCGCATGAAGCAGTTCAAGGCCATGGCGGAGAAGCAGACCGGCCAGCCGTGGAAACGCATCCGGTGCGACAATGGCACGGAGTACCTCAACAAAGAGGCCCTCGACTGGTTGAAAGCAGCGGGCATTGCCCTAGAGACGACGGCGCCATACACCCCGTCACAGAACGGCGTTGTGGAACACCTGAACAAGACGATCGTGGAACGTGGCCGCGCAATGATGCACGAAACCGGCCTTCCACGATTCCTGTGGCCAGAGGTGGTGTCAACATCGATCTATTTAAAGAACCTCGGCCCGACCGTCGCACTCGAGGGCAAGACCCCCCACGAGGTATGGACCGGCCAGAAACCGAACGTCAAACACCTTCGCGCATTCGGCTGCAAGGCGCTCGTGAAGATACCTGATGAAAAGCGCCGCAAGCGCAAGTGGGACGTCAAGTCAACCGAGTGCGTGCTGATAGGGTACTACAGCAACGCAGCCTACCGTTGCTACGAGCCGCGGACCCACAGGATCGTGAAGTCGCGCGACGTCGTCTTCTTGGAGGACGACTTGCCGCTGGCGCTGCGGAAGCTGCCCATGGCCGAGAGGGGGGAAAACGACTTCCATGTCGCCCAGGAGCCGCCCACGGACACTCCCCCACCTCCCAAAGCGAGCCCTGACAACCCTACAATAAAGTCGCCATTAGCCCAACAAACACCACCACCCATCCATCCTCCCGACCACCTACCTTCAGAGGGGGCACCAGGAACGCTGAAAACGCGCCCAGGAGCCGCCCAGCAAGCGCCGCCCGAGCCGCCTGAGCCCAGAACAAGCACACAAACACCGGCACCCGCCCAGTTCACTCTCAGAAGGAGTGAAAGGGCACGAGAGCCCTCGTCATTGAGGAAAGCCGCGGACCTGCAGGAGGCGACCGAGCGAGCTCGCAAAGACGCGAATAGAGAGGCGAGGGAGCAACGGAAGGACCGGGAAAAGAAACGAGACGAGGCAGCGCGCGACGAGAGGGAGGAGGCAGAGGCAGAGGAAGACGAGGCAGCTGTTGAGCGCTCGTTGTTCACAGTGGCCGTCGAGGCAGCGCTGTTGACGGCGGGTGAGGAGCCCCGCAGCTACCAGGAAGCCATCCGAAGCGCAGAGCGCAACGACTGGCAGAGGGCGATGGAGGAGGAGTACGACGCCTTGTTGAAGAACAAGACGTGGGAACTCGTCGAGCCGGCGAAAGGCCGCAAGCCGATTGGCTCGAAGTGGACCTACAAGGCCAAACAAGACGGGCGTTTCAAAGCCCGACTCGTCGCCCAGGGTTTCACGCAACGCCCCGGCGTTGATTTCCACGACACTCACTCCCCAGTTGCTCGCTTCGAGTCGTTTCAACTTGTTTTCTCACTTGCTGCCAAGGAGAACTGGCTCCTCGAGCAGATTGATGTCAAATCCGCCTACCTTAATGGGAAACTCGACGAAGAAAAATTCATGAGGCAACCCGAAGGCTTCCAGGTCCTCGGAAAAGAGGACTGGCTGCTCCGCCTGCTCAAATCTCTCTACGGCCTAAAGCAATCTGGTCGAATCTGGAACAGGATGCTTAACGACGAGCTCCTGAAGCTAGGATTCACTCGCTGCCGCTCAGACTCCTGCGTCTACCTCCGGGTTTCAAACAAAGGCCGCGCCATCATCGTCATTCACGTTGACGACATGATCTTGGCTGCGAGCACAAAGAGGGCGATGACGGAACTCAAGGAAGACTTCCGCGGGCTCCCATTCGAGACTACGGAACTGGGGGAACCACGCACACTGCTCGGTATGACAGTCTTCCGGAACCGAGACAAGGGTATCATCTCACTCTCGCAGACGCACTACCTCCGTAATGTCTTGAAGCGTTTTGCGATGATGGACTGCAAGCCCGTTTCGACGCCCATGGACCCCAGCACCCACTTGTCAAATGAGCAGTCACCCCGACTCTACTCCGCAGAATGGGAAGAGATGCGGAAATATCCGTACGCCACCCTGGTGGGGGCGTTGATGTACGCGGCACTCGCTACGCGCCCCGACCTTGCCTACACGGTCAACACCCTGGCACAGTATATGTCAAACCCCGGAATGGAACACTGGCATGCCGCAAAACGCGCCCTGCGGTACGTGAAGGGGACGTTGGACTTAGCTCTGACATATGGGGGAGACGAGAACGACTGGACCCCCGTTGGCTACACGGACGCCGATTTTGCAGAGAGCCGAGATAACCGCCGCTCAATCTCCGGATATGCCTTCTTCCTTGCCGGAGCAGCGATTTCTTGGAGCTCAAAGAAACAACCTACCGTCGCTTACGCGACCGCCGAGGCAGAATATATTGCCATCTCGCACGCCACAAAAGAGGCACTTTGGCTTCGCTCACTGCTCTCGGAACTCGGATTTCCTCAGTCATCCCCCACCCTTATCCGCTGCGACAACCAGGCTAGTATAGCCATGTCGAAGGACCATGTCTACCACGCTCGAACGAAGCACATTGACATCAAGTACCACATCATCCGAGAGAGGGTTGAGATGGGGGAAATCCGTCTGGAATATGTGCGGACGGACGAGAACGTGGCGGACGTTTTGACAAAGGGTTTAGCAAAAGGAAAGCACGTCTCATTCTCCACTAATCTAGGCCTACTGCCGGGCTAAGGGGGAATGTTAGAAGTTAGCCCACTAGCACTGTACTTACGATACGGTATTTTCCGGACTTTGTTACTTATGTGACCGTACCGTTACCGTGACACCTCAGCGTCTTCTGTTCATACGCTGAGGTGAGTATCCTGCGCGCCCTGGTAGTCTTATTGTATCCTAACGTATCATCCTAGGATTATCGTGCAGGTACACTAATACATACATAGCGTCTTCTGTTCATACGCTGAGGATTATCGTGCAGACTTCTGACAAATGAGTCTCCAATATAGACTTGACATTCTCAAAGTCAGGCTGACTGTAAAGCAGTCGATGATAGCAGCAGCGAGAAGTGTCATTCAGACACTTGAACCTAGGGCATTCCACTCGTAATTCTTAAACATCATGATACCTGCACTCCTCCAAAATTCTTACCATGCCTTTGAAGACACCAGCCGCATGATCTGGATGCTCGCCATCAGAAAAATACAGTGACTGGGGGTGCCCATCAAACATAGCGTCAACCATCTGCACTTTCTCCTTTATAACCTTTCCATCCACACCATGAACCAGCTTTCCATCGGCATCAAGCTTATTCCGAAGGACACCAAAGTTAGAGGGACCGGTAGACTTGGAGGGAAATTTGGGCATCTTTCAGGCTGATAGAGCATTATCAGGCCACTTTAGGTGAGTTGTTGCATTGTTAAAAATCAGGATATGTTTGTCATAGGGAAAGTGATCCTCAAGAATGTTCATCCCCTTTGTTGTGTGCTCCAAGATATCACTATTTGTGAAATATCCATTGTGCGCCTTCCCTGTCTTGAAATAGACTTGTGCCTCTACTGCTCCATCAAGCGACCACAGCCAACCATAGTCAGCAGAGATGAAATCGGCCACTATCAGTGAGGTACCCTCTCCTTTTGATTGTGGGACAGCATTCTCACCGGTGTGAACCCAGTGGACATGCTGTCGATTGTTTGCATAGAAGGTTGACTCATCATGATACCAGATGACAGTACAGTGCTCTTGTGGACATGGACCATCTCTCCCCTCTTCAGTACCATCTTGTTTCCACCTGCAAGACATTTCCTCAAATTATGCCATTCTCAGAAGAAAGGAGGTCTGTCAGTACGTCACCACATTGCTGCACTCATGTCCATCAACATACTGGCCTGTAGGGCTCTTTCACCAGCAATAACCAACCGTGTGCATCTATTGCTGAGCTGTCGCCAATGATATATTCCTCTTCAGTGAGTACCAGTTCTTGATCTCCATAATGTTCACAAACTGGACCACTGCTGCTGCACTGACATATGTATGGCCTTCACAAGATCCCTGGATTCTAGCATAGAAGCATTCCATAAGCCATAGAGATTGAATGGCAGGTTTTCTGGATCATTAATGAAGGAGTGGGACCAGGTATGCAGCTTTTTTGTCATGTGAGTGCTCTTTCTGTGGGTTTCTGCTGTTTTCACTGAGGCCATCATCCAGCCAAGTCATCATTTCTTGTCTGCATATGCAGTGAGAAACATCAACATTATTTCCAGCTGCCTCCGCAAGAGCTTGTCACCCATAAATAGCTTAAGCCCCTTTCTGCTCCGACAAGGAGGATGCAAGATCTGTTCCAGATGACACATTACAGCATATGCCTCTTCAATCAATGGCGGGCCAAGGAAAGTGCCACCGTTAGTGGATTCCTTTATCTGGCTTGCTTTGTTGTGCAAATCAGGGTTACTGGGCTGCTCAGGTGAGTTATCAAGCCCTGACATTAGACTGGCACTGACTCACAGGTTCCAAACTTCTTGATTCTGCTTCAACTCGTGGTGCAAGGCTCTCCATGCCTTGACTAAGGCTCAGCTCCGATACCCCTTCTGTCATTCTTCTCGCAGCAGACTTGCAAGATTGCTAGGTGCCGACAACAGCCAAATAGTTCCTTATAAAGCAGCCTTCCATGCCTCTTTCGCCCACCAGGATCTGTTGGTAAGAGGGCCTTCATAGAATTCATGGGTGAATTAATAGGTAAGGCTCACATTTTCCTTTTGTTTTGGAAATATCCCTCGACCTTTCTTTGCCCTGTTACCTAGGTTCTTGATAAATGAAGAGATTGATCGGTGTCGCTTAGGCATTGTTGTGGCGCAACACATGCAACGGCGGCAAGATTTGCAATATACTCCTGAGTAAACATGTTCATGCCGCTTCTAGTCAGAGTGACACTCAAAAACATTTGAAAACTATCTCCTCATTGAGTGAGCCCTAATTCAGAAAAATAGCACCAAGCAAATGTCTGTTAAATCGATACAAATGATCCCTTGGTGCCCAATTTCTTAATTTCTTCTCAGTGAGAGAGGAGATAGCAATTCTTTGCGAAAGCAACGCCCTTTTCCGCCAAAAGTGACACCTCTGTGTCACGTGATGTAGTCGCGTTTGCATGCGGCCTATCTTAGGTGGAAGGTGGAAACGCCTTACTTCACCTTAGCTAAGCCACATCCACGCGTGGGCGGGCAGGGTTTCCCACCAGTCCGCCGTCCATTTTTATTGAAAGCCATGCGGAAGGCCAGTCCAAAGGCGCAGTTCCAGGGCGTCGCTAATAAAACCAACGGGAACACTGCATCCACAGATAGTATTGAGGCCCACCACTCTGGCGCACGCAACCTCCTCAGCAAATTCAATCACGATCACCACGACCTTCCCACTGCTCATCTTTACCTCAACAGCATCCACACACACCACGGCAATCATATCGGCCACGTCTCCCCTCACGCCCTCGCACTCCTTCCACGCACCCCGCGACTTCCTCACGTCTAAGCGCCTCGCGGTTCTTCGCCACTAGGCGCCACATGTCTGCAGTGTCATTGGTCCATTCCTCCCTCACAGCATCCACCGCCACGCACCACATCCCAGCACGCCCTTACCCGCACCTTCCGCGGGCCTCTGCATTGTCTTGGACACCGCTGCGGTGCCCGACGACTCCGCACTCAATCCTCTCATTCCGATGCCGATTTCAGCCCCGACGCTTTTCACGCTGTCTACGCCAACCACGTGTCCTATCTCGACATCCATGTCTGTCTCTGTGCCAGTAGTGTCCATTCCAGCCCTGGAGATAGTCACTGCTCCTCAGGATATGCGACCTCGCATCCCCCCGGCCAACGCCAACGCGCTACACCGTCGACAGGGCGCCGACACCTTGTGCGCGACGCACCGTCTGAACAGCCTTGCATCGATGTGGGCCGCATTCTTTTGACTCGTGCTCGTGCATCGAGGACAACGACGCAGACACACACGGCGGCGGCGCTGGTGCCGAGCCAAGGCAATTTTGCGCGCAACTTTGCTGTCGCGTCGCCGGAGTGCGAGTTTGTGGACTTGCATACCAGCTTTGCTTTCCCTCTGCATCTGATGGGGTTTGTGTCCGGCGCAACCTCACAATGACGACGATGACGCCCGCCACTGCTAATCAAGACGAAGAGGACGACGGACGACGCAGAGGAGATGACGCTGCTCCTAGGGACACATTGCGCACTGTATGCATTTCCGGCAGAGGACACAGATTAGGGCTCCGAGTCCTACTCAATCTAGTCTATAATTTTTGAAGGTCCTCGCAGCGTATGAGGGGACTTAGCGTATCGACTCGTCTTCACCCAGTGCTAGAGCATGAGTTGTGAGCGGAGCTCGAAATAGCCGAATCAGAAGCCGCGCCATGACAGCGGGCTCACTTCAACTTGTCCTCCAACACCCATCACCGTCGGGTGGCGCGCTTGGCCTCCTGTTCCGTCTCGGCGGTATCTCTAATCTAGTATGCATCGATTTCCGTGACAAACCACCCATTTCCATAGTCTCTGTGTCTGGTACGAGGCGCTCGTCGTCTGCAAATTTGCCACAGTCGCCTTTCGCGGATTAGAGACATGCTGCATATTACTCAACAGACTTCTCACTTCTGATGATCATCAGACATTCCATCAATATCTTATACTTATCAACCAAGTTTGAGACGATTCTGGTCATCCTTGAATGACGGTATCGCGTAGACATGGGCCCAATGAATCAAAAGCTAGGAGCAGAGGAAGGCTTTGTCTACCGGCCAGTAAAATAATTCCCATTCTGATGAGATACATGCACGAATGAAGTTGCTTAGACCTCTTTTGCAGAAAGGTCACTTGACTCAGGCAGCTCGTATTGTCGCCAAAATTGCCTCATACCACATGGCATCGCTTGCTCCAAGAACACAACGCTCGGTACGAGCATAGAAGGGGCGAGTCTTCTGATAGCTACACTTACCCTGCGAGGAGTCGTCTAGAGATTTTACAAGCAAGGCCCTAACAGAATGCTAGAGCATGCAAGCATTCCGTTGAATTCGCGCCCGAATTAACAATGGGCAAAGCCTGTTCATTGTTCGTGTGGCCTTCTCGAGGGTTTGATGACCATGTGAATGCCACCGAAAATACAATCTGAATTTCGAGTTCTGACAGATAGGGGAGGATTGAGATGGTGGACAGAAAACGACAAGTATGAAGGAGATAATAGGCACCCGAGCGAAGTAGAGAGGAAGGCTGGAATGCAGGAGGAAACTGCGAGTCCTAGCTCAACAGCATCCTGGTGACGAAACATTTCACCAGGCGGCGTGTAGCTCCGACAGTTTCATGACCAATCACACACAAGTAAAAGGGGACCCATATTCAACATTGCCACTCGAATCCAACAACAATGGACCCCAAATTCAGTTCTGCGCATCCATCCCATATGACTCATCGTGATGGTCGGCTCGCCTGCCCTCTCACACGCCATCAAGCCCGAGAGAGAACGATGCCTTGCCAAGACGCTGTGCTGCAACCACGGTTCGTGAGAGGAAAAGGGGATAAAAATGACGCGGAGGAACGTGCCTTAGCGTACCTGCGAACGGTTTGGGACAAGCGACAATGAATCTCATAAGCGGCTAGAAGATTCGAAGTTCGAAGGCGAGTGATCTTCCATGATGCGGTTCACGATGGCACGATCCCTAAAATCAAGCGCCGTGATGCGCCTACAACTTTGAGACGCAAGGCTTGAGTTGAACTGACAACACGAGAAAGCAGCATGGAACGATGATGGAAGGTCCCGTGCATAGCAGATAAGAATATGGACAGGAAAGAAGATGCGTCTGGAGAAACCAAGCGAAGGTAAACCGACTCACAACCATGTTGACCGCTATGTTCGAGCACCGACCGACGGTGTAAGCGGGCAACCGCGACGTGGGTAAATTCCTCGTCATCCTTGCTTTGTCCCGAAGGCCTCGCCCCCGCCATCAGAAGACTTACACCATCCCGACTCCATCAAGGTTCAGATGCAAACCGATAACAGGTAACGCACCCTAGAAACACAGACGTGTGTGATGACTCGAACATGCCCTCCTCGTGAAGCGTGAACATGAGGCAGAAATTCATTTCCGGCACTCGGTGCTGGCAGTCGGGCTCCTTTCGTAATGAGAACAGGACAGCCTTTTGCTGCCCTCGAACAATGACAGTACCACATTCCTGGTTCCGAGCTCAATGTCAACAGGCGAGGGCATGCGACTGTGCGGCATCAAATAACAAGGCATGTCGGTCGAATCATGGAATTGTTCGAGAAGTCGGCTACCGCCCGCCCCCGAGGGCAGTAGAATATCTAGACGATTGGACGAGAGGAGAAGCCCAAGCATCAACCACCCATCCAGACTTCACCAGTCAACTTACCTACAACCCCAAACTTTCCACAGCCATCCACAGCGCGAAGCCATGCCACACAACACATACGTCTGGCCGTCCTGGACACAGGAAGAGCTTTCGAGTGCGTAGATATGTTTCGTGGCATTGACATCTACTGAGATGACCGGCACACAGCTGCTGGTGCGGGACCTTCAGGGTCCCAATCAAACAACGCTGAGCAAGAGCTCAACGTCATTCCGGCAGTAAGTTTGTTTTGCTCTGACATGTCGACTGTGCCACTCACGAGCCATTCCTCTTCACTGTCAGGGCGCGTATGTTGCGCGCAACCGCGAGGGACGCCATGTCTCCCAAGACATAGCTGGCTACAGTCAGCCCTATGATGCGCGCCTGCGCCTCAGATCGTGCGAGGCGGGCTCGCTGCTCCCTGTCATGTCTGCCCACCCCGACCCGTCGTTCTTCACCTCCCCCTTCCAGTTCCCCGCGACAATCCCCTTCGCCCTACCAACATGGGCATCCACATCGACGCCGGTACGTGCCCCTCATCTCCAGGTACCGCATGCGCGCGCACTGACTCCCACGTCCGTCCCTGACGTACAGAAAGGGTCGCTCAGCCCCTCCCCAGAAGGACTCCCATTCCCCGTCATCCCTGCCGCACCTCTCAACACCGCCGCACCCGTCACCCCTGCTGCGCCGGATATCGTCATCTTCACCGCTACCCCCGCAGTAACCACCACCCCCGTCGTCCCCGCCACCGATGTCATCCCGATGGAACGCGTCACACCGACGAATGCCCAACGTTCGAAGTACTCGGCATTGGAGGGCGCCGTGAGGCCCTTCACGGGTCCTTGGGTGGATATGGCGCGCACCGTCATCGAGGCGCGACTCGACCCGCGGTGGGACCCATCGGTCTTCCGGCGGGAGACGAGAAAGCGAGGGGTGGATGCGCAGGAGCAGCCTTCGCCAAAGAGGGCAAGGGTGGAGGAAGGGATGGAAGAGGCGATTGCAGGGGTGAGAGCGGAGGGGGCCGTAAGTGCAGATGAAGGGGAAAATGGGAAGATGAAGGCGAGGGAGCTCGACAGTGGAGCGGGGAGCGAGAGGAGTGAAGGGGCTTGGTCCATGGAGAGCAGGTTCAGGCCCATCGCGCCCATGCCTTCGCCGGGGCCAGTCCATGCAGCTGGAGGGCTGCACCCTATACTTGTGGTCGTTCCACAGGTGAACGGCAACGCCCTCACACAACACAATGATACATCAACAACGTCCACCCACAGGGTGGACAACCCCGCAGGTGAGTTCGTCGTCGAGCCTGTACCGCTGCCTAGCGGAGGGCCTTCGACATCGACACCTGCGGATGACCAAGACGAGGCTGGAGAGCCCGACGATCACGATCAAGACGGGCACCAGCACCAGCTCGGAGATGAGTCCAACCTCAGCAAGCGTGAGGCCGCCGTCGTGATCGACGAGAAGATCTACGGCGGGGACCCACTGCGCTGCCTCGCGTGCAACAACAAGTCGTTTGCGCGCAAGTACGATCGCAGACGGCACGTCGTCACCGTCCACTACCTCGGCAAGATCCCATGCGACTGGTGCGATCTCTTCTTCTACGCACGCCGGGATGGGGTCACTCGTCACAAGGACGAGAATTGTCCAGCCAGGGACTTCGAGGATCGGCACACCAACCCAAGGAGATGGTTCATGGCCTGGCTGACCGGAACGTGTCGTAGCAGTAGGCGGAGGAGAGACAGGGCAGGATCGTCGACGATGGCGAGCTGAAGCTGGAGGTACGCACCGTTTTCTCTTGCCTGCTCTTGCATCCATTCCTTTCTCTTTTGTTCTGCGCCCGTCCCTATGATTTCACGCCCCATACGACTATCCGCATCATCATCATCGATCACACATTCGCCTTTGCCTTCCCTTCCACGATATCTTTGCTGTTTTCTTGCCCTCCGCATTTGTCCCGGATCGATGCGGATGCCAGAGTGTGTCGGATGCCGATGAAGCTGACGATATTTTCAATAGAGATGATTATCCGCAGTCTTGCTTCTGTCTTGCTCGACTTGCTCGAACTAACAGGCGGGGGTGGAGTGAGTGTACTGAGTACTCGTATGTCACGCGATCCGTGATCTCGTCTTTACTATTACTGGCGCGTGAAGGGCTTTTTGCTCCCAACTTGCATTCCTCCTCTTATCAACGACGTTTTTGAATCCACGTCTTGTGTGTTTGTTCAAGCTCGATAGAGTTTTATTCAAATCTCCTTTTTATACCTTCCCGACGAGCTGTAACTTAAACAAGATGTTTCGAAGACTTCATCTGGGTGCACTGATCAAAATCGAGCTGGTCCTGGCGCTCCTCTCTTTCCAGGGTAAAGCGCTCACTCTCAGCGTTTCGGCGTGAAGGACGCTCGCACTCGAAATCACATCCATGTAATTACGTCTCATGTACCTGTGTCTGATTCTCATACAGTTGTATCTCTATTTCCTTCTATCATTTTTCTCAACAATCCAGAATTAAACAAATATCCACAAAACCCGTGTGCACTGAACAAAATCGAGCTGTATCTCACCTTTCCTGGGCACCGCTCCTCCCCTTCAGAGGGAAAAGTGATCGAGTGGCCGTGTCCATTGGGGTGATTTACACTCAGTGTGCTTCGCTCGCAGTGTGGGTCCACCGTACCGCACTCCTACGCAAACCGACATCAGACGCGCCCATATTTTCCCACTCCACAATTCTGTAATGTCCGTGCAAGGCCGATCGAGTACCTCTATCGCAGCGGAAGGCTTTTTCTGGCCGTCGGCACATCTTTGGACACAGAAAGAGAAGAAGACAGTGCCTATCGTTGGCTTGTCCGCGGCACTCAACTCATCTACGGCGCTATGTCAAGCGGCTGAGCACCAGAAAAATGGAGGGGACAGCCGAACCAAAAGATAGTGTCAGGCTCCGGCGACCCGGCCGCGTCAATGTGCAAGAATTCAACAAAAGGCAGCATCCCGCTACTCAGCTAGGAAGCCTCACGATTGCGAGGGCGGGTGGACCGGCTGTGGTTCGAGATAACGCTATGATGTGATCGACGAGACGATGGAACTGAGGGAGACCCGCTCCGGTGCGCCGAAAAGAAAGACAGGGTGGGAGCGCAGATACGACTAGAGTCGTGAGTATCCACTGCGCAGGCCTTCCTTGAATGTCCGCTGCTATAGGTCTCGCCTGATTGTCTCGCGTCATGCATAGCGGAAGCAGCACAGCTAAGCGAAGAGGAAGTCGACAATAGGACTGTACCCGCAAACATCGTGCAAGTGTCGCGGGGGGACGACCGAGTCTTGAATACGCTGCTCCGTCCATAATTGTCGTCCACACGTTGAACACAGGGGCTGAAGATTACTATATGGAGGTCGCGAAGGCGAGAATGGGCACACAAGCGAGCGAGAGGGAAAAAATGAAGGTCAACACCTGGGGAGCGAGAGAGGTGACCGGACTGAGCAGAAGCGACGGCTGGGAAGAAGATGATCTTGAACAACGGATCCACAGATGGCACAGAGGTAAGCACTCGGATTTTTTGACGTCCAGAACCAAGGTACATGCATAGATATTGTACACAATGTTGACATGAAGCTTGGATGCCCTGTGAACCGAAGAGGCTCAGGCTTGAGTCTTGAACAGCGTCTTCGTTTGTGTGCTTCCAACGACGGGACAATGTGGACACAATATAGCAATGATCAGAGCGAGGTCCAAGCTGGCACCGTTCGAATGACAAGATACGACGTGTAGCTCCAACGACGACTGATGGAACACATGGAAAAGTGGACCCATATATGGCCTCGCCACTCGAATATACCGGATTGAGTGTTATGGATCTGATCTCTTGTTACCCATTACGATAATCGGCTCGCCTGTCCTCTCACAAACCGTCGGCCCCTTCCTCCCTCGCGACTGGACAAGAAGCTATGCTGCAAGTGAAGAAAAAGAAGTGAACAAACAGACGCAGAGAGACGTGCCTGAAAGAACCTGCTAGTGTGGACAATTAAAGACACGCGCATCATGTTGATGTCGTAAGCGGCTAGAAGATGCGAAGTTCGAAGGCGGGTGATTTGCCATGATGCCCTTCGCGATGTCACTATCCCCAAAATCAGGCGCCCTCATGCACCTACAGCTTCGAGAAGTGAGGCTTAAGTCGAATTCTTGAGATCGGAGAGAGTATTGGCGCGAGAATTCAGGCAAGATAATATGTGAACAAGCGGGTCAGATATGGACGAAACAGATATTCGGTCTTCGAGGATCGCTAGACGAAGACCGACTGACGGTCGTGTTGAACGCATCGCTACCAACGGGCTCCAAACGACATTGTAAGCGGGCTCCCATGACGTGGATAAATTCTTCCTTGTCCTTTCCTTGTCCCGGATGACTTGTTCCCGCCATCAGAAGACCTGCCCCATCCCGACTTCAAAGGTGACATGGGAGTTGATAACACACAACACACCCCGGAAATGCGTACCCATATGATCAATAGAACACGTCTTTATCCTCGAGCGTGGACATGAGGCAGAACTTGCCTTGCGCGCACGACGCTGTCAGAGGCAGTGCTCAGTGCTTGATAACTACTGATCCATAGGGCGCCGCCTTCGAACAATGGCGAGGGCCTGCCCCTGGTTCCGAAGGCAAACCTATGAGGCGACAGAAAACTGCTGTACGTCATCAGAGAACAAGACATGATGTGCGCACCGTGGAATCGTGCGATAAGTCGATTAGCGCTCACCGTGGAGAGGGTATATCTAGATGGCCTGACGAGCGGAGGAGCCTAACAATTGACTGCTCCTTCGAGCCTCCTCGAATCTTCCTTCCCATTCACCAGCCGGTGTACAACCCTCCCCACACCTCTACAAACGCGACAAGCATGTCGCGTCACGGGTCCGGTTGGCCTTCCTGGACACAGGAAGAATTGTCCAGTGCGTACATGTTCCTCACGGCTTGTCAATGTCAGTGACAAGATCTGTGCACAGCTCCTGGCGCGGGGCCCTCAGGGTCCCGATTCAACAACGCTGAGCGAGAGCTCAGTGAAGATTCGCGGGTAAATGTCCTTTCTCTCTAATGCATTGGTGGTGCCACTCACAACGAGCCGCTCTTCTTTACTGCCAGGACGCGCATGTCACGCGTAGCCGCAGGGGACTTCATGTCCGTAGCAGTATGACTGGCTACACCCAGTCCTCTGACGCGCGCATGCGCTTCAGGTCACACGACGCGGGCTTGCATTTCGCCGCCATGTTCGCCCACCCTGCCCCATCCTTTGCCGCTCACCCTTTTCCATTCCCCGCTCCCATCCCCTTCTCCCTTCCTACCTGGGCGTCCACCTCGACGCCAGTACTGGCCCCTCATCGTCGAATACCGCATGCGCCCTCATCGACTCCCGCGCCCGTCCTTGAGATACCGACAGGGCCGGTCAGCCCCGTCCCGGAAGAGTCCCCGTCCCCTGCCACCCCCGCCGCACCTTTAACTACCATAGCCCCTACCACCCTCGTCGCCCCCGCCCCCAATATCGTCTCTGCCGCCGCTCCCGCCCCCGACGCCATTTCGATGGCGTGCATCATACCGACCGACGTACAACGGTCGACGTACTCGGCGCTCGAAGGCGCCGTGAGACCCTTCACGGGCCCTTGGGCGGTCATGGCGCGCACGATCGCTGCGGCGCGCCTCAACCCGCAGTGGGACCCGTCCGTCTGGCGGAGGGAGACCAGGAAGCGCGAGGCGGACGCGGAGGAGGCGCCGTCACCGAAGAGGGCGAGGATGGAGGAAGATCTGGGAGGGGCGACTGCCGGGGCGAACGCGGTGGGGGGCACGAGGGAGAGTGAAGGGGAGGAGGGAGAGATGATGGAGATGGAGATTGGGACTGGTGCGGGGAGTGAGGGGAGCGGTGGGACTTGGTCCTCGGAGAGCGGGTTCAGGCCCATCGCGCCCATGTCTGCCCCGGGGCTGGTCGGGGCAGCTGGAGGGCTGCACCCTAGACTTGTGGCCGTACCACAGGTTGATGGCAGCGCCCTCTACGAACACAACAATACATCAACAACGTCCACCCACAGGGTGGACAACCCCGCAGGTGAGTTCGTCATCGAGCCTGTACCGCTGTCGAGCGGAGGGCCTTCGACATCAATGCCTGCGGACGACCAGGACGAAGCCGACGAGCCTCAAGACGAGGAAGATCACGACGAGGGCCAGCACCAGCTCGGAGACGAGACCAGCCTCAGTGAGCGCGAGGCCGTTGTCGTTATCGACGAGAAGATCTACGGCAAGGACCCACTGCGTTGCCTCGCGTGCAACAACAAGTCGTTTGCGCGCAAGTACGAGCGCAGGCGGCACGTCGTCACTGTCCACTACCTCAAGAAGGTCCCCTGCGACTGGTGCGGCATCTTCTTCTACACACGCCGCGATGGAGTCACTCGGCATAAGGACGAGAATTGCCCAGCGAGAGACTTCGAGGATCGGCACACCAACCCAACGAGATGGTTCATGGCCTGGCTGAGTGGACCCTCGGGGTGGCGGTAGGAGTAGAGGTGCGGCGGGATCATCGGCAATGGCGAGCTGAAACTGGAGGTACACACCGTGGTTTCTTACCCGCTCTCGCATTCCTTCCCTTCCCTTTTATTCTGCTCCTGTCCCCATGCTTTCACCCCCCACATAACTTCTGCATCGTCATCATCGATCGCGCACTTGCCTTCGCTTTCCGTTTTGCGACATCCCTGCAATTTTCTTGAATTTTTGCTTTTGGTCTCGGATCGATGAGGGTGCAGGAGTGTGTCGAGTGGAGCTGACGACATTTTCAATAGGTATATTCATTCGCGACCTTGATTGTGTCGTCGTCAACACGCTCGGATATGGTGGAGTAGAGTGAGTGTGCTGGTCTGTGCTGGTAGTCGCTACTATGTAGTAGGTCACGCGGTCCGTCAGGGTCCTCGCGGTTTACCACAGCACGGCCCCAGCACTTTGTGAAGGACTGACTGATTTTCTCCCATCTGCATTGCTGCTCTTTTCATGATGTTTTCAAGATCGCCTTGGCCCTTGAGTATCTATCTGACACTTCTGTGTATATTCCCTTTCTCTCCCGCCTGAGTCGTCTCGGCACGCTGTAATCTAGAGGTTGTATCCAGAATACAAAAGTTCTTCTGTGTGCATTGAAAAAATCGCATTCCATTGTGTCGTTTCCCTTCAGGAGGGACTCGAACAACCGAGACAATCTACACGCACGCGAGTTCGGATGAACAGCTTCGGTCAAACCCGAGCTGCCTTCGGCCGTTTTGCTGAGTCGACGCAGGATGTCCTCGATCACGGATTCAAGTGAGATTCGTCGCCGCTGCGCGCATCCAGCACTCTTCATAACCTTCCATCACATATGCATCGATGCGAGTACTCTGAGCTAGACATTTAGTATAAATAAGAATTGCGCGCGTTAGCTTGCGAGGTCGCAGATTCTTCCATTGACATAGTATTGTTCCAGCTACGTCAGAGTATCCCAAAGTCGGTGAAAGGCGGGACAATGGCACCTTTTGAGCGCTCAGATATCCATTTTTTTCATGGGGAGGTTGAATGCCGAGGAGACCAGCGGAGGCTGAACGGTCGGCAACCAAACCGGAGTCGGCGCCATAGCAGCGGGTTCAGTTTCACCTTTCCTCCGACACCCACTGCCATCGAGCGGCGCGGTTTGCTTCACCGTCCCATATGCGCTATATCTCTTGTATACCCTCTTATATCAATGACCAGGATATAACCACTAATTACTCCATTATCTCTGTCAAAGTTGTCCCCTCCAAATCTGCCATGTCCAGTTGCATCACAGAACAAGAGATTCTACACGGTTCTCGTCAACAACTTCCTCTCATATGGGTAAAAAAAATCTGTATGAGATATGAGAGGCGACAAGAAACAAAACCATTCACATGCACTTATCCTGTAGATCGTTCCCTAATCCGTACCGGACAACGTCTATCGATCGTGTGCACAACAATTTCTCAACGGCCAGATCCAAGAACCGGAAAGCCGAGACCTAGCGAGCGATGCATGCAGCTCCGTGAACTCACAAACGAATGATGCCCGACTAAGCGCGCGAGTCCTTCCCGCTCGGCGAAGGCTCTGCACGACTGCACGAGGCAGCTAATGACTTGGCCACCAGGAGGTAGAACATCGAAGTCGGGCAAGAATGTAGCGTGGTTACACGGAAGGGAGATCCTCGAGCTTTGAGGAGAGCACGAAAAGATGGAATTTGCGAACACAAAGTAGCATGCAATAGACACATGCTGCCATGTGAGTACCAAGCCAGCACCGTTCGAGTGACAAGATATTTCACCCGACGACACGTGGCTCCGACAACGGCCAATGGAACTCGCGAAGAAGTGGAACCATATTCGACCTCGCCACTCGAATATACCAAATGGGGTGCCATAGATCAGATCTCTTGTTGCTCATCGCGGTAGTCGGCTCGCTTGCCCTCTCTCAAACACCGTTAGGCTCCAGCCTCCCTCGCAACTTGACAAGAAGAAATGCTCCAAATAATAATTGACGCAAAGAAACCTGCCCGGGTGTACCTGTACGCAATTCGGGACAAGCGCGATATGCTGGATCTCAGAAGCGGCTAGAGGGACTTCGAAGGCAGTTGATTTCTAATATTGCCGTTCACGATGGCAAATCATTAGAATCAAGCGCCCTGATGCGCCTACAGCCTCAAGGCTTGATTTCAATACTCCAGACCGGAGGCAGTATTGACGCAAGGGTTCAGATAAGAGGATATGTGAGAATGCCCTCGTATAGTGGTCAGATATGGGCAGAATAGACATATTGTCTTCAAGGATACCTGGGCGAAGATCGACTGGCTGTATCAAAAGAATCACAACAAACGGACCCCGAGTGATATTGTAAGCGGGCTCTCGCGAAGTGGGTAAACTCCTCCTTGTTCATCAGAAGAAGTTCAAAAGTGAATCGATAACAGACAACACACCCCAGAAATGCGGACCCATCTGATCACTTGAACATGTCATCAACCTCAAGTGTGGGCATGGGGCTGAATTGCGCACATAACGTTGTGAGATGCTGTGCTCAGTGCGTAATAAAGAATGATCCATAGGCTGGCTTCGAACAATGGCGAGGCCTGCCCCTGGTTCCGAAGCTAAGCCTACGAGGCGACACAATATGAGTGTGCAGCATCAGAGAACAAAGCGTTGTACACGCACCGTGGAATCGTACGGGAAGTCAATTAGCGCTCACCGTGAGGGGGGTATATCTAGGTGGCCTGACGAGCGGAGGGGCCTAGAAATTGACTTCTCCTCTGAGCCTCCTCAGATCTTCCTCACCATTCACCAGTCGGTGTACAAATCTCTCTACACCTCTCCAAACGCGACAAGCATGTCGCGTCACGGGTCCGGTTGGCCTTCCTGGACACAGGAAGAATTGTCCAGTGCGTACATGTTCCTCACGGCTTGTCAATGTCAGTGACAAGATCTGTGCACAGCTCCTGGCGCGGGGCCCTCAGGGTCCCGATTCAACAACGCTGAGCGAGAGCTCAGTGAAGATTCGCGGGTAAATGTCCTTTCTCTCTAATGCATTTGTGGTGCCACTCACGACGAGCCGCTCTTCTTTACTGCCAGGACGCGCATGTCGCGCGTAGCCGCAGGGGATTTCATGTCCTTAAAAATATGACTGGCTATACACAGTCTGACGCGGGCTTGCATTTCCCCGCCGTATTCTCTCACCCCGTCCCATCCTTTGCCGCTCCCCCCTTTCCATTCCCCGCTCCTATCCCCTTCTCCCTTCCTACCTGGGCGTCCACCTCGAATCCGGTACTGGCCCCTCATCGTCTATCACCGCATGCGCTCTCATCGACTCCCGCGCCCGTCCGTGAGATACCGACAGGGCCGGTCAGCCCCGCCCTGGAAGAGTCTCCGTCCCCTGCGACCCCCGCCGCACCTCCAACGACCGCAGCCCCCGCCTCCTCTACCGCCCCCATCACCCTCGTCGCCCCCGCCCCCATCACCCTCGTCGCCCCCGCCCCCGATGCCGTCTCTGCTCCCGCTCCCGCCCTCGACGCCATTTCGATGGCGTGCATCATACCGACCGACGCACAGCGGTCGACGTACTCGGCGCTCGAAGGCGCCGTGAGACCCTTCACGGGCCCTTGGGCGGCCATGGCGCGCACGATCGCTGCGGCGCGCCTCAACCCGCAGTGGGACCCGTCCGTCTGGCGGAGGGAGACCAGGAAGCGCGAGGCGGACGCGGAGGAGGCGCCGTCACCGAAGAGGGCGAGGATGGAGGAAGATCTCGAAGGAGCGACTGCCGGGGCGAACGCGGTGGGGGGCACGAGGGAGAGTGAAGGGGAGGAGGGAGAGATGATGGAGATGGAGATTGGGACTGGTGCGGTGAGTGAGGGGAGCGGTGGGACTTGGTCCTCGGAGAGCGGGTTCAGGCCCATCGCGCCCATGTCTGCCCCGGGGCTGGTCGGGGCAGCTGGAGGGCTGCACCCTAGACTTGTGGCCGTACCACAGGTTGATGGCAGCGCCCTCTACCAACACAACGATATATCAACAACGTCCACCCACAGGGTGGACAACCCCGCAGGTGAGTTTGTTGTCGAGCCTGTACCGCTGCCTAGCGGAGGGCCTTCGACATCACCATCTGCGGACGACCAGGAAGAGGCCAGAGAGCCTATCGAGGACGGTGACGACGAAGACCAGCTCGGGCTCGGAGACGAGACCACTCTGAGTCAGCGCGAGGCCGCCGTCGTGATCGACGAGAACATCTACGGCGCGGACATCATGCGTTGCATACCATGCAACAAGACCTTCCGCCGTAAGTACGACCGCAGGCGACATATCGTCACCGTCCACTACCTGGGCAAGTTCCCCTGCGACTGGTGCGATATGTACTTCTACACGCGCCGCGATGGGATCACTCGGCACAAGAAGGGGAACTGCCCAGCCAGGGACTTCGAGGATCGGCACACGAACCCATGGAGGTGGTTCACGGCCTGGGTGAACGGACCTCGTCGTGGCGGTAGGCGGAGGTGGGGCACGGTAGGATCGAAGAGGCGGAGGAGGCTGAGCTGAAGGTACGCACTGTCGTCTCTCGCCTGCTCTCCCTCTCGTCTCCTTCCCTTTTGTGTTCCGCCCACACCTACGTGGTCGCTCCACGTCACTTCCGAGTCGTTGCCATCGATTACATGGCTCCGCAGAGCTCGCTTGGAACTTCCCTTTCGCGACATACCTGATGATTTGTTGCCCATTGCTTGTGCGCTCGGATCGATGAGGGAGACGAGTGTCTGAGATGAAACTGACACTGTTGTTTGTCGTAGAGTTCCCACACGACCGTGCTTGGCTCGCCGCCGATCTCGAACCTGGCGGACTGCAGCAGACTGGAGCAAGACAAGCCTGTAGTCGTTATGTAAGGTGGCCGTCGAGCTTAGTGTCAGCACTTCGGCATGAAGGAAAGACTCTCGCGCTCATATTCCCCCCTTTTTGCACGATGTTTTCGAAATTGCATCTCGTTTACTTGTGTCTCATTCGCATAGATTTGATTTTGTATTTTTTTCCGTTTTTTTCTCAGCACATTAAAATTTGATAAATATTCCCCAAACCCAAGTGCACTGAACAAGAGCTGTATCGCACATTTCCTGAGCGCCGTTCCTCTCTTTCAAAGATCAATTGAGTGACCCCGCTGATCAGATGTAGTTTCCATTCATTGCACGTTGCGCGCAGGGTGAATTCATTGTACCGCCCACCAAGTCTCCTACGCAAACGTAGGACAGACAAGCTTGATCCACATTTTCTCGTCCACCAAATCTGTAACGGCCTTGCAAGAACAAGTGAGCACACAAATCACAGCCGCAGAGTTTGGATTATCGTCGTCACGTCTATGATCACAGGGGAGACAAAGCGGACGTCCGGTGTCGGCTGCTTTGTTTGAACAGGCCAAACAGCAGTGTTGACTCGCTCATCGGTGGTGCCATGTCGATCTAGGGAGCACTGGACGGCAAATTGCCAGAAAGAGCATCAGAGAGTGCAGGCCCCTAACGCCCAGCGGCCCAGCCATGCCAATGTCCGCACGTATGGATACAGTCAACGACGTGCTCGAATGGGCTGCATCTCGGCATTCAGCAGCAGAGGGTATCCATTCTGACCGAAGTAAAACTGGAGAGCCAAACTGCTCCTGTTCTACCGGTGGAGGGACTTTGGAGGTGACATCAGGCATCTGCGGACGTTGAAAGCAGAGCTCGCGAGCCTCAAAATTACGAGCTCGGGGCCACCGACTGCGGCTCGAGACGATGCTGTGATGTGGACCATAAGACAATGCATATAAGGGAGGAGACCCGTTGCATGACACCGCGTGCAACACAGCCTAGTGCAGATACGACCAGGGTCGTGAGTATCCACTGCGCAGGCCGTCTTTGCGCGTCCACCGCTAGATGTCTCGCCTGAGTGCTTCTTCGCGTCGACCCTAGGTAAGAGGAAGTCGCGAAAGGAGAAGTACATTCAGACATCGCACAAGTTGCGCGGGTGGACAAGCACAGCTTGAGTGATGTGGTCGGTCCATAATCGTCGTCGACGCGTTGAAAACTGGGACTGCAAATTACGATATGGAGGTCACAAAATTAAAAACGGGCACGCATGCGAGCAGGGAAAAAAAAGGAAGGTTAGCACCTGGAAATCCCTGCAGAAAACGACTGGACGAGAGCAGCGGGAGAGATGGCCAGACTGGGCAAAAGCGAGGGATGGGACGGAGACGATCTTGAAAAACGGATGCGCAGATGCGCAGAGGTTAGATGATGGATGATTTGACGTCCAGAACAAAGGTGTATGCATCGAGGCTGCACACGAGTTGGAGGTAAAGTTTGAATGCCCTGTGAACCGAGCAGGCTCCGGCTTGAGCCTTGAATGGCGTCTTCGTGTGCTTCCGACGACGGGACAATGTGGACACAAGATAGTAATACTCGGATGCAAGGTTCAGGCCAGCACCGTTCGAGTGACAAGATACGACGCGTAGCTTGAAAGCAACGAGTTTTGTACGAAACGCGCTCTTCCTATTTAGGAGTCTTCCAGTGATCCCATGAATAATGCCATGATGGCAAGCTCTCTCCCGAAGCCTTGCTGCATAGATCGCGCCCAAAATCAGAATGAAAAAGATGTTATCATGTTGTAGATTGAATATAGACATGTAGCTTTGCCAGTGGTAACCGCAGACATCCAGTTCTGACTTCGACCGGGGAGTGATGGACTTAGGTGAGATACGAATAACTTCAGTATAACAAAAACAGAACCGGAAGGTCAGTGAGATTGTGAATATTGGAGGGGGCCAGGAGTGGGAGGAGGCATACAGTATACCAACTGGGTCGGCGGTACGTATCAACAAGCATGCTCCAGAATCTTTGCCATCGCCTCGCTTGATCGATGGAATGATGACGATCACCAAAGGAATCCTTCGACGCCGTCGACTCATACAGCAAACATGACGAGGACTCGATATGAGACGAAAGGTGACCCGGCTATCGATCAGGTGTCGAAGTGAGGCGAGGACACAGACTGGTTGTGTAGAAGGCGGAGATTGATATTGTGTGCAGATGCAAGGTAGACACCTGCGAGTCCAAGCTCAATAGCATCCTGGTGACGAAACATCTCACCAGGCGGCGTGTAGCTCCGACAACTTCATGACCAATCGCACATAAGTAAAAGGGGGGCCCATATTCAACATTGCCACTTGAATCCGACAACAATGGACCCCAAATCCGGCTCTGCGCATCCACTCCATGTTACTCATAGTGATAGTCAGCTCGCCTGCCCTCTCACGCACCATCAAGCCCGAAAGAGCACACCTGGCCAAGACGCTGTGCTGCAACCACGATTTGTGAGAGAGGAAAAGGGGATAAAAATGACGCGGAGAAACGTGCCTTGGCGTACCTGCGAACGGAATAGGACACGCGCATCACAATGGATCCCATAAGCGGCTAGAATATTCGAAGTTCGGAGGCGAATGATCTTCCATAATCCCCTTCGATGGCACGATTCCCAAAATCAAGCGCACTGATGCGCCTACAACTTTGAGACACGAGGCCTAATTTGAACTGGCGACACACAGGATCTGCACGAGAAAGCATAAAACAATGGTGGAAAGTCCCATGCATGGCAGATAACATATGAACAGGAAAGAAAATGCGTCTGGAGAAGAAAACCGAGTGAGGGGAAATCGACGAATGGCTCTGTTGAACGCTATGTTCGAAGACCGACCGACGGTGTAAGCGGGCAACCGCGACGTGGGTAAATTCCTCGTCATCCTTGCTTTGTTCCGAAGCCCTCGCCCCCGCCATGAAGCCACTTGCACCATCCCGACTCCATCAAGGTTCAGATGCAAAACGATACCAAGTAACGCACCCTAGAAACACAGACGTATATGATTAATTGAACACGCTCCCCTCGTGAAGGGTGGACATGAGGTAGAAATTTGTTTCAGCACTCGGCGCTGGCAGTGCCCATTTCGTAATAGACATAGGATAGCCCTTTCCCACCTTCGAACAATGACGGCACCACATTGCTGGTTCAGAACTCGATGTCAATAGGCGAGAAAATACGGCTATGCGGCATCAAAGAACAAGGCATGATCGTCGGACCATGGAATGGTTCGAGAAGTCGGCTAGCGTTCGCCCCGAGGGCAGTAGTATATCTGGATGACTTGATGAGAGAAGCCCAACCATCGACCGCCCATCCGAGCTTCACCAGTCGACCTACCTACCACTGAAAACCTTCCACAAGCATCCGTAGCACGAAGCCATGTGGCACAGCATACACGGCTGGCCGTCCTGGATGCAGGAAGAACTTGCGAGTGCGTAGATGTCCTTCAGGGCCTTGAGTTTTACCAGAACAACCTTCATACAGCTCCTGGCGCGGGATCCTCAGGGTCCCAATACACTAACGATGAGCAAGAGCTCATTATTATGACGGAAGTACGTTTCCTTTCGGTCTGACACGTCGGCGGTGCCACTCACGAGCCGTTCCTCTGTGCTGCCAGGGCGCGCATATCGCACGGAGCCGTGGGGGACTACAGGTCCATCAACACATGGCTGGCTACAGCCAGCCCTATGAGCGCCTGCGCTCCAGATCGCATGAGGCGGGCTCGCACTTCCCCGCCATGTCCACCAACCCCGCCCCCTCCTCCGTCTCTCCCTCGTTCTCCATTTCCGCCCCAATCCCCGTGGTCCCATCTGACTGGGGATACGTCTCTCCACCAGTGCTGGCACCTCATCGCTGGGCACCGTATGCATCCGCACCGACGCCCATGCCTGTCCTTGACACACTGACGTGGCCGCACAGCCCCAGTCCAGGGAAACGCACGTCCCCCGCTGCACCCGCCGCACCTCCCACCGCCAACCCTGCTGAGCCGGACTTCATCGCACCCGCCACCCCGACCGCACTTACCACCCCCATCGCTTCCGCCCTGCACACCGCCCCCGATGCCATTTCAATGTCGCGCGCCATGCCAGCGGACGCGCAACGATCGACCTACCCGTCATTAGAAGGCGCCGTGAGGCCCTTCAAGGGTCCTTGGGTGGATATGGCGCGCACCACCATCGAGGTGCGACTCGACCCGCGGTGGGACTCATGGGTCTTCCGGCGGGAGACGAGGAAGCGACGGGTGGACGCAGAGGAGCAGCCGCAGTCAAAGAGGGCGAGGGTGAAAGGACGGCTGGGGGAGGTGATGCCCGAGGCGAGTGTGGTGAGGGACATGAGTGCGGGTGAGGGAGGGAGTGGGAAGCTGATGAAGATGGAGATTGGGGGCGGAGCGCCGGGGAGCGAGATGAGCAAGGAGACTTGGCCTTTAGAGAGCGGGTTCAGGGGCATTGCGCCGGAGCCTGCCCCGGGGTCAGTCAAGGCAGCTGGAGGGCTGCGCCCGATGCCCGTGGTCATTCCACAGGTCCACGACAACGCCCTCCACGCGAAGAACGATAAATCAACAACGTCCACCCACAGGGTAGGTACCCCCGCAGGTGAGCCCGTTATCGAGCCTGTACCGCTGTCGAGCGGAGGGCCTTCGACATCAATGCCTGCGGACGACCAGGACGAGGCCGACGAGCCTCAAGACGAGGAAGATCACGACGAGGGCCAGCACCAGCTCGGAGACGAGACCAGCCTCAGTAAGCGCGAGGCTGTTGTCGTTATCGACGAGAAGATCTACGGCAGGGACCCACTGCGTTGCCTCGCGTGCAACAACAAGTCGTTTGCGCGCAAGTACGAGCGCAGGCGGCACGTCGTCACCGTCCACTACCTCAAGAAGGTCTCCTGCGACTGGTGCGGCATCTTCTTCTACACACGCCGCGATGGAGTCACTCGTCATAAGGACGAGAATTGCCCAGCGAGGGACTTCGAGGATCGGCACACCAACCCAATGAGGTGGTTCATGGCCTGGCTGAGTGGACCCTCGGGGTGGCGGTAGGAATAGAAGTGCGGCGGGATCGTCGGCGATGGTGAGCTGAAGCTGGAGGTACGCACTAGGTACGCACCATGGTTTCTTGCCCGCTCTCGCATTCCTTCCCTTCCCTTTTATTCTGCTCCTGTCCCCATGCTTTCACCCCCCACATAACTTCTGCATCGTCATCATCGATCGCGCACTTGCCTTCGCTTTCCGTTTCACGACATCCCTGCTATTTTCTTGAATTTTGCTTTGGTCTCGGATCGATGAGGGTGCAGGAGTGTGTCGGGTGGAGCTGACGACATTTCCAATAGGTATATTAATTCGCGACCTTGATTGTGTCGTCGTCAACACGCTCGGATATGGTGGAGTAGAGTGAGTGTGCTGGTCTGTGCTGGTAGTCGCTACTATGTAGTAGGTCACACGGTCCGTCAGGGTCCCCGCGCTGTGCCACAGCACGGCCCCAGCATTTTGTGAAGGACTGACTGATTTTCTCCCATCTGCATTGCTGCTCTTTTCATGATGTTTTCAAGATCGCCTTGGCCCTTGAGTATCTATCTGACACTTCTGTGTATATTCCCTTTCTCTCCCGCCTGAGTCGTCTCGGCACGCTGTAATCTAGAGGTTGTATCCAGAATACAAAGGTTCCTTCGCGTGCATTGAAAAAATCGCATTCCATTGTGTCGTTTCCCCTCAGGAGGGACTCGAAGAACCGAGACAATCCTACACGCGAGTTCGGATGAACAGCTCCGGTCAAACCCGAGCTGCCTTCGGCCGTTTTGCTGAGTCGACGCAGGATGTCCTCGATCACGGATTCAAGTGAGATTCGTCGCCGCTGCGCGCATCCAGCACTCTTCATAACCTTCCATCACATATGCATCGATGCGAGCACTCTGAGCCAGACATTTAGTATAAATAAGAATTGCGCGCGTTAGCTTGCGAGGTCGCAGATTCTTCCATTGACATAGTATTGTTCCAGCTACGTCAGAGTATCCCAAAGTCGGTGAAAGGCGGGACAATGGCACCTTTTGAGCGCTCAGACATCCATTTTTTTCGTGGGGAGGTTGAATGCCGAGGAGACCAGCGGAGGCTGAACGGTCGGAGGACCCCTGAAAATAGGGGGGCAGGCTGGGTGGAAATTTCTTAAAAGCCGGCCAAAATGTACGGATAGAAAGTCCCAAAATTGGCGAAATTTGTCCGAAAAAAACCAGGCCTAGCCAAATTTTGATTCAACATGTTCGGATTGAACTGTCAGGCCTCCAAAACCACATTTTTTGGCCGGATTAGCCAGATCCGGCCCTGTATGTCGCAAAAACTCGTTTTACGTTATAATTCCATATAAGGCATTACAAGGCTATAATGAATCGGTCCCGTGAGAATGCATTATCGAATAAGAGTTCTCATTCCAATTTCAATGAAATGGCATTACAATGACTGGTGCCGAATTGCAACGCCATCACAACGTGACAGTAACATCACTCTACTGGACCGATCGGCTATTACAATGCTATCACAAGCTCATCGTAAAGGTGCTGCTATGGAGTCAAAAGCTCGCTATGGCATTACTATGCAGTCACAATGGCATTACAATAGCATGACAAGTAATAGGAAATGGTTATCAAGGGCTATGAGATGACTGAGTACTACCAGGGATCACTTACTTTGACTACTGATTATTACTAATACTCATTAATCTGTAGTGAGCATTACCTCAATAGCTTGTTACACCGTGACTACTAATGACTACTGGTGCTTATGGGTCATCACTAACTCATACTGATCATTGCTTCATACTACTGATACTACTACTAATATTACTACAGATGCTACTATAAGTGCTACTACAGATGCTACTAATGCTACTACTGATGCTACTACAATTGCAATTGATACATTACTATGACCAAGGTTCGAACATGCAACCTCTTGTATGAGAATCACCTTGTAATGTGGCGCATAACCACTCAGCCAGCTATGCTTTTCTGATTATAAATGTCCATGCTATTCATAGATCTATTTGGTGCTTGGCATACACTGATTCCCCCTTCTAAAATAGGCTCAGCACTGTCCTCCTGAGTGCCACAAAGCATGTCTTGCATAGCCAAGAAGGGCCACATCATATACTAGTCGATGCTGGTGAGTGCAATGTCCAGCATAGTGACATACATGTCAAGCTCGTTGTAGTCCATCGTCTTGTCTGCCTCAAAGGGTTTGCATATGTTGGAGGTAGGGGTATGTGTGGCGCGCGCGACAGCAGTTCGGAGGCAGAGGAAGCAGTTGGCGGTGTGTGCACGGTACGAGCAGCTGAAGGCAATGGGCAATGGGCGGTGGGCAATGGGCAATGGGCAGTTGGGAGGTGCAGGTGGATTCTGCGTGCGCGCAGCGGAATGTGTGGGAGGCGAGTGGTTCGAATGTGGGGGCACTGTCGGCACGCACGTGCGTGATGCGGGCAGCAGGCGGCGCACGCGACAGCGGTTCGGAGGCAGAGGCGGCAGTCGGCGGTGTGTGCACGGTACGAGCAGCTGCAGGTGTGGGCAGTGGGCGGTGGGCAACGGGCGGTGGGCAGTGGGCGACAGGCGGTGGGCGGTGGGCGGTCTGGAAGCGGAGGTGGATTCTGCGTGCGTGTGCGTGCTGCACGCAGCGGAATGTGCAGGAGGTGAGTGGTTCGAAGGAGGGGGCACAGTCGGCATGCGCGCGTGCGCGATGAGGGCAGCAGGCAGCGCACGCGAAAGCGGTTCGGAAGCAGAGGCAGCAGTTGGCAGTGTTTGCGCGATATGAGCAGCTGCAGGCGTGGGCAGTGTGCAGTGGGTGGTGGGTGGTGGGCGGTCTGGAAGCGGAGGTGGATGCCGTGTGCGCATGCGCGTTGTGCGCAGCAGAATTTGTGGCAGCTGGGTGGTTTGAAGGCGGGGGAATAGCCGGTGCATGTGTGTGCGCGGTGCAGGTAGCATGAGGCGTGTGCAAACATGGTTCGAAGGTAGAGGTGGTAGTCGGTAGGGCGTGCACGGCGCAAGCAGCGGCAGACATCGCATCCTGGACGTCGTGGTGCAAGACAACTTCTTCCGTGCCTTCCTCTCCAGCAAGCCTGTCCTCGTTGGTGGTACATCCACGTCCTCTCCCACCTTCGCCAGCATCGTCTTGCTCTTGAACAATGCGCGCCTCGCACAGGGCTTGCTGTCCCTCGTCTGTCGCGCAACTTCGCGTGGGCCTTGATGTCCTAGCAAGAACGAATGCACATCAATCCCACTTAACAAGAATTATAGACGAGCACACCTGAAAATCATTGTCATTGGACACCGAGGGGTGTAGACAAAGCCGTTTATTGGATGGTAGTATTGTTGGCAAGCACAAGCTCAGTGTTCCTCCAAATCTGAAAGATGATGGGTGTGATATGGATCTATATACAAACTAAGGGAAAACTGTACTTACAGATCTGCTTTCGATTGACGTCCTTGAGATTAAACGCGAGTTGAGTGCGAATACCGCATCCTAATTGCGTCGAGGGTACGTGTCATGAGCATCAATGACTCAGCTGATAGATACTGATCGATACAAGCTCTTCATCCTTACTGCAACATCCCCCCTTCAATCCTCTCAAGCCACCCATGGATGACGATTCAGAAGTAGAAGGTGAAGGCGGCTACATTCCCGGGGTCGTGACTGCTGCAGAGGTTGATGACCTCCAGGGTGCGCTCAATGCAATCCGCACGCCCGAATCGATATCATTTGCAGCTACAGTGGAAGATTATCAGGAAGTGAGTGAAAAGAATCCACACCTGTGTTGTTTCCCTGCTAATAGACATACAGGTGATACAGGAAACCCAGCTCCTTGCTCGGAATCTGCTAGATAAACTGAGGATTGCTCAGCTCGAGATCGTGTCACTGCGTGCCGCCCAGCGGTCTGGTGCTAAGCGGGCAAAGAGGAAGAGTGGATCTGTGGAAGTACTGGTAGGTAAAGATGATGAAGAAATTACTCAACTAGGCCACCGGTTTTTCGTGACCCAGGAGATGTGGTTTGATCCAGCCATCTTCCAGCAACCCAAGCCAATGTTGCTGCCTGACGACAAGGCCCGCTACGCCAATCCTCGTGCGATCCAACAGGGTGTTGTTGCTGACTTGTACAAGATAGTCCTGCCCCGACTCCATGAGCTGATGCAGCACCACAGTAGCTTCTCTTCTAGTGTAAGTCCATTAATCACTTCTCGTCGCAATTTCCTCTTGACCGTTGGCTTTTTAGTTTAACAAGGGATTCATTTCGTATCGCGCAACCGTCATTCACCGACTGCGTGCAGATGCAATTAAGATCTACAATAAACCAGGCTTTCAAGCTGTATGGTTCGAGCTAAAAACAAACCGTGCAGAGATCCCGGAACTTCAAGCGCTTCTGAAAGAGAAAGATCCCTCCTTGCCTAACGGTATCTATTCAGTGATTGCCCCCATACTCCATCCTCAGTGCATAGTCGACCGGAAGACGATCTTCAGAACAAAGGTCCTCACAAGGGCACGTCCTTTTTATTTTTATCATCACATTCTTATGCTTATTTGGCACTTTCTAGATTTTGCGCATGGTCCTTTTCAGGCCAAATTCTGTCTCTTCTGATGGATCAAATGTGGAGACAAGCTATGGTGGACGACTGACCATGGCGAAGCTGTGGAACCTTAACTCAACCACACCTGGATGTGTCGCTTTTGCTGCAATCATGGTATGTTTTTTAACCTTGTATTTTTCCTCTTAATTTATGTTTTTACAGGCTCGTTACCTCGCATCACCTGATGTCAAGCTTGAGAAGGTCGGCGCGCTGTCTCGCATCAATTATTACGACGACTTTACCTTCTACAAGAGGCTTCTTATTATGGGAAAGGATACGGCCTCCATCAAAGTGATCCTGAGGTTCTTTGACGAGGCTGTTTTTGGGATAGCGCCGCCACAGCAACCACATACATCAAATTCACATATGATCAATGTGAATAATTTCCTAGCAGATATGGAAGCTGGTGAGAATGCCAGTTTTGAAGACGAAGGTAAGTGCTATATCCCACTTTCAAACAATTTTTTTTTACAGTCACTTCCTAGATTTTACATCGGCAATCAACAACCTTAGCATCGTGATGGACGAGATGGAGGTTGAACCTCCTGCTCCTACTGTCGTTGAGCCTGTCGCTCCTGCTGCCGATTTTGTAGCTCCTACTACTTTTATCGCCAATCCTGTTTCTGCCGGCCCAGTTCCTACAGTCCTTGTTCCTCAACACCCTTCTATTCCCCCCATCGCTATCCCCGCTGTGACTACCGATTCCAACCGACCAGCTCGTGGCGGAAGAAAACCCAATAATAGCCCGGTACCTCGTCGTGTTTCAACACGCACTCAAGCTCAGGGTTTGGGGAAGTGAAATACTAGTCATTCTCGAGTTTATATAGTTCACTGTCATATCTGACTCATCGCAAACTCGCATGTATGTCTTTCAATATATCTTGTTGATCTTTCCTCCAAGGGGGTGGCCAGTGAGTGCGATGTTGTCATTATCGAGCCACCCCTTATCTTTGTTCTCTTGTCATGCCTGTCAACTCAGCAGGTCTCTCCAAGGCCTCTATCCTTCGTACCACACACACACCGCCAACTGCCGCCTCTCCCTCTGAACCGCTGTCGCGCGCGCCGCCTGCTGCCCTCATCGTGCGCACGCGCGTGCCGACTGTGTCCCTGCCTTCGAACCACTCGCCTCCCGCACATTCCGCCGCACGCAACGTGCACGCGTATGTGGAATCCACCTGCACCTCCAGACCGCCCAGCGCCCAGCGCCCACGCCTGCAGCTGCTTGTACTGCGCACACACCGCCAACTGCCGCCTCTGCCTCTGAACCGCTGTCGCGCGCGCCGCCTGCTGCCCTCATCGTGCGCACGTGCGTGCCGACTGTGTCCCCGCCTTCGAACCACTCGCCTCCCGCACATTCCGCCGTGCGCAACATGCACGCGTATGCGGAATCCACCTGCACCTCCAGACCACCCAGCGCTCAGCGCCCACGCCTGCAGCTGCTTGTACTGTGTACACACCGCTGACTGCCGCCTCTGCTGCCCTCATCATGCGCACGCGCGTGCCGACTGTGTCCCCGCCTTCGAACCACTCGCCTCCCGCACATTCCGCTGCGCGCAACGCGCACACATATGCGGAATCCACCTGCACCTCCAGACCGCCCAGCGCCCAGCGCCCACGCCTGCAGCTGCTTGTACTGCGCACACACCGCTGACTGCTGCCTCTGCCTCCAAACCACTGTTGCGCGCGCCGCCTGCTGCCCTCATCGCGCGCACGCACGTGCCGACTGGGCCCCTGCCTTCAAACCACTCACCTCCTACACACTCTGCTGCACGCACCACGCATGCGCATGTGGCCTCGTCGGATGCATTATTTATGGTGCATGTCCTGTGGCCGTCTGTATGCGTGATCACTGACTGGTGGCTTTCTTTTTCTCGTTCTGTGGTGCTGCATGGTCGAGGCTTCCTGCCGACATACTTGCTCATGGTGCTGAGAATGTTCTCGTGGGTGCGTCCACCCGCTTATGCACTCTTTGCTTCTCAATGACAGACAATTTATATTTCATGGTGCCCACTGCCCAGCAAGAGCATGGCATGCATATCTTTAACATATGTTAGGTTCTCTGCTGTAAAATGAGATAGGACTGACCACTGGTGTTTCTCTCGGAGACGCAGAAACATATCCCCATCTATAACATCAACTACAAGGAACTCCCTGCTATTTTTCCGATCAAACTCCTCGACAAGTAGTGCACCCCGAATGATTGATCATACAGATATGAACTCGGAGGATTGTCGAGGTTTTGCACATACTCAGATAAAGCCTAGATCTTTATCCTTCCGTCTTTGTATATGTATGGGTGCATCTAGAGGTTGAATCAATGCAAGAGGATATGGGGTTTTGTTGACAAAGCAGGTGAAGACAAATAGAAGCTGTGCAAAAATATCTCCGCCAACTGTGTCCACAAGAACACAATCCACTCATTCCTGATGATGAAAATCAGGACTGCAATGGAGGTAATCCATTGTTTCTCTCCAGTCAACTTTAGATTCATATTTAACCTTGAGAAACCGATACTCCTTGATCTGATAGAAAGTAAAATCAGTCATAAGCACTCTATATAATAGAGATAATTAATGGCCTACAAGATTGCTTGAATGAAATTTGATTGGGGTGTTATTCGGGAGATCAATACCACTAGCAAGCAGAAACTGTGACATCCAAGGGCCTAGGCGCTGTGTGAAATTACTGAATGCAACATCATCCTTGTACCTTTCCTCCAAGGAATTAAAAGAACAGGCCTTCTGAACAGCTCCAAGTAAAACATGACCTGCTGATAAAATTGTGGTTCTTGACTGTGGCTTGATATCATCTTCTACATCCCCTTCATCTACATCTGCTGCCTCACCAGACTTGCAATACTCATCAAGCAAATCAATCCGCTGTTGAAGAAAGGACATGACAAGGACATAATGGTCAATTTTCAGAATCTAAACAAGCATAAATGAGAATGTGATATAAAATATTCAAGAAACCAAAAACCTGAGTGGCCACATCCTTTTTGTTGGTTTGAAGGTCATATATATTTTTAAGAGCACCATGAAGCTTCTCATTTGGCTTTGTATTGAAATTGCGTGTAGCACCTTTTGCTCGGATATCTGCAAAAAGATGTTTATGGGAGTGCATCTTGGGGAAGTTCCAATTCTTGCTATCATCAATCAATGCAAGATACTCCTATAATCACTCCAAAATCAGACAAGAAAAAATAACAATAAAATAATGTAAAAACCTTCATAGCTTGCTCAAAAGTAAGTAAGGCCTGCTCGCCTGCTGCAATTGTGTCTTCGGTATGGACATTCAGTGAAGCATACATATCCAAGACTAAAAAGCACCGGATACAACGCAATAAACAATAGCCTGGTTTGTTTGTGCGCATATCACCAATGACATTGTAGGATGCAAATAAAATAATCTAATAAGACAATTTAAGTATAAAAGTAAATACGAGATCAAATAGATTCAAACCTTGGATATATGTTCAAACTTTTTACCATCAGTAAATGAAATCTTGATCACATTCTTGAAATGGGTTAAACCCCTCCATCGAGGTATCATATCACATCTACAGATATTAAGCATTATATTAAAGAAAAAAAGTTGAACATACTGATTATCAACTTGTTTTTCAGCATCTTTTCCCAAAATAGCAAGATGATCCTTAAGCTGTTTCCAAAGATGACTGCCAAACAAACCAAGGTTATAGGCATGAAGACGGTCCCATGAAAGTGCACGGTATACATCTGAATATGCAATAGATGCAAAGGAACTCTAAGAAATAAAGAATTACAACCAGTAATATAATCAAAGATTATGAGATAAAACCCACTTTTACAGGACGGAGACTATAGGACTTAAGAATCACTTCCTTGTCTCTTTGAAGTGGTGTTCGATCAATCTCTTCAAAAATTTTCTGAGTATCATAAGCCGTACGAAGAGGATAATCCTCAGAAAGATCAATTTGATGGTTGGCAGGAACCAAGCAAACTGGACATGGGAACTTTCCCTTGACACCTCGTATCAATGCCATAAAACATCTGGAAAATGTTTGAGCATAATCAAATCACAAAAAAAAAAAAAAAAAAACTGTTTCTCATAATCAGCTGATAAAATCAGAATAAAAACGAAAAGCCAGCGTATAATATTATCACCACACTTGAAGTGATAACCTGTCTTCGAGATTTTGATGATCGTCTCCAAAAGCTTGTAAAATGCACTATGCCATACAACATTCTTGAAATTGGCCCATCCTGGTGTAGATGATTCTGCTGGATCTTCCTCAACCTATGCAAATTAATATACATATCAAACCTGCAAATTTAAGCAATCAAACTTACAATTGGAAGCCACCCAACAACACGACCTCCACCCAAGGTACCTTCACCATTCCGAATTCCAACTGGCAAGTTCCCACACCGTGCTATTACTGGATACCCTTTCTGACCACCAAACGAAGACAGCTTGGTTTTATCAGCATAGAGAATCAAGCAAAATGGTTTTGCACCCTCTGGGATTGACGACTTGTTCATCTGTAAAGTTAGACAATATTATTTTAAATTATACAGTTATCTTGCACACCTGGACATTCCAGAAGCTGTCTGCCGTCCAAGGTTCATGATATATGCGCATGAATCTTGTTCCATTGAACTTCGAGATCTTTTCTGCATCCCACACAAAGTGTGGACTCAGAAGTGGGTCTCCTGCAAGATCCAATGCCCATTCCCAGAGCGGTTTCACGTGGACTTCAAAGTCCTGGACCATGTCTTTAAATGGTACATGAATAGATGTCTTTTCGTGCTATACATGAGGAACAAGAAATGAGTACAGACAAAGAATGTGTTTCCATATACCTACAGGAGTGAGAATCCAAGAGGCTCCTTCCAAAATATCATACATATCTGCATGCGATGACAAAGTGACAGCCTCATCTTCTCGTGCTCTCTTCATCAACAAGATTAGGGTGTTCGTCTCTTCTTTGTTGAGGGCATTCCGCAAAGCAAAATTCGCAACATCGAAGTCCAAACGACTTCGGAATGGGCGCCACGGCTCTTCACTGACAACGACCCGCGCGCGGTCCTTGACTTGATGCCCGTAGTCCTCGAAGTGTGACGTGACCGTCGCTTTGCCACTTCGTGGGTGGAATTCGGTTCGGATGTCATCAAGACAAGGCTCCAAAGGCGCAGAGGTCGATGCAGAGGCAGAGGAAGTTATAGGCACATCGGGGGCAGTGGGAGGTGCAAGATTTGATTGTTGTCGATCAGGCTCATCGATTGGTGTAAGGGATTGATCTATAATTGATGTCAGGAAAGTCCTCATTCACGATGCAACAACGACATACCATTATCACCCGATGAGAGTGCTTGGTCGACGATCGGGCCTGACGCCTCGGCAGCAGGATGTGCTGCAATCGGTAAAACTGGGGAGCCTAAAGCGAAATTAACCGATATTTTCAATTGTAACGAGGCTCTTACATACCTGTTGCTCTATGTTGCTTGGCCTCGAAGGCCCAATCTCTCTCTTGCTCAGCCTTTCGACGAAAGCACGCGCGCTCATGAGTGGCAACACCTCTCAAGTCGAAAGGTTGTCCACACAACTTGCAGTCTCTTGTTCTTGCAGGCATAGACATTGGGGGGATCCTACTATGGTCACAGAGATAGTATACAAGGCGAGGGAGCGATGCTGCGACGAGGGAGGCTACAACACGCAGGAGCGCATTGCATCCGCATTACAATCACAGCAGAATGATCTTATCTTAATCGTGACATCATTCGAATGCATTTTAATCTTACGATAACCTATGACACGTCATTTTAATGTCATGTTAACTCTATTATCAGCAAAACTTATTACAATGCAGGTAAGTATTTTGTGACATAAGCCCTCAAAATTGTCCGAATTGACCAGATCTGGCCTTGTATGCCCTCAAAATTGTCCATATCATATAGTTCAGGTCTGTTTTGATGCTCAGAAAGGCCAGAAAGTGTTTATTAAGCCGTTGGCCATCAGAATCAAATACATAGAGCACATGAGATATTGAAAAGATATTACAGAGCATCATACTTCATGCACTAAGCCATCACCATCCTCCCTTGTGCCGCTATTGTCCTTCTTGCCCCCTGACCCACACTGACATAACACCTGGAGACATTGGACTGCTATTACAAGGTTCAAGAGGTATCTATTCAAATGTGAGAATAGCCGGAGCAAGGCTTTATCGAGATGTATGTGCTGCCTGTCCATGTCCATTTCAGAGGCAGTTCATCTGACCGCCACCATAGATCCTTGCTTTGTTGCAGTGTTGCAATTCTTTTCCAGAAGGTGATTATCTGTAATCATTTGGAAAACTACCCCCTTGTATTAAGCTTTAATTAGCTATAATTGATGCTTTGCTATACTAAATTATGAAAGATTAAGATTAGACATCTTTAGCTTACCCCCCCTCTAAACCTGGTCTAATTAGACATAATTTTCCTAAATTAAGAATTATTAGGATGGGTTATAACTTGAAATTTCGGAATAATAATAATAAATCAAGCATTACAGTTCTCATAGCCTTCTTATAGAGTCATGTCTATTAGAGCACTAGTTCAATACCTAAACACAAAATATACCTTATAACAAACTTGCCTTTTGCCAGAGTTAAACCAACAACCTCATGCATACAAGCACCTAGGACAGATGCTCTAAGCCACTAAGCCACAAGGTCTAAGATATAAACTTGGTAATCTAAATAAGTAGACATAATATAGGCAACCTCAATATCTCAAATTTTATTTAACATTTATCTTTTCTCTATCTTATAAGTAAATAGGTCAATAAATACCTAAAAAGTCAGGTCTTTTAGGATTTAGTTTAAACACCAGCTAAGAAGATAATAAACCAATGGAAAATCAATAATACACTTTATATAGGATAAAAATAAATTGTGACACTTATACAATTTGGATTTAGAATGTGTAAAACTATGATTGAGTGTAATATTCAATAGGACTCTACTAGTATAAACAATGCTACCTTAATTTGCAAATTTGATCAAAAACATGATCATGAATAATTGGTCATAATTAGCTTAAATTAGTATTATTAATGATTATCAATAATTTAGATCCAATAAGAGAGAGGGGTTTTCCAAATTGCCACTAGTGAGGTGGAGGGTGGGGACAAGGGTATATATATGGCATGCCTATGTATAAATAAGCACAAGATTGTTAGAGATAATTTTGATATGCTTAGTACACATATTTCCTACATGGCAGGCAAATATATTATTCTGGCACTACATACCAACATGACTGTCTTTTCCATAACCCAATAGCTAGAGGAAAACACTAAGTTTGAGCATCTTCTGTATAATAAGGCAATAGACAGTGTGGATGGCACTGAGAATTGTAATATCAATAGTGGTGATGATTATGTGCTGCACAAGACAGCATTAACCACTGCACTAATAGACAAGGTCTTCAAGGCTGCATGTAGCACATTTCTAAGCCCAACCTGCATGTTATGTCCTGTAATGACTAGTAGCAGGCAGCAGCTGACAATAACAACTTCAATGATCTTGTGTGCAAGGCCAAGGTACTGAGGTCTTCATGGTCTCTTGTGGCAGCTGCTAAGCTGCCGACAAAGTGGCTGGAGCATCAATGTATATTTCTCTCTTTCTATATCCCTTGTAAAGGCAGCTAGAAAGTCAGCAAAAGAGCTACAAGATAATAGTGCAGGCATATATAAAGAAGAGTAATATGCTAAAATAGTATAGAATGTGCGACATCTTTACCTTCTCACTGATAGAGCAGTAGTACTTACTATTTCCTACTGCTAATTAAAGACTTCTTGGTATGAAATTAGTGCTAATATTATAAAATTAGAAACCAATCCAATGCTCACAATATGTTGCTCCTAATTAGGAAATTAGACACTTTTAGATGCTATTAACACTTTAAGATACGTTTAGACACTTTTAGATATAATCCGGAGCTAATACAAGGGGGTGGTTTTCCAAATGTACAAATAGACAAACTAGCCCAAACTCCTACCATATGTGGAGTTTGCACACAATGTCAGAGAACACTTGGTCACACATCAATCCCTATTTGAACTCATATACAGCTATAACCTGACCTTCATGCTAAAAATCACCCCAAGATCGGATATTCCCCAAATAGAACAAAGAGTAGAAAAGTTAAAACAATTATGAAAGGAAACCAAAGCCAGTCAAGAAGTAGTGGCAGAACTGATGAAAAGCAAAACCACCGAGAATGAAGTCAAACTAGAAGCAGGGCAGAAAGTTTGGCTCTCAGGAAAAAATATAACCACCACACACCCAAAGGACAAACTAGCCCCTAAATTGCATGGACCATTCGAAATAGAAGAGAAGTTAGGAATAGTAATGTACAAACTGAAACTTCCACCCACATAGAAGATACACCCTGTGTTCCATGCCTCCTTAATTACACCATATCGAGAAATGACTGCTCATGGCCCCAACTACAAACAACCCCCACCTGACCTTATAGAAGGACAGGAATAATATGAAGTTGAAGGAATTCTCAATAAGAGGAAACAAAGACGTGGATATCAGTACTTGGTGCGTTGGAAAAGATACCCAGACTCATTGTTATGCTAGAGGTGGCTCTAAGTGCTGAGCATAACACCAAAATAACCTCTAATGCAGGGGGTGGTAGAGCTAGTATCTGATACACAAGGAATTGTTAGTTAGGACTTGAGAAATCAATGGCACACTGAGAAGCAGTAAGGAGTGTGAGATTATAGCACCCAAACGGTTTTGGGACTGCACCAAACATCAACCAAACATTCGGTCGGTCGCATCGGCGATTCGGTCGGTAATGAGAAGGTAGTGTCATGACCGGCAACTACATGCTTCAAGAGCCACATGGGACTCTGACAATATATGAGGGAAGGATGAGGGGTATGAGCAAAGAGGTGAGTATAAATGCGAACAAGGCCAAATGACAAGGATAACAAGTTTTTGGGAGTCGATGAAGACAATTTCAATGGTTGAGACGAGTACAAATGAGCTCTGAACTGTGGGGTGCAAAAGCTGGTTTATTCCAGAGTTGTATGTAGGTTTTTATAGTAAACAGAGCCTCTAAGTAAAATATCAAGAACGAAATGAGAGTAGGTGTTGAATAGGTGCCAAGCCTTAGCGATTAGAGAAGATAAGAAGATAGGTAAGATGTCCATATGGGTTCCGAAGGTAATAAGGTAAAAGGTAATCAGCGATGGTAAAATCCCAAATGTTCGGGAGCCATTGCCCGAGTGTAAGTAGCAGAAACATGTGTTGGCGAGCCAATGAAAATAAAGAAGATGTAACATATGACCAAGGTGGCCAAGTAAAATGGTGCAAGATCGTGTTTGACCGACCATGTGGAAGTCGGAAAGATAAGCAATAAGGATCAACCAACTCATGGAGGACATCGGCTGATATGGACTACTGGCTCTGATCTTGTAAACACTTATTGTAACACTCTTGTGTGGTCATGTTAAGTACGTGAAGTGTGGGTGAACTGACCCAAGTATTGTGGGATGTCCTTTGGTGGCTTGTCATCAGTTGGGTAGGGGCCAACTGTGTTCAGTGCAAGTTAGCGTCTTTGGTACTCATCTAGCACTGTTCGGTATCTCCCCAAAGCTTCCTAAATACCTCCCTCGGACCCTAGCGCAGGTGCATGCTCATCATCATCAAATGAATGGATCACAAGGACAAACCTAAAGAATGCCAAAGAACTTGTAGAAGCTTATGACATATGACACCCCAAAAGCATACCCTTAAGGACAGCTCTCGCAAATATTGGACAAACAAACTCAGAAATATATAAAAACGCTAACTCAATCCTTCCTGTCCCCTTATCACTTCGACAACCCTACTCTACTCACAATGATCTTCCTCATCTTACACATGTCTTCTAATGGATCCCTTTCCATCACCTCTGCTGATGACACTCTCATCGATGAGTCAACGCAGATGACCCCCTTTCCCAAACCATTCTTAACTGAAGAGCAATGGGAATGGTCAGTTGTAATGAGCATGAGGCTTGAAGAGGAGAATGATAGGAGATTGCAGGCTGAGGAATACAAAAGGCATCTATTGTACATGGAGGAGAGTGCAGGAGAGAGAGCAGCATGTCACACACCCATGCCCCCACATTTCCCCTCCCTTCTGCAAGTAATAGATATCACTATGCCACCCGCAGGCTCGCCTCCTCATTCTCCTTTCCCACCACCCCTGATCCGCGAAGAGAACAAGGAAGTCATCTTCCCCGATAGAGAGTCATACTTGACTGCCCCTGTTGCATACCTTATAGGGCTTATAGAAGGTTTACCGAGTACAGAGTTTGTGTCAGGGCCAACCTGACTAGAGATACGGAGGGCACTAGAGATCTTGGGGAAAAAAAGGGCTTTTGTATGATACACATAGAGGGCTTTGCAAATACGTGAAGGAATACTCATCGCCTGCATCAATGCAGGCAAGAGGAAGCTCATGAGACTTGACTGCTCTGAACCCCTCCATGACATGTTTCACCCTGCTAATGACCCTACTCTTGCCAATGAGTACTATATGCTGTCCATGGGCTGTGGTATCTTGTGCCTCATCTTTGGCTTCAAATGGAGGTCTGCTTCGCCCAATGGTGGGAACTTATCCCACCGGCCCCAACTAAGGGGTCTATAGGTTCACATGTCCTTCCCCTTGCTTTCAAGCCGTACCCCTGACCTTTGGCCTCTGACGTCCTCCTATGCACACTCAACTCCCTGTCGTCAAATATGACTCTAGTGACTCCAACGCACTCCCTCTCGTCAACCACCACTACAATCTTTAAAGGGGATAACCATCGCCCAGTATGACGTTAAACTGCCAGGGCAGACAATGGTTCGAATCCATTGGGCTAGTACTCACTGCCACAATGAGAAGAGGGACTCAGTTCTAAGATATAGTCCCCGCATGGCTCTAACAAGGTGAGGTATCATGGTGTTTGTACTCAAGGGCTATCGCACTATGGCTCGGCAGTGGGCAATGAGAATTGGTGCCCTAAGTATTATTCTTCCATGACCTGTGACTTTATACACATTGCTTATGTTTCCATCTGGAAAACCACCCCCTTGTATTAGCTCTGGTGATGAGCATGCACCCGCGCTAGGGTCCGAGGGAGGTATTCGGAAAGCTTTGGGGAGATACTGAATAGTGCTCGACAAGTACCAAAGATGCCAACTTTTACCAAATACGGTCGGTCCCTACCCAACCGACAACAAGCCACTGAAGGACATTCAGCAGCACTTGGGTCAGTTTGCCCACACTTCATGTACTCACCATGACCACATAGGAGTGTTATGATAAGTGTTTACAAAATCAGATCCAGTAGTCCGTATTGGCTGATGTTCTCCATGAGTTGGTCAATCCTTATCGCTTATCTTCCCGACTTCCACATGGTTGGTCAAACACGATCTTGCACCATTACTTGGCCACCCTGGTTGTACGATACCTCTTCTTTATTTTTCATTGGTTCTCCAACGCCTGTTCCATCTACCCACGCTCAGGTGACAGATCCCGAACGTTTGGGATTTTGCCATCGCTGATTAACTTTTACCTTGTCACCTTCAGAACCTATATAGACATCTCACCTACCTTCTTATCTTCTCTGATCGCTAAGGCTTGGCATCCATTCGACATCTACTCTTATTTCTTGTTTAATATTTTACTTAGGGGCTCTGTTTACAATAAAAACCTACATACAACTCTAGAATAAACCAGCTTTTGCACCCCACAGTTCAGAGCTCATTCACACTTGTCCCAACCATCAAAATCGTCTCCATTGACTCCCAAAAACTTGTCATCTTTGTCGTTCGGCCTTGTTTGTGTTCGTACTCGTCTCTTCGCTCGTACCCCTCGTCCTCCCTTGTATATTGTCAGAGTCCTGTGTGGCTCTTGAAGCACATAGTTGTCAGTCGTGACACTACCTTCTCGTTACTGACCAAATCGCCGACACAACCAACCAAAGGTTCGGTCGGTGTTTGACGCAGTCTCAAAACTGTCTGGGTGCTATAATCTCATACTCATTGCTGCTGCTCCAGTGCGCCATCAATTTCTAAAGTCCTCACTAATGATTCCTTGTGTATTAGATACTAGCTCTAGCACCCCTGCATTAGAGCTTGTTTTGGTATTGTGCTCGGCACTTAGAACCACCTCTAGCGTATCACCGGATTATATCTAATAGTGTCTAAAAGTATCTTAAAGTGTTAATAGCATCTAAAAGTGTCTAATTTCCTAATTAGGAGCAACATATTGTGAGCATTGGATTGGTTTCTAATTTTATAATATTAGCACTAATTTCATACCAAGAAGTCTTTAATTAGCAGTAGGAAATAGTAAGTACTACTGCTCTATCAGTGAGAAGGTAAAGATGTCGCACATTCTATACTATTTTAGCATATTACTCTTCTTTATATATGCCTGCACTATTATCTTGTAGCTCTTTTGCTGACTTTCTAGCTGCCTTTACAAGGGATATAGAAAGAGAGAAATATACATTGATGCTCCAGCCACTTTGTCGGCAGCTTAGCAGCTGCCACAAGAGACCATGAAGACCTCAGTACCTTGGCCTTGCACACAAGATCATTGAAGTTGTTATTGTCAGCTGCTGCCTGCTACTAGTCATTACAGGACATAACATGCAGGTTGGGCTTAGAAATGTGCTACATGTAGCCTTGAAGACCTTGTCTATTAGTGCAGTGGTTAATGCTGTCTTGTGCAGCACATAATCATCACCACTATTGATATTACAATTCTCAGTGCCATCCACACTGTCTATTGCCTTATTATACAGAAGATGCTCAAACTTAGTGTTTTCCTCTAGCTATTGGGTTATGGAAAAGACAGTCATGTTGGTACATCTGGAAAAATACCCCCTTGTATTAGCTCCGGATTATATCTAAAAGTGTCTAAAAGTATCTAAAAGTGTTAATAGTATCTAAAAGTGTCTAATTTCCTAATTGGGAGCAACACATTGTGAGTATTGGATTGGTTTCTAATTTCATGATATTAGCACTAATTCTATACTAAGAAGTCTTTAATTAGCAGTAGAAAATAGTAAGTACTACTCCTCTATCAGTAAGAAGGTAAAGATGTGGCACATTCTATACTACTAGTTTTTCACTCGTTGCGTTGCGATGGCGCAACCATGCTTAATCTGAGTTTTTGCTACAGTGCTTGGTCCAATGTGTTTGTAAAATCTAGTGCCTGTAAAGTCTAGTGCCCATAAAGTCCAGTGCCCATAAAGTCCAGTGCCCATAAAGTCCAGTGCCCATAAAGTCCAGTGCCCATAAAGTCTTATGCCCATAAAGTCTTATGCCCCAATATCTCTATATAACTCTTCTATGACATTCAACAAGGTCCTTCCTATATAAAGCTCTCTATGAGGTCTTATCCATAAGATTCCCTTATGAGATCCTGCCCTATGAAGCTCCCCCATGAGGTTCTCTATAAGATGCTAGGGTGCCATTTCAAGCTTTAATGGCTGTAGAAGCATAGCCCACTGCAGTCGCTAGGGTTGCTAGGAGCACCAAGACATGGCTCACTCTGCTCACCCCATTTGTCATGGATGCTTGCTTTGCTCACATGGTGTCTTATGTGGCCTACATAAGTGTAAGCAAAGATGTATGACTTGAGCTATTAGCCTAGTGCCACCATTTCTTATTGTCCCCTTTTATTTATTATTTATTTATGTATAAAAAATACCTGCAAACAAAATCAAGAGCCCAGATTGGTTGCCAAGCTAAGCACTTGCTGAATGCCCCCTTGCCTGAAGAAATCACTGCAAGACAATGCCAGGGAAAGAGAATTCCCTATGCTTAGGTTAGCCCCGGGCACGTGCGCGCTGACCAACTCCGTTTCAAGCTCCAACACGCTCCATTTTGCATCCCAAAGCCTATGGGACAGTAGTCTCGTGTGGTTTCTTACGTGGCCCATGCGAGCATAAGCGAGGACACGCGATGTGATCTACCGGCCCAGCGCCACAATTTTCCACTGTCGCCCTCTATTTATGGATTTTAGCATATTACTCTCCTTTATATATGCCTATACCATTATCTTGTAGCTCTTTTGCTGACTTTCCAGCTGCTTTTATAAGGGATATAGAAAGAGAGAAATGTGCATTGATGCCCCCAGCCACTTTGTTAGCAGCTTGGCAGCTGCCACAAGAGGCTATGAAGACCTAAGTACCTTGTCCTTGCACACAAGATCATTAAAGTTGTCATTGTTAGCCAATGCCTGCTACTGGTCATTATAGGACACAACATGTGGGTTGGACTTAGGGATATGCTATATGCAGCCTTATAGACCTTGTCTATTAGTATAGTGGCTAATACTGTCTTGTGCAGCACACAATCATCATCACTATTGATATTACAATTTTTAGCACTATTTATATTGTTTATTGCCTTGTTATACAGAAAATGCTCAAACTTGGTGTTTTCCTCTAGCTATTAGGCTATGGAAAAGACAGTCATATTGGTATGTGGTGCCAGAATAATATATTTGCCTGCCATATAGGAAATATATGCATTAAGCATATTAAGATCACCTCTAACAATCTTGTGCTTATTTATATATAGGCATGCCATACATATACTCTTGTCCCTACCCTTTACCTCACTAGTGGCTATTTGGAAAACCCCTCTCTCTTATTGAATCTTGATTATTCATAATCATGTTTTTGATCAAATTTGCAAATTCAGGTAGCATTGTCTATACTAGTAGAGTTCCATTGAATATTACACTCAATCATAGTTTCACACATTCTTAGTCCAAATTATATAAGTGCCATAATTTATTTTTATCCTATATAAAGTGTATTATTGATTTTCCATTGGTTTATTATCTTCTTAGCTGGTGTTTAAACTAAATCCTGAAAGACCTGACTTTTTAGTTATTTATTGAACTATTTACTTATAAGATAGAGAAAAGATAAATGTTAAATAAAATTTGAGATATTGAGGTTGCCTATATTATGTCTACTTATTTAGATTACCAAGTTTATATCTTAGACCTTGTGGCTTAGTGGCTTAGAGCATCTGTCCTAGGTGCTTGTATGCATAAGGTTGTCGGTTCAACTCTGGCAAAAGGCAAGTTTGTTATAAGGTATATTCTGTGTTTAGGTATTTAACTAGTGCTCTAATAGACATGACTCTATAGGAAGGCTATGAGAACTGTGATGCTTGATTTATTATTATTATTCCGAAATTTCAAGTTATAACCCATCCTAATAATTCTTAATTTAGGAAAATTATGTCTAATTAGACCAGGTTTAGAAGGGGGGTAAGCTAAAAATGTGTAATCCTAATCTTTTATAATTTAGTATAGTAGAGCATTAATTATAGCTAATTAAAGCTTAATACAAGGGGGTGGTTTTCTATATGTCTCTTGGACTTTTACCTACTGTCTCTGGCACTGACAGCCTAGAAGGGGGGGGGTAATATTATGAACCGCCTACTATACCTTTCTTGTTTCTCCCATGATCTGTATAAGGATACATAAGACCTTTCTTCCGACTATACCTCACGTTCCCGATCTATTGCTACTTGGTCCATGCTTTTGCTTGTACATATTTATAGCAGCTGTGGCATAGTAGGAAAGCCCTAAGCTATCCACCTCTGTCCAATCTAGGAACTGCTATTAACCAGTCTTCCCTGATTCTCAAGCATTGGTCTGATCAGCTTCACTTCTTCACATCCATTACCTTATTTCTGGAAGTATTGACTTGTGGACTAGGAATCTTTCATCCTGAACAGCTGTTCATGACACCTACCAGGTGAATAAGACGTAGAAGGGGGGTATTGTTATGATCACGACTTATTGGGCCTTAACGGTGGTCTATTCCAATATGATCATCACAAGCACCATACGGCCTCACATTCTGAGGCATACACAAAGGTACAGATATTACCCTGGTCATCCACTCCCAACAGATCACCTATTGTTGGTCGAGTATCATAGGCCTATTGCAGTGGAGAGAATTTCCCGCCTTACAAACTACTCACACAATGGGCACAGAACCCCTTGACCTCTTGGTCAGAAAGAGGCAATTGGAGAAGCAAGAGTAGTCAATTCAGAAAGAGAGAACCACTTAGAGAATACCTATGGATACATATATGGTATTCTCACGCCCTTCCCAAAGTAGTATATAAGGCCCATAGAATAGGCTAAGGATCTTTAGTCTATTCTTTTTGTCTAGTACTGTCTCCCTACAGTACATACTACCCTCCTGTGCCAACAAGCACAGCAACTACAATACTACTTGGCTCCTGTGCTACATGTACAGTCAAGACCATCATTCCACCCTTCTTCTGCGAGTGACCCAGGGAAGAACCTCTTACTCTTGGGGCTACCGAACGAGCAGTTCGTAACATATATAACACCATGTGAAGTAAACTAGTTGAGAACTGCCTTAATGCTTATCATCATATTTTGAAAAACAGTGTGATGACTTTTCTGCTTATGAATAGCCCATTCCACCACCTTTCTGGTCAACCCCCCATGATATGCATCTATAAAATGCCATAAGCAATTAAAGAAGTGACAAATGACCTTAATAGGACAATTGTTGAGGCATTTAAGTGCATGCTTCTTCACATCATCAAACCTCCTCCTTATAGACCTCACAATACCTGTACTTAACAAAACCCCAGTACTGCCAAAAAAAGGGACTCAATAAACAGAGAGAAATAAAATTGAAAATGACAGAATAAGCAGTTTACTCATCATCTTAATCAGGTTGAGCTCACAATGGAATTTTGGGAGAAACATACAGATGTGACTATGAGCAGTAATCTCCTGTTTAAGAAGGGAGACTTGATTCTTGACATCGGCCTAGTTTAAGAGAAAATGAGCCATGCACACTAGCACGCACTTGGCCCATATGCACATCACCTTGACAATGTTTTTGGCAATAGAATATAGATATTTTTAGCAAATTTTGGATGGATTCATACAGTACTCATTGAAAAAAGTTGATTGGTGTATTTTACGTGATTTATAGACCTTTTTTGTGGGGTCAGCCAATTTTTGGAGATTTCCGGGTCAAAGAATTACTTTTTCTGGACTAACGGCTCATAGGATTTTACTCAAAATATTTTCATGACATCTACTCAAGCATTACTATTAATTCCAGTGTAACCAGGAAGCCTTAGAAATAGGTGTCAAAATTCATCAACTTTGCTTGTCCACGACTATACTACAGTCTGGATCACATCTAGAGAGAGTAGGAGGGCAGTATCTCATGTGGCAATATGTGAAAACCACGTGAAAACCTGAGCACAAAGCACGAGGGGCAAAACCTGACAAACTGCAGCGATAGCCACAGTAAGTGCAACGTATGAGGCTAAAACAATTACTTTATTGGCCAAATTATTAATTTCTCTTTTCCTGATTAAAGCATTTTTTGCACCAAAAATCCAAAAAGGGAACCTGACAAAATATGACAAAATCCATAAAGCACAAGGCAAAATATTCTGACTCTAACCATCAATGTACCTTATATTCCCAACTCAATACCTGCTAAATCTATGCACACTGTGTATATGTCTTTTACATTAGTAAAAAACTCCAGGAACATTACTCAAGTTAGATTAAAATGTCCAATAACCTATAAGAGAAGTGCAATGAAACTAATAAGAGCACATATAACAGGAGCACACACAATAGGAGCATATACAATGGAAGCACACATAATAAGAGTATACACGATGGGAGCATATGTAAGGGGAGCACACACAACAAGAGCATATACAACAAGAGCACATACAATAAGAGCACACATGATAGGAGTATGGGAGCATACATAATAGAAGCATACACAATAGAAGCATACACAATGGGAGCATATGCAATGGGAGCACATGCAACAAGAGTACAAGCAACAGGAGCATATGCAATAGGAGCATATGCAATAGGGGCATATATAATCAAAGCACACACAACTAGAGCATATCTAATAGGAGCATAGCACACATAATAGAAGCACACCCAACCAAAGCACATCTAACAAAAGCACATGTGATGGGAATATACACAATGGGAGTATACATGATGAAAGCATACATAATGGGAGCACACTATGTGTAATGGGAGCACATATAACAGGGGCACACCTAACTAGAGCATATCTGATAGGAACACATATGATGGGAGTACATACAATGGGAGCACACATGATGGAAGCACATCCAACTAGAGCATATCTAACAAAAGCACACCACATACAACAAAAGCACATCTAATAAGAGCATACCTAATGAGAGCATACCCAATGAGAGCATACCCAATAAGAGCACACCCAATGAAAGCATACCCAATGAGAGCACACTCAACAAGAGCATACCTAATGAGAGCACACCCAATAAGAGCACATTCAACAAGAGCATATCCAATAGAAGCACATACAATAGAAGCATACCCAATAAGAGCACACCTAATTCAAGCATACACAATGGGAGCACATATGACAGAAGCACACACAATAAGAGCATATACAATAAAAGCATACAAAATGAGAGCACATGTAATAGGTAATCAAGTCACAAGTATATAGCCAACAATAGATTACACACAGACTACATACAGACCACACTCAGACTATAGGTAGCCTATAATCAATGCATAGTCTACAACTAACATAGAATATTTCAATCCTCATAGTCATTTAAAACTAAACTACAAAACTCAGATTCAATCCTAACCCCAGGAAATACTATTAAGCACTGTGTAAGAGTCATGAAGCGACGGGTGGGAACGCCTTACTTCACCTTAGCTAAGCCACATCCACGCGCGGCGGACGGACGGGGTTTCCCACCAGTCCGCCGTCCATTTTTATCGAAAGCCATGCGGAAGGCCAGTCCAAAGGCGCAGTTCCAGGGCGTCGCTAATAGTGCCAACGGGAACACTGCATCCACAGATAGTATTGAGGCCCACCACTCTGGCGCACGCAACCTCCTCAGCAAATTCAATCACAATCACCACAACCTTCCCACTGCTCGTCTTTACCTCAACAGCGTCCACACACACCACAGCAATCATATCGGCCGTGTCTCCCCTCACGCCCTCGCACTCCTTCCACGCACCCCGCGACCCCCCTACGTCTAAGCGCCTCGCGGTTCTTCGCCACTAGGCGCCACATGTCTGCAGTGTCATTGGCCCATTCCTCTCTCACAGCATCCACCGCCACGCACCGCATCCCAGCACGCCCTTGCTCGCACCTTCCGCGGGTCTCTGCATTGCCTTGGACGCCGCTGCGGCGCCCGACGACTCCGCACTCGACCCTCTCATTCCGATGCCGATTTCAGCCCCGACGCTTTTCACGCTGTCTACGCCTACCACATCTCCTATCTCGACATCCATGTCTGTCTCTGCCCCAGTAGTGTCCACTCCAGCCCTGGAGATGGTCACTGCTCCTCAAGATATGCGACCTCACATCCCCCCGGCCAACGCCAACACGCTACACCATCGACAGGGCGCCGACACCTTGCGCGCGACGCACCGTCTGAACAGCCTCGCATCGATGTGGACCGGATTCTTTTGACTCGTGCTCGTGCATCGAGGACAACGACGCAGACACACACGGCGGCGGCGCTGGTGCCAAGCCAAGGCAATTTTGCGCGCAACTTTGCTGTCGCGTCGCCGGAGCGCGAGCCGTGGACCTGCATACCAGCTTCGCTTTCCCTCTGCGTCTGATGGGGTCCGGGTCCGGCGCAACCTCACAATGACGACGATGACGCCCGCCACTGCTAATCAAGACGAAGAGGACGATGGACGACGCAGAGGAGATGACGCTGCTCCTAGGGACACATTGCGCACTGTATGCGTTTCCGGCAGAGGACACAGATTAGGGCTCTAAGTCCTACTCAATCTAGTCTATAATTTTTGAAGGTCCTCGCAGCGTATGAGGGGACTTAGCGTATCGACTCGTCTTCACCCAGTGCTAGAGCATGAGCCGTGAGCGGAGTTCGAAATAGCCGAATCAGGAGCTGCGCCATGACAGCGGGCTCACTTCAACTTGTCCTCCAACACCCATCACCGTCGAGTGGCGCGCTTGGCCTCCCGTTCCATCTCGACGATACCTCTAATCTAGTATGCATCGATTTCCGTGACAAACCACCCATTTCCATAGTCTCTGTGTCTGGTACGAGGCGCTCGTCGTCTGCAAATTTGCCACAGTCGCCTTTCGCGGATTAGAGAGATGCTGCATATTACTCAACAGACTTCTCACTTCTGATGATCATAAGACATTCCATCAATATCGTATACTTATCAATCAAGTTTGAGACGATTCTGGTCATCCTTGAATGGCGGTATCGCGTAGACATGGGCCCAATGAATCAAAAGCTAGGAGCAGAGGAAGGCTTTGTCTACCAGCCAGTAAAATAATTCCCATTCTGATGAGATATATGCACGAATGAAGTTGCTTAGACCTCTTTTGCAGAAAGGTCACTTGACTCAGGCAGCTCGTATTGTAGCCAAAATTGCCTCATACCACATGGCATCGTTTGCTACAAGAACACAACGCTCGGTACGAGCATAGAAGGGGCGAGTCTTCTGATAACTACACTTACCCTGCGAGGAGTCGTCTAGAGATTTTACAAGTAAGGCCCTAACAGAATGCTAGAGCATGCAAGCATTCCCTTCAATTCGCGCCCGAATTAACAATGGGCAAAGCCTGTTCATTGTTCGTGTGGTGGCCTTCTCGAGGGTTTGATGACCATGTGAATGCCACCGAAAATACAATCTGAATTTCGAGTTCTGGCAGATAGGGGAGGATTGAGATGGTGGACAGAAAACGACAAGTATGAAGGAGATAATAGGAACCCGAGCGAAGTAGAGAGGAAGGCTGGAATGCAGGAGGAAACTAAACATAGAGGAGGGTCAAGAGAGAGGAACTCGGTCCATCGCCTAAGACCCTCAGTTGGTGGCGGGCAGTAAGGATTTGAACAGGTATACAGGAGGGTGCTAGCCACCGCGCTCGCCTGATCGACGGAATCATGGAGATCACAGAAGGATACCTCCGACGAAAGCGATAGTACGAACCCAACGCAAGTTCCGTCGACAATTGTGCGGGTCTTTTTCCTCTCGATAGAAATTCGGTATATTTCGACAAAATGAGCGATGTTCAAGCTATCGATCACGTGTATAAATGGGGCGAGGATATAGCCTGGTTGTCTCGAGGGCGGAGATTGATATCGTCTGCGGATGCAAAGTAGACACCTGCGAGTCCTAGCTCAACAGCATCCTGGTGACGAAACATTTCACCAGGCGGCGTGTAGCTCCGATAGTTTCATGACCAATCACACACAAGTAAAAGGGGACCCATATTCAACATTGCCACTCGAATTCGACAACAATGGACCCCAAATTCAGTTCTGCGCATCCACCCCATATGACTCATCGTGATGGTCGGCTCGCCTGCCCTCTCACACGCCATCAAGCCCGAGAGAGAACGATGCCTTGCCAAGACGCTGTGCTGCAACCACGGTTCTTGAGAGGAAAAGGGGGTAAACATGACGCGGAGGAACGTGCCTTAGCGTACCTGCGAGCGGTTTGGGACAAGCGACCATGAATCTCATAAGCGGCTAGAAGATTCGAAGTTCGAAGGCGAATGATCTTCCATGATGCGGTTCACGATGGCACGATCCCTAAAATCAAGCGCCGTGATGCGCCTACAACTTTGAGACGCAAGGCTTGAGTTTAACTGACAACACAAGAAAGCAGCATGGTACGATGATGGAAGGTCCCGTGCATAGCAGATAAAAATATGGACAGGAAAGAAGATGTGTCTGGAGAAACCAAGCGAAGGTAAACCGACTCACAACCATGTTGACCGCTATATTCGAGCACCGACCGACGGTGTAAGCGGGCAACCGCGACGTGGGTAAATTCCTCGTCATCCTTGCTTTGTCCCGAAGGCCTCGCCCCCGCCATCAGAAGACCTACACCATCCCGACTCCATCAAGGTTCAGATGCAAACCGATAACAGGTAACGCACCCTAGAAACACAGACGTGTGTGATGACTCGAACATGCCCTCCTCGTGAAGCGTGAACATGAGGCAGAAATTCATTTCCGGCACTCGGTGCTGGCAGTCGGGCTCCTTTCGTAATGAGAACAGGACAGCCTTTTGCTGCCTTCGAACAATGACAGTACCACATTCCTGGTTCCGAACTCAATGTCAACAGGCGAGGGCATGCGACTGTGCGGCATCAAATAACAAGGCATGTCGGTCGAACCATGGAATTGTTCGAGAAGTCCGCTACCGCCCGCCCCGAGGGCAGTAGAATATCTAGACGATTGGATGAGAGGAGAAGCCCAAGCATCTGCCACCTATCCAGACTTCACCAGTCAACTTACCTACAACCCCAAACTTTCCACAGCCATCCACAGCACGAAGCCATGTCACACAACACATACGTCTGGCCGTCCTGGACGCAGGAAGAGCTTTCGAGTGCGTAGATATGTTTCGTGGCATTGACATCTACTGAGATGACCGGCACACAGCTGCTGGTGCGGGACCTTCAGGGTCCCAATCAAACAACGCTGAGCAAGAGCTCAACGTCATTCCGGCAGTAAGTTTGTTTTGCTCTGACATGTCGACTGTGCCACTCACGAGCCATTCGCCTTCACTGTCAGGGCGCGTATGTTGCGCGCAACCGCGGGGGACGCCATGTCTCCCAAGACATAGCTGGCTACAGTCAGCCCTATGATGCGCGCCTGCGCTTCAGATCGTGCGAGGCGGGCTCGCTGCTCCCTGTCATGTCTGCCCACCCCGACCCGTCGTTCTTCACCTCCCCCTTCCCGTTCCCCGCGACAATCCCCTTCGCCCTACCAACATGGGCATCCACATCGACGCCGGTACTTGCCCTTCATCTCCAGGTACCGCATGCGCGCGCACTGACTCCCACGTCCGTCCCTGACGTACAGAAAGGGTCGCTCAGCCCCTCCCCAGAAGGACTCCCATCCCCCGTCATCCCCGCCGCACCTCTCAACACCGCCGCACCCGTCACTCCTGCTGTGCCGGATATCGTCATCTTGACTGCTACCCCAGCAGTGCCCACCACCCCCGTCGTTCCCGCCACCGATGTCATCCCGATGGAACGCGTCACACCGACGAATGCCCAACGTTCGAAGTACTGTGCATTGGAGGGCGCCGTGAGGCCCCTCACGGGTCCTTGGGTGGATATGGCGCGCACCGTCATCGACGCGCGACTCGACCCGCGGTGGGACCCATCGGTCTTCCGGCGGGAGACGAGAAAGCGAGGGGATGCGCAGGAGCAGCCTTCGCCGAAGAGGGCAAGGGTGGAGGAAGGGCTGGGAGAGGCGGCTGCAGGAGTGAGAGCGGAGGGAGCCGTAAGTGCAGATGAGGGGGAAAATGGAAAGATGAAGGCGAAGGAGCTCGACAGTGGAGCGGGGAGCGAGAAGAGTGAGGGGGCTTGGTCCATGGAGAGCAGGTTCAGGCCCATCGCGCCCATGCCTTCGCCGGGGCCAGTCCATGCAGCTGGAGGGCTGCACCCTATACTTGTGGTCGTTCCACAGGTGAACGGCAACGCCCTCACACAACACAATGATACATCAACAACGTCCACCCACAGGGTGGACAACCCCGCAGGTGAGTTCGTCGTCGAGCCTGTACCGCTGCCTAGCGGAGGGCCTTCGACATCGACACCTGCGGATGACCAAGACGAGGCTGGAGAGCCCGACGATCACGATCAAGACGGGCACCAGCACCAGCTCGGAGACGACTCCAGCCCCAGCAAGCGCGAGGCCGCCGTCGTGATCGACGAGAAGATCTACGGCGGGGACCCACTGCGCTGCCTCGCGTGCAACAACAAATCGTTTGCGCGCAAGTACGATCGCAGACGGCACGTCGTCACCGTCCACTACCTCGGCAAGATCCCATGCGACTGGTGCGATCTCTTCTTCTACGCACGCCGGGATGGGGTCACTCGCCACAAGGACGAGAATTGTCCAGCCAGGGACTTCGAAGATCGGCACACCAACCCAAGGAGATGGTTCATGGCCTGGCTGACCGGAACGTGTCGTAGCAGTAGGCGGAGGAGAGACAGGGCTGGATCGTCGACGATGGCGAGCTGAAGCTGGAGGTACGCACCATTTTCTCTTGCCTGCTCTTGCATCCATTCCTTTCTCTTTTGTTCTGCGCCCGTCCCTATGATTTCACGCCCCATACGACTATCCGCATCATCATCATCGATCACACATTCGCCTTTGCCTTCCCTTCCACGATATCTTTGCTGTTTTCTTGCCCTCCGCATTTGTCCCGGATCGATGCGGATGCCAGAGTGTGTCGGATGCCGATGAAGCTGACGATATTTTCAATAGGGATGATTATCCGCAGTCTTGCTTCTGTCTTGCTCGACTTGCTCGAACTGACAGGCGGGGGTGGAGTGACTGTACTGAGTACTCGTATGTCACGCGATCCGTGATCTCGTCTTTACTATTACTGGCGCGTGAAGGGCTTTTTGCTCCCAACTTGCATTCCTCCTCTTATCAACGACGTTTTTGAATCCACGCCTTGTGTGTTTGTTCAAGCTCGATAGAGTTTTATTCAAATCTCCCTTTTATACCTTCCCGACGAGCTGTAATTTAAACAAGATGTTTCGAAGACTTCATCTGGGTGCACTGATCAAAATCGAGCTGGTCCTGGCGCTCCTCTCTTTCCAGGGTAAAGCGCCCACTCTCAGCGTTTCTGCGTGAAGGACGCTCGCACTTGTATTTCCCCTTTGTGCACGATTGTTTCGAAATCACATCCATGTAATTACGTCTCATGTACCTGTGTCTGATTCTCATACAGTTGTATCTCTATTTCCTTCTATCATTTTTCTCAACAATCCAGAATTAAACAAATATCCACAAAACCCGTGTGCACTGAACAAAATCGAGCTGTATCTCACATTTCCTGCGCACCGCTCCTCCCCTTCAGAGGGAAAAGTGATCGAGTGGCCGTGTCGATTGGGGTGATTTATACTCTGTGCTTCGCTCGCAGTGTGGGTCCACCGTACCACACTCCTACGCAAACCGACATCAGACGCGCCCATGTTTTCCCACTCCACAATTCTGTAACGTCCGTGCAAGGCCGATCGAGTACCTCTATCGCAGCGTAAAGCTTTTTCTGGCCGGCGGCACATCTTTGGACACAGAAAGAGAAGAAGACAGTGCCTATCGTTGGCTTGTCTGCGGCACTCAACTCATCAACGGCGCTATGTCAAGCGGCGGAGTACCAGAAAAAGGGAGGGGACAGCCGAACCAAAAGATAGTGTCAGGCTCCGGCGACCCGGCCGCGTCAATGTCATCATGCGTGCAAGAATTCGACAAAAGGCAGCATCCCGCTACTCAGCTAGGGAGCCTCACGATTGCGAGGGCGGGTGGACCGGTTGTGGTTCGAGATAACGCTATGGTGTGATCGACGAGACGATGGAACTGAGGGAGACCCGCTCTGGTGCGCCGAAAAGAAAGACAGGGTGGGAGCGCAGATACGACTAGAGTCGCGAGTATCCACTGCGCAGGCCTTCCTTGAATGTCCGCTGCTATAGGTCTCGCCTGGTTGTCTCGCGTCATGCATAGCGGAAGCAGCACAGCTAAGCAAAGAGGAAATCGCCAATAGGACTGTACCCGCAAACATTGTGCAAGTGTCGCGGGGGGACGACCGAGGCTTGAATACGCTGTTCCGTCCATAATTGTCGTCCACACGTTGAAGACAGGGGCTGAAGATTACGATATGGAGGTCGCGAAGGCGAGAATGGGCACACAAGCGAGCGAGAGGGAAAAAATGAAGGTCAACACCTGGGGAGCGAGAGAGGTGACCGGACTGAGCAGAAGCGACGGCTGGGAAGAAGATGATCTTGAACAACGGATCCACAGATGGCACAGAGGTAAGCACTCGGATTTTTTGACGTCCAGAACCAAGGTACATGCACAGATATTGTACATAATCTTGACATGAAGCTTGGATGCCCTGTGAACCGAAGAGGCTCAGGCTTGAGTCTTGAACAGCGTCTTCGTTTGTGTGCTTCCAACGACGGGACAATGTGGACACAATATAGCAATGATCAGAGCGAGGTCCAAGCTGGCACCGTTCGAATGACAAGATACGACGCGTAGCTCCGACGATGACTGATGGAACACATGGAAAAGTGGACCCATATGTGGCCTCGCCACTCGAATAGACCGGATTGGGTGTTATGGATCTGATCTCTTGTTACCCATTACGATAATCGGCTCGCCTGTCCTCTCACAAACCGTCAGCCCCTTCCTCCCTCGCGACTGGACAAGAAGCTATGCTGATGAAAAAAAAAGAAGTGAACAAACAGACGCAGAGAGACGTGCCTGAAAGAACCTGCCAGTGTGGACAATTAAAGACACGCGCATCATGTTGATGTCGTAAGCGGCTAGAAGATGCGAAGTTCGAAGGCGGGTGATTTGCCATGATGCCCTTCGCGATGTCACTATCCCCAAAATCAGGCGCCCTCATGCACCTACAGCTTCGAGAAGTAAGGCTTAAGTCGAATTCTTGAGATCGGAGAGAGTATTGGCGCGAGAATTCAGGCAAGATAATATGTGAACAAGCGGGTCAGATATGGACGAAACAGATATTTGGTCTTCGAGGATCGCTAGACGAAGACCGACTGACGGTCGTGTTGAACGCATCGCTACCAACGGGCTCCAAACGACATCGTAAGCGGGCTCCCACGACATGGGTAAATTCCTCCTTGTCCTTTCCTTGTCCCGGATGACTTGTTCCCGCCATCAGAAGACCTGCCCCATCCCGACTTCAAAGGTGACATGGGAGTTGATAACACACACACCCCAGAAATGCGTACCCATATGATCAATAGAACACGTCCTTATCCTCAGCGTGGACATGAGGCAGAACTTGCCTTGCACGCACGACGCTGTCAGAGGCAGTGCTCAGTGCTTAATAACTACTGATCCATAGGGCGCCGCCTTCGAACAATGGCGAGGCCTGCCCCTGGTTCCGAAGGCAAACCTACGAGGCGGCAGAAAACTGCTGTACGTCATCAGAGAACAAGACATGATGTGCGCACCGTGGAATCGTGCGATAAGTCGATTAGCGCTCACCGTGAAGAGGGTATATCTAGATGGCCTGACGAGCGGAGGAGCTTCACAATTGACTGCTCCTTGGAGCCTCCTCGAATCTTTCTTCCCATTCACCAGCCGGTGTACAACCCTCCCCACACCTCTACAAACGCGACAAGCATGTCGCGTCACGGGTCCAGTTGGCCTTCCTGGACACAGGAAGAATTGTCCAGTGCGTACATGTTCCTCACGGCTTGTCAATGTCAGTGACAAGATCTGTGTACAGCTCCTGGCGCGGGGCCCTCAGGGTCCCGATTCAACAACGCTGAGCAAGAGCTCAGTGAAGATTCACAGGTAAATGTCCTTTCTCTCTAATGCATTGGTGGTGCCACTCACAACGAGCCGCTCTTCTTTACTGCCAGGACGCGCATGTCACGCGTAGTCGCAGGGGACTCCATGTCCGTAGCAGTATGACTGGCTACACCCAGTCCTCTGACGCGCGCATGCGCTTCAGGTCACACGACACGGGCTTGCATTTCCCCACCGTATTCGCCCACCCTGCCCCATCCTTTGCCACTCACCCTTTTCCATTCCCCGCTCCCATCCCCTTCTCCCTTCCTACCTGGGCGTCCACCTCGACGCCAGTACTGGCCCCTCATCGTCGAATACCGCATGCGCCCTCATCGACTCCCACTCCCGTCCTTGAGATACCGACAGGGCCGGTCAGCCCCGCCCTGGAAGAGTCCCCGTCCCCTGCGACCCCCGCCGCACCTCCAACTACCGCAGCCCCCGCCTCCTCTACCGCCCCCATCACCCTCGTCGCCCCCGCCCCCGATGCCGTCTCTGCCCCCGCTCCCGCCCCCGACGCCATTTCGATGGCGTGCATCATACCGACCGACGCACAGAGGTCGACGTACTCGGCGCTCGAAGGCGCCGTGAGACCCTTCACGGGCCCTTGGGCGGTCATGGCGCGCACAATCGCTGCGGCGCGCCTCGACCCGCAGTGGGACCCGTCCGTCTGGCGGAGGGAGACCAGGAAGCGCGAGGCGGACGCGGAGGAGGCGCCGTCGCCGAAGAGAGCGAGGATGGAGGAAGATCTGGGAGGGGCGACTGTCCACGCGAACGCGGTGGGGGGCACGAGGGAGAGTGAAGGGGAGGAGGGAGAGATGATGGAGATGGAGATTGGGACTGGTGCGGGGAGTGAGGGGAGCGGTGGGACTTGGTCCTCGGAGAGCGGGTTCAGGCCCATCGCGCCCATGCCTGCCCCGGGGCTGGTCGGGGCAGCTGGGGGGCTGCATCCTAGACTTGTGGCCGTACCACAGGTTGATGGCAGCGCCCTCTACTATAACAACCATACATCAACAACGTCCACCCACAGGGTGGACAACCCCGCAGGTGAGTTCGTCATCGAGCCTGTACCGCTGTCGAGCGGAGGGCCTTCGACATCGATGCCGGCGGACGACGAGGACGAGGCCGACGAGCCTCAAGACGAGGAAGATCACGACGAGGGCCAGCACCAGCTCGGAGACGAGACCAGCCTCAGTGAGCGCGAGGCCGTTGTCGTTATCGACGAGAAGATCTACGGCAGGGACCCACTGCGCTGCCTCGCGTGCAACAACAAGTCGTTTGCGCGCAAGTACGAGCGCAGGCGGCACGTCGTCACCGTCCACTACCTCAAGAAGGTCCCCTGCGACTGGTGCGGCATCTTCTTCTACACACGCCGCGATGGAGTCACTCGTCATAAGGACGAGAATTGCCCAGCGAGAGACTTCGAGGATCGACACACCAACCCAACGAGATGGTTCATGGCCTGGCTGAGTGGACCCTCGGGGTGGCGGTAGGAGTAGAGGTGCGGCGGGATCATCGGCAATGGCGAAACTGGAGGTACGCACCGTGGTTTCTTACCCGCTCTCGCATTCCTTCCCTTCCATTTTATTCTGCTCCTGTCCCCATGCTTTCACCCCCCACATAACTTCTGCATCGTCATCATCGATCGCGCACTTGCCTTCGCTTTCCGTTTTGCGACATCCCTGCAATTTTCTTGAATTTTGCTTTGGTCTCGGATCGATGAGGGCGCAGGAGTGTGTCGAGTGGAGCTGACGACATTTTCAATAGGTATATTCATTCGCGACCTTGATTGTGTCGTCGTCAACACGCTCGGATATGGTGGAGTAGAGTGAGTGTGCTGGTCTGTGCTGGTAGTCGCTACTATGTAGTAGGTCACGCGGTCCGTCAGGGTCCTCGCGCTGTGCCACAGCACGGCCCCAGCATTTTGTGAAGGACTGATTTTCTCCCATCTACATTGATGCTCTTTTCATGATATTTTCAAGATCGCCTTGGCCCTTGAGTATCTATCTGACACTTCTGTGTATATTCCCTTTCTCTCCCGCCTGAGTCGTCTCGGCACGCTGTAATCTAGAGGTTGTATCCAGAATACAAAAGTTCTTCTGTGTGCATTGAAAAAATCGCATTCCATTGTGTCGTTTCCCCTCAGGAGGGACTCGAAGAACCGAGACAATCCTACACGCGCGCGAGTTCGGATGAACAGCTTCGGTCAAACCCGAGCTGCCTTCGGCCGTTTTGCTGAGTCGACGCAGGATGTCCTCGATCACGGATTCAAGTGAGATTCGTCGCCGCTGCGCGCATCCAGCACTCTTCATAACCTTCTATCACATATGCATCGATGCGAGCACTCTGAGCTAGACATTTAGTATAAATAAGAATTGCGCGCGTTAGCTTGCGAGGTCGCAGATTCTTCCATTGACATAGTATTGTTCCAGCTACGTCAGAGTATCCCAAAGTCGGTGAAAGGCGGGACAATGGCACCTTTTGAGCGCTCAGATATCCATTTTTTTCATGGGGAGGTTGAATGCCGAGGAGACCAGCGGAGGCTGAACGGTCGGCAACCAAACCGGAGTCGGCGCCATAGCAGCGGGTTCAGTTTCACCTTTCCTCCGACACCCACTGCCATCGAGCGGCGCGGTTTGCTTCACCGTCCCATATGCGCTATATCTCTTGTATACCCTCTTATATCAATGACCAGGATATAACCACTAATTACTCCATTATCTCTGTCAAAGTTGTCCCCTCCAAATCTGCCATGTCCAGTTGCATCACAGAACAAGAGATTCTACACGGTTCTCGTCAACAACTTCCTCTCATATGGGTAAAAAAAATCTGTATGAGATATGAGAGGCGACAAGAAACAAAACCATTCACATGCACTTATCCTGTAGATCGTTCCCTAATCCGTACCGGACAACGTCTATCGATCGTGTGCACAACAATTTCTCAACGGCCAGATCCAAGAACCGGAAAGCCGAGACCTAGCGAGCGATGCATGCAGCTCCGTGAACTCACAAACGAATGATGCCCGACTAAGCGCGCGAGTCCTTCCCGCTCGGCGAAGGCTCTGCACGACTGCACGAGGCAGCTAATGACTTGGCCACCAGGAGGTAGAACATCGAAGTCGGGCAAGAATGTAGCGTGGTTACACGGAAGGGAGATCCTCGAGCTTTGAGGAGAGCACGAAAAGATGGAATTTGCGAACACAAAGTAGCATGCAATAGACACATGCTGCCATGTGAGTACCAAGCCAGCACCGTTCGAGTGACAAGATATTTCACCCGACGACACGTGGCTCCGACAACGGCCAATGGAACTCGCGAAGAAGTGGAACCATATTCGACCTCGCCACTCGAATATACCAAATGGGGTGCCATAGATCAGATCTCTTGTTGCTCATCGCGGTAGTCGGCTCGCTTGCCCTCTCTCAAACACCGTTAGGCTCCAGCCTCCCTCGCAACTTGACAAGAAGAAATGCTCCAAATAATAATTGACGCAAAGAAACCTGCCCGGGTGTACCTGTACGCAATTCGGGACAAGCGCGATATGCTGGATCTCAGAAGCGGCTAGAGGGACTTCGAAGGCAGTTGATTTCTAATATTGCCGTTCACGATGGCAAATCATTAGAATCAAGCGCCCTGATGCGCCTACAGCCTCAAGGCTTGATTTCAATACTCCAGACCGGAGGCAGTATTGACGCAAGGGTTCAGATAAGAGGATATGTGAGAATGCCCTCGTATAGTGGTCAGATATGGGCAGAATAGACATATTGTCTTCAAGGATACCTGGGCGAAGATCGACTGGCTGTATCAAAAGAATCACAACAAACGGACCCCGAGTGATATTGTAAGCGGGCTCTCGCGAAGTGGGTAAACTCCTCCTTGTTCATCAGAAGAAGTTCAAAAGTGAATCGATAACAGACAACACACCCCAGAAATGCGGACCCATCTGATCACTTGAACATGTCATCAACCTCAAGTGTGGGCATGGGGCTGAATTGCGCACATAACGTTGTGAGATGCTGTGCTCAGTGCGTAATAAAGAATGATCCATAGGCTGGCTTCGAACAATGGCGAGGCCTGCCCCTGGTTCCGAAGCTAAGCCTACGAGGCGACACAATATGAGTGTGCAGCATCAGAGAACAAAGCGTTGTACACGCACCGTGGAATCGTACGGGAAGTCAATTAGCGCTCACCGTGAGGGGGGTATATCTAGGTGGCCTGACGAGCGGAGGGGCCTAGAAATTGACTTCTCCTCTGAGCCTCCTCAGATCTTCCTCACCATTCACCAGTCGGTGTACAAATCTCTCTACACCTCTCCAAACGCGACAAGCATGTCGCGTCACGGGTCCGGTTGGCCTTCCTGGACACAGGAAGAATTGTCCAGTGCGTACATGTTCCTCACGGCTTGTCAATGTCAGTGACAAGATCTGTGCACAGCTCCTGGCGCGGGGCCCTCAGGGTCCCGATTCAACAACGCTGAGCGAGAGCTCAGTGAAGATTCGCGGGTAAATGTCCTTTCTCTCTAATGCATTTGTGGTGCCACTCACGACGAGCCGCTCTTCTTTACTGCCAGGACGCGCATGTCGCGCGTAGCCGCAGGGGATTTCATGTCCTTAAAAATATGACTGGCTATACACAGTCTGACGCGGGCTTACATTTCCCCGCCGTATTCTCTCACCCCGTCCCATCCTTTGCCACTCCCCCCTTTCCATTCCCCGCTCCCATCCCCTTCTCCCTTCCTACCTGGGCGTCCACCTCGAATCCGGTACTGGCCCCTCATCGTCTATCACCGCATGCGCCCTTACCGACTCCCACGCCCGTCCGTGAGATACTGACAGGGCTGATCAGCCCCGCCCTGGAAGAGTCCCCATCCCCCGCCACCCCCGCCGCACATCCAACTACTGTGGCCCCCACATCTCGCACCGCACCTGCCACCCTCGTCGCCCCCGCCACCGATGCCGCCTCTGTCCCCGCCCCCGCCCTCGCCACCGCTCCTGACGCCATTTCGATGGCGCGCATCATACCGACCGACGCCCAACGGTCGACGCATTCGGCGCTCGAAGGTGCCGTGAGGCTCTTCACGGGTCCTTGGGCTGCCATGGCGCGCACGATCACTGTGGCGCGCCTCGACCCGCGGTGGAACCCATCGGTCTTGCGGCGGGAGGCGAGGAAGCGAGAGATGGACGCGGAGGAGGCGCCACTGCAGAAGAGGGCGAGGATGGAGGAAGGGCTAGAAGAGGTGACTGTCGGGGCGAGCGCGGTGGGGAGCACGAGGGAGGGTCAAGGGGATAAAGGCGAAGTCATAGAGATGGAGATTGGGAGCGGAGCGGGGCCTGAGAGGACTTGGTCCTTGGAGGGCGGGCTCAGGCGCATCGTGCCCACGCCTGCCCCGAGGCCGGTCGAGGCAGTTGGAGGACTGCGCCCGATACTTGTGGTCGTTCCACAGGTCGACGGCAACGCCCTCAGCCATAACAGTGAAACATCAACAACGTCCACCCACAGGGTGGACAACCCCGCAGGCGAGCCCGTCATCGAGCCTGTACCGCTGCCTAGCGGAGGGCTTTCAACGCCGACACCCGTGGAGGACCAGGAAGAGGCCAGCAAGCCTCACGAGGACGACGATCACGACAGGGACGAAATCAGGCTCGGAGACGAGACCACCCTGAGCCAGCGCGAGGCCGCTGTCGTGATCGACGAGAACATCTACGGCGGGGACATCATGCGTTGCGTACCATGCAACAAGACCTTCCGCCGTAAGTACGACCGCAGGCGACATGTCGTCACCGTCCACTACCTCGGCAAGATCCCATGCGACTGGTGCGATCTCTTCTTCTACGCACGCCGGGATGGGGTCACTCGTCACAAGGACGAGAATTGTCCAGCCAGGGACTTCGAAGATCGGCACACCAACCCAAGGAGATGGTTCATGGCCTGGCTGACCGGACCTTGTCGTAGCAGTAGGCGGAGGAGAGGCAGGGCAGGATCGTCGACGATGGCGAGCTGAAGCTGGAGGTACGCACCGTTTTCTCTTGCCTGCTCTTGCATCCATTCCTTTCTCTTTTATTCTGCGCCCATCCCTATGCTTTTACACCCCCACGACTATCTGCATTGTCATCATCGATCGCACATTCGCCTTTGCTTTCCCTTTCACGACATCTCTGCTGTTTTCTTGCCTTTCGCATTTGCTTCGGATCGATGAGGGTGCAGGAGTGTGTTAGATGCCGATGAAGCTGACGATGATCACAATAGGGATGATTATTCGCGGCCTTGCTTCGAACTTGGTGGACTGGAGTGAGTGTGTTGTGTCACGCGATCCGTCGAGGTCTTCGTACTTTACTAGGGCATGAAGGACTTTTTTCTCGCATTTGCATTTCTCCTTCTTTCATCATGTTTTTGGCGTCAAGGCTTATGTATTTTTTCGATTCCTATAAAATTTCATTTGTATTTATCTTTTCTATCTTCCCGACGAGCTGCAATCTGGAGAAGGTATCAAACAGACTTATTGATCTGTGTGCACCGATCAAAATCGAGCCGGTCGTGGCGCTCCTCTCTCTCAAGGGCGAAGTCAGAGGCCCTTCCGTTCATATTAAGCGAACACCAGCAGCAACGTTCCCAAGTTTCCATGTTGAGCTTAGGGGCGAAAAATCTAGGAGAGATCTACGGTATTCCGTGGCACCAATCGACATTGTACGCCTGCCGGTTTCGCATGCGCGCAGTCCATGATGCTATGCAACCTTCAGGGCCCATATGGCGACGTTCAGCACAAGCGACTCTCTCGCAGACTAGCGGCTTTCACGACAAAAACGCCCCGGTACCGTTCAGTATGCCCCGTTATGAACGCGCCGGTGAACTGAGGAAACAATAACGGGAATCTAGACCAGGAACTCCTCCCGCACGTTGTCTGAAATCACTGCCTTGAAAGGGTAAGACAGCCCGGGTAACGATCTTGTACCCACTTCGAGCACTGAGGTCGTTGCACCCTGAGACACCCTCCTCAGATTGCTCATACTATGCTCCTGCGTGCGCCGTGGTGAAGGCGATGATTACGCTCGCGTGTCGCGCTTGTGGGAATGGGACAGAAAAAATAGAGAAGATGGCGTGCCGAGTACGAGGGGACAAGGGACTGGCCGGAAGAAGCAGAGCGAAGAAGGGAAGGGATGTGCAGATCAAGTCTACAAGTTGCAAGCATGGGTGAAACCAATCAGTCTGATAATACGCACAAAAAATTTTCTTCAAGTTGCTGTAGCGCACGGTGAGGAGAGCGGGCGAAGACGATGCAAACAGTGGCTTGTCGTATGCAACGTTAGGAAACCGGTTGATGCTTGAGGCCAGCGACCAGAACGGGGGTATTGTAAAAGTTGACGGTCGTGTCCTTTCAAGCTGTGAGTCATTGAATGACCTAAAGAACAACTACGTCAATACTTTTTGAAGCTTGAACAAAATGCGTAGGAGCGGGTGGTCGTGGTCGATCGCTGTGGCGCCCTTGAACAGGGAAATCAAGACAATCCCCGCGCACGTGCTCGGATGAACAGTCTGCACGTGCATAGCCCTTTCACCTTCTTTACGCTTGACGATTGAAGCCCTCTATTCATTCTGTTCTGTTCAAGATGCCGTCCAGCCTCAACCCTGATCCTACCATCCTCCAGTTACCTGAAGCAGTAGCTTCAAAGCTGAAGACAATCAGATTTCATCACCGGGGGGAACAAGAGAGGTGAGGTATTTGACTTGGTCATCTGCTGATCAATGTTGAATCTGGCTGTTTCCGAAGGATACGGAGTCAATTGAGCCCTCACATCGATTTGGCATGTCAATTCGTGACCTCCTTTGATCGAATCATCTTTGACCTACCTTTCTATGATAGCTTCAAGAAGTATGCACCGGTTTAGCGACCCTCAATAACTTTTGCCAACCTATACAACGTCTGTCGATTGAGATCTTGGGCAACATATTCAAACAGATCTTTCCACACCTTGACATTTCGTGTGACGGCTTCCTTTGTGAATACCCAGCCTCAACGCTTCCCAAACAGGCAAATGCTTCCATCTGCCATGCTATATCCTTATCGAGCGTCTGCAGGTTCTGGAGAGATGTTATATACCTACAACCCACCTTATGGGCAGTGATTGAGACGCATAAGTTGCGGTCTTCACATCCCCAGAGTATCGTCGATCACTTCATTCCGCGTACCCTGGATGTCCCGCTACAAATCTCTGACTATAACTACTCAGCATGGGTCGTCCTACAGTCGAATTCTCGCCGTCTACGCCGATACATCCTTACTGTTGATGCGGCTCCGCCCATCAGTCTTTCTCGGACTCCGATCAGCGTGCCCGCCTTGGAATGTCTCAGCGTCGCTAATATCAAGACATGGCCGGAGATAAATCTATTATCTCTATTTGCGCCTGAGATGCCTAGCTTGAGGCGCTTTTTATTTCGAGGGCCCATAACATGGACCAGTATTCAATTTACAGGTCTTACACATCTCGCTCTGTGCGAGGCTCGGCCTCCGGCCATCAACGTGCGTCAGTTTCTGGATCTATTGCGTTCATGTTCCCTGCTCGAATCTTTGGGTTCTTCATCATTGGCTCCCCGGTAGACTCCGTGAAGGACGGCACCACAACGATCTCGAGGTTCGTCTCGATCGACTTTCTCAGCTGATCGTTACCCATCGCCATAGGACCATGTCGTGTCTCTCTTATCTCGTTTGACCCTTCCATCAACCGTGTCTGTTTTCATAAAAATTGAAAGATGTCTGACTGGTGGGGTGAATCTCTCAACCATCCCATCAGGTGTGCCATTGTTGGGCGACAAATCCACCCTCTTAATCACCCGACCCAGCTCTAGCCTCAAAGTTGAAGATGACGACGAGTACTCTATCTTGCTATCAGCGTACAGCGAGGGCCGCGCTGATCAGTCCATGCTCACTGCTTGTCATACAATCGATGATTTATCGGCCCTCGAGGCGCCAAGAAGTGTTGCAGCGTTCTTGTCCATAATCAATCCCTCACATGTTAAATATCTTTTCCTCGGCCGAGAGGTATATCCAGATCTAGACCTGGTACCCATCTTCCAAGTCCTGCCCTCGGTCGACGTCTATTCGTTCGACTATTGGGATCATCGGCAATGTCTTCTGCCACTATTTCAGGGTGTTGCTACCCAGTCTTTGGAGACTATTCGAATCCTATTCCCCATCTATTATAAAGACGATATGAAAGGGCTCGATGACGATGAGTTTATTCATAATCTTGAAGAGAAGGTTATTCACCGAGCGGAAAATGGGCAGCGGCTGAAGGCTGTCTATCTTGATATTATCCAGGTGCCGGGTCTCGAAGCGAATCATATACTGCGGGACCGACACAAAAAGATCTTGCCACGCTACGGTAGGGTCCGCGACAATGTCGATACTCTGGAGATACAGTATCGTAGCTCAAAGTGGTTAGGTGACGCAGAGTTGCACACTCAATACGATTCCACTGCATGGATGCACGATTGGGATTTTGGTGCGTTGCGTTTTCCTTGTAAAGCTCCTTGATTTATACATGGTCCTGAGTACTTCTTTCCGACCAGTCATTTGACCTGCGTTTAGATGGAGATGAACACTGCCTTGGATCGTTTTTCCGAGTCTCTGAACGGATGTAATGCTGAATGTCCTTCGTCTGCTTCACCGTTCCATGTCACCACGCCTCGTGTTTGATATCGAGAATCTGCGTGATGTAGATTTGAGACAAAGGTCAATTAATTGCTCTATTCTCTCCGTTCTTCAGGGATGGCTGGACGAACACCCATTAGCGGCTGCAGCAAATGGAAAGCTACAGTTGAGCCCTCAACGATATTGTAGGCGGGCCCCTGCGGCGTGTCGTTGTCCTTGCTTTCTCCCGAACGACTCGCCCTCGCCAACAGAAGTCCTGCACCCTCTGAACACTTTGAGAGTGCATATGAGGAATGATCACATACCACTTTAGAAACGCGAAAGCATCTGATCCCCTGAACACGTTCTGGTCTTTAAGTGCGAGCATAAAGCTGAATTCCTTTTGCGCACACGGCGCGGTTAGGTGTGCTCAGTGTGTGCTAAACAACGACCCGCAGGTTCCTGCCCTCGAACGATGGCAAAGCCCTGCTCCTGGCTCCGAAGCCAAACCCATGAGCCGACGGAACACGACTGTACGGCAATGGAAAACAAGGCACGATAACCGCGCCGTAGAATCGCACGAGAAGCCGACTAGCGCTCGTTGTGAGGGCAGCATGTCTAGATGGCCTGACGAGGGGAGGGGCCTGGCATCGCCCCTTCGAGGCTCACCAGCTCTCCCTCACCAATCATCGGCCAACGTACACACCGCTCTACACACCCGAGAGCGCGACAAGCCAGCATGTCGCGATACCCACTGAATTGGCCATACTAGACTTAGAAAGAGGTATCGAGTGCATGCATATTCCTGGGAACTAAATGACGTAGCAACGAGATTTGTGCACAGCTCCTGGTGCGGGGCCTCAGGGTCCTGAGCTAACAACGATGAGCAAGAGCTCACGTTGTTTCGCGGGCGAGTTTCCTTTTTACTGATATGTCGATGAAGACACTCACGAGCCGCTCCTCTGCACGGCCAGGCCTGTCAGGACGCGCATGTCGCGCGTAGTTGAAGGGAACTTCAGGTCCCAAAAAAACATGACTGGGTACACCCAGCCCTCTGCCGCGCACATGCGCATCAGCTCGCGCGAGGCGGGCTCGCAGTTCCCCGTCGTGTCTGCGTACATCGCCCCCTCCTTCGTCGCTCCCCTGTTCCCATTCCTGTTTCCCACCCTCGTTCCCATTGCGCTGCCTGCCTGTGCCCCCCATCGCCAGCCCCTTCGTACGCCCGCACCGATGCCTACGTCCGGCGCTCACGCGCGCCTCGACCTGCGGTAATACCTATCGGTCGTGCGGAGGGAGACGAGGCAGCGAGGGTTAGACGGTCGAGGCAGCTGGGCTGCGCCCGATACGTGTGGTCGTACCACAGGTCGACAGTAACGCCCTCACACAACACAACAATAGATCAACAACGTCCACCCACAAGGTGGACAACCCCGCAGGTAAGTTCGCCATCGAGCTTGTACTGCTGCCAAGCGGAGGGCCTTCGACATCGCCATCTGTGGACGACCAGGAAGAGGCCGGCGCGCCTCACGAGGACGATGATCACGACGAGGACTAGCTCAGGCAGTGCTCAGGCTCAGAGAGGAGACGGGCTTCAAACAGATCGAAGCCACCATCGTGATCGACGAGAGCATCTACGGCGGGAACCCACCGCGCTGCCTCCCGTGCACCAACAAGCCATTCGTGAGCACGTGCTACCGAAGACGACACATAGTCACCATCAACTACCTCGGCAAGCTCCCCTGCGACTGGTGCGACATCTTCTTCTACGTGCGCGGCGATGGGATCACTAGGTACAAGAAGGGGAACTGCCCGGCCATAGACTTTGAGGATCGGCACGCCAACCCATGGGGGTGGTTCATGGCTTGGCTGACCGGACCTCTCCGTGGCGATAGAGGCGGAGGAAGGTAGAGGATCGGGAGTATCGTCGACGATGGCGAGCTGAAGCTGGAGGTACGCACCATTATCTCTCACTCACCCTCGTCTTCGCCCTCATCCCTTTTGTTTTCTACCTGCGCCTACGCATCCATGCCCCACGCCACTCCCGGGTTGTCGCCATCGATTACACGCCTCCGCACAGCTCGCCTTCACCCCCTCGTGCGGATCGATTTGGAAGGGGAATGTTCTAGAAGAAGCTGCGAATACCGGGTTGTCGCAGGGCTCCTGCACAACTGTGCTTGGGTCGTCGCTAACCTCGGACCTAGACCGGAACGCTGTGAGCGAGGCAGCCGTGATTCACCCTAGCTCGGCTTCGACGCTTCGGCGTGAACGAAGGACCCTCGCACACGCGTACCCCCTTTGCGCGATACCCCGAAATCGCTCCTCGCGGACCTGCGTCCACTTTTCACACAGTTGCATTTGTAATTCCTCCTGTGAACCTTCTCAACGAACAAGTGCACTGAACAAAACCAAGCCATATGTCGCATTGTTGGGCGCCGCTCCTCCTTTCCAGAACACGCTTCGGTCAGCGCATTGGCCAGAGGTAAGCCTGCGCTCGGTGGGCGCCGCTTGCGGCGGCACCGCACTCCTACGCAGAACGACGTCAGATGCTCTCGGCCCATGTTTTCCCGCGCCCTGATTTGAGGCCGTCGCCGTCACCGCCGCGCGAGAGCGAGCGAGCGCCTCTATCGCAGCCGCAGAGTTCGTCCGGCCGTCGGCGCACCTATGGACGCAAAAAGAGAAGAAGCGAGCGCCCCTCGTTGGTCGCTCTGCTCGTCAGAGGCGTTGGCGAGCGAACAGACTCAGTGGCGATGCTGAATCCATCGGCGGCGCCATGCACATCAACGAGAAACCAGAAGACGCAAGGGGCTAGCCAAACCTGTGGGGAGTGCGGGACCTGGCAGCCTAGCCGCGTCGATTTCGGCACACGTGCGCGCAGTCAACAACGCGCGCCGACAGGCGGCATCCCGCTACTCAGCAGCGCAGCGTAGAGGCTCCGTTCTCGCGCAAATAGAGCTGGAGAGCCGGACCCATAATATAGGCAGAGGGCCTTCGGCATCTGCGGATGCACAGGGCAGAGCTGGCGAGCCTTGAGATTTCGAGCGCGGGGTGCACTGGCTACGGCTCGAGACGACGCTGCAACGTGGACCATACGACAATATAGTATAATGATGGTGACCCATTCTGTTGCGCCGTGTGAGACACGGCCAGAATCATAAGTGGCCTCTGCGCAGGCCATCCTCGAATGTCCACCACAATGATTGCTGTCTCGTATCGCACCTAACGGAAGCGGAGCAGCTAGGCGAAGAGGCAGTCGCGTATGAGTGCGGTAGAAGAGTATCTGCAAACATCGCGCAAGTCGCGTGGGTGGACGAGCGCGGCTTGAGTAGTTTGTTTGGCCCATGATCGCCGTCCACGGATTGAAGACAGGTACCACAAACCTTGATATAGAGGTCGCAAGGGCGAGAAGGGGCATACGAGCGAGCAAATGGGAAAAAAGGAGGGTTAGCGAGTGGTTAGCGCCTGGAATTTACACATGAAATGCCGGACTGGGCAGAAGCGACGGCCGGGACGGAGACGGTCTTGAACAGCGAATCCGCAGATGGCACAGAGGTTGAGACATGGATGATTTGACGTCCAGAAGGAAGGTACATATTATACGCGTGTTTGACGTGAAGCTTGAACGCAGAACGACCTGTGAACCGAGCAGGCTTGAGTCTTGAGCGGCGTTTTCGTTCGCGTGCTTCCGACGATGGTTACGGTCACGGCCGCCGAGGATGGTATTTACGAGGATATAGCGATGGTCAAGCGGAATGACGTTGGTGGACGGAGCCGTGGGTGGCAACGAGTGGCGCAGGGCCGGGCAGCGCCGCAGTTGCCGATCGCCGCGAGTCGGCATACCCGCAATTTCTCGTCGCCGTCGTCAACGCCCACGCCCACGCCCACGCACACCTCTAGCATCCGCACGCCCACGACGACGACAGCGACGACGGCGCGGGGCACCATCTCGTCCCAACGGTATACCACGACCATCCGCGCGCACCGAGCGAGGATATAATAATAAAAGGCTGCACCACGCGATAGACGGCTGTCGCCAGCTGGCCAACACGTTTTAAATCTTGTTCTTTCGTTCGTTCGCAGGACTGAAGCTGAGAATGGCCACGCACGCAAAAGGTAAGCGTCTGTCGACTCCGGCATCAGCGCCCGCGCCTGATTTAGACTGCACACGCGCAGACAGCCCCTCGCTCTCCGTCCAGGTCGACGCCCGCCCGTCCTCCTCGCCCTTTCCCTCGCCCTCCTCCTCCTTCCTCCCCCCTCCTGTTCCTGGCTCCCACGAGTTTGCAGTCAAGCTTCCGCCTCGGAAGACCCTGAAGGACACGCTCGTCCCCCCAGACGCGTCGTCCGCAGCGACGGCATCCATAGCAGCTATGTCGCAACAGCACCCGCAGCGGTCGAATGGCAAGCCCTCTCCCACGCAGTCGACGCCCACACAGACCCACAGCGTGGTCACGAACATCAACGGCAACACCGCATCTCCAAACAGCGCACTGACGCCCACCACTCCGACGGGCGCAACCTCCCCAGCAACCACAACCACGACCATGACCACGACCATGACCCCCCCACTGCCCGTCCCGGCGCCCATGACGCCCACACATACAACGACAATGCTCACGGCCGCCTCGCCCCCCACGCCCTCGCACCTCTCCCACACCCACCGCGATTCTCTCACTTCCAACCGCCCCGCCCCGCCCTCGCCCGCCGTCAGCCGCCGCGCGTCCGCTGCGGCCTCCACCCGCTCCTCCCGCCCCCCGTCCACCGCCGCGCACCGCTTCTCCACCGCGTCCTCCCTCGCGCCCTCCACGGCCCCCTCCATCGACCTGGACGCCGCCGCGGCGCCCGACGACACTTCACTCGACCCGCTCACGCCGACGCCCCCCGCCGCCTCGGCGCTCTCCACGCTCACCACGCCGACCGCGTCCCCAACCTCGGCTGCCGCACAGGCAGTGCCCGCCCCGGAACCCGCGGCTGCGGCGACAGGGCGGCGCTCGCTGCTCGTCAAGATCCGCGACTTTGCGTTCCCCTCGGCGGACGCGCGGCACCGCGGGCAGGGCACCGACGCCCCGCGCGCGACGCGCCGCCTCAACCGCCCCGCGTCGACGTGGTCCGCGTCCTCTCGCTCGTCGTGTTCGTCCGTCGAGGACGACAGCACGAACGCGCCCGGCAGCAGCACCGGCGGCGGTGGTAGTGGCGGCGGTGGCGGCGGTGGGGCGTGGGGAGGGTTCAGGTGGGGCGGGCTCTCGCTCGGGTGGGCGGGGCGCGCGGTGGACGGGCCAGCTGGTGCGAGTAGCGCAGGAGGAGGAGGCCCGAGCCCGGTAGATTTCGCGCGCAACTTTGACGTCGCGTCGCCCGAGCGCGAGATTGCGGACCCGTACGCGAGCTTCGCGTTCCCCTCGGGGTCCGGGTCCGGGTCTGGATCCGGGCCCGCGTCGGGGGCGGCGTCGGACGACGAGGCGGACTATTTCGACGCGTACGATATTGAGGACGACGGGGAGTATGCCGACGGGGACGGGGGGGATGCAGATGGGGAGGACGGGGGCGTGGAGCGACCGCTACTGCCAGGGACGTATCGCGCGCTGTACGCGTTCGAGCCGGAGGGCACGGCGGAGATGGCGCTTGCGGAGGACCAGCTCGTGCGCGTCGTCGGGCGCGGGGGCGGGGTTGGGTGGGCGGTGGTGGAGCGCGCGCGTGCGGAGGGCGGGGGGCATGCGCTTGTGCCGGAAGGGTATTTGGAGGTCGTGCGGCTTGATGGGGAGGGGAGCGAGTGAAGGCGCGCGGTGGGGTGGGGTGGCTGTGCTCGTGCGGGCGCGGGCGAGGGAGCGTGGAGTGTGTATCCGTCTGCCATGTGTTGTGTGTAAGTAGCGTGTAGGCAGTCGTGGTGTGTGTGTGTGTGTAGCGTATTCTCGGCCCCAGACCACCTGGTTCGCAGCGGCTTCTTTACCCTGTTCTTGCTTTTTTTTCTTCCTTGTGTCCCTCGTCTTCCGTCTTCGCTCGTCTTTTCTTCTTCCTTTTTTTCGGTATCTTTTTCGTTTCCTTCTCTTCCGCCCAATTCTTTCCCCCCGTCTCTGCGTCTGCGACCCTGCGTGATTCGCGGCTTTGGCGCGCACCTGGCTAAGGAATCTACCTGAGTCGAAGAGCGAGCACGCCGGATGCCCGTCGCTCGGTGCGTTAGGCATCTGGCAGTGTACACTGCAGACACTTGCGGATCCTCTGCTCCTCCGTCCGACGCTCCACGATCGACGCTGTTCAGGTCTGTCGCGGAGCCGGGGGCGGGGCGGGACGTTGCGTCGTCGAATGAGCGCGTCCGTCGTCGGTCGGCGCAGAAGAGCACTATTAGTATAGTGCACACACCGTATACGACCAGACGAGTTCGAGAGCCCCACCTGTCCCGCGTGTGGGCAGCGCGATGAGACAGTGGCGCACTTTCTCTTCGAATGCTAATGCTATGCAGACAGTCGACGCCGCCTTGAGCAAGCGGTAGGGAGATCCAGCCGAAACCTAGCGGAGCTACTATCCAATCCCTCCATGTTCAAACACTTATTAGAGTTCATACACAAAACCCAGCGCTTCAAAAAGACCTTCGGTGATCTGAACCTACCAAAGACTGCGGAGACGGAGCTGGGCGAACCTAGAGGCCGAGACACGAACCGCGTGCGCCGAGCGCAGACCAGCACGACCAGAACACACGGCGGAGGAGAGCACAGAGGATTGTCGCGATGCATGAGAACTCAGACCACTGAGAAGAGGCAGATGGCGGACACGCTCCACAGATGGCTAGACACAGCACCCACCACTAGAACGTTCAGATCAGTACTATACCTTACTATAATTCCTTTTAATCTTCGCCATGCGACCCAACCTCCTCGAGGTAGCCACGTTCCCCTTGAGGGCTAATGCAGAGCACAGACCTACACAATACATATTTATTTCACATTTTAGTAGAGTACATATGGCTACTTGTCTAGACATATGGTGCACCGTTACTAGACGTTAATATACGATCACACACACACACACAGTATAGTGCACACTGCATGACACCGACGTGCGGATTTCCTTCGCGAAAGCTATGGGTGAGGTTGAAGAATGTTTCCTTTCGACGGTGGAGCTGAACGGTGCGTCCGCCGTCCTGCGCGACAGTGCGCGGCACTTATGTACTTATAAAGCTTGAGGGGACCGCCGAATGCCAGACACCAACATGGGATCTCGCAGATAGCAGCCGCACAAGGTCACCCAGGCACTAAGTCAATCAACAGAGAAACTGCCTTCAGTGTTGAGTATATAGAGGATGTTTTAATTCATCATTAAATTGTTGGGATTTCGGCTGTAGAGAATAGATAGAACTTTATAGATATGGGAGAGGTTACGCGAGTTCCGGTCGCGAAAATATCGAGGAAAAGGGGGAACATGCGAGTGCAATGTTCCCTGAGGCTATGACGATGACTTCAGAGCAGGTGCGCGCCGAACAAAGAACAGTTTGATACTGCATTACATAACCACGACCCCTGCTCTCATGGACGGCGACGACGCAAGGAACATCGTGCGATAACGGGCCGCGGAACGATATCTCTGAGCAGGCCAGAGACGACGGTGCGTACCTTCAGCTTGACCTCCTCCTCCTCCTCCTCCTCCTCCTCCTCCTCCTCCTCCTCCTCCTCCTCGATCCCGCCATGCTCCTCCTCCGCCTACCACTACGGCAAAGTCCGTTAGCCCAGGCCGTGGATCACCTCCATGGGTTCGTGTGCCGGTCCTCGAAGTCTTTGTCCGGGCAGTTCTCCGTCTTGTGCCGAGTGATCCCATCGTGGGGCGCGTAAAAGTACATATCGCACTAGTCGCATGGGAACTTGCCGAGGTAGTGGATGGTGACAACGTGTCGCCTGCGGTCGTACTTATGGAAAAGCACTTTGTTGCACGGTATGCAACGCGTTATGTCCCTGCTGTAGATGTTCTCGTCGATCACGACGGCGGCCTCACGCTGGCTCAGGGTGTCTCGTCTCCGAGCCGGAGTTGGCCCCCGTCGTCCTCGTCGTCCTCGATAGGCTCGCTGGCCTCTTCCTGGTGGTCCGCGGATGGCAATGTCAAAGGCCCTCTGCTAGGCACTGGCACAGGCTCGATGGCGAACTCACCTGCGGGGTTGTCCACCCTGTGGGTGGACGTTGTTGATGTGTTTTTGTTCTCGGTAAGGGCGTTACCGTCTACCTGTGGTACAACCACAGACATTGGGTGCAGCCCTCCAGCTGCCTCGACTGGTCCCGGGGCAGGCTTGGGCGCAGTGCGCCTGAACCCGCTCTCTAAGGGCCAAGTCCCCTCGCTCCCCTCGCTCCCCGCTCCAGTCCCGATCTCCATCTCCATTATCTTGCCTTCCTTCCTTTCGCCCTCCCTCGTGCCCCCCACCGCGCTCGCCCCGATAGTCGCCTCTCACAGCCCTTCCCCCATCCTTGCCCTCTTCAGCGACGGCGCCTCCTCCGCGTCCACCCTTCGCTTCCTCGTCTTCCGCCGCAAGACCGATCAGTCCCACCGCGGGTCTAGGCACGCCGCGGTGATCGTTCGCGCCATGACCAACTAAGGACCCGTGTAGGGCCTCACGGTGTCTTCGAGCACCGATTACGTCGATCGTTGGGCATCGGTCGATATGACGCGCGCCATCGAAATGGTGTCAGTGGTGGGGTTCGCATCGGGAGCGGGGGCGACGGGAGTGGTGGGGGCAGGTTGTGTGATGGGGGCGGCAGTAGACGGGAACTCCTCTGGGGCGGCGCTGAGCGGCCCTGTTGGTACGTCAGGGACAGGCATGGCCGTCGGTGCAGGCGCATGTGTTACCCGGCGATGAGGGGCCGGTACCCGCGTCAAAGTGGATGCCTAGGTAGGAAGATCAAAGGGGATGGGGAAGGGGAAGGGGAAGGGGAAGGGGGGAGGCGACAAAGGATGGGGCGGGGTGGGCGACCACGGCGGGGAAATACGAGGCTGCGACGTACGACCTGAAGCGCACGCGCGCGTTAGAGGACTGGGTGTGCCCAGGCATGTTTTATGGGACATAAGTGGCTGCGCGCTCCGTACGTGCCCTGATAGTGGAGAGGCTTGTGAGTGGTGCTGTTAATATATCAGAACGGAAGGCAACTTACCGCTGTATCAATGTTGAGCTCTCGCTCATCTTCGTGAAATTGGGATCCTGAAGGTCCCGCACCGGGAGCTGTGTGCCAGTTTTGTTTTTGTGGATTACCGGGCCACGAAGGACATATACGCACTTGACAATTCTTCCTGTGTCCAGGAAGGCCAGCCGGGTGGGTAACGCGACATGCCGGCATGTCGCGTTCGTGGAAGTGTCAAGAAGTCTGTACGTTGACTGGTGGTCGGTGAGGGAGAACTAGTGAGGCTCGAAGGGGCAATGACTGTTACGCCCCTCCGCTCGTTGGGCCCTCTAGATATACCCCCTTCACGGTGAGCGCTAATTACCTTCTCGCATGGTTCCACGGTATGAGTACCATGCCTTGTTTTTTGATGCCGTATTGTGTCGCCTCGTAGGTTTGCCCTCGGAACTAGGAGCATGGCCCCGCCATTGTTCGAAGGCGGCGCCCTATGTTCATTACGCAATGAGCACAGCTCACGGCACCGTGTGCACCAAGCGAATTCAGCCTGATACCCAAGCGTGAGATGAGGACGTGTCTAAGTGATCAGATAGATCCGTGTGAAGTGCGTTGTATGAGATCCACCCCTGAACTTTCAAGTCGGTGCGTTGCAGATTTTTCGATTGCTGGAGTCATTTGGGACAAAGCAAGAATGCCAAGGAACTTTACCCACGTCTCGGGAGCCTGCTTACAATGGCGTTTAGGGCCCACTTGTAGTTATCCCTTCGACGCTGTCGTCAGGTCTTTGTCCAGCTATCCTCAAAGGTTAGATGTCTATTCCGTCCATATCTGACGCGCCTGTTCACATATTATCTTGTCAGAATTCTCGCGCCAATTCTGGATAATTCAAATCAGCTCTCAAGGTTGTAGACGCGTCAGGGCGCTTGATTTTAGGGATTTGCCATCGCAAAGGGCATCATAGCAAATCATCCGTCTATTTGTCCTCTTTTCATTCTTCACTTGCAGCATAGCTTCTTGTCCAGTCGCGAGGGAGAGTAGGGCTTGACGACGTTCGAGAGGGCAGGCGAGCCGACTATCGAGATGGGTACCAAGAGATTTCATCAATGGTACCCAATGCGGTATATTCGACTGGCGAGGCCATATGTGGGTCCCCGTAGGTCCCCGTATGTTTCATCGGAGCTACGCGCCGTATCTTGTCACTCGAACGGTGCTGGCCTGGACCTCGCATCTGAGTATTGCTATCTTGTGTCCACATTGTCCCGTGGTCGGAAGCACATGAAGATACTGTTCAAGGCTCAAGCCGGAGCCTGCCCGGTTTACAGGGCATTCAAACTTCACCTCCAACCCGTGTGCAGCCTCTATGCATGCACCTTTGTTCTGGACGTCAAATCATCCATCATCTAACCTCTGCGCATCTGCGCATCCGTTTTTCAAGATCGTCTCCGTCCCATCCCTCGCTTTTGCCCAGTCTGGCCATCTCTCTCGCTGCTCTCGTCCCGTTGTTTTCTGCAGGGATTTCCAGGTGCTAACCTTCCTTTTTTTCCCTTGCTCGCTCGCGTGCCCGTTTTTAATTTTGCGACCTCCATATCGTAATTTGCAGTCCCAGTGTTCAACGCGTCGACGACGATTATGGACCGACCACATCACTCAAGCTGTGCTTGTCCACCCGCGCAACTTGCGCGATGTCTGCATGTACTTCTTCTTTCGCAACTTCCTCTTCGCGTAACTGCGCTGTTTCCCCTAGGGTCGACGCGAAGAAGCACTCAGGCGAGACATCTAGCGGTGGACGCGCAAAGACGGCCTGCGCAGTGGATACTCACGACCCTGGTCGTATCTGCACTAGGCTGTGTTGCACGCGGTGTCATGCAACGGGTCTCCTCCCTTATATGCATTGTCTTATGGTCCACATCACAGCATCGTCTCGAGACGCAGTCGGTGACCCCGAGCTCGTAATTTTGAGGCTCGCGAAGCTCTAGTTTCAGCGTCCGCAGATGCCTGATGTCACCTCCAAAGTCCCTCCGCCTGTAGAACAGGAGCAGTTTGACTCTCCAGTTCTACTTCGGTCAGAATGGATACCTTCTGCTGCTGAATGCCGAGATGCAGCTCATTCAAGCACGTCGTTGACTGTATCCATACGTGCGGACATTGGCATGGCTAGGCCGCTGGGCGTTAGGGGCCTGCACTCTCTGATGATCTTTCTGGCACTTTGCCGTCAAGTGCTCCCTAGATCGACATGGCACCACCGATGAGCGAGTCAACACTGCTGCTCCGCCGCGCTCAGCGCTACGCGCGTCCGCTTTGTCTCCCCTGTGATCATAGACGTGGCGACGATAATCCAAACTCTGCGGCTGTGATTTGTGTGCTCACTTGTTCTTGCAAGGCCGTTACAGATTTGGTGGACGAGAAAATGTGGATCAAGCTTGTCTGTCCTACGTTTGCGTAGGAGACTTGGTGGGCGGTACGATGAATTCACCCTGCGCGCAACGTGCAATGAATGGAAACTATATCTGGTCAGCAGGGTCACTCAATTGATCGTTGAAAGAGAGGAACGGCGCTCAGGAAATGTGCGATACAGCTCTTGTTCAGTGCACTTGGGTTTGGGGAATATTTATCAAATTTTAATGTGCTGAGAAAAAAACGGAAAAAAATACAAAATCAAATCTATGCGAATGAGACACAAGTAAACGAGATGCAGTTTCGAAAACATCGTGCAAAAAGGGGGGAATATGAGCGCGAGAGTCTTTCCTTCATGCCGAAGTGCTGACACTAAGCTCGACGGCCACCTTACATAACGACTACAGGCTTGTCTTGCTCCAGTCTGCTGCAGTCCGCCAGGTTCGAGATCGGCGGCGAGCCAAGCACGGTCGTGTGGGAACTCTACGACAAACAACAGTGTCAGTTTCATCTCAGACACTCGTCTCCCTCATCGATCCGAGCGCACAAGCAATGGGCAACAAATCATCAGGTATGTCGCGAAAGGGAAGTTCCAAGCGAGCTCTGCGGAGCCATGTAATCGATGGCAACGACTCGGAAGTGACGTGGAGCGACCACGTAGGTGTGGGCGGAACACAAAAGGGAAGGAGACGAGAGGGAGAGCAGGCGAGAGACGACAGTGCGTACCTTCAGCTCAGCCTCCTCCGCCTCTTCGATCCTACCGTGCCCCACCTCCGCCTACCGCCACGACGAGGTCCGTTCACCCAGGCTGTGAACCACCTCCATGGATTCGTGTGCCGATCCTCGAAGTCCCTGGCTGGGCAGTTCCCCTTCTTGTGCCGAGTGATCCCATCGCGGCGCGTGTAGAAGTACATGTCGCACCAGTCGCAGGGGAACTTGCCGAGGTAGTGGACGGTGACGACATGTCGCCTGCGGTCGTACTTACGGCGGAAGGTCTTGTTGCATGGTACGCAACGCATGATGTCCCCGCCGTAGATGTTCTCGTCGATCACGACGGCGGCCTCGCGCTGACTCAGGGTGGTCTCGTCTCCGAGCCTGAGCTGGTCTTCGTCGTCACCGTCCTCGATAGGCTCTCTGGCCTCTTCCTGGTCCCCCGCAGATGGTGATATAGAAGGCCCTCCGCTAGGCAGCGGTACAGGCTCGATGACGAACTCACCTGCGGGGTTGTCCACCCTGTGGGTGGACGTTGTTGATGTATGGTTGTGTTGGTAGAGGGCGCTGCCATCAACCTGTGGTACGGCCACAAGTCTAGGGTGCAGCCCTCCAGCTGCCCCGACCGGCCCCGGGGCAGGTATGGGCCTGAACCCGCTCTCCGAGGACCAAGTCCCACCGCTCCCCTCACTCACCGCACCAGTCCCAATCTCCATCTCCATCATCTCTCCCTCTTCCCCTTCACTCTCCCTCTTGCCCCCCACCACGTTCGCCCCGGCAGTCGCCCCTTCGAGATCTTCCTTCATCCTCGCCCTCTTCGGTGACGGCGCCTCCTCCGCGTCCGCCTCGCGCTTCCTGGTCTCCCTCCGCCAGACGGACGGATCCCACCGCGGGTCGAGGCGCGCCGCGGCGATCGTGCGCGCCATGACCGCCCAAGGGCCCGTGAAGGGTCTCACGGCGCCTTCGAGCGCCGAGTACGTCGACCTCTGTGCGTCGGTCGGTATGATGCACGCCATCGAAATGGCGTCGGGGGCGGGAGCGGGGGCAGAGACGGCATCGGGGGCGGGGGCGACGAGGGTGATGGGGGCGGTAGAGGAGGCGGGGGCTGCGGTAGTTGGAGGTGCGGCGGGGGTCGCAGGGGACGGGGACTCTTCCAGGGCGGGGCTGACCGGCCCTGTCGGTATCTCAAGGACGGGAGTGGGAGTCGATGAGGGCGCATGCGGTATTCGACGATGAGGGGCCAGTACTGGCGTCGAGGTGGACGCCCAGGTAGGAAGGGAGAAGGGGATGGGAGCGGGGAATGGAAAAGGGTGAGTGGCAAAGGATGGGGCAGGGTGGGCGAATACGGTGGGGAAATGCAAGCCCGTGTCGTGTGACCTGAAGCGCATGCGCGCGTCAGAGGACTGGGTGTAGCCAGTCATACTGCTACGGACATGGAGTCCCCTGCGACTACGCGTGACATGCGCGTCCTGGCAGTAAAGAAGAGCGGCTCGTTGTGAGTGGCACCACCAATGCATTAGAGAGAAAGGACATTTACCTGTGAATCTTCACTGAGCTCTTGCTCAGCGTTGTTGAATCGGGACCCTGAGGGCCCCGCGCCAGGAGCTGTACACAGATCTTGTCACTGACATTGACAAGCCGTGAGGAACATGTACGCACTGGACAATTCTTCCTGTGTCCAGGAAGGCCAACCGGACCCGTGACGCGACATGCTTGTCGCGTTTGTAGAGGTGTGGGGAGGGTTGTACACCGGCTGGTGAATGGGAAGAAAGATTCGAGGAGGCTCCAAGGAGCAGTCAATTGTGAAGCTCCTCCGCTCGTCAGGCCATCTAGATATACCCTCTTCACGGTGAGCGCTAATCGACTTATCGCACGATTCCACGGTGCGCACATCATGTCTTGTTCTCTGATGACGTACAGCAGTTTTCTGCCGCCTCGTAGGTTTGCCTTCGGAACCAGGGGCAGGCCTCGCCATTGTTCGAAGGCGGCGCCCTATGGATCAGTAGTTATTAAGCACTGAGCACTGCCTCTGACAGCGTCGTGCGTGCAAGGCAAGTTCTGCCTCATGTCCACGCTGAGGATAAGGACGTGTTCTATTGATCATATGGGTACGCATTTCTGGGGTGTGTGTGTTATCAACTCCCATGTCACCTTTGAAGTCGGGATGGGGCAGGTCTTCTGATGGCGGGAACAAGTCATCCGGGACAAGGAAAGGACAAGGAGGAATTTACCCATGTCGTGGGAGCCCGCTTACGATGTCGTTTGGAGCCCGTTGGTAGCGATGCGTTCAACACGACCGTCAGTCGGTCTTCGTCTAGCGATCCTCGAAGACCAAATATCTGTTTCGTCCATATCTGACCCGCTTGTTCACATATTATCTTGCCTTGAATTCTCGCGCCAATACTCTCTCCGATCTCAAGAATTCGACTTAAGCCTTACTTCTCGAAGCTGTAGGTGCATGAGGGCGCCTGATTTTGGGGATAGTGACATCGCGAAGGGCATCATGGCAAATCACCCGCCTTCGAACTTCGCATCTTCTAGCCGCTTACGACATCAACATGATGCGCGTGTCTTTAATTGTCCACACTGGCAGGTTCTTTCAGGCACGTCTCTCTGCGTCTGTTTGTTCACTTCTTTTTTTTTCATCAGCATAGCTTCTTGTCCAGTCGCGAGGGAGGAAGGGGCTGACGGTTTGTGAGAGGACAGGCGAGCCGATTATCGTAATGGGTAACAAGAGATCAGATCCATAACACCCAATCCGGTCTATTCGAGTGGCGAGGCCACATATGGGTCCACTTTTCCATGTGTTCCATCAGTCATCGTCGGAGCTACGCGTCGTATCTTGTCATTCGAACGGTGCCAGCTTGGACCTCGCTCTGATCATTGCTATATTGTGTCCACATTGTCCCGTCGTTGGAAGCACACAAACGAAGACGCTGTTCAAGACTCAAGCCTGAGCCTCTTCGGTTCACAGGGCATCCAAGCTTCATGTCAAGATTATGTACAATATCTGTGCATGTACCTTGGTTCTGGACGTCAAAAAATCCGAGTGCTTACCTCTGTGCCATCTGTGGATCCGTTGTTCAAGATCATCTTCTTCCCAGCCGTCGCTTCTGCTCAGTCCGGTCACCTCTCTCGCTCCCCAGGTGTTGACCTTCATTTTTTCCCTCTCGCTCGCTTGTGTGCCCATTCTCGCCTTCGCGACCTCCATATCGTAATCTTCAGCCCCTGTCTTCAACGTGTGGACGACAATTATGGACGGAACAGCGTATTCAAGCCTCGGTCGTCCCCCCGCGACACTTGCACAATGTTTGCGGGTACAGTCCTATTGGCGATTTCCTCTTTGCTTAGCTGTGCTGCTTCCGCTATGCATGACGCGAGACAACCAGGCGAGACCTATAGCAGCGGACATTCAAGGAAGGCCTGCGCAGTGGATACTCGCGACTCTAGTCGTATCTGCGCTCCCACCCTGTCTTTCTTTTCGGCGCACCAGAGCGGGTCTCCCTCAGTTCCATCGTCTCGTCGATCACACCATAGCGTTATCTCGAACCACAACCGGTCCACCCGCCCTCGCAATCGTGAGGCTCCCTAGCTGAGTAGCGGGATGCTGCCTTTTGTCGAATTCTTGCACGCATGATGACATTGACGCGGCCGGGTCGCCGGAGCCTGACACTATCTTTTGGTTCGGCTGTCCCCTCCCTTTTTCTGGTACTCCGCCGCTTGACATAGCGCCGTTGATGAGTTGAGTGCCGCAGACAAGCCAACGATAGGCACTGTCTTCTTCTCTTTCTGTGTCCAAAGATGTGCCGCCGGCCAGAAAAAGCTTTACGCTGCGATAGAGGTACTCGATCGGCCTTGCACGGACGTTACAGAATTGTGGAGTGGGAAAACATGGGCGCGTCTGATGTCGGTTTGCGTAGGAGTGTGGTACGGTGGACCCACACTGCGAGCGAAGCACAGAGTATAAATCACCCCAATCGACACGGCCACTCGATCACTTTTCCCTCTGAAGGGGAGGAGCGGTGCGCAGGAAATGTGAGATACAGCTCGATTTTGTTCAGTGCACACGGGTTTTGTGGATATTTGTTTAATTCTGGATTGTTGAGAAAAATGATAGAAGGAAATAGAGATACAACTGTATGAGAATCAGACACAGGTACATGAGACGTAATTACATGGATGTGATTTCGAAACAATCGTGCACAAAGGGGAAATACAAGTGCGAGCGTCCTTCACTCCGAAACGCTGAAAAGAGAGGAGGGCCAGGACCAGCTCGATTTTGATCAGTGCACCCAGACGAAGTCTTCGAAACATCTTGTTTAAATTACAGCTCGTCGGGAAGGAAATTACAGCTCGTCGGGAAGGAAATTACAGCTCGTCGGGAAGGAAATTACAGCTCGTCGGGAAGGTATAAAAGGGAGATTTGAATAAAACTCTACTGAGATTGAATAAACACACAAGGCGTGGATTCAAAAACGTCGTTGATAAGAGGAGGAATGCAAGTTGGGAGCAAAAAGCCCTTCACGCGCCAGTAATAGTAAAGACGAGATCACGGATCGCGTGACATACGAGTACTCAGTACAGTCACTCCACCCCCGCCTGTTAGTTCGAGCAAGTCGAGCAAGACAGAAGCAAGACCGCGAATAATCATCCCTATTGGAAATATCGTCAGCTTCATCGGCATCCGACACACTCTCGCATCCGCATCGATCCGGGACAAATGCGGAGGGCAAGAAAACAGCAAAGATATCGTGGAAGGGAAGGCAACGACGAATGTGTGATCGATGATGATGATGCGGATAGTCGTGAAAGCATAGGGACGGGCGCAGAACAAAAGAGAAAGGAATGGATGCAAGAGCAGGCAAGAGAAACGGTGCGTACCTTCAGCTTCAGCTCGCCATCGTCGACGATCCTGCCCTGCCTCTCCTCCGCCTACTGCTACGACACGTTCCGGTCAGCCAGGCCATGAACCATCTCCTTGGGTTGGTGTGCCGATCTTCGAAGTCCCTGGCTGGACAATTCTCGTCCTTGTGACGAGTGACCCCATCCCGGCGTGCGTAGAAGAAGAGATCGCACCAGTCGCATGGGATCTTGCCGAGGTAGTGGACGGTGACGACGTGGCGTCTGCGATCGTACTTGCGCGCAAACGACTTGTTGTTGCACGCGAGGCAGCGCAGTGGGTCCCCGCCGTAGATCTTCTCGTCGATCACGACGGCGGCCTCACGTTTGCTGAGGCTGGACTCGTCTCCGAGCTGGTGCTGGTGCCCATCTTGATCGTGATCCTCGGGCTCTCCAGCCTCGTCTTCGTCATCCGCAGGTGTCGATGTCGAAGGCCCTCCGCTAGGCAGCGGTACAGGCTCGACGACGAACTCACCTGCGGGGTTGTCCACCCTGTGGGTGGACGTTGTTGATGTATTGTTGTGTTGTGTGAGGGCGTTGCCGTTCACCTGTGGAACGACCATAAGTATAGGGTGCAGCCCTCCAGCTGCATGGACTGGCCCCGGCGAAGGCATGGGCGCGATGGGCCTGAACCTGCTCTCCATGGACCAAGCCCCTTCACTCCTCTCGCTCCCCGCTCCACTGTCGAGCTGCCTCGCCTTCACCTTCCCATTTTCCCCTTCATCTGCACTTACGGCCCCCTCCGCTCTCACCCCTGCAATCGCCTCTTCCATCCCTTCCTCCACCCTTGCCCTCTTCGGCGAAGACTGCTCCTGCGCATCCACCCCTCGCTTTCTCGTCTCCCGCCGGAAGACCGATGGGTCCCACCGCGGGTCGAGTCGCGCCTCGATGACGGTGCGCGCCATATCCACACAAGGACCCGTGAGGGGCCTCACGGCGCCCTCCAATGCCGAGTACTTCGAACGTTGGGCATTCGTCGGTGTGACGCGTTCCATCGGAATGACATCGGTGGCGGGGACGACGGGGGTGGTGGGTACTGCTGGGGTAGCGGTGAAGATGACGATATCCGGCGCAGCAGGGGTGACGGGTGCGGCGGTGTTGAGGGGTGCGGCGGTGTTGAGAGGTGCGGCGGGGATGACGGGGGATTGGAGTCCTTCTGGGGAGGGGCTGAGCGACCCTTTCTGTACGTCAGGGACGGACGTGGGAGTCAGTGCGCGCGCATGCGGTACCTGGAGATGAAGGGCAAGTACCGGCGTCGATGAGGATGCCCATGTTGGTAGGGCGAAGGGGTTTGTCGCGGGGAACTGGAAGGGGGAGGTGAAGAACGACGGGTCGGGGTGGGCAGACATGACAGGGAGCAGCGAGCCCGCCTCGCACGATCTGAAGCGCAGGCGCGCATCATAGGGCTGACTGTAGCCAGCTATGTCTTGGGGGACATGGCGTCCCCCACGGTTGCGCGCAACATACGCGCCCTGACAGTGAAGAGGAATGGCCTCGAACATAGCGGTCAACATGGTTGTCAGTCGGTTTACCTTCGCTTGGTTTCTCCAGACGCATCTTCTTTCCTGTCCATATTTTTATCTGCTATGCACGGGACCTTCCATCATCGTACCATGCTGCTTTCTTGTGTTGTCAGTTAAACTCAAGCCTTGCGTCTCAAAGTTGTAGGCGCATCACGGCGCTTGATTTTAGGGATCGTGCCATCGTGAACCGCATCATGGAAGATCACTCGCCTTCGAACTTCGAATCTTCTAGCCGCTTATGAGATTCATGGTCGCTTGTCCCAAACCGCTCGCAGGTACGCTAAGGCACGTTCCTCCGCGTCATTTTTATCCCCTTTTCCTCTCAAGAACCGTGGTTGCAGCACAGCGTCTTGGCAAGGCATCGTTCTCTCTCGGGCTTGATGGCGTGTGAGAGGGCAGGCGAGCCGACCATCACGATGAGTCATATGGGATGGATGCGCAGAACCGAATTTGGGGTCCATTGTTGTTGGATTCGAGTGGCAATGTTGAATATGGGTCCCCTTTTACTTGTGTGTGATTGGTCATGAAACTGTCGGAGCTACACGCCGCCTGGTGAAATGTTTCGTCACCAGGATGCTGTTGAGCTAGGACTCGCAGGTGTCTACTTTGCATCCGCAGACAATATCAATCTCCGTCCTCAGACAACCAGGCTATATCCTCGCCTCATTTCGACACCTGATCGATAGCTTGAACATCGCTCATTTTGTCGAAATATACCGAATTTCTATCGAGAGGAAAAAGACCCGCACAATTGTCGACGGAACTTGCGTTGGGTTCGTACTATCGCTTTCGTCGGAGGTATCCTTCTGTGATCTCCATGATTCCGTCGATCAGGCGAGCGCGGTGGTTAGCACCCTCCTGTATACCCGTTCAAACCCTTACTGCCCGCCACCAACTGAGGGTCTTAGGCGATGGACCGAGTTCCTCGCTCTTGACCCTCCTCTATGTTCAGTTTCCTCCTGCATTCCAGCCTTCCTCTCTACTTCGCTCGGGTTCCTATTATCTCCTTCATACTTGTCGTTTTCTGTCCATCATCGAAGTCCTCCCCTATCTGCCAGAACTCGAAATTCAGATTGTATTTTCGGTGGCATTCACATGGTCATCAAACCCTCGAGAAGGCCACCACACGAACAATGAACAGGCTTTGCTCATTGTTAATTTGGGCGCGAATTGAAGGGAATGCTTGCATGCTCTAGCATTCTGTTAGGGCCTTGCTTGTAAAATCTCTAGACGACTCCTCGCAGGGTAAGTGTAGTTATCAGAAGACTCGCCCCTTCTATGCTCGTACCGAGCGTTGTGTTCTTGTAGCAAACGATGCCATGTGGTATGAGGCAATTTTGGCGACAATACGAGCTGCCTGAGTCAAGTGACCTTTCTGTAAAAGAGGTCTTAGCAACTTTCATTCGTGCATATATCTCATCAGAATGGGAATTATTTTACTGGCCGGTAGACAAAGCCTTCCTCTGCTCCTAGCTTTTGATTCATTGGGCCCATGTCTACGCGATACCGCCATTCAAGGATGACCAGAATCGTCTCAAACTTGGTCGATAAGTAGACGATACTGATGGAATGTCTTATGATCATCAGAAGTGAGAAGTCTGTTGAGTAATATGCAGCATCTCTCTAATCCGCGAAAGGTGACTGTGGTAAATTTGCAGACGACGAGCGCCTCGTACCAGACACAGAGACTATGGAAATGGGTGGTTTGTCACGGAAATCGATGCATACTAGATTAGAGGTATCGTCGAGATGGAACGGGAGGCCAAGCGCGCCACTCGACGGTGATGGGTGTTGGAGGACAAGTTGAAGTGAGCCCGCTGTCATGGCGCAGCTTCTGATTCGGCTATTTCGAACTCCGCTAACAACTCATGCTCTAGCACTGGGTGAAGATGAGTTGACACGCCAAGTCCCCTCATATGCTGCGAGGACCTTCAAAAACTATAGACTAGATTGAGAAGGACTTGGAGCCCTAAGCTATGTCCTCTGCCGGAAACGCATACAGTGCACAATGTGTCCCTAGGAGCAGCATCATCTCCTCTGCGCCGTCCATCATCCTCTTCATCTTGATTAGCAGTGGCGGGCGTCATCGTCATCATTGTGAGGTTGCGCCGGACACAAACCCCATCAGACACAGAGGGAAAGCGAAGCTGATATGCAGGTCCATGAACTCGCACTCCGGTGACACGACAGCAAAGTTGCGTGCAAAATTGCCTTGGCTCGACACCAGCGCCGCCACCATGTGTGTCTGCATCATCGTCCTCGATGCACAAGCACGAGTCAAAAGAATGCAGCCCACATCGATGCGAGGCTGTTCAGATGGTGCATCGCGCGCAAGGTGTCGGCGCCCTGTCGATGGTGTAGCATGTTGGCGTTGGCCGGGGGGATGTGAGGTCGCATATCCTGAGGAGCAGTGACTATTTCCAGGGCTGGAATGGACACTACTGGCACAGAGACAAACACAGGTGTCGAGATAAGAGACGTGGATGGTGTAGACAGCGTGAAAAGCGTTGGGGCTGAAATCAGCATCGGAATGAGAGGGTCGAGTGCAGAGTTGTCGGGCGCCGCAGTGGCATCTAAGACGATGCAGAGGCCCACGGAAGGTGCAAGCAAGGGCATGCTAGGATGCGGTGCGTGGCGGTGGATGCTGTAGGGAGGAATGGGCCAATAACACTGCAGACGTGTGGCGCCTAGTGGCGAAGAACCGCGAGGTGCTTAGACATGAGGAAGTTGTGGGGTGCGTGGAAGGAGTGCGAGGGTGTGAGGGGAGACATGGCCGATATGATTGCCGTGGTGTGTGTGGACGCTGTTGAGGTAAAGATGAGCAGTGGGAAGGTCGTGGTGATCGTGATTGAATTTGCTGAGGAGGTTGTGTGCGCCAGAGTGGTGGGCCTCAATACTATCTGTGGATGCAGTGTTCCTGTTGGTTTTATTAGCGACACCCTGGAACTGCGCCTTTGGACTGGCCTTCTGCATGGCTTTCAATAAAAATGGACAGCGGACTGGTGGGAAACCCTGCCCGCCCACCGTGCGTGGATGTGGCTTAGCCAAGGTGAAGTAAGGTGTTCCCTGGGCCAAGTGCTTGCTAGTGTGCTCAATTAAGAATGAGCATTGTTGCATGGCTCATCTTCTCTTAAACCAGGCCAATGTCAAGAATCAAGTCTCTCTTCTTGAACCAGAGATTACCGCTCATGGTCACATCTGTATGTTTTTCCCAAAATTCCATTGTGAGCTCAACCCAATTGAGATGATAAGTAAACTGCTTATTCTGCCGTTTTCAATTTTATTTCTCTCTATTTATTGATTCCCTTTTTTTGGCAGTACTGGGGTTTTGTTAAGTACAGGTATTGTGAGGTCTATAAGGAGAGGTTTGATGATGTGAAGAAGCATGCACTTAAATGCCTCAACAATTGTCCTGTTGAGGTTATTCATCACTTCTTTAATTGCTTATGGCATTTTATAGATGCATATTGCAGAGGGTTGACCAGGAAGGTGGTAGAATGAGCTATTCACAAGTAGAAAAGTCATCACACTGTTTCTTAAAGTATGATGATAAGCATTGAGGCAGTTCTCAACTAGTTTACTTCACATGGGGTTACATGTATCTTTTTGGGAGCATCTAGCACCTGTAAAAATTCATGAAAAAATTGGCAGGTCCCAGTTTCTTGTGGGAAAATCTCAAAAAAGGTATTTTTAGAAGTCTTTTGACTTCCTGAGTCTAAATCTGTAGTCAGATCTTGTAAATTTTAGGTGTGTCAGCCATTATAATTGTTTTTCTTTTTTGTTGACTTTGCTTGTCTGCAACTGTAGACCATCCCATAGCGGTTTGTAATAGTAAGCACTTATCGTATTGGTCACACATGGTAGCTATGGACAGTGTTGGTAGCTGACTGACAATCTGAGGTTAGTAAAAGATCGAGGCTCTGACCTGACTAGAAGTCCAACCTAGGTCTTGACCTGGTCTTACTGAGTTAGTGTATGTGTAAAGTTGTATATTAACATCTAATAGCAGCATGCCACATATATCTAGGAAATCACACTCTTGTATTATACTCTAATTAGTTCTATTTATGCATAATTAAGAATAATTAGAATTAGGGATTATTTACTTACCCCCCCTAAACCTGTTCTAATTAGACATAATTTTCCTAAATTAGAAATTATTAGGATTGATTATAACTTGAAATTTCAGAAAAATAATAATAAATCAAGTATCACAGTTCTTATAGCCTTCTTATAGAGTCATGTCTATTAGAGCACTAGTTAAATACCTAAACACAGAATATACCTTACTCTAAACTTGTCTTTTGCCAGAGTTGAACCAACAACCTCATATATACAAGCATCCAGGACAGATGCTCTAAGCTACTAAGCTATAAGGTCTAATGTATTAACTTGGTAATCTAAATAAATAGACATAATATAGGCAATCTTAATATCTTTGAATTTATTCAACATATATCTTTTCTCTGTCTTATAAATAAATAAGTCAATAAATACCTAAAAAGTCAGGTCTTTTAGAATATAGTTTAAACACCAGCTAAGAAGATAATAAACCAATAGAAAATAAATAATATACTTTATTTAGGGTAAAAACAAATTATGGCACTCATACAATTTGGATTTGAGATATATAAAACTATGATTAAGTATAATATTCAATGGGACTCTACTAGTATAGACGATGGTATCTTAATTTGCAAATTTGATCAAAAACATGATTATGAATAATTAGCCATAATTAGCTCAGATTAGTATGATTATCAATAATTAAGATCCAATAAGAGAGAGGGGTTTTCCAAATGGCCACTAGTGAGGTGAAGAGTGGGAACAAGGGTATATGTATGGCATGCCTATATATAAATAAGCACAAGATTGTTAGAGATGATCTTAATATGCCTGGTGCACATATTTCCTATATGATAGGCAAATATATTATTTTAACACAACATACCAACATGACTGTCTTTTCCACAACCTAATAGCTAGAATAAAACACTAAGTTTGAGCATCTTCTATATAACAAGGTAATAAACAATATAGATGGCACTAAAAATTATGATATCAATGACAAGGATGATTATATGCTGTATAAGACAGTATTGATATCTGGAAAACCGCCTCCTTGTATTAGCTCTGGATTATATCCAATAATGTCTAAAATTATCTAAAAGTGTTGATATCATATAAAGGTATCTAGTTTCCTAATTAGGAGCAACATATTGTGAGCATTGAATTGGATTTTCAAATTGGGAACTACCTCTTTCTGTGGCTAAAAAGATAGTTTCAAATTTCATGATATTAGCACTAATTCCATACCAAGAAGTCTTTAATTAGTAGTAGAAAATAGTAAGTACTACTGTTTTATTAGTAAGAAGATAAAGATCTGGCACATTCTATGCTGTTTCAACACATTACTCTCCTTTATATATGCCTGTACCATCATCTTGTAGCTTTTTTGCTAACTTTTCAGCTGCCTTTATAAGGGACATAGAAAAAGATAAATGTGCATTGATGCCCCTAGCTACTTTGTTGGCAGCCTGGCAGCTGCTATAAGAGGCTATAAAGACCTTAGTACCTTGGCCTTGCACACAAGATTATTGTTACAAACAACTATTTGGGACAAGAGATTCCTAGGCCACAAATTAATAGCGTCATGGGTGGAATAATAAGAAGAGTGGTAGATATGAAGGAATTGAAGCTGATCAGGCTAATGTCTTGGAATCAAGGAAGACTGGTTAATAGCAGTTCTTAGATTGGACAGAAGTGGATAGCCTAAGGCTTCCCTTACTGTGCTGTAGTTATTTATAAATATGTACAAGCAAGGGCACAAACCAAGTAGTAATGGATTAGAAACGTGAGGTATAGTTGGGAGAAAGGTCCTATGTGTCCTTATATAGATCGTGGTAAAAGCAAAAAAGGTACAGTAAGCGGTTCATAACATCACCCCCCCTTCTAGGCCATCAATGCCAGAGATGGTAGGCAAAAGTTCAAGAAAAACATAAGCAATGTGTGTGGAGTCATGAATCATAGAAGAATAATACTTAGGGCACTAATTCTTGTTGCCCACTGCCGAGCCATGGCACGATAGCCCTTGAGTACAGATGCCATAATACCTCACCTTGTTAGAACCATGTGGGGACTACATCTTAGAACTGAGTCTCTCTTCTCATTGTGGCAGTGAGTACTGGCCCAACAGATTTGAACTGTCATCTGCCCTGGCAGTTTAATATCTTACCTGACAAAGGTCACTTGCTTCAGAGATCATGGCAGCGTTTGACGAGAGGGAGTGCATTAGAGTTACTGGAGTTATATTCAATGGCGGGGGGTCTGGTGTATGTGGGTGGGTGTCAGAGGCCAAAAGTCAGAGGTATGGCTTGAAAACGAGGGAAAAGATGTGTGAACCTATAGACTCCTCTATCGGGGCTGGTGAGAAAAGTCCCTAGCATCGGGTGAAGCAGACCTCCATTTGAAGCTGAAGACAAGGCACAAAATACCACATCCATAGATGGTATATAGTATTCATTGGCAGGAGTGAGGTCATCAGTGGGGTGAAATGTGTTGCAGAGGTATTCAGTATGATTGGGCCTCAGAAGCTTTTTCTTGCCTGCGCTGATACAGGCAATAAGAGTCCTTTCTTGTATCTGTAAGGCCCTTTGCGTATGTCACACAAAAGCCCTTTCTTCTTCCAAGATCTCCAATGCTCTCTGTATCTCTGGCCAAGTGGGTCCTAATATGAATTCTGTGCTTGGCGATCCTTCTATAAGCCCCATGAGGTATGCAACAGGGGCAGTCAAATACAACTTTCTGTCAGGGAAAATGACTCCTTCATTTCCCTTATGGATTAGAAGTGGGGGAGAGGGTGATTAAGGAGGTGATGGCATGGATGGTGTTACTTCTTCAAAACTCTCTAGTTGCCTCCTTGTCTCTTCTTCAATCCTTTCCAGGTTTATGCACTAGTATAAAGTTGAAGCATGATAAGAGGAGTGCCCACCATGCTTGATGGCGGGAAAGGGTTCTGGCCATTGAAAAGTAAAGAAGATTCTTATGGTCTGACCATATTTAAAATAGGTATTGTGTGCCTTCAAGGTAAATGCGCCAGTGGTCTAGGGCATGTATAACGGCTAGTAGTTCTTTATTGAAGATGTCATAATTTTGTTTGGCTACATTGAACAACTTTGATAGATAAGTGACTAGATGCCAGCCATCGCCCGGGACTTCTTGTGACAAGATGACACTTGATGCAAAGTCTGATGCTTTGGTTTCAAGTTGGAATGGTCAGTTCCCACTAGGGTAAATTAGTACTGGTGTTGATGTAAAACAGTGTTTGAGTGTTTCGAATGCTTTGTCCCATTCTTCTGTCCATGCAAATAGGGAGTTCCTCTTTGTGAGGTCATTTAAGGGTCGTGCTATTGTGGCGAAGTCCCTGATGAATCTCTGGTAGAAGTTTCCAAAACCTAAGAAGGATTGTACTTTCTTTAGGTTGGTTAGAGTTGGCCATTTGGAGATTCATTCAACTTTAACTAGGTCCATGGCTATGTTATCTGTGGAGATGATAAAGCCAAGGTATTCAACTGTGTCTACTTTGAATGTGCATTTGGGGGGTTTTAGGAATAGGTCATTGTCCAAGAGTATCTGCATTACTTGGATTGTCACTTGTTGGTGTTTTTTCACTGTTTTAGTAAAGATGAGAATGTCATCCATATATACAGTCATAACTTGTGCAATAATAAGGTCATGAAAGATGATATTTATCATGGTTTGGAACATGGCCAGAGAGTTGCAGAGACCAAAGAACATGACAAGGCATTTGAATAGGCCAAATTTTGTTAGGAATGCCATTTTCCATTCATCTCCTTCTGCAATTCAAATATTATTGTACTCCCATTTGACATCAAATTTTGAGAATACTTTTGCTCCTGATTTTGTGATGGTTCTGATTATATTGTCAATCAGGGATAGGGGATATTGTTCTTTATTGTCCACTCATTTAGTTTTTTGTAATCCTGAACCTGTTTGAGGTCTCCTTCTTTTTTTTTACAAAGAAGAATGGAGAGGCTTGTGGAGATTTAGACACCCTTATAGTTCCTTGTTTTAGGTGTTTCTGTAATATCTCATACAGCTTATCTTCTTCTTGTTCTGTCAAGAAGTACAGTTTGCATCCACTTGGTTCCCATCCTAGTTTCATGTCAATTTTGTGATCCCATTGTGAGTGGTCGGGGAGCCATTATGAGGCTTTCTGGCTGAAAACTTTAGCAAAACATTTGAGGATGTACGTGGGAACTATTTCTTCTATTGTACATTCATCCTTTTTCTTGTTTGCTGCTTCTGCTAGTTTCTGTGACTTGCTGTGGGTGGTCCTGATATAGATGGTTTTAAGTAGGTGTATTTCAAATGGATCTTTGTTATACTATTCTTCATAGAATTCAGAAAAGAACTCTTCATCTTTATGTTCTCTTTCTAGTTCATCTTCTATTTTTGAGTATCCGATGGTTCTTATGTTTCTCCATTGTGGGAGGGTTTGTGCTTGTATACTGAATTTGCATCTGTTGACTAGGCACATTGTTGAACATGAGGAGAGCATGAGATGGTTCTTTACCCAATCAATCTGTGGGTTATGTTCATGTAGCCAGTCCATTCCCAAAATGATGTCCTCTCCTCCTAGGTTGGTGACTAGGAGTTCACATTGCTCATTGTGGTAGTTTCCTTTATCGTTCGTCATTCTTGTCAATAGGCATGCTTTGTCTGTGATCTTTCCTCCCTTATTGGCAGTACCATCCATATTAAATACTGGGATGAGTCTGTTGATCTTTTGAAGTGGTATTTTTTGTTCTTGGCAGAATTGTTTATTGATGAGAAGTCTTTCTGCTCCTGAGTCAATTAGTACCTTTGCTTCAGTGGTTCCCCTTTTGTGTTTCAGTTGCACGTTTATATGCATAGATGATTTTTGATTGGATTTTGTGAGTTGTACAACTATTTTTACATAAAAGGTCTGGGTGGGCCTATAGTACACTAAGGATATAGGCCAGTTTAAAAATCCATATCTGATTCCTTTCGCTTGCTTTGCTTGCTTAGTTCTTGGAGGAGTGCTTCTTGTTCGTCCTACCTTATTTTCCCTATAGGCCTCTGGACCTCTTCTCAGCTAACCTTAGGCTCCTTCTGATGTACAAGTGCATTCTCTCCAAATGTATAGGTTTGGCACGCTGCAAGTCTAGCCCGGAATGGGTTAGTCATCGCCATGCTTCTACCTTCATTCAGAGTTGTTGTCTTGCTACTGCTCTGAGCTCTTGCCAAAAGCACTTTACTATAGCTTCCTCTCTGCTGGCCAGTGTTCCACCAGTTTGAGCTAGGCGGTTCCCCACTTTTCCACTACTCGGTTAAACATGTCCAGTTCCCCCTTCATATACCCTAGACAAAACCCTAGCTAGGCATTGGCTCACTATATGTCATTGTTGATGGTAGTAAAAACATCCACCCTCTGCATGTAGTCTGGCACGTTCATCATTGGAGAGAAGGGTGTGAACAGCATCTATGGCCATGGGTACAACTAAGTTGTTCATGGAGGCAGGGGCATTTGAAGAGTCATATTGGAAGGGGTTGTTACGATGGGGTACAGTGATATGGACCGAGCTTTTTATGCTCTGAAGTTCCCTCCATTGGTTATCAAATCTTCTGGTGTATTTTACCCAGTCGTTCATGGTGGTCAGCATTTCTGGCAGTCTGTAGATCTGTTTGAGAATTTCTGGGTGTATGGCTTGGCAGAAGTAGTCGATAGTGGATTCTAAGTCAAATCCACTTTCTCTGGTGGTCATAAGATAGTCCATGACAAATTCATCTGCTGAGCATTTTCCCATTCTCATGGTAAACAGTTTCTGTCATGCCTTTTGTTCCAGACTTTCGTCTTTGAATGCAGTGGCTAGTTTCTTTAGGAATTCTTTGAATGTTCCCCATTTAGGTTTGGTCTCTGTGGCCTTATATTCTCGAAGTTCTCTGTCAAAGTAGTATTTTTGGGCAAACAGCGAGGCCATTCCTTCTTTTATGTAAGATAGTACCATCAAGATTTTGTCCATTCTTGGTATTTTAACCTGGTTCCATTGAAGTCCTTCAGCTTGTTTCCTTTGTCCAACATTTTGTTGTTTGCATCTGTTACTCCTGTGCTTAGTGTTGGATCTGGGTTTGGGTCTGGGCATCTTGGGTTGCTTAGTCCTGGCTTTGGTTCTGAATCTTTATTGTCTACAGGGGTTAATACTCCTGCTAGGATAACTTCTTCTTCGATATCTTCTTTGGGAATATCAACTGGTGTGTTTCCTGTAGGAATATCGATCAGGGGTAGTGTGGGCCTGGTTTAGGTTGGGGTGATTATTGTTTTGAGGGGTGCTTTTCCGTCTTCCTAGGCTACTAGTGGAGCATCAACAGGTTTTCCACTATCTTGTCCATCTATGTAAACCCAGATTCCTTTCAAATTTCTCCTGATATTTCATTTCCTTTGGAAGTTGTGATGATTCGATCAAGAAAGCCCATGCTAGCCTCAACCTGATCAAGGTTTGAGGATCAAGGCAATATCAGCTCTTTCTGGCCAGGTATCATAAGGTATTGTATAATAGATAATGTCAAGCGCAATTGTTTTGATCATACCTCTACTGGGTTGACTACCAGATAGAGATATTCTACAACCTGAAGCAACCCACACTGAAGTGGAATTGCCCAATCATTCACTCGAAATGTATAGTAACTGCTACGGTCGACGGTCGCTTGTCTTTTGGGACTGCCTAGTGCCATATGTAAATAGCCAGTGTTCTGCTGTGAAGAGAAAAGTGAAGCTGGGGTGTGGAGTAGGATTTAGGGCAATCTATCCAGATGTCGCAAATGGCTGTTTGGGATGAGAGATTCCTAGGCCACAAATCAATACCATCATGGGTGGAATAATGAGAAAAGTGGTAGATATGAAGGGATTGAAGCTGATCAGGCTAATGTCTTGGAATCAAGGAAGACTGGTTAACAGCAGTTCTTAGATTGGACAGAAGTGGATAGCCTAAGGCTTCCCTTACTGTGCCACAGTTGTTTATAAATATGTACAAGCAAGGGCACAGACCAAGTAGCAATGGATTGGGAACGTGAGGTATAGTTGGGAGAAAGGTCCTGTGTGTCCTTATATAGATTGTGGTAAAAGCAAAAAAAGGTACAGTAAGTGGTTCATAACAATTATTAAAGTTGTCATTGTCAGCTAATGCCTGCTACTAGTCAATATAGGACACAATATATAGGTTAGGCTTGGGGATGTGCTATATGCAGCTTTGCAGACCCTGTATATCAGTGTAGTGGTGGAGTAGTGGAACTCCATACTAGGCAGAAAGGAAAACAGAGCTAGAGAATGAGACAAGGTGTGATAAGACTAGACAAGAAAAGGGAATAGGAGGATAGAGAGATTAGGAAGTGACATAGGGTTAGGGCTAGTGTCATAGATAGCTTGTAGCACTAGTGCATCCATGAGAAGCACCACTACCATGCTTTCATTTTTGGCTAGTCTATCTAGTGACAATAGCACAACATCTGGAAAACCACCCCTTTGTATTAAGCTCTAGTTAGTTCTATTTATGCATAATTAAGAATGATTAGGATTAGACATTTTTAGCTTACCCCCCCTCTAAACCTGTTCTAATTAGATGTAATTTTCCTAAACTAGGAATTATTAGGATAGATTATAACTTGAAATTTCGGAAAAATCATAATAAATCAAGCATCACAGTTCTCATAGCCTTCTTATAGAGTCATGTCTATTAGAGCACTAGTTCAATACCTAAACACAGAATATACCTTATAACAAACTTGCCTTTTGCCAGAATTGAACCAACAACCTCATGTATACAAGCACCTAGGACAAATGCTCTAAGCCACTAAGCCACAAGGTCTAATATATAAACTTGGTAATCTAAATAAGTAGACATAATATAGGCAACCTCAACATCTCTGATTTTATTTAACATTTATCTTTCCTCTATCTTATAAATAAATAGGTCAATAAATACCTAAAAAATCAGGTCTTTCAGGATTTAGTTTAAACACCAGCTAAGAAGATAATAAACCAATGGAAAATCAATAATACACTTTATATAGGATAAAAATAAATTATGGCACTTATACAATTTGGACTGAGAATGTGTAAAACTATGATTGAGTGTAATATTCAATAGGACTCTACTAGTATAGACAATGCTACCTGAATTTGCAAATTTGATCAAAAACATGATTATAAATGATTAAGATCCAATAAGAGAAAGGGGTTTTCCAAATAGCCACTAGTAAGGTAGAGGGTGGGGACAAGGGTATATGTATGGCATGCCTATATATAAATAAGCACAAGATTGTTGGAGGTAATCTTAATATGCTTAATGCATATATTTTCTATATGGCAGGCAAATATATCATTCTGGCACCACATACCAATATGACTGTCTTTTCCACAGCCTAATAGCTAGAGGAAAACACCAAGTTTGAGCATCTTCTATATAACAAGGCAATAAACAATATAAATAGTGCTAAAAATTGTAGTTTCAATAGTGATGATGATTGTGTGCTGCACAAGACAGTATTAGCCACTATACTAATAGACAAGGTCTATAAGGCTGCATATAGCATATCCCTAAGTCCAACCCACATGTTATATACTATAATGACCAGTAGCAGGCATTGGCTAACAATGACAACTTTAATGATCTTGTGTGCAAGGACAAGGTACCTAGGTCTTTATAGCCTCTTGTGGCAGCTGCCAAGCTGCCAACAAAGTGGCTAGGGGCATCAATGCACATTTCTCTCTTTCTATATCCCTTATAAAAGCAGCTGGAAAGTCAGCAAAAGAGCTACAAGATAATGGTATAGGCATATATAAAGGAGAGTAATCTGCTAAAATAGTATAGAATGTGCGACATCTTTACCTTCTCACTGATAGAGCAGTAGTACTTACTATTTCCTACTAATAACTAAAGACTTCTTAATATAGAATTAGTGCTAATATCATGAAGTTAGAAACCAATCCAATGCTCACAATGTGTTGCTCCCAATTAGGAAATTAGACACTTTTAGATACTATTAACACTTTTAGATACTTTTAGACACTATTAGATATAATCCGGAGCTAATACAAGGGAGTGTTTTTCCAGATGAATTTAACACCCACAACCTAGTATACTGTTAAGAACACTGTTGAGAACACCACTGAGAAAACAGTACCAGACCACACCCTAGAACACTGCTATCAGAAACAAAACTCCATAGTGATAGCCTTCCCCACTTCTTACCCTGGCACCCACCTATGACAAATCTGGTCATTTCTGCATGACTTCCCTTATAGACATAGACACCAGCCTGCTCCTCTTCTCTTTTACAGAAACAGACTATACCCCTCTTCCATCTTCATTCTCATCCCTCCTAATTAATGAAACTCCCTCATTCCCTTCTACCATAATTAACCTTAATTTACCAATACCCTCACCCTCACCTCTACTACTGCTTACATCCCTGCCTACCCTTATATACAAGCACACACTCCTAACCTCTCCCTCCTCCAGTTTCTCAGACATAGACAGGCCTGACCATGAATACTTGATGCTAACCTCTTCATCCTTCACATAGTTTTACAGTGACAACTATAGCAGCAAGAACCTAGGTGACTTCATCAAGCAAGTCAAACAAGGATTCATAAAGAAAACTACAAATTGCCATAAGGTTAATGGAGTTGGCCAGTACCTAAAATCTGGCAGTTAAGCAGAAAAATAGTACAATGATAAACTAACCCTAGCCAATAATGCCATCTAGAAGGACTTCAAAGCAGCATTCTTCATGCAATGGCCAAAAATCAAGCCTATCCTGAAGGCATGTGCTGAGAAGATCATGGCCCTTTAAGCACATAGGCTAATAGAGATAGAAGCTGTTAAGCTGCTAGGCTTGTCTCATGTACTTGATGCACTAAGATGGGGTCCCTGGGCTAATTGTGACAGCCTAACATATAAAGACTATTGCTTATCTTTGGGCTTATACTAAAAAGTCTTGATTACTGTTAATCCTATCTTTGAAGAGATGAAGAAGATGCTGATTAATAATAGGATGATGTTTGTCAGGGACTGGGAGATCTTCTCTAATACAATAGATGACTTCCAAGGGATTCCAATAGATGACTTGGTAGGCAGTGAGTTCTTGATAAGTCACAGAGATGAGAGGGTGATTAAGGCTGTAAGATAAATCCAGTGCTTTGTTAGACTTGGTATGTTTTAGATGATCTAACAGAGTTCATGATGCATGGGCTGAAGAGAGCCAGATACTGGGTGCAGTGCAGAAATCAAGATGTATATAAAGTGAACAAGCTGATCTTATAAGAAGCTTAGCTCTGCTATTTATAATACATGCTATTTAGGGCTAGATAGAAATATGGTCCTTGCTTCTAAATGCTAAGTAATCCACAGTTATAGTTTGAACTCTATGGCTGTTTGATGTAATTATGTATAATAAGTATATCAAATATCTGTCCACAACAATATGCAACGAGGAACTAATTACAATTAACATCAGTAAGCCACATAAGAGGAGAGAATAGATGAGTCATAATATTGTAAGCATTCATGCATCAGCATATAAATGGTAAACAGCCCAAGTCCAAGTCATATGCATAGCTCATGATCATGTCTTAAGTCATATGCCTAGATGCATGTCAAGGCACAGTCCTAGTTGTCAACATCTAAGTCTATTGTGAGACACCTGACTTTCTCTTCTATCCATATGTACAGCATGTGTTAGAACATGATCCTAACAAAAGCAGTGAAAAAGATGAAAACAAAAGGAATAAAAAAATAAGAGTACATCTACTAGGCAGATTGGGCCCTAGTCCTTGTGAATACAGTAGTTGACATGGATGGCATGCTAATTGAAGGAGTCCAAAAGGACCTATCCTCTAGCATAGCCACCTTTGTCACCAAAACCTATACCACATAAGCTACCTTCATTAAAGCTATACAACAAATCTACCCTCATAATCTACTATACACAAAAGCAAACAATTCTCATCTAATTGCTGTGGAACAGGAACTATGATGCTCTACTCTCTCTTGCCAAAATGTACCAATGGCCACTCTCTAATAAATAATGAAATGCATGTCTATTACCCCTCACAATCTCCTACTACAAATATCTCCCTACCCCCCAAACCAAGGCACTCCCCCCCTAGCCCATTTATACCAAGGCACAAGCCTTCCTTCTCCTATATCATAGCCACAATATGCTTCCAATGCTGAATGCTTAGTTGCATAGCCCATATCACAACTCAATTCCTTCCCTTTTTTATCCCCAGCTGCACATTGGTACCAACTGGGGACCAATCCAAAGTCCCCACAACACATGTTCCAATAAAAGGGACAAGAGCTATACCAAAGGACATAGCAGTTATCCTAGATGCATGCATATATGAAACCATGTTAGATATCATAGACTGAGCTAATATCTATACTATGGGGGACATGAGAATCACAACAAAAAGCAGGAGACTGGCCAAAGCAAGGCTGTTCATCTATAGAATCCAACTACATGGACCTTAGAAAGAAATCAACAGGGTTAAAAGCATATTTGACAATGGTACAATGATCAACACTATTGACAATGACACCTACATAGCCATATAACACGAGGTTACCAATACCATACCCTTCCCACATTAACTACATATGGCCAATAAAATAATAGTTCTGTCCTAAGGTCAATAGGAAGGTCAGGCTATCATCAGAGCTATCATCAGAGATGTCAAAATCATTGCATGATTTGAGGTCTTTCCAAGTAGAGGATCCTAGTCTGTACTTATTGGAAAACCACTGCTCATAGCCTTCTAAGCCAAACATGAATATACAACAGACACAATTGACCCTAGAGAACACCACAGCTCTCTAAAATAAACTTACAAAATAGCAGATAGTATAGAAATAGTACTATCTGTCATCTATCTGATGCTTGATACCAAATAGCACATAACACTATGGGAGGATGATAAATCCCCTTATTAGGGAAAAGCTCCATATTAAATTGACCATAGTTAAGCATAGATATAGCTATATTTTTACCAATTACTATTAAGGATTTTTAGCTTAACCCCCCTCTAATCCTAAAATTATAAGATCCAATTAGACCTAATTAAAGCTAATTTATTATATGGATTTTTGTAAAAATATTAACCAACCCACTTCTATGGTTTCTCTACTACTACTACCTCTTCAATCATAGAGTATGTATAGAGCTTACTAATCAAACTAAAGTCACACATTATAAACTTGCCCATCACTAAAATTAAACCAACAACCTCATGCCTACACACCCTAGACTAGTGCTCTAAACTACTAAGCCACAAGACCTAAATTATTTACCTAGTAACCTAAATATGTTAATATGAATAAGGCAATCTCAATATTTCTGATTTTCCTACATATTTATCTTTTATCTATTCTATATATAAAGGGGTCAATAAATACCCTAAAAATCAGGGCTGATATTTGAATTTGGGCACTAGACAATGGTATAGTAAACTAAAGAAAAATGAGAAACATAGTTTAAATAAGATTGTAGCACTTACACAATTTGGATTTGAAATGTGTAAAATTGTACTTGGATTGTAGATTCCAATGGGACTATAGTAGTATAGACAATGTCACCTTTACTTTCAGATTTGATCATAAAGTTGATTATGGATAATATATTCTAATTAGCTTAGACTAGTATTTTGAATAATTAAATCTAATTAAAAGAGGAGGTTTTTCCAAATGTACCACCACTTTCCTTCCCTCCCACTATCCAAAAGCTAGCCTATGGCCATGCTACTGCCTTTGATGCTGAAGTCATGGGCCTTACTATTGCCCTACATCATTCCACTCTTATTTCCAATGCCTCCAACATCATTCTTTATGCAGACAATAAAGCTGTACTCCAATTCCTCTTAAATCTGTCTATGCATCTCTCACAGATATGTTTAATTCTAGCCTGCCAACAGCTTTGAGCATGGCTCTTTGCCTCCCCAACCAGATGCCTTACAATAGCATGGTGCCCTAGACATGTTGGCATTGCATGTCAGGAACAAGCTGATATGCTAGCCAAAGCTTCTATCCAAAAGGAACCCTCCTTGTTTACCTCAGCCTCATTCCTCAAACAATCAGCCTATGTCACCATGCCCCAAGCCAGGCAATTCCTTATAAAGTCCACAAAATATAGTGGTCAGGACTTCCCATGCCAACCATCCTTTCACAAAGTGTTTTCTACTAAAAGGAAAATTCTCACCCTGATTGGGGGGGAAAATACATTGGCCACTCACACTGTGCACCTCATTCTAAATCATGGTCCCATAATCAAGTATAAATTCAGATTCCTCCCTTTTGGAGAAACAACTTGCAATTGGTGCTAAGAAACCCAAACTCAGACCCACATTCTTTTTTGGTGCACACATTACTAGTGGCCTCCTAATTTCACTATAGCTAAATACCAAGCCAGCATGAACCTCATTTATAAGCTTATTTAATTCCTTCACAACAACCTATTTGCTTTTACATTCAAAGATGCCCCACTAAATGTAGAGGACCTTTTACCATAAACTACATCTTGTCTCTCTGCTCCTCTTTTTATCCTTTTTGCCCACTCAAGCAGGGCAGATTTTTGGGTCTTAAGTGAACCCTATATAAGCTATGTACTTACGAGGCACATTCCCACTCTCTTTTGATAGCCACCACTGGCCTTATGCCACATGGGATATAAATATGTTGATTAAAAATAAAAATAAAAAATAAAAAAGACATTGTCAACCATTGCTGACAAATGTCGGAAATTGCCAGTGATTCCTAGCAATTGTCAGTAATTGTCGACAATGTCCGACAATTGATGGCATTTGCCGGGAATTGCTGAGATTTGTTGAAAACAGTTGTTTTTGAGGTAAAAGTTTTGATTTGTCCGGATTGGTCCTTCATAACTTACTTGGTGATATCCCACTGATGAAGATCATAGTATTGTCCGATTGTCTACACAAGTTGTTTTGAGGTGCCTTGTTGACCTCCTCAAGTGGTTTGATCAGGAAAAATTCAGGCCACTCTTCCATTCCAACGAGCATAACAAGGGATATCCCGCAGTCAGATTTTTATTCTAAAATATTGATGTCTTATGATGGCAATTGCCCCGGGCAGATTCATATTTTTCCTCTAGCAACTAGATTCCGTATTCAAAAAGTGTATGCACACGCCTTCTCATTCTTTCCCCTCAATCACAAATGATACCGCAGCCATGAGTTGAGAGCACCACCAATGAGCACTCTTCACCCTGTGTATCCCGGCCTCAGCCGTGTTCGCAATTTAGGTTCGAAGAGGTCGATAATTACCTGCCCCCCGCAAATTCCATGTGTCTGGTATGATATGATCGTTGGATTTGCTCTATGGCTTGCACGCTTTTGCACTCTGATCAAGAGTTGCATGGTTCACAGTACCATGTACTCAAAGGTCAAAGGTTTGGAGAGTATGTTCGCCGGGTACAGATAATAATACTTGGAAAAGATATCATGAGGATGCGTATGACGCACGAATACATTGCCTATGGAACAGAGAGGAATGAAGTGCTACACATAATGTGGTGCCAAGAACTAGGAGAGATGGACACATAGTTTACATACACCAGTGCCCGATTAGGATGATACACAGACCCCACCATCGTACACCATATTCCGTACAACGTGCTTCGCTCACACCACGCCGTTCCCTAAATGCCCATACGGGCCATCCGTCGACCCCACGCCCAGCACCTGAGATAATAGCAACTGAACCCTAAGCCGGTCCTCGTCGAGCCTCCGCATCTCCTCAACCCACCGTACCTCCCGCTGTTCGTAGATGCCCCCGAGCGCGGACAGGCTCCCGAGCGCGGCGTCAAGGGCGCGCCGCAGGTCTTCCTCCTTCGACTCATTGCTCGCCGGCGACCCGTCGCGTGAGGAGGAGGCAAGTGACAGCCGCTCGACGAGCGACGTCACTTGCGACTGCGAACGCACGCGCGCGGCGGTCCGGCGCGAGGCAAGCTGGGAAAACGCGCCGCGCAGATTCGACATTTCAGCGGAGCGCGCGAGAGACGAGTCGCGGCGCAGGGCGCGGGATGTGACGGAGTGCAGCTTGCTCGAGTGCGATGGCGCGGCGAGCAACACGAGTGTCGTGTCCGTCTCACGATCGAGGGCCTGGAACTAGAGGCGAAGAAGAGAACGGGTGGTGTCAGTGATCCGTATCGTAGGGTCGGACTTGCCTAAACGAAACGACGAGACTGGAAAGGGAAAAAGCTAAAAAGTCAAACGGACGTACCGCGCGCACGAGTGTACCCCAGTGAGACTTCCACCTCCTCCTTCGCTTATCGGGATTGGTAACATAGTCGGTATGGTATTCCAATTGCAACAGGTCGTCGCCCTCGCCCTCCTCTTCCATCTCATCCTCATCCACCCACTCTCCCGTATCTTCGCTCCCCTCCTCTGTTGCCCACTGAGCACCCTCGTCCACATCCCGGTCGTCTGCCGTGCCCATCGTAGTCGTCGTCTTCGCCTCTCCCGCAGTCTCCTCACCAGACGACAGCTCTGGGCTAGTCTCACGCGGCTGGGTGCTCTCCACCCGAGGGGGCGGCCGAATCTTTTGCCGCACCTTGCCCGCGACTCCGCCTGCACCCTGCACGCGCAAGTTGACCGAGCGCTCCCGCCTCTTCAAACCCCGATGCCTCAGCACCGGCGCCGAATCAGGCAGCGGCAGCGGCTCGTGGCTCGGGCTCGACCGCATACTCGCGATTTCTGCCTCCGCTTCCGCAGAGCGCATGCGCCCATGCGGCCCAAAGCCGCGCGTGCTCTGCAAAAACGGCCACGGGTTGTAGTTCGGCCCAGGGAACGGCGTCGACGACGGCGAGAGCGAGAGCGACGTCGCGTCCGAGGCCATCCCGCCGTTGTTCAGCGCATAGATCTGCATCTGCAGCGCAATCTGCTCCCGGATCACTGCCGGATCATAGTTTGCCATGTCGAACCCCGTGCCCGTGCCCGCGTGCGAGCCAGCATAGCCTGGCCCCTCGAGAGACTGCTGGGCGTACCCGCGCCGGATGTGGCCGTATGGGTAGGGGTAGGGCGAGCCACCTGGCGGTGGCGCAGGGCTGTAAGGTGGCAGCACGGGCTTGGACCTGTTGTGCGGGCTCTGCATTCCCGAAATGAGCGGCGAAGGCGAAGGCGCGGCCGTCTGGCTGTGTGGCGTGGGCGGGATCGGTGCGCCTGGCCTAACGTGTTGGTGCGCGGAAGGGCCGCGGCTCGACGCAGGCGAGTACGGGTAATGCTGATAGTTCTGGTAGTACGACGCCGCGGGGTCGTCGAGGAAGTGCTCCGACTCGTCCGCGTGCTGCGCATGACGGAGGGACGAGAGCGGCATGTCTCCGGGGTGACGCGGGTCATAATAGCTCTGCGAGTGCGCGCGCTGGTGGAGCGTGTGCGGCGGAGGCGAGCCAGGGTCCGTGATACGCAGCTTGTCGATTGTGTTTTCGAAAACGGCCGCGTCGAACGTGCGCAGCCCAAGCTGGTCAGTGGACCCGTTGCGAGCTCGAATGCGGGGGAGTTGATGCCGACTCGGCGATGCCGCGCGGGCAGCAGGGAAGTTTCGGTCCATCGGCAGACTGGTCACAGGCGATCGCGGGGTGTACCCATCATCCTCTTGATCTCCACCGTTTTCACGTCCACGGTCGTCCTCTATGTGCAGATCTTGCTCCAAACGGCTGTGGCTGTGACTGTGAGTATCCTCGCGGCCTGCACGACTTTGCCGCCCGTCTACCTCGCGGCGTGGATCGTACCGCTGCCCGTTGCCGTCGGGATGCAAGTCAGACGAGGGCGCGGGGGAGTGCCGATGATACTCATGTTCGTCGGGCTCCTGATGGACATAGTCCTTCCCAGTTCCCGACTGCGCCCATCGATCGCGCGAAGCATCAGGCGCCTCGGCCGGCACGTCTTCTTCAGGCTCCTCCTGTACGGGTAAAGACTTGTCCGGTGTGCGTGCTTTCGTGGCTTGCCCTGGTGGGGTCTGATTAGGAACTTTGGATGTACCTAGGGGAACCGTCGCATTGGCATTGGCAGTAGGAGGCGTCTGACGGGAGTCCGTGTAGGGAGGCCCGAGTTTGCGGATGGCTGGTGGCGTCGGAGCGCGCGGAGGCGAGTGAGGTGCATACTCGTACTGCACATGCGACAAGGCGTGTTCGGGAGACCCCATGGGCGGGTGGAACTGCAGAGACTCGTCGCGAAGCGGGGCCTGATTCTGCAACGGCTGAGGTTGAGGCGGCAGCTCACGCTTGACGCTTCCACGACGCTGAATACTGATCTCCCTCTCCCTCTCTCTTTCCCTCTCCCGGTTATCTCTGTCCTTGTCACGCACGTCCCTGCGTCCCGCCATCACCCCGCCTCGCTGCCCACCCTCCTGCTCTTTGGTGCCATTCCACTCAGCCGCTCGCAGCCTCTCCATTACAGGGTCCTTCGGTGGCGAACCCGACTCAAAGTGTGCCTTCGGGATGGAATTCGACGACGCGCCACCCGCGTAGGCGACGCCCGAGGTCCCTGAGAGGTCGGGAGGCTGGTGCGTGTTCGGCGGGGCCCCGTAGGCGGTGCCACTGGCCGAGACGTAGTGCGCATGTTCGATCTCGGCCATGAGCCGGTCGGTCATCTGGAAGTTCTCGATGCCCATGAAGGCGGGGACGGGCACGCGCGCGATGGGCCGCACGAACGACGGTTGGGACTGCGCTTGGGCCATGTAGGGGTGGATGTTGGACTGGCTGAGCGAGTGCTGCGGCGGAGGGGGAGGTGCGGTCGTGTGGTGGATGTTGGGCTGGCTCATGCTGTGCATGGGAGGCGGAGGTGGAGTGATGTGCTCGGGGCTGCCGTCGTGTGGGCTGTTATTGTTGTTGCTGTTGTTGCTGTTGTTGTTGTAGGTCGGCGAGGGAAGACCACGTGCGGAGGGTTGCGATGGGCCCTGTGGGTTGGGTGGTGGCGAGCGTTTGGACTGATAAGAGGAAGCATTGGAGGTCGTCGGACTCGGCTGCTGTTGAGCGAGCTGACTTTGGTAGGAGACGGATTGGCCGCGGATTGTCCTCTGGCGCTCACGGAAGGAAGGTGATGGCGTTCCTTCGCGGGGCGAGATGTTGGACCCTGAGAATGTGAAGGGTGAGCACAAGTGCGATGGCGCCGATAAATAATCAAAAATCGCGATGAGGGCGCCGCAGTCGCCGACTTGCGTCTCATGAGATAAAGCATCGCACGGGATGTGCGCGATAAAAGCTTCAAGCACTTATCGCCGCACAGCATCGCGAACGTGGAGTTGAGGGGCGGGCGCCGCGAGAGCGACATCACCGTCTAGCGGATGGAGGGCGAATTTGGAAAAAAAGAAACAAGAAGCACCTTGTGATCCAGGGTGGCCTTGTAGTTTTCTGTTCAACGGGGGCGATTGGGTCGACATGTGTGCAGATAGCTGCGGGGACGGGTGTGGGAGGGGACGGGGTGGGTGGGGGGAGGAAAGAGCAGGAGAAAAAGGTGGGCGGAGCGCGTGGAAGAAGTCGAACGGTACAAGTAGCGTGGCCTTGACCAACTCGCGTTTCCAACGTGGCTCTGGTCATACAACGGCGGAAGTAAATAGCGGTGGACAACGAGGTGGATGGCCAGGTAAGGAAACTGCCTCGAGGCTGATTACCGCACGCCGCAGAGGCGCTCGGTCCGGCTCTTCTGGCGCGAAGAACGCGGGGTGCCTTATTTTCCGCATCAGCTAGACCGTCTCCAGCAGAAGATGAATGGACAACACCGAGCACGTCGCGCGGACACTGGCAGCGGCGACGAGATGAACGGCTGTCTGCGAGTCGACGCTGCGTACCGATGACTCAGCAGGCCCAGCAGCCCAGAAAACAAACACGCAGCACTCACGCAGCGTCCATATCGATTGCGATGGTCCCTCCGGCCCCAGAAATGAGCGCATTACTCCCCGCCACGGAGCGACTCGCTCGAGTGCCTTCGAATCCGCGCATCGGTACATGCCGTCGCAGGCTCTACTCTGGCGCGATGGGCCATCGCGCTGCGAGTACGTCAAATGGACCGTGCTGACACGCGTCCGCCGTGCACTTACACGTAGGATTACGCTCTACCGCGGTGCAGAATTGGTAGAAGGCTTCAGAGACAATGATCTTTTCCTTGTCGTCCTGGCGATGCTCATCGGACATGGTTGAGGGGCTCCACCCACACAGGTAACAAAACGTCAAGATTCAGGAGACTGATAAGGAGGAAGGCGATGGGACATCGGTGAGTCCGCCGCGTCCTTCTTGTGAAAACAACAACTGAGTCAAAGAAGAGAGGGCGTTGAAGTAATGGGCACCGCTAAAGTATGGGACTGCGTCATCCATCGAGGGAGATCCAGCGCTTCGTTCCACTGACAGATTGGAGATCCTCGAAGCAGTCTGCATTCATTGTATAGACTGCCCGATTTGATTTCAAAATAAGCCCCACAATTATTCAATCCTTCATCGAAACCCGAGGATCCCCCTGGATTTCCGGGTTCAGGGCTATTATGGGAAGGGTAGACTCCAGGGGACGGCGCAGCATACGCGTCCACCGTCGGCGCGTCGCGTCACGTCACATGTTCCCGCCCTACGCTTGTAACACTTTGCAGCACACTTTTCTCCAATGTCCATCTTGAGAGGAATAGAAACATCAGTCACAGTCTACAGTACAATCACATTGCATTCGATACTTCTAGGATTCCCATTCGTGCTCTCCACCTCAGCCCCTCAACAGTTGGATCCCCTATGAAGCATATCCCCGCGCCTTGAAGTCGAGCAGGCAGTCCCTGATCAACTCCTCGAGCGGCCGGTGCTTCAGCTTCAAGATCCTGTCCGACTTGGCCGTGTTGTAGTCGATCAAGTGCGTTATGCCCTTGGTGGACCCGGGGTTGCCCTTGACGATGCTAGTGAGGGGAGGCGGCGATATTCTGTTCGCGGCGTCGACTGGATACAGAGTCAGTCGGGGAAGGCGATTCCAAACGCCCAGTAGACGCACCGATTTCCTGCCAATAGAATGCGCCTGATACGCAAGACGCAAACGTCAGCCTCGGTCCTGTTCAAATATGTCTGAGAGAAAAAGGAGCGCGCACCTGCGCTCACGATTATGCGCTCCCCAGAGGCCTCCGGCGTCTCTGCCGCAAGCACATGCGCGTTCGCGAGCTCGCGCACGTCAATCCATGCGCTGCCCAGCGTCTTGAGCGCCGCATCGTCCTTGACGCCCTTCACAACTGTGTTGAAGAACTCCTGCATAGACGTGTTGAACGCGGACATGCTCGTGACTTCATGGATGGGGGGCTACGAGCGGAAAAGGAAGCATGCAATAGTTAGACGTGCCGCACTCTCATCGGCGGATATGCTTCGCGGGAGACACTTACGCCAAATACCTATTTGCAATGAGATGCGCGTGTCAGGGAGTAGAATAAAGGGAAAGATACAGAAGAAAAGACGCACGTATGGAGGGTTGAGCACAACGAGGTCCCACCCCACGCTCGTCTTGTTCTTCTCGTAAAAGTCCCAGGCAGCTGCAGGCCGCGCCCCGGCGATCGGTCAGGCAGCTATTCGCGAGACCGGCATCGCATTCGGCGCACCTTTCTCCGCGAGCGTTTTGGAAGCACGGTAGATCGAGATCGGAAGCGCGTTGGCGCCCTTCTCCTTTACCTCCTCGATCGCGGGCTCGTTCCACGAGGTCTCTTCCCATACGGCGGGCGTCGCGGACGGCTTGAGGACCGAGGCGCACGATGAGGTAACGACGATACGCTTTACGGAGGATCTGGCAGGACATGCGCAGGTCGGATCGAGGCGTGTGAGCATGTGCGATCGTGAAGTGAATAGGGCGATCGACTGCGCACCCATGCTTTTTGGCAGACTCGAGCATCCCGAGGGTGCCTTTGGTGGCTGGGACGATGAGATCTGCGCATTTCATGGGTCGTCGACATTCAATCGTACGAACTTGGAGAGGAGACGAGAAGACGCACCATTCGGCTCTTTGAAGTTGAAATGGAACGGCGAAGCCGTGTGCTCGATAAGATCGACGCCCTTAACGGCCTCGTCAAACGCACCCTCCTAACAACACACAAGATCGCGCAGATATTCGCCATCAGCACGCGTCCCAAAAGCACCGTATCTGTCAAGATACCGGGTCTCGTACGACGCACCTTCGTGATGTCTTCGACGATCACGACCTCGAACTTATCTCCATGCTCCGCAAACAGTTTCTTCAGATGCGCGCCCTTCGCATCGGAACGCACCGTCCCGCGAACAGCGTATCCTTTCTCGAGCAGCGTGCGCACGACCCACGCCGCGATGTATCCGTTCGCGCCGGACACGAGTACCTTGCTGGGGGATGCAACGGCAGGCATTCTTGCTTTCTTTCTTTCGAGTGTAATTGTAAGTATGCGCAAGTGCGAGTGCGGTGAGATTGAGAAGATAAAGACGGCGATGAGGAATGCCAGGCCTCTTTATATATTTGGCAGACGGAGCATGATCCCGATTGCCGTGCGGGGAGCCGATCAAGATCGGCATGACAAAGAACTCCCAACGTAGGGTTGGGACCTTGTTGGAGGCTTTCTAACAATCTTTCTCAGTCTTTCTCCAGGACGGCACGTCCATTCAAGCGTTCGGGGTACGACTCCTTTGCAATAGAGCCCGCAATATGTTGAAACCACACAGCTTCCCATATGAGCATATTTGAATGCTCAAGAAAGTCACACAGAAATTCTCAGTGCATGTTTCGGATGACTTACTGGACACGGAATCAAGTGGATACACCATGATTCGCTGTCGAGCGTTCACCATGACGCACTGACTCCGCCTTGTCAGTCAGAGGGCGGAGCAGAAAGTGGGTGCAGACCTGCATTGTAGGTAATAGGGTATCGTTGACGAGGAAGGCGGATACCTCGGTTCGGTCATTCAAGAGTCTGCGAGGGCACCAGCTCTCTGACTGATTCCCGAAGAGCGAACGTACGTACATCGATTGTTTGAGGGCGGAGGTAACTCAAGAGTAGCACGTATACTTCGCGATTCTCGCTCACGAATCGTACCTGTGCGTGCACCTTTCTCTGCAGGCGTCTTGACGTTGGGTGACGCGTCGCGGCCCTTCTCCGCTACCTTCACAACTGCAGATTCGTTCCACGAGGCCTCCTCCGGGGAGCATCACAGGCGTCACCATGATTGAAGCGCACGATGCAATGATCATGATGCGCTTCGCAGCAAATCTGGAAATAGACATCAGCATAGGTTCATCTTTTGGTTTGCTGTGTAATTATGCTGCAGTCTAACGAAGCGGGAGCCATGTGCGCCTATGTGCTTTCGCAGATTCGAGCATCCAGATTGTGCCTTTGGTGGCAAGGATAATGAACGTTGCACGTCGACAGAAGCCAAGTATCGGCCAGATTTCGAGATATCGCAGAGGCGGACGTATAGTCAGGTTCTACGCCATTGCTGATACGACACGGTGATACGGTGTGTTCGATCAGGTCAACGCCCTTGGCGAATTCGTCAAATGTTCCTACACACGGATCTTCAGCAAGGACGCAGAAAATTCCATCATAAGCATGCACCCGGGATTTCCAAGCTCACGTAATCTAGCCTGATCGATGTAACTTGCACCTTCGTGTTATCTTCGACGACTATGATCTCAAACTTCGCAGACAGGCGCGCCCTTCGCTTCGGAACGTACCGTCCCGCACACGGTGTAGTTCTTCTCTAACAGCGTGCGCACGACCCAGGCTGCGACGTATCCCTTCGCGCCAGACACGCGGACCTTGCGGGAGGGAGCGACAGCGGGTATGGCACTTTTGAGCACAACAAGGTCACCGGGGATGCAGAATATGGGTCACGATGAGGTGATAGGAAAGAAGACCGTGCGGAAGGTGGGTCTGTCTACGAGGATCAGTGGTCAAAGACGGAAGGGACGTGGGTACGGTCTCGATTGGGTAAGCTTGTGTGCTCATGCTCGAATTTTGATCACTGCGAGCGGAACAAACGATTCGAAGGGTTTGCGACTGGGCTAACTACCAAGTAACGAATAAGTCGCAAGTCAGTCAACCCGGTAAAAGAAGCATGTTTTTCGCAGCATAAAGGTTCACGTACTAGCTAACTATACCGTTATTTGTGACAGATCTATGAGGTCCAAGTAGAATGTCAGTTTTTTGTATTTGACGACATCGTCGTCGTCATTGTGTACGCCCCTAACAAGACACGTGAAGTGGACTCGTCGTACCTCGTCGCGTGCATTCATCGTTTGTCGATAACGCATTCGGAATTGGTGGTCTCAATCGCAAACCTTTGGTATACCACGATTGCTCTGTCCCGAAACACCATTGAGCTGGCGATTCAACATGTCATAGAACACAATATCGGTGTTCGTGCTTGCCTTCTGGACAAGGCTCAATGAAAGTTGGAGTTGGCCAGCACATAATCATATGTGTTCCCCTGGTCAGTCAAGCACCTGGACCTAGAGATATCTCTTAAGACTAAGACATTCAGAAGAGAGGTACAAGGATTCACAAGCAGTGATTCGAAAGAGTGATGAGCAATCTTGAGCAACGGGTTCTGCCAGTACCGTTTCTGCCGCGTCATGTGTTCTCGGTCATTGCCGATATTGAAAGTCCGTTGGCCGAAAAGCCATCGGCTTCTGTTTCGTCTTCGTCACTTTCGAGAGCCAGATTCAGCAACCACTGTCCGACAAGACCATCGATGGTGTTCTGCCCACGGAGTAACATTGCCAAGTCTCCCGAGCCTTCTCACCGCTTGGTGTATCATTTACAGAGTCAAGCGCTTCGGGTGCTTTCAGGCCCATCAATCGGTAATATCGCATTCGAATGTATTCCAGTATTCTGAACTGGGAATGCATCTTCTGAGCCCTGTGAACCCTCGGAAATACTCTCGCATCACTCAGTTCGGCTCCGTGGGGATGTGTATGACTCGATCTTTCCGATTGACCTGGCGACGACCTCCATCTTGAAGTCATACACACCGCACCATGTCCACCTACAAGAACTTCGCCGTTGCTGGTGTCGGGAACATCGGCAGATTTATTGCTGAAGAATTGCTCAACCAGAAAGCAGCTGGGAAAGCGAACGAAATCGTCATCTTGACGCGCAAGGTAAGTCCGCTGCGAATGTCGCCGTCATGGTGCCCAATGTCAACTACACGGCTCACCACGGATTCCCCGTTCACATTCAGGGATCAAACAACGCTGCAATTGAAGCGCTCGCCACCCGCGGCGCCAAAATTGCCGCAGTGGACTACGACTCTGTCTCCAATCTCGCTCTCGCGCTGGCCAATGTAGACGTTGTCGTCTCCGCGCTCGGCTACGCTGCAATCTTCGCGCAACAGTTGAATCTCGCATCTGCGTCTAAACTAGCCAACGTCAGTCTCTTCGTCCCATCACAGTACGGCCTCCCCGACCGCACTGGTATCCCGAGCGAGGATGCGCTAAGGGACAAGCTAGAGGGCGTCGCGCTGTCATCGTTCTTCGTCGGTGTGTTTACCGATAGTCTCTTCAAATATGCGTATGTATCCTGTTATCTCACTGCGGCAATGTCGAGATCGGAATGGTGTGCTTATACATGTATTCCGCACCCATGTAGGACCTTTGCCGGTCTAATTCTGGAGAAGGGAGAGGCTGTGGTCCCTGGAGATGGGACGCCTTCCATTTCGTTCACAGATCGTCGCGACGTCGGACGATACGTGGCGTACGTTCTTACGACGCTGCGTCCATCAAACCTCGTAGACCGACAATTTCGCATTGAGGGTCAGCGCGCCGTATGTCCTTTTCTCATACATAACGCGTCAAGAGGCACCATTGAGGCTGATTTTCCGAACAGTCTCTGAACGCAATCATTGACGAATACCAGACGTTCACAGGAAAGACAGTGAAGGTGACGTACCTAGCGACAGAGGACCTGAAGGAAGCCCTGAAGAAGAATCCAAACGATGTCATAAGCGCTATTCGATTGGCTTGGGCCACGGGCAAAGGTGTAGTGGGAGAAGAGAGCGAGCTGGCCAACTCTGAGTATCTAGAGTGGAAGCCGAAATCAGTGCTGGAGTCCGTTGTCGGGGCGCTTTGACAAATTAACAGTCCACAATTTATTTACTTTGAGTCTTTTCTGTCAATGTGGTTGTGAATACAACGTGCAGGTAGTGCTAGGTAGTGCTTCAAAAAAAATACTCCAGCATGAACTAGAACATGATTCGAGCGATCCCCCGGTCACCACTCCTGACCGCCTAGGTGAGCAAATATGATTCGAACTGATAACTACCCGAATCCTCAATGCCAAGGTAAGTAATACATACATCAAAGTGAACGACTCTTCGCATGGACCCACAAAGGTGACAAAGCACATAAGGCCGGTGGCAGTGACCACCATCAACATACGATCAACATGCCCATTGATCCCGTTGATAGACGTTCACAATGACTGCTCCTACCTCAATGTCTTTGCAACAACAACAACAACAACAACAACAACAACAACAACAACAAGCACATCAGCAGCGTTCGGGTATTATTTCGAACGTGAACGCACCGTCATCGTCGTCGTCGTCGGCGGCGGCGCCACCGCACGGCAATGCGCTCTATATGCAGCAGAGCAATCATGGCGCCCCTGGACCAGCATACTATGTCGCAGCTCAGCAGCACCAGCAACTGCAGTCATACCATCGGATGCTCGCAGCTGCAGGTGTGATGACTCAAGGGGCGCGTCCCCCACAGGTGTATCAAAGTGCACACCAGCCCACAAACAACCCCCCGCCCCCTTATTCGCACGGTCCACAGCATCAATCACAGTCGTACCAAAGCTATCTTCATCAATTGAACTCTAATGTGGCAGCAGCGATAGCCGCATCTGCTGCATCGGCATCACCCACGCCTAATATCGCGGTCGCGCGTCGTCCGTCGGTCCCGACCAATGTAAGTGTACTCCTTCTGCTCATGATTATGCATGTTTTTCATTCTTCTGGGAAGTCTCCCACCACCACGAACCCAGTGCACATACCAGCGCCCACACCTACATCTCCGTCTGCGCCGGTGCATCCGCCTCCGCCTGTCCCCATTCCCATCCCTCGACCTGCTTTCGCTGCCACCATCGGCTCCAGCCCTACTCCCCCACCTGCAGTCGCCGGACCCCAAGCAACCTTAGCCCAAGACTTCACGTCTGCACTCGACCTCCTCCAGCCGACCAAAGCCCTGCTTGACCAGACATGGGCAACCGCCATCGCCGCGCTTCAGCGCGAATCCGATGCACGGAAAGAGCTGGCAGCGCTCACACAAGTACAAGAGGCTACCCGTAAGGAGGCCAAGTCTGACGAGGAAGCTCGGCGGATCGACGAAGACAGGCAGAGGTTCAAGGACGGTCAGGCGAAGCTAGAGGAGGAGAAAGCAAAGCTGTTTGGTGAAAAGATGCGGCTCGAGGAACTGCGTGCGATGGTGAGAGCGGAAGGAACAAAGTTACTAGAAGAGAGGAGGGCCCTGCACGGAGAGATCGTGAAATTCGGGGAGGCGAAAAAGTCTCTCGAACAGGAGAAGGTCAAAATTGAGGAGATGAAATCGCAGGCGGAAGAGGGGATGAAGAAATTGGAAAGTGAGGAGAGGGCTTGGGTAGAGAAGAGGGACAAGCAGGTCGAAGTCGAAGTCGAAGAAGAGCGGACCAGGATCAACAACGAGAAAGCTAGGGCGTTGCAAACGGCGAGGCTGGAGGATGTGGCAAAGAAATTGAACGAGGAGAAATTGAGACTGGATGAGTTGCGGAAGCAGCTAGAAGAGGAAGAGCTGAAGGTCAGTAAGGCGAAGGCGGACCTCGAGCAGGAGCAGACGAAGTTGGAGGAAGACAAGAGCGCGTTGGAGGCACAAAGGATACAGTCGGAGGAAGTACGAAGGGTGAATAAACACGCAAAACAGCGATCTGAGACGGAAAGACAGACTTTGGAAGCGGAGAACCAGGAGCTGGAGGAGAAGCTAGGGACGATTCAAGGCAAGCTCTTGAAAGCCTTGAAGGAGATCAAGGATCTAGAGTTCGATGCGACTTCCTCGGCGACGGCCATGGATGATAGACTCAAAGCGGAGTGCCAGGAAACGCTCAAGGCCAAGGCACAGGCTAAAACAGCGGAAGAGGCAAAGAAGATGGTGATGGAGCACTGTCAACGGCTGCGCACACGCCTCGAGAAATCCGAGGCGGAGAAGACCAGCTTGTCCAAAGAGCTCGAGAAGCATCGGTCAACTACAGGAGCAGGTACGCCCACCGTCACCAAGCAAAACACAGGAACTCGACCAAACTCTCTACCACTTCTGTCGCTACTGAAATCCCAATCACCAGCTACGCGTGAGTTCTTTCTCCCCTAATACGATTACGTTCTCGTTTCTTCCACTGGAATGACATAACTTCAAGCAACGCGACCGACAGCTATCAAGTCGCGCTCGCGCTCCACTGGGGACGTTCAATCACAGGAGGTACAGAACGCGAATTTGGTACGAAACAATTGACTCTCTTCCTGTTCTCGAATTCTTATTAACCTATGTAGTCCAACGTGTCAGCACCTAACCGCAAACGGACAAACATCGGAGAAGCTACCTCAAAGGTCATAAGTCTTGTTGATAGTGATGATGAGTTACCTAGGAAGCGTGTTAAAAACGATCCTACTCCCGCCATCAATTAATTGAGAATGAAGAGTGAGTTTTGCCCCGGCGTTTTGCCAGTGGCGGCCGGGAGGTGTGTAACTTTGCTGTTTGACTTCGGCAAGAGTGATTGCTCTTGCAACTTCTAATGGCTATACACACGACAATACTCACGCTCCATTCATTCTGGATTAAATATTGAATATCCACCTTTTATGAACAAAAGCGTTGCGAACAGAGCTACATTTGATCTATCAACAGAATTTATAGGAGTTCCACACGTCATTCAAGTTCGCGACCTCCCACAAATTGCCACAGAAGACTATCAGCTGGCCCCCGATCCTTGCTCAATGGAGTATACGATCGATGCATGTCTTAAAAATTGTGTGCGCTGAGCCTCGACTCTGCTACCGCACATCAACGGTTCCTCGGATGCGACCAAGCAGTCCCATCTTGTTACTTCTTCCGATAGTCGATGCTACGGCCTGAGCGCCTTCCCTGATTTCGCCAAACGCGCCGAATGCCCTCAACCGAATCTGGGCTTCTCGTATGAGTTCTACGAGGGGCACTGGAAGTCGTTTGCGACGTTAATAGTAGAAATAATCTAGATGAGTTTATCATGAGTTCACACCTGCTTCTGGTCAGAACAGGAAAATAAATTGGATGCGTACTTGAAGATCGCCGTGTGCCTTTGACATACACTCACAAGCACGCAACGTGCCAACTTGACATTCCGATCCACTTCCCCGTCGTCTCATAATCGACGACCCCTTGTGCCCGCGCGAAGCTGTATCCTACTACGCTCATGCCTGCTAACTCGAACGGCGCGCCGCTTACCATACAGCTACAGGTCCCCCCAGCCGTAGGCATGACTCAGTCGCGCACTCAGCATCTGACTAATGAAGCTGATAGCAGAGGAACCTCAGATGCTCTTACACGGGAAGATCTCGTCCCCGCTACGCGTGGACTTCCGCAAGGGCTCGAAAGGTTCTCTGTCTAGCGACGTGATCAGAGTGCGCCGTATACACTTGTCCCCAGGCATGCTACAAATCTATACTCGCGGACATCTCCTGCGCACATTGAGCATCGCTTCAGTTCGCCAAGGCCTCCTCTTCCAATGCACTTACCAATGCCCCTGCTGCCATAATAGGCTCTGGCTCTGGCTTTGGCTCTGGACCTGGTTTAGCCCATCCTGACCCCGTCACCGACGAATACGCCTGACTAAGTCTTCTTCAGTCCATGCGACAAGACAGGGGTGGCTACCATGGTCGCGCGACAGGAGGAGTCGAGGACACGACAGGAGCTTGCAGCATACATTCAATCCCGAAATCAGATCCAGGTGGAGGCGCGCTAGTCTGTCAACAACGAATTTACAGCGTGGAAAACGAACCTGGATAAACCGAGAAAAACGATCGACTGTGAGCGAAGGAGAGTGCAACACGAGAGGGATACAATGGATGCGGAGGGAACGAGGGTAGATGGCGAGCACGCACAGGTGAAAGAAGTTATGACAAAGATGAAAAAAGAAAGTAAATAATCTTGTCAAGGATAAATAGAGAACGAATGCGCAAAGGTCGAAGACGAAAAAAAGGATATTGGAAGAGAAAAAAAGGGTCTTGGGCAGAGAGGCTGTGCGGGTAGAAGAAGAGAAGAAAATATTGGGGGAAGACAAGAGACGGATAGAAATGTAAAGTGCGCAGGTTGATGAAGGGATGAAGGTGTTCAAAGAGGTCTTAGCAAGACAAGCACATGAAGAGAGCGAGTCGGCGGGAAGGCAGAATCAAGTATTGCGGAGGCGACGGTGGAGAAGGACCTAATGGCAATTGAGACAGAAAATAGGATGCTTGAAGAAAGAAGGATGATGCTCGAAGAAGACAGGAGCAGACTTGAAGAGGCTCGGACGCCGTTGAACAAGAAGCACGAGAAATGGGAGAGGAAGAACAACCTCGAGTGGGTGGTATTGATGAAGATGCCGGCAATTTCGAAGGCGAAAATCGAGGAAAGGAATGCAGAGGGTTTGAAGGCAAAAGTCAGAGCAGACAAAGTGAGGGAGATGCTGGAATGGGATAACAGGGCTTTGAAGTCAGAAAACGACGCTTTGGTAGAGGAGAACAAGGTGCTACAGCAGGCTAACCAGTATTGGGAAGTGGAACGTATCAGGGCAGATGAAAAGTGCGCAAAGGTCAAGATACAGTTCAAGCAATTGATGTGTAAGGCTGAAGGGGCGATATTCTCATTCCAACCATGTAACGGAGTCCCGACAACGAATGACTGAGAAGGGTCCGGTGAAGGCAGAGGCTTCAGTGAAGATATGGGTTCCGGTGAAGACAGAGACACAATTGGAGAAGGTCGCGCAGCCTGCATCGCCACCTCTATTTAAGCATCTCTAGCACCCTTTTCGTTCCTGACACTAGATATTATGCGCCCTACCTTCGTGTCCATTGATATACTTATGATGTCTCGGATTCTAAAGCCAGAGCGGTACGTACCTACCGTCTCCTGATTTCGATTTCGATTGCCCTCGATTGATGGTCTCCCGACATGCAGACTGTTTCGACGCTCAAACGTAAGCGCATGGACGTCATTAAAGCCACTCAAGCTCTCTCCAGTGACGACGACGAGGACATCCCATTGTAGGTTAAGCCGCGCTTTCGTCGGTGAACCACAGGAATACAGTCGAGTCGACTTATAAGAGACAGAATCGTTGAGACCTAGCGCGCTTAAGCCTAGATGTTCACCATCCAAAATGACAATGAGATGTCAGTGAGGATCCCAAAACATACCAACGATCGCAACCTTGACGAAAGATCGCTCACAAAAAAAAACGCAGCTTGTCAAAAGCCTTGCTCAAAAGCGAAAAACCCCCAATGACACGCATCATGCGCCAGAGCATTAGAATATTGAGCATCGATGTTTCGATAGAGAACTTTTAAACTGACGATCAGACTTTATCGGCATGATCGTGCCAGTGAAGTGAGATACTGTATCAATAAATTTGCTGACTCACCAGTTCCAGAAAATCGCGAAAGCTCATGACGCCGACAGATAAAAGGAGGTTGAAGGTAAGTTTTGGAAGGGACCTGGTACTGGATGAACTGCGCACCGGTTTTGTCCACTCACAAGTCCTCAGACCGCGTGTCAACATGCCGAACGCTTCGCTTCTAGGATCTGTCTGACTAGGTGTCGTCAGCGGGATGCAGTAGAAAAGATAGGACTGATTGTGCAGTACGAAGGAGCGGGAGAAGATGCGAATACAAGTGGAGGGCTTTAGGGAGCGGATCTGTCAGTATAATCAAATCTTGATCAACAGAGAACCATGCTCGGACTCAGCTGTCACTGCTTCAAGATAACCCGGACTTTTGCCTCTTTTGCTGTAGTTTCTGATCTGAACGGAAGTAGCGACGTTACGTGCTCACCACGGTCCATTTATTCTGTCCAATTGGACCTCAACTTCTCTGAACATTGGTGGTGACTGACACATCTGGGTCTTAGGTTTGAAATGACATCAGTTAAATAAGAAGAAGGATCACAGATGCTCGATACTTGGCGGCCTAAAGGTCCCAGGGGAGGTGAGCAAGGTGAAGTGCCGGTTGTGGTCGACTGCAAAGTTTGAATAGGCTCTAAGCTCACGCATCACGTGTCCCTCATCCCCTAAGCCGCTGCTCCAAGTTTAATTTCACCTCCACCTTCACAATGACCACCCCGTCGCACCAGAATTTTATGCCAATCAATAGCGCATGCAACATAATAAATATGCCGAATTATCTGACATCAAGGTAGGTACTACATTCTGGCAAGCACAGCACCTGAAGACATGTATCTAGTCAGAGGCTATACACAAGCATGCACACTCATGATGCCCCACGTACAGAATGCCTTGAGGTCCCTTCACTGAGCTACCACAAGTCACTGATGACAGACATCCTTGTGAACATCTTGTGTCTGCATATACCTCAATTTCAAAGATCAGATGCTAATCACAGAGCGGCAGCAGCCTACTGCAGACATGAGCACACTAGCTTTCTCCCCTCCACCCTGTGTCAACAGAGCCCAGAGAGTACACTCATATCTATACAGATATGAGCTGTCTCCTCAATGGTCAGCAATAGATATACAGCTTTATGAGTTTCCCTCTACACCTACATCATTGGTGAGTGCTGCACATACCACATATTAGGAAAACCCTTCTCAGAAGATCAAGGGGTAATTATCTGTGAATAAATGCAAACATGATAAAGTAGAGATAGGTACTGCTAGAACTTGATAAGGCCACAAATGTCATAGCATGTCACAGTGACCACCTGTGCAGCTTTGAGACTACCAACTATGCATTCATCTCATCATATATCTGCTAAAACACAGTAATGTATGTATGCATATCAGTCTAGGGATTCACATAGAATATACTACACTCCTCTAGAACATTGAAGTTTCACAAATGCTGGGGAGCAACAGGTCCAAATCAAGGGAATAGATGGATACTCAGTCAAATAAATGCCACAGGAATGATGCTGGCATTATGTCAGCCATTTTGGATTGAATGCATGACCCTATACATACCATTGTCAGATTTAGGAGCTCCTGGAAAGCAGGAGAACCATTTTACATATGCGAGATGTTTGGGAAGAGCTCCCTTCCTAAAATTGAACAGCTTAGACATCATACTTATAGAGAGTTGGAAGACCACTTGAACCTGCACAACTTGGTATACTATGCCAATGTAAGTGCTATTCACAAACAGACAGACATGAATCTCACCTTGTACCCCATGTACAACTCCCTCTTCTTTATTGACCAGAATAGTATCAAATCATCTAGGAGCTGGATGACCATTTTTATTCTGATGGGTGGGCCAGGTGTGTACACTATCAAGGAAGTCAGCCTTATCCATTGTTTTAGGGCATCATGAATCCAAAACTTCATCTTGTGGAACACAGAGACTTTCTGGATTGGGATTAGGAGGTTGATGGCAGCTCTTTGCGCAGCTACAGCAGGGAGCTTAGGGTTATTATAGTGAATAATAAAATCTACAAGAGCATCAGCAAAATAAATGGCTCCATACTCTAGTATCAGCACTTTGAGCATTATAGCTTTTCAAGAGGGGCGTTTTGTTATCTTGATGTGGACATAGAGTGGGTTCTGGATAGGATCATTGCTTGACATTGTAGGCTGTCCTACAAGATGCCAATTGACGAAAGATGGTAGTGCTGAACCTTCTCTCGATGCTTAAGCCACATCATCATTTGAGAGTACTCATCCTTGCAATTCAATGCCCAATATGTGTCCTTCATAAAGTCAATGTGAAGGCACTCCAATTGTTCTGTGTTGTATTTATCCATTGTGCCAAAGAGCTTGATAGATTCAGAGTAGTGAGTGAGTGAGTGGAGTTTAGGGATCTTGAAGTGCTCTTATATACCCAATTCAATAGAAATTTGCTTATTGTTGTGGAAGGAAGCAAGTGCATCATTAAGCTGGGTAAGCATATGGGCTGTATGTGAGGGATATTGTGCAAGGTAGAGAAAGTCTAGTCAGGAGTGTATAGTGCAAATGAGCTGAAATAGTGAGTGACTGTCTAGGAGTGGAAGATTGATGAGGAGCCCAATATCAGTAAATAGGCAAATATGATTATAGTACTTATATCACTTGTAGACACTTACATCACTTCTATAAGTTACTTTTTCTTATTCATTCTCCATGAGGACCTGTAAGTATTTTTAGCTTACAGCAAGCATCAGACCTTATAGCAAGCTTCATCTGCTACATTCTTATTTTCCAAGTGTTGTATAAGGAGTGATAAGCTCACTTGAGCAAGCTTTGCAAGTGTCAATGACAAATCCAATAAATAAAACATTAAATTCATGTACTTATTAGGGTTTGAACCTAAGACCTCACATAACTACCTGCCAGAATCCAAAGCTAGCAGTTTCAACCACTATACCAGTAGGCCTTATAATTATATAGGAGGTACCTGTAATATATAGAGATCCTATTAACTTGGAGCAACTTTTTTGGACAAGTCAGGCTGGCCCTTGCACAATTCAAACCCCTTTCAATCTTTGCTTTTGAGACACTTTTCATGTGGACAAGACCCTGTGAGCATAAACAAATAATGTCTTATCTAAATGAGCCATTTTAGGGCCATATATTAGGACTGCTTCTTAATATATGCTTCATACATGGACAAAAGGGAAGGTCAAGTGTCTTATATTAGACTCAGACCATTATAACTAGGACTATGACTTGATATACATCTGGGCATGTGACTCAAGATATGGTCATAAGCTATGTATATAACTCAGACTTGGACTGTTTACTATTTACATGCTGACACATAAACACTTACAATATTATGACTCATCCCCCTCCCTCTACTTATGTGGCTTACTGATGTCAATCATGATTGGTTCTTAATTGCTTATTGATGTGGACAGACATTTGATATACTTACTATACATAGTTATAGTCAAGCATTGTGGAATCAGATTACAACTGCAGATTATGAATCCCAATTGTTCTACTCACTTAGCATTCAGAAGCACAGATCATATATCTGTCCAGCCCTAAATAGCCTATACTATAAATAGTTGAGCTAAGCTTCTTAGAAGATCAGCTTATTCACTTTATATATATCTTGATCTCTGCACTATACCTAGTGTCTAGCTCCCTTCAGCCTATATATCATGAACTCTGCCAGATCAATTGAATTATACCTAGTCTGACAAAGCACTGGATATATCTTATAGCTTAAATCTCTCTCTTGTCTCTACGACCTATCAAGGACTTGCTGCTTATTGAGTTATCTGTTGGAATTTGGAAGTCATCTGCTGCATTAGTGAAGACTTCCCAGTTAGTGACAAAGATTGTCCCATTATCAATTAATATCCTATCATCAATCAGCATCTTCTCCATCTCTTTGAAGATAGGATTGACACTAACTAAGACTTCCTAGTACAAGCCCAAAGATGCACAATAGTCTTTATCTATTGGGCCATCACAATTAGCCCAAGGAACCCCTCTTAGTGCATCAAGTGCACATGATAAGCCTAGTGGCTTAACATATACATAGTTAAAGTACTAACTGTAGATGACAGATCTCAATCATTTAGCTTACTTAGCATTTGGAAGCATGGACCATATCTTTGTCTTGCCCTAGATAGCTTGTACATATAAATAACTAAGCTGAGCTTCTTAAAAGATCAGCTCATTCACTTTGTATGTGTCTTGGTCTTTGCACTGCACCCATCATTTGGCTTTCTTCAGCCCATGCATCATAAACTTTGCCAGATCAATTGAAACATACCTAGTCTGATGAAGCACTGGATCCATCTCAAAGCTCTTATTATTCTCCAGTCTCTATGACCTATCAAGGACTTACCACTTATCAAGTCATATGTTAGAATCCATTAGAAGTCATTTGTTGTATTTGAGAAGATCTTCAAGTTAGCAATAAACATTGTCCCATCATCAATCAACATCTTCTCCATCTCTTCAAAGATAGGATTGACAGTAACTAAGACTTCCTTGTACAAGCCTAAAAATGCGCAATAGTCTTTATTCATTGGGCTGTTACAATTAGCCCAGGGAACTCCTCTTAGTGCATCAAAGTGCATGTAATAAGCCTAGTGGCTTAACAGTCTGCATCTAAATTAAGGGGGTCTTATAGGTAGTAGGGATTTTGGCCTGTGCCATGCTTGCTTGAGAGTTTTTGAAGCCATGCCAAAGATAGCCATGCTTAATAATTTATTGAGTGTCAGCATAATTATTATGTGTAGCTATGAGAGAAAGAGAATTGAGGCAAAGCAATATATGAGACATGCATCCCTCATTCTTTAATGTTCATAGGGAATTGTACAATCCCTATACAGAACTCTCACCCTTCTATCAAATACCCAATCCCAATGTTAACCTTGCTCAAAATACTGTACCTATAGAAAAAAGCCCCATTGTTGCTAAGCTGTGACCCCATATGAAGCGTGCATACACTAAGTGTTGATCCAAAGCACAAAAGCTTGAAGATATACTGGCTGCAATCTGGCAGGCTGACTAGAGTCTAGGGGAGTTTTTTCACATGCTGTTTTCAGAACTAGGCAGACAAAAGACAGCAGGAGCAGAACACAGTGAAAAAAAAAAGTTAGCATCATTCCAATAGCCATTAATATTTCATGGACAAATTTTTATTAGAAAGCACAAAATACATACCATATCATATTGTCAAGTTGATGTACCTCCATAAGGCAGTGCGCCTATCCTATTCTTACCCAGATGTATACAAGTACTTCTTGACAGACACTGCTACTAAGTCTATAGAGTACATATGTCCTACTTTGTCAATGTGGGCATTAGAGCTCATGGTGGCTCAGTTGGTGAAGGAATCAACATACCTAGCTACTTCCAACAAAGCTGGTCTTTGAGTCTGGGCCTTATAAAAGATAAAAAAGGATCCTCCAAGTAATAATACTTTCAAAATCCTGGAAAGACCGGGAGTGACACTTTCTGGTCCACATAGCACCTAGGGGGACCCACAGCTAAAGAAGGAATCAAATATTCTACTTGTTGATGAAGATTCTGGATTAGTAAGAGCATGTCGTATCATGGTGTGTCAAGCATGTGACTGGTAGTATAAGACCATATGAGTAAATGCTACAGATTTTGTCATACTAAATGCATGTTATCGGTGGAATGTGAAAATAAATATCAAATTCCTGTCAAAATGCTTACTATAGGACCCCTGAAAATAGGTAAGGAGGCCTAGTGGCCAATCCAGAAAATTTTGGGCCTTTTTGGCCCCTTAGGCCAGGTATGTTTATATAAAATTTGCCTTGCATGGCAGGCAAGGCCTGTCTGTATGTCCTACTAATCATGGTGTTGGAGTGATAGGCCTGAATAGGGTCTAGTCAATTCAAGCTAGGATAGTGTAGTGGCAGATCATGCAATATGTAGTAAGGCAGTTTATGATAGTGATGAGCATATACCCATGCTAGGATCCAAGGAAGGTATTTGGGAAGCTTTGGGGAAATACCGAATAGTGCTAGACAAGTACCAAAGACACTGACTATCACTGAACATGGTTAGTCCCCACTCAACCAACCACAACCCACTGAAGAACGTTTGGCAGCACTTGGGTCAGTTTGCCCACACTTCATATACTTACCATAACCACACAGAAGTGTTACAATAAGTGTTTACAAGATCAGAGCCAGTATTCTGTATTAGCTAATATGCTCCATGAGTTGGTCGGTCCTTATTGCGTATCTTCCCAACTTCCACATAGTTGGTCAAACACAATCTTGCACCATTACTTGGCCACCCTGGTCATACATTACTTCTTCTTTATTTTTATTGGTTCTCCAACACCTCTTCTTGCTACCTACACTTAGGTGATGGATCCTAAACATTCAGGATTTCACTATCACTGACTAACTTTTACATTATCACCTTTGGAACCAATATAAGCATCTTACCTACCTTCATATCTTCTTTATTTACTAAGGCTTGGTGCCCTTTCAACATTTACTCTCATTTCTCATTTAATATTTTACTTAGGGCTCTGTTTACTATAAAAACCTACATACAACTCTGGAATAAACTAGCTTTTGCACCCCATAGTTCAGAGCTCATTTACACTTGTCTCAACCATCAAAATTGTCTTTATTGACTCCTGAAGGCTTGTCATCCTTATTGTTTAGCCTTATTTGCATTTGTACTTGTCTCTTCACTTATACCCCTTGCCCTCCTTCATATATTGTCAGATTCCTATGTGGCTTTTAAAGCACATAGTTGTTAGTCACAACACTACTTTCTTGTTACTGACTAAATCCCCAACATGACCGACCAAATGTTTGGTTAGTGTTTGGTGCAGTCCTGGAACTGTTTGGGCACTATAATCTCATACTTCCTATTGCTTCTCAGTATGCCTTTGATTTATAAAGTCATCACTAATGATTCCTTGTGTATTAGATACTAGCTCCAGCACCCCCCTGCTCTAGAGGTTGTTTTGGTGTTGTGCTCAGCACTCAGAGCCATCTCTAGCATATCAACAGGTTCATGGTTTCAAATCCTGGGTATGTACTTCTTTACTACTTTTTTGTGCTCATGTTTCAGATCTCTAAGCTATTAGCTAAAATGAAAATTTGTGCTCTTAAAGTGGCATGCACATATCCAACAAAAATCCTGCCCACAATGTTGGACAGCAAAGTCATTAACCTTGACACTACTCACTCAGAAGCTCTATACAATGTTTACATTCTCATTCCTTTGGAACCCCCTAAAATACTACCAGATTGTCATCTCTTGATCATGGATCCCCTCAATATCAACTTGCCCATACAATCTTCAGCCCTTATTCTCCTAAAACCAATATCCTTGTTTAGCAAATCTCCCCCTAAGCAGCCTACAGTACAAGACATAATTAATTATACTCTGCCTCCTAACAAATAACTTTCTAAACTGGACAAAAAAGTCTGACAGGAGGCAGCACAAGGGGCTCACTCTTTTAAGAACCCCTTTTTAAAAGAACTATGACACCTATTATAGATGATCACCTTCTGGAAAAGGATTGTAATAGTGCAACAAAGCAAGGATCTATAGTAGTGGTCAGAACAGTGGCCTCTGAAATGGACATGGACAGGCAGCATATACATCTTAATGAAGCCTCACTCCAACTATTTTCACATTTGAATAGATACTTCTCAAACCTTGTGGCAGCAGTCCAACATCTCCAAGTGTTATATCAGTGTGGAGCAGGAGGCAAAAAGGACAGTAGTGGCACAAGGGAGGATAGTAATGGCTTGGCACATGAAGTATAATGCTCTGTAACATCTTTTCAATATCTCATGTGCTCTATGTGTTTGATTCTGATGGCCAATGGCTTAATAAATGCCTTCTGGCCTTTCTGAGCATCAAAACAGACCTGAACTATGTGATCCAAATGATTTTGAGGGGCCGGATCTGGCTAATCCGGCCAAAAAAATGTGGTTTTGGAGGCTTGGCAGTTCAATCCGAACATTTTGACTCAAAATTTGGCTAGGCCTGTTTTTTTTCGGACAAATTTCGCCGATTTTGGGACTTTCTATCCGTACATTTTGGCCGGCTTTTAAGAAATTTCCACCCCGGCCTCCCCCCCTATTTTCAGGGGTCCTCCTACTACCCGCAAGGGAGGGTTAATTTGGATGTAGACTACGTCCAAATCAGGCTCGCGGCTAGCAAGTTTGCTTACATGTACTAGACCCACACGCACCGCCACGTCGCCGAAAACGTATATAAACCCCTGTCCTCGACGCGCTGTCTGCTGTCTCCCGCCCACCACAACTCAGCCGCCCAGCGACATCATGCAGTCCCAGTACACCCCAAGTGCGCCCGTGCCGAACACGGGTTACCCACAGCAGCAGATCAAACAGTTGGGGGGCGCGCATGCGGCGCCCAGTCACGCAGCCGGGATGTGGCCGCCGCCGTTCGGGGCCGTGAGCCCAGCGCCCGCGTCTGCACCCGCGTTTGCGCCTGCACTCGCGCCTCCTATCGCTTCGACTGCGCCAGTTTCTGCTATTTCTGCACCTCTGCTCTCGACACTCGCGAACCCTCCCATGTCGCCCGCGACCTCCATCAACAAACCACGCTCTCCTGACACGGATATGGACGCGTACGTGGGCGTGGGCGCGGCATGCACACCGCTAGACATGACGAAACGCTTGCTCGACGAGACGTGGGCGACCGCGGTGGCCGCTATGCAGCGCGAAGCGAACGCGCGGCAGGCGTGGGAAGCGGAGAAGAAGAAGTGGGGGGAGGAGAGGAAGCGGTGGGAGGAGGAGAGGCAGGGGTGGGGGGAAGAGAGGGAGTGGTGGAGGGAAGAGAGGGAGGGGTGGATCGAGGAGAGGTACAAGATGCAGCAGGAGAAGAGGCGGTTCGAGAGAGATGGGTGGGGGGATGCGCAGAAGACGTGGGATGAGGAGAAGAAGAGGTGGCAGGAGGAGAGAAGTCTGTGGTCGGATGAGAGGGAGGAGTGGGAGGGCGAGGCGGAGGTCCTCAAAGAGTCTCGTCGCAAGGCACTCAACGGGAAGAAAGAAGCCGAGCAGGCGAGAGACGAGGCGGAGCAGGCGAGAGCGAAAGCGGAGGAGGCCAGGAGGGTGGCCGAGCGAGAAAGGGATGACGCTCGGGACAAGTATCAAGCCCTGATCACCGTCGTGCAAGTCGAGAGGGCGAGGGGGGGCATGGCGGCGGCGGGGGCGACAGATGCGGTGGGGATTCCAACACCAGACAGGGTGCCGCCCCCTACTCTCTTCACCACACTACCCCAGAACCAAGGCACCACGATCGCTGAGAGCGACCCCTCTCCTTCATCCTTTACATCTTCCACGTCCTCGGGCTTCTCGGTGCTGGCGCTCAGCCCCAAACAAGTCGGCCAGCGACGCGTGCATGAGGACGAAGACGAAGAAATGTATTTGGATGAGGACAAAGAGTACACCAAAGTCGAGAACGCGACGTTGTAGTGGACAGGAACAATCCGATGTGTAGAATTTGTAAAGTACCTGTAATAAGTCAAGCTCAATGCAAGGCCTCTGATAGGCAAACAGCTTTATTTTATAACGACAAGACGGTTCTACTACACGTGTATATCATATTCATACTGTACCTGGGGCATTAAAAGACGGACAACATTCGTTTGGGAAAGCATAGAGAATGTGCAGAGACAGCTGCCGGAAATGGACGTAAAACGTGGTGGCAAAGGTCGAGATTATAACAATAGACTGGGTGGGCGAGCGTTTCAAAAAGAGATAAACAGCGGGTGGCACTGACGGCGAAAACAGAAAGCGCGGGGGGAATGCGACGTGTGGCATGACCAGATGTAACAATCATAGATTCAAAAGACGAACAACGAACGACGGGACAAGAAAACCACATAGAGAGAGAGGGAGGGAGAAAGGAATCGGAAGACGGTACAGACGCAGACAAACGGGCAAACGAAATAAAAAGCGAGGACACCAAAAACGACAGAAACATACAGACAGGGGCGGAGCGCATGAGATCAGGCGATCTGGGCGCGTCGGCGGGCGCCGCGCATTCACATCTTGCCCAGCCGCTGGCGCATCTCGGCCACCTCTTCGGGGCGCAGCGTCGCGAGCGACTCGCACGCCGCCGGATGGCTCTCCTCGCAGTGCCCGATGAGGTCCTTGCCCGACGCGTTCAGCGGGAACGAGGCAACGGGGAGCTTCGCGTCCGTGTGCTGGCGGCGGTGCCTGCGAGGAAGGAAGGAAGGAAGGAAGGAGCGAGGGAGGGAGGGAGATCAGGATAGGACGAAGGAGGACTGATGAAAGAAAGGGACGCACAGACACATCCGACACATCAGCTGCTCTCCTACAGTCGCATAGACCAAATCGATATGGTTGATGCCCAGCCGCACGCGCCGCGGCGTACGCGGACTGGCCACCGAGCTGGGGGTCGCAGCGCCGGTATTCGCGTTTCCCTCGTCCGCCTCGCCCATCTCCGCGTCCTGGCCCACTCCGTCCGGCAGGGGCACGACAGCTTCAGCAGTCGTAGGCTCCGCAATCATAGCTCCGAGCGCGGCCTCGACCTGGGCTTCGTCACCGGTGGGCGACAGCGACGCCGCCGACGCCGCCGCGGCGGGATCCAGGACGGGTTTTACGTCATCCTCTGCGCGGCTTGAGCTTGCCGGCTGCGCGCGCATGACGGGGGAAACGGCGGCGGAGGCGGGCACAGAGGCAGATGCGGCGACCGCGCGGTCGCTCGCGAGGTCCCCGTGCTCGAAAGCCACGCGCGACCTCTTCCGCGGTCTGTCGTTCAGCTCGCTGACGCCGCCGGCGCCCTTCATTTCTGCAGCGCTTGGCTCCGCACGAACATGGGCCTCGGCTTCCACGGCTTTGCGGACTCGTGTGGCGGGCGAGCTCGGATGGCTCTGCGTTGAGTCGATGGCCGCCGCATCCGTGTCGATCGCGGCGCGCAACTGGGTGGGAGAGGCGGTCGCCGTGGACGTGTCCAGGATAGCCGGGATGAGCGCGCGCGCCGAGCAGGAGCAGGTACGCGAGAGCTGAAAGTTCACGTCAGTCGGTCGTCAGTAAATCGATAGTCAAGTAAACACGTAAGGGAGAGTGTACACGCACCTGCTGGAGCACGTCTTTTGCTTCCACGAGGTCCATCTGGGCTTGAACACGTGCTCTGCGTTCGCTTGTCGCTTGTTCGACGACTACTCGTTTGTAGAGGACCAGCACACAAAAAAGTCAGAATGATTGTAAAAGAGGAGAAGAAAGGCACGGATTCGAACAGCGAGAAGTGACAAGAGGGTAAGGATTTAGGGAGCGCACCCCACAACCCAGATTACACTCCCGTCTTTGCGCAGGCCAACAAACAGAAGGGACACCTCAAACAGACGGGACTCACACTTCACCAGATTCTGCGGCACCTCTTTCGCAACCACCGCGCGTGCTGCAGCCCACACCTCCGGCGAGACAGAGCTCAAATCCATCGGCGATTGTGCGCCCACCGCCCGCATCACCTCCAGCTCGCGCTCCAACCTCTCCCTGTCCTCCTCGCCCTTCCGCAGCTGATCCATCAACCCTCTCATGCCCTCCTCCGCCTGCCTCTTCCCCTCCTCGCTCCTACTCCACGCATCCCTTAGTCTCCTGCATTCCTCCTCGAACCGCCGCCGCTCCCCGTCCAGCCGCTCGCACACCCCAAGCAGCCGCTCGCGCTCCTTCGCCAGCGCACGGTGCGACGTCGTTATCGCCGTGATCTCGCGGCTGACGGATGACACCGTGGCGCCCCACGTCTTTTCGAGGAAATCCTTCGTCGGCTGGAGCAGGTCGAACGTGACGAGCGACGGGTCGGAGAGGGTTGGCGGGCGGTACGGAGCCGGTGCGCTGGCGCCGGCCCCGGGACCGTGGCCCGGTGGCAACGCGGAAGGGGCGGCGGTGCTGGTGCTCGATGTCGGCGTCGGCGGCGCGGCCGCCGTTCCAGATGCAGGTGGTGACCGTGCCGTTGCGCTCGAGAGCGTTACGGAGCCGGGGGCGGAAGCCGGCTCAGGCCTAGGCGTATGTGCGGGCGACGATGCCGCTGGCAACGTAGGCCCCGATGCTCGGCGGGCGGGCGCGGGAACAAGAGGCAGAGACGCGGGGCCTGAGGCGCGCCGTTGGCGTGGCCCTGGTGCATGGGGCTGTTGACGCTGCTGATACTGTTGTTGATGCTGTTGTTGAATCGGCGAGTGTTGTTGATGTTGAGACTGGCGCGGCTGGGGCTGGGGTTGGGTATGGATCGGTAACAACTGCGGCGGGCGGGCGTGCGGAGGAGGCTGGAACGGATGTGATGGTTGCAACTGCGAACGCGAATTTGTGAGCGCATTGATGTGATTAAGCCAGGGGTCATATGAAACCTGCTGCGTGTGCGGTTGCTCAGGGTGCGATTGTTGGGACTGCTGCTGATAATACAGCTGCTGTTGCTGCAGATGTTGCTGTTGTTGCATTTGTTGTTGATGTGGATGCTGATAGGGTACCAGAGTAGGGGCTTGCGCGCGCTGGAAGGCCGGGACCGAGGCATGGACATGGGGATTCCAGGATTGAGGTGCAGAAGGCGCGGAGCTCCCTGCATTCGAAGGTGGGTGCGGGTGCGAATGGGGATTCTGCGCAAAGTGTTGAGGGGCCGCATGGAGCACCGAAGGCGGGAGCTGCGGTATGCCAATGGCTGGACAGGACTGCTGCTGCTTCATGGCCCAAGACGCATCGTTGCCGAAGGGCGTCGACGATGGCATCGGGATCTGATTCATCGAAGAGGCGGATGTGGGCGTGTGCTGCTGGACACCCGAGCCCGAGCTCGATCCTGTGCCTTCGTGGTCAAACGTGGGTCCTGTGGTGGGGTTGGCGGGAGACGTGCCGTGCGCGGACGGCGGGGGCGTTGGGATCAGGGCGTACGATGCGTGTTGAGGCGCGTGTGCGTTATTTTGTCGTGACGTATTTGTCTGCATGTCTCGCGTAGACGAAGTGTCGGCAAGCGACGACGCGGTGGCCACGGCGCTCATGGCGGCGGTGGTAGCGGCGATGTTGATGGGGGTGAGGAGACGAGGAGAAGACCCGCGACTCCTGGACGACATTGACCGCCTCGATGCGGGTCTCGAGGTGGGTCTCGACATTGAGCCGTTTGTCGGCGGATCCATTGCGGTCAGTGAGAGAATCTATGCGAATCGATGATTGAGCCTTGGGATTGGCGGCGTGTTTTCACGTGTGTAAGGCTGTTGATGATCGCTTCACGTCGCTCTATTCGCATCAAGCCGCCGCAGGCGCTGTGGGATGTTCGTAGTGGGCGCTGTGGGATGCAGCGGGCAAGTCGACGTCGCAAAGGACAAGGAGAGGACAGGAGTTTTGGTGTCAAATTAATTTCGAGACAGACTCTCACGTGCAAGGCGCGTGACCGCAAATATGAGGCAAACGCGTCGCGTGCGCCGTGCAACGCATTATCAGCGCGTTGTCCCATTGCATTTGTGAGGAAGAAAATCGCCTGTGCTAAGTGATTCATGAGATGGCGATGGGCCATAAGCAGCGCATGATTCAATCCCACGCCAATGGCGACGTTTCCAAGACTCGGCAGATCTCGGCGGTCTTCGGGATCATCGGACTTGGAAATGGGACCTCCTCCAACCTCACCGCCAATTCACAGCGCTCACCCTCGCTTGACACTCTGATTTCTGGTAGGTGTCTCCATTTCTTTCCGTTTCCAAACACGTCCTAATCCAACACTCCTCTCAAAGCTTCAAGAAGTCAAAGCTGCCCAAAGCTGAAAGTTTTTCAATGTGAGAACGTTCGGAAAGGACACTTACACAGTGGCTGCCGCATGCTCCCCGCAGTGGTAGGTGTTACCGGTGCGCATAGCTCTTTTTATGATTGAATGACTTTCTCTCTTACTTTATGATATGATGTCTTACCTTGAATTGCTATTTGTGCTGTCAGGATCATGAGCCATCATACAACATTCAACATTCCAAATAATGCCTCTCACATTCAGAGGCTGCCTGTCGAGATTCTCGAACTCATAATGATAGCCTGCGCTTTTCCGCCGCTGAGCGTTCAATTGACTTTACCTTATTCTCGCTCTCCGACATGGATAAATATCACACACGTTTGTCGTCACTGGCGTCAGGTAGCTCTTCAATGCCCTCATCTCTGGACGCATATCGCCAGATCACTAAGCGCTTTTTGGCTGGCCGCGTTCCTAGATCGCTCGGGCTCGCAAGCGTTGGATGTTGAGATCAATGGAAGCTTGATAACCGTCCCAGCCCTCGAGCGCCATCTTCTCGCTCATATCTCCCGAGTGAGACACCTTCATTTGGATTTTTCCTGAAAATCTGATCATCAATTCGTGAGAAATGCCATTGGTGTTCTTACAGCCCCTGCTCCACTCTTGGAAAGCCTAGTCATTCGAAATCCCACCGTCGACCTGGACTTGGGAGATGATTTCCTTGCAGGATATGTGCCCCGCTTGCGGCGACTACAGCTTGATCATCATATGCAGTCTCTTCCCATGTTCCTCCTTCCCAATCTCACTCATCTCGAGATTGAGAGAACGTCCATGATAGAAGAAATGATTACGACACTTCGATGGACACCGCTTCTGAAAACCCTTTCCTGCGGTCTCTACGACTCCCCCTCCTCTCAGACAATTCACGATTTCATCCATCTTTCCAACCTCTCACATTTGTGGTTGATAGGAACGGAGGTATACGACGGCTTCACCTACTTCTTCCGACGAGTGCGATTGCCCCCGACGGTGCATATCAAGATTCTACTCAACAACTACACAAGCAGGAACACAGAGGAAGCGAAGGTTATGTTTGATATGCTGGGCAGTTATCCTCCTCCTAGGAGTAGCGTTACCCCATTCACACATCTCAAGATAAAGATATGGGGACATCAGAGCCCGCTCTTTGATGGTCGACTGTGCTCTCAACGGGCTTTTGACCGTTATGAACCACAAAGACCATTTCCAGGACCGCACGGCAGGTACAAGTACAATTTTACATACGACCTCCTTCCTCAAGCCCAACTCGATTTTAGTGGAATCTCCCCACACAGTGATCGCTCTCTCCCCATGTTGGCCGTGCGGTCGATATTTGATCGTATGCCCTTAGCAGACGTACACACATTGGATCTGTCTGTTGATCTATCATCGATGTCCGCCGACGAGGATGACAAGGGCGAGTCCAGGGCACAAGCTTGGGATCCATTAGAATGGCTGCCTATCCTTCGTCTCATGCCACGCGTCCGAAGCCTCAAATTATCCCAGGACGCTGTCGTTGGAGTTCTCAGGGCCCTCACACCCGGAAGGAGCGATGGCTCGATCACACCTCTTTGGGTCTGCCTTTCAACGCTCCTTGTTGACAGCACCTTCACTGATGTTTTAGGCGAGCGCCAGTCATCGTCGGCTGTTCCTGGGACTCTGACAACGTTTCTTGCGCAAAGGAGTGAGGCGGGGCTGGATCACATTGCTTGCAATGTCTCTCCTCAAGCATGATTGTTATTTCGCAACTGTCGGTGCCCCAAATGCAGAGTGGAGTCTCTGAAATGTCAGATAACAAAGTTGTTGTAGCGACCATGGACGTCGGCCGATTCACTTTCGATGTGTCGGCTATGTTGGGCCATAATACTAGACTGCTGTTTGAAGGAACACTCACATTGTCTCCGAGTCTGTTCAAAGCCTTGAGCTTCATGTGTTCGATGGCCAAGAACGGAGCTGCGCACTTGCATGCGCTCGGTGCTTGAGAGAAACTGGGTGCTAGCCTCGGCCTCGAGGAGTCGCAAGAGCATAAGATTTTAAAAAAAAACACCTCACCATCGACCGCAAGCGATCTTGTTGACCTCACTGCAGCTGGGCTGACTGCAAGTTCCACATCGAGAAACCACAACATGCCCAGCCGAGTTTGTCATTGCAACCGAACATGGACCTAGACAGGTCTCTACGCACCAAATCTCATTCATTTTCCTGGTTTAGATGTCCCAAGCGACTATAAATGTTGCAGACCAAAGGGGGTCCAAAGGGAGCCAAAGGGTCTTCGCAAAATCCTCGAGTTTTTGGCTGCGTAGATGAACCGATGTGGACCGAGCATAGGTCAGATAAGGACGAAAAACGTAGTCTAGTGTAAATTCTGCATTTGGAGCACTGTATCAGAGCGGTCGATTCGAACTTTAGCGCTTCAGCGTCAACTGCCATCATCCGACTCTACGCTGTTCGAATACCCGCCGTGCACTTTACCGAGCAAATCGACCGCTTCTGTCGCTGTGATGGACACCGGCACTGTTCAAATCACTACATGGACCAAGGGGTATTAAATTTTCAATCGGCAGCAGCATACGGATAACTCAGGAAAGGCAAGCGAAGTTCTTTCTCGTTCTCAGGCTACGTCTCAGGCGGCTACAAGACAGGCCATTTCAGTACACATATCTCGTGACTCACTTTAGGGCATCACTCGAAGGATACCACTACGCAGACACTCGGTGAACGTTGTCTCCTCCATATCTGCACAGAACATCACCTTCGCGCGCAGAGCCTGCGCTTGTCTTGTCCTGAGCATATTCATCTTCTTGCCGACGCACTTACAAAATGGAATCTTTGCTACCTTCTACTCCATTGGACCGACTGATTGCACTCGATCGGATAGACCTCCAGGACAAGTACAGGGAGGTGATCACGAGGAGGCCGAGGGACGTGCCCGCCCTCCTTCGATCCTTATACCGCGAAGGGAAGCTCCTTGATCACAACGCACTGTTGATGTCAACTTTGGATACGATACATCCTCGTGGAGATCAGTTGAAAAAACTACTTCTAGGCGGCCTCCACAACGTCTTTGTAGATATCTTGACAGACCACGCCGTCTATGCTACTTTTGAGGTAAGCCAACGGTGCATATTCTGTAGGGACGCGGACGCTGACGCACGAGTCGCGCTGCACCTCATGTTGGGACCGACCTCAGGGCTGTTTGGGAAGGCTGATATTTGGTCTTGCAGAGATCGTGCTAGCGCTTGTAGGAGAGCTACGAGGTCAGCGCATGGGAGAAAATCCGATCGTTGACCAGCTCCTTACTCGATCTGCTGAGCTCTGGGGAATGATATGGTCTAAGCGTAGCCTGTTGCAGGGCGAAACCACTAGTGACAGAGACTATCAGAAAGCCGTCAAAAATTTGGCTGCCTCTTGGAATGTGATGATGAACCAGAAGTGGGTAGTCTTCGAGTGGTCCCATCACTCGCCACTGAAATCATCCCACAGCAACTTCTCATCCGAAAATCCTCTCTGCACTCGCTTAGGACACGTTGCGATCTACTGCTGGCATCATCTCCCGCAGCCGACTCTAAGCTCTCGGAACACTCGAGGCAATGACTTGCTTGCAGTATTGATCAGTCAGTTTCTGAGTGGGTGCTCACAGCAAACTCGAGACCAGCTCGTTCAGGAAGCCATCGTCGACACGTTTGGCCCGCAGGCATGGGTCCAACGTCTTCGCCGTGCGCTGGAGGACCCCGGCTGTCTCAACGACCGTCTGGGCCGGATCATCGACGTGATCAACTACTTCGGCTCACACCCGCATGTGCGGCGAATGCTGTGGGTGTGCAAAATCCAAGAATGCATATTCGTGGCGTTGAAGAGACAACAACTGTTCGGCGATGCTGCAAACGAGTGGCCTATCTTCGCAGAGGCTCCGACCTCAATAGGGTGCGTGTCAGATTGAGAGGCTCCTGCGTATGCGCTGACGGCCATCTCGCCAGCTGGATGCTCGCGGACCATGCCCCGCTTTCTGCATATGAACTGATTATACACCATAACATCTTCAAGTGGACTGCTCGCGCCCTGATTCTCGGCGCTGAAAGCCCAATCCAACCCACTACGTCCGATAGTCCCCATCTTCTTCGTACGTCGTGCCCGAGGCGCCCGATACTTTCTACGGCGCTCATCTCACGCATACAGACCACTGGTTGTATATCCTGAACGCTTATACTGATGTTTTCCGCTCGAATATCGCGAAACCGGCCGCGACGGCGGAGGGCGCCGTGCGTGCGGCCAAAGCACCCCGCTCCGCCATCATCATGACCAACGCCGCGCAAAAGGTATGGTACCGGACGCTGCTCGATCTCCGCGCCTTGCATCCCTCCGCGGACAACCCCATGCCATCTCGCCAACGCGCGCTCGAAGCATGGACAAGCTTCGGGCACGACCTCGGTCTAGTCGAGTCGGAGGAACATGCGCACTGGGAGAAGGCGCGGAATACGCAGCCCCGTCCTCCACAAGAAGCGGAGGCGTCGTCCTCGTCGGCGCCTCGGGCTCTGCAGCGCTACTGCAGCTGGAGGCAGTGCGAATACCACACGAAGGAGCCGCGGTATCCGATGATGCAGTGCGCGCGCTGCGGAGACTCGCGCTACTGCGGCCGATCATGTCAGACGAAGTGAGTCTCCTGCCTGTCTAACTGCCTCGCGCCCTCATGTGCTTCAAATCTACACAGTGACTGGAAGCACGGTGGACATAGACTTGTCTGCTACGCTCGCAAAGAGTGATCGAACCTCGAAGCTCACAGTCCCGCAATGTATGTAGTCCATTTTCTCATTTTCATGCGAAAGCCTCGTAGATATCTTCTCTGCGCACCATGAACCCATCCATGCAGATGTTAGCGCACCGTGGGATGAGCATCTTAAGAATTGTGATTTGAATACATGAGTATACGCCGACAGCACGTCCACCCCGTCCGCGTCCTCCATCCCAGACGCCAGGCCGCGTCGCACGACGGTGAGCAGGGTTGCAGAACACGTGCCCGCACGGAGACAGCCGATGCGTGGCCATCTTCCGCACACAGCGCGCGCACGAGGTCTGCACAACGACAACGCGCGGTCCCGGTCGAGCTGCGCGACGGGCCTGACGTCTCCGAGCGGCGAGGGCACGTGCGCAGCCAGAATGTGCTCGTCGTACAGGTACGTTGGGGCCTCCCGCGATACGGATATCCGAAGATCACCTCTGAGGTTGGAGGAGAATCGTCAACTTGCTGTCTTCAAAAGGCTACAGGTAGGTCGTTTCTCGCGCAGGCTCTAGCTCCCTTTTTTTGTTCCCGCATGGCCTACATAACCATCCCTTCACTCCCTCGCGGTCGGGCGAATTTGAACCTGCCCCAAGCGCTCATGTATGTATAATGATTTATATGGCGCGCTTGTGGTTCTCACTGCATTTATTTATCTCTCAACATCTCCACTTGCTTTGGCTATTTCATCATGCCTCCAGGATTTTCAATCAGCCTCCATTCGCAGATTATACTAGCTCTACTGGTTGTCCATCAGCTCTAAAAGGAAATCGTTCAAGTCGTCCCCATCCCATCGCTCCAACGACGGTCGCCTTCATCCTGTATATATCTTCAGGACTATAGGGCGATTTGAAATATCGTCTCGAGCTGCATTGCGACGACATTTTCGGGTTGCCTTTCACCCCAACCTCCGGATTTCCACGACTGTCCATGGAAAGTTACTTGGCGCTGCGTCAAAGTGATGCTGATGGCGCTGGTTGCCGCGGAGCTCATCATTGTATCTGCCTTTCGACAACGCATCTCTGCGCGCAAGTTTGCTAAACAATATGAAGGTGCATGTTGAGCTACATTGTGACCCTGATATCGACTTGCTTTCATAGATCGGGGATGGATGACGATGCACGGTTTCTTTGCGATCATGGGAGGCTTCGTGCTGTACGATAACGACGTCCCTGTTTGAGTCCTCTACACAGAAGACTCCGAACCCAGTCCCGATTTCCCCGATGTTACAAAGGTCGAAATACAGGACAGGAGTAAGGGAGACGTGCTATCCAAAGGGCTGGCGATAGTTCAGACCAGCTGGTTCACATAGCAGCGTGTAGGACGAGCAGCTGAGCGTCTTCCGATCGCGGAGCTTGACATTGCGAGCTTGACATATGCGGTGCTCAATTTGGGGACGTATGTGCTATGGTGGGACAAGCCCCTCAACATCTTGCGCCCAATTCGTGTGTACAGGAAGGGCCATGGTGAGCGAGTGGGTAGCGACCAGGGCTAAATCTCCGCTGGAGGACAGGAAGAGAGTTTGGCCTCGCCGTCGGAGGATGGCGGAGTTTTTTTGTTATTGTCTGGAGACGGCGAAGACATCTGGGTTCCGATAAAATCGCTGCCTGTTCCATTGAGGTGGATCGAATTCAAGAAAAAGGTCGTCAAGCTGGTGAAGGCGACCTTTGAAGCCTTTATCGTGATTGTCGTTACGACTGTGATGATGGACCTCCGTGAATGGAATCCAAAGCCAATGACCAGAGTTGCTACGTTTCATTCTGGGCGGGACGGTCCCGACAGCACGCTTGAATTACGTGTCCGTGCTCTATTGATGACGGGGGTCGCATTTGTCTTTGGGGCCATCCACGGTATTGCCTGGTCTTTTGATTTCCCGACCACTGCAGAACGAACAGTGTGGGGGATCTCTTCCATCATAACAATGTGTGCGCCGGTTCTAATAGCATCGTGGTACGCAAACCATTGGCTTGGTCGTAGGATAAGTTCAGCGTGGAGATGGCTTACACAGAAGACGGGTCTTGCTCTTCCCATAGCGATGTGTTTACTGTACCTCTTCTCTCGGCTTGCATTATTGGTCGAGGCTTTTACTACTCTGAGGTCGCTTCCTAATGGAGCGTATCAAACTGTGATTTGGACGACTTTCATACCTCACCTATAACTCGTCTGATTACTGGACATGGCTTCAGCTTGTATTATCTGCTGTAGTACTCACTTCGAACACGCTTGTTATACGAGGTATTCTCTTCGCAGGTTTCTAATATGAGCCCCTTTCCCCGACAGACCGAATACAGCAATGATCTCGAAGTCCAACCATCTTGGCAACTCAAAAAATCCCTAAGATAAAAGCAGACCAAAACACCGAGGGAAAAGCAGTCTAATTGGCGACGAAGGGCACGACGCATTCCTTCACGAAGTACTCGTGGAATCGATTGTCGAGCGTGAGTTCGGGATGAAATGTGGTAAGAAGGTGTCGGCCCTGTCTGAGCGCGACGATGGATTCATCGGGAGTGTTTTCGAGCGTGTGCGGCAGGAGGTCAGGAGGTATGCGGGAGATGACTTGGATGGGGGCGTCGGAGACGGTTGCTGTGAGTGATAAAATAACCTAGAAAGACTCAAATAACAGGCTCCTTCAAGAAAGAGCATGTAAGTGAGAAAACATACAGGTGCGCGGATAAAAACCCCTGTGAACGGCGTTGACGAATCTCGAAGGCCATCAACTGTGAGAGGCGCTTCGAACGATTCAACCTGAGAGTTTGGATTATAGGGTATCCGTAAGCATGCACATTACGGAAATTCGTCAAGAAATAGCTGCGCTGACCTGCGAACCCCACCCGTTCCGTGCAACGGTAACGGACACGCCGCCTAAAAGTTCCTGGCCCCCCTTCTTCGGGTTTGCCACGGCCTGCGCCAGCAAAATCGCCCCTGCGCACGTTCCCCACACTGACTTCTTCCTGACGAACTCACGCAGCGGTTCCAGCAATCCCGAAAGTTTTGCAAGTAAGGCAATGGTGGTCGACTCTAATCAGAAGGTCTGGCGGTCAGCACACGAATCTCGAGCATTTGGAACGAATAGGAGAGACAGACCTCCACCTGGGATTATTAGAGCATCGCACTTCTCTAGGTCTTCAGGTGTCCGAACTTGGACGACGAACAGCCTCCGCCGCGTAGAGAGTTTCTGCAGTATGTGCTGGTGCTCGATGAAAGCACCCTGGAGCGCTGAACGCATCGATCGTCAATGGACTGTCGCATGGGTGAAGAGTTGATGCTCGCCGAGAATTCCAATCGTCAAACCATTGGAGACTGGAATGTCCTGCATCAGAGATGCTTGAGTACCGAATGTTCTCTCGTATAACCTTGCGGAGAAATGACTGGGAAAATCGATCTGCGCAACACCAAATCAGGAAATCGAGTGGTTGTCACACAAGGTCACTGTAGTCACAATCAACGAGTAGACTTCCATGTCAGTCGGCCCTCAGCGTAAATCAGGAGTACAACTCTCCAAAGTCCAAGGTAAGTGGGGTTTTAATAGATAAATGAAATGGGGTCCGTGGAATTTTCTTGTAACGGACGCAGACGCTGGAGAATATTTATCCGCAGATTTTTGGCAGGCTGACTCGTTTTCCTGATGATATTCGAGTATGACATGGTGAGTGCGTGATTACATAGCCCACATCAGAATGGAGGTTGACTGTTTCGTCACTTTTTTGTCAGTGTCAGGTAAATATGATCAGGCATCAGAGCAAACGATAAAAAAAACAATTGAGTCGGGACGGTTGACTACAAGAATAGCCCTCGGCTCAGAAGCATCCAGAAACCCCACTTCTGTGTCTCAGATTGGGCCATAACATAGGCACAGCGAGTCGGTGTTCGTCGTCTCTCTCAAAGCTCTTTTATGTTATCCCGCATCATATTCTTATTGTCTATAGCAGGGCGCCTAACATTGAACCACCTTGGGTAAGCACATAGTGTGCGCTTCGTGCATCGCCCACTTGTTAAGCAACGTTGGGCTTGGAGTTGCAATTGAATCTAACCATGCGCGTCATGCATGATTGCAAACGCATGACAACAATGGGAAGGCTTTAGCCCGCCACGCACCAATCCGCCGGAGCTTGCCATGGTGTCCCCCGGAGCATTGTTTCATGTTCCGCCACCAGAAGGACAATGCAGGCCAATGCGCAGTGGTATATCAGCCTCGTCGCGGATCTTGGCACGCTGCATCACCTTCCTCCCTTTCTCCCATTCATACATGGCAATGAAAGTACGCCGATATTTCATCATTGAATCTTCCCTAAAGCTGTTCACTTGTCCAGACTCTATTGTTAGCCCTTGGGCTCCCCCGCGCCATTCATCAATCCGATAAAATGCCACCTTCGACACCCTTCCTGATGAACTCCTTTCGACAATGTTCTGCCTCGACAGCATCCTTTACCGCCTCTACCCTCATGGCCAACAACTTCAAAGAGCAAAGATGCCGTGATCATGGTACTGTAGTTGATGTGAACACGGCACTCTGAAGAGAGAGTCTCGTCGTCATCTATCCGCCAGAGCAATTATGGAATTCACGGGTACTCAGATTCGGTATCGGTGGCAGAGTCGTCGATCAAGTGCAGATACAGCCCTTTCCTTCGCCAATTAGCGGTGAAGAAATCGAAAGGACGTTGAGGTGAGTCCCTCCCTCAATCAAAGAATCGAGCATCCATCTCTTCTTGCGCTACGCATCCATCGGTTCTGTGCCGTATGAGAACGTGTTATACAGACTTCGAAAGGATCCTTGCTCGCCATGTATCCCCACTGTTCCTCGGCCACCCTCACGCCACGATCCGAATTCAAATTCCAGCATCATCCAGGCGTTATCCCCCACTTTATAAGGCTCGCATCCTCCACACATTCGTGGAAGAGCACCCGACAAAGCTACTCTTGCCACACTCGGTCCATCATTCGGCAGCATCTTGCTGAAGCGCGTGGCGATAATTTCCGTTCATCTAGTCCTCTGCTAACCAGAGGGCATTTTCAATCTCTATCTGTCAACGTCTGGCGAAGAATCTTCTGTGCATTGTGAAAGTGCTTTTATTCCTTACCCGGCCCTCTCTCTACTTCGCTATGCTGAAATCCGGGCGCCCTTCTTGAATTTCCTGATGCATTCACTAAATACCATCACAATAGGACCACAGTTCCTTCCTAACTTCCGTGACACGACCCATCATTGATACTCAGGGTTCATCGACTAATCGCCATAATTGAGTAACTTGCTAGAAGATCCCCCATTTCTCACGACACTCTAAACACCTGGACTCCCCTTCAACGGCGGATAACCACTGAAGAGCACCCTGACCTAGAATTACAGCAAAGAGGATCTTCGACAGGCTTCGACAGGCCCTGGTTATCTGATGATACATTCTGATCAATAAGGGGAGATTCGACGCTTCTGTATTAGTATTATAGGAGATCGGGGCAGCCCTACTCAGCGATCAACGATGACGAGTCAACCGCAGCCGACATAGCATAATCCGACGAGTATGTGCCCTGCCGATCTCTCATTCCTCGAGAAATTTTGATCGTCCAATCTAGGTGACAAATTTTTTTTTGAAGAGACGATAAGGTATCCAAAGGACTGATAACTATTGCAAAAATTTGCGTTGCGAGAGTAGCGCAAAATCGACATATCCCACTGCTAAGTATCAAATGCCCTGACCTCTCTCTTCCTCAGACACCATTTCTCGATAACGAGTATCGATTTGGTTTATTATCTTGGCTTAGCATCATCTAGCTAACGCAAGGTGCGTTGAATGAGTGAAGCTCTGCTCCTGACGCGTGAGATATTCCTGTGATATTATTCTAGCTTATGGATGGTAATGTTAATTTGAACGGGCAACGATCAATCACCACTCTTTTCAGTTCAGGTGCGTATGCGCTAAGGTCGGCTTGTTCTTTTCACGTAGGTGAGTGCCTTTCTACCAGAGCCTCTGACACATCGTTTTCATGAGCTAATGAGTCTCTCTCAAATTTGCCTTTGGCAAGTTAACGATGTAACCAAACTGCGTTCAACAAGGTGGCTTGATATAAGTCAGAAAGTGATTGAACATCTCATTAGTTTATGTGCCCGTCCTCGAAGGGCCTTGGTCGGGTAGTCGATCGGGCGAACACACACTTGGATTCATCTCTGGTTGTTTCGGAACCGAAAAGCGCGTCATGTCACCGCACACGTGATTATGTGACACACGTGTGAGTCGACTCACAGCGTTTCGCTCCCTTTGTTCAAGGCCATTGTCATCCAGCCATCGCCACGATGCCAGCAGTCCGCACCAAACCCTTCGACCTAGAGTCCTTTCGCTTCAGTTTCGAGAAGAAGAGCCATGGCACCCGATCGCTGTCCCCAGCAAGCATTGATGCGAAGAACGCCCCTGCCTTCGAAGAGTCCAAACTGCGAGACTTTTCCCTGCGTGAATACCCCTTTTGCTCCCGCTCAAGCAGCAAGCGCAGCTCGTCTGATCAAAATTCTTTGAAAAATAGTATATAAAGTCGAGTATCCGCGGACCGCCGCGGCACGTCTCTCCTATCGTACTCCCTCTGGCAAACGAGTCCCACCGCATCACTGGGAAGTGTACGACCTCATACTGAAGGTACCCGCAGGCAAAATCAGCACGTATAAAGCCATATGCGCTGCTTTGGGCTCTGGCTCCCCACGTTCGGTTGGGACAGCGCTGCGAAACAACCCGTTCGCGCCGTTCGTGCCCTGCCATAGGGTCGTGGCATCGAACTTCTTCGTCGGCGGATTTTTCGGCGAGTGGACAGATCTCAAGGGCGGAGCGAACAAGGGAAAGCGGGTCGGCCCAGAGGCCGGCGCCGTGGGATGGAATGACCAGTTTAGAGGACTGGGCCAGGGCGCTGTCCAGCGCGAGAAGGTGAGGATGTTGGTACAAGAGGGCATTCCGTTCACGGCGGAAGGAAGGCTAGTGAGAGGGGAGAAATATCTATGGGCTGGACCGGACGCCGTTGTGTCGAATTGAACCGAGCTGTGGGCTGTGGACATACATCTTTGGGGATGCAGTAGCTGGGATATGAGCATATGTTTTCGAGTAGGAGAAAGAGAGCCTATTTATATAAGGATGACAGAAATACAAGAGCCACCTATGTGAGCTCGGATCCGTGGTAGTGATCACCTATGAGCCCAACAAGATGTCTGATGATGCGATCATGCTGTCAGCTGATCGCATCGATGAAACGTGGATGAGCGGAGGGTTGAGGTATCTGAGCTAGGTGGGTGTAAATCCGATACACGCTGATATAACGAGGGGGGCTTCTGTCGGCATCCTCGCTGTAAAGGGAACAAGGGCAGTGCCGAGAACAAAGGATACTGGACGATATAAGCAGCCCGAGCACGCCTGGCAAAACGAGTTGCTCTTCATCCCTGGCCATTTCTATCACGCTTGACGAGTCGACGACAACGCATCGAGACATCGAGACATCCTTAGTGTCAGGCCATAGGTATAACGCCCAAGAATCGACGCCAAAAGTGTTCCGTGCGCTGTGTGGATATGCGGGTGCGCCTCAGGGTGTGTGGAGAGGAGGCACGCTAATGTCGCCAAGGAGGGAGCGAAAGTGGGCCGTTAAGTTGTCGGCATGGCTGAGGAGAATGGTGGTAAGTGGCCTAGTTATTTGAGACGAACGCGAAAAATCACACCTTTTGAAACCCCTACCAACCTGTACGGGCGAGGCTGTTGTATGGCGCTCAAAGGTTTGGGGCCTCATGACGGCTGCCGTTTTGTTCACTGAGCTTCAGGTGAAAAGCGTCCGACGAACTTCGGTTCATAGTCGACGTGCTGGCGTTGGCGGGAGTCTGCGTAGAGGTGCCTATACGTATTTTCGATGCCAATCAAATAACGGGCGTAATATGCGGTAGATGATAGCGGCAAGCGAACGTAAAAGACTGGCGACTGCCAGGGTAGGAGATGAGGAGGAGGGGAGGGGGGGGGAGGGAATTTGGGTGTTCTCTATCCTCGCAACTAGCCAATCGAAAGAATATTTTCCAGAACTTTCCTGCACTGTCGGGTGTCCTTTGTGAAGCCGGTGATCGGTGACACGTCCAAGAGAAAAGTCGCCACCTATGTGAGGAAGATGATGGCAGGTGGAGCCGGTGAGGACCTGGGCCATGCACCCAACTCAGATCGAGCTCTTGTTGGAGGGAGAGGACAATAGAAAACTCAAAGCGCGACCGCATGGCTTGAGCAGCAAACCGAACCACCTGCGTCACGGATGTGTACTTCGCTGCATCGTTCTAGACGTTGAGCTATGCTTTATATATTGCAAAATTGCGCAAGAAAACACTAGGAAAACTCACTATACAATCTATATACTCTGTCTGCTACTAGATATTACTAGACGCGAGAGAATGGCTCATGTAGCCGTCAGAAACCCTGAATTCACCCCCCCTCCTCCGCATGTGCTGTGCTGGCAGTGGCGAAACCGAGAGTGAAGTAGAAAAAAAAATCAGGACAATTCGCAAAAAATAAAATAAAAAACATACGTGCTAGTTTACAGTCTCACCGACCACTGTCTTCATGTATGTGCTGTAACATGATTGTACAGGTCGGCTTTATGAGCAACAGGACCCAAATAGATAGGATGTCCGAACGGCGCTTGAACAGGGATGCGTGACGACTCATTCGGTATGTCACAAATTACGGTCACCTCCGCTTTGCTCCTGCCCCCCTCCCCCTCATGGTTTTTTTTCTGCCCTCGCTTATCCCTCTCTTCACCGGAATGGATTCCCCAATCTCCTTACAGAAAATACGCATGGAGCTGATAATTTGCGGAGAGGGTTCTTTGCGAGTTCGCTTGGCAACTGATCAGAGCTTTGTCGGTGGGGTGGACGGTGGACATATAGCGACATGAAGCGAATGGATCGGAAACGGTGGCCTGGTCTCTTATGTTTCCACTTCGCCACGGGTATGTCAAAGCTCCTTCTCAGCCCCTTAAATAGGGTACGGCGATGCAGCTTAGCATCTCACAACACACACACCTCGCTCTCCGAGCGCACTACTCTACTGTCATGACAGACAGGCAGCTTCTGCTCAAAGGCAGCATCGGGCGCACATTCCCACACGACGCTCTCCGTTATTTTGAATTTCTTGCGAAAAACAAGCATCCGATGACAAAATTCAGAGGGGGACGGCACTTCTCAACCTATGTTATAGCAGACGCCAATAGCGGCGTTCTAGGATTCGTCGACATCGCAGTCGACCTCCACCCTGGCACGTTTGTGCAACAGGCCATGAAGGGGCCGATCAGACCTCAACGGTCTGCAATTTGGTTCGACACAACGTTTCCATCTCTAGGGATATCGTTACCCGACGCCGAGCGCAATCTCGACATTCTTTCGGACTCTGACAAGATGGAGAAATGGAGTTCTCCAGCTAAACAAAGCTTGGCTATTTCTGTACGATTTTTGCATTTCGTGGACGATGATATATTTTCTTACTCTACAACAGTGGCTTGGCTACGAGCCGTGGCAGGCCGACTTGTCTGTGTGCGGTCAGAGTGGATGTTATCGAAAGCCCCTCGCGCATCGGGTCGCGCTGCTCGTGCGTCAGTTCATGAATGTGAGGACCCATTTACTTCTGCCTTTTTCTTCATTCTAAAATCTGCGTAACAGCATGCGAAGCGGCAGACAGGAGCATGCCCATCGTTACCCATTGGGTCCAATGGAATCACCGCTGACGATATAGTCCTCATCGGGCTTGTTGAGGTTGATGCAGTGGCTGGCACCTGGCAGCCAATTTTTCGGTTACGGTCCTGGTTCGCAGGTTCGATTTTACACTCTCGTATTTCCGGCTTGTTCTCATTCGATTATGGCATGATAGAACCGCAGGCCTATAACTTATGGTGATGATGCGCGGATGCTCCGCGACCTCACGCTTTCTGGTGTCGATCTATCGTGGACGGTGACCTGGTGCTCGCTCTGCTCTTTGCTCTGAGGCGACCCCGAGACAAGATCCTGGAAGCTGATGGCCGACTCGCTGCTGGTTCTACGATGGTGCCTAGGCTTTGGCTTGTGCTGGGCCCGATGCTTGGTGTGCTCTCCTTCCCGTCTTCTGTCTCGGAGCTGTTGTCTGGATGTCTCAGACGAATTTCCGTTATTGTCGTGGCGGGCCATGGCGCGTTTCTATTGTTATCGGTTATATCCATCTAGTGCCCTGTTATACACTAGCCAGTAGAGTTTATTACATGTGTATCCCCTAGCTTCTCTCTGTTCCATTACACGAATTCAGCGTATTTGTCTGTAAACTCCAATTGTCGCGATCGGAAAGCGAGAAGAGTGCTGTGACGGCGCGCGTCGCTTTTCATGACGCGTCAAGTCACACCTTCCTGTCACGCCACTTGGGTTGTAACTGAACAACTCGCTGGCTCGTTCAGGATTACATACCGTCTTTCTGTCCATAGAAACATTCGCAATGCCTCCGATAGCAGTACGCAGCAAGGGCGCACCTAAAATACAAGGGCGCGATATCAAATCGTTCTTTGGTGCAGGGGACAGCAATAGCAAAGCAACGACTGCCCATACTGTGCGTGTTCTCATATAGGCTCCTATCAGGACGAGACGTGACAGAGATGCAGAAATCAGCCCATACCGCACAATCGAAGGCTATATTGATCAGTACGTCTGCGCAGATCTGTCCAGGCACCACGCACATCGCTGACCGACGGTTCCAGGTGATGAAGATGACGAGTATGTTTTAACGGTACTCGAGGACTTCGTTGTTCCGTACTGATTATTCCACAGTCCAAAACCATCGAAGCCAACTGTAAAGTATGTGCCACAGTGATTCTTACCCTCCCTAATACTTGCTCACGAAAACATCAGAATCTCGAAACCCATCTCGCCACCGGCTGCCGCGACCCTGAAACGGAAGAAGAAGATTTTGCTATCTAGTGATGACGAAGATGAAGAGGACAAGCATGAAGCCACGCCACCTCCGAAGAAAAAGGCTGCCGTAGCCTCCTCTTCCGCCTCCTCTTCGAAGCCATCCGCAGCCTCTGTCCCGAAACCACGCAAGCCGGAGCCCAAATCGAATGGAAAGATCAAGAGGAAGAAAATCGATGAAGACGAGTACGCATCATCACCCTCCGATGATGATGATGAGTTCCTTGTCGACGGTGTTGGGAGTGAAGACGAGAAACCCTTGAAAAAAGGTCCTCCTAAGGGCAGGCCTAACGCAAACACCAAGAAAACTCCTCGAAAATCTGACGCTAACAAGGCAAAAGAGCAGCCCAAGGCAAAGCCTAAGACAGAGGATGCGGAAGAGGGGGAGAAGCCCAAACCAAAATTCAAGTGTGTCACCATCATCGCTGATCTCCCTGATTCCAATCTTAATTTCAACGTAGTTGGGCAGCAGCCAAGGCAGCGAAGCTAGCAGGGCCTGTCGCTCCTGGATTGAAAGTTGTGCCCGAGCCTGCGTATCCTGATTGTCTGGCTGGTCTTGCCTTCGTGTTCACAGGCGAATTGAGCAGCTTCTCCCGAGACGAAGCGACAGATCTTGCGAAGCGCTTCGGCGGGTACGAATGCCGTCCTTGTCACTCGTTATTTCATTTGACGATTCACCTCCATAGTCGTGTCGTGGGACAGCCATCGTCGAAGACATCATATGTTGTGCTGGGGGAGAACGCAGGCCCGAGCAAAATTGCGGCTCTCAAGAAACACAATATTCCCACACTATCGGAAGACGAATTCCTAAATCTGATCGCTACGCGCAAAGGACCAGGAAACGGAAAGGGCTTGGATGAGAAGGAGAAAAAGAAACAGGAGAAGGAGCTAGCAGTGATCAAGCAAGGTGCGAAGGAGTTGGAGATCCGAGAAAAAGAGGCAGCCAATGTGGCGGGATCAAGTAAAGCTGGAAGGTATGACCCTCTCTGTGATCAGGCGATGAATTATGAATTTATATATGTCTCAGTTCGAAGATGATTGATACTCAGACGCAGCTTTGGACGGATCGCTATGCTCCCCAAACACTCAGAGAAATTTGCGGAAATAAAGGCCAGGTTGAGAAACTTCGGCAGTGGTTGCATGATTGGTTCGTGCTCACGCCCTCACGCTATCCACTTTCTCTTGTAATTGACACGAGAAACAGGCCAAACAGTCTAAAATCGGCTTTCAAAAAGCCTGGTAAGGATGGTATGAACATATTCCGCGGTATCATGATCTCCGGCCCGCCTGGGATTGGCAAAACAACAAGCGCCCATCTCTGCGCGAAACTTGAGGGATTTACGCCCATCGAGCTCAACGCGAGTGATGTGCGGAGCAAGAAGCTCGTCGAGGTATTTTTCCTTCTTGATCTGTGTCATCCCAATGATCAATGCCCATGAAAATACTTAGAGCAGTACCAACATCACGAACAGTTCTCTAGACGGCTGGATGGCTGGTGGAAAAGTGAGTGCAGTCCGTCTGGTCCTTGATCCTAGCTGATCTATGGCGCAAAGTTAACTAATGCTGCCGGCGTTGATATCACTGACAAGACCTGTCTCATCATGGACGAAGTCGATGGCATGTCTTCTGGCGATCGAGGGGGTATCGGTGCGCTCGTGGCACTGATCAAGAAAACGAAGGTCTGCTTCTCGCATCGATCACTTTATCGAAGGCACGCTCATGAAGATCTCTTCGATTAGATTCCTATCATTTGTATAACGAATGATCGCACCGCTCTGAAGATGAAGCCTCTCGCTAATTCAACGTTCAACATGCCATTCAGGAAGCGAGTTACATATGCCAGGCTTTTCCGCTACGTGGGCTGAACCCCTTCTTTGTAGACCGGACGCCGCCGCTATTCGTTCAAGGGTCTTAACTATTGCATACAAGTAGGTCGGCCAAGTAGTGTCAACACGTCAGCGAGGGCTGACGCGTTCAGGGAAAAAATGAAGGTACCAGCTAACGTTGTTGACCAGCTGGTCAACGGCGTGCAATCAGACATCCGACAGGTCCTCAACATGCTTTCAACGTGGAGATTATCGAACAGTTCGCTGGACTTCGATCAGAGCAAGATGCTGTTGGTGTTTTTTGATTTCTCCTCTCTCTCCCTGTTGACTGATATGAGTTGCAGAGCCAAGATGAACGAGAAGTACAGCGTGATGACGCCGTTCAACGTGACTCAGAAGATTTTGGGGCCATATATGTTCTCGCCTACGGCGCGAGAAACATTGGGCGATAAAATGGAACTCTACTTTCATGACTATTCCTTTGTACCGCTGTTCATCCAGGTGCGCTTGTTTTTATTCCATCCTAGCAGACAAACCACATCAAAGCGGTTTTCTGTCACTATAGGAAAATTACTTGAAAACACAACCTGTGCTTGTCCGGAACGAGAGTGGATCAGCGCAAGTCCTGAAACACTTGTCGCTTATGGAACAAGCCTCGAATTCAATATCCGAAGGAGATCTTGTCGATGCTCTGATTCATGGGTGAGCTTATCGTGTTCCATGCCGTCGATGTCAAGGAAGGTGCTAATCTTTATAGTCCTGAGCAACATTGGACTCTGATGCCTGTACACGCCGTCTTGTCGACAGTCCGCCCGGCGTCCTTCCTTTACGGTGGGGGTTCTGGCTATGGTGGGCCGAACGCCATGTCATTCCCACAGTAAGTCCTAGTATGGTAGGTATGATGCAATTTCTCATATATATGTTCTTTCCAGGTGGCTTGGTCAAAATTCGAAACAGAACAAGCTAAGCAGGCAGCTAAGCGAGGTTCAGACGCGCATGCGACTGAAAGTATCCGGAGATAAGCATGAGATCAGGCAGTCGTACATTCCGGCCCTGTTCCCACATCTAGTGAAACCTTTGATCGACGAGGGAGCCGTGAGTCCTTTGCCTACGCTATGCACGTGTACTGTAATCGTCGACTTACACCTGGAATGGCTCTCTCAGAAAGCTGTCGATGACATCATCGATCGCATGGACGAATATTATCTGTCTCGGGAAGACTGGGACACCATCGTCGAGCTTGGGGTTGATGACCGGAAGGATGATTTGATATTGAAAAAGATCTCTGCAGCAACCAAATCGGCATTGACGAAGAAGTGGGTGATTTATTCTACGTACGAGGGGAGTGTACTAATCGGCGACGGCAGGTACAACACGAGGGACCATCCGATCGTGTATCACAGGCAAGACCTTGGCAAGGTGCCGAAGAAGCTTGCAGGAGGACCAGCGCCTGATCTGGAGGAGGCATTCGATGTGAGATATTGCGTGTTCATGTGTCCAAATTGCCTTCAATGGGTACTTACGTAGTCACTACAGGTTGAGGAAGACGAACCCGAGGACGACACCGCTAAGAAGGAGCAAGACTCAGACAACATAACGAATGACAAGCTCATACAACGAGGCAAAGGCAAGTCCAATCCAAAGGCCCCTACGAAGAGCAAGGTAAAGACGAAGAGATGAGCACGACTGAGGCAGGCATTGCCCATTAGATATACTATACATGGTGTAAGCTGTATTGTACGAAGGACGGTTCGTGTGCGGATACTATATTCTTATATGCAGAGTCGCGTGTCCATTACCTCCTCAGTGGAACTGGGAGTAATCTCAGCGCTAGTGCATTCCATGATCACAGTTAGCCATTTATCTCTTCTGCCTGGCGAGTTCATGGCAGAATTGGACTTTCATCGGACTTTAAAATGGGCTGTTCAACCTGGTTTAACTCCGAGGTTGAACTCTCCGGCTGCCAGCGAGCTACTCCTTCTCTTATACCCTCACAGGGTTTTGCGATTCTTGGCTATGACGAAGAAAAATGTGAGGCTGCAGCAGCTATTCCGAAAACTGAAAGCGGCTTTTACAACCTCGTCGCATGGTTGCAGCAAACGTTCCAGTAAGTATGGTTTAGACGCTCTTCAATCATCTCTGATGATAACGATCACTCTAGATTCCTCGACCGAGCAATATCTAGCCCTGTTGCCTCAAGCTCCCCCTCACGATGGCTCAATTATTGACAGCAATATTCCAGTCATTACAGGTGTCCCGGTGTCTAACACATTCCATTCCATTCCTTCACACCCCATTCACAATTTGCCTGTCGAGCTGCTCGAGCTGATCTTGTTCCATTGCATCCCACAAGCTCGGACTACATATTTTACCGCATACAAGCGTGGTCCTTGCTCTCCGATATGGGTCAATGTTACCTATGTCTGTCACTTCTGGCGGCAAGTCGCCCTTCGCTGTCCTCACCTCTGGACACACATCACCACGGACTTAAGCCTACCGTGGATAATCACGTTTTTGGATCGCTCAAGGTCAGAGCCTTTGGTTGTTGAGGTTGATGCACGCCGTATCACTCTGGGTGTCTACGAAACTCATCTTTCCGCCCACACTTTTCGGATGAGAGAGCTCTATTTAGGTTGTCAAATCTTTACCAATGGGATTCCTGAATATCTCGATTCGTTGAGGAGTCCCGCTCCCCTCTTGGAGACTCTCATCGTTGATATGGGCCCTTGCATAAATCACGTGAAATGGAGTCTATTTTCAGAGTCTACCCCTCGATTATGTCGATTATGGCTGCATCGCAGCATAAATGCTCCATCCGGTGGACTTCTCCTCCACAACCTCCGTTACCTCAAGCTGGAAAGCTCTCTATCCATGCTCGAGGAGACCTTTGCATTGTTGCAACGTGCACCTCTCCTAGAAACTCTCCGCATCGACCTGAATGGCGGACGTCGCGGTCTAGCTCAACAAACCCTACCCAGCTTTATTCGACTTCCGAACCTGTCCCTTCTGAAAGTATCATGCTCCGATGCGTATGATGCCTTTGTTGGCCTATTCGAGCGATTGCAAATTCCTCCGACAGTTCATCTCAAACTCTCCTCTCACACATACGTTTTCTCGCCAGTGTTTCGATCCAATGACCAGCTGGTGCATATCTTCAACATGATAGTTAGCCATACCCGCACGGTTGGCAAAGCAATGGACTCTTTGACGCACTTCCAAATCGCAATCACACCAACTTATTTCACCCTCGAAGCCGAACCGAACGCTCAACCGACTTGCTGCATTTGTAGCATTCCTTGCGGGCACATCAAATCCGACTCATTGCCCGTGGATAACGCGCATTCGAAATGCAGACATGTACCCTTATCAAATGTACATGTGCTGCGCTTATCCTTGCATCAATACATGCCGGATGACTCTGCTCTTCTTCAAGGGTATCGTACACACGGACGCGATATCCATAAATGGCGGTCTATCCTCTGTCTCATGCCAGAGATCCGAAGTCTCAAGGTGTCGCACGACGCTATCCCCGGGGTTCTACGAGCGCTCACACCCAACGCGAGTACTGGCGATGTCTCAAATCCACCCGTGTATGCCAAATTAACGGAGCTTATCATTGGTCACAGTGTCATCAGATGCCTGGATGGCATTGATAGTGACACTGATGATCTTCAGTTACGCTCAGTCGCCCTCGGGACGTTGGAAACATTTCTATCGAAGAGGAAGGAGGCTGGATTGGAATTAGATGTCTTGAATTTCAGCTGCTGTAAGTGCGTTGGGGGCAGTGTGAAGTCTTTGAAGCGGTACGTGAAGAGGTTGACTTGGGAGGACTTTGATTTGACAGATACTTGATCTTTATCTTCCATTCGGACAATTGACAATCAATAAAATGAACCTTTTCAAGTGTGATTTGGTTTACACAGTGCCAGGCGAAATGCTGACATGCAGGCAATACTGATCATCAAAAAGCTGTCTTCGAAGTGAACACGAAAGCTAGAGTACTGGCCGACTACGAGTGCCTTTCTTCACATAAGGCCCCTCAATGATCTGAACATCGTCGTCCTCCTCGTTCCCGTCCGAGAAGATCTCATCTTTGTTGGCTGCAGTTTTCCCTTTTGATCTCCTAATCTTCTTTGCATGTCCCTTCTTCTTGGACTTGGATTGAGGAGGTACCCAAGTTGGGAATGCTTGTGCCAGCTTCCGCTGGAATTCTTCGTCATATCCAACGCATTTTAGCGTAGCGATGCCAAGGTTCTGAGCCCGCCGCCACTCGCTGCATTCGTCACTTTGCGCGAATATAAGAGTGATGTAACGTACCTGCTTCCCCTCGTCATAGGCTTTTATGATCTCTTCTGCGGTGACATTGTCGTATCGATCATTCGAGTTATAGGCATCTCGAACTTCTGTCCTGGTTGGCTCACGGCCGAGTTCTCGCCGCAGAATGACCTCGACTCGAACTTGCTTTCCCCAAGATTTGCTCTGTATCTCGCGTCCCCAAGTGTTCTTTACCTGGGAATCGAGAATCATGAGTCCGTAGTCGCCGTACCACGAGGAAAATCAGTAGACCTTGGGACTTTGAAGCACCCACTCCGTCTGTGTAAGTGAGGGTGCCGGTGCCAGCTTATACTGACCAAAATACATCCACTTGGATTGGTCCAGGCCTACAAATAGCCGCTGTACAGCGCCTTTGTCCTCCATCCAAGTATCTGCGAGTGGCGTCGGATTATACCATAGCCCAGGCTCTCCCGGACGAGAAGGCGCATTCGGGTGCCACTTCACGCTCATGAACATGAAATCTTTGTAGCCGTGGACCTTGAATCTTGCCTCTGCGATCGAGGGAAAAACTGCGACGGGTGAGCCGCCATACTCGGTGCTCATGAAGAGCCTCGTTACAGAAACGGAGGCGACGGTTATATCCATGATGACAGGCCACGGCTCTGCACCTACGGCGGCAATTCGGCTCCGGACAGTTGCTTCATCAAGCGACATATCCTCTTTAAGTTTCGGCTTGACGAAGGAGTCCTGGAACACAGTATCATACCGGACAGCCTGGCTTAATCATGACAAAGCTTACCAGAGTGGTCGAATGGGTAGGGCTAGTCTGCTGTGGTTTGACCTCATCCCCGTCTATCACGGGAATACAGTCCCGGACAGTGTCGGTGTCAATATTAACTGGGACACCAACACTGCGGGATCGTACATGTTGCATCGCTGGGCTCTCGTCCATGGTCCGTTGATAATCGTTAGGGTCTACAACAGGTCATTCGTGAAAGGAGGTAACAATACGACAATGAGCTTTACCTTCCAGCTCTCCATTGCGTGGAGCTGTATTATCTATATCCATGGATCCTAAGATTGGACTGTTCTGTCTTTCTGTTCTGTCATATGGTACAGTTAGCTGTACGCTCCCCTAATCAAGAGCGAGCAACTTACTTGACCTTAGAGTTCATATCTTGGGACCGTCTAGGACGTCGAGTGGGAATAACGAGTTGCACTTTTGGATGAACCCGAACCTTTTTAACTGGCCTTGGTTCCGTTATAGGATGCTTGTTGGCAGACTCCGTAAGGTGTGACGACGACCGCTTCTTGACAACGGTGTGCTTCATTCTTCACGGGGATGTCATCGGAGTCCAAGGTCAATATCATACTCAAGGGAGAGCTTGAGCGCTGCTCTTATTAAGAGCTATTGAGTCATATCGGCTTCCATGATGCAACAAGGTAACTTGCCTTGACTTGATCTTCAACTGAAGATGGCTTCGCGTTGACGTGGCTATTGTTCCGGGCGATTTCGAGCTGCAAGGTGGTCAGGGTCAGGGTCTGTAAGAACGTACATTGACAATACATAATTTTTGCAGACCTTGATGTTCTGCAAGTCCTTGAGACGCTCGACCTGATTCTCGAGCTCATCAATGCGTTGTAAAAGCCGTGCAACCAATAACTTGAATTCGAGGTCTCGATTTCGCGCCTGAAATACAGCATGAGAGATTGTGCCATACGTGGTCGACTCTACAGTGTCCATGATCTGTTGAACGAAAATTGTGGGTAGAGTACCGGGCAAGGCGGTTTAACGAGGAAAAAGGAACTACCAACTTGCTGACCTCATGGTCGACACGCTGACGCAGGTACCGACCGTCCTATCCTGCGTTCTGACACCGACGTGCTGGCAGACCCAGTAAGAGTGTATGGTTTGTATGGTTTGCATTGTGCAACATGTCTTAGGAAGTGTTCGGCCGGACACCGTGTGCTTGTTTTCGAGAATGCTGCTTCGTCCGGATGGGATCAACTGGCGGACGAAGCCACAAAACCCGGTAACCAGCTCCCTATTTAATAAGACCGCGCCAACATGTATATGTGTGACTTTCCTTGACCCTTGTTCTCACCTGAAGACTCGAGAGAAGGTAGCACATTATATAGAACAGAGTAGCATATTACATGGCAGCGACGAGATACTATCAATACAGATAAGTTCGAATATGAAAGCTACACACCCAAACCAACTCGCACACAATAAATCCAGCCGACGACCCTCACAGAGAGTCCGCCAGTCAAGCGCGGTCCATGTACGACGAGTCCTCATCCGCACGAACCTCCTCCACGAACTCTTCTATTACACTTTGCAGCTCTTGAATCAACGCGTCCCGATTCCACTCCGACCGATGACGCCAGACACAAGACAGGCACGTCGCGCGTAGCTGCTCTAGCTGTTCCACAGACAGATGGCTTGTGTGATCGCACAAGGAGGTTTTCAAGTGGGTGACTGAGAACTCGTCGATGTGGAAATCAGGAAGCGGCGTTGGCTCGCGCTCGACTTCCATAGGCTCAGGCTCAGGCTCCGCGACATGGATCTCTGGTACATCAGCAGGTAGCGTGGAAGTCGAAGCTACCGGTTCCGATAAAGTTTCGGGTATTTCTAACGAAGGGGCACGAGGGAGCGTTACGGTCGGAGGAGTCCTCTTGATTGGGGTAGACGGTAGTTCTATAGGCTGTGCAAAGGGCATCGGGACATCGTAGGTTTGGTGCATCATTGGTAGAGGTGCGACTCCGAAGGTGATAGCGCCAGGTTGATGAGAGGATGTAGATGAAGCCTCCGGAGTGACGGGATTGAGCAGCGTGGCCAGGCCGCTCGGTGCAGGAGGGTGCAAGTACTGTACCTGTAGCTCAGACTGCATTAAACGCAGTTCGTCCTTCTGAAGAGGCAGCGGCCGCTGGGGAGTAAGCGGTGGCGGAAGCGCATCGTCAGCAAAGCGAACCCCATTTGACGCCAGTCCGTCGATCTGTTCCTGCTCCACACTCGCGACGCGCGATCGTTTGTTACTCCGCCCTTCCTCATTGTTCTCTTCGCCCGATGCTTGCGAGTCATTGCTCGCCTCGTTCGATCGATGCCTCTTTAGCCGTCGCTCGATCAGTGACGGATCACCGATGCTACGGATATCGACCTTTTCTCCGTTCTGACGGGCGCTCCGCCGCGTGCCGGGGGCGTATTCGCCGTTGCTACCATTCGCGGCCGTCGCCTCCGCCTCCTGCGATGCGCGCAGTTGCTCCTTGCGCTCCTGCCGGCGCTGGCGTTCGCGAACCGCCATGCGCTCGCATTCCAGGCGAAACTGGGGATCGAAGTCCTGGATGCTGACCTCGGCCGCGGTGAACATCGCCTGTGCTCTGTACAGCCTGTCCGGGTCTTCGTGCATCCGCACATCCGCATTGTGGACCATCTTGCCGACGTCGTCCAAGAAGGCTTGTGGCGTGAGATACCGGTCTTTGTACAGCTCTAGATGCATCCGCTCGAGATCCATATTGAACAGCTTCGGCGGGGCAGGCTGAGGTGGAGGGGGCGTTTGACGCGGTGGTTCCTGGACTGGAGGCGGCGCCTCGACCTCCCCGTTGACCATCTGAGCGGTCTCTTCGCCGACGATTTCAATGATGCCATTAGGGCCGGACTGGATTTCGACGGTGGCAGTCACCATTTCCACCACGGGATTGGGTAAAGGTGCGACCACATTAATTTGATCTTCCATGTCGAGATTGTACTCCTCCTATCACCCATTATAAGCACGAAGACGCATCGACACGACCATCGTCGAAGGTTCACTCACCGCCGCCCGCTTCGTGAATCGCTTGAACTTCTTCTTCAATTCCGTCAGAATCGGTCCGAGGCGATAGCGAAGCAGAGTAATCAAGCGAAGATCGTGCTCCTCCTGGAGCGCTAGCTCAGCTGCAGTCGGCTTCCGCGGTTCTAGGGGAGGCGCGATGGGCAGCTCCTCCAGAACACGCTTCTTCCGTTTCACGCCGTCTGGGAAATGATTCGGCGGTCGTCGGACATCCTGCAGTATGCCTTCAAAGAACGCTTCACGATGTTGAGCGGTGGGATTGGTAAACTCGACGCGGTTGTCGCGAGTGGGGCCGAACCATGCTCGCACATCGCGAGGGAGGGACATATAAGGGCCATCTACGACAGCGAGGAGAAGGATAGGGTCGGTAGGTGAGAGGGTATCGAGCATCGCGCGAACGGTGCTTCGGGATGTTTCGGAGATGGCAGCACACCATCCGACTAGGGAAGGGATGAAGACGATAGAAGGTTGGTGGCGTTTGGCCTCGACGAAGAGCTGGACGATGGCCGCCTCGACAGTCTGACAAGCCGAATTTCACATGGATGATCACAATGTTTTTTGACATAAGAGACTCACCCGTGTCGAATCGCCCATCAAAGTGCCCATGTCAAGGTTCTGAACGTGGAATCCTTCCAAGTAGTGCAAAGCGGCAGTCCCAACATATGCTTGACCCATTCCCGCAGGCCCATGTAAAACGATACGAGGACGATAAACCCGCAATGTCTCCATGGCTGACGTCGGGAATCAACTGAATATTCCGTGATTCACAAAATCAAATCCAGCCACTTACATTGAAGCATCAGCTCCCTTTCCAACGACCCATTCTCTCCCTCGTCCTCCCACTCCGCCTCCTCCAGCGCGGTGCGCTTCTTCCCAATAGGCATCACCTTATCCAAAACAACCTTCACCCTGTCTAGCGCGTCTGATAGCAGAGGCACAAACTGCGATGGCAAAGGCGACGCCACAGACGACGAAGAGCGCGCAGACGACGGAACGAGTTCTACAACCACCCAATCAACACTCCAGATCCATATCACCTATTCATAAGAAAGAAAACTCACTTTTGATCGAAAGCATGAAATCTCGAAGCTCGACACCTATTGTGTCGGGGTCCAGCAACAGCCGATCGTTCGACTTGTATATCTGTGGGTATCGTCTCTGAACCGCGTTCAGCGCAGCCTCCGTGCAAAGGGCCTACACATACATGAGCATATACACATCAGCCACCCAACACCTGAAGCGACGAACGACGTACCCTCAAATCTGCACCCCCATATCCCTTCGTCATCCTAGCCAACCCAGCGACGTTCTCCGCGCCCCTCTCCCCATCCCACCCGTCCCACTTCTTCGTCATGATCCCCAAGATCTTTTGCCGCGCCTCGAGTTCCGGCAGCGGGAAATAAAACTCACGGTCGAACCGTCCCGGGCGGCGCAGCGCGGGGTCGACCGCATCCGGGCGGTTCGTCGCGCCGATGACGACGACCTGGCCGCGCCCGTCCATGCCGTCCATAAGCGCGAGCAGTGTCGACACGATCGACGCATGGATCTGGTCCTGCTTCGACGAGCGCACCGGCGCGAGCCCGTCGATCTCGTCGAAAAAGATGATGCTCGGCTGGCAGTTGCGCGCCTCCTCGAAGAGCAGCCGTAGCTGGCGCTCGGCCTCGCCAACCCACTTTGAGAGCACGTCCGCGCCCTTGCGCATGAAGAATGCTGGAGAACGCAGGGTTAATGTAGAGCGACGCGAGGAGATGGCGAAATGGGATACGTGCATATGCCCTTGCCATTCGACCGACAACTCGCCGCTAGCGCTCGTGCCAGCAATGTCTTTCCCGTTCCGGGAGGACCGTGGAACAGTACGCCCCGAGGTGGAGTTAGGTTGAATTTTTGAAATACTTCAGGGTATAGCAATGGTAAGAGGGTCATCTCCTTCAGAGAATTGATGTCTGATCCAAATGTCAGCTCATAACGAAGAGCTAAAAGACTGAATGACACGCACGATCGTCCAAGCCACCAACCTCGTCAAACGTGACATTCTGGTTCACGCCGAGTGGGTCCACATCCGCGAGGGCTGCAAACTATGAGCATCTAGCGATGCCGAATAAATATGTATCGCTTGCCTGCGTCCCCAACTTTGCCAAAATTCGACGGCGTCCCTGCTGCCGCGGCAAGATCCCCTGCCAGAATCGCGCTCGGTCCAGCACCCACACCCCCAGTGAACGCGGCGCCTCCAAATCCCTTGCGTGGAGACTTTGTCGGCGCGTCCGAGTCTGAATCGTCGCCAGGAAGCCCCAAGTACCTCCCCAGCTCCGCACCAGTAGCACTCCACCCCGGACCCTTCTTCACACCATTTTTATGACTGTGCCCACCACCACCGGCGCGGCCAGACCTATTCTTCGGTGCTGGATGTACGTCTTCCAAGGGTGGTGGGATCGCGTAATTGATCTTAGTCCGCTGCCTTAGCTTGTATGGCTTCCCCTCCGTGTCTGGCTCACCCTCCCCGTCTACATCCGCCTCCGCGTCCAGATCCGGCTCTGGCTCCTGCTCGGGTTCAATTTCTACGTCGGACGAGGTCCTCTGCGCCGCTTCAAACTCGCCCTCTGCGGACGCGGACGACTCGCCGCCCTCGTCGATGTACCCATCCGCATCCTCCTCCTCGCGCGCGCTGCGTCTGGTGCGAATCCGCGGGCGAGACGCAGAGTTGCGAGTTGATGAGCGGGGTGTGGCTGGCTGTCGGCGATTCGAGTTGCGTGTGATGCGGCCGCCGTTGCTGTTCGGAGCGTCGGGCTTCTTGCTCTGGCTGCGTGTCGCATACCGCCGGCCGTTATTCGAGTCGCCCTCGTCGCTGCTGGGGATCACGGGCTTCGGTTTTCGCGACCGACGCGTAGGATGACGCGGCTGGGCCTCTTCGTCGTCGTCCTCCGCATCCAGCAATGGCTCCTCCACGTCTGCAGTGTCTCCACCGACGACACGCCCCGTGAGACCGTCGATCTCGTCGTCCGATTCTCTATACGACTTGATGACCACCTTCCTCCCTCGCGACGTCATGCGATATGCCACTTCGGGTGCCTCTTGGGGGTCGTCCTCGCCCTCTGCATCCTCGTCCGGGAGCGCATCGATGTCCATGGAGTGGACGCTCTCGTGGTAGACGGAGCCTGATGCCTGGCTAACTGAGCTCGTTCTGTGACGAGTAGATCTTCGTACATTGGTCATGACGGGTATTTTGATGCGAATGGAGGCCTTGGAGTCGGTGCTTTCGATGTTTGTAGCAGGGCTGGTGGGATTGAGGAGCGAATGAAGGGTATTCGGATGTGTTTGTGCCGGTGAAGGAGGCGAAGCTTGCATAGAATTAGACAAAGCAAAACCAGCCGAGACAGCCGATGTCTGCGACTATGTATGCTCTGACGATGTCCAAGGCCTTCTGTTTTATCTGCTGAATATGGAGACCTGTTTTGGGGACGAAAAGGTGAGTGTTAGCAGCGAAATTGTTGTGAATGGAGGAGAAGAATCAAACGAGAGGAGGGGTGACAGCCGGTGTGACGCCATCAGGTGATGTGGCGTCACTCATGTCACGAGGGAGGTCACATCCCACTCATCCGCACCTCGACGCAGCCACCCATCCTCGTCCCCGCCGTCGTCCCCTCCAAATCGCACCTCACGGACCGACCCATGTTGGCATGACGCTCCCGAGCAGCCTCACAGCGCGAACACCAAGAAAGGGCCTCCATCATCCGCGTTCTTGGAAACCAAAAACAAAACTGGCGAGGGGGGGAAAGGCAGACGTCTCGTCAGGCGTTGCTTGTACACGTCGAGCGTGGTGAAAGGAGGGGGAAAGACGAGACTTTGTGCGACTTGGAGCGTCGTATTTCTGATGTGGCCTCCCGTTGGGCGTGCACCGCCGGCACTTGCCGAACGTCGCGCCTCGCCCGTTAGGTAATGCCTCTCTTCTGAGGTGGCCTCCACCGGGCCCGTCACCGTCGAATTCAACGTACTCAATCTAGAATGCAAGACTTGAAGTTGGAGTCAGGGAATCGGTCTAGATCCTGCAAATCGAAATCGCTTTACAGGGACCACATCCTACGAAAGGGCTTCTCGAACGAACGTGTTGGCATTCACGTTTGCGCCTGTCGGTTAGGTCTGCGTGCGGTCATCTGGTTGTAGACACCGACTGCCATCTCGCAACTTTCAAAATGGTGGACGTAAAGTGTCTGTCACACCCTCGTATTATTATGACTCGTAAGTGCTACCTCATCATCACAGCGCGACCGTACCAGGGTCAGACTGACTTAGTCCTCATAGCGTCATATTTGGCATGCGATACTTGCATGACTTTCATTCTCTGAGATTTCTGGCTTCAGTCACACAGCAATTATAGGCATCTCAGGCTAGCCTCGGTGCGTAGTTCACGAAAATTTCTGCAGCTTGCGATGGGGCAAGTGAGAAACGAGCCTCCTCGCTATGTCCTGATCACTAGGATACCGTGAGTGTTTGGTTCCACTCTTTCGGCAAAGGCTGCCGCGTTCGCGTTAAGTGGTCAGAGGGTGTCTCTTCGTCTTCTATCATCGTTGATTCCATGCGCCCACGGCCTGTCGATCGCTTAGCCGTAGCGGAAGCGAGATCGGTGTCTACGCTCTCCACAGTGCATTGTGGGTGTCATCAAGTGTACCCATCGACTGCGTTCCAGTTTCGGTTGGTTCACCGTTCCCTTTCTTCACATCTACCTCAGTAACAGCTTGCTCCGTCGTCGTGTTGTACACGAGCTTGCGACTTTAAAAAGGTTTATTCCTCGTTTTTTTCTGCAGCATATACTTCCGACCCCGGATCATGTCTCCCGTGCACCAGCGTCGCCCAAGTCTACTCATGAGACTGGCCATACCCCTCGTCATCTCACTTTACTGCCTCGGAATGCCAAGTGCGCGAGCGCTTCCTATACCAAGCACCAGCGCCCCTTTTCCATCCTCCTGTAACAATGTGCACAATTGCAGGACATTGTGGGACATCGTCACAAGCTGCATGGCGACTGTGTTCTCGTGCACCTGGGTGGCTATCCATCCTAACATTCCCGCCATCGACGATAAATGGTGGACCATCTCTTTTCGGCGGGCGAAGCTCATGGTTCTCGCCTTGATCGCACCGGAGCTTGTGATTCTGTGGGCGATGCGCCAGTGGTATGTCGCACGAGACTTGGCGAAGCGGTACCAAGGTATTGTTCCGTCTTTCTCTCCAAGCGCACGATAAGATCCGTACCAACACTTTCATTATGTCAGGTCGTGGTTGGACACTTACTCATGGATTTTTCGCTGGCATGGGAGGATTCATGCTGTCTCATGGAAATACCTCGTTTACTCTCGGACCACAAGACTTCAATGATCTGCTTACAATTGGGGCAATTGACTTCCCTACTGTTACCGAAGATCAGATCGACGACAAGAACAAGAGCGACACGCTAGCCAAAGCCCTGGCAGCCCTCCAGCTGAGCTGGTTTATGTTCCAGTGCATTATGCGGACAGTGGAGCATCTACCGCTCACCGAACTCGAGGTCATGACTCTGGCATTTACTATCTTGACCATGCCCTCGCGCGCGTTCTGGTGGCAGAAGCCCCTCAACGTTCGCTTACCCGTGCCGGTCAAGATCCGCGACTACTCAGCGATACTTATCCTGAAGGGTGAACAAGAGCTCTCGGAAAAACGGGACCCTCCAAAAGAACAATACTCCCCGAGTTTTGGTATTTGTGTCATAGACGATCTCGTCACCTTCATTGCCCATCCAGTGTGCGAAACCGACGGAACCTTCAGCCTTGTCAAGCCAAACAGCTCCAGAGTCCGCACCCTGTTCGCTGGAGAGACGACCCCTCAGGAAGATACAGCCATCTACAATTTCATTGGATGCGTTGCCATGGTCTTCGGAGCCATTCACTGCATTGCCTGGTCATCCGAATTCACGTCTGACATAGAGCTGTTATTGTGGCGTGTGTCCTCTGCCGTCCTCATAGGTGTGCCCGCGCTTCATCTGGTATGGCATTTTTTGTTACATATAGACTCCCTTAGCAAGACCTTGCAGCGGATGAGCAGTTATGTTGTTCCCACCACATCTGTTCTTTATGCTCTCGCTCGTTTCACGTTGATATTCCAATCATTTGCCTCTTTGCGTTCGCTCTCTCCAGGATCGTACGATGCTACAAGCTGGACGGCTTACATCCCACACCTTTGATGACTTTTCCGCTTCTTGACTTTCCCGCTTTTCGACTTTCGCTCTCCTAAATTTCGCTTGTGATTATTTATTGATCCTGATAATTCGGATAATATATCAAAGATGCTATGAATTCGACACAGAAGAGAACAACATAGATGCGCAGATATGACTCTCGTGGTGGGTCCAACAGCGGAAAATGGAAGTTATCAATCAAGAGAAAGCGGACATCTGGAAACATGTGTGCGAGGTACCTCGGCGACGGGCTGTTCTAGAGGCTATGATCATATGTGTGGTATGAAAGTAGTCCAATGGACGGTCTGGTATGCTCCCGGAGGCAATGTATTCAGAGACATCAACGCAATAACCAGGAGAATAACCCGAGCAATGACGTACAAAGCCGCAGTGCAAGAAACGATAAACAAAAAACCCCACTGTAGTAGCTTGAACGGAAACCACTGCTCCGCCAAGCAGTTCATAGGGTTGGTAAGCAGGTATCGCAGCAAGTGGACGACTGGAACACATATGAGAACAATAGAGGACACACGCCACAGCCGCTGGACTTCGTGGGACGAGAAGTTGAATGACCATGCGATGCAGTGGATGGATCCAAACACCACTGCAACCCCTGTTATGAGAAAACTAATGCGCCGCGGGACCACGTCGCCGTCATGATTGTGAGTGCTACTTGTGTTGATGCGCTTTTTGAGGTCTCCGGCATAGAATGTGGGCACTCTCGAGCATTGATCGAGGTGGTCGGTCTCCATGGCGCCACCTATACGAATGACGAGGTCGTCCAACTTGCGAATAGGTGTCTGGATCATGAAATACGTCAGCCTGCCCCATCGCGTCTTGCTTTCAGTCCCCTGCTCCTGCCCCTCTGCCCCTTGGCCATTTTCTTTACCTCCAGTCGCGGCCACGCTCCCCTCCTGTGCCCTTGGGTGACGCTGAACAACGATAGGACGCTGAACGTTGAGCGGTTTATTCCACCACAACGCATAGGTCGTGAGATTGAGTGCTGCGAAAGCGAGCGTCACGAGTTCGAGCTCCGTGAGAGGTAAGCGCTCAACCCCGCGTGCAATGCATTGGACTATGAACCAGCTAGTCTGAAGCAGCACGAGCCCTTTGGTCATCATGTCGCCTTTACTCCTGTCCTTGATGTCGGCTTCGTTGACGTCCGGAAATACAACATCTTCATCAACAAGATCCCCAGGCCCTAGGACGTGGAAAGTTTGCTCATTGTCATAAAGGATGAAACCCCCCATGAGAGCAAAGAAGCCATGAGTCTGTGTCCAGTGTTCTTCTACGTGCATGAGGATGTGGTCAGAATATAATCGCCGAGACAGATGAGCAAAACACACTTTCATGTTCTTGAGCCAATCTAGATGCGACGAACCACTGACGCATCGCCCACATGATGATGAGCTCCGGCGCGAGAAACGCAAGGAGCATAAGTTGTGCTCGCCGCTTGAAGACACCAGGGAATTTCTCCTTCAAGTCTGGTATATTCGGATGAAGAGCAACCCAAGTGCATGAAAATATGGTTGCCACGCAACTCCAGATGATGCTCCATATCGTTCTGCAGTGATGTAGATCATCACAAGAAGAGGATGAACGTCGCACGACGTCCGCCATAGGCAGCGCCCAGACATAATGACCTCTGAGACAGAATATGCCGAGGGTGATTGGTATCATCAACCTCCTCTGTATAAGGTGAAGAGCGAAGGGGAACGAAGCCATTTAATGTGAGCAATCAAGATGAGCTAGTTTGGGGAAAGCCTAGTAGGAATGAGCTTGCAAGGGAGAGTCACTCAAAGTACAAGGTCGCAGCACACAGAAACGCAGCATGCCATGCACGATGGGCGATCTGGTTTTATATATGTGCTCATATAGGGACAATGTAGTCACGAGAAGTATATTCGACCAAGAGCGCCAGCGCATCAGATGCAGACAAGCGTCTACCAACCTCATGCTGGTAATGAAGTCGACGGAGTTTGATACGACCTGGACATGAGGCACAACATGCCTCGAAGACCGCAAGTTGACTTCTCGGCTTGGTGAAGGATGTCCAGCCATGGTCCTCGCGGATAGAGCGATCGATCGAACATACGGAATGGGATCGGAATCCGACTCACCTTGCAGCGGGTGGAGATAGCTATGCTCATCGAACCTATCCCGATCGAGATTCACAACCATACTTAGTCCGGGCTCCGAAAAAAGCACCTGTGCGAAGCGTCCAGCATCGAGAACTAGACAGGGCACGACGCAGCAGCGGGGGGCGAAAAATAAATGGCGGAGACATGAAAATTGGGCACCAATGACATACTGCCAAACCGTTCCGGCGCCGACGCATTTTGTTAGCATAACGTCCTTCCGTCATAGCCCCTTGCTTGAAATATAGCTGGCAATGATACCGTAAAGCACTTGTCGAGGTTTACGATCGTTTGAAGAATATGGGAAGTCATCGTCTCATGACCGAGAGTCTCGAGACTTCGATGTCCACATGTGTATCTGTTTTAGGAAGAAGTACCCGCCCGGCGAGAAGCTGCACAGAAGGTGAGCCTGGTATCATATAGCACCCGTCCGAGTTCCGAGTTCTTGTAAATTGTGTGGCCGCATCAGGGTAGCCCGAAATCCAGATTGAGATGATGAACTTAGGGAAACGTACTGGCGTTATCGAATCATTATTCAATGACCGCGAACGGAAACTAGCTACGCCGATAAATCTCCCATGTGACACGACGCGTTTGGGTCCTTGGGAACGCCATGCTTGCTGCCAGAGAAGTGAGAAGGATACTTGGACTGGATCGTCATCGGGTAGTGAAAACAGCACCGAGTACTCGTGGATGTGGTGAGGTCGAATTCAATTTTTGTCCCCGCATATAGACATCTGCGATGTTTGAGGAGCCATTCATATATATTGAAAAGCAGAGCTTGGTGATATTTTGATGTCGCAGGGTTCTGTTGAACAAGGAAGATGGCTTTGTTTGGTTCCGCTTGGACGATCGACTCTCCTCAGTCTCTCCTCTTGCTCACTCGAAGTATAGACAATTCAGAAATCAAACACTGCGCATATCTAGAGGTCAGGCTGCCAACGTTGAGGAGACCGAGGGCTTGCCACGTACGTTGTTGAACCAGACTGCAGGCCGCGGGCTGTTCTATTGAAAAACATGTTCATTATTGCTGTAACCTGTCTCAGCATTTCTTTATTCGCTAAACATCCGCAGTTTTCCCAACACTCATTTCACTTGAATTTTTCAATTCTACGCTAGCAACAGCAACTGCTTGTGCGATATGTTATGTTGAATATATTGTTTAAGTCAGAAAAGAAATCGTCTTCTCAAGACAGTAACTTGACAAGCCTCCAGCGGCCACAGTCCGAAAGAATAATAAGCTGATGGTGTAAAAAATACAAGCAAAGGTGTATAGAGATAAATGTTGTGTTCTAAACCGGCGGCGTGCGAGACGAGCGCGCCCCTGTCCCAAGTCTATGGGAGCGTTCACCGCGACAAAAAGGTGACAAATGAAAGACGGGGCGGGTGTTAGTGGGATCCCCATAAATATGCGATGTATAGGCCGTGCATAAGATGCGAGAGAATGCGCGAGATACAGCCGTCACTTCCGTTGTTTAATCGGCGAAGATGAGATGCTCTGCGTGAGCCGAACGAGGCTTGATGCTGCATTTGAATGGCGCGGGGTGACTGATCGTCCCGTCTGTGAACTCAGGCACAACCTCGACGGGTTTGCCGTTGCTGTCGACAACAGTGCGGATGTCGAACGCTGCCAAATTCGCAACAACGTTGGAGAAGATGGACATGTCGGCGAGAGCAAGACCAGGGCAGATGCTGGACGTGAAACATGTTAGAGTGGCCAGAAGGGGAAGCTGGGCGGGGAAGAATACTTACCGCCGTCCAAATCCAAATCCATAAGCCCTGGGATCTTGCTCTGCGGGCCACCCTTCCAAATCGAGGAAGCGGTCGGGATCAAACTTCTCTGGGTTTCTGTACGTCTGCGGATTGTGCAGCATCGCCCTACATCAGATGGAAGGTAAGCGGAGTTCTAACAATATAGTGGTAAAACACGAACCAGGCGTTGGGGATGATGATGGAGCCCTTCGGGATGAAGTACCCGTTATGGATGTCGTCTTCCTGCAGTCTGTGTGCTACACCTATATATGGTTTAATTGACAGGACGGCGTCAAAAGTGGCGCTTTGGGCAAGGAATAGACACGTACTGAGAGGACCAACGGGTGCCCACCGAAGCGTCTCACTGATCACGGCGTCAACATATGGCAGATGTGGCCTGTCAGCCAAGGTGGGTAGGCGATCTGTGCCTACGACGGCATCAATTTCTGCCTGGGCCTTCCTTTGGATCTCAGGATAAAGTGTCATCGCTAGGAAGAATGTGGAGAGCGCGGAGACAGTCTATATCGAGAGAAGTGTCAGGAACCCATGACTTTAAACTAAGAAAGCAAGGCGTACGCTATCTGCACCGCCTAGATTACAAAATAGCATCAGTCAAGCGACGACTGCTAAATAACACAATCAACTCACCGCTGTAGAGAGAGGCCGCCGACCATTTGACGATATCCTCTTGCTCTGGTGTAAGAATCTTGCTTTCGAGACGGGTTGAAGTGAACGAGGGAACAGCTGTGCCCTCCGCCTAAAGTCATGCGAATAAATTAGATATTTGTTAAAGGTCGAAGTGCCAAACTCACCATCTGCTGCTTCACAAAATTGTGGGGCACATTCGCCATCTCCTCCAAAGTCGCCTTGCATTTAGAAATCGTCTTGTGAAAGTTGATTCCAGGAACCCACGAGGGAATATACCGAACTGCACGCAGATGAGTATCGGGTGACATCAGATGATAGCGTTTCCACTTACGAAGAGGGAAAACGTCGATGATGTGGCCACCAGCCTCCGTTAGTTTCGAAAACTGATCCGTGGCGACATCAACGAGCTTGATCAGGGGATCCTCGTCTTCGTTGGTCTTGTAGCCGTAGGCAATCATCAAAATAACAGCGCCAGCGGTCCTAAATCCAATTCAGCCCTGTGAAATTATACTCAATGGTAACCGCGGCGACTTACTTGCGAATGTTCTGTCTGAAATCATCCGGGTTCGCCAGGAGACGTCTCAACGACTTCCGTGCCTCCGTCTCCATCAAATCCGCAAAGGTCTCGCATCCCGCCTTCGTGCCCATCAGACGGTGGAGCTGCCGACGAGACTCACGGAACCGATCACCGTAGGGTGTGAGGACCAGGACGTCTTTCCACCCAACCATCTCGCTTGCGACACGGAACACAGGCCGGTCGGAATACATAGAGCTCTTCTTGTCCAACATCTCGAATGTCACCTTCGCGCTGTTGAGGATGACGATGGGCTGTCCGAGCACCTTGACGTAGATGATGTCACCTTCCGACGGCGCGTTAGCCACGGTCTCCACGTAGAAGACGAAGCGCGCATGGACTCACTGTTGTACTCTTGGCCCCATTTGGCAAACTCGAGGTGCTCCTTTGTTTTGGGCATGTCGAAAACATTGCCTACCAGAGGCAAACCCTTGGGACCTGGAGGAAGGGGAGCGACTGGCTTCTTGGAAAGAAGACGTTTGGCGAGCCAAAGGCCACCGATAATTAAGAGGGCATCCGTGAAAGAAATTGAAACGGCCATGTCGCAAAGGCGAGATGGGGTCGTGGGGGGAGGAAGGGGGGGTCACGAAGTATTAAAGGAAATGGTTGTTAAATTGACATGAGAATGGCCTTTTGAGTCCCTGGAGGGCGTCTGAGTTCGGATAAGGTCAGAAGTCCGGTACACCGTCGGATGTTAATGTGAATTGATCGTGGATATGGAACAAGCATCATCAGCGTACGCATGCACAGGGAGTCGCTCCGATGCGCTTGCGTAACTATTCGGTGAGGAAATTTGCACACGTAGATATTGCGATCCATTCCGCTCCTGGGTGCTGGCTTGCGAAGCCTCGATCAATAACCGTACCGCATCCACTATATTTGGCCAACTGAATAGGACACGTTTGCCATGGCGTAACGACAGGCCCACAATGAGGCAGGAACGGGGACGTTAGTGGATCAAATCAGAGGGGAGTCGTCTCACCAGTGCATAAACGCTGAGAGGCTAACTGCAGAAAGTCACAGTAACATGTGACATCCTTTCCCACCTACCCTCTTGATGTTCATCATTTCCTCCATATCCTGGAGGTAGCATGTATCAGTGCCGTCTGTTTAGCATTCTGATGGCCCTGATCTACAAGTTCATATAACATACTCGATTCGTACTCGCCGCAGATAAAGGATCTAGCTTTCGCGACTAGTTTCATCCCCGTTCGTCTCTTTTCTCTTCAGATCCGCTGGTCAAGTCATCATACGTAGGCTGTGAGAAGATGTCGCGACCCTTACTTCGAGCACTGCATGGCACAACCTCAGCTCTTAGCCGCCATCAGTCCTATATCTTACCGTGGGTGCTAAAGCCCAAACTAAATATGACAGCTCTGCAGCGGACACGGTGATGCGGCGATGCGTTGATCATGTATCAACTAACCAAAAAAAGACGCCCGTATCTACCTATCCTAGTGTCTGCAGTAGCATCAATTTGCACTACGCGTCGTAGTATATTGGATGCTTTATGGGCGCGAACAGATCGGAGGCCATCGTGGTGCCGAGTGTGTACCTCAGTTCCCGACGATGACGGCGTGGCCGGCAGCCCAAGCGAGTAGATCAAAACCACTCTCAGATGCTCTTCCAAGCCCCCGCCCGTTCTCGACCGCCCTCCTCCCTTCTGATATTAGGACACGACGCGCTACGACATGTTCCCATCTACGTTATCCAAATGATTGCGGTGCGGTGATTCCCTGCCGTGCATGTTTGCAGGTATGTACATTCTTCTTTTCCCGCCGAAAGCAGCTTTTGGATGTTAGATTGTCAGATAAATTTAAATACGCCTCGTCATGTCTGCTCGCCGTATGGATGTCCCCTTTGGGATACAGACTTCCAGTATCTGGTGAACATACTTTCGCCACGCCACGTTATTCGCCACCATCGCGAAAGTGCCGATCGTTTTACGATCATTTCGCGAAGCTTAACTGCCAACGCACCCGACGTCCCCGAGCTTCAACGTCAGAATGGAAATAAGTTGCTCATCCAGACCTTCGCCCTCTCCATTTGCGAGAGACAATCCATACCTTTTTCTCAGGTTTTACATGTTATTTTCCCCATGCGTTTTGCTGGCTGCCACTTTCCCCGCAATCGTCTAGTCTTGAACAAGCGAGCGCTGGTCAGCTCTCCTGATAATCAGTATAGCGTCAGCTTGGATGATTACCTAGTTTCTTACGGCTCCGCATGCTGTGGACCAGACGCGTCGTGCATCGCAAGTTGATCTTACGGCTAAGAGTGAGTAATATCCACATTCTGACGCGCTGACCCACATCCCTTCACAGCTTCGGAACGCTCAGATGTACTGATCTCACTGCGAGGGAATCGCTGCATAATTTACTTATCTACGCGATATTTCCGTCATGGCGTCCAGTGGCGTTCGGTGAACTTTGAGGTACTTCGTCGGTCCCTCTCCTTCCTCTTGGCTCTCGTCTGTATGTCAGTTTCTCTGTAATTTCCGGTGAAATCTGTCATGTTTGATCCGATCCGGAGCACTTACATTATCGGTCAAGCATCGGTCGTGCAATGCAGCAGTGCAGCACGATAGCGTTGGAAATAGAGCAGACTGGTTAACCCCAATAGGGGTTGAATTGGGCCTTTCGATGGATTCTGAGTTCAAATGATGCTTGCGGAGTTCAATCCTAAGGATTTTTGCAACGCATCTGGACGTTCACAACTTCGTCTGCACCGTTGCCATCGTTGTACAGGGTCTTGCATAATTTTTGAGAGAGTCGCGTCAGAAAAAAACGGGTTCCTGAGCGCTTCATTGTGGATATAAGAAAAAAGCGCCGGACTTCCCTGCGTGACCCGTCTGTGACAGCTACTCTTCACTGCTGTCTTTGATAGTGCCAGTCAATAATTAGCTCTCAAATTCAATGATCAATAGGTGGAGACATGGTGAGGTTTAATAAGGTACTACAAAGAGGTGAGCACACAGTGTGCTCGAAGCGATAGCCCTGAGCCATGAGAGCGTGACAAGGTTTTGCCGATCATCCCGGCCCGCAGTGCCCAGTTAGGCAAGTCTTGGTTCAGGAATCCGGTTTTTCTCTGACGCAGCTCTCAAAAATTATGCAAGACTCTGTATCGCTGTCGAGCCGCCCGTTGATGGTACTGCACTGAGCGCTCCCGCTGTTCACCGGTTGTCTGATAGTAATCTTCGTGCTCGCGCGGTGCACTCTGGTGCACTCCCCCAGTTCCTAGCAAAAGTGCCACAGTTTCCGAAGTGAGTCTGAGGTCTCGTACAGCTGACTAGCCGATTTGTCTTGCACACAGTCACTCTATTCGTCATATTCCATCCTGCCGCCGATTCCCAAGTTATGTGCCTTGTCATCGCCGGCTTATATCCTCTTGTATCCTCTTATATCCTTCATTGGTCAACGTGTACATAACGTCGGCGTCCCCGCCTGAGAAAATATGCCTGGTCGCTATCACCTCCAAGACGATCTTGCGTCACCATTCCCGAGCGTCCAGCCGCAGAGGAGTAGTAATCATAGGTATTCGTCAGCATCCCAAGTCAGTATTTGTTTAGTCAGAGGCTGCACAAACATCGTTCTTCGTTCCGACCTCGTCTGGTAAGTTTTTTTGTTCACTCTGGCACCCACTTCTCTGTTGCCCCTGACACGTACAGTAATTGAAACACTGTAGCTTGCACGCGTCAACGTACAAGTGAGTTTTCTCTGTTTCGGAAACGCTGCACTGCGAATCGAATGACTTCCGTTCTCCATCGGAGGACTTGAAGATTCTTGTTACGGCTCCTGCATCAGTCACCCAAAGACTATCTCAGAACTCGGTCGCAATGGGGTTATGAAGTTTACCTGTGGTCCAGCTCAAGGCCGACATGCATTGCACTGACTCCGGCCACGTCAATTCGCAGCTGTCATGAGTCTCGCCAGAAGGCTGGACCTCTCCGTATGTCTCAGCAATGGGTCCCACCACGACATGCTGTTATCATTTGTTGATCTTCAGCCGAAAGGGTCTACTTGCTTGTCGAGCTCAGCGCCCAGCGCACAGCCTTGGTTGAATCGTTCTGACTTGTGTACTTGCTTCGGTACGAGAAAGGCCGGACGCCCCCTTGACAGGGGAATCATTGACTGAGGATATGTCACTGAGATCGACAAGCTCATGTATATTAACGGTGTATTTGTTTTTGTAAATAAAAGTGGTGCGCCTGCTACATCGAACTTGATAGGAAAGTGAGCCAACAATCTGGCCACCTTCCTTTTTTTTTTGCTTCCGGCGCTTGTTTCGGATGTCGAAGGTCCCGTACGGGCGCTAAATGTTCCACGGGCGCCTCGAGCCGGACAGCGATGGCCCGGCAAAGTCGAAACGCGCTCCTCACAAGGACAGACCGCCCACAGCGTAGTTTTTTCTCCTTGACTCACATCTTCTAGCGACCGCAATGGTAAAGAAAGCTCAGTTTCTAGCGGGCGGTCTGCTGCCGTTGCTGTGTGGAACGTTCGCGGTCGCGGAGGTCTTCAATCCCCGGGAGTACCCCAAACAGGTCGCAACATGCAAAGCAGTGAATCGGGCGGAGGGAAAAGATGTGGACATCGACCTATGTGAGCACTTATCTTACGGGATCAGAGACGAAATTGGGAAGCGCGTCACATCACAGACTATGTGGACATAAACCCTACGGCAGAGAAAACGTTGTTGATGGTGCACGGGTGGCCCAGTCTCTGGAGTAGCTGGAAGTATCAGATTGAAGAGTTCAAGGTGAGCGCAGTCGATTATTCTCAGCGCCGTTTCTGACGAGCGCTTGCTCTTCCATAGCATGAATACCGTCTTTTGATTCCTGACTTGCGTGGGTTCGGATCTTCCACTCATCCTGGAGACGTGAAATCGTCGGGAAACATGGAAGACATGGTCTCCGACATGATTTGTCTTTTGGAAAAGGCGGAAGTGAAGAGTACCATTTGTGTGGGGTGTGTATTCCAGGTTTGCTTATTTTCCCAGGTTCCTCATTCCCTTTGTTTTTTCTCAGCCACGATTGGGGTTCTCAAATATGCTACGAAGCCGGCCGTTCTAGGCCGGACATATTCGAAGCCGTAGTTGGCGTGGCTATTCCCGTGCGTTCATCAACTCTTATACGTAGCTTAAATCCGCGTGCACTCATGGGTTTACGATCTTATCGATCTATGGTTCGCCTTGACAGTACATACCAGCTGGCGGTCCATTCATGCCGACTACGGCGCTCCTTGAACACCTTCCGCGTCTCTCGTATCAGGTTTTCTTCGACGAGCACACATCTGATGCTGTCAACGAGTTGAAGAAAGATATCAGACGCACGCTCAGGGGCACCCTACGTACTGTTGATAGCCCGCCTCCGGAAGCATTTCTGATGCAAACAGATTCATTCTTGGCGGGCTGGAGCGACGTTAAAGAGGTGATCAGGTTTCTTTTCTCGGTGTTTAACATCAAAATGATGTCCTGCTCCCGCTGTGTGATAGATCGATCCCATCCCGTTTTTCTCTCCTGACGAGGAAGACTACTGGGTTGAACAATACGGGATACAGAAATTCGAGTACAGTACGCATCATTGTTCTCGGCGTTGAAGCAGAAGCATATCTAACAATAAAAACAGCTTTAGAGTTCTACACGACCGAAGTACGTTAGAAGGTTGATGCTGTGGGAGCGACTTTTGCTGACTGGCTCAATTGCAGAACCGTTATGCTTCTTGGAAGATTGCTCACGAACAGGGAAATTACACCCTTCATCAACCAGTCCTTAGCGTACTGCCCACCAAGGTAAAGTTCACTGATTGTATCCTGCCCTGTCTGTACTCACGCATGAACGGCTTGCGCAGGACCCTGTCGCGGACTGGGTTCTCGCCGCCAAACTACTGAAATCGGCGGACTATCTGCCGCACATCACGTTGCAGGTTTGCGATTCGCGTGTTGATACCAACATTCTGTTGATCCTCTGATCTTCCACAGACGCTGCATGGAGCTCACTGGTTGCACATTGAGAACCCGGACGGGTTCAACAGGATCCTGCGGGCATGGCTGGGCCAACTTGATGCGCGCGCGGAGCATTCACACGACGAGCTCTAAATTTGGCAGCATTCTCCCGTCGTCTTTTGTTGCTGTTGCCTGTGAGGTAGATCCGGAGTCTTCTTGTAGGTGATCCGTGATGTAGATGAAGAATGCAGAGATGGAATCTGATCATCAGCAGGCTTAAACAGCTTTTCCCTCGAGCGCTGACGCGTGTAACTGTACTTAGCCTGCAACGAACACGTCGTGCAATTGATAGCAGTATATCTCGAAACTTTGCACATATGTCAGGAGTTGGTAGTAGTTTACGCAACATCTATGAGCGCATGCGGTTGTTTTATATAGAAAGAGGCATGAATTCTTGTCGAATGATCTGTATGTCCCTGGTCTACAGTCAAGGAGGGTCACGACGGAATGTTGAAACTCCGCAAGGGTCAGTTTAGGCACACGCTACTACGCTGCAGGTTAGCCACAAGCCATGATCATTGTATACCGCCCGTGCAGTCGCTCGTTCATCATTTGCTCATGAAATGGCATCTACATCGAAACCATCGATGCCATGCATCGCATTCCCGAATCCTTCCTCTGTCTCCTCGACCCCATTCACCTTCGAGCGGCGCCATTTCACGCAAAAATCACTCCCAGACGACTTTCCGTACGAGGCCATCCGCGACAACGGCCTTCAGGTGCACTACTTCGAGTTTCGCGGCCAGGGCGCTCCCCCGGACGACGTGGGGCACCCAGGCGACGTCTGGCTGAACCTCAAGCCGGGCGAGTACGCGCTCCACGCGCGCCTCGCGACGGAATGGGTGCTCTGGCCGGGCCCACGCAAGGCGAAGAAGCAGATGTTCGCGCACCCGCTCGTCGACGGCCGCTATCTCTGGTGCACGCGCAAACACGTGTTGTGGTACACGTGCGACGGGATCCGGAAGAGCGCATCGCTGCAGATGCGTGGCGAGGAGGAGGACTTTGGGCGCCGCCGGTACCGCACCGTGGGCCCGATGGAGCGCGGGGGCTCGCGCGCTGGGGACGACGGCGTCTCGAGGATGCCGCTGCGTACGGCGGCGGAGGCCATCGCGAAGATACTGGAGATGGAGGAGGAAGAACGGAGGAACGGCCGGGAGCCTCCTGAGCCGAAGCGCAGACGAATACGGGACGCGGACTCTGCCTCCGTCGGGAGCTCGACGCGCAGTGCAAAAACGAGAGAGGGCGGGTCGGATCAGCAGGAGTCTGCTGCTCCTGTGTCAGCTGAGCCGTCGACGTCGACCGCGATACCCCAGCCCCAGCCATCTCAGCCGCCGACCGACCCACATCTTCGCCAGCCCTATAATACCCACACCTTCCCTTTACAATCGACGCCATCGTCTTTGAGTCAGGCGCTCGAGCCCCCTGTAAATATCACAGTCCAGCCGCCCATCTCCCGCCCCGTCGTAGCGCCCGCCGCATCTCAGGCGCGAATACCGTACACACAGCCGCCGACCGTCGCCGTCGTCCCTGTGACGGCCCAGGCCGTGCAGACCTCTGCCCCCATCCCCACGACAGCTCTGCGCATGCTGGAGGGCGAAATCCACCGCATGCGAGAAGAGACGCGGCGTCTGAGCGAGGAAAATCGCAGGCTCAATGATGAGAACACGCGCCTGACGGAGGAGAACCGGCGGTTGCGCGCGCAGCCCTCTGCCCTCTGTCCGCCGGACTTAATTAGCGCGGTCAAGGATTCGATGGCATCCACGCTCGGGTCCCGCGTCGCTGGCCGTGAGTACCTCCTGTGATCCACGTCAGCTAGTGCGCCCCTCACACCGTCCTCCCTTCAGTCACCGTGGAACTGCAGGAGCAGCGTGCGGCGCGCGCGGAGGCAGAGCGCAAACTCGGCGAGTTCCAGGAGCAGCTGAGAAAGGTAGGACGCATGCGTTCCTCTTGAGCCTGCGCGCGGTGCCATATCTGCTTTGCTAGATCACCCAGGCTTTTCAGCTCCCTGTGATGGCGCCTGCAGAGAACACGGCGCTCAGCACGCCCGGGCCCAGTCCCCGGCTAGCCTCGTCCGAAACATGACGTCGCGATACCCTAGCCGTCAGCCGTTCCTGCTCGTCGCAATGATATATTTCGTGGAACGATACAAAAATGTACAGCGCATCTTTGTTTTACTCTTGCCTCTTAGAGACTGTACAGGCCTTGCGAACAGAAGTAGCTCATTCACCAATACCATAGGCAGGCGCGTTCTCAAGCATTGGACAGCTTGTCTGCACCTACTCATTACTGTATGTTTCTCATTTTTCGGAAGACAGGAGAGAATGTATCACATATCGACGGTATCAGTAGGCCTTGTATGGAACAGTGGAACCTCATATACCACACTGTAACATTGACTGGAATCATTGGATTAATTCGATTTTACTTTTATGTCGCCATTGAAGTCGTAGATGCCAAGGAGTGCCAGAGATGATGACAGGAAGGCACGTCGTCGAAAGCAAGGGTTTGGAGAAAAGGCTTGAATGAGTATTGTACTTCATAGCACTATCGGCAGGGTGAACATCCTGTGATGATCCTATCTAAGCATACAGCGAGCGTGCAGCTACGACAGAGACTTGCGAGATCAAGAAATTTCTCACAGAGTCTGCTGCGAGGATACTTCCGAGGGAACGTACCTTCAAAAGTGAGCAGACTCAGGCGAGTGCGAATGCGTCGAGAGGCTTCAGGGTGTTTATCATGCCCTATAGGCCGCTCATGCTATGGCCTCTTTGAGTCAAAGACGAGGCTTCGTCAATACAAACATATATATGATTATAGGTCGATGTCCGTGGACCGTGGTACCTTTAGCATCCACGCCAGATGTGACAGGGTTGGGCCGGGCATGGTCCTGGCACTGTCCAGGGAACAAGCTCGAGCGCGTATACCCTAGCACGTTCACGTCGAAGACGCCAGTAAAAAGCATATTCGAGGCTTGAGCGGAACCAGCCCAGCCAAGAGTCGTTGATATACCGAGCCGAAGGGCCAATCATAGAACACCATAATCCATACTGTTCTGGGCAAAGGTGGCGCGTGGATGCCGGACGGGCGACCACAAGCGCACACTTCCAGAGGGTCATGGAGCCAATATACAAACAATATACCACCCAGCATGGGGAAGGAAGAGTAGAGTGAGATATTAGAGACATTTGAGAGCCGTAAACCCGACGCCCGTCCCAATGAGGGCAGTTTCGGCGATGCCAGCCAAGGCCGAGTGATGGTGTTTCGGGTCCTGCCGGTGCTGACCGAAAAGCATATGCTCGCCGGGCTGCGGAGTGTGCCCACGACCGTCTGAAACGGTGAGTGCGCACTGAATTCTGTGTTTGGAAGGCTTCTGTCCCAGTGGCGCTGTGTTCTGGTCCTCGTCGACCTCCTCATCGACCCTTTTGGACGTACTGAGCCTGTGGCATGCCCCGAGTGCCCAAGTCGACGGATATGGCGTCACAGCCGTCCGAATCGCCGATGGGTCTACAATCGTAGCTTCCAACGCTCCCAGAGGCTCTCTTTGTTCAGAATGTGCTCTAAATACTATATTTTCTTCTTTGTCTCTTACCTCTATCTTCGCCCTGACTCGTTGCCGCGATGGACCCTCCCTCGCCCCAATCGTCTCCAGCGCGTCTCTCGTCTTCTCGACAACTCACCGATGAACCGTCCAGCGATGCCCACATCCCGTTCCCGACAATGGCGCCCTCAGAGAGTGCTGTGGAATCGTCGGGTAAGTGCTCTGTTTTTTTTTTCATAAAAAATTTGGCGCCGCGGCTGCGTGTTGCCTTTTCCCCACATACTTGCGATGGAGTCAATTACGCGCTGTGGTTCACATGCTTGGCATGTGGGCCCACGCGGGTTTTTCCAGTTCGACGCGTCTTTGTGGCGCTCGGGCGTCCGTGGCGTTTGCTTCCCTGGTTCTTTCTTGGGTGTTTGAACCCCACCTTACTTCGCTTTTCAAACACCCTTACGCCTCGGGCTATTCGTATATCATCCAACAGCCACCTGCTCTGTGATTGCTACGCTGGTCCATCACAGGTATGTGCCGGGTGTTGCCGTTCACCGACTATATGCGCTCTGGGTCTCGAGCTCCAGCCAATCCGGCTCACAAGGAACCATGGGTTCTGCTGTATATCTGCAGCATAGCCTGTACGACCGCTGGAGTGATCATTATGTTATTGGACGCATACAGGGAGTGCTTTCGCTATTAATTCCAAGCGTTTGACAGCTGCTGTTTCATCGTCTTTTCGCCCGTATCTGTTCTTTACGATTCTCGATCATCCTGCATCCTCAGCGTCACGATGGCGCACGGTCTCTCACCGCTTCGTCAAGAAACTCACCACCTCTTGATAGGTCGAGCCGACCCTCCGAGCTCGAAATCTACCAGCTCCGACAAGCTGTCTGAGCTTCCTCCACAGCCTTCCCCTGCGCAGGCAGTCCGCAGCCTTCGCCCTCAGAATCGCGCGTTCAGGAGGAGCCTAGACACCCCAGGTGCATCGGTTTCGGCGCCAGAGATCCGTACATCATCACCGGGAAGCCCTCCGGTGTTCCCCATCTCTCATAGTGTCTCTCTCTCGATGAGGCAGGGCGAGTCTGAGAACTCTCTCGGTAGAGAGACTCCGTCTAGACAGCGCGTGTCGTTTGATAGTGACCGCGGCTCCTGGCCGATCCCGCACCAATCGCGACAATGTAAGCGCCACACACGCATGCGCAGCACATCACATTCTCTGACTAGACTTCCCATTGCTCCGCGGTGATTGGTAGTACCGAGACCCCTCCCTGCCAGTGACCCTGTCCTGCCCGCCTCGAGCGCGCTTCCGTCCATCCTCGCTGCCCGCGCGCATCATGAGGGCACGCACGGGCACACGCGCTCACACTCGCGCAAGGAGAGCAACGACTCGCCGACGCGCTCGCAATCGCACTCGCGCTCCCGCGCCGCGTCGCCCCTGCGTGCGTTCCTCGACCGCTGGCCCGCGCTGCACCGCGTGCACTCGCGCGAGGAGCCATTTGTGCCCATCGATCCCTTCCGCTCGCGTGCGCACTCGCGCTCGCTGCTGCACCGCCTCGGGCACCCCCACCACCATCACCACCATCACCGCCAAGGTGCCTCGGAGAACGATCCCGAGCGCGGGGGCGCCGACGCGAGCCCCGACGCGGAGTGCGAGGACGTGCTGGCGTGCTGTGGCGTCGCATTCGGCGCGCGCGTGCTCGGCCGCTCCTCGCACGAGTTCGTCACGGACACGCTCCCGCGGCAGGCGTACCTGCACTTCCTAATGCGCCTCCCGTCTGTGTACTTCTCGCGCGTGGCGCGCATCTTCGAAGACGCGGAGGTGAGCCGGCCGGACATCGAGCGCATGATCGACGCGTGCATGCCGCCGGTGGATCGCGCCGTGCAGGAGGCCAGGTCGTCGCGGACCGCGGAGACGATGATGCGCGCGGAGCGCCTGCCGTTTCCTGAGGAATGGAATCCGCCGCTGGTGTCGCCTGCACTGGTGAGGTTCAAGCAGTCGTGGGAGGCGTTCATCGACTCGCTGTTGCGCGAGTGGAAGACGCTGAATGTCGTGTCCGCGCTGCTATTGACGTACGAGTATTTACTGCGATATTTTGGCAGGAGCTGATGTGTTTTTTTTTTCATATGTTGTTGACATTGTGGGATCCAGCGCGATCATGACGATGTTTCAGATTCCGAGCGCGCTGAACGATCCGTTGACGCGCACGGCGGCGTTGCTGTCGCTTGTGTGCGCGCTGATGAGTTTGTCCTACGGATGCATCTACATCGTGCGATTCGGGACGATGAGGAGCATGTACAGGGCGTCTCGATGGGCGGAGGTATGCATCCTTCTTGTCTCTAGATCGGGGAGACGACTGACCGTGACGTCGACCTGCACCCGCAGGAGGCGCAGAGCTCACGGACCTCGATCTTGTGGAACGTGTGGGTAATGCTCGCCGCACCCGCCGTGTGGCTCGCGTGGTCGATGGTGACCTTCCTAGTGTCGATCCTGTCATTCGTATGGCGCACGGGCGCGACGGACGACCCGGCGGATAGCGACGCGGGCGCGCGCACGCTGGGGCCGCTCGAGGCGCTGGGCCCGCGCCTCGCGATCACGGTGGTGCTGGTGCTCGGGCTGGTGTATTTCATGCTGATCGTGAAAACGTTCCAGAATTATGGGGGGAGCGTGGGGCGCTCGCGGGGGCGGCGGTGGGCGCGCGGGTCGGTGGAGCGGGGGACGAGGAGGGAGGAGCGGGGCGGGGAGAGGGCGGGAGCTGTGGAGGGTGAGGGTGAGGGAGGGGACGAGGGCGCGCGGGGACGAAGTAAGGGGACGTGGCACGGGCGCCGAAGAGAGCGGAGGGAGAGGAGGGAGCAGTCGCGGTCCGGGCTGGGGTTGGGTCTGACGGGGATGAGAGGCGATCAGCGAGCGTCGCACGTGGCGGCGGCGGCAGCGAAGAAGAAGGGCTTGGGAGCGGATGAGGATGCGGCGGAGGAGGACGTTGTCGTCGTGGAGAAGGTGGGCGACGAGTCGGAGGAGAAGGAGAAGGGGATGCGGAGCGCGTCGTTGTCGCCGCTCGGGTTCTGAGCTGTGCGTGGACGGTTCCGCTGTTTTTGTCTTTGTTACTGTTTTCTTTTTTTGTTTTCTTCGGCGTTGGCGTTGGCCGCGGATTTGGCGTTAGCGTTAGCGGATTTGGTGCGCTCACCTGCATCTGTTTTTTTATTGTCATTCTTCCTCTATTCGCGCCTCAGGATCTCGAAATTCTCACCTCAGAGTTTCGCATTGGATCTCGCGCGTCCTCACTGTACACACACCCCTCACTCGGATACCCCACTGCATCTATGATATGATCTCACGACTCTCATGCTCCGCGATGCCTCCCTTCCACTCCCCTGGTCGCGGCCCACGATTCACGATTCACGCTTCAGTTTATGACTCGGTGTTATGAACTATTTGATTTGTGTTTCCTGATTTATGATTGTGTTTTCGTGTTTTTTATGCATGTTTTTTTTTTGTGCGTGGAGATGCGTGGTTACGTTTGTGGGCCCGTGAGGCCCAGCAATGTAGGCCTTCAACATGGTCAGCGAATATCTATTCGGAGGGCGAACGCGGTCGCTTTCACGTATTTGGTGCTGGTATGCTATAAACGGAGTAGTATCGGACTAATGTGGGGCCTTGGCTCCCAATTTGGACCGAAGCTGGGACTAATTAGTCTCCGAAGCCGGACGTCGAGGCGCTGTTTGAAACGGCTCGTTCTTTCCATCGCACCGTCATGTTGATTCTATGCATACGAATCATGTCGCTCCTCGGCAACGCAAAGAGGCTCTCAGGCCTCAGCGTCTGGTTTCGCATCACTGTCGATTCTGCTGGTGGCCATGGCGTGCTTAGAGACAAGCAGATCCAATGGCAGATGTCTCAGTAACATTACTGCCAGGCGGAGAGTATGTTGAACTGTTCATCCGTTCGGAGCTCAATGCAGAGGAGTCCTTCAGGTCGCCAAACCACCTTGATTTTTGCGATGACATTGAACCTGGGGGAACTGCTTCGATTGGGGATATCCTCAGTGTCTGGGGTGAGTCGTGCTGGAACCTTTGATCCATATGGCCTGCTGCTAGCATACTGGGCTATTGTACCGACTTTTGCTTGTGGTGAGACTGATATGTGTCGGGTTCTACTGAATACATAATGTTTCAGCTTTCACTCGCTCTGGTTGCCATCACCGAACTTGTGAGCATAGATGAGGAGCAGAGGTCGTTTTCCTGTCTCGAGCTGGCAAGCATATCTGAGCGCACGCTTCCTGGTGTCGATTTCCTTTGCGGTGACCACCGTAGTCCTCCTATTGTGAGCATCACTTCTTCGTCCTCCTGTCACTCAGCAATGCAACCCCAACGACCGCACTCAAGACTCGGTGCGATGGACTCAGTCGCATCCACCCAATCCGCGTCTATTGTAATTGATATCGACATCGAGTCACCAGACTGAGACAGACTGCCTTTGCTGATGTTTTGTGGAGCAGGTATGGTCTATATCGAATTTTTCGTGTCGGCGAAACGGGCACTGCGAACTTTGTTCTTCAGTCTTGTGTACGGTAAGACTCGACTGGGCTGTGAGGATCCTTCCTGTAGTGGTGGCGTGCAGATGCGTGGACAACATCGTCGAGTGTCGTACCATGCTATGAAAAAAAGGCCCGCCTTGACACATCGCCCGATCAATTCTCCAGCCTGGCGCTCAAGCTCGTGTTCTGCGTAGATAAGGCCTCCTCCCTTAATCATGGTAGGTCTATTATTAGACGTTTACTCTTGTCTCTTATACCCTCTGGAGCATGGACAAGGCAATGATTCCGTCTGGATCCAACGCAAGTACTTTGCTCGCTCTTTATTCTGTGATTGAGGCTTACCAAGAACTCTCATAGATATTGCGTCGTAGACCTTGCAGTAGTTTGTGTGAGTCACACCACGGTCTATAGGATGCTGATGGAAATACGAGTCCCCATCGAAGCAAGAACCTCTCATGGTTTGTTAACAGATTTCTATTGCTTCAGTTGCAGAGCAACCTTGGTCATCGATCTGCAATGACGCAATCAATGGCCTGCTCAGTCATGATTAAGCTCTGAGCGTTTTTGCACTCTCAGCGCCGTGGTGCAGACACCGTCGATCTCGGGCCCAGTTCGAAAGCTCAAGACGGAAATTACCTTACTAGATGCAAGGATCTTTGTTCCCTGACTTTCGCGCTGTCACAGACGTCGAAGGTCAGCAGGCTCAGACTGACGCTTGCTATGTCAGTGCATTTTTTTGAATGCTCATCTTTACTATCGGCGTTGTGAAACATTACGGAATCCGGAAATCGGTATATACGCTGGTGCCCTCGTTCACCTCCCTATTGACTTCCCGCCATGTCCCTGAAGCTGTCTCTAAATCCCGGCCTGGTACCTGTCGAGCGAGCGTTGGCAGAACCCACATAATCCCTACCGTTCCGGCGAGTGTTTTTTATACTTGATGCTCGTGTCGTGGTTGGAGTGGGTTAACAGAGGGACGACGTCGCGAATGCACTTGCTTTCCTTGTCGACAGACCAGATGCAGCTGGATTGGCCATTGATATCGTCAGAGGAGAGACACCCATCTCGGAGGGTATAGATGCGTTCATCAAGAAGGGCGTCACAGATTGGTTGGGGTGAAGACTTTTGCGGAGGAAAACAGCTGTCAGACAAATTGGCAGTGTATTCCAATGTATCACGGTCGTAGAATGCTCGTTGTGCGAGGTTTTACCCAAGTCCCTAGATCGGACTACACTGCATCGGGAGGAGGGCAAACAACTTTTCGGATCTTGCATACGAGGCTTTATGAGGCCGATGATCTTGCATCGCCATTGCCCACTACCACGAACCGATCTCTCGGCTGTTTCCGTCTGCCCAATATGGTAACAGTGTTTCCTTATTTGGCTATTGCTAAATAGCGCCTCGCGACGCGCTGTTGTTTCTGACCACTATGACTTCCCTTCCTCCCTACTCAGCCAAGGACATCCCCGCGACCGCCGACATTGTCGTCTTCAAAGGATCCAAGAATGGATCCGGCGATGCTAAAGTGACTCTCAGAGGCCTGCCCCGTCCTGTCAAATACGAAGATGTTGCCGCGGAGCTTGTTCGACAGGGTGCATTCGGCGCAGTGGGGACGAGCGCAACGACGTGCTGATGGGTTCGAGGGCTCTGATGTACAGCTCGCCAGAGTGCTTCGTTGAAGTCACCGACGGCCCCTCGGGTCGTACCGGAGACGAGCATTGGCAAATCAACATGCTAGCTCCCCTATTTCTCTACCTGTTAAGGCTGCTGTTTCGTGGGACTCACTGACTGTGACATGATTGATCTTTAGCGACCAGCCGTTGCTGCATTTTTACAACAAGGTTTTCCTTCCGGTTGGTGCGGGAGGCGCCCTGGAGTCGCCACCTTCTTATGACACTAGCGAGGCGCGTCTGACCCACAATGGCCAGATAGCGCAAGTCAACGGGGTCAACGTCCGCTTTCACAGGTCAGTCGCGTGTCGTCGCTTGTCTTCTCGATACTCACGTCGCGTGTTATGATGTGCAGGACCATTAGCGTTCCCGGTGTGTCTTTCCTACAACGGTAACGTGCCTCGGTGTACTCAAGTCATTTGCGGATAATGACAAGACATACGCCCTTCCTCCCGAAATGGGTTCCTTTCAGCTCTTGTAAGCGTCCACCCGGCCCCCCTTGCGTCTCTGCCTCATCAATCGCTATTTCCCAGCAATGTGGGCAGCGCGACCGGCACTCTTCCCAAATCTGTCTTAAGCAAAGGCGGAGCATTCCTGGTGCGCGCTCGGTCTCAATGCCCTAATTTCTCAGTGTCTTTACGTGTGGCGACAGAGCGTGTACCAGCGCGAAGCCATGTGAATGACGTTTAACTCCGCAAGCCCCAAGGAGTCCTATGTCGTGAAGATCTCCGTCGGCGGAGTGAACGCTCTGACCGGGGTGCCGCAAAACGCGAGCTCATGTCGGAAGCAAGATTATCTTCCGGTTGGTGGCGAGGGCGGACAACTGCAGGTTCTACGTTCTTCCTCTCTGTCGTACTCCACTCACGCCGCGATGCATCAACTTAGATGGCTCGTGAGTACATTATGATGATAAATACACGGTGACTACGGAGGCTGACTCTGCACCAGGACGGCATTTCCACGGCTCCGGGTGTTGTGCGGCGTGCGTTTTCTCTGTCGATTAGCCAGCAAAATTCGCAGCATTGACGTGTTCCCGTTCAGAGTTTGTGGCGATGCACCTCGGGAAAGGATACACTGTCGAGGGACAGGTGACGGAAGCCGAGTACCATGCACTGGAACGACTGATGAAGGTACAACGCACCAGAGGTATATCTCGCCGCCAATCCAACAGTCAGGCTAGAGGGGTTCACGGAACCGCGACCTTCCAGCAACACGACGTCCTCGCTGTTGCGTCGTCAGCCAATACCGCCGACAATGTCATCATCGCAACCCTACCTTTTCGGACACATCTCGATCACAAACCCCGCGCTCATGCCAAGCTGTCGCAGGCTCTCGTACAGGTCGAGCGAAGAGCCTCCGCTTTCAAACTCGACGCTGGTGGCGTATCGCGGGTACACGTCGGTTTGGATGCCACCCTCATCCTGCGGAAGTGAGTTGCGGTCAGCTTTTCAGGACGGTGGCGTGATCGAGGGAGCGTGTGCCTGATGCGATGCAGCGGGTTCACATTGGGTCCTCCTTAATGTCCAGATCACCGGCGGGGACGCGTTTGTTGTTGACTGCGAGAAAAGCGACACCATTGAACACCTCAAGACGAAGATTGAGGACTTGCAAGGGATATCGTCTCAGTTTCAGAGGCTGATACATGCGGGAAAACAGCTTCGGGATGGACTAACCATTCCGGTGAGAATTGCCTGGCACTTTGTGATGCAAACGGGCTCACGCCACATCGATCCTCTGTAGACTATGGGATCCAGTCTGACGCGACCGTCTATCTGGTTCTGCGCATGGTGGGCGGCAGACCTGGGCCAGAGATCCAGGACATGTTGGCTGGCTTTGCGGCAGGCGGAAAGATATCGCAAAAGATCAACCGCGATCCGCTGCCCACCATCGCCTACGATGAGTAGGGTCCAGACATTCCACGTCGCGGTGATCAACGCGGCCTGCTTCACCGCCGTTACTGGCCTCCCGAGCCCGCCGTCGCCGATCACAGCCCAGACCTACCTGAAGTACGACCTTCCCTGGTTCGAGCTGTACGACGAGCACATTCCGGCCGCGAACAACGCGTCCGCGGCCACGCTGCTCGGAGACGTCAAATCCATCGCGCAGCTCGACAGAGACCGTGCTGCCGCCGGTGGCAAAGACGACGTCGTGCAGACCCCGTGCGCGCACTCTGTGCGGGAGCTGGCTACCCACCGGCTGTCGCCGTGCGGGCACGTGTTCTGCAACGCCTGCTCGAGGGCGCCCGCCGCGCGTCCGCCACGTGTCCGTCGTGCGACGCAGCCGTCGTGGGTCGCAAGCGCTTCGCGGCTGCGGCGCTTGTGGACGCGCTATCGTTGGACGACAAGATCGTGAAGCTGCGTCGGGGAACGCGTGGCGACTGCGTGATTACCTTCAGACTGGGCCACTGTGCTGTCTCGGGTTTGTCTGGTACTGAACGTAGTGCGAGATAGTTAGGCCCGTTAGGGCCCCGTGTTCTTGTAATGGGTTTGATCACGGCGTGTGCTCATGTGGTTGTATTGCAGGTCTTGAAGATGCTCATCCAATGCTATGCTAATCTCTGCAGATATTCACGAGGGCTTCGCGTGAGAATGAGAAAAATAGACCACATATATTGCTGGATTTCGAGCTTCGAGGCTCGATCACATAAAAGTTGGCCAGGGAGCTTTCCTTCACGATGGGGAGGAGGGCGGGTGCGTCTCTAAGTCTCCTCGTGATCACTGTCCCATACTTGTCCTCGGAATTTTCCTTCCGATTGAATGTGATCAGTAGCTCTAGTGGAATACCATTTTAGGGCGTCGGCAAGAAGATGAACCTGGTCCGCACAAGTCGGGCGTAGGCTCTGCATGCGATGGCGTGCAGATGCAGAGGACAAGACGTCATCGAATGATCTTCGAATGATACCTTGAAGTGAGCCACGAGAAACGTACACAGAAGTAGCCCGCAGCTATGTAGCCTGAGAACGAGAAAAAACTTCCCTGAGTCATCTGCCAGTGTGAATTGAAATCTGCCTGGTCTAGGTGGTGATTCGGAAGGGGCCGGTGTCTGTCATAGCGACAGAATTGGACAAGAACAGTACATCGCGGGTATTTGAACGGCATAAAGTTGGATGGCGGCAGTTGAAGCTGAAGCTAAAGCTTGAGCCGAGTCTCGGGTTGTGTATGATCGCCGCGACACATGGATGAAATGACGTGAGTCTTGACGGATCTCTTGCTCATGACTAATTGCACTTGAGTCGGCAGATTGCGTGTGTAGCAATTTGATTCGACCAGGCTCTGGTAAGAACTTCCGATTGCTGGGTAGAAACTCCTATATACACAGAACGACTGTCTTCTGCGATTGGTCAGCAACAGAGAGAGGTAAAAACGGCATCTTCTTGCTATAGATTCCTTTTTCGGAATGTGGCAATCAGGGGCCGATCACAATTTCGAAAGAGACGGGGCTAACCGAGTACCAGAAGGAGGCCGCAGATGGGGCTAAACCGGCGCGTTCTGACTTCAGAGAATTCATCAAGGTGGAGGTTTACCCGACAGAGATGACAGATGGGACAAGGGAAATATTGACTCGCAGTGTCAACGGAGTAATCGCACGGCGCAGTCTCAAACAAAAGCGAGAGCGGTCGCACCGTGTCATCGCGCGACCATAAGTGGACTGTGCTGTCGCTAGCTTCATGAGATGCCAAACAAAAAGGCGGCAAACCTAAATCAACGCAAACTACAGTTTGGCCCGACCCAACCTCCCTGAGGTAAACACATGCCCCTTGAGGGCCAATGCAGAGCATAGAGTTGGATCATGCTTACATACATTCACACTACCGCAGAGTACATACAGTTACACGTCTAGACATGCGGCGCGCCGCCACTAGACGTTAATACATGACTTCACACACACACACACACAGTTTGGCTCGCGCGCAACATTCAGCACACACGCATACGTATGTATGGTTGCGTGTTCACCTTCACGGCTAGCGGATACCAGGACATGTTGCGTCTCATTGCCTGATCTTGCCTGATGTTCTGGCAGATGTGGGAATGCTGGCAACGGCATGAAGCATTGCATAATGACGTGCATGTACCCTACCAGCTTCCCTCGAAACCACGCGTCCATACCTGGCTGGATCCGCGATCGACAAGCATGGTCGCCGTCAAAGGGCTGTACAGACGTCAGGGATTCAACCGCAGACAAGTCCAATGAAACACCATGCACCGTTGGGTGTACGCTACTGACGTTGATGTGAATGCAATGGTAGAGTATCAAGAGCACGCTCTTACGCAACCAAAAGTTCGGAAATTCGCGCGTACAATCCCAATTGCCATTGCTTCCAAGGATTCGAGCAACACAGTGACTCCTGATTTGAATTGAACGAGTATCAGTAGAAAGAAACGTGCCAGCCATGCAAGACGAGTGTCCATAGAACAGAACTATAGAAATGGCAAGACTCACGATAACGCCATGGCGAACTCGGATCCCGGAACGTTCGGCCGCCGATGGTTGTTTTAGATTGAACACAACGATAACCCCGCGTGCGCTTGATCGCACGGAAGGAACTTTATCTACGTAGCGTATCGTAAGAAGACTGGTCCGATAGTTAATCTGGCTACGCTGTGCACGCGTGATTGGTGGAGATTGTCGAAAGCACGGTGCAACTTGAACGCCATGTAGAGCAGTGCCAGAAGTGAAGGAGACCCAGAAGACGGTTAGAGCGTTGAGAGCGGCCTGTGACATGACGCAAGTTCATGTTTGACGAAAGCTAAGCTGGGGTTGTGGAGATGAGAAGGGACGCAAGATGTGCCCAAATACCCTCGATGGTGACTGACATGCCGCCCGCCACCAACCTCTAGTGTCCCATGCTCGAAATGCCCACGAATTTCTACTGCGCACACTCCTCCTACGCCCCCCTCGAACGCATCCCCCCTGAACTGCTCCACACTATTGCCTTTCACCTTCTCACGACTCTTACCACCCTCGGCCCCCCTGCATCAATCCTTGCTCTCCTGCTCACCTCCCGCAAGATCTATGCAATGCTCGCACCTGCGCTCCCGCTCCTTACCGCTCATGTGTTTCACGTCCGATTCGATGTGGATGCTCTGTACCGCAGGTTCGGGACGCATCAAGTGAAAATCCCTGTTGTCATGGCGGAAGCGATGCGCGGGAGGTATGAAACCCTGGCGAGAATTAGACGAGCTAACAAGGAATTGGAACAAAGCGCGAAGCTCACAACAGACCTATGGACTGCTTATATGATGCTCCTGGAGCATGACTACATGAACCGCGCACAACTTCTTCAGTACGCTGCACTCCCCCGCTTCTTGTGGAACCTTATCCACGCGAGGGGTCGCCGCGGACTATGGTACGCACGCACGCAGGAGAACATTGAGGTGATGAGCCTCGTGTGTTGGCTCTTATGGCTGACAACGACGGCAGGTAAGTGGGCGATTGCTACGGATTTTGTAGCATGGTTTGTGAGTTTTCACCCTTAACGGAAGCAGAACAGATAGAAGAAATGACTCACGAGGCACGGGAGAGTATCATCCGCGTGTTTGTCCCATTCCTTGCTCACGGCTTCCAGGTGAATTCATTCATCGCCGCCTGCCTGTTGTTCTCTCATCAACACCCCCTTGTAGTATCCCTCCTATTACTTCCCTGCCACCGAGTTCATTCCTCAAGCTTCACAAGACACAGATAGATCTTCCTTCCTCCCTCCCATCCGGACTGTCACATATGCTGGTCGAACCCTCACCTTCGCCACACCCCCGCTCGTTCCCGGTGCGACCCTTCTCGTCGCTGCATTCATACAGACACAGATGAAGGAAAAGATGCGGCTTGAAGGTCAAGACGACGGCGATAGTCCACGAGCCCACTCGCTCCGCTTATGGCTCGACGCACCGAGCCTTGCATTCGACAGTGATGGAGATGACGGCCCACCAAGCGAGCAGCAAGAAGAAGATTGGAAGCGCGCTGTCGCTTGCGGAGATCCATGGGCAGTGTTTGCATCGACCCCGCTGGCAGTCGGACGGATGTACACACCCGGTACGATGTCCGGGGAATGGACTGGGCTACTAGCGGTGCGTGATAAATAGACATTTTTACTGATTGGTGGAGGTGAAGTACTTTGGGCTATGTCGTTATGTATTCTGGATTGATACTTAGCCTCCCTGATCTTTCAGTTCACTATTTTTCAGGTCCCACAGCTCCAGACCCAGATACCAGGCAACAATAATGGCGGCGATAATATCGCTTCCACTCTCTCGATCGCCCACGACGCATCCGCGGAGACCACGCCACAGACACCGGCGCGTATCATCAGTGAGTCACATACGAAGCATCGTCCGCTCTTCGCGACGCTCCGCGAGTACCATTGTCTTGGTCCTGCTACGCCACTACGCGCCGGCGCCAGCGAGGAGGTGTTCAGGGCGTTTGTGCCTAGAGAAACCAATCTTGAGATTGAGGTGAGTGGGCGCATGTTTTCAGGCGCTGAAGGACTTTGCACTGAAAATAAGTTCGCAACGTTTTGATTTTGGGTGCGGGCAATAGGACCGGCGCCGGGACGTGTTAGAGATCTATGACCCGGTGAAGGACACAACACATGTGTATTATCGGTTCATGGGCGAGGATTCTGAGATGCCGTACTGTGAGGAGGGGATGGAAAGGATCAGGAGCCTGGACAACGGAGTGGGTTCCGACGGGGTAGACAGCGAAGGCGACGAAGATAAAATGGAAGGACAAGGTGAGGAGGAAGAACAAGAAGAGGAAGACATGGAACAGATGAGGCACATTCCGAGCGGAGTGAATGACATCCTCATCATCGGCGAGGTGCGTGGGTTGTGGTGGGTCTTCCTGTACGCGTGCCCTGCTGACGAATGCGTTGATTTTGTGGGCCAATATCCCTGCTCGGCCTGGTCATTGGTGGAAAGACGGGAGACGTACACGACGCAACATGGGGTCGGTTTGGATTCTTTGGGCGCGTGCGCTTGCAGGATGGGCTGGTGATGGTCGTCCGGTATCCCGTGCGTACATTGCCACAACTTTATCCCTTGTCTTCCTTCCGTGCTGTTTGTTTGGCCTGTTCGCTTACCTCCTTTGTGTTCTTTCTTCACACGCTTTTCTGGCTCCAATCGTCCAATCATCTATTCTCGGGTGTACGTATGGCCTACGCATGACGGGACATTCAGCTCGATGCCCTCGCTGCGAACGTAGGTGGCTGGATCTTTCGGGGATACGTCCACGCGGGGAACGTCTGGGTCGGTCGCTGGCAAAGAACAGAGACAGCGGTCGCAGACATGGGGTTCGAGGGAGGTTTTACATTGGCACGGGATTGGTAGTGAATTGTGAGCTGGCGGCAATGTCCCCTCCCCGATGCCTGATTTTGTCCTCACCAACTGGGATTTCAGAGAATGGGCCGATAGGCGATGCAGGTGGCATCGGGAGTCTACGCGTGCACAAGGCTTGCTACTCACAGGTAGTTCAGGTGCATGGGAAGAAGTGGAATGAGTTGATAGATCAGTAAGAGGAGGTGTACGACATACTTACCGGACACAGCATCAAGGTTCAAATATGATGTATTATTCAACCAAAAACCTGCCGGATATGGTCCGTTGGGCACGATTACAGAGAAATCAACACGTCGGCCAACAAAGCGAACCAAGCAACAAGATGATATACAAAATAGCAGACATTTCTGCCTTCAGCTCGGCAGAAAGCTGATATCTCCGGTGAGTGCAAACGCTATGCAGAAGTGGTTCTTTTCTCCAAATCTTTTTTTCTGCGCGAAGGTCGGAAAGAAAGATCTCGAAGCAGGGATACATTCTGTGGGAGTTCTGAATCCCAGATACAGAGGTATTGTTGGTCTGCGAGCATGAAGGGAATTCATTTTACCTCGCGTGGATATCGGCGGACGGTCCTCGATCTCCTGTAATACAAACTCGAAGTCAACCGCCAGTGAGACCTGAATTCTCATTCAACACATGCAACAAAATTCGATGATTCGCACGCACCGGCACTGCTACGACGAGCAACGAACCCGGCCCCGACACGAAGACGTGACTACTGCCGGCTACCGCTTGTGCATTTATGGATGCTGGTTTTGAGGCGCAATGGCCATGGAGTAGAGACTTGTAAAACAGCGTGAGCTAAGGAGTTGAGGAGAGCCTTTCTGGAGAGCTGCAACTCGTCGTATAGCATTAGGAAAAGCGCCTAAATCTGGCAACAACTGGCGAGATCGGCGAATCCCGACATGGGCATGCATGCCCTAACAAGCACTGGTAAGCCTGCATGTTTTTTCTGCTCTCCCTAGGCTTCCCCAGTCGATGTCTCTATGCGGTCTTGTCCAGGTTAGTACAACAGTAAAACTATGCAATGCGATACTTTGACAGTTCCAAGCCGCTTGCTGCGGCCAAGTTCATGTGAGTCTAAGTCAATTTAGGCCAAGCTGTGCAAACAACAACAAAAAGAGCCCGGGTGGTGGGACAAAAAGATGAATTATAGTGGACTAAAGCTGAAATTTTCGCAAAATAAAACACCTTCATCATCAAAATCCTCATCCTCTGACCCCTTGTTTATAGCATCATCAAACTTGTGCTGATGCCTGATTCATCAGGAATCTGACTGCCGAGACCTAGCTTTCACTAGGTCCACTAGAGCTAGAAGTGTCTAGAGATAGCTAGTGATGACTCGATATTTCGGTCTCAGTCTGTGTAGATAATCCAAGCTCGATCCTTTCCAAAATGGGAAAGTAACTCTAGTCAAGTCTTGCAAGGCAAGCAGATGTCTCCCAAGATACCACTATCTATGATCAGAGACAGCTCTAGGATTATCTTGTAAGACAATAGTGAGCACAATGTAAAGCATGGAATGGCTTGCTTATCCTGACTCTTTACTTCATCTGATGTTTTCGAAAGGAAAATTTGAAATTATCATATTGTCAGAAAGATCATTACAAGCTATACTAGAGTACACTACAGAATTGAGGGCCCTCTGCATGAGAGCAGAGGGCCTGCAATGGAAAGGATGTGACCGGCACTAAACATGAGCAGAGGAGAGCGCGGGCAAAACCTGTGCCAGAATGATGAGCCTGTGGGGAAAGGATGGGCCTGCACTCGTCTTGAACAAGTGCGGGCAGAGATACTCAGCGGCAGCGGCGGCGGGGGGTCAAGACGAGACGAGACGAGGCCGTGCTCATCTTGTAGGAGCATGGGTAGAGATGGTCAGCAGCAAGGAGACGGGACAAGACGAGACAAGGCCGCGCTTGTACAAGACGAGCATGGGCAAAGATAGTCGGCGGTGGGGGTCAGCATGAGATGAGACAAGGCCATGCTCATCTTGTACGAGCACAGGCAGAGATGGTCAGTGGCAGCAGCAAGAAGATGAGATGAAGCTGCACTCATCTTGTATGAGCACAGGCAGAGATGTGTGAGTAGCAGCAGTGGGGAGACAAAGGGAGATGTGCCCATGCTCATCTTGTACGAGTGCAGGCAGAGGCAGTGGTGGGTGGTGGCGGGGGAAAGAGCAAGGAGGGTAGCACAAGTTATTAGGCAATGACATGGTAGTGGCACATGCTGGCATGCGCCATTGCCACGTCAATGCGTCATTGCGTGTGCTGTTCTACCTCTTGCTCTTACCACTGTGCACACTTATACAAAACAAGTGCGGTTTCATTATCTCTCCACGCTACTGCCTATCTGCACCCATGCCCGTACTCTCATGCTGCCACTGCTGATCCCTGCCTGTGCTCACACAAGATGAGTATGGGCTCATCTTCTCTGGATGCTGCTGCCTGGTATTCTCTTGCTGCCACTGCCCAATCCTGTCTATGCTCATACCCTCTCACTTCTGCTGCCTATATGTGCTCATGCCCGTGTCCTCTCGCTTCTGCCGCTGCCAACCCCCATGCTTACACAGGACAAGTGTGGGCCTGTATTCTCTTGCCACCTTATGCCTGTGCCCATACCCTCTTGCTTCCACTGCCCATGGGTGCTTGTTCCCATGTCCTCTTGCTTCTGCCGCTGCTAATCCCTGCACTCGCATATGGTGAGTTTAGGCTTGCCTTCTTTCGATGCTGCTGCCTACCTGGGCCTGTGCTTGTCTCTCTTACTGCCATTGTCTCTCGTCGCCACTGTCTGCCTCCACTTGTGATTGTCTCTGCTGTTTTCCCTTGCTTTCTTATTCTTCACTCTTCCTTACTGTTTTGGCACTCACTTTGTAGAGTAGTAAGGCCTGTATACAAGAGCATGTAAAGCTCTATAAATTACAATTTTATCTGTGATTTTCATGGTTATAATTATGGGAGCAAGAGCCAATTCATTGGCAGGAATAGAATAAATATTCTGGGTGTAGTTATTATTAGTGTGGTCTATAGAGACTGTCTAGATGAGGAAATCTCTCAAGATTGTCTAGAAGACAGGCATCTCCCAAGACATCTCTAGAAGTGAAGTCTGAGGGTGATTTAGTGATGACTAGGGAGGCACCACTAGCTGTAAATCACATCTAGTGAACACTGTCAAACCGGGGTCTTACTTTTGGCCTCTAGTGGTCTAGTGCAGCTATACAGACCATTCAAGCTACTATATGGATTCCTGATATTGGTCCATGTTGTTATTATCACCATTGTTGCATTGTTGTTGATATCCCCAGCATTGTAAGTTATATTGTTGTTGTCATCTGGATTGCCTTCTAGGAGCTTCTAAGTCAAAATTCCTACCTTTGAGTATGTAATATGAGGAGCCATATATATCAAGGTGGAGCAAGGAAAGCTGAATGAGGAGGTAAAGGCATTGGGACCAGGGTATAGAGGTCAGAGACACCTTAGGAGAAGCACATGTCAAAATGACAAGTCACATTTGTGAAGACACATTGCTTATGCAGTTGGACTTCAAAATGCATCCTGCCTCCACCCCTCATGTCAAGTGTCACAAACAAGGCGCTTGAGACACAGTATATCATTATATGCACTAAGAATCACTTCTAATTTCACTATATGTGCTGATTCCCATCATTGACTGGGACCTCTAACTATACTTTCTTTATACCTTATCTTAGGCTCTCTTTTGAGCTGCACACTGACTACTTAGAACTTACTGATGACTAGACATTGTGTTGACTTCTTTTCTATGTGGGTTTGAATGTGAATTTTATAGATGCTCATCCCCTGCTTATTATTTGTATGCTATTGCATCTTTTTTTAAATCAATGTATGTAGAGGCAACCAATCACATGGTATGATCTAATATTATTAGACTTTGACCAGTGTCTTGAGTTTCCTTGATAATATCCCTTAATTTAGATGCTCTGCCAAATCATTTAGAAAATCACTTGTTTGTATTATGCTCTAATTAGTTCTATTTATGCATAATTAGGAATGATTAGAATTAGAGATTATTCACTTACACCCCCCCCTAAACCTGTTTTAATTAGACATAATTTTCCTAAATTAAGAATTATTAGGATTGATTATAACTTGAAATTTTGGTAAAATAATAATAAATCAAGCATCACAATTCTCATAGACTTCTTATAGAGTCATGTCTATTAGAGCACTAGTTAAATACCTAAACACAGAATATACCTTACAACAAACTTCCCTTTTGCTAGAGTTAAACCAACAACCTCATATATATAAGCACCCAGGACAGATGCTCTAAGCCACTAAGCCACCAGGTCTAATATATTAACTTGGTAATCTAAATAAGTAGACATAATATAGGCAACCTCAACATCTCTGATTTTATTCAACATTTATCTTTCCTTTCTTTAATAAATAAACAGGTCAATAAATACCCAAAAAGTCAAGTTTTTCAGGATTTAGTTTAAACACTAGCTAAGAAAATAATAAACCAATAGAAAATAAATAATACACTTTATATAGGGTAAAAACAAATTATGGTACTTATACAATTTGGATTTAGAATATTTAAAACTATAATTGAGTGTAATATTCAATAGGACTCTAATATAGACAATACTATCTTAATTTGCAAATTTGATCAAAAACATGATTATGAATAATTAGCCATAATTAGCTCAAATTAGTATTATCAATAATTATCAATAATCAAGATTCAATAAGAGAGAGGGGTTTTCCAAATAGCCACTAGTGAGGTAGAGGGTGGGGACAAGGGTATATGTATGGCATGCTTATATATAAATAAGCACAAAATTGTTGGAGATAATCTTAATAAGCTTGGTGCACATATTTCCTACATGGCAGGCAAATATATTATTTTAGCACCATATATCAACATGACTGTCTTTTCCATAGCCCAATAGCTAAAAAAACACCAAGTTTGAGCATCTTCTGTATAACAAGGCAATAGATAATATAAATAGTGCTAAAGATTGTAATATCAATAGTGATGATGATTGTGTGCTACACAAGACAGTATCAACCACTACACTAATAGACAAGGTTTATAAGGCTGCATATAGCACATCCCTAAGCCCAATCTGCATGTTATGTCCTATAATAACCAATGGCAAGCATTAGCTAACAATGGCAACTTTAATGATCTTGTGTGCAAGGCCAAGGTACAAAGGCAGCTAGAAAGTCAACAAAAGAGCTACAAGATAATGGTGCAGGAATATATGAAAGAGAGTAATGTGCTAAAATAGTGTAGAATGTGCCATATCTTTACCTTCTCACTGATAGAGCAGTAGTACTTACTATTTCCTACTACTAATTAAAGATTTCTTAGTATGGAATTAGTGCTAATATCATGAAATTAGAAACCAATCCAATGCTTACAATGTGTTGCTCCCAATTAGGAAATTAGACACTTTTAGATGCTATTAACACTTTTAGATACTTTTAGACACTATTAGATATAATCCAGAGCTAATACAAAGGGGTGGTTTTCAAGATGGAGGTGGAGTTGGCAAGGATGGCCTTTTGAGCCATTCTGGCTCTGAGCCATCTATCTATTTTGCAGGCTGTATTAATCCAATCCTGAATAGTGTCCTTTGGTTGAACTTCCTTGTCATATATTTTGTCCATGACATGTGGGTCTAACCCATGTTGGAAGTAAGGGACTTGTTCTTTGTCGGAAATGTCGGCATCAGCGGCAATGAGGATGAACTGGTTGGAGTATTCATCAACCGTCATTCATCCTTGAAAGAAGGCCATAAGTGCGCTTTGCGCTTTATTGGTCTTGCCCATCTCCCTGAACTGTAGTTTGAACTTTGCTAAAAAGTTCGCCCAGGTGCCTAGGTCAGTGGGAGGGTCTGCTCCCACTGATTTAAGAAGAAAGTTCTCCGCCCAAGCTCCTGCCGTGCCATATCTCATGCATGAGAGCACCAGGGATATCTTGTCTTGATTGGTCTTGTACCGGTCGGATTCTGCTGCAAAAAAGAGACATTGGAGCATGAATTTCTGGGATTTGATGCGGTTACCTGTGTAGTTGTCTAGGAGTTTGACCTGTCCTCTCCCGGGTTGTACTATTGTGGGAGGGGTGTTTGCAGAAGCCGAAGCTTGTCCCAATATTTCGGCAAGTGGTTCGTTTCGGGTGTTGATTGGTGTTTGGTCTAGTAATTGTTACGAAACGTCTCGCCTATGCTTACTTACTTCTTCCCACCTTCTTGATAAGGACTCATAGGACCTTTCTCCCGACTATACCTCGCGTTCCTGTTCCACTGATACTTGGTCCATGCATCTGCTTGTACATATTTATAGATACTGCGGCGCAGTGTGGAAGCCCTAGGCTATCCACTTCTGTCCAATCTAAGAACTGCTGTTCACACAGTCTTCTCTGATTGCAAGACACTAGTCTGATCAGTCCCGATCATCCTCTCAAACCCTCTCTCATCATTCGTGGCCTAGGATCCTCTCGTCCCGAACAGCCGTTCGTGACATCTGGATAGCCTCTCCACACACAATCCTACTCCACCCTTTTCTTTGCAGCAGAACACCGGCTAGATACATACGGCGCTAGGCAGTCCCAAAAGACAAGCATCCGTCGACCGTAGTAGTTACTATACACTTCGAGCAAACGGTTGGACGATTCCACTTCAGTGTGGGTTGTTTCAGGTTGTAGAATACTTCTATCTGGTAATCAACCCAGTGGAAGTATGACCGAAACAACTGCACTCGACGTTACGTACGGTACTATACCAGAAGCAGAAATACTGTACCCGGCCAGAACGAGCTGCTGTTGCCTTGACCCTCGAACCTTGATCAGGTCGAGACTAGCGCGGGCTCTTTGATCTAACAAGACGACTTCCAAAGGTTCAGGAAGAAGCGTAGGGCGAGTTCCACACGGAACCGACTACTTGAAACATTCCGACACATTTGTCCATTTCGGACAACCGATCAGAAGGACATCCAAAGGAAACTGGGTTTACGTAGGAGGACAGAACAGCGGAAAAACAGTCGACGCCCCACTAGTACCCTGGGAAGACAGGAAGGCACCCCTCAGAACCGTAGATTCCCCCATCCGAACAAAACCTGTTCTATCACCGATTGATATTCTCAAAGAGGATATCGAAGAAACCCCAATTCCTGCAGGAGTATTAACACCAGTTGACGAAGAAGACCCGGAACCTGTAGCAGGACCGAGTCAACCAAATCCCAACCTGAACCTGCAACCGAACCCTCTACCAAGCACCGACACCACAGACGACGAAGACGAAATGTCGGACAGAGGAAACAAACCGAAAGATTTCGATGGCACAAGGTCGAAATACAGAGAATGGATATATGAATGTCACATGTACATTCTCGCCAATCCGACCAAGTACGACACCGATAAGGATAAAACCCTGATGGTGTTGTCGTACATGAGGGAAGGGACGGCATCACTCTTCGCCCAGAAATATTACTTCGACAGGGAACTTCGAGAATACAAGGCGACAGAGACAAGAAAAACGTGGGGAACATTCAAGGACTTCTTGAAGGAATTGGCCACTGCATTCAAAGATGAAAGTCTCGAACAGAAGGCAAGACAGAAGCTATTCACAATGAGAATGGGAAAGCAGTCAGCAGACGAGTTTGTCATGGACTACCTCATGACGGCAGGAGAAAGTGGATTCGATCTCGAATCCACCGTCGACTACTTCCGTCGCGCCATACACCCGGAGATCCTCAAACAAATTTACAGACTCCCTGACATGCCGACGACAATGGACGATTGGGTAAAATACACCCGAAGGTTCGATAATCAATGGAGAGAGTTGCAGAGCATAAAAAGCTCCGTACCCTCTGCTGCTGTTCGATCCAGCAACCCTTTCCGCTACAACTCATCCAACGCTCCATCCTCTATGAACAACTCCGTCGTCCCCATGGCTGTAGATTTGGTCAGAACGACCCTCACCGATGAAGAGCGCAACCGCCTCAGAATGGAGGGTGGGTGCTTCTATTGTCGCCAGAAAAGACATATGGCAAACCAATGCCCTGTCAGGGGTTCGTCTAGGATATATGAAGGGCCAGCTAGATATGTTCAACAGAGTAGTGGAACGATGGGGAACCGCTCGGCTCAGACCGGCGGCAGGATGGGAGGTGGAGGAAGCGGCTATGGCCGAGCGTTCTCGGCAGGAACTTCAGGCGGTGCTCAGGGAGGCGCTGCGGCGCAAGGTAGAGGCATGGCGACGACTAACCCGTTCCGAGCCCGACTCGCAGCTCGCCAGGCCCACGCACCCGGACCGGATGCGCCTGTACGTGAGACGGAGCATGAGATTAGCCGAGAAGAGATCCAAAGGGTTATTGGGAAGATGAGATGGGATGAACAGGAAGCACTCCTCCAGGAGTTAAGCGAGATGAGTAAGAAGAAGGAATCGGATTTTTAAATAGGCCTACGGCCCCGGTGTACCGTAGACCTATCCCAGACTCCCCTGTAAAAACATTCGTACGGCTCACGAAATCCAATCAGAAATCGTCTATGAGGATAAACGTGCATCTAAAACACAGAAGAGGAACCACCGAAGCCCAGGTATTGATCGATTCGGGAGCAGAAGGACTCCTCATCGACAAACAATTCTGCCTCAATAATAACATACCAACGCAGAAGATCGACAGGCCTATCCCTGTGTTTAACGTAGACGGAACAGCCAACGACGGAGGAAAAATCACCGACAAAGCCTGCGTGCTTATGAGAATAACAAATAAAGAAGGCGACTATCACGACGAACAATGCGAACTACTAGCCGCTAACTTAGGAGGCGAAAACGTGATCCTGGGAACAGACTGGCTGCATGAACATAACCCACAGATAAACTGGGTAAAAAACAACCTTACGTTCTCAAACTGCGCTACCACATGTCTAGTCAGCCGACCCAAGTTTACCATACAAGCACTGACGCCTGCACGGCAAAGAAAAAACAGAACGATCGGATATTCCAGAATAGAAGACGATCCGGAAGAAGACGAAATCGAAGATACCTTCTTCTCCGAATTCTACGAGGAATGGTACTATCAAAACCCACTAGAAGTACATCCCCTTGAAGCAATTCATATCGGTTCCATCGGAAACAAATCGCAACAGCTGGCAGAAAAGGCAAACAAGGCAAAAACGGAACGACCTATCGAGGAAATCGTTCCGGCGTACATACTTAAACGATTTGCCAAAATCTTCAGTCAGGAAGCTTCACAGCGACTTCCAGAACACTCACAATGGGACCATAAGATCGATATGAAACCAGGATGGGAGCCAATGGGGTGTAAACTGTACCCGCTGACGGAAGAGGAGGAAGACCAACTCCACGAGATGCTCCAAGAGCACCTAAAACGAGGAACCATTAGGATATCTAAATCTCCGCAAGCGTCACCCTTTTTCTTCGTAAAAAAGAAGGAAGGAAGTCTACGACCAGTGCAAGATTATCGGAGACTAAACGAATGGACCATAAAAAACAAATATCCACTACCCCTGATTGACGACGTAATAAGAACCATCGCCAAATCGAAGGCGAGGATCTTCTCTAAGTTTGACGTAAAATGGGGGTACAACAACATCCGCATAGCAGAAGGCGACGAATGGAAAACAGCCTTCATGACCAAATTCGGCCTATTCGAATGTCTCATGATGTTCTTCGGTGTCTGTAACTCACCCGCCACTTTCCAAACAATGATGAACATCATTTTCCATGACCTCATTGTGGCACAAGTCCTGGCAGTCTATATGGATGACATTTTGGTATTCACGAAAACCATCGAAGAACACCGACGCGTGACGACCCAAGTCATGCAAATACTCTTGGACAATGACTTGTTCCTGAAACCCTCCAAGTGCACTTTCGAAACAGACACGGTTGAATACCTCGGATTTATTATCTCCGCGGACAATATATCTATGGACCCCGTCAAGGTTGATGGAATCGCTGCCTGGCCAACCCCGAAGAACCTAAAAGAAGTACAATCCTTCCTAGGCTTTGGAAACTTCTATCGCAGGTTCATCAAAGACTTCGCCACGACGGCCCGACCCCTCAACGACCTTACAAAGAAAGATGTTCCATTCGAATGGACTCCCGAAAGGGACGAAGCATTTGAACGACTAAAGCATTGTTTCACGTCGACTCCTGTCCTTGTCTACCCGGACGGTAATCGCCCATTCCGTCTTGAGACCGACGCCTCAGACTTCGCCTCGGGAGCCATCTTGTCACAAGAAACGCCCAATGACGGATGGCACCCCGTCGCTTACTTGTCCAAGTCATTTAATGCGGCCGAACGGAACTACGACATCTTCGATAAGGAACTGCTTGCCATCATCCACGCCCTTGATCACTGGCGCGTATACCTTGAAGGTGCACGACACCCGTTCGAGATCTGGTCCGACCACAAAAATCTCCTGTACTTCTCTACCGCCAGAACTCTCTCCCGCCGCCAGGCACGCTGGTCACTCTTCCTCTCCCGCTTCGACTTCACCCTCGTCCACAAACCAGGCGTTACTCACCGACCCGATGCTCTGTCCAGGTGTCCAGACCTGAAAGAGGGGGTAAAATTTGACAACGAAAACCAGGTACTACTACAATCTCAAATGTTCGTCAAAAGTGCAATGGGACGAGGAACAATCGAAATGCTTGATAGCCAACTGAGACGAAAGCTAAGAAAGGTCACAGCCAAAGATAAAGAAGTAACAGATGCGATGGAACTCATCAAAGCATCCGGACCCAGAGCACTCTCAAAAGGCCTACAAGAATGGAACTATGAAGACGATCTCATCTGGCACAAGGGAAAAATATACGTCCCACCAGACGATGGACTTAAAAGACAAATCACGAAAATATACCACGATTCACCAGCAGCGGGACACCCGGGAAGATGGAAGACCTATGTCCTAGTGTCCGATAACTTCTGGTGGCCAGGAATGTCCACATTCATAAAAGAATACGTAACAGGATGTGCAACGTGTCAATACACCAAGAATATCACACACCCCACACACACCCCACTCATTCCTAACAAAATACCAGAAGGACCCTGGCAGACAGTCACCATGGACTTCATTACGGATCTTCCACAAGTCGGACCATATAACGCGATACACGTAACAGTGGACAGAAGCACTAAAGGAGTCGTCTACACTCCATGCAACAAAACCATAGACGCCGAAGGAACGGCCGACCTCTATATGAAGAATGTCTGGAGACGATTTGGACTCCCACAAAAGATCATCTCCGATAGAGGTCCACAATTCGCCGCTCGATTCACGAGAGAACTATGGAAGAAGTTAGGAGTCACGACAGCGTTATCGACCGCTTATCATCCCGAAACAGATGGTGAAACAGAAAGAGTAAACCAAGAATTGGAACAATATCTGCGAGCATTCTGCAATTACGAGCAAACAAACTGGCCTGAACTACTACCATACGCCGAATTCGCACATAACATAAGGGAACATTCAGCCACGCATCAATCACCATTCGAACTCATGTACGGCTACAATCCGACCTTCGTACCCCAAATCACACCAAGGTCCGACATCCCCGGAGTGGAACTAAGACTAGAAAGGCTAGAACAACTTCGAAAAGAAACGAAGGCCAGCTTGGAAGTCGTGGCAGAATTAATGAAAAGAAAAACCGCCGAGAACGAAGTCAAGTTAGAAGCAGGGCAGAAAGTTTGGCTCTCGGGAAAAAACATTACCACTACACACCCAAAGGACAAATTAGCCCCTAAACTACACGGACCATTTGAAGTAGAAAGCAAACTAGGACCAGTGACGTACAAATTAAAGCTTCCGCCAACATGGAAAATACACCCCGTATTCCACGCCTCGTTAATCTTACCCTATCAAGAAACAGCCGCACACGGCCCCAACTTCGAACAACCACCACCTGACCTCATAGACGGACAGGAGGAATACGAAGTCGAAGAAATTCTTGACAAGAGGAAACGAGAACGCGGGTATCAATACCTAGTACACTGGAAAGGATACCCGAGCTCCGCGGATGAATGGGTCACGAGAGCAAACCTAGGGAATGCTAAAGAACTTTTGGAAGCATATGACACGCGACATCATAATTTACCATTACGGGCAGCCCTTGCAAACATCGGACAAACAAAGTCAGAAACATACAAAAGCCCAAATTCAATCATTACAATTCCCTCATTCCTTCAATCACTCATTCACCCTCCCAACGAACATGTCTTCCAACGAGTCCATCCACCCCTCTTCTGAAGACATTCTCATCGAACAAACGCCCTCCACCAAACCCTCCATTCCTTCGACCCCCGAGATGTCCATAGTAGAAGAACGGTCCGTACCATGGGACACAGACGAAGAACAAGCAGCACGGGAAGCGGAAGAGGGATTCAGCGAGTATCTGGAAGGACTGGACGAGGATGAACGACAACAGGATGAGATGATCAGACTATTCACGGAGGACTTCGACAGACCTTCACCTTCCCACTCTCCCTCTCCACCACCCCTTATCCACACACCAAGCGAGGGGATCGTATTTCCCGACAGAGAAACGTATCTGACGACTCCCGTCGCCTACATGATGGGGCTTATCGAAGGCACGCCGAACACCGAATTTGTATCGGGACCAACTAGACCGGAAATTCAGAGGGCGTTGGAGATCCTGGAAGAAGAAAGGAGCTTCGTCCGACACGCACAACGAGCCTTACAGATCAGAGAGGGAACGCTCATCGCCCGCATTAATGCAGGCGAGAGGAAGCTCATAGGTCTAGACCAGACAACACCCCTTCGGGACACCTTTCATCCCGCCGATGACATCACCCCTGTCACTGAATATCACATGCCAACCACGGCTGTGGTATCTCGTGCCTTGTCTTCGGCCTCAAATGGAGCGCCACTTCGCCCAATGCCGGGGGCTTACCCCATGGAACGCGGCAGAGGAAGGGACGTCTATAGGTTCGCACAAATATCGCCTCGCTACCACATTGTACCCGCACGACTGGGCTTAATCTGCCCTTCTACCCGAACTCGACCTCCCCTTCCCTTTGTCGAGTATGACTCCAGCGAGTCCGACACCCAACCCATCGTCCTCCGTCCTCGAGGTGCTTGAAGAATGAGACGCTGACGTCCGGTACGACGTAAAACTGCCGGGGCAGACGACGGTTCGAATCCGTTGGGCCGGTACCCACTGCCATGATGAGAAGAGGGACTTGGCTCTAAAACGCAGTCCCCGCATGGTTGGTAACGAGGTGGGATATCATGACGTCCGTACTCAAGGGCTATTGTGTCATGACTCGACTGTGGGCAGCGAGAATGTGTGCCCTAAATATTATTTTGTACGACTCAAACTACGCGCATTGCTTATGTTTTTCCTGGACTCTTACTTACCGTCTCTGGCACTGACGGCCTAGAGGGGGGGGTAATGTTACGAAACGTCTCGCCTATGCTTACTTACTTCTTCCCACCTTCTTGATAAGGACTCATAGGACCTTTCTCCCGACTATACCTCGCATTCCTGTTCCACTGATACTTGGTCCGTGCATCTGCTTGTACATATTTATAGATACTGCGGCGCAGTGTGGAAGCCCTAGGCTATCCACTTCTGTCCAATCTAAGAACTGCTGTTCACACAGTCTTCTCTGATTGCAAGACACTAGTCTGATCAGTCCCGATCATCCTCTCAAACCCTCTCTCATCATTCGTGGCCTAGGATCCTCTCGTCCCGAACAGCCGTTCGTGACAGTAATGAGTCAGAGTCTGACTGTGAGGTTGGTTCCTTTTGCTCCGAGTCTTCGGGGATTACCAGTGCCGGTTCCTTGTATTGGGGTGGTAGGTCCCAATGATTCTCTACTTCGTTCCAAAGTCTTTCTTCCTCGGTTCTGTCGTCAAATGCAAAAAAGTAACGCCCATTTTGGAATGAGCAGTTATCGTAATTCGGTGGGGCGATGTGATTGGTGTCGTTATAGAGCCAATGGATCCCCTTGTGCCAGATAGGGCGATTGTTATGACGGAGTTGGTTGTCTATGCATCTAGTGCCGGGAGGGTATTCTCGGCCTAGGTCTTGCTCCAGAGTGTGTGTAGTAATACTTTCTTAATGGGGGTCTATTATCCCCACTAAGGAAGGTTATGAGAAAGAGTGTGGCAGCAAGCTAGTGTGGGCAAGGTAGGGGCAGAAGAGTCTATTCTAGTGTTATGAACTGCTCGTTCGGTAACCCCAAGAGTAGGAGGTTCTTCCCTAGGTTGCTCGTAGAGGAAGGGTGGAACGATGGTCTTGACTGTACGTGTAGCACAGGAGCCAGAGATGTATTGCAGAGGCTGCAGTAGGAAGACTGCAGTATAACGAGGATGCTGTGGTAGGGAGACTACAGTGAACAAAGGGATACTGTAGGAAGACAGTATCAAAACGAGGAGAATAGACTGAAGATCATCAGCCTATTCTATGGGCCTTTTATACTACTTTAGGAAGTAGGGCATGAGAATACCGTTGATGAGCATGCACCCGCGCTAGGGTCCGAGGGAGGGATTCGGGAAGCTTTGGGGAAATACCGAACAGTGCTAGACAAGTACCGAAGTCGCCGACTTTTACCGAACACGGTCGGTCCCTACCCGACCGACGACAAGCCACCGAAGGACGATTCGGCAGCACTTGGGTCAGTTCGCCCACACTTCACGTACTTACCATGACCGCACAGGAGGGTTACGATAGGTGTGTACGAGATCGGAGCCAGTATTCCGTATCGGCCGATGTCCTCTGTGAGTCGGTCGGTCCTTATCGCTTATCGTCCCGACTTCCGCATGGTCGGTCAAACACGATCTTACACCATTGCTTGGCCACCCTGGTCGTACGATACCTCTTCTTTATTTTTCATTGGTTCTCCAACACCTGTTCCTGCTACCTACACTCGGGCGACGGATCCCGAACGTTTGGGATTTCGACATCACTGATTACCTTTTACCTTATCACCTTCGGAACCCATATGGACATCTCACCTACCTCCTTATCTTCTCTGATCGCTAAGGCTTGGCGCCCATTCGACATCTACTCTCATTTCAGGTTCGATATTTTACTTAGGGGCGCTGTTTACTATAAAAACCTACATACAACTCTGGAATAAAGCAGCTTTCGCACCCCACAGTTCAGAGCTCATTCGCACTCGTCTCAACCATCGAAATCGTCTTCATCGACTCCCGAAAACTTGTCATCTTCGTCGTTCGGCCTTGTTCGCGTTCGTACTCGTCTCTTCGCTCGTACCCCTAGTCCTTCCTCGTATATTGTCAGAGTCCCGTGTGGCTCTTGAAGCACGTAGTTGTCGGTCGCGACACTACCTCCTCGTTACCGACCGAATCGCCGACACGACCGACCGAACGTTCGGTCGGTGTTCGGTGCAGTCCCGAAACCGTTCGGGCGCTATAATCTCCACTCCTCGCTGCTTCTCAAGTGCGCCGTCGATTTCTAAAGTCATCACTAACGATTCCTTGTGTAACAGAAACTAGCTCCAGCACCCCTGCATTAGAGGTTGTTTTAGTGTTGTGCTCGGCACTTAGAGCCACCTCTAGCGTATCACCGTATATGTATCTGTAGGTATTCTCTAAGTTGTCTCTCTCAATAATGGCTATTCTTGTGCTTCTCCATTCGTCTCCTTCCAGCCAAGAAAGACTAGGAGTTCTATACCTGGTGTATGAGTAGTTTGTAAGGTGGCATTCCATGCTTGCTGCAATAAGGCCCATGATACTCGACCAATGATAGGTGATCCGTTGGGAGTGGATGACCAAGGTTATTATCTGTACCTTGTTATACGCCTCAACCTGTAAGGCCACTTGATATTTGTGATGATCGTATTGGAATAGACCACTATTAAGGCCTAATAAGTCATGATCATAACAATAAATGCCCTAAAAATCAGGGCTGATATTTGAATTTAGGCACTAGACAATGATATTGTAAACTAATAAAAAATAAAGAATACAGTAAAAATAAGATTGTAGCACTTACACAATTTGGATTTAAAATGTGTAAACTTGTAATTGGATTGTAGATTCCAATAGGACTATAGTAGTAAAGACAATATTACCTTTACTTGCAGATTTGATTATAAAGTTGATTATGGATAATATATTCTGATTAGCTCAGATTAGTATTTTGAATAATTAGATCTAATTAAAAGAGGAGGTTTTTCCAGATGGAATCAGTTAAAACATTGAGGGCAGGTTCAAATCAGAGGAGACATCGTGAACAAGAAATCAAGAACTAGCTGTTGTCTACCACAAGGTCTCGCAGCTGCACAAGTCGTGGTTGCGACATTACATGGACAAAGTGAAAACCATGTGGATGCCATGCCGCAATAGGGAGCGATAGAATCAAGTGCGCCAGGAAGCACTGTTCCTTACGGAATGGACTGTATCAAGTGGCCCCGGAGCAAGCGATATCCTAAATGAAGATGTTATTAGACAACCAAAGTAGAATTAGTTCATCACTCACATCAAAATCGTCTCGAACAGGGTTTCGCGATGCGCATGTTGCCCCCCAGCAAGTGTCACGATACAACAGGGAGTGAACAAGCCTCTTTGAGTTTGCGATCAAAACGTTTGTTGTCGCCAGCAAGGACTGCGACAACGAACAAGGAGGAGCTGGACTGACAATGGGACTCATCTGGGCCAGTATATTGATTGCACGAGATTGGATCCGAATGCTCCTTGAGATATCAGACAGACAGCACAGGCCTGGCGGAATGGGAAAGCCAAACACCTCTGCAAGTCTGCGATCGAATCACGCCGCGTGTAGCCACAAAATGCATATCCACTGCATGCATGATTAACTCTGCTCCTCAAGGGCTTCAGCGTATTTCGCCCGTCAGCTGTGATGCGAACTGCTTGACGTTGGCGTCAAGACCGGACCATGTTAAACCCTTCTACTTACGCCCAAGGATACATGAACAATTCGTCTGGAACTCGATGACCTAGCAATGCTCAGAAAATCAGATCCGAAGACATACCGAGTGTTGGCTTGCATTGTATTGACGTACTTCAGCAATTATTTCGCAAACCGCATGATAGCAGCCGACAGCTCCTCGGACAGTAGGCGAGGTCGAGTGAAGGGCACGCGGGGCGGTCGCGGGGCTGGCAGTTGTGCGATTCTAGCACAATGACATTGCGCGTGTTCGAGTTCCCTGAGTCGTGTCCTCGTGAGCCCCTCAAGAAGCCCTCAGGCCCCTCATGCAGTTATGGCGGCCTCGATAGAAGCACCAGTGACGGTACAGGGGTAATCCCTAGTTATTGGACCTGGATAGGTGCACGATCAGTAAAACCGATGATGCATCCCGTTCAAAAACAAGGGCGCCCACCGCGAAGCCCCGGAAAATGAAGCAATCCGATGGCTTCCTTTGATCCTGGGCCGTGTGGTGTGGATATATATGTTGTATTCTGTGGAATGTACTTTGCGGGAGCTGCAGGGCCGCAGTAAGGAGCAGAGAGAAGGACGTTGCGTACCTCGATTCCGGCGACTTTGATTTGTTGTTGTGAGCACATGGCGTCCTCCGCTATCCGTTGTCGCCAACGCGCTTTTCTTCCCAGCCAACTATGTCGTCCTTACGGATCCGGAATCGCTCATGTGCACTGCTGCTATATATACGCTGACAATAGTGTGGCATATCTCCTTTCACCTGGTCGTTATAAATACCTAAGGCCATCGACGTGTCGCCAGGTCTCCTTCCTTCGCGCTCACCCATGGCTCCCCTCACGTCTCTCTTGGTGGGCACTCTCGCTCTCGTGACATTGGCACTACTTCCAGACATCAACGCGAGGCAAATAAACCCTAGCACGGTAAATGCGAAGAGGCACGAAGCAGCAAGACGCTGGAGCAAGTCGGCACGCCGCGGCGGGCAAGCGAGACGGGCAGATTCGAAGAACATCACGTTCACGAACCCCAGGGCGTCTGGTGCGTCCATTCTTCACGTCCGCAACGTCGGGTTTCCCGGCGGGCGCGTGGGGGGCGCGCGCGGTGCTGACGCGTCGGATGGGGTTGCGCAGAGTTCTGGGTCGATGGGGCGACACTTCCTGAGGTCGATTTCGACATCGGCTCGTCGTGGTCCGGGTTATTGCCGATCAGCGGCGCGGCGAACGAGACGCGCGAGGTGCGTTCCTCTTTTCTCCTTCATGTTGTCATTTTTGCTGGGCTGAGGCGGCGCGGGCCCAGTTGTTCTTTTGGTTTTTCCCGCCCGGTCCGGAGGGGAGTTTGGATGACTTGATATTTTGGTATGTTGCACTCCCGCTTTCGTTCCATACAGGACGAGCTGATTGTTCTGCGCGTTGTCAGGACAAATGGCGGCCCAGGCTGTTCGTCGCTCGAGGGCGCGTTTCAGGAGAACGGGGTGCGCTGAGAATATCCTTTCTCTCACGCGATCCAACATTAATATTTGCTTTTGTGTTCTTGCTTTTGTGTTTCCTTGTGTGGTACCTTGCTCTTTTGTGTTTGATGCCCAGCCTATCACTTGGTCCTGGGGCCAAGCCAAGGCCACGCAAAACGAGTTCAGCTGGACCAATCTCTCTAGTATTCTATTTGTTGAGCAACCCATCGGTACCGGGTTCTCACAGGGCACACCTACCGCGCGCGTACGTTGTTTCTTTTGTTGAAGATACATGACTGACAAAATTATGGCGCGGAACACAGAACGAAGATGATGTCGCGGCGCAACTCGTCGGGTTCTTTCAGCAGTTCCTGGAGGTCTTCAGCGAGTTGAAGGGCAAAAAGTTCTATGTGACTGGCGAAAGCGTGGGTCTTTTGTCTTCTCACCGACATGTTAGATACTCATAGATTCAACGATAATGTAGTATGCCGGGATGTACGTGCCATGTAAGCTGATTCGTCCAGTATACATATCGAATGATAGGCTGACGTCATAGCAGACCTCGCTAACTACATTTACGAGCATCCTGGCGAGCTCGACTTACATCTGCAGGGTTTCTGGGTTTCCGATCGTACGTCCACCTGTGTCTTTGGCAACCGCACCGTTTTCTTGTAAGACTGATTCACATTGCTTCTACGTGTAGCTGTCCTTGGCTGGGACGTCGTGCAAACCCAAATCCCGGCGGTGAAATTCGTACACAAGTACGAAAACGTATTCGCGTTTAAGTATGTCCTGTTCGCAATCAAATACTGCCTTACCGTTGACCCCCGTTTGATTTGCATAGCCAGACGTTCCTCGCGCAGCTCGACTCGATGGCTGAACAGTGCAACTACGCGGATTACTTCGATAAGTTTGTGACTTACCCGCCTACTGGCCTGCTGCCGTTGCCTGGCAGCTCAGTCGAGGCGGACGATGGCTGCGACGTCTGGGATGCGATCTTTGAAGCGGCGCTCCTTGTGAACCCTGCGTTCGACATCTATAGAATTTTCGATACCGTACGCTCAGAGTCCGTTTCTCGTTCTCTGCTCTCTGATTCGAGAGCCGTGGGTTTTCCTCCCAGTACCCGATCTTGTGGGACGTCCTAGGGTTTCCAGGCTCGTTTGCCCAGACACAGGTATCGCCGCTCTATTTTGATAGGCTGGATGTCAAGAAGGCGCTACACGCGCCGACGGACGTGGAGTGGGCAGAGTGCTCTGACGTCAACGTGTTTCCCCGTGGGGATGCGAGCTTGCCGCCCGCATTTACGGTGCTTCCGAACGCCATTGAGAAGAGCAACCGCAGCGTGATCGTCCACGGTCTGGCCGACTTTATCTTGATCGCTGAAGGGTGAGTCTCCTTTAAGCGTGAGGCTGCGTCGTGCACGACTGACCTTTGGAGCGCGGTGTTTGCACGCCGCACAGAACAAGGATCGTTCTTCAAAAGTAAGCGCCGCATCACCTTGTCTGATAAAGGTGTAATGACGGATCAACAACCCTTCTCGCTTAAATTCTCTTCGTCTTAGTACGACCTGTAAGTCCGCTCTATTTACGGTTTCTTATTCCGCATAAGGCACGCTGAATAATTACGCCTTCTATTAGGGGCCGGCAAGCAGGGCTTCCAGACGCCCATCCAGAACGATTCTTTCATCGTTGATGGCGTCGGCGCGCTTGGGAACATGCACTCAGAACGCGGGCTGACCTACTTCGAAGTAGCGCTCAGCGGGCACATGTGCGTTTACCGTCCGGTTCTAGTTTCCCCATTGGTCACTCACTCTGTCCGTTCTATTCGTTGCTGCTGCGGTGCAGGGTCCCACAATTCTCTCCCATGGTATGCTATGACCGGTCTTTGTTTGCGTCGCGCCTGTACTGACGGCGTTCATTTTTCTCTGCGACCATCATGTTTCGTGTGTACAGGCGGGAATGCAGATAATGCAGTACTTGATGGGTTTCAGGGAGAGCCCATAGAATGGTGAAGTGTTCGTAGGGCTGGATGTAGTGCATGTAACAACGTAGTTGCCTTGGTCATTATTGATTGTTCCAAAACGTGTCTTGTGAGAGCAACGGTGCTTGATGGACCAGTGCAAGCGCTATGGGAAGCCAGATCAACGCTTCGATGTTCTGGCAGGCCTGATCTCTGCGGGCGCCTAGCATCAATCTCTGCGGGCGCTTGGAGGAGCCGAGAGCGTAATTACATAAGCAACGCCTCAGCCCTGGGTCGGTGGGTCATCGTGGGAAAATGCATCGAGGCTCAAAGACTGGCAGAAAACAGAACAGGCGCCAATTCCCCTCTTGCTCCTCGACCACAACCATGTCTGACCTTGACGCTGACCTCTACGCAGGTGCGCCGCTGCGTTCTTTTCGATGCTGTCTCGCCGTGCTGACCCGCTTTTCGTCCACTACGCAGATTTGTATGGCACCGACGATGCTGACTTCGTGGCTGACCCTACTGTCAAGGTGCCGCCCGCGCATGAAGAAGCCCAGGAACCAACATCACAAGCTATCGACAAAACCTCAGACTCGGCAATTCCATTGCACTCACGGCCTGTAAAGGCGGATCCCCCAGAAGAGCCCTCATCCGCGCCGACGACACCCACCACGGCTCCTGTTTCCTCGGCGCCTGTTGCATCCTCCAGCACTACCCTAGTTCCGAAACCGGAGTCGGCTGACTCGACCGGTGGACAGCCGCAATCGACCGCTGCCACGCCCGTGCCTGCCCTCGTGACGCAACAGATACCGACCTACCAGGAGCCCTTAGAGGACGACTACCATGCCTCCTATGGAGGCGCCGCGAACGGTGGTTACCAACAAATATCGGTCCAAGAGCGGTCAATTAGACCCTCCGAGATGAAAGACGAAGGGTGAGTGGGAATGCTCTAGTCTATACTCACTTTATGTGTCTAGGAAGTATAGTTGGAAGGGGTCGCTAGCAGTCACCATTATGTTTTACCGTCGTACCGCGTAGCTGGCCTTGGATATATGGAGCGCGCGCGACAGCGTTGTTGTAGTCGTTGCCTAGCATTATGCCCCCGCTGTCGTGTCGCCTAGGACTAGCGCTAGCTTCTACCGTCGCACTCTAGGTCTAGGCTAGGCTAGCACTACACACGAAACATGCGCTGTTGACCAGTATAGTCACCTTATCTCTCTTTTCCCCTTTGCGCCGTGACCTCATGTTTTAGGCTACTGGCACTAATAGTGATCTCTGCTTTTTCTATGTCCACGTCGCTCGTGCATCTATCCGTGCACCTTGAACGCAAATGCCACCGCCACGCTGTATCACAATGTCTCACCGACAACTCTGTATTGCTATCATGATACGCCCGCGCATATAGCAAGATGTTCATAGGGGGTCTCAATTGGGATACTACAGATGGTACATCGTATGACTCTGCTCCTGTACATTCCATAGAGCTAAATAGTATCTTTTATTTTACCTTGTATCCATAGACTCGTTGAGAAAGTACTTCTCCCAGTTTGGCAAGGTCGACGCATGCACCATCATGCGCGACGCCGCCGGCCGCTCGCGGTGCTTCGCATTCCTCACATTCGACGACCCGGCGTCTGTGAATGCGGTCATGGTCCGGGAGCATTTCCTGGATGGAAAGATTGTGAGGAAGCCCTTTTCTTCGTCCTGCGCGCCCGCAGAATCGATAGGCGCCGGCCATGGCTGACATCTCGCTCCCCTGATAGATCGATCCCAAGCGCGCGATCCCGCGGCAGGAACACCAGCGTGCTACGAAGCTCTTCATCGGCGGCCTTGCGGGCAGCGTCACCTCCGAGTCGATGCGTGAATTCTTCTCACAGTTCGGTAAGGTGGTGGACTCGACCGTCATGCTAGATCGGGAGACGGGACGGAGCAAGGGCTTCGGATTCGTGTCGTTTGAAGACACGGATGTGACGCCCTTCCTCGGCTTTGGAAACCTGGAGATCGACGGCAAGATGGTGAGTGGCCTGCTCTTTTTTTTTGTAGCGGAAAACGCGCTGTCTTCGCTAAGCGCTGGATTGCTGACTTTAATCTTCTGCTTTGGCGCCGTCGCAGATCGATGTCAAACTGGCACAGCCGCGCTCCCAGCGTGATAATTTCGAAGAGAACGGAAGGGGCCGCGGTGCGGGCCCAAACTTTGGCGGCGGCGGCGGATATGGCGCCCAGGGCGGCGGAATGGGGGTAGGTGTCGGTGCTGGCGGCGGCGGTAACGCCGGTCAGTATGGAAACCAGGCGGGCGCGCAGGTGACACCTCAAATGGGCAATACGCCTTTTGATCCGCAAGCGCTTGCGACGCTCTACACGCGCATCGCATCGTCCATGGGCGGCATCAACTCCATGATGGGCGGCGGGATGAATCCAATGATGGGCGGTGGGATGAACCCGATGATGGGGAACATGGGAGGTGGCATGGGAGGCATGGGCGGCGGAATGGGCGGCGGGATGGGTGGTGGCATGGGCATGGGCATAGGCATGGGAGGTGGCGCGCAGAATATGGGCATGGGCATGGGCATGGGTCGGGGCATGGGTCTGACTGCCGATCCGCGGCTCGGGATGGGAAGGGGTGGGCCTGCAGGTGGGGCAGGGGGCATTGGGCCGAACGTGCCAAAGGGACCGCGAGCAGCAAATGCGCAGGGCGGTGGACAGGGCGTCGGGCCCCAACGTGCCGCCCCGCGTGGCCAACACGGCTACCACCCTTATTCGCGTTGAGAGACGGGGGTACCAGCACGACGGACGACTCCTGCGCCACCCCTTTCCGCGGATCTATGGACTTCTGGTACGGTCTCGCTTTCTACCTCGATATTTGCGTTTTTATGCAGCCTGTCGAAAGCTGTGAAAATTGTGTACGCGACGTGTCAGCTCTTCTCGAGTTACTGTCAGGTCCTGTCGTTCTATCTTGTATTATTCGTTGCCTTCGCTTTACACTACCGTAGTCGCGGATGCTATATAGTATGTCCCTGCTCTTCAGCATTGGTATTTAACAGCGCGGGTGTTTGATGTTCACGCTGGATAGCCATATATGCAGACTAATTTGCCCTCGTGCGGTCGCTCGCAGATATCTCGTATGGTAAAAACCTTATAGTAAGCGACGACTTCGACTGCAGCCTCAATGTACGGGACAACTCCTATCATGTGATAACATGTACGTTAAGTATTTGATAACATACACGTTGCGGACGCGTGCCATATTTAAGTCGGCTATTGCGGTCATCCCCGGGACCCACAGACACCCACGTCTCCCAATCCATCAATCAAAACGGAATGTTTCCCTTAATATCTTAACCTGGCTAGAGCGAGCGCTGATGTCGACAACCTCTCCAGTGACTATGGTCGCATCCGACACCATTGTCCTTCCACTGGAACTCTTGGAAGAAATATTTGACATCACAGCTTCATTGTCGACACAACCGTGTCTCATACTTTGCCTCGTATCGTCATGGGTTCACCGTCGGGTCATACCATACCTCATGAGCCAGATCGTTCTCGCCTCGTTCACCGCAACAGACTCATTCTATAACCAGCTCTTTTATACGCGACGCCGTGTAGGAAACCTAGTAGACCCTGTTTTACACATACGCGACCTTTGGCTCCCTGATGACTGCCCGCTGCTATCAAACATCTTCCTCGCGTGCAGAAACTTGCGCTGCGCAGCCATAGATATCCAAACACTCGAGGGGATGGACGCAGAGAAGCCAGGGGACCGTTAGCACGATTGCGATCTAGATCTACAATTGCGGGGCCAGGGGAGGATTCACAAATCCGAACACTTGATGAAGGCACACTACATTATGCGCAGGATCACGCATCTCCACCTTGTCTCCATCATCCCGGTTTTTCTGTTTGACCACCTCCCGCGTCTCACCCATCTGGCTATTCCATGGAATACCAGGACTTCGCCTATCGCAGTCCCACTAGCCCTGGCTTTGACGACTCTCAAGATGCTTGTCTTTGTGGTGGATACCCGCGCTATATTGTCGATTCAGGATATGGCCAAGGACCATACGAGGATGCTCTGGAGAAACTATGGAAGGGTTTGATATCTGGAGACAGATATGGGCAAGGTGAGGGAAGAGTGGGAGGACGAAGGTAAGGGCGGCAAGAGCCTCTGGGACCGTGCAATTCGGCAGACCACAGATTGGGAGAAGGTGAGTCATTGAGCTTCGTGACACTGGTGTTACTGTTCGTATTGATCATGCGACAGCGGAAATAGGAACAGCATTAGCAGGGTAGTAAATGGTTCAGATCCAACATCTCAATTCCCAGGTTATAGGCCCAACAGTGGCCCAACGTAGCCAGCACGGATACCATATCTAGTCGCGCTGGGAGACATTACGACAAAAGACTTCAGCACTCCCATTTCCACCATCATGATCATCATGCAGATCCATGGACTTGACGTACGATGTCGCTTCTTACCTAGTGCGTGTCAGCTTTTGCGCAATTGTCAGGTCTTCTGTCTTGTGTCATTCGCTGCCTTCGCTTTTCACTACTGTAGTTGCGGATGCTATACAGTATATTCTGCTTTCTAGCAGTATGCAACAACGCGGGTGTCTGCTGTTCACGCTGGATAGCCATATATACATACAGAATAATTTGCGCTCGTCTCCTCGCAAATATCTCACATCTTCACCTAGTAAGAAAATTATAAGCGACGACTTTGATTTTGACATATCGTAACGATAAATAGATTATTTGATAAAATAGGTGTTGTGTACGCGTGACATATTTGACTTGGTTATTTCTGTCATCTCCACGCCTTCCAATCCATCAATCAAAACGGAATGTTCCCCTTGATGAGCATATTTAACCCTGGTGAGAGCAAGCGCTGATGCTGACGACTTTCCTAGTAATCACTATGGTCGGTTCCAACACCGTCGTTCTTCCGCTGGAGCTTTTGGATGAGATATTTCGCATCTCAGCTTCGTTGTCGGCACAATCGTGTCTCACACTTTGCTTGGTATCATCATGGGTTCATGGTCGGGTCATTCCATACCTCATGAACAAGGTCGTCATCGCCTCGCTCATCACAGCAGACTCATTCTACGAACACCTCTTTAACGCGACCGCGTGTGGGAAACCTCGTAAACCCAGCTTTGCACATACGCGACCTTTGGCTCCCTGATAGCTCCTCACTTCCCTCTAATATCTTTCTCGCAAGCAGGAACTTGCGCCGCGCAGCCATAGATGTCCGAACACTCTACGGGCTGGACGCAGAGAGACCGGAGGACCGCGAGTTTGAACGCGACCTAAGTCTTACATTACGGGGAAAGGAGAAGATTCGCAAGTTCGAACACTTGATGAAGGCGCCTTACATGATGCGTAGGATCACACATCTCCACCTCGTCTCTACCGTCTCGGTTTCTCTGCTCGACCACCTCCTGTGTCTCACTCACCTGGCCATGACGTGGAGTACCGGCACCTCTCGTACCGTAGCCCCGCTCGCCCTGGCCTTGCCCACTCTTAAGATGCTCGTCTTCGTGGTGCATTCTCGCGCTGCAAGGCCAGTTAGGGAGATGGCTAAAGGATATACAAGTATGCTCCGGAGAAAGGAAGGGAGGGTCTGGTTCCTAGAGACAGATAAGAGCAAGTTGAGGGAAAATTGGGAATATGAAGGTAAGGGTGGCCCGAGCCTCTGGGACCGTGCGATACGGCAGACCACGAATTGGGAGGTGAGTCACTGTATTTTGTGATACTTCCATGTTGGTTTTGACCATGCGACTGGGACACAGCAACGCACAGGAGCATAGTGGTAAGAGATTCGGTTATGACATGTCAGTTACTAGTGCTGTCGACCTCTCATTTTATTACGGGCTGCCCAACATGGCCAGTGCGGGATTGATATGACTGTATGGCCCGGCCTTGTCATTCTGTCTTGTATTATTCGCTGCTTTTGCACCGTAATTACGGATGTTACATTTGCCTTATGTACGCGAAAGTGCGGGGGATCATGCACGCAAACATGTTGAGGTTGCCTTCAGCCGGGATCGCCATGTAGACAACCCATATTATCGCAAGACAAGTAATTTAAGTATTTGTTAAGAGTCACGCGGCTGAAGTTGTATAATTCAAGCGTCGAGCTCTGACGGTGCCTTGTCTCGAGACTCGCTCTGACCTGTGTATCAAGTTCATTGATCGGCAGTATAGTGAACTGCAGATTCGCAGTATACTGCATGAGTCAGTCAAAGGAGTTGAGTTTATTGTTGACCATCGAATGGCAGACAGCTGCGTATGATTGGACAGGAGTCCGACTAGCAGGTCATGCATCTCCCTCAGAGAAGCTCTATCTCCGAACCCATCAATCATAATAGAATGTTTCTCGTGTGAGTACAGCCCCGTGAGCGCGTTCAACCTTATTTAACCCCTGGTTTAGATTGAGCGCTGATACAAACGACCCTATCCCAGTGAACACCATGGTTGCATCCAGCGTCGTCGTCCTCACGCCCGACCATCCACCCCTTCCACTGGAACTCTTGGATGAGGTATTCCGCATCACAGCCTCGTCCTCGACGCAGTCCTGCCTCGCACTCTGCCTGGTATCTTCATGGGTGTATCGTTTGGTCATCCCATATCTCATGGACCAGGTCATCATCACCTCGTTCCCCAAAGCAATCTCACTCCGTGACCATCTCTTTCCTTCTCTACCCCGTGTAAGAAACATCGCAGACCCCGTTCTGCACATACAAGGCCTTTGGTTGCCTGATCACATCTCGCTACCACCAAGAATCTTCCTCGCGAGCAAGAACTTGCGTCGCGCAGCTATTCACGTCCAAGCACTCTGCAATCTAGCTTCGGAATGTCCCTTAGACCTGGATAGTAACCGCGAGCTTGATCACGACCTAGACTTGACATTGCTGGGAGGAGGGAAGTGCAACTATGAACACTTGACGAAAGCACGGTTTTTGATGAGCAGGGTCACACGCCTCCACCTCGTTTCCAATGCTCCGCCCCTGCTTTTCGATAATCTACCACATGTCACCCATCTGGCCAGCACGTGGACGTTTTCCGTTCATGATGTGGAACTATTTGTCACAGCTCTGCCAGCCCTCAAGGTCCTCGTCTTCGTGATAGATACTCGTTTCACGTCGTCGTTTCAGAAATTAGCCAAGGACTGCATCTATAGGCTTCGGAAAAAGGAGCAGTGGGTTTGGTTTTTGGAGGCAGATAGGAGCGAGTTGAGGGCAGAGTGGGAAGATGAAGCTAGGGGTGGCGAGAGCCTCTGGGACCGTGCGATACGGCAAACCACGAATTGGGAGAAGGTGAGTTACTGTGGTTTATGTCGCCGGTTTTCTTTTGCTGATCATATTTATGCGACACGGAAATAGGAACGTGCGGTAGCATAGTGTTAGTATGCTGTCGAGACGCTTTAGGCATGATAATTGAGTTTTCCGGTTTTGGGTATCATTCGAGTTCTTAGGTTGTGAGTATGCCCTCGACCTCCAGTTATTCGGATGCTGATCAGCCAGTTCAATCAGAATTTATTTGCTGTCATCTCTGGGACTTTCGAGACGATGTTGTACTGTATCGTGTATCATCGGTGGGCCATGTCATGATTGTTCTGATTTCTCCAGGTTCATCCAGGCCGTCCCATGGGATTACTGCTGCCAGTCTTGCGTGTGATCTGCTCCATTTAATTTCAATCGTCAATGACTTTTTTACACGTCCACGAAGCAGCATTGATCCCAACCCATCACCTGCCCCTTGTCCGTCACACCTTGTACGTAAAACCTCACCGCCTTTGTGCTCTGGACGCTCTCCGGCAACATCTCCCGCTCGACATACAGCCTATTCGCTCTCCCATCCAACCCGGTCGTTCCTATAAAGGAAGCCTGTTCCGGCCCTTCCACCCTGCCGTCTGCGAGATGCGCCTGCACATATACGTTGAAGTACAGGAAAGATGGGAACCAGTGGTCAGCGGTGTCGAGTAGCCAGACGGGTTTGGGGTCCTCGACGGCCGGAATGGATGGCGGTGCGGATGGGCCAAAGGTGGCCGCGACCTCCCATGTCAGAGCGCCAGCTAGGCTTGCTGCGCTTGGGCGATCGAAGTCGGCCCAGAGGATGCGCGCGCGCGCCGGAGATGCGTCAGTGGAAGGTGGGCTCGGGTAGACGCTCATCTGACCCAGCAGAATCGAGAACGAGGATGGTTCTGAGGGGTCTTCCGCGGCGAAGCCGACTATGAGGCCCATGGACACGTCTTCAGCGGCGTCCGATGTGAACTGCAGCGAAAGTTTTGTCCACCCGTTGAGTAGAGTCTCTATCGATGACACCGGAGTGTCGCCGTTCGGGAGTTTGACGGAGAGACCGACGTCGAGGCTGTCGCTCTCAGTCTTGAAGACTACGTACGCCTCGTATGATTTTCCGGGGGTCACGGACAGGGACTGGATCGGCAGCCAGGCGACTCGGAAGAAGGCGTCCTCAGCGGAGGAGCCTGGAATGGCAAAGGTCACTTCTAGCGAATTGCCCCCCATCCAAGCCTCGTCGAAGCGGAAGACGCAGCGCGCTTCGGGGAGCGCGTCCACCCGGTCCGTGTCCTCCCAGGTCAGCGCGGGGCGCGGCCACAGCAGATCGCCAATCGAGCCCTGCTTGTCCATGTCCGTCCAGCCGTCGTCACGTGCAAGGACCCGCGTGCCGCGCACGAACCACGCGGTGCCGATGCCGGGGCAGAACGTCGTGTGGAAGGGGAGCACGGCGGGGTCGGGCGGCGGCCTACGCTCGAAGAACGACACGAGCGGGCGGAAGGCGCCATGTGGGCACTCGGGCTCCCCTTCGCGGCGCGGCGCGGGCTTCACTTCGACCGCCAAGCCCGCTTGTTCCGGGCCCAGCCAGAGTAGCCGCTCGTACGCCCACCAGGCGGACCAGTCCCATCCTGGCTTGTCTTGCTCGCTCTCCCATGTCCACGCGGGGCCGAAAAGGGCGACGCTCATGCCTGTGGATGGAGGATCGATGTGCTCGAGGGCCCTGTAGCACCCCAAGCCTCCACCGCCGTGCGACCCGCGACCCCAGACATCGATGCCTGTGTAGACGTCCTGCACGGACTTGTTGCGCGTCAGTGAAGGATCGAGACTGAGTAGAAACTGCGTGGTCAAGGCAGGATAATGTGCAGGCCACTGAAATTCTCAAGGTATCAGGTACCGGTCTGCGTGTAGAGCGAACTTGGACGCACGGTGTAGTTTGTGAAGAAGCCTGTCGATGGTAGGAAGAACGGTAAATTATAGCTATTCAGGCGGTCTTGCCATCGAACCTGCCCTGTGAAGACGACGCTGTCGTACCAGATGACTTCAGTGTGAGGTCCCACCTTCGATTTCAGTTCTGCCTCCAACAGCGCGATCCACGCTGCCAGCGCGCGCGTTTGGCCGATACCACCCCCGGCACGCAGAGGAAATTCAAAATTCAGGAGGTATCCATCAAACCCGCGTTGAAGAGCGAGATCTGCCAAGAGGCGGGCGTAGTGCGGGGATGTGGGAACAGAGTCGTCTGCGGAGGGGGCGGCTGGGCCAGTTCTAGATTGAGGAAGGCGTCCGAAGAGCAGCCGAAGACTGTCGCCTTCGCTGGCTTCCCACTCGAATATCCTGCGCGAACGGGTCATCAGCAGAATAAGATGGTGTGGAAAGCGTGTTTACAATGTCCCGAGCATTTTGACGCCTTGTCGATGGGCAGCAGTGGTCCATCCTGATGGCGGGATCGTTACTCGATGATGCGAGAAACTGTATGGTGTTAGGGTAGAGTGTATTGGATGTGTAGGCACATACTAAATGAAGGTATCACACCAAGGCCAAAAATTAAAGGTGTACGAGAATGCAGAGGGACTTTCGGTATAGCCTCCCTGTTATAAGCCGGCAACGAGAGCAGCCAAAGTCACTCTACCATTCGACTCTTGTGATAACGACAGATGTACTTTATAATTATGACATATCTTCTCAGGAGTCAGAGCCTTCACGGAGATGCAGATCTCGCAGATCTTACCAGGAGCTTCCCTCCACGCGTGGCTGGGGAAGTGCGCGGGGTGCGGGGAAGATAGTCCAGCACATTTCGCAGTTTGGCGTTGTGGGACTTGTACCAAGTGTCTAGATCCGCAAGCGATGCAAAATAGGGCGATTCGTCGTGTACATTTTTCGAGGACAGTTCTTTGCCACGAAGCGGCATGTTGAAGAGCGTGAGGAAGCGGGCTCAGTGGAGGCTTTAGTTAAATATTTCGGATTTAGATTAGGGGGTAATGTAAGCCAATAATAGCAGGATGTGGCGGAACCTTCCCACGGCGGTTGGAGGCAAAGAGGCAACAGGCTGGTGGCAACTTTGGAGTTTCCCGTGTTGAATTCTTCGTCGTCTACACCGTGTGGCCTCCGTTTTCGTTAACTTCAACATTCAACTCGCAGGCAGGCACCATGACGGATGCACCGCAGACACCTCAACTGCAACCACCTGGAACACCCCAAGTTGCCGACATTTTCAATGCTCTTCAACAGCTCAATGTACCACCCGCGACACCGACAGATGCTTCCGCTGCTCAAAATGGCTCTCAGACACAACAAGACACAGGGCAGATGACCGTGGATCCTCCGTCCGAATGGGAGCTACTGAACGCACAACTTGCGGAGAAAGCGCATGATCCTGAAGGCTGGAACAATTTCATCAACATGGCAGAGGGGTCAGGCGACCTGGATAAGATCAAAGAGGCGTATGAGGCTCTGTTGAAGATGTATCCCAACACAGTCAGTGAGGCTTTCGTGCGAGTGCTACATCGACTGATGCTTTGATAGGCTTCGGCGCAAATTGCATATCTCAACCATTGCCTGAATCCTGGGTCGTTCAAATTCGCCGAGTCCTTGTTCGTGCGGTTCTTGCGGACCTCACCGTCTGTTGACCTTTGGAGATTCTACTTGACATATGTCAGGTCAGTCGATCGTGTACCTGTGTTCGGTTCCATCACAAACTGAGCGGTGTGTATGTACAGGCGGCTGAACTCGGGGCCCGACGCCCGCGAAATCATCCGCAAGGCATATGACTTTGCGTTGAACCACGTAGGTCAAGATAAGGACAGCGGTGACATCTGGACAGCATATATCCAATTTTTGCGCTCTGGCGAGGTGTGTGATACTTACTTTTCTGAGCTTGCGAGACAGGTTCCGGCATCATCATGTTTCTACTGGCGTAAATCGATTTTCTTTTGTATTTGCCCCAGCGACAGAGTGATCCGTAGGCGCGTGCGTGTGTGAAGATCGAGTTTGCTTGTCGGTTTCTTCCCTGCTGCTGTCTCTGCTTCTGCCGCTCGCGTGTGACAGATGCGTAAAACCTCCAACGCCAACCCGTTGAACCTGTCTCAACTGTTCGTGCTGACTGCGATTACAGACTAGCTCCACCTGGGAGGAGCAGCAAAAGATGGACGCGCTGCGCAAGGTGTACCACCGCGCGGTGCAGATCCCCCTCGAGAACGTCGAGGCGCTGTGGCAGGAGCTCGAGGCCTTCGAGAATGGACTGAACAGGATCACGGTAACTGCCACTAGCTGCACGTGCGACTTGTGTGAACTGACCGATGGAAGCAACTTAGGCTAAGAAGTTTATGAACGACCTGTCGCCTTCGTACATGCAAGCTCGCACTGTCTTGCGTCAACTACAACGGCATCTCGGACCGCTTTTCCCGCCACCACCTTCTTCGTCGACCGCGCGTCCGCCGTTGTACCTTCCGCCACTGCCGACGTTCAATGCGGCAGAGAGGGCGCTCGTTGGCGCCTGGAAGAATTATCTGCGATGGGAAGAGAGTAACCCGTTGGAGATTGAAGAAAAAGATAAGGCGGCGTTGATAACGCGAATTCAAGGCGTTTATCGCAAGGCTGTCATTCGCATGCGATTTTTTGGTGAAATCTGGTATGGGCTGTCTATATTTTGTGCATTATTACATCTGACGACGTCTTCAAGGTACATGGCATTTATGTGGACCAACAGCGTGGGCAAGACGGAGGAAGCTATTAACTTATTGAAGTCAGGTATCGAAGCGAATCCCTCTAGGTATTTTTATTTGTATATTCTTGCATGACCAAGTACTGATGTTGGTGTGTCTAGCTTCCTTCTCAACTTCGCATACGCCGAGACGCTCGAGGTGGCCCAAAACTTCAGTGAAGTACACGCCGTTTTCGATAGATTCCTGGAGGTCCTTCGGCGTGATCTCGAGGCCCTGGAGACCCGCATCAATTCTGCCGGCTCGTCCAACTCTAACTTGGCAATCAACGATTCTCAAGCAGATACGACGCTTCCGAATGAGGGTGGCACGCAGTCGAACTCGGGCTCGTTCCAGACGCAGCCAGCGGACGACAAGCCGCCCAAATCGAGGGAGCTTGCTGATCGGAGGACGGAGTATGGACTCGTATGGACAATGTACATGCGGTTCGCGCGGCGAGCAGAGGGCCTTAAGTCGTTCAGAGCTGTTTTTGCCAAGGCACGCAGGGATAGGTGGACCCCATGGCAGATTTACGAATCGGCAGGTGCGTATTTGATCATCTTTATAACCCGCTATTCTCGCTCCAACGATTTATGCATGTTCAGCTCTTGTGGAGTATCATTGCATGAAGGACGCTGGTGTGGCTGGGCGCATTTTTGAAAAGGGGATGGAGACCTTTGGGGACGAAGTCGACTTTGTAATACACTATCTCACTTTCCTCCTCTCTCTCAACGATGAAAACAGTACGCACGTCTCACCGTTTTCTTCAGCTCATCGTTGACGGTTCTTCAGATGCGCGAGCGCTGTTTGAGCGCGTTATTAATGCCTTCCCTGCCGATCGTGCCAGACCGTTGTGGGAGCGATGGGCTCGTCACGAATATCAGTATGGCGATCTGGCTGCAGCACAGAAGCTCGAAAAGCGAATGGCCGAAGTCTACCCGACCGGTAGGTTTCTTCCTGCTGATTGAAGATCGCGGTGTTGATCCTCTTGTTCATCAGATCCTCCGATCAAAAGGTTTGCCCAACGACACACCTATCATTCCACGGATGCGATCGCCGCTCGGGATCTTGGCGTCGCAATGGCTCGCCAGGCTACTGGTACCAGCAGCTCAGGATCTAGCGGATCGCTCGGCCGTACGGATACTCAGAGCTCCATCGGCGGACCTACCATGACCCCGAACCCCAGCCAGAACTCGCACCCGGCGCCCCCAGTGCACAGGCGGCCCCCTACCCCCGAGCACAAGAGGCGCGACGATAGCCATATTCCGGTACACAAGCGCCAGAGGACCGCATCTCCTGGGAGAGACAGGGATCGTTGGGAAGGACACCCCCGCCGACGGTACGGCAGTCCGACCTGGGATCGCGAACGCGAGCGGGAGGGCCCGCCTGGCCGAAAACCTGTGAAGGAGAGCGAGGAGGAAAAGGGCGTGACAATACCGGCTGTATTGTCTTGGTTCATCGGCACGCTTCCCATGCCTGCTTCTTTCGACGGTGAGTTCGGTCCACTCTCGAGGCATGCCACGTGAAAGCTGATCTTGCCTCGCGGTCAGGGCCTATATTCCGCACGGACGACTTGATGCAGCTCTTCCGGAATGCTGTCATCCCGAGTGTGAGCGGGAGAGCTCGGTCGCCTCCACCGCCACCTCGAGGAGGAGGTTCGTTCCTTGGTTCCTGGTCGGGAATCTTTTCACTGACTCTGTTTGTGCAGCTGGACGACCGCCGCCAGATTATGGACCGTATCAGGGTCCCGGAAGTGGAAAACGTCGATACTGATGTTGTTTTGACACTCTTAGCACCCTTAGCCAAAACAGAAAGCCATGTAAAAGTCGTTTCAGTCGAAGTGCACTCGTGCAACTTGGGGTTTTTGTCAAGTCGGGTGGATGAAAGTCTGTGAAGGTAATGGGAGACCCATCTTGATTTCCAGTAGCTCCTTTTACTTTCGCGTGATTTTTGTTGACCAAGCTTGACGAAAACTTTGATCTTGCGACTCCCACTAAAACGACCGTTACATGTATCTCTCTTTTTACTGAGCATCAAACATGTCGATATTCCGAACTTTCTTCATGATATAGAAAATGTAGGAAGAACAAACGACTACTCTTGCATTTTCATACTGTAAGATCCAGCGAAGTATCATGCAGTCGGATGCAAGACGGACCGGCTTCAAGCCCCAAGACAATCAGCCGGAGTTGGTTTTGGAGGTAAGGACCACGAGAACCGCCCAATGCTCAAGTAGCGACAAATGAGGCGAACAAATTGGAGCATTCATAACATGGTATCAGTACCGGCCCTTAACCGATGACACACCACGAAGCTGAGGCGGAATCAAAGATGGCGAACGAGTCTATTCAATCAACGTCTTCAATGCCACCAAAATGGCCAAGTGCCCATGGTGATATGGGTGGAGCTGCGTGTTCTGATGGGCCAGCTTGGCCCACGATGAAGCGGGAGTGTGCAGACTGTGAGGATGCCTTTCTTGCCTCCTTCTGGGCCCTCTGTGCGGCGGTGGCCAGCTTTCTTTTCTGCTTCTTAACGAAAGATCGCAGTTCTTCGAGCGCTTCAGCCAGGTGATGCTTGCTGGGCTTGTCCGCCAGACTTCAGGGACACAGAGAGTTGAACTGATAAATATATGTCATGAGAAGGGTCAAAGACGTACCGAGCCAGCATCTCCTCGACGATATCCGTGGCATCCAAGAATGGCATCATCTGCACAATACCCTCGTACACCCTGACGAGACACCCGATACCGTTTTTGGCCGCCTGAGCGGTCTCCCGCCACCCGTCAAAGCGCTCCTTCAGCTTGGGTCTGAACTCGTCCCGCAGCTCCTCCAGATCCGGGTCGAGCGTATCCATATCGAGGAAGCCGATTGGGTCAGAGTCCATGTCGGCCGGTACGGGGATCGGGATGCCCATGATCATCGCGGCGAACGCCATCGGGTGCGGCGCGGCCGCTTCCGGGCTCATCACCGAGTCGATCCACTGCTCGACGCGCGCCTGGCGCGCGAGGCTTCCCTCTGGGAGCGCGGCGATCGTCTTCATTTCCACTATCTTTGCGGGGTCGGAGAGGTGCGAGAAGGATGCGAGCAGCCCGGCCTTGATCGCGCGGGCGGTGTCGAGCAATTCTCGCTCAATCATGGGGACCGCGCGCGAGCCGAATGTGCGGTTGGCGGAGACGACGAGGATGGCGTCTTGCAGTGCAGACGCGTCGCGCGGGCGGAGGAGGTGCGAGCCTTTGTCGAGCAGCCGGCATATCAGGTCAGGGCGGCTCTCGGTCGTGAAGACATTTAGCGCGCCAACAAAAGACTCGGAGCATGTGAGCGCACCCACACGTGCGAGCTCGATGAGCTGAAAGCGGGCGATTTCATAGTTGGACGTGACTCGGAGAACTGCTCTGTATAGCGAAGGATTGGGCGTGAGAGAAAACACGTTGGTGAGGTGTTGCTCTACGAGATAGCGGAGTGGGATCATTTGGGCGCTGGCGGATAGCGACCAATGGTCAGCATGAAAAGGACACTTGCGGGCGTGATCGCGGAAGTCTTCGTCTTCCGAATCGTCATCCTCCCACGCATCGTCATCGTCGCCAAAGTCAGTGTCGTCATCACAGTCGTCGACATCCTCGTCTTCATCTACATCTTCATCTGAGCCAGTCACTACAAGTAAATCTTCAGAAGTCAGCGAGTGAAAATATACACAAGACACACCTACGCGCCCGCCTGTAAGAATATATTCTAGTGATGTCCATCCCATGGCCCTATCAATAGCCTGGAGCATATCCGGAACTTGTTTCTTCTGAGCCTCACTGCCAGTTGCAAGCAACGTGAGAAAGAGATCGCGCCAGATCCACTGCAATACTTTGTTGATTTTGTGAGCGCCAGTAAGTTGAAAGGCTTTGATCGTCTTTCCCGATTTCTGCTTGATCACGGCCGAGATATACATGTTTCTGAACGCACACCCGCATCTGCAATGTGATTTCAGCAGATGGGCTGACGCAACGAGAAAGTTCGCGCACCCGCCATGATGAGGAGACAAGGCTGAAATTGTCCTTGCGACAAGCAGAAGGCATCGGTGCGCAAGCGCGAAGTTGGCCTGGTATTCATACACGACCGACCAGATATCATTCATCCAGCCAATCATACTGTCGACCATCTCTCCTACGATCTCATCGCGCCTGGAGCGATCCTTCAGCAGAGAGAGCTTTTGGTCCTTGTCTAGCTCAAGCATAAGGTCGTTGAGCTCAATTGCCCACGCGTCGTGTTCAAGTTTGGGCATCCCAGCGTAACGTTTCTCGCGTTTGGCGGCAACTGCAAGAACCTGCCTCGCGCGTTCCTTGGGCGCAGCATCGAGCAGAGGAAGTAAGTAGTTGTCGATGAGCTCTTTTTGGGCATCTATGGGCAACTTCTGGTATATTTCGGAGACTCTAAGCATGAGTGTCAACGCCATCTATCGAAAAACGATGAACATCCCGACGTACTTGGCACTTAGAAGAGGAGATCGACTGCTAGATGCAAGTGGCGGTGTAGAAGTCATAGCAGGCCACAGATGGATGTCCAAATAGACTGCAGCTGAGACTCAGTGTGTTTGGGGAGGTATTGAAGGCGCTAGCGGAATGTATAAAGTCTCCGACGCCGTGGCACACGATGGCGTAGTGCCGTGAGAATATCTCGGTTTACGTATGATGAACGCGTACACGTGATTTACACGCGTGCTGATGGAGGCGCGTCCTTACTTCGTTCAACTCGAACCACTTCCTCCTCTATACTCTGAACCACCTGTTCATCGCGACCACCGTGATATATCCCTGGAGATGTCCCCTGTAGCGCTAGAAGCCTCTCCTCCTGGCTCGGATGCCATTCCAATCTCGCTTGTACCATGGGAGGTACGAAACAACGGGAGTTCTGTGGGACCCAGTCCAGCTGCCTCTACGTCATCTCATGCTCAAGAATCAAAGAACGAAGTATCTCAGGTGGAAAGAAATACGCTCAGCATACCTGTGGTTCGACTGGACTCGCGTACGATCTCCGATGAGATGGCCGCCACTTTGTCCGTCAGCCTCCTTGGACACGTTCTCTTCCTCAAGAGCCAGATCCCATTGTGCGCGTGCCATTCATATCTTATATCTTCACTTTTTTCCCCTGATGGGATCTTGGAACTGACTTATGGTGTTCGCGTTCATCACAGTCCTGTGCAGCAACTCGCGCGCATGCCTGCGGGCAACTCTTCAAATAAAAAGGCCACGAAAAAACGGATAGAGTTCGCGGATGCTTTCGATGAGCTGTCTTCCCACCTACACACAACATTCACCGCCCTTTCGACTGCCTTTGCTAGAAATACCGCGCGGTACCTCGTGCCACAGCCTGAAAGCAACCATGGCGCGCCTTTGAGCGATCTCACTTCGACGGCACACTTGATGATCGCTTTGGGTCCGACTGCGGGGACGGTCAAGGCAAGGATAATCCTTACGATTGATGGTCTTGAAGTCAAAATATGGGGAACGCGAGAGGCCGTGCAACCATCCGCGTCTCCTGAAGAGGTAGGTGAAGAGAGCTTTGAAGAAGAAGAAGATGAACAGGTCGAGGATGAGGATTCCACCGATGAAAGTGAGAGTGAAGAATCGGTGAGCGAAGAAAGCGAGTCTGAGGATGAAGAGCAAGACGATTCAGAAGAAGAACAAATCATTGACAAGGACGAGGACGACTTTGCCGAGCTCCCACCAGACTCGCCCCCGCCCTCTGAACCTCATCCCTCTCGCGTCCTGTCCCCACTGCGTGACGCGACAAACACCTCTCGAGTGGCACCCCAGCACCCACCGCCTCCCAGGGCCTCGCCCCCGGCCTACACTGTCCCCCCGTCCATCCAAAACTCGGCTTCTTCCACGCCCATGCCTTCAAAGCCGCACCTCGCGCCCCCGCAGACGAAGTCATACGCGGAGCAACAGCAGATCTGGCGCAGCGCGACTAACCTCATGTCCCGCCAGCTCGTGAACGCGTGCGCCGAGGGCGACGGCATGGCCTGCGAGATGGGTGAGTGTCCATTTCGCCATTTGCCCCCTTCGGGCCTTTCAGATCTACGGAAATTGAATCTCGATGGTGGCAGCGCCGACGCAAACGCACATCCTCCTCCGCGCGCCGCGCCGCTTCTCGCATCCCGCGTGGCACCCCCGCCAAAACCTGACTTCCTCCCTCGACAAAGTGCTCGCGGACTTCCAACACGAGTCTGACCTGGACACTGCCGGCGACGCCGGTCCCACCAAACGGAAGAGGACGGGCATCAAGACGGAAGGCGTGCTGGTGGAGTGTACCGGCCGAGACCAGGGCAAGCCTGCGTTCGGGGCCAACGAGGTGCTCGGGAGCGAGGACGACGAGATGATCTGGTGGGCGTGGAACGGGCGCCTGACTGGCTTTTCGGAGTGGTGAGGCGCGAGATGGCGATAGAATTAGTGGAGGCCAGCGTGATGGATTTTCGGTTTTGGTAGAATGTACTACGGGTCTTAGCTTACTGAATTTACGCGAAAATTGTACAGGGCATTCATGATTAGCAGTAGCCTTAAGAAAATCTCTTAGAGTTTATCGGACCCGCGTGTGCAATGCAGAAGGTATCGTGCGGCATTGCACTGCGGCAAGTAGACGCAAAGGCAGGAGGGCAGGAATGGGCAGGACACTGGCGAACCTGTTGTCGATCACGTGCCAGAAAGCTTTGACACGTTGACGAATAAAAGCTGATATGCTCTCGCACCTGCATTTTGTCAAGTGGAAAACTGCTAGATTGTTCAACTCGATCCAAGCTTTTATATGTTTTGGCTAAATCGAACCTCGATATTTCTCTGAAGAGACCACGGGCCATGTACTTACCACAGGCCCATAACGAATCAAAGTGGACCGTTAGGATTATTGAGGTATGCATTGTGCAACGACCTCTCTGGGGCTTCCTGCGGCCCTGCAGCTCCCACAAGGGCATCAGGCCTGTCCGAATCCTACTCACAAATTGACATGTCTGTTTACGCCACAAGGCTCAATTAACAAAAGGCATCAAATATCTTTATTTCCTGGGTTCTCCCGCAGTCCTTGCCGCATGAGATGTGATATCACAACTCGCACGCACTTGGCGAGGCCGCCACGACTGCATGAGAGCTCGGGATGCTTACGATGACACGAGGGAATTCCGAGCTCGAACACTCGCAGCATCATTGTACTAGAAATGAACACCTGCAGTGCTAGCAGCCCCGCGACCATCGTGCGTTTCCTCTGATCGATCTCGCCTCACGTGCGAAGAGCTATTCGGTTCCGCAAAACAGCCGCTGGAGTAGGCCGCTGCAGCCCAATGCCCAGTGTACTGTATATCTTTGCCAGATCTCAAATTTTGGCTCATCGAATTCAAGATAAAATTTTGTTCATCCTCAGGTGAGCGGAGTCGACGTCGTGCACTTCCAGTCACAGTATTCAGACGATTAAATCTTGAACTAGAATACACCTAAGCTCAAAAGAGTTGGAATTTGAATGTTGAATGTACACTCAGTGAACATGCCTTTGCACGGCTACACACATGTTTTCCTGAAGTGGCGAGTGGCTTTCCCGTTCTACTACTATGACCCCTGCTGAGTGACTGTGCATCCGACACATTGTAAGAGCCTGTTCAGAAGCGACATTGATGTGACCGGAGTGATTGATTCCCCTCAATCCTGAGGAAGACACTGTTCACTTCGGAGTCATTTAATGTATAGCACATGCATGAAGGTGCAGTATCCACTGATGCATTCCCCACATTCAACGCTCATTGTGGAATGATCCATGAATTCGTCTGCCCTTTACAGACCATCAGATTGAACACGGCAGGTGTTGTTATTTCTAGGGAAACCTGCAAGCAACCTCGTGCAATCTGTGTTCTGATCAATGGATGAACGGATATGGAAATGAAAGATGTACGAAGGCTGGAGATTGTTGCATACCGCGCACTGAGCCTGCGTTTCAGCGGGTTCGTTCTAAATCTTTCTAGGGAAAAACATGTTATGGGGGCCTTTAATGTTTTGACTTCTTCGTCGAGTCTGCGTGCATTGAGCAGGTGGGTGTATTTAAGGATGTTCTTAGTTGTCTAATGATCTTCTCTCTAAGTGGTGTTTCTCTTTCAGGGCAAGGTCGGTGAATACGGCCCCATCGCGAATTTACCTTTCAGAAGTCCCAGTTCCAGGTCAAGTACCTGTGTGTTTTGATCGCAAACCTGAAGAGGTATGTGTCGTTCGCATCGCATTATAAACCTTGCGGACACATATGCCAGCATTGCGAAAGCTTTTTCGGAGGTGATCTTGATGTGGCTGGTTCGTTGCTTGCCACCATACCGCGAAAGGATAGCATCACTTCAGAATCGCTTGACGCACAGTAGAGGTGCGGAGGTTCAATGGATCCCGACCCATTTCTGATTTTTATCACCATTCGTAGTCCTCTTCACTGCCTTTTGGGGTCTATCCTGTATCCTGCGGGGCTATGGCGCGCTCGTACTGTCTACTTTGCCCCTCCAATGCTGCTACCACAACTCACTCAGCTCCATGCCGAAATGGTGTACAAAAGACCGCTCTCCATCGTCAGTCCGGATTCACTGTGTCCGTGCCATCTGCTGACTCTCTACCCTCGTGCTTGCGTTTGATCTATCGAGCGTCTATATTACATCTCCTCTCATCTCCAATACTGCTCGTCTTATTATTCGCCCTCGTGATCTTCCACTTCGGCATCCTAGCAATCCCCACCCCATACATCGACCCAACTTCTCCATCTTTTGATTGTGCTCATAAAACTAGGACCATATGGATCGTCATCTGGACCTGCGTTGTGACCATCCTTTCGTGCATCTGGGCTGCTGTCCGTCCAAACATCCCAAGCATCAAAGACAACACTTGGAAAGTTTTCTAACATCGTGCGAGGCTGATGATACTTGCTTTGTTGGTACCAGAGCTCATCACCCTGTTTGCGATGCGACAGTGGGTTTCTGCGCATCGATTAGCAGAGAGACACAAGGGTACGTACACATCAGCCCCTATCGCAACAAACACCCTGACAATACTTCCAAGGGGCGGACCCAAGCGCATGGGTTCTTTGTTATCATGGGAGGCTTAACGTTGTACGAAGGGGATGTACCGATCCAGACACTTGGTCCTGGCAACCTTGATCAACTTGTTCAAGCTGAAGAGATCGATTTTCCGAAGAAAGAGATCAAGGATAGGAACAAAGGCGACTGATTGACAAAGTTTGTCGTGATCGGTCAGACAAGTTGGTTCATACTCCAATGCATCGCACGAAGCACTGAGTGTCTGCCAATTACACCGCTCGAGGTTACGACCCTCGCCTTTGCAACTCTTAACTTTATGACATACGCGTTCTGGTGGGACAAACCTTTGTATGTCCGGGCTCCCGTTGCTGTCATGTGTAACGTACGGAGGGTATCAAAATACAATCGGAGGAAAAAGCACCGCCAAACGAAGTGCTTCTGGACAGTGGAGAAAGGAAAAACTTTCAGTCCGCAGATAACGACCCAGGGAACACGAAAGGGCTGGCGCGAATAGTACTGGACATCATCCTCATCGCTTTCAAGTGTCTTTGTTTGTGGCTGTGGAGAGTGACTGGCGCATAGGATTTTTTGTGTAGGTTTTAGGTCTATCGGATGCACAATCTTTCAAAGAGCAGACATTTAGAGTCCCCACATTTCATGCGGCATTTCATCTAGATAAAAGTCATAACAGTTCTGAGGACATGTGGCTGACTGGGCACTCCGTACTACTCAATTGTATCCTCCTGACTGTGCCCGTGGCGGCTGCTATCATCTTTGGCGCTATTCATCGCATCGCATGGTTATCCCATTCTCCAACGTACAAAGATCAGTATCTATGGTGTTTATACTCTATCGTGTTCATGGGTACTCCACTGCTGATACTTCTATTGATGGTCTTTAGGTACCGCTTGTCTAGACCAACTCTCTATCGATCGAAGTCCAAGTTTTCTAATATGTTTTCCGTCCTTGTGACTGTGCTTCTCCAGCTAACGGCCATTCTGTATACCGTCGCACGATTCACACTATTGGTGAAGCTGTTTCTAACCCTCAGGTCGCTTCTTGCTACTGCATACGAAACAGCGAATTGAACTACCTTTATACTACACATATGATTAACAGCTTGCGCTCGACTGCACGATAGTTTTCATTTTCAGTTGACACCAATATGTTACCACGTACAGACACACTCATTACCATTGACGATCATGGCATGCGCGGGCGCGGCCGGGCTCTGTCCTCTTGACGAGGGGAGCTTCATCACCTCTATAACCCTGTCCTAATATGATTCTGTTGCCAATTCTCTATTGCTTAATTCATATATCAGCGTCTAATGGCGGCGTGCCTCATGTTTAGACGGGGTATTGTACGTGGTGGGGGAGTAATCTAGGCCAGTTCCCTAATCTCCTTTTATGGCCAAGATTTGCCCGTGTCTGCATGAGTGCATTTTCTTTTCGGGTGCACTGCATCACATGTCCTGGTCTGTTCTGTGTTTATTTATCCGTATGCCGCGAACACTGTTTTATCCCATCTTGAATATCATTCTTGCCAGATTCTCCGACTCGGACTGCAGTAGTCAAGGGACTCTTCAATGGAAAGCATCCTCCGCGTAGTCTTCCAAAATATCTCCGCGACTTGATACTTTTACTTCACTCGAGCCATTTCCAGGAAACGCGGAGTATTCATTGAGTCTCAAGATACGTACCCTAGCGGCGTATTTCTAAATTAGTGCGGCCGACGATGAGGATCTCAAGCACTGTCGCCTGGAGATCCTCCAGCGGCCTCGAGGGAACGAACAGTGTCGTGGAATATGTGAAGGAGATCTGTCAACATGGCGCTGACTGGGTTCTATAGGCAACAACAAGGGTCTGCACACGGAAGACAGCGTGCTGCCGCTGACATCTTCTATTTTGAGGACCTACTATTGGCATCACAGGTGTCAATATGAACAGGCGAAGCGAGGACCGGTATCTCCGAGACTCCAGCGTCTACACATCTCTGTGGAAGGATTCAGCATGCGGGCAGACACGAGGCTACAGCGCTTCCCTCCTCCTCTCATCTTCCACTCCCTGAAACTCGACGTGAACGTGGATTTTGGACGCTATACCATCTCAATCGAATTCAAACATGGCGAGGCGCACACCGCGAAGAGCAGACAAACATGGGCCTCTCTTCGTTAACTTTCCTGGCCCTCGTCGCTACTGCGGTAGGTCTATGGAGAGCATGTAGCAGTGCGGATGACGAAAGCTACGAGAATGCACCCCAAGCCTCGCGTTACCCCTTCGCAAGCATGCAGACCGGGACGGCCTATGGCAGCACGTCTCAGAGACCAAGAACAGATCACGCTGGGCCACAGAATGCTCCGGCGCCTCCGGTGTATTCGCCTTACCGTTCGCCGACAACAGACAATTCCAGGGTGCAGAGCACTTATTTGGTGCCTGCGCAGGCCCGTCCTGGGCCTCCTACGAACTACTGGAGTTCGAGGGTACAGAGGACGTACACGGATCCCACATATACGCCTCCTCTGCCTTCGACAACCGCCCGTGCAACGGTACCCGCACATGGGGATGCAGCTCCACCTGCACTATTGTCGCACACTGTTCCTCAAGTGACGTTCCATGATCTCGAAGAAGTCCTCCAAATCCGCATACCAGAGAGCGTGTCTGTAGGTGGAGGAGGCAACCGGCGAGATTTCAACGCGACGCAGCGAGCACCTGCGGAGAGAGCGTACGGCCGCATGCGAAAAGCACAGGCAGAGAGACAGCGCGCGCGGAGCCGTGGAGACAGACCGGAAGTGACGCGGCTCAAAGCTTTGGTAGAAGAAGAAAAGGCGACGGCGGAGAGGCTGAACATGGCTGCAGCCGAGTGCATTTTCAAGGGTGAATATGATCTACCTATGTCATCAGCACGAGCGTGTTCTAATTCGTTGTTATTTCATCTTTGCTGTGATGGGGGCAGAATGCAACAAGGTGCGTACGATGCGGGAGCTGGTAGCCTGAGTATGTTATGCGACTGACATTCGCTCGGTTCGGGCTATCGGGTGGTTAGGGCAGGAAACTAAACAACGTCGATCTGCATGGGCTATATGTCCAGGAAGCGACCAAGTTCGCCGAGGCGAGCATCACAGTAGCGCGGAGCCACGGTTTTGAGTCGCTTAAGCTTATCGTTGGTGGGTCCTCTACCATGATTAAAGTAGATGGATGATGTACTGACTGAGCGAGCCTGGATTCGCAGGTAAGGGCTTACACGCCTCAAACGGTGTTGCGAAGGTGAAGCCCGCGGTTGAGAAGATGCTGAAAAGGTGAGCTTGCATAAGTATCAATAACGGTAGGAAATGCACAACATTCACATCGCGGCCTCTATCGTGCATCACGAGCAGCCGCGGACTTGTCGTGACTGAACAGCGAGGCAATGCGGGCGTACTGATCGTCCAACTGAGCAGCGGAGGATGCGTTTCAGATGACAGCGACGACTTGGATTTGTAGTTAAAAGGTTCGGCATCGCAGTGTATGACTGTGATATGTACTATTCATGTTTCGATTTTGGAGGATATAGCACTTGCTGCCTCTCTATCTGATGATGTACTCTGTAAAATTGACCTGAGAAATACAACGACAGAAGCTCACTTTTAGTTCAGGAAAATTTTCCATTCCAAAGTATCCACGGCGACACAGATAATTTCGAACGTTCACTGGTTCGCCGATGAGGAGGCTGTTAGTGGAGGGTTGGGTCATCATGTCACACCATGCGTCACATTTCGACGAGGGCGGCGGCGGCGGCCCGCGCGTCCGAACGGACGAGCTCAGTGCGAGTCGCAGCTCTCTTCAGTCTCTCACCTGGCTTTGTACTCCTTCATCGTTTCGCCCCAGAATCAGAGATGATGAATGCGTGATAATTTCATAAAATTGAAAGGTAATCATGTTTTAGTGCGGGAGCCGTGGCCCATCGTGGCGGTTCTGGTCAGTCTCCCGAAGGCAGCAACGATGGCGATCCTCCTTCAACCTACAATATAGTCTCCAGATACCCATATCTGAGTTCTGGTACGTGCAGGTCTTTATTACAAGTGTCAGACGACCTCTGGTACGCCTCGGACCCTTGACCCCTTCGAAGCTGCACGGAGAGGCAGGCCCTCGTTAGAGCTCCATTTAGATCAAGTTTTTTTCCTGAAAGGTTCCCAGTCTCACATCTAAATCAAGGTGCGCATCAGATTTACTGACCTAGGACTGCTCTAAATCCCGCGGGAAAAAATCCATTTTCTCACGTCTTTGAGGGTATATTGACCGGGAAACCTTTGTAGGAACTTACCAGGGCCTCTCACCGTTTCATTTTTCGGTCTAGATCGTGCCCATGTCTATAACACCTTTTAGACTCTCGGCGCCTTCAATGTTGGTCAGATGATCATCAAGTGGACGCCCTCGTGCATGATGTTAAGTCCTACCCTATCAGAGCACCAGCGTCTTTCCGTCTGATGGCCACAAAGTTGGTGAGGCCTTGCTTCGAATGGTGTGATATCTTCTGCGACGTTTATAAAAGCGAGCCGATGTGCATTCGGCCGATGCACGACGCTGTGCGATTAAACATACTGGGCATATCGTGATGTTTCCCACTAAAGCGATTTTTCTCGCTTCTGGATATGCTTCTTTCCACCTTTCCACGACTGCTCCGAATCCTTCACCTCGCCGCTCAGATGCGGAAAAGTATCCCATAAGCGTCAGGGCACGACTCGTTCCCACGTGGACTTTGAGCTGTTTCAAGGTCTGCCCTCATCTCTTGTGCCGACTGGTGTGCCAAACTTTACCGTGTATTCACTGACTCTATCTCAAGTTGTTCTTACTCACTACCATCTTCTGTGAAATTGTGGTTATCTTCACCGCCCACCCGAGAATCCTTCACACGAAAGCCCTCCTGGAGCGTATCGATGCTCAGGATCCCACCATCACATACACTCGCCGTCCAGGTCTGAGCGTATGGTACATCGCGGGCTGGCTCCTCCAAATAACAGGCACCCTCATCCGTCTTGCCTGCTATCGCGCACTTGGTCGACAGTTCACATTCGAGCTCGCGATCCGCGACGAGCACAAGCTGGTCACGAGCGGGGCATACGCCGTCGTGCGCCACCCTGCTTACGCTGGGTCCATCATGGTGCTGTCAGGCACGCTGTTGTGCACCTTCGGCCCTGGGTCCTGGATTCGCGAGTGCGGTTGGCTCGAGACGGTCGCGATGCAGTGCGTCGCGGCGCTCTTCGCTGGATGGGCTTCCTGGATCGTGTTCTACCAGATAAAGCGGACGCGTGTTGAGGATGACGCGCTGCGCGAGAAATTCCGGGGGGATTGGGAGGACTGGGCGGAGAGGGTGTCTTACAGGCTCGTGCCGGGACTGTTCTAATGCAGGTGCATGTGCGCACGCTTGGATTTGGCTCCGACGATGGTTTGTCTCTGACGATGGTCATGGGCTCTATACTTGATGGCCAGCTTGCCCAGTACATACTGAGGCATCCACGCCCTATCACAATACTAACTTCGCGTACGAATGCTCGAAAACATCAGAGAGAAAGGGGAACCTAGTACTTTCGCTCGGCCTGTCTTTGAAAAGAGAGAAACAGGATGTGTTAGGGAACAATATACACTATGATACATAGATAAGGTGCACGCAGCGGCCGGGGCGATTCGTGGATTAAGAGTGTGCCCATCTCCGCCAGAGGGCCGATGTCCAATTGTCACACTAGACGGTCCTCGGAAAGAGTCTTTGGATGGTAGCTCGGATAGGTATGTGCACGAGGTATTCTGCGTGATGTAGCGTAGGCTACAGGGCGTTCCGAAGCCTAAACGAGTTGAGTGCGCCTCCTCGAGAAAATGAAGCCAGCGATTGCGACCAAGCAGGTGCCAATGGAGGACATCACCTGAAAAGCAAATAGGTGCACTTCAGCGTAAAAATGCAGCGATCAAAGCGTGCGCGCGCACCCCACTGAAGATCATCGCTCGATCCCATTCAAACCGTTCTCCAAGGAGCGCGCCCTGCACTGGAGTCCCGAGAAGCGACCCGAAAGCCGTCACGAAAAATGCGAATCCTATTCGCTGACTGAACAGCTCAATTCAGTTCCCAGCAAGTACCGCCTCAACCCTGCGACCAAGACGACGTACCCTATTTCAGCCTTATCTTCCGTCATCGAGGCTACGATCGGTGCGAGCAGCGCCAGGTCTGTCAAAAGAGCGTCAGCCCGCGTTACGCCTGTCCGGACGCGAGGAGCGAATTCACATACATGCACCCGTACAAAAACCATACAAAACGGCGAAAGCGATGATGGCGGGGGTAGTCTTGATCCCAAGCATGCCGAACAAGAGCACTGCGACTCCGAGACAGGCGGGAGTGAAAACATTGAACGGCCCCACGGCATCCGCCAAGAATCCACAGACAGCACGGCCTACAATAGAGGACGCATTCGACATGGCTTGCTAGAGTGACAAAGATCGATTAGCTCGTGGGATCACAATCTCGAAGCGGAGGCGCTGAATTGCCATACGGTGTAGAATGCCACGGAATATGCCACGCCGTGAACAGTGGCGAAGAGTTGAAGATAGAAGACTAATATTCATCAGACGGGTCAAGGCTTTCACATCACGTCCACATCACACATCACTGTTGCAAAGCTACTCACTGGGAAAAAAGAGGCCCCAATTAATACAGAACACCCTGAGAGGACGCCATCATCAGAAACTGTGCATGCTATCGGGCAACAAGGGACTTACCCCAAAACGACGAGCACATAGGGCATATCTCTGAGGATTCTCTGCATCCCTTGATGAGGCGGGGTAGTCGGTGATACTTTGTTTGGCGCAGTGTTCCCCGGGCTCATCACCAAGTTTGCTATACTCAGCAAGCCGAGAATGAGGAATGCGCTGGCACGAACGCCCCAAGCAAACCCAACGGAGCCGTGAAACAACCGATTGAGCATGATGGGAAAAGCTATCCCGCCCGCGGACGCTCCTGAATCCCGCAACATCGTGCATGAGCGCTTGAGAATCGAGCACACGGCCTTCTGAACACGCTAATGGACTGAACATACCCGAGAAGACGACACCGATCGCAAAAGCCCTATGATCCTTCCAATGATGAGCTTGGATCGCAACGGCAGGGAGATAGAGCAGTCCGCCTCCGATCCCCATCCCAATGCTTTGGCAGAGAAACATCTGATAATACCGGTCGAGATGGACAAGGGAGAGCATGAAACAACTACCGTGGTATTCAGCGAAGGGGTGTTAGAGCGGGGAACACTTGATATCACGCACGAAAAGACGTAGAGAACGGAGCCCGCGAGAAAAACGGGTTTGAAGTATCCCATGTCAAGCAACTTTCCAGCTGGGAGGCCTGTCGCCACTGTCAAGAAAAGCTGGAAAGAGCCGATCCAGCTATTCTTGGACGCAGAAGCGGTATGGGAGCGAGTATAGAGTTCCTGGAATACCCCAAACGAATTCGTCTGGCCCAGCACACAGAAAAGAGTCATCCAGCTGCCAGTGATAATCGGTCATGAATGCCAAAATTAAGACATTGATGGACTAGGTATGTACGTACCCTCCCATGACGGCCAACCAAGGGCGCAAGCTGCCCTCCTTATCACGAGGCGAGTCAGCGCGTTCCTTCGTATCCGACAACACAGCGGAGGGGAGGTCTGCATGATCATGAAGCGTCGGACTGTCCATGTGGGATTGTAATTGAAGAAAAGCGAGAGGACGGCTTTGGGTCGGCCACGGAACAGCCCGGTGTCAAGACACACTCAGTACACCAGCTCCGTAAAATAGAGCGGAAAGCATGTACTAAGCGTCAAATGGAAGACCACGCCAGAACGTAGCCGTCCGCGTCTGCCGCGGAAGTATGCTGCTCATGCGTGATGAGCCCTTGCTACAAGTGCTTGGCCGTCCCTTACCTCTCTAAGAGATGTAGTCACGAATACATAACTATGGGTGTATCACTCACCTCGGCTATACACCATCGTGCCGACATCGACATGTGAGAGACTGGAGGCGCCGGTCAGGTCGTCTAAACATGCCGCTAGGGTGGTGGAGATTGTGAAGAGTCGCTCATCGGTCATTCAGACGTCACGACTCGCGCGTGAGTTTGGCCTTCAAGACACCTACATGAACAAGGTGATGTCGATAAAAAAAACCCCACGAGCTCTCAAACCTCCTCAGTGAAACCAGACAACAATTCAGAAGCGTCGATTGGACAGCCATGTCGTTCTCCTCCTGCGCCTGGTCGAGCTGCTGATACTTGGCGCGTGCAATCTCGGCGCTCCGATATCCATCACAATGCCTTCGTCGAGTCCGCGGAGCATATGAAAACGAAATACAGCCGAAAGGGACAGGCAGGACAAGAGATTGGAAGCTCTGATGGTGGAGCAAGGCGCAAAGGTGTGTCCGCCACACAGAAATCACCGCAGCCTACCGCAGCGCCCCATTCGGCCGCTCGAGCCCCGCGCATCGCACCGCCATCGCGTCCAGCACGACAGACGATTGCCAGCCAGAAAGTCATTCTGAAGTCCCCGTTGATCCAGCTGGGCCCGTTAGTGACCTTATGAGATCGGCTTGACAAGGAGGTGGGTGTAGATTGATGGAGTGGACACCTGCCTGGTAAACCTTCCTGAACCTGACGCGAATCGAGCCACGGAAGCCCTAATCAGCGCTCAATCGCCTGTCGGCCCGTCTAATGTGTACCACTCTCAGCTCACTTGCGCTGTACGCTGAGGGGCATCAAACTCTGACCACGACGGCGGCGGCACTGACCAGATCTCGCACAACGGCAACAAATCCACCAAACAACATCTTCCATCCGTCCGCGCCCTTGCCTGCCGTCCAGATCTAGTCCAAGGCACATTCGGACTGGAAAGGTCACGAGGTGCGGTTCGCTATCGCATAGGCGCATGCGTGTATATACACATCCAAAATAGGAGAGCGGCACAGCGGTATGTGCATGGGTATCATTCGACAACACAGAACGCGCAGGGCACAGGGGATTCAGAGGCGCGGGGAGCGCTCGCAAGCAGCACACTCCCGTGAGCGCTAGACCACCTGGCTTCCTTTGCGCCGCGCGACCATCTGCCGCGCTATTCCTACACCCACCGTCCCCGCGACCGACATCACCTGCACCCGCACCGCACCATCATCAGCCTCAATCATACCCTGCCCGAATAAAGCCCGTTGCTCACCGCACTGAAGATAATGGGCCGCGACCATGTGAAGGTGGTCCCCAACAGGGCGCCCTGCACAGGCGTGCCGAACAGAGATCCGAACGAGGTTAGGAAGAACGCGACGCCCATCCGCAACCTGTCACGGCGTCAGCCGACCCCGATCGAGCGCCCAGAGCTCACACGAACGAACGCACCCGATCTCGCCCTTATTCGCAGTCAGCGTCGCGATCGTTGGCGCGAGGAGGGAAACGACTGCACCCGAACGAACCCGAATCTTCAGAAACGACAACGAATTCAGAATGAAAAGGAGGCGCGCACACGCACATGCGCCGGTGAAAAAGCCGTAGATGATCGCAAACACCACGATCCCCGCCGTCGATCGGATCCCCAACAGCGCAAAGAGCATGATCCCTGGCCCCAGACAGGCCGGGACGAAGTTGTTGAACGGGCCAACGGTGTCCGCCAGGAAGTTGGGGATCGTCCGGCCCAGAATCGAGGCTCCGTTCATGATCGCTAGCTGCGAGCGACGGCGGGTTAAATCACCCGGTGTCAGGTGAGCTCAGTGAAGCCTACCGTGTAGAATGAGAAAGTGACACCGGCGCCGTGGAGGATGGAATATAGTTGGATATAAAAATCTGTTTTGTCGTCAGCGGGGCGATCAACGTCCAGACGACGGAGGATTGCTCACACGGGAAAAAGAGACCCCAGTTCACGCAAAATGCGCTGTCGTCTTTGGCTTCAACAACGTGTGTGCACCGAGGGACACTCGCCCTGAACGACTCACCCGAATATGACCAACAGAAACGGAACATCTCTCGCCATTCCCGCTAGACCGCTCGGCGCTGCTTGACCCCCTGGAGGCTTTCCTGTGCTAGGAGGGCGAGGGCTCATGATCAGATTCGCAATGACCAGCAAGCCGAGGATGAGGAACGCGGAAGCGCGGACGCCCCACGCGAACCCCACGGAGTTGTGGAACAGCTGGTTCAGCATGATGGGGAAGATGATGCCCCCGACGGATCCGCCTGAAGCACCGCACGAGCACACGGGGATGAGCAGAGGCACAAAGAAACAGTGGGTTCCGCATACCGGTGAAGACGATGCCGATCGCAAAAGCGCGGCGCGCTTGCCAATGATGGGCCTGGATAGCAACGGCTGGGAGGTAGATGAGGCCGCCACCGATTCCCATGCCCAGACCTTGAGACAGAAATATCTGATAGTATTTGTCGACGTGGGCGAGAGACAGCATGAAGAGGCTGGAAGAGGAGAGTGCGTCAGAGGTGCTCCCACCCAAAAGCAAAAAAGTCGAGACTGACGAAAAGACATAGAGCAAAGAGCCCGCGAGGATGGTCTGTCTGAAATATCCCATATCCAGAAGCTTTCCTGCGGGCAGGCCCATGCCGACTAGGAAGAAGAGCTGGACGGAGCCGATCCAGCTGACTCTAGATGCGGAGGCGGCGCCATCGCGGGTGTAGAGGTCCTGGTAGACTCCGAACGCGTTGGAGTAGCCAAAGGTGCAGAAGAGGCAGATCCAGCTGGCGCGGAAGAGGTGGGGTCAGCGAGAGGGCGGCGATGAAAATCAATGAGAGGCACACCCGCCGAGAATGGTGAGCCATGCGCGAAGGCCGCCGTCGACGCGGACGGGCGCGGCGGGCTTCTCCTGGGCAGAGGGGACGGTGTCTGGCTCCGCTTGAGGCTGGGATTGAGGGTTCGGAATGTCCATGAGAGGGAAGGTGCGGAGAGAAGAGAGGGGTGAGGAGATGGGGGAGGGAAGAGGAGACGGTCATGGCTTGAATGGACCGCGGAGACATGGAGGCAGGAAGGGCCCACGGTGCTGATCAGAACGAGCCGTCGAGAGCGCGATGGGCCACAGCAGAGCGCTGAAGCTGAGGAAGACACTGTGTGCAGAATGCTTCCATTCGAGGGGCATCACCGGTGCTCTATCTGGGACCAAAAACTGGGACATGCAGAAGGCGACGAAACTGCGCTAGCTGAGCGCTGCCGGTGTCTTGTCTTTCACCGGCAGCTCACACGTTCGCATCGCCACGTGCACAACTTACATGGAGTTGGATGGTATTCTGTGCTACAGCCCAGATCTGGATCCTTCTAGTGCCACCATGAGATGATCGATATTTGATTGATTACTGTGAAGAGTCTGTTTTGCTCTGGAACATGTGCCTGTACAAAAAAACGGAGAATGGAGTAAATGGATGCGGAAGGCATAGAGTGATTGCTGTGTCATAACGAATAGAAACGCTATAGTGGGTCCGAGGAAAAGTAACACACCAAGGCGATCGAACTACAGGGTGCCGTCCAAGACGGCGGTTGCTGCTGTACAGAAACACCTCATCGTGGTGCGCACAACCCTTTACCATTGACTCAATCGTGCTTGTGCGACAAGATAAAGTCGACGTATTTAGACAGGAATGGAACGACGCTGCCAAGCTCCCTGAGGTGTAGTGACGCCTCCAGAGTCTTCGTGACGTCGAGCGTCCTCGCCTCGCCTCCCGTAAACCGGTCGTAAAAATCGACCAGCTTCACCGCAGGAATAGGCGCGCCCTCGGCCCCCACCCGCGTCGCCGCGCGCTTCACCATGTCGATCCATTCCACAGTTCCGATGGGCCGTACTGCCCAGTTCGTATGCTTCATCACCCATTCGACGACCTCCGTCCAAGGCGTTTCCGTGACATTCTCAACGTGCCAGTACGTCGTCGAAAACGGCGCCGAGACGCCCTCCTGGTCGATAACGCAGAGATCCACAACGACATCCGCGGCGACATCTATGGGCACCCAACGGATGCTCTGCACGACTCTCACATCAGTAATCCCTGACTTTGCTAGCTGCTTCGTGCACTTACCGGGAGCTGTGCAGGAACCACCCCACTTTCTACACTCGACAGGAGCAGAATTGGGATGTACTCGGCCATGTTCCACGCGCCGCTGATGCTCGATCCAGACAGCTGTCCACACCGGATGACCGTTGCCGCGAGCCCAGTCTCCCTCGCTGCATTGTCAATAACCCTTTCGACCACGTACTTCGCTTGCCCATATCCCGATTCTTTCTTCACCACCTCCGGGTCGTCCATCGCTCTCTCGGGGATGGGTCCATCTCCTTGAAAGCCCAGCGCCGCAGCGATCGACGAGACAAAAATGAACTTGGGTGGGCAGGTTCGCCGCGAGGAAAGCGCGAGGTCGATCAGATGACGGACGCCTGCTATCTGCGTGCGCTCAAAGTTGTCCACCGTGACGTTAAAGTTCATCTGCCAGGCCAGATGCACGATGTGCGTCACGTCCGACCGAATCTGAACGTGTGAGGGGTTCGAACTCAGGTGAACGAAATGCTCGCAACAACTGTGCACTCACCCTTTCTAGGACAGTACCTTCAAGTCCTAAGTCAGGCGACGATAGGTCGACGTACATTATCTCGATTTTGGCCGCGGCTTCATCAAGAATGTTTGGATCGATCCCTCGAGTTGTAAATGCAATTTGCTGCCTCTGTATCGGGTCTAAACCATCTGCAGGCCTGTTGAAGCAATAGACTTTGTGCACATCGGATCGCCGAGCAAGCGATGCCAGAACATGACTGCCCAGCGACCCCGTAGTTCCTGTAATGAGAAAAGAAAACATGTGTGGGTCATGCGGGGCGGTGGCTTCTGGGACGTGACGAGTAAAACCAGAAGAAAATCGATCAACGAGCCGAGAAATGTGAAGACGTCGGTCCTCAGCGGTGTCCGTATCGGCAAACCCTGAGACGCGACGCAAGAGAAAGGATGTCAAATCCTCGATGGTGGGATTCTCGTAGACCAGTAAGGACGACACATGATCCGTCGCCGTCGAGGTCCGTCGTACGATAGCCATAAGCGCAGAGCGAATTTGTATCGCTTGCAGCGAGTCGGCACCTACTGGCCAGAATGAGGTCGTGGTGTATTCGGACTGTTAAACACTCGCCGTTGTCAAATAAGTTGCTACGCTCGTCGATTTTGCGCCCGAGAGCTTCCGAGACAACATTCTTGACGAAGGCTAGGAGATGGGTGTGATCTAAGGTCTCGGGGACAGGTACAGAGGCTTGGCTGTCGATCTCTAGCCTAGAATAAGCCTCTTCGATCTCACTTGAATAGAGGCGAAGGGTTTCATTCGTTTTGACGGAACCCTTGTCGGTGAGAGCTATCGGCTTCGCGTCAGATCGGACCAAGACCATCTCGCGGAGTAACCGAGAATGCTTCGGTACTATCTCATTCGCATGCGCGATCGTCGGCCATACCTTATCCAAGAACTCGAATTCACTCCCTCCGGTTTCGACGGGTTCTAGAATAACGCCATTGAGAAAGTGGCCAGATCCGAAAACAACGACGCGCGAGATGTAGGGGTCCTTGAGCAGAAGAGTCTCTTGATAGTCCAACCGATTAGTAGACTGCATTGAACGTTGCTGGTGATGAAAACTCACCAATCTGCTTCGTGTCAGTCTTTTCTCCGTTGCTTAATACAATCTATCGAACACGTCAATCATGTTGTTTTTCCAAAAAAAAATGTGACACCTGCGACAGAGTCCCTTCGCCCAACATGTTTCCAAAGACCTTTCGGTGAGGGTCAAAGTGAAGAAGAAAGCAAACGAAGATATCGACCAACCTGATATACTCGGATGGGGAGACCACAGGTCGTTCGTCGCAAATCCTACAGGATCTGTGTGGTTGATGATTGCGGGGGAGGCATCGCGACCGGGCTGTGGAAAACGAAGATCACCACCACGGCGAAGATAGAAAGCGTCGCGAAATCTTACCGAAACAATGAGCTCCCTGACTTCGGGATTATCGTCTACAGGAAGGAAGTGAAGATTATAATTGTCGTGGAATCGAATATACATCCAATCCCCTCGGACATTTGTTGACGGAAAGTCCATCGTCCCAATGCTGTTAATTTCAGTCCTAAAGATCCGCATCGTCAGTATGCCTTCCAAAGTACTACGACACAATGCTTACATTCCGTAACACGTTATCAAGGATACACCGTGGCCAACGAGGGCGTCGCCGCAGGAGCGCCGCAAAGGCGCACCGCCATACATCACCCTCTTCGCTCGTGATAAAACTCGGATACCAGACTCGCCTGCGAGGAAGATGTCCTCCAAAATTGCAGGAGCGAGAAATGCGATACACGGCTCCAGAAGCTCCAGGTGGCGAACGACGCTCTCTCTCGTGACCGGGGACTTCGTGGACACGAACGTAGGCAAGACACCGCTTCCGAGAGGCCACATGATGTATAGAAACCCGCCAAGACCCTTTAGAATCTAAGTTAGCACGCAAAAACTACGTCGAAAAAGGGAAAGAGACGGACGTGAGCCAACGGCAGAGGGCCATACACCGTGTCGCCAACATACAAATCGCCAGAAATACTTCTCGCGCCGCTGATCAGGCCGCGATGAGTGATTGGTATTAGTTTCGGGAACCCTGGATGCGAATGACTCAGATCTCTATTGAAGCTCTTCGCAAGCGAACGTACCCGTAGACCCAGAGGTATGCATATAAATGACGGGCCGGTCCAGTTCCTTCGAGGTGCTCTGAGCTGTGGAAGCGGGCCTCACAAATGGTCCCAGTTCGCTGCCGGCATGCGGTTCATAAGGCATCTGAATCACGAGCAAGTTGGGAAGGGAATCCTTCATTTCTTGAGCAAGGTGGAGATGCCTGTCGTCAACTAGAATCATATTAGCGGCCGAGGTTCGTATGAGATGCTCCAGAGCGGCGACGCTATTCCTTGTGGAAAGTAAGACCGGCTGAATAACGCTTCAGAGAGGTTCGGCAAGAATGGCATCATGCGTGACGCATACCGTCCATCCAAGAAGAAATGCCGCTACTTCGTACACATAGTACGTGTAACTGCTGTCCGCCAAGATGCAAACATGAACCGCGATTGGGTTCCCAGGGGCTCTATAGGCTTGACCTGACAAGAGGAGGCAAGACGCAACGCGTGTCGCATCCGCAAGAAGCCCGCTCCAGAGGATGGTGCGGACAGGATGTGTGCCGTCGTCGGCGTCTATGACCTTGCAAAACGGTCGCTCGGGATTGACGTGCCCTATGCCCAAGTACACATCAGGGAGAAGAATATCGTAGAGGCTGATGGGACAAGGCTCCATGGCATTTGCGTGAATGCTTATGTGAGGTTCTTCAATTGCAAGGTCTTTTATCCTCGCATCCCCGCCAGAGTCAGTATCTGGGAGGCCCATCAAGGTTCCATCAAATGGGGACTACAGCCAATCATGCTACGAGCGCATTCGATACTCGTCAGGCGAAATTGTCAGCCTTCCCCGCTCTCCATAGACTTGACGCTAGCCATGTCCACGGGCTTCAGTCTTGGTCCCTTCATCAATCCCACTTGCTCACCTCAAAATAGAATAGTATCCTGATGCGCTGTGACCGTATCCTAATCACTCATGAGGAAACGCCAAATCTCAGGCTTACAGGGGCCATAGAAGCTGTTGCTCATGCGAGAGCACCTGTCGGACGCATCGATGAAAAGAACGACACGGACAGCGCCCAAGAACGAACTCACACGAACATTGAATTCGTAACAGGGTCCCATCTACACACCTGACTGGCGCCCGATGGGTCCTGGCGCTTTTACAACGGCTGATCACAAGGGCCTAGTTCCAAGCCCTTTTAGAATGCGGGATACAGACATAAACGCCAGAGCCTTACCTGAGGCTCGGGGTCGGTAGACGACTCCCCGATGCCGCGCCTAAGAATATGTGATGAATAGCATCATGATTACGCTGAGACACACGAGGTATGTACGAGTACACAAAACAGGTAAGATAAGAGGTGGCTTCGATGACGGCATCTCGCTGAATATGTTCTGTGTTGCAAGCTACAGTTCATTCAGGGCACGGGAGGATCGATTGGGACTTACAGGCGTGGGCGTGCTTGATCAAATCGGCGGCACGCTCGGCAAGGATATACACCGGCACTTGCGTGTGTCCAGAGGGTATAAACGGCTTCCAGAAAAATCAGCGCCATGAATGGTCGGACCGACTGCGGCATGAACTCACGAATGCGGAGGCGTCCACGACCCTCAGACCCACAGTCCCTTTCACAGTCAAGTCCGCGTTGAGCGCGCCGCTTCCTCTCCCAACGCTCCCCGTTCTACCCATGGCCGACGTCCCGCACATGTGAAATACAGTAAAGGCAGAGTTCCTCGCATACTGCTCGATCTCCGCGTCCGTCTGCGCTTGAGCGAAAGATCCGAACTCTTCCAAGATCCAGTCGTTCCACGCAGGCGCCGACAAGTATCTACGGGCGGCCTTGATGGATTCGCGGATGGTGAATATGTCGAAGTCGGTACTGAAAAAGTTCGGTTGAATCACAGGATACTCAAAGGGATCCTTCGAGGCCAACGTGACATTGCCGCCTTGTATACTTGACGTTAGAGCAAGGAATAGTCTCAGGGAGCAAGCGTGACGTACGTGTCGAGGGAGAAATGAGATTAGTGAATACGGTAAGGAAATGGCCGCCAGGCGGCGGAGGTTCTGAAAAAGATATGAAACTATCCTGGAAGCGGCACGATTACATGAGACGGGCATAGAGAAAGCAGGATCACTGCGTACTGAAAAAAATAGTTGGTAATGGGCGGAGGTAGGGCCAGCGCTCGGATCTGCCGCAGATTCGAAGATCGACGAATTGCCGGGTAGTCTCAACCAGCCAACTTGGTTGCTCGGCCCGATAACCAGCTCTCCGGTGCGGGTGCTCTCCCACTGCTGTAGCTGTTCTGCAAGCAATGTCGCGTTCGCTGTCAGATTGTCGAGGGTATTCGTTGAGTTGACAGTATATGACGACGACACCAGAGGATGATCCTGTAGTCAAAACGTCGACACGAGCGTATACTGTATTATATCATGCCTCGTACCTGCAAGTTCTGACCCACATCAGGCAGGTCCACGATCGTTTCAATGCCGAGTGAAGATAGCAATGAAGCATCCCCGACACCGGACAGAAGTACTATGAACGCCACCACAGTCATTCAGCTCAAAACCGACAAATTGACAATGAAAAGGCATACAGATGTGGGGCGTCATGATCGCACCTGCGGAGAGCACGACCTCCTCGTGTGCATTCAAAGTATAAACACGACCTATTTATTCGAGAGGGAACGCATGATGCTCCGCACACGCGAGAAAGAAGAAATAAAAACACGCACTGGACGCGTTCTGTGCGAGCTGCACCCCTCGGAAGACCGCTTTGCCTGATTGCGTGCCCGTGCGAAGTACCTTGGTGACTTGGGTGTTGACCAAGACATCGAGATTTGAGCGACGAAGGGCTGGCGCGATGTAAGCCGTAGCCGAATTGACGCGTTCGCCATCTGCGATCTACATGATCTGAGAAACGACGTGAATTGGAGTACATTCTCTGATGTCGTACCGTGAACTGGAACCAGCCTGCACAATCCATAAAATTTCCATGTTCATGAATATTTCTAGTGGTGCTTACTGATGCCTAGGGTATTCCCCGAGTTGGCGTCGAGGTTGAAGGGAAATTCTGCCGACAACTCGAGGGAAGCATTGATGACTCGAGGATCCGTCGGAAGGGCATATCCGGCCAAGCTGACGCCCACAGGTCCTATAATGAAAGGATTGAAATCTCTTCAAAACCTACCGAGAGACTGCGACTCACCATAATGGCCATGGATAGACGGATCAATCTCGCCAGTAGTATTGTGATGATCGGCGGGGGGCACGAGTTTCTCCATCTCAAATGCAAATAAGATTGAGCTCGCTGATGCAGGATCAATTCGCACAGACAGATAGAACGGCACATACCTTTCGCACATAGGGCTGCACTGAGTCCCAAGACCACCCGTCATCCCCAGTCACGTTCGCCCAGCGATCCCAGTCGTCCTTTGAGCCTCTGGTATAGGCCATATAGTCTATTCGAGGCTCGAATTAGCACGTGGCAGCCTGTCAGGAGAGAAAAAACTGTACTGATTGACGTGGATCCGCCTAGGACATGGCCCCGCGTGTATGGAATTGTGCGACCATTCAACCCCGGCTGCGCAGCAGTCGTGAAATTCCAGTCCTAGCGCAGATATAATCATGAGAATCGCTCGGCGCGCGTAATGAAACGACTTGCAAATTGTGAGCCTCCCAGCCTACTAGCAAATCCCGGGACCCTGATGTTCAAGTTCTGGTAGTCGCTGAACACAAATTTCGGATAAAGCGAAAGTGAGAACGCGTAACGAAGAAGATGCACAAGAGCTTACCTTGAGCCTGCCTCGATTAAAAGAACCCTCGTGCCGATGTCTTCTGTCAGACGGTTCGCTATGACGCCTCCGCCAGCGCCGCCTGGCACTCATCAGTACTAGTAAGGAGGAAATACATATGCAGACTCACCACCAACTACGATGTAGTCATAATTTGACTTGCCGGGGAGCTGCGACGGGTTTGTGTAGAGTGCTCCGAGTGCAGGCGCGAGAAAGAGAGAGAGAGCGAAAAGGTAAGACATTTCGCGTCGTCGACAGTTGGCAGTCGAGAGAAACCCAAGCGATGCAATGGGCAAAGCACGGCGCTGGGGCGTAAATTGCGCATCAATAGGCGGGGGAGGGCGGACATATGTACGGTGGTTGTAGTCGGCGCGTAGAAGATTGAAACGTGACGTGCAACCCTTGGATATCTTGGATTCCCACACCTTCTAGGGCCGCGACTGGCATGTTGATTGAAAGCGACGGCACAAGGCACGTCTTCCCAGCAATCAGTGGCAAGATCTCCAGAGCTCTGAATGGAGAACCTCGGCTTCCCAGGGGCTAGGGCACCTCGGAATAGTGTGGGTCCATCCATCTCCCAGACTGCCTGCACGGTATCACAGATCACAAGTTTTTTTGTCCCATTTTTAACAAGCGATGCTATTTATGTACGGCAACAAATTACAGTCAACACTCGAAAGTGATACTCACCTAGACAGGCTCCTTCCACAGCATGACTTCTGACCTGCTTCATTGAGCGATAGAGGAATCGATATAGCAGCTGCAGGCTCCTCGTGCAGAAAGCTAAGAAAAAGGTGACGAACTGATCTTTCTATCAACCTTCTGGTAAAATGACCTCGACGAACACCATCCCGGGGATAGTAGCTTTACTTTCAGTCATCCATCACCGTGGAAGGATGAGTCTGACTCGATTGATTGCACATGACAACGAGGTTACAATGACACGAACAGCGAGCACAGCAACATTCCTTAGCGACTTGCCTACATCGGTTCAAACGCATCAGGTAATCGTACAACAGAATCACCTCACTTGTTGACAAACACGTTCCAGGCGGCTTCACTTCATCACCGAGACGCCCAATCAGGCACGGCTGGCCTTGATGATGTCTGCGGCCTGCGAATAAAAGAAACGATCAGCACGCGACACGGTCCAGCCGCGAGGAACGGGCGACAGCCACAGGTCCGTACCTTCTCGGCAATGGCGTATACGGTAGACTGAATGTGGGCCGACAGTTGCTGCGCAAGGAGGTAAAGGCAAAAGGTAAGAGGCGAGCGCTGCGGGCGTCGCACAGGGAGATACGCACGAGCGGAATGATAGACGCGTCGACCTGCAGAAACGCAATTCAACATCGGGTAGAAAGCGCACCGCGCAACGAAAATGGACTTACGACGCGCAGGTTCTTCGTTCCGTACACCTTCAGAGACGCATCGACGACGCCGCCGTCCGCCTTGGGCAGCATCGACGCCGTCCCGATGGGGTGGTACAGCGGCTCAACGCGCGTCCTGCACCACTCGCGCACGGCCGCGTCGCTCTCCGCCTCCGCGGGCGGGTCGTACGGCACCGCGCGCACGGCCGCGTACGGCGCGGTGGCTACGATCTTCTGCGCGAAGCGGACGCTGCGGACCATCACGTCCAGGTCGAGCGGGTTTTTGAAGTACGCCGGGTCAATGTCCGGGCGCGCGGTGGGGTCGGCTGAGGCGATGTGCACCGAGCCGCGTGAGAGCGGGTGCAGGAGCGTGATCATGAGCGTGTGGAAGCGGCAGCCGTCCTTGGGCTTGAGCGGGCCGACGGAGAAGAAGCCTGGGAGCTGGATGAATCTGCGCGCGGGCGGAGGGGGTCAGCGTGCGGCGTTGAGGGCGAGCGGGGAGAGTGAGAGGTGGACGTACTCGACTTGGGCTTGTTTCGTGTCGGAGAACCAGTGCTTCAGGAGGGACAACTGCTTGCGGTGCGCGGGGGTGTCCGTCAGGCTGGTGTCCTTTTCGAGACGGCCCATCCACTCGGCGTAATCGGTCGGACTGTTTAAGGTGCGGAGCGGCACGAAGGAGTACGCAGAGAACATGGACGAAAGCATGCCGCCTTGCTGCTCCTGGCTGAAAACCCGGACGAGAACGATGAGACATCGCACCAAAGCGAGAGCTGGCAGCCGTTTACATACTAAAGCTTGAGTTGCTGGGCAAGGCTCTCTGGGTCTTGTAAAATGTCCATGGTCTCAACCTCCTTGGAGACTTCGAACACAGCTGGGACCCAAGGATGATCCTGGGGATAGATACTACGTCAGATCACGTGGCGAACGCAGTGGTATACGCCCACCTCTATCCGCCCATGAACGAAGAAAGAAGCGGTTTCAGCAACGGCTGCGAAGTGAGGAATACAAGGTTTGCGCACGCAGGTTCTCTCCAACGGGGAGGTTGAGGATCTGTTTGATGCCGTGCTTTTCCAAGACACTGCTCAATCCGATCCCTGCAACGATCAACCTACCAATGAGCAGCGTGCCCCACTGTCAATACACACGCTCGCTCACCAGACAGCTCGAGCAACTGCGGGGTCTGGAAGGATCCTGGTCGCAGGCCGTTTGAGCCCATCGAGTATGACACGGTCAGGATGGCGCGAGCTCACCCGCAGACAAAATCACTTCCAACTTGGACCTAGCCGTGAACGTCTCACCGCCCTTCGTGAACTCGATGCCGGTGGCCAAGACTTCTCCGGCAGTGCCCTGCTGGAGAACTACACGGGTAGCTTGAGCTCCCGTGAGGAGCACAAGGTTCTTCCTGTCCGCGTTGGGGGCATAATAGGCCTTGGAGCGTTTTGATGAGGGAAGACAGTATGCAGTGAGGTTCGACTCACCGTGCCGGCGTGGCTGCGGGCCGCGGTGGCGGGGTCGATGGAGAAGGCGCCAGTGAACGTTCCAGCGTTGTACCCGCGTCCCTATGAGAACATGGCTATGAGATCGCGTTCGAGAGAGGAAGACTCTACAGGGCGAAACACACGTTGTCCGTATTGATTGGCACCCCCAGCTTGTCCAGCGTGTCCAAAAAGGCGACGTGGTAATCATTGAACCACTGCGGATAGGACTTCTGCAAGGGGCCGTCTTTACCGTGAAAATCGTAGTCGTAGCCCGCGTGGTAGGTCTTTGCAACGGCCGCCGAAGGCTTCGTGAACTTTTCGGACTGCGGATAAATAAAAGAAACAGGGATCAGATTCTGCTCTCGAGTTACAGACAGCGCAGAGACGACCTTTTTGAAGTACTTGAGCAGCTCATCCCAGCTCCATCCTAAGCTTCCGAGGGTCTCGAGAGCTAATCGGAGGCCATCAGAACACAATGTGATCATCGCATCTCGGCAAACATACCATTATACTCCTCAGCGGATGCTCTGAGGTATGTACGCCATCAAGCTATCATTTTGTCGAGAATAGGCTGAACGGGCAGAATCTTACCTTCCCGAGGCCATAAAGTTGAGCTAATGGTGGATCAGTAATACAAAAGACGCTTTTGAACAAGCGGACATACGGCCGAGGACCCTCCGACGACTTTGCCTCTGCAGAACACGATCGGGATGCGATCAGTGCTTGAACGGAAGGGGGAGCATGAGGTGCACACACCTTGGCTCGAAAATCTGGCGATCATTTGCGGCGGACTGGGGTACGGTCACGAAAGACCAATCGATCTGGGGGTTGCCGAGGCTCTTACCCACCATGCCGGGGACGTTTATCTCTGGCATGTCGGGCAAGTAGTCTCCGGCCTCGATGACGCCGACGACGATGTCGGGGTCCTCGGAGAGGCTGGGGGACGACACACGTCAATATTGGCGAGTTTAGGTGCGCGAATGACCTGTGCGCACCGTGCAGCGAGCACGATTCCTGCGGTCCCTCCACCGACGATAAGGTAATCGAACGAGGTGGAGACAAAGTCGGTGGGATTGGTGACGATCATGGTATGGAGGGTGTGAAGGCGTACTAGAGTCAGCTGTGCTGGACGAAGAGAGCATACGGGCACGCCAAACGCTTATATAGAAGGAGTCGGCAGCATCCCGGCACGCAGAGTCATGGATAGAAGCGGCAGTGGGTTCGCAAGAGATGCGGCGAGCTCGAACTGGGCGGCGTAGAAAGTTCAATGGACGTCCGCAGCCCCGTGGGATTGGGTGGGGCGAGGACATCATCAGAAGCGGCGGGACACAAACTCCCCGCTTCGCCCGCAGGCGGCAATCTACCAGCGCTGTATCAAACACTCACCACAGGACGCCTGTCTTTTGGTCACGATATCAGACGCATCTCCAAACTGACCTTGCACAGAAGACAGCCCTTCCGTGTGTATGTCTCCAGGCCATCACCATCATCCATCACAGGACGACTCTTCTGTGTAGGGTCAGCCATGGGAACCACCGTCCATCCGTCTTGGGTTCGAGGCACTGATCGTGGTCCACCGACGCCCGGGTGAGCTGACCGTCACGCGTCACACTTCTTGTCACAAACACCCACATCAGCATCAAGCCCCGGAGCGCTCGCTCCAATCGTCCACCATCAGCGTATGAATAACCCAGCTGACGCTCCCTTGCGTCCCTTTTTCTTGTATGCACTGTTTAGACGATGTACACATTTCCAAGTTTGATTATAAGCACGAGTGCGCGTAGTCGCACCGGCTCTCCTCCATCACCTGCATCTGACGCCTTTCGCACTTCATGGACAACACCACCACGACTAGCAGCGCCGCCACGACGGGTATTGAAATACCCCCCGATATCCTTGTCATGTGTGTATCATTGGCATCAACTCTTGCGCAGCTGTTGATTGCACCCTTGTATTTTTTTTCAGTGTGGGACCCCTCGTACGCTCTCCGCTCCATCCTGCATCGATAAAAGAGTCGTTACTGACCATTTTCCTACTCTACAGCTCCTAGGGGGCTTATTTAGTTTCTGCTTATACGGAATATCCATCGTCCAGCTCTGTCGGTCACCGTTCTATCAACTCGCCCGCACCGCCACTAATGTCGATCTCAGATATATACTATCTTTCATTTCCGGGAGATATGCTGTGGATTCAAATCACAGGTACGTGCACAGTCAATGCTATTTATCGAGAGTCTCACACATCTCGCCATCCGCACGCGCAGTGTATATGCTTTTTGTCTTGGACACCTTCCAGAGCACAGTCACCTGCGCCTTGACATGGTCCGCTATGTGTTCCGGCTGGGGCCGCCCCGAGGCGCTGGAGGTCCCTGGCTGGGGCTTCTCGGCCATCCCGGCCGTCAGTGGTATAGGTCGGGCCACTTCCCACCCCCCTGCTCGCTGCCCGACACCGCCTGACCTTCTCGACCTCTTTCCCTCCCTCCCCAGTGTCCGCCTGGGTGCAGTGCTTCTTCGCCTGGCGCATCTATGTCCTGGGAAAATGGCGCCTGATACCCGGCGCCATCGTCATGGTCTGCGCCCGCTCTCCTGCTCCCGTCGTGCATGTTCTAACACATCGTCTTTGCAGCTAGCACTCGCACAGGCTAGTGGCGGGCTCGCCGCCGGGATCAGGGTGATGCACACGCCCTTTGAAATCCCTCTTTCCGCTGACCCTGCCTCGCGCGCCGCAGTTCGTGCCCCTCAAAGTCGTGACCGAGCTCCACGTGGTCTACCCGATGGTTTGCGTGAGTATACCCTCCGCGCGCCCCCGCGTCCAATAATGACACGCCGCACCGCGCGCCCTCGCTAGGTCTGGCTCGGCGGCAGCGCGCTCGTAGACGTGCTCGTCGCCGTTAGCATGGTATACTTGGTGCGTGTATCGGCGCTGAGCCTGGATCGCGCCCGCGCGCTGGCTGATCGTGTGTCTCTTCGTGTGGTCCACCGCGTCGCGCACCAGCTCTACGCCGCCAAGAAGAACGCAGACGGCAACAACAGGACGGAGCGGATGCTTACGCGCCTGATCCGCATGACGGTCGAGACCGGCGTCGTCACCGCCGCCGCTGCCAGCCTTGACCTCGGGCTCTTCCTTGGATTCAGAAACAACAACCTGCACACACTCCTGTACGGCCCCTGCTGCTCAGAGGGGATAGGCCCTTCTCCTTTGTTCGTTCTGACTTGTCGTGTTTTTGGTTTCTAGCGCTTTCATGCTCTGCAAGCTGTACACGAACTCGCTCATGGCGTCGCTCAACTCGCGCTCGCCCTTGTTCAAGGCAAACCCCACGACGCACTTCGGGTCCGCGTCGCAGGTCTCTAGCGTCGCGCACTACCGCTGGCGCTCCGCCACGACCGCCTCGCAGGACAGCTCCGCGGCGACGTCCAAGGCGGTGCACATCTCCCAGTACGTCGAGGTCACCCGGGACGGCGAGGACCGCAAGCCCGTGAGTGCGCCGCTCGTCCCGCCGTCCCCGCCGCTGACCCGTGCGCAGGATGCACACGTTTACGAGGGAACGGAGAGCAACGTTATTCCGATGATGAACTTGACGAAGGGTGATGACGCTGTTTGAGGCTGCGCGGATGGGTCGTCTACTGGTTTAATTTATGGGCTCTGCTTGTCGTGGTGGTGCCTCTGTGTCCTCCTGTGCGATGTCTATGCTTTGAATATATGTATTATTTATGTACACGCCTGTAAAATCCCTCGACAGAGCGCGAGAGCGCGAGATTGGTGCCATATACCTGATGTCGTGCTGCGCTCAGGCGGATTCGCGATGTCGTCGCCTTCCGTCCTGCAGCATTGTTCCTCGCTTGTATTCCATGCCGTGCTCGCCCCGTCGTTCCCTATCTTTGTGTCCAATTTCTGCCGCACTATTTCTCTAATCTTGCGGAGAAGAGGCACGCAAGCGCAGGCGTCCGTAGACACTGATTACTGATCTGGATCTACTTTGACATATTCATCATGCGCAAGTTCATTTGGGTTGTGCGAAGCGATCGGATGCGGAGATCGAGCAGTGTGCAAGGAACACCACATCTACCGCGTTTCACCTTGGACGACCCGCCCCCCCTCCGCCGGTTGCACAACGATATTGAGGCTTCGAACGAATCGAGAGCGTATCCTAAACAAGGACGTGAAGTTTACACGATGTACCCTCCGATCTCACGGCCACTGCCTCATCATTAATTGTTCCGAAGCCAGATGCTGAATTTGTCCTGGATTAGCGTTGAGAGATATATGAAGAGGAGATTGTGTGCTTGTTCCGCCTTGATTTTCCGTGTCGTGTAAACGCGGGCGTGTCCCGAGCTCCAGTATCAGGGCGCGGAAGGTGATCGGCTGTGCACGTGGGCGCGTTCGTCGCCTTGTATGTGCCCCCGCTTGCGGTCCCGGTCCCAGATAGAGCACCGGCGATGCCCCTCCAATGGAAGCATTCTGCACACAGTTCCTTCCCATCTTCAGCCTCAGCGACTCCATGGCCCGTCGTGTTCTGGGCGGTCTGTTCTGATCAACGCCGTGGGCCCTTCCTGCCTCCACGTCTCCGCGGTCCATTCAAACCATGACCGTCTCCTCTTCCCTCCTCCATCTCGTCACCTCTCTCTTCTCTCCGCACCTTCCCTCTCATGGACACTCCGAACCCTCAATCCCAGCCTCAAGCGGAGCCAGATACCGCCCCCCCTTCCCAGGAGAAGCCCGCCGCCCCTGCCCGCGTCGACGGCGGCCTTCGCGCATGGCTCACCATTCTCGGCGGGTGTGCCTCTCATTGATTCTCATCGCCGCCCTCTCGCTGACCCTATCTCTTCCGCGCCAGCTGGATCTGCCTCTTCTGCACCTTTGGCTACTCTAACGCGTTCGGAGTCTACCAGGACCTCTACACCCGCGATGGCGCCGCTTCCGCATCCAGAGTCAGTTGGGTCGGCTCCGTCCAGCTCTTCTTCCTAGTCGGCATGGGCCTGCCCGCAGGAAAGCTTCTGGATATGGGATACTTCAGACAGACCATCCTCGCGGGCTCTTTGCTCTACGTCTTTTCGTCAGTTTTCACCCTTCGCTCTCGAGCGCGGGCGCTCTAACGCGCTCTCCTCTTCCAGCCTCTTCATGCTGTCTCTCGCCCACGTCGATAAATACTACCAGATATTTCTGTCCCAAGGTCTGGGCATGGGAATCGGTGGTGGCCTCATCTACCTTCCGGCCGTCGCTATCCAGGCCCATCACTGGCAAGCGCGCCGCGCTTTTGCGATCGGTATCGTCTTCACCGGTATGCGGAACTTACCATTTATTTGTGTCTCTACTCATCCCCGTGCGCTCGTGCGGTGCTTTAGGCGGATCCATCGGGGGCATCATCTTCCCGATCATGCTGAACCAGCTGTTCCACAACTCCGTGGGGTTCGCGTGGGGCGTCCGTGCTTCCGCCTTCCTCATCCTCGGCTTGCTAGTCATTGCGAATCTGATCATGAGCCCCCGCCCTCCTGGCACAGGAAAGCCTCCAGGGGGTCAAGCAGCGCCGAGCGGTCTAGCGGGAATGGCGAGAGATGTTCCGTTTCTGTTGGTCATATTCGGGTGAGCCGTTCACGGCGACTGTCCCTCGGTGCACGCACGTTGTTGAAGCCAAAGACGACAGCGCATTTTGCGTCAACTGGGGTCTCTTTTTCCCGTGTGAGCAATCTTGCATCGTCTGGACGTTGATCGCCCCGCTGACGACAAAACAGATTTTTACATCCAACTATATTCCATCCTCCACGGCGCTGGTGTCACTTTCTCATTCTACACGGTAGGCTTCACTGAGCTCACCTGACACCGGGTGGTTTAACCCGCCGTCGTTCGCAGCTAGCGATCATGAACGGAGCCTCGATTCTGGGCCGGACGATCCCCAACTTCCTGGCGGACACCGTTGGCCCGTTCAACAACTTTGTCCCGGCCTGTCTGGGGCCAGGGATCATGCTCTTTGCGCTGTTGGGGATCCGATCGACGGCGGGGATCGTGGTGTTTGCGATCATCTACGGCTTTTTCACGGGCGCATGTGCGTGCGCGCGCCTCCTTTTCATTCTGAATTCGTTGTCGTTTCTGAAGATTTGGGTTCGTTCGGGTGCAGTCGTTTCCCTCCTCGCGCCAACGATCGCGACGCTGACCGCGAATAAGGGCGAGATCGGGTGCGTTCGTTCGTGTGAGCTCTGGGCGCTCGATCGGGGTCGGCTGACGCCGCGACAGGTTGCGGATGGGCGTCGCGTTCTTCCTAACCTCGTTCGGATCTCTGTTCGGCACGCCTGTGCAGGGCGCCCTGTTGGGGACCACCTTCACATGGTCTCGGCCCATTATCTTCAGTGCGGTGAGCAACGGGCTTGATTCGGGCAGGGTATGATTGAGGCTGATGGTGGTGCGGTGCGGGTGCAGGTGATGTCGGTCGCGGGGACGGTGGGTGTAGGGATAGCGCGGCAGATGGTCGCGCGGCGCAAAGGAAGCCAGGTGGTCTAGCGCTCGCGGGAGCGTGCTGCTTGCCCGTGATCCCCGCGCCTCTCAATTCCCTGTGCCCTCCGCGTCCTCTGCTGTCTGATGATACCCGTGCACATACCGCTCTCCTGTTTTGGATGTGTATATACACGCATGCGCCTATGCGATAGCGAGCCCCACCTCGTGACCTTTCCTGACCGATGGAGGCTCGACGCGATACCCGCGGGCGGAAGGCGTGATGCGAGCGGTGGCACGATGGATATAGAAATCGAATGATTCGCGGGCGCTGATGCATGAGATCTAGCTGATTGCACTTGCCCAAGCTTCGGTCTTACAAGCCTTACAGCCCTTGCAAGACTTGTCCAAGTGGCACAAGCACTCTATAAGCTAAGCAAGTATATTTGCCCGTTTACTGATGCTTGGAGTTGTACTCCTCCTTTTCTGCATGCTTGGAATTCAGGATTCCCTCGCCATCATCGCTTTCTCTCTTTTGTATGGTTTCTGTCAAGGTGCATGTGCGTATCATCTCTTCAGCGTACAGGAAAACATAACACTGGCAATAATCTCACAAACTTGGCAATGCTGGCACCAGCCGTGATGTCGCTCACTGAAGATAAAGAAGAAATAGGGTACGCTGCGTTGTTCGCACAGTTGAGGCATTACATGCTGAAGACTGGCTTGGTGAATCCAGGCAGCATTTAGGCTTTGTGTATTTTATTACGGCTTTTGGGTCCCTTCTCGGTGCTCCTATGCAAGGTGCATTCCTCGGACAAGCATTTTGACGGCATCGCGCCATAATCTTTAGTAGGGTGTGCGCTCACGCTTCGGTCACTCGTTTTTTTGCGCTAAAATGCAACGATTTGATTCTCAGGTGATGCTATTCAGCGGCACCTGCCTGATCGCATTCGCCCACTACACTGTGTCGAAGAGGAGGGGCACTCAACTCGTTTAGGCTTCGGAATGCCTTGATACACGAGCCAAATAATGTTAAGTTCGCGCACACGCCTAACTTGTTCTCCGAGCTTCCATGCAGAGACATTGTCCAAAAATCCATGATCGTGCAAGATGGGCACCGGTCCCCAGGTCAAAATCAATACACGCTCGATGGACCGTTTGCCCACGCCGTTGTATGTGCTATGTTTATGTATCGTAGTGGACACGAATTTCGGCTCCAGAATCTACCGTGTCCGGAAAAGACCGAGGCTACGATCAAAAATGTCAATCAAACAGTTGCTAGACGATTGCGATGGGAATGAGTGATATGACACGAAGCACCATGACAGCACTCTGGCAGGGGTTTTGGACTAGTGGGCTGTGCGCAAGGCACCGGCCAAGGCGTCATTGAATCCTGTTTTCTTCAGCGCGACCCGGCATGCAAGCAGCTTGCCCAACGAGTATGCGCAGGATATCTCTTCGAAAAGCTTGAGAGTCATTGCGACATTTCCTGCGGTCGCGCGAATGACGGCCTCTCTTACCTGGATGCTTAGGTCGTCGGCTTCATATATGAGGAGTAGAAGGAAAGAGAACGGCCCACCGGTAGGTCGAGGGCCTGAAATTCATCGCAGTTCAAGACTGTGATTCCCTGACCAGAGAACGTGCCAAGGTAAAAATACCCATCCGGTAGATGGACGATGAGCTCGCTGTTGCGATTCAAGATCTTTGTCAGATTGTTCCTGCGACTCCTCCACTGTCGTACAGGCCCATCACCACTCTTCTTCCCTGTTTTCTTGCCCTGCACTCGTTCTTGAATTATTAACTGGAGTCGAATCATGACAACTGTCTCCTCTGAGCTCTCCTCTTTCACAAATGCGTCAGAGGAAGTGATGATAAATCCAAGGGAGTTTCTGAGACTTTGGTTAGAGATATCAGTGTCTTCGAAGTAATGGGCCAAGGTGACTTGCTGTATGGACATCTTATACCGCATATCCGAATGCCCATCACTTGTTAGGGCACGAATGAGAAGCAGTGGTAAGGATTTTACCTCTCGTACGTGTTCAAGGCATCCGTGTAAAGCGAATTCGTCTTTGCAGAACGGGCTCATTCTGGGAGGCATAAAGCCGGTATAAGCAGGTCGATCATTTGCTGATGATGAGTACTGAGAAGATCAAATCAAAGTCAGCGTCTGTGAGTCGGTAATAAGCAGCACTCAATAGAAACCATCCTGTCATCTAGGCGCATGTTGTCATGACCAGAGCTCACATAGGTCTCACTCGTGGAGGAGTGCACGGAGTCGGTTGCTTCCTGTATACAAATAGAATTGATGGGTCCTCCGTCTTCTTCTTGCAGCCAGCTTCCATGCTCGTTGTCGCTTGCTTGTGACATGCGGTCCGGGCTTGGAGTACGCATTCGAGTGGTGAAGTCTGGCCGCTATGAGTGAATGTGAGTTAGAAATATCGAGCTCGACGAGCAATCAGAATAGTGGACGCTACTTTCTCTGAATCCAGTCTACGCGGAAACAACATCCAAGCAAACCGGATTTCGAGCCAGATCTTTTCATTCTGCATTATCAGTGCATTTATACTTATTAAGAGACATTCTTGTTCATAAGTATGTCATGGACAGACCTGCAACTCGACAAGCGCACGGTGGAGTATATTAATTTGGTCTTCGAGTCGGCGACATCGCAACTCGAGGTCGGCGTTCTTTTGCTGTGAGAAAGTGTAACAAAACTTGGTGGTAGGGCATGAAAATCTCGATATGAGAGTACCTGTAGTTCGGCAGACGCGTGATTGAATCGGCTTTCGAGTTGATGATATAGTGAGGTGAGATGCGTTATCTGTCCTCAAGAGGACAATGTGTGAATCGTGACGGAGCTTCCGATACGATACTACATGATCGCACCTGCAGTTCCGTGAACATGCGCTCGATTTCGCCTTTGGAGCGATCTTCGAGTTCGAAGCAGCGTGATGTCAAATGCAAATTATGTTTCTGTGAAACATTGAACGCGTGAGTGGTTAAGCCAATAGGAAGTCGCGAGAGCGAAAGTATCGGGCTCAGATCGAATGACGGACCTACCTCCAATTTTGTTAGTCGATCTCCCAGACATTTGTAGATCTGGTCCCGCTCAAAACCTATGGGAATAGGCATATTCTATATAGCAACGAAGAAAGCTGTAATGTGGGCGTGCGAGTGACATGAGACGTCAAGCATTGAACAGTATATATACTGGCGAGCCAGCTCGCTGCGCTAGGCTATGCGCGTATGTGCTGGTACATTTTGTAGCTCACACATACGATGTTTGGTTGCGCAGACGCAGCTGATTCCTGAGGGATGGAAAATCAGAGCATCGTCCATAGAAAGAGTGGTATTTGAGAAGGTCATGCGCATTGTCAATTTGTTACACGCAGACCGGGGAGCCTCGGACCCGGAGAACCACGTGCAAAACGCTGACCACGTGTGAACTACGTGGCAAACCCGGAAATCGACCAAGGCAAATCAACTCATACAAGTTCGACGGGTGTCACCTCTCTGCGAGGTAAGAAACCGTTTGGATCTTTTCACCTTAATTCGGGACATGTGGAACAAGGGCTTCTTTCCATGTTTTGGTCAGAATGCCTTCAAAGTTCGTCGCCACGGACTCGTTCTGCCCAGCAGCCTTCTATCATACGGCGCAGGACCCTCGAAGCTTTTGACAGGCAGGTGATCAGTTGCGACTCATCCGTGCAAGTGCTTGCCATACTGGAATACCATAGGATTACTCAGCTAAAGCTAATACTTTTGATAATAGAGCATGAGGCTACTATGTTGAGCTTCGAAGCCTGCTTGACAGGCCTTTGAACACAGGCCGGTCCCTTTGTTTGTGAAGCCTGGAAGTACCATTTGAGACTGAGGGCTTCTTCGACTTCAATAATACAATCGATATAAATTTGAAGGAGATATGTAGCTAACATGCTAGATATTTTGATGACACCTTCCTCATCCTCTTTATTCGAACCTGAGCCTCTGCTGCAGCTGCCAATGCGAGTAGTAGTAGCCTGCTCACACCCGTATTCTTCATACATAGCTCGCACGGAGCAACCAGTTTGTCATAAGTACTTCGTCGACTGAAACGCTACTCGTGCGACAGTGCTCTAGAAACTTCTAGAGGCTGTGAAATTCAGAGTGCGTCCGTCCCCATTCTACTGACTGTGTTTGGGCTGATTGCCGACTTTTTAAAGGAATGTCTCCAGGGCCTTGTTGTAGGTAATCTTTTGCAGTACCACTTTTTGAGCCTGCAGTTCACCAGACGAATACTCCTTCAATATTGCTCCTTGGCTATCAGGTCTCAATGCGGTTTCGTGTGCTACTGCATCCTTTACCTAAAACCCCTCTCATGGCTGAATGCACGCAAAGACGAAAGATTGCTCACCGATATATCAAGACCTTCGAATACCACAGGTGACAACCTCTCGTTGCTAAGTCCACGATATGTGCCCAAATATACATAGCCTTCTGGCCCCCGGACGATGAGCTCGTTGTCGCGTGTGGATAATTTCGCTACTTTTCGCCTCTGATCGCGCCATTTTACCCGTTTCTTCTTTCCCTTACCTCGCCGTACTTGTTTTTTCTCGGGCAGGATCAAGAAAATGTCGACAGAACCCTCTCCCTGAAGAAGTGCCGCAGCTGGAGCGATGATGAACTTCAAGGGGGCCCTTAGTTTTCTGTTTCAGATTTGAGTGCTTCAAAGAATAAAATTGAATGTGACTTGCTTGGAAAACTCCTGACACAACGCGTCGTTGATCGTGAAGTGCGGCTCGATCATGAGCGACAATGTGGATCTCATCTTCTTGACATCTCGAAGACATCGCCGGAGCGCGACTTCATGCTTGCAAAAAGGAGCCAAGCTCAAAGGTTTGAATGAGAAGCTTGACAACCTTGGGTATTCATTATAACTGTTCATCGGCGCCTGGCAAGGATAAATGTCAGCATGCACAAGCCGGTATCATTCATAAGTTGTCGAGCATACAGTAGGTAGGCATTCGTTATTTGAGCCTTCTCGCAGAGCGCCATGGGGTTGATGCGATGATTCGCCCACAATGCTACGATCATCGTTTGTTTGCGATAAGGTGTCCGGTACATCCGCAGGAGATTCAACAACGACGTTCACAGTGGGCTATATATAGGCGGTGTCATGAATGCAGCAGTCGACGGTCACTAATGAACAGCACCTGGAATAGATTTTCTCCCTTCTGCTGGATTTTTGAGGCGTTAAAGCGTGCAATGTCTGCCTCTAGCCTCTGTAGCATATGGGTCGTTGTGCTGAAGATTCCGGGAGTTGAAGCACAATTTACCCTACCTTGAGTGCGATCCTATATGCAACCCGCTCTTCTGATATGTGCTCAATGTCTCTACACAGCAAAGTGATTGCTGCTTTTTTCGTCTGCGGGAATTCTTCTGAGAAATCCCGGAAGTCTTCCTACTATCGCAGCGTGGGTGTCAAACAGACCTCATATTCTTTCTGTGAGTGAAATGTTTCAGAGAGTGGTGTTATAGTCCTCGAGAGAGATATAAGTGCATAGAGGGTGGTGTTGAAGCAAGGTCAGATGTAGAGCAAACAACTTACCTCAACTTGCTCGAGATGTCTCGTGATATAGACCAGTTCGTTCAAGAGTGAGTTCGATGACAGTTTCAGCATTATTTGAAGTTGAGTCTGCGATGATGCAACAGTGAGTGCTCAATCAGACAGTGTCCTCAATGAAGCGATCATGAGCAGTATATATACTAGCGAATGCAAAGCTTCGGTCGAGGATGTTTGGTGGCCCCGCAGCCGCAGTTCATCGTAATTGAATGAGAGACCAGAATTTACCCATAGAAGTAAAGAGAATGCGTAGGAAGACGAAGCTTCTGGGCATGCGTGGTCCGCACTTACAACGCATGGAACTAGGGAATCTTCCTACATCAAGCTGCTCTGGGGTCGATTCGTCACAAGGCTGCTCTTGACTCTGCGCAAGCGCCACTCAGCCTGATCATAAATAGCTGCAATCAGAACATGTGGCATTCCATACAGAAGGAAAGAACCGACAGGCAAAATGCAACGAGTCGCACGCTTACTGCGATGTGGTCATGTCTATAATGAGCCTCCTTCTCCTTGAACTATGATAAGGCTAATTATGGTGTGAGTGTGCCTGTTATCGAAGTGCTGCGTCACGCACTCGCACAATTTTTCGCGCGGTTCAAGGGCAGCAGAAGGGCAGGTAATGCTGTTTAAATTCCTATACAAGCGCGAACTTCGCGAGAAGTTGCGTAAAAACAAGGACATGATCAGCATCATGTGAGCTGCCTGCATCGAGTGCATACAGAGAGAGCCCTAAATAAGACATATAACAAAAAAACAGTGCATGGAAACGTATACAATTACACAAGATCGAGAACGTTAATATGCGCGACGAGTCCGAGTCCGAGTCCGAACCCGATGCAAATCTAGACGTCATACGCGACTCGGGCACCAACCCACGGGTAAGGGTAGTTGTGTTGATAGAAGTTCCTCACAGTGCGACGACCCGCAAGACGAGGAATAGTCGCATAAGAGGCTCCGAGCTGCGTAGAAATTCTAGCTGAGTCAAAGATCCAAGAAATCAGCAGAGAGACTTACGACAGTGTGGTGCTTGGTGTCAAAGAAATCGGTCGAGTATCTATCATAACATGATGAATGGGCGGCTGGGCGGACTGAGAGAACCGGTGAACTTTACCCAGGGAAGATAGTCGTCGGGTCGAAGCCGTCGTGTGTATCAAAAAGGTCAGAGGTCCACTCCCACACTCCACCATTCGAACCTCTGCCACCGTCCTTCTCCCCGCCTGCCGTCGCTCTGTCACAAATGCGTCAGCAAAAGCACACGCTCTGACACCAAAGCCCAATTGCAAGAGTCGATTACGCACGGGACACAATGCCAGTTCCTGAACCCCACGTTCGCACCCCCCTCATACCCCACTTCGTACGTATCCAAAAACAGCCTCAACTCGCTCTCCGTCGGGATCCTGCCCCCCTTCGCGTGCGCATAGTCCCGCAAGTCGTCGTACGCCGCCATCACCGGCCAATGCCGCGCAACGTCCATCCCGACGTTCCCAAAGAACGTGCGCACGCGCGCCTCGGACCCATGCACGACCCAGCTCGGCGGCGGTGGGCGCCGCGCGCCCTCTGCGCGCCACCACGCCTCGTACTCCCCGTTCGTGACGGGCCGCCACTCGACACGGAACGCGCCGACGGCCACGGTGCGCGCGGGGCTCTCGTTGTCCCACCCGTACGCGCGCCCGAAGACGTCGCCCGCGAGTTCGGGAAGGAGGTCGTCCGACTCGGGGTCGTCGTGCCCCAGGACCAGCTGGGTGGGACCGAGCGTGACGGTCGGAGTTGCAGGCGGCGTGTACGCAGCCCACTGTTTTGCGAGGGCAGCAAACGGGGGCGGTGTAAATCCAGGCGGGGGGAGCGTGCCTGTGCCGGCGCGTTGGATGAGCATGTAGAGTAGCGTCTGCGGATCAAGGTGCGAGCACATTTAGGCCCGATCGAGGACTGACAGCGACCAGATGACTGACCTCGATGTGGAACCCTTCGTGCTCGAGCGTCATGACCAGCACGCGCGCAATCCTCCGTGTGATGGTACGTGTCCCGTTCTCGAGGTCCTCGAAGAGGCGCAAAACGCGCGCGCGCACGCGATCGCGGAACTCAAGGACCTCCGTGAGACTAGGCCAGTCCTCGTCCCTCGTCGGGACCTCCGAATGGCGCTGCACACATCCAAACGACACTGAGTTGAGATTCGAGAGTATCAAGCTTAGAGGTTAGGACTCACATGACAGTGCTCCGGATCGTCGACGTGGGGGTCGATCCCGCGCTGTGCATCCCAATCAGCCTCCCATCCACACGAATCCCACAGTCATCTGCGTGTACTCACCTCAAAGATCATCGTAAACCGCTTCGGCTCGGTGTTCGGCTCGTTCAGCAAGTTGCTCAACAGCATATCCAAGAACCTGAAATCAGCGTCACATCAGCGCCATCACCATCTTAAATCTCCTCTCTCTAACGAACGGACTTACGTTGGAATATGGCCCAAATAAAACAAACACTTGTGTCTCAAGTCGATCGGCTTCTCATGGAGCATCGCGCGGGGGATCATTCCTAGCGTGACGCAGTCCCACGCCTTCCAGAGGTCCCGGAACTCTTGCGCTGATGGGATACCAAAGTGAGTCGCTGTCGGGTTCAGCGGAGCCGGACGCAAGGTAGAGAGCGCGGGAAAGACGAAGGGTGGGCGCGTGAGGACATAGAGGTGCAGAGTGCCGCTCGGCGAGGAGGAGAAAAGCGCGACCAGCGCGCGGAGGCGGGCCTTGGTGAATAGGGTCAGGGCGATCTCGGGTGGGATCTGTGCGTCGAATCCTCGTTCAGTTCGAGAGGTATCAGCAAAGCGAAGATCTTTTCGCGTACGTCGTCTGAGGCCACGCTCAGTGCAGTCACGTCAATATGAGTCATGCCCTCGGCAGTAGGGATGTGCTCAGAGTTCGAGCGAAAACAGACACCAGAGCCATCGACTGAGAAGGCAAATTTGAATGCCAATTTTCACAGAAACAGTCAGACAGACACTTACGCCTTTCATCGTCCCACCGTCTCTTGGCTATGTCAACGTCCAACACTTCGTTTGCTTGGTCCATCAAGGCGGCAACTTCGTTGCAGGTGCCAGTGCCCGTCAGGAAGAGGATCGTGTCCTCTCCATTGATTTTATCACTGACACCCGCCAGAAGACCTGCATTGCCGAGGATAAGGTACGAAGTATGGATCTCCATAGGGAGCGGAGACGATGGAGCAGTAGAGACCTCAGAAATCGAGGAAGAGGAGGACATTTTGGATGATAAACGACAGTTCGTTGGGGAATGGAAAGAGTCGTAGATGCGCTTTTATACGATTAGAAGTATTTACACGGCTTTGGACAATCTCGGATTGAGACGGGGAGAACTATTGCAATGGGAAGATAACATCAAGGAGCAGAGAAGAGCATTCGGAATTCATGGGGACCAGAGCGGTCGCCTGACAGGGCTCCGCGTGCAGTGGAACTGTCGGACATGATGAACAATGATGCAGAACAGCACTCAACGCACCGTAAGCCGTGACACATCCAAGTCTATCTCAGCAGAAGACGCAGCGAGAGAGTAAAAACACGTAAGATACCAGCGATAGAAACAAGGGCGTGTCTCTCAACGAGGGTGCCCAGCGAAAAAAATCGTCTTTCAGGGACTCGCCATCGGCATAGGGACGACCAATGAGGAACTAGCGTGAGAAAGACGGTCGCCAATTCGGCATAGCAAGGGTTCAGCGTCATAACTTCAGATGTCGGGAGGGGAAATGGTGCGATAAGACCACGGCGGAATCGGAAGACAGCGTCGGCAGGGTATGATAAGACATGGCTGCTAGACGGATCACGACACGAAGATAAGCTTTTTTGAACTTACGTATGATACCATCACAAACGAGCACTGCTACGACACTGCTGCGACACTGCTATAGCACAGCGCGGTGAACGTTCAGTGTGGTCCAACAATTCAAAGCAGTACGGAGTGCATGTGGGTGGTAGTGGGAAAGCAAAATGGGCCTAGCCATGGGTGACAAGCGTGTCGGGGCACGCACCAAGAAAGTAGCCTTGTCAGCGCCGACCCTCAATTCCAAAGCACTGACACTGCTGCGCCAAATTCCACATAGGTGCATGTCCACGATGTCCATCTTTCGCGCCCTAGATGAGGCTCCAAAGAGGAGTTAGAGACGCCATTTAAGAAGGGATCGTTGCCCACGACGATGCCTGGGTTACGCAGCAGGAGAGAAAGACGGAGATGATGGTTAAGGGAGAGAGGACACCGACGAGGTTCTCCCGCTCACTCCCAGTTCACAGTCCGACGATGGCGTGCTCTTGCGCGATGCGCACACGTGATGGACCGCTTCTGGTCACGAGCAGACGACACGGCAATCAAGCCACTGGCTCTCCTCCTCTCCTGCTTCGACGTTTGACTATGATTTATGTTTTAATCAATCTAGTCAGAGCACAAAAGAACTCACAGCTTTCAATGAAACCAGTTTGTCCCTCAAATCAAGTGAGCACCCTCGCTTACCGATGTTTCTCATCGGGCCCCTTCGGTGCTTTAAACTATTCTCATTTCATGAGTGCTCCTCACTGGGCACCACGGACCTCTGTGACTTCCATGTTCAAGGTATATTATGAACTATTGTGCAGATCGCCGAGCTTGTTGTCATCGAATAACGAGAATTCGGACCGTCGTCTCTCTAGCGACGATGTCTAAACATCAAGGCGGGGTTTCTTGATTGTCTACCCACCACAATCTTCCAGAAGTTCAATTCATTTTTTCTTGTCATATACCGCGTAATCTGACCGAAAGTGATCATCTGAAGACAGTGGAAGACAGAACAATGGTACGATATGGATAGATTGGAGACGAACACATACTCATGTGTCTCATTATTTATCTCACGACGGACCTGCGTCAAGACTACGGGTGAGCAGATACTTCGAAATATTATGGTAACGGTCAGAATCCATATTGATGGTTGGCATCAGCACTACGGCATACGCATTGATCTCGAGCAGGTGCGATCTTCTTTATCAGGTATTCAACCTTATCGGCGCTGATGAGTATCAAGCCGGGCTGTCCGTCCTGATGGCTTGATCCCTTTATAATCTATACCCATCGAATCGATATTCTCGTTTCCTCCTTTCGCTCCAGGCTGGCCCTCCTGTTTTGACCTTTTTGCCTCGTTCATCTTCTAACAGAATACGGCTGGAATGACCGTTCTGCAAACTTTTGGAGAGATCGGCGTCATCATCGTGATCTCCAATGTTGCTGTTCTATGCGAGACTTTGTTCTGGGGTGAATCCCTTCTTCTCAGATTCTCTCCAACATGGCCGGATCTTACGCGCAGCTGCTTTAGGTATTTTTGCATGTCTAGCTGTTTTTGTGACGTATATCCTTCTGTGAGTTATCAGAATACTTACGCAGGGTGAAACTGACATGACTGACCCGTTCAAGGCGAAAGGGTTTAAAGTCCAGACTCAACCTAGTCATGCTGATCGCGACGGTGATCATGTTCATATCGGCGAGCATGCAGCTGGCGCTCGACATCTTCTCCCTTATGGTCGTCATCCAAGGCGCGCTGATCGACCAGTCGATACCGAATCTCGATTCTCGGTTGGTGGCGGTGACGAAGATCACGTCGAGCTTTGTCTCGAATTTTTTAGATATGATCAACTCATATTTTAATGTGCGTTCGCCTTTGGTGCACAAAATTGAAGGGAATTGAAAGTGGCATGTTCCAGTTCATGCTTAGTGACATGATCGTGGTCTGGAGAGCTTGGACATTGTGCAGCGAGAATAGGAAATTAATGGTGGGCCCGTTACTCACCCTCTTGGGATCCATCGGTAAAGAATTCAAATGAATTGTCTTAAAAATCAATTTTGAGCGTCTACAACTTCAGCAACCGCTATCGCGAGCATGGGAGTGCAAACCAAAGTCCTCTTGAAAGGTAGCATAAGGCTGGGGCAGGTCGCGGGTGCACTGCAGTACGCATCATGGGCCCTGTCGCTCGCCACCAACCTGGCGACGACGTCACTCATCGGCTATAAAGCATGGTCTGTCGTTGTCTGCAATGAATGCCTCGCATCTGAGGGATCCAATACGACCATATTGTAGGAAGCATCGACAGTCCATCAAGGACAATCTCGGTCAGGGGAACTCAAGGACAAAGGTAGAGAAGATCATGGCGCTTCTCGTCGAGTCTGGTGGAATTTATTGCATCTTCTGGGTAAGACAAGAGTTATTTTTTTGCAATATTCGCTGAAACTCTAATCCACAGATCACTCTCCTCGTCACCAACTTTGTCACCATCAGAGTATTTGGCCGTCCCCACAGCGTGACGGATGTCATTGTTCCCAATGCTGTCCAATTAGCCGTGAGTAACTGCAATAGCACATGGAAAACCGAATTCACAATGGGAATATGCGCATAGGGAATCTACCCCACCGTCATTCTCGTCCTCGTCAGTCTCGAAAAAACGATTTGGGACTCGCGCGGCAGCGTCGTGGAATCTATTGGCGGCAATAGTGCACACATGGAATTCGCCCCTGGTCCGGGCATCGTCTCAAAAACTACGGCGAGCCGACATCAGATCAGTGTCATCCAACTGGATACTGGGATGCAATCAGTCGATTTTGAGAGAGACGACTATAGGGACTCGATTAAAGCTTCAGTGTAAATTGTCTCTAGCGGGGCGATGTAGTCTGCGTCTGTATGTATAAGTATTGTTAATGCGACAACGCCATGAAACAACAGTCTGACGTTTCCTGCTGTCAGAGACCCTAATTGCTACTGCGCTTGTCGAAAGGAACCAATGCTCTGCCCAAAGTCATCATTTTGCTCTGCTTATCTGACAAAAAACAATAGTTGCAATGACTTTTGCCTCTTCAAGCCTCACTTCTTTACCAAAAACCCCAAGGCAGTAAGTCGACCATTCTCGGAGTTTCAACCACCTCTTCGACGGCGCGGTTTAGCCACCAAACTGTATAGGAAAGTTGGGGTCACGAGCGGACGACAGCGACTCATCTCTGCCGCGCACTGCCATTGCCAGCTCTCCTGCTGTCCTGCTCTATGGTCCATGCCTTCATCAATCTGCTAATGAAACAGTTGCCCCTCAGAAGTCATGTCTTCAATAGACTCGTGAATCAAGTGAATACTGTGGGTTTCTCAGATCTTTCGCGTCAGGCCTCTTCGATGCTTCATTCTATCCCTATTCCATGAGTATTCTTCAACAAGCACCACGGACCTCTGCGATTAACTTGGGCAAATATCTTCTGATTCTTGTGCAGACAATGCTCATCGTCGTCGAACAACAATCTACGAGACGCGCCAGACTGTTATCTCTTTAGCGACAATATTTTGAACTAAAGCGGGAAACGATCAGTGTTTGATATCAAGCCGCGATGTCTAGGTATTTATATTTCGTTGTCTACTCACCACGATCTTCTGAAATATCAACGCCCTTTTTCTTTGTGATGATCTTTTAACGACGCAGGTCGATTGTTGTCATATGCCGCGCAATTTGACCAACAGCAATTATGTGAAGACAGTGGAAGATGGAAGAACAACACGACAATTATTGATTAGGGATGATCACGTACCTATATGCCCTTTGTCTATCTCGCGACAGACCTATGTCAAGGCTACAGTTGAGCAAACATTATGAAGATTATGGCAACGGTCAGAATCTAGATGAACAGCCAGCATCAGTACTACAGCAGACGCCTTGATACCGAACAGGTTCGATGTTCTTCATCAAGCGCCCAGCCTTACCGACGCTGAGAAGCATCAAGCCGGGCTATCCGTCCTGACGACTCGATGAGTTTATAAGCTATACTCATCGACTGACTATTCTCGTTTCCTCCTTTCGCTTCAGGCTGGCCCTCTTGTTTTTGACCTTTCGACTTTTGCCTTGTATATCGTTCAACAAACTATGGCTCAAGAAATAACCGTTTCGCAGTTCTTGAGCCAAATCGGCATCATCATCATGGTCATGAGTATTCAGATTATATGCGTAATCTTCTTCTGGGGTGAATCTTCTCCTCTCGGCTTTTTCTAGCATGGCAGGAGCTCACGCACAGCTGCTTTAGGCATCTTTGCATTTCTAGCTGTTTTTGTGGCGTATATCCTTATGTGAGCGATCAAACTTTGCCCACAGTGTGAGACTGACTTGACTGATACCACTCAAGGGGAAAGGGTCTGAAGTCTAGAGTCAACCTGGTCATGCTGATCGCCACGATAATCATGTTCACATCCGCGAGTGCGGGTGTGGCGCTCAGCATCTTTTCGTTTATGGCCACTATCCAAGGCGTGCTGATCGACCAGTCGTCGCCCAATCTCGGTTATCGATTCAACGCGGCGGAGAAGATCACGTCGAGCTTTGGCTTTGAATTGTTAAATTTGATTGGCTCATTCCTCAACGTGCGTTCGCTTCGTCTACAAAAAACGCAGACTAAGGAATATTGATAATCGTGTCTTCAAGTTCATGCTTAGCGACATTATCGTGGTCTGGAGGGCTTGGACACTGTCTAGCGAGAACAGGAAGATGATGGTGGGCCCATTGCTCGTCCTCTTCGGATCTCTTGGTAAATCATTCAAATGAACCATTGTTAAAACACCTTCGAGCGTTTACAACTTCAGCAACCGCCATTGCGAGTATAGGAATCAACACCAGAGTCTTCTTGATAAGAAACGTAGAGCTGTCCCGTGTCGCGGCTGAACTGCAGTACGCATCATGGGTATTATCGCTCATCACCAACCTCGCGACGACGTCAGTTATTGGCTATAAAGCATGGTGTGTCATTGTTTTTTCATTTGGTTAATTGCCTCGCAATTGAGAAATTCAATTTGAATTAATTATAGGCAGCATAGGCGGTTCATCAAGGAAAACCTCGGTCAAGGCAACTCGAGGACAAGGGTCGAGAAGATCATGGCGCTTCTAGTCGAGTCTGGAGCATTCTATTGCATCTTCTGGGTAAGTGCAGCTTTTTGTAGCAAAAAAAACCTAAAAATCATTATGGCATTCTCTCCCACAGATTATCCTCCTCGTTAACAGGTTCATCCGCATCGTCCCCTTAAATAACATAGGGGAGCTAATTCTACCTATTTCGCTTCAATTAGCCGTGAGTGCCTGCATTAAGCATCCAGGGACGAACTAAACACAGGAACATGCGCACAGGGAATTTACCCCACCGTTATTCTCGTCCTCGTCAGCCTCGAAAAAACGATTTGGGACTCGCGCGGCAGCGTCGTGGGATCTATTGATGGTAATAATACACACATGGAATTCGCCCCTGGTCCGGGCATCGTCTCAAAAACTACGGCGAGCCGACATCAGATCAGTGTCATCCAACTAGACACTGACATGCAGACAGTCGATTTTGAGAGAGACGACTATAGGGACTCGATCAAATCTTCAGTGTAAATTGTCTCTAGCAGGGCAATGTAGTCCCGCATCTGTATGTATAAGTATTGTTGATGCGAAAACGCATTGAAACAGCACTATAACCTTTCCTGCTGTCAGAGACCCTAATCGCGGCTGCCCTAGGGGTTCCCCTTGAAGGACAGACTGTAGAAAGGGGCTTATTGGACAAAAACGTAATAGTTGCATGACAGTTACCTTTTCGAGCTTCACGTAATATTTCTATCAAAAACCCCAAAGTGATGTCTCTGTCTGCTCTCCTGCTTTATGGTCCATGCCTTGGTCAATCTGGTGCCAGGGTCCAATTACTGCATATCCTCTAATAAAACATGGTGGCCCCTCAGAAGTCATGTCTTCACTAAACTCGTGTGTGAGTAGCGTCGATTACGGTCAGGTTTCTCGTATTTTTCTCACTAGGCCTCTTTGATGCTTCCTTCTATCCTTATTTCATGAATGCTCTTCACTGAGCACTACGGACCTCCGTAATCAACATGAGTGAATTATTTTTTGGAGCTCTGTGCACTGAAACGAGTTCGTCGTCATCGAGCGGCGATCTACCACTCCTGACCGTCGTCTCTTTAGCGACAATATCTGAAGTCAAAGCAGGAAAATTATCATTGTATGCTATCAATCTAGAAATTTTCAGTGCTCATCATCTACTCCCGACCGTCTTCTGGAAGATCAGTGTATGTTCTGTCTGTTCTAATCGGTCGCATCGCAGGTCAATCGCAGACATATACGGCGCTACCCGACTGACAGCAACGATGTGAAGATATTGAAAGTCAGCATACCAGCACGAAACGGATAGCTAAGCATGAACACATAGCTATATGCCTTCTTGTTTATCTCATGGTAGATTTATGTCAAGGCTGCCGGGGGAAAAACACTTTCAAAACGTATGGCAACGGTCAGAATCTGTTTTTGCCGGTCAGAATCAGTAATCCAGCATATGTCTTGATCCGAAACAGGCATGATCTTCTTCACCGAGTGCTCAACTTTGCCGGCACCGATGAGCCACTAGTCGGGCTGGGCTGATGGACGATTCCTTTAAAAGGAATCCTCATCGAATTGATATTCTCGTTTGTTTCTTCCTCTCCAAGCTGGCCTTCCTGTTTTTGACCTTTTGACGTTCTTGATTTCTTCTCATGACTGGTATAACCGCTCCACAGTTTTATAACGAGGTCGGCATCTTCATCTTGGTCAACAATGTTTAGCTTCTATGCGAGATCATATTCTGGGGTAGATATTCTGCTTTCAGATTTCTCCAAAATCCCAGAAGCTCACGTGCACCTGCTTTAGGTATTTTTGCAGTTTTAGCTGTTTTTGTGACGTCTATTCTCCTGTAGGTGATCGAACTGTTTACACACAGGGGAACTAACACACCCGAGCCCACTCAAGACGAAAGGGTCTGAAGTCGAGATTCAACCTAGTTATGCTGATTGCCACAATCGCTATGTTCTCATCCGCGAGCATGAGTCTAGCACTCGATATCTTCTCCGATATGATCGTTATCCGAGGTGCGCTGATTGACCAGTCGTTGCTCAATCTCGATTCTCGACAGAAGGAGGTGGCGGATATTCTGTCGAGCGTTGATCCCACGGTTATATCTACGATCAACGCAGTCATCAATGTGCGTTCACCTCTTGTGCCTAAAGTATAAGGATATTCAAAAATCGCGTATTAAAGTTCATGCTTAGTGATATGCTCATGGTCTGGAGGGCTTAGACACTGTGTAACGAGAACAGGATGATGATGGTGGGCCCATACTTGCCCTCCTCGGATCTATTGGTTAGTCGTCCGACTTGATGGTCTTCAAAACCAATTTCGAGCGTCTACTGTTCCAGCAACCATGATCGCGAGCGTAGGAATGGAGCTGAAATCTGTATTTACACACAATCCACAATTGTCGCTGGTCGCGGGAACACTGCAGTACGCATCATGGGCTCTATCGCTTGTCACCAACCTCGCTACGACGTCGCTCATCGGGTAGTACAAAGCATGGTCCGTCATTATCTATTAATTCCATCAATGCATCTGAGGAATTTGATATGATTATATTACAGGCAGCATCGACAGTGCATCAAAGAGAAGCTCGGTCAAGGCAACTCGAAGACAAGGGTCGCGAAGATCATGGCGCTTCTCGTCGAGTCTGGAGGACTTTATTGTAACTTTTGGGTAAGTGCAGTTTTTGCCTCTGAGATATTCGCTACGACTAACTTTGGCATTCTCTCTCACAGACCATTCCCCTCTTCACCAAATTTATAATCTTCAGTATATTTGGCTCTCTCCACGACGTGGCGAATCTCATCCTGTCCATCACTGTCCAATTAGCCGCGGGTCCCTGCATCAAGCATCCAGTGATATACTAAATACAGGGATATTCGCACAGGGAATCTACCCTACCGGTGTCCTCGTCCTCGTCAGCCTGGAAAAAACGATGTGGGACTCGCGTGACAGCGTCGTGGGATACATTGACGGCAATACTACACACTTGGAATTCGCCCCTGGTCCTGGCATCGTCTCAAAAAATACCGCGAGTCGACATCAGATCGGTACCATCCAGCTAGACACAGAGATGCAGGCAGTCGAGTTTGATCGAGACGCCTATATGGACTCGATTGAATCTGAAGTGTGAACTCTCTAGCAGAGTCATGTGGTCTGTGCGGGTCTGCGCACCTGTTGATTTTTCATCTGTATAAATTCGACAACGCGTGAAAGCAGCACTATGATCCTCTCTACTATTAGAGATCCTGATCGTTACCACTGCGCACAAGCTTGTGCTATAGAAAATGACAGATGCTCTATTCAAGTCATTGTTTTGCTACTGATTCTCTCGCCTTTATAATTTCCTCCGCAAATCCCAAACGCTACAGTAAGTCGGAGTTTCAATTATCTCCAAAGCTGTCTTTGGACGGCGCGGTCTCGGGCCAGAAAATCCTCTGCTATCATCACATAACCTCCTCGAATCCGTCTACGAAATACCAGGATATCACCATGGCTCCGCGTGCGAACAAGAGACAACAACGCGAGCAAGAGGAGCTGATGATCCTGAGTGGCTCTACTGCAGCGGAGGAGTCATCGGGAGAAGATGTCCTCGTGCAGCCGAAGAGTGCATTTGCAGCAGTGAGTCTCCCGATTTACTGAGTCGACATGAGGAAGGTTTAGGCTGCATCTATGTCGCCGTACGTCGGCGCTCACGACATGAAGACGTTCAGCTTGTTCAGCTTGATCCGAATCGAACCTCTCTTTCTAAATCTTCGCCCAGCTCATGGCCGCGGATGACATAGATAAGGATTCTGGAGAAGGTCATAAAGCAAAGGCGAAGAAGGTAGGTGAGCTGCACATGTCAATTCTCTGGAGAAGTCTTAACTGATGTACGGTTTGCAGCCTAAAAAGAAGAAGAAAGGCACGTCGAACTCCACGCCTGCCAAAACGCCCGTCGAGAAGCAGGAGTCATCACCTGCGCTATCTCCGTCTCCGTCTACCCCGACATCGGGCCCCTCAAAGCAGGAGCGGAAAGCTTTGAAGAAACAGAAAGCCAAAGAGCGGAAAGATGGTCGAGACGAAATTGATCGGGCGCTGGAAGAACTTTCGATCAAGTCAGTCCTTCCCTCCACCGTCTGTAACTAACATGTAACGTGTCTCGTCATCACTCAGATATCCCGATCTCAAAAGCGTGCCTTCGAAGTCTACCACAACTCTCACAAGCCAACCGTCTCAGGCGTTCAATGACCTTCTGACAGTGACCCTTTCTAATCTTGATCCTGATGTCGAAATGCGCAAGTTCTTTGGTGCGAAAGCTATGCACGCAGCGAGAAACTCTTCAGCACCAACAACGTCTAACGCTCGCCGACAGCCAGCATCGCGTTCAAACCTTGTCCGCCCTCAAGCCAACTGGGGGCCGGCAAAGTTGCGTGAGGGACTCACCATTCGACCACTCTCGGACGAAGAGCTCAAGAACAAGTTGGGCGGAAATTCCTGGTCAGACGTCCCTGAGCGTTGGTGGACAGTAGAGTACAGCAAGAGGTACAAGGGTGTGACAATGACATTCATGCGAACCGTACTGTCTGGCGGTAAGCGTTCTGATATATCTAATATCAATTCTACCAACTGATCCTCGTGCCCTGCCTGTCAGACCCTGAAGGGTTTTTTAGTATCCTTCGACAAGTGCCGTGGCATGCAGACACCCTTTTGCAGCTTGCGGAGCTGTATAGTCATCGCGAAGGTACTTATTTTTATGGTGTTTGTCCTCGGACATTTGACACCAGACGCCACTCTTTTACCCCAGAATATAGCCAGGCTGCCGACTTCATTGACCGTGCCTTGTTTGCGTACGAACGTGCCTTTGTCGGAGCCTTCAACTTCACCAACGGCGCGAACAGGCTAGATTATGACCATGTCGAAAACAGACCATTTTTTCTGGCTCTTCACCGACAAGTAATGTAATTGGCGGGGTTATTTCACCGATTCAAGCTTTATTCTGATACTTCATCAGTGATCTTGAACGGCGAGGGTTATTCCAGACCGCTTTCGAGTTTTGCCGCCTTCTTTACTCGTTAGATCCGTGGACAGACCCTCACGGCGCGCTACTGCATCTCGATCACCTGGCTGTCAAGGCCGGCAAGGGTCGATGGTTACTTGATATGTATGATCTCATCAATTCTCAAACATCTAGACAAGATCATGCCCTTCGCGGGCGGGTGTGTGTAACTGCTTTGCCCGGCTGGGCGTATGCAAGGGCATTAGCGCTACGTTCCGGATCTCGTAGCAATGAATCACAGGTGCGGACGTTGACCGGGCGGTCCTCCAAGCCTGACTGATGATGGTCTCAGCAGCAGGAGAGCACAGAAGCCCTGAAACAGGCCATAGTTGCCTTTCCCTCCATTGTCCCTCTCTTAGCAGACAAGGCGGAAATTCTCCTACCCTCTGACATCAGAAGTCAGGGCGCATTCAGGATATTCACCAAGGGGCTGTACGTCTTTCCACATATCTCACTCATCAACTTTGGTTTGACCTGGTTTCAGATTTTCTTCGACCGAAGAATCTTTCCTTCATCTTCTTTCTCACGTCTACGTTCAGCGATCTGCGTCGCTATGGAAGGTCGCCGACATCGGTGCCTGGTTTGCGCAAACTGTCCAAGAGGTCGTGAATAAAGGCACTCTTCCTGGGTCTTGCATGAGTGCACCTGGTTATGAGCGTTTCAGTGTTCTTGTCAAGGCGAAGAATTTTCCCACCTCGGTCGCCCGACACGTCACGGTCCTCGGCGCTCCGGCACAGCGTCTGCTGTCATATCTGCCCGAATCGATCACTGGCGGCAACAACTTGGCTTGCGATCCGGTTCCGCCGGTGACGAGGGTCAATGAGTACGACGACGCCTTTTTCCAGGGCGCGGAAGACGCCTTGTCGGGGACGATGAGCCGACGTCGTCAGCAGCGTATGTTAGAACAGCTCATTCCGGATGCAGGTTTCAGGCAGCAATTACAGGCACGTTTGTGTTCACTGATGTAGATATCTGCGGTTGATTGACATAGTGCGCTGCTTTCTGATCTAGGCTCTTTTCGAAGGGGATCCTTTCCTCCTACAACAGTTTCCTAGAGGGCTTATTCAGTTTGCACAAGCCGCTAATGGCATGCCTGATGAAATGCTCGAGGGGATTCTCATGGGGTTCGCTTTGCAGCGTGATAGGGTCAATGGTGATGAGATGCCCGGAGGGATGCCTGAGACGGAACTGGTGTTTGTGAATAATCCAGCAGAAGCGGACATGGAAGATGGGGAAGACCTTGCCGTGAATGAGGAGCGGGAGAATGTTGATGTTGATCATCACGATCGGGATGGGAGCGAGGATGAGGAAGAGGACGGGGACGGGGATGAGGAAGAAGAAGCTGTTGTGAGTTGTCATCTCTTCTTCGTCAGAGTGCATTCCCACTCAAAGCCTGTCCCAGCCTTTGCCGACCCGTGTCTTGCGAAACATCATGTCCCGCTTCTTTGGATCGTCGAGCAGTGCAGGTGATGCTCAAGACACATCAGAAGATGAAGATGATGTCCAGCCACCCCGTGATGGTGCGGGTGTCGATTGAACATCAATGTTGTATGTACCTTGAGCTAGACGGAAGTAGGATGTCTTGATTTTGTATCACTGCCATGTCGAACTCGACGTGCATTTCGATTTTTAGGTCCCAGGGCTCGATACAGATCAGACAGGCGGACATGTCAGACCGCTCAGAGAAGAGCTCAATGCCTCCGTTCAAGAGAAACTGTTCGGCTCTCATACAGGTACATTGAACTGGAGCATCCAATATCGTTCAACATCAAAGTTTCAATTGAAGGAACCATCTACGCTCCCTGACCTCCAGAGCCAATTTCGTTCCGAGCTCATGTGCCTTGGATATGCAGGCTCAACACAGGCCGTGACATCGCTCCGAGGTGCCACGGCATGATTTCATTATTACCAAGAAATCAGGACGGGAACTTGCGGTGCTCAAGGACAGGACTCAGGTGGGCGAGGTGATGTGAAGTGATATCTCCGCGACAGCAGTAACCTCGACTGTGGCCACTGAGCGCTGAGCTCTCGACTTGGGAATTGGAACGCTCACTTGCCATCAAAATGTTCCTGTTTCTTATAATACCTGCCCAGCCTCGTTCAAGTCTATATGGGCTGCATTTGCGCGCTCGGATCCAGGATATCCTCAGATTTGTTGACGCTGGTAAACGACTGGAGCCGGCTACTAGACGCCGCAAAATGAATTGCCTCAGATCAAGCGCGCATTCGATCAATATGATACCTCTCACAACCTGGACCTTGTGGAACCTTGAGGTTTCAGCGATTCAGCCCGACAAAACCCGAAACAGTGTTGTATCTTTCCCTCTATTCCAGTCAGGCTGATTGAGTGGATATTTCGGGTTTGAAGCGAATTTATGTGCTGTGGCGTATTGTAATCGTCTGTGATACCAAGGTATTTCCCTGTATCTTGACGGACGACTTATAAGTTGAGTGGTCGAGATATCAGAGTATTGGAGAGATAGAATGGACTCTTCTTGGACGAAATCGATTCATGAGAGTGAAGATGCTCAAAGTCAGGTTAAGCTCAATTCCTTCCTAAGCCCCACATTTCCATTGAGATAGTATGATAGCCATTCGGAATGTGCAAATTGGTGGCCTTAGATACTGGCAACCCGAGAGGCTTGAACGCTGTTGAGTCGGGGCCCGTGGCCCACTTGCCATATTCGGACAACAGCGACGTCGGAGCTAAAATATTGGTGGCGTCAGCCACAGCGTCTGTCCTTTTCACTGCCATCACCGCCGTATGGTGCCCAGGCTGTTTCTAACGTTCTGCTCTAGGCGCCGTTCTTGCACATCCCAAATGCATGTTGCGGCTTACGAAGGTGAAAAATCCTGCGGCCTCGAACTTGTAGCCTCGCAGATCCTTTCTAGCAGGTAGCATTTCCTTATTCTATCCCAACAGTGAGTGTCACCTGCTGAGCGCTAAACGTAAACACGCACAAATTGGAGTCTAGGTGGAAATGGAGCGTTTTAGCTAGGAACATAGCCTTTGTAGCTCTCGGCAATGTTCGCCGTGCCATTGACTCATACAATCTCAAACTGTCTACCTTAGGCTAGTTGCTGTCCGGACGTTGTGAGTGCGTATCAGGATCCCTCCCCACAGCAAAATGTTTTAATTATGAATTTGTTTCGCATCATAGATGCGTCCTGTCAATATCGAAGGCCCTCGTGAATCTCCGAATTGGTGAAATAATGGACAGCTCATCCATTGGAGGTGACCACTGACGTGGAAGCTTTCTAACTCAGGATCTTCGACAAACTAGTCTGACGCCGCGGAGGACGGAATAAGCCCCAATCAATCCTTCATTATACACGAGGGCACTTAATTCCCACACTTTCTCGCAAATTTCGAGGGGTATGTTTTCATTTTATCTGAGCGGACGCCACACAAAGCATTCTCTGTGTGACTCCTACCCCTTTCCTATCATGGACGAGCTCGCAGACTTGAAACAGCTGAGCGCTCGGCATCTGTCATTGCGCCGTCTGTGCCTGTCCGTCATGCAGTCCGGAAGTATAGCCTACACTCGGACTCGCGAATGTGCCTCTTGTTTCCTATGTTACATGTCAGAAATCCTGGAACACGTATAAATACCCCACAGGCATTGGCGGATTTCTTCAGACTACAATTGGGTTCTCTCTATACCTCTAGGCTACAATGCTAGGCCTCTACCAGGTCATTCCTCTCGCGGCCTTGTTGCCCACGGTTGCGCTCGCTTCAATTGGCCCTGTTGCCGATTTGCACATCGTCAACAAGAACATATCCCCCGACGGCTTCAGTCGCGAGTCAGTAGTCGCTCATTGTCTCGTATAACCCATACCTGTCACTCATATTCCTGTAAACAGCACCGTCCTCGCAGGCGGCACATTTCCCGGCCCTTTGATCACAGCGAACCGAGGCCAATCATTCAGCATTAATGTCTTCGATGACTTGACAGATAGCACCATGGACGTTGCTACCTCTATCGTATGTAGCCTTCTCTTTACACATATCAGCGTGCGGGCTGACATGTCTTCGTTCCATGGCAGCATTGGCATGGCCTCTTCCAGCACACCACCAACTGGGCCGATGGTCCTGCCTTCGTTAATCAATGCCCAATCATTCCTGGAAACAGCTTCCGTTATACCTTCAGCTCAGCGCAACAATATGGGACGTATTGGTACCACTCCCACCTGTCTGCTCAATACTGTGACGGTCTGAGAGGTCCTTTGGTCATCTACGATCCCCTTGACCCCTATAAGTATCTATATGACGTTGATGATGGTATGTGGCATTCCCACACCCTCAACGATGCTGTCAGTTGCTGATACTCGTGCCCTTTCAGAGAGTACTGTCATTACTCTTGCAGATTGGTATCATTACGTTTCCACCAACCCTCCCGCCGGACCTCCGTGAGCATTCCCTTTTCGCTTACCGGGAATCTTCGTCTGACCATGTGACCAACAGTTCACCGAGCTCTACTTTGATCAATGGCCTGGGCCGCTATCAAGGAGGTCCCAACTCCACTTTGGCAGTTGTTGGAGTGACGCAAGGGAAAAGGTACGGATATACCGCTCTCATTCTTACAACGCAGCGCTGACTAGAAATCTTCTCTGATTCCTTAGATACCGCTTCCGACTCGTCTCTATGTCCTGCGACTCTAATTTCGTGTTTTCCATCGATCAACATAAGATGACCATCATCGAAGTGGATGGCAACAATGTTAACCCCTTGATCGTTGACTCCGTGCAAGTCTTCGCGGGTCAGTTATAGCCGATGTGCATATCAATCATTGAAAGGCTGAACATTTGTTGTTAGGTCAACGTTACTCCATCGTCGTAAATGCAAACCAGAAAGTAGACAATTACTGGATTCGCGCAGCGCCCAACACGGTACCCCCGGGTTTCGATAATGCCCGCAACTCAGCTATTTTCCGTTACAAAGGAGCACCCACTGTTGATCCTACGACGCCTTTAGTCGCAAGTACACAGCCTATGGTCGAGACCAATCTCCATGTAAGTAGCGCTCAAACAATCTGTCAGCAGGCTGATTGAACGCTCGTCATTAACAGGCTAGGGAGAATCCCAGTGCAGTACGTATCATAAGTCACACATGCGTTCTGTCCTTGTGTTGACCTCTATTGCTTAACAGCCTGGAAAACCCGTACCTGGAGGTGCCGATATTAACTACACCCTTGACGTCACATTCGTGCGTATCGAATTTGCGATCTACCTGCTATGACGCTGACCGCCAATATTTTCAGAACGGCACCGCTGGGTTATTCGAAGTCAACGGCACATCATTTTCCCCACCCACCGTGCCTGTTTTACTGCAAATTCTCAGTGGGGCTAAGAAAGTAACAGACTTGCTCCCCAAAGGCAGCATTTATGAACTAGCCCCATACAAGAGCGTTGAGCTTGTGATTCCGGGGGGCGCGATCGGCGGTGGCGTAAGTCTTCTTTTATATCCGTCTTACGTCCTCGTTCTCTAACTCCACTGTTCCCTTTTCGCAGCACCCTGTTCATCTTCATGGAGTACGTCCCTTCATAATCAGTGTAAAAGGAAGGTCGCTGATAGATTCTCTCAGCACTCGTTCTCTGTGGTTCGCAGTGCCGGAAACAGTTCCTATAACTATGCCAATCCCGTCCGTCGCGATGTCGTCAACATTGGCACGTCTTCCAGCGATCAGACGACCATCCGCTTCTACACCGACAACCCAGGGCCTTGGTTCCTCCACTGCCACATCGACTGGCATCTTACCGCGTACGTCCTCACCCGCCATGGCCCATATGTATCTATTTGTTCCTGATACATTTCATTTTCGGCATTTCAGCGGATTTGCTGCCGTCTTTGCTGAAGACATCCAAGACACGCCTCTCGTCAACCCAACTCCTGGTTTGTCTTCCTTGTTTACACTTTCTGTTTCTTTGCTTGACATAATATGTCACAGCTGCCTGGAAGGACCTTTGCCCCGACTATAATAATGCCAATGCACAGGTCAAGGTTAATACGCTACCTAAGAAGCTTCAAAACCCTTGATTATTGTACTTGGGGTATCAAACATTGCCTGAAGAATGCATATGCACCCATCTCAGTTTCTCCTTTATGGGCTCAAGTCGCCTTCCTCTCATCTTTATTTGCATCCATACTTATAATCACCTGCACTGTTACTTTACGATCTTGGAAACCTGCCTCATCGGACGCTGTATTTATTCTGCTGCCATTATTATATACTGGGCGTCGCGCGATGATTGCTTTCTAAGTCATTGTGGAAGAGGGCATATTGCATGGAATGCATTCAATATCAAGGACACCCGATGTACGAGGAAAAAAAAGTGTGGACGTGATGCAGATCATAAAGAGCAATGTCCAGTCCTCAGCCTAGCCTTCTAACACGTAGCGGCACCCGCGTCCCCTTCTCCCCCACCCGCGTCCCCTTCTCCCCTTCGATTGCAAGGCGCGGCAGAATCGCCACCTTCGTCTCGACCTTCGTACCCGGCCCGTCACGGAGCTCGAACGCGAAGTTCCGCACCAGCACAGACAGCACTGCCTAACACCCAAGACGAGAAAAATAACAAGAGAGATCAGTCAGCACGTGTGAATCGGCCGCCGTGATCCCTCTCCCACGTTCCTTGAACTCCGCGAGCGCGAAGGCCTTCCCGAGGCACTTTCTAGGGCCATCGAAGAACGCGAGCAGAGCGCGGTGCCCCGCCAGCTCGCGCGCGCGCGCGGCGTCGGAATTGTCGTTGGTGAGCCACCGCTCGGGCTTGAACATCTTCGCGTCCGATCCACAGACATCTTCTGAGAGTTGGATTGCGGCGATCGGCACGGTGACGAGCATTCCGTGCGCAATCGCGATGCGATCTACACTCGAGCCGTCTGCTGCGCGCGTGGGCGTGCTCAGGGGCACCACGTCTTCTTCCATGGCCTGTCGCAAGGGCAATCAGTCAGGCGCGCACAGCGGACGAGCAATCTATGTCATGATTCGTACAAGGCGGGTGACCTCCAATACCGGTGGGTGGGTCCGTAGCGTCTCTTGTACGACTGCGTCGAGGTACGGGAGGCTGTTTGTCAACTGATCCCATGTGGGATCGACTGTGCCGAATTGGGCCAACTCGTCGCGAAGCTTCGTTTGGATTTCTAGGTTCTTCGACAGCTCGATTAGTGCCCACTGTATCAATCAGCATTGTTTTTAGTGAGTGGTGTGTGCTGAAATTGTGAAAAAGCAAGCAGAACGGCGTACGGTGAGGCCGACTGGTGAAGAGGTGTAGTCAGAGGACGATAAACAGGAGGAGAGAAGGGAATGAGTCTCACTGGAGGTTGTCTCGTATCCTGCCATGATCATGCCTTTCATCTACAAGTGATGATATGTCAACATGCTATGAACGATACAAATAACTCGCCTGCGCCATGACCTCGTCCTGAGAGATCACCTCCTTATTCCTCTCCGCTTTTACTGTCCATGGCATCTCTCAGCTTTGCTGCCTGCCGCATGGAAAAGAGAGCGACGCACGCAAGAGCCCTATGACTGACCTCTCTAGATACTTCTCTCCCCCCACCCCGCGCGAGCGCTCGAGCATGACATCTACAATCTCGCCCATACGCCGGTTCAGCCTGTGCACCATGCGCCTGCGGTGCGTCGGGAGCTTCATGAGCCAGGGCACCACCGGGGCAAGAACTAATATTATCCCCTGTAGCGTGGAAGGTACGCTATTGCCGAAGGTATCTAGTATTGCCGCGACAGTCGGCTTCTTGCCCCGCAGCGTGTTGAAGTCGTGAGCAAAGCCGGCGAGGCCGATGCTGTCGAGCCTGCGCACATCCGATCAAATCACAAAAGAGGATAGCAACAGCGGTGTCGCTTACGAGACGTTGTTCATCCTATCGCATAAAAGTGTGAGATAATTCAGTCGAAGCGGCAGTCGAATGGAGATACCATGTCTGAACTTCGATCAAGCTCTCATCCGTTGTCCCCGCTTCAATTAACGCATCCCAAGCGGTCTTGACCTATATCAGGACCCGTGGTCGGGGTACCACTCAATATGAAAAATGGCCGGATCAACCTTGCACCCAGAATCGAAAAAAATTGGGGTCAGCTGCCGAATGGTGACGTTGCTGAGCGCAGGAGTGAGGGTCTTGCGCTGGCGTTTGTGGGAGTCTCCTTCGGCCGACAGGATTCTATTTCCAAGCTACAAGGGGCACCCACGGTGGACGTAGCATCTGTCGCATGAAAGAAGAGAGAGAGAGAGAGAGAGAGAGAGACGCGTGCACTCACCAGAGCCTGGACCGCGACCTTCAACTGTTTCATTTGTACGTACCCGTATGTGTCCCGTGCGCAAAAGTGTGCAATCGCTTTGGTATCCATGTCCATGAGTATGATCCTGCGCGTGCTGAATGCGGCTGGCAGTGCATACACATAGCCGTGCGCGTGCGACCAGCCTTCATACATGGATGCAGCGTCGGACGCAGCTCGCAAGATGTGGCCAACACCGAAGAGCCAGCTCGGAGAAGGGGGGCCAGAAAGCTGCGTGGTGCGCGCACGTCTGCGGAGGATCTTGAAGAACTGAGAGAGCCCAAAAATGGAAGAGGAGGGGGGGAAAAAGATTGGTAGGCGTGATGAAATTGCCAAGGGAGTCGAGGGAGTGGCTCATGCTGGACACAATGCAGTGGGGGAATTGTTTTGTTTTGTCTGCAACCATGCATGTTTATATATGCATACAGTCTTCCGACGGATATAATCCGTGTTCATCCCGTTTATGTGAGCGGATGACGGCTGGTTTGTCACAGTCGTTACGAGATGTATCGCTGCGAGGCGATTGGAAGCAGTGGGAAACGATTGTTCGGGAGGTCGGGTCAGTAGTGACACTTACCGTCGAAGCTGTTTTGGGATCCGACGGATGAGATCATCCGGGAGCGACTGCAATGTCAGTGGAATAACAAGAAAAAACTTTTGGACTGGCATCCAGTCATGCTTACCACAGAGACCCTATGTAGCATGACCTAAAAGACAAGACAGGATGCAGAAGCTGCAAAACATTTCGGAAACTTGCATATCAGCAAGCATTATGTGGTTCGTATGATGCAATATCATGTCCTTATGAACACGTGAGACGTGTTCAAGAACTGCTCGGTACTTATCGACTGTTTTGAAGGAGAAAATAAATGCAATAGAGAAAGACTCCAGTCTGTAGTGATGAGGATGTAAAATAAAGATAAACCTGAGAACGCTATGATGCGTGTGCCAGGGGGCCCTGTTCTCTCTCAGGTACCCCGAAGGCTCCTGAGGGCCTGTTGTCGTGTCGGAGATTGCCGGAGATATCGTCTCAGACTGCGCGCTGCCGCCGGCTATTGCCAGACATCGAAAACTTGGTCTTGACGTCGTCGACGTCGTTTCGAGCGGAACAGTCGTATCATCTCCCCTCAGTAAGGTCATGATAATCCACCCTATACACCAGGACTCGGACCGATGACGAGAGCGAACCAGAGTCAACAACGCTGGTTTCCTCCAAGCATACAGTGTCATACAACTCGTCGATCTCCATACCATCCCAATCCAATCATCCTCTACGAAACTTGTCGTCCTCGTTGCCTCATATCGGAAATAAATGCTCACCCATCGAGATCGACAGGACCGACGGCAAAGATCAACCAGTCGATGCTCCTTGGATGGCAGCACTGTCGACCAGCACCAACACCGGTGAGTGTGGGCGCTGTTCAGAAACAAGGTGAGCTCCACCTTCTAGAGGATTGTGCTGTCAGCGTGCTCGTCACTGGAGACAGTTGACGTGAGCTATTGTGCGACCACATCATGCTGAGATGCCGTGTGCCGGCGAGCGTTGCGTAGTATTTCACAACTTCACGTTGATTTTGGAGCGGTGATGTTCCGCTCTATCCAAGTGTTCTCACTCAAACGTCAACGCGAGGTCATGATAAGAAATGATCACCTCCGATTGCTCGATATACGTGAACTGATACAACTGAAAGCAACAACTGTGACTCGCATTCCGCCAGCCGCCTCAAACAGCACCCATAAAGTCGATGAATTCGCGAGGAGCTTGCCTGGCGGACCTCCCAGAACCATCAGCGCCGTTACATGTGAAAAGTAAACGACCCACCGGCGCAGGCGACTCGGCGCCTGCGCTCGTCCATCTACATCCTGGCTCGCAGCAAGCCAGCTAGCTCGATGCAATGCAATAGTCACTTAATGAGCTGGTCGACAGACAGCAGGGAAGTTGGAGGAGGCGAAGGGTGCGCTGCGTGGGACTATCAGCGCCGTTACATGAGAAAAGTAAACGACCCACCGGCGCAGGCCTGAGTGGCCTGCGTCAATCAACATGCATCTTGGGCCGCAGCCAGCGCGGTGCAATGCCATAGTCACTTGAAGAAGCTAGAAGGGAAAAAAAAAGCCTCGCCCGAAGGCGAGAAGGAGGAAAAAATTATGGTGCCGCAGTGTTGCGGCACCTGGGGAATGCGAGCCCATCCGCACTCGGATCCCACCCGTGCGTATAGATGGGTCGTCTTCCAACCCCAGGATATACATTCTGCTAGAAAACAAAAATGGCTGCGTGCCCGCCCACAACCGGTGCCCACCCGGTGTGTTTCGCAGCTGAAGCACGTACTTATGCCTGGGACACAACGCGAGGCCGTATGATCCCCGTCGCTGCAACCACCGGCGCCCTTGCCGCCACCTAGAGGCCAGACCCACGACTCTCCATAGCTCACCCGTCGACCAAGGTGGGTCCACCGGGGGCGGTCACGCGGCCCCGAAGGCACCGGCTCCAATACCACCCGGCTTTCCCTAGCCTTGGGACGGTGGGGCCCGACCGCACCCTGCAAGCGGAGAGCATCTTACAACGGGATCCAACCGATGCGCGAGCTGGACCTCCTGTGTGTAATGCAGCGCAGGCCGCCCCGAGGGGCGGGCTCGAAAGCCACGATGGCATCTAGAGGGGAGTGGATGGGTTAGAACGGATGTCGACGTGCGATCGGAGAGTAGCGAGCTCACCATTTTATTCCATGCATTCCTTTCATCTCCCTCGTGGAGGCATCTGAAAGGACAAGGCCGCGAGTGAGCAGCGGGTCTGAGAACGAGGACCAATCGACGTACATTTCCCAGTATCCTTCTTTATTCTGCGAGCCGACGTGTGCCCGAGTGTGAGTGCAAGGATCAACGAGAAGAGGCAGATGGACGTACATTTATATTGCCTTGATATTATAAGTTATAGGCGTAGGGTCTGAGGGGGCAGGCAATATCGAAGGCGAGGTTGGAGAGAATAGAGGATAAACGACGAACCATGTTTGGCCCCTCGCTAACAGGTGAGCCATGCCCATGTGAGTGGGGGTCATGGCTACTGTCGTTGATCCATGCCACAGGATGGTGGACTTGCCGACCATGTTATATATATTCTATGCACCGTCAGCGAGGTGAGGGAGGGTGACATACATACGCCGTGGTAGGTGGGCCACAGACCCTTGACGAGGTGTGGACATTGAAGAATTGTCTCCGGCTGGGCCACTAGGGGCGGATGCCGTGAGCGCGTTCGAGGTGGGTGGCATGGGCACAGGCATGCCGAAGGGATTGTGGTGGTCGAGGGAGAAGAGGCGATGGAGTCCAACTGGTGTGAGGGGGAGCCTTATATACAGGACGCGGAGACGGTCATGCCGGCGGACCTTCAAGAGAGAAGAGAAGCCAGTTCATACTCAGCCGGGTGGATTCGGAACATGATAGAGACGTGATAGAGAGGATAAGGGATCAGTAAAGTGGACCCACAGTCGATGGCAAACTGACGCCTGTGCACGGACCACGAGGAGGCAAGCCCACCCGCTCTTTTGTTCTCCCGGTGCTCTTTTGCAGCAGATAGCTTTGTTCTTCGGTCCGTCTCAAATGAGGGGGTTACGGAAGGGAGGAGTCAATGGCAAACCTCGAGCGAGGGCACGTCGAGCGCCACTCCGGATTCCGATGGCGGGACTGGCGGTGCACGCTACAGTACGGCACCAGATGGTTTGTCCACCAGCAAGCAATCGTGCCTCCTAAGAAATTAGCGATCCTAACGCGTTAGGACGCATTCTCTTCACGATCAAACTAGGCGAGAACGGCATCGGAGGGGAACCAATGAGTGAACCGTCGTCGTGGCGCCTGTTGAAGTCTGAATTTAAATTCGTCCCCGAAGAAATTAACGGTATCTTCCCGTACCTATTCACCTCGCCAGCTGGGGCTCCGTTACGCTTCTGTTGATGTAGGGCACCATCTAGTACCCTCTTGGACTGTCAATATCGAGCTTCAAGCCGGTTCTTGAGGCGCCTGGCTCACAAACGCCTGTCCCAGTTCAGCAGCGGATGCAATTTGAGCATCAGGCCTTGTCCGATTCTTTGTGATACCAAGGGGACTTTCAAGCCGTTGTAGAGTGAAATGGGGGTTAAACATTCATACAACGTAGTCAGTACGAACAACACTCAATGTATCAGAAGAAAAAGAGCGTGCGTGTTGTAGATCATACGAGAACGTCCAGTCCTGCTTACGCTAGCCTCCTGACACGCAGAGGAAACTGCGCTCCCTCCTCCCCTTTGATTGTTGGACGCGACATGATCGCCACCTTCGTCTTGATTTTCGTCTCGGGCCCGTCACGGGGCTCGAACACGAAACTGCGCACCAGCACAAACAGCACTACCTGAAATCCGCGAAAGGAAAAAAAAAGACAAAAAAAGAGCCCAGGAGGGGTCGTTCAGCACCCACGGAACCTGCCAGCCTGCGTCCTCTTGTACGTACCTTGATCTCAGCGAGCGCGAAGTTCTTCCCGATGCAGATCCTTGAACTATCGAAGAACGTGAGCAGATGGCGGTGCCCCGACAGCTCCCTCACGCGCGCCACGGCGGGCTCGTCGCCACTGAGCCACCGCTCGGGCTTGAACATTTTGGCGTCCGGTCCCCAGATGTCTTCTGAGAGGTGGATGGCGCGGATCGGCACCGTGATGATCGTTCCGCGCGTGATCGAAATGCGATCTGTCGTCGCGCCACCTGCCGCTGCGAGTGCAGGCATGCTCAGGGGCACCACGTCGTCTTCCATAGCCTATCGCAGGGGTGGCCAGTCAGACAAGAAGAGCGCACGGGCAATCTAGGCGATGATGCGTACCACGCGGCTGATCTCCCCTACCGGTGCATGAGTACGTAGCGTCCCGTGTACGATGGCGTCGAGGTACGGGAGGCTGTTCGCCAACTGATCCCATGTGGGATCACTTGCGCCGAACTGTGCCAACTCCTCGCGAAGCTTCGTCTGCATTTGTTGGTTCTTCGACAACTCAATCAGTGCCCACTGTATCAATACACATTGCATGCAGTCAGTGCTGTCCGATGTGATAAAGCAAACAGAATGGCGCACGGTGAGGCTAACTGGCGAGGATGTGTAGTCAGAAGGCACTCGACCATTGGAGAAGGGAGCGAGACTCACTGGAGGTTGTCTCGTATCCTGCTAACAGCATCACTTTCATCTACAGGTTGCGATATTTCAACAATCCGCGTGCGTTGCCGTGCACGATACAAACGATTCACTTGCGCCATGATCTCGTCCTGGGTCATTACTTCCTCATTGCCCTCCGCTTTCACTAACCGTTACACCGCTGAGCTCTGTTTCCACCCGCAAGAAAAGGAAAAGCGACGCACACAAGAGCCCTATGACTGACTTCCTTGGATCCTTCTCCTCCGCCCTGCGCTCGCGCTCGAGCATGACGTCTGCGATCTCCCCCATACTCCGGTTGAGCGTGCGCACCATGCGTTCATGATGTGTCGGGAGCTTGATGAGCCATGGCACGACTGGGGCGAGAACGAAGATGATCTACTGCAGAGTGGAGACCATACTATGGCCGAAGGCATCGAATACCGCCGCAACGGTCGGGTTCTCGCCCCGCAGCGTGCCGAAATCGTGAGCAAACCCGGCGAGGCCAATGCTGTCGAGCCTGCGCGCATTCGTTGAAAGTCACAGATAATAAGCAGTAGGGGTGGCACTTACGAGACGCGGTTCATCATATAAATGAGACAGTCTGTGTGAGCAACTTGAATTCAGGTGAAATCGGACTCGGAAGGAGGTACCAAGTCTGAACGTCGGTCACGCTCTCGCCCGTCGTACCCGCTTCAATGAATCCGTCCCACGTGGCCTTAACCTATTCGAGTACCCGTGGTCAACACGTCACTCGATAGCAGAAACAGCTGGATCAACCTTGTACGCAGAATCGAAGAAGATCGGGGTCAGCCGCCGAATGGTGATGTTGCTGAACGCGGGAGTGAGGGTTTTGCGCTGGCGTTTGTGGGAGCCCCCATCGGCCCACAGGAGTCCTTTTCCGATCTAGAGGAGGACACAGAAACGGTCGCGTTCGGAAGCGTAGAAAACGCCGAGCCAGCGTGCGCACTCACCATGTCCTGGATCGCGAGCTTGGACAGGTTGGATTTGAAGTACCCGTATGTGTCCCGCGCAGAGCAGTGTGCGATCGCTTTCGGGTCCATGAGCACGATGCTGTGCGTGCCGAACGCGGCGGGCAATGCGTACACGGACCCGTGCGCGCGCGACCAGCCTTCGTACAGGGATGCGGAGTCGGCCGCAGCCCGCAGGACGCGACCGGCCCCGAAGATCCAGCTTGACGAAGGTGGACCGGCACGACGCATGGTGTGCGCACGTCTGCAGAGGATCTTGAAGACCTGCGAGAGCCCGACGATGGCGAGGAGAGAGAAGAAAACACTGGTAGGCGTGAAGAATGTGCCAAGGGAGGGGCTCATGCTTGACAAGATGAATCTGGTATGCTTGGTTCGCCCCCAGCGATACAATCATATATATAAGAGCATGTGCGTCTACAACGTCCTTCGCATTGATGACATTTGTAAGAGCGCACGGTAGCGTACGGCCGCCGCTTTGTCGGATGAATGGATCAACATCCTCAACTGAAAACTTTCTGTCTTTGCGCTTTCGAGATGGAAGCCTGTGGAAGTATATGAAGCATTGTCAATGCCTGCCAACTGTCTTTCTGAGTTGTTACTCCCCTGCTCGAATTATGAGTGTCGTGAATCGGATACATATACCATGCCTCACCGCTCGGCGCTTGCATGTCAATGCTCCTTGAATCGTCCAGCGCTGTGCTGGCTGCCTGCGTTGCCGGTCTGGGTACGTGTCTTCTGCGGCTTGCTTGATCATCGTCTTAATAGATGTGAATCCAAGGCACGTACTTATCAGGAGGTATCAGGCGACTGATCATGGGGGTTCTTGCGTCAACCCTGAATCGCCAGTAATCTATATAATACGCTTCTCGAGCATCGCCAACATTCTATAATTGTATTCCACGGCGCCGTTGTGCTAGTAATACAAGCCTATGATCTCTCGATGCTGGTGAATCACCTACTCTGTATCCTTAGATTGGAGAAAGCGGGCGGGCATATACCGAAGGCAGACTTTGTCTCGATCCAGTAGTCTTTGTGCAGCAAGGACGCCTGGGGCTGCACTTCAATGCTGAGAACGATTGGGAACGACTGGCAACGAGGGTCCTGGAACCGCTTCAACTCAGCAAAATTTGTCGGCGCTTCAAGTTTTTTGACACTGTAACTGGAAACAAGGCGAATAGGACCCAAGCGAGAGATTGAACACAAATAACATATCGCTCGGTGTATCATCAGTGTTGACGCTTTGAAGAGCGGGGAGCGAGCGACGTGTCGGGTGGCGGACGAAATCGATGTGATTGCCAACTTCGGCTTCCTATTCACCCACGAAAAGCCCGGTTTGGATGTCCAATTTGTAAGGTTCAGAGCGAAAGCGTCATTCCTATCGAGTTTTATCTGTAAATCCAAACGCCTGACACTGTCGCGTCGACTCGTCGTCGCCTCTCACCCAGGTCACAACACTTGTTGCACAAGTCAGATTGCACGACGCTTGACCTGGTCCAGGGATACGAGTGGGTGCCGTTACTGTTGAGTCATACTCAGAGAGGGTCGTCTCGCTAGGTATGTACTTGGTCCTGTAGCGCCTCGCCAGGTGTACATATCGCCGTCTCAGAACAAGCCTCAGCAGATTCCTGTGACCAAATTTTGTCCATCCGACTTGTCTCCTTTCCATTTTGAATTACTCCTCCACATCATCGGCCATCACCAATATCTCCAGGATTTTTGACAAGGATAGGACGGTACGATGTTGTTATCGAAGTGAGGGAATCACCGTTTTCGATCGGACTATCAAGAACTCATGCCGCGATCCTTGTTGAATTTACTAGTGCCCTGGATTATTGGAAACAGGCAGCGAACACACGTATCAGCGCACTAGACGGTCTTTTCGCATCCTCTGGCCCCAGCAAGACTGTTCCAGACTTCATCAAGATCATAGACGAGGAAATTACCGCATTATTGATGGTCATTACCTCTCTTCGTGTGCGACGGAACAGATTGCCCATTGTCTCAAGTCTGCCTCCCGAGCTGTTAGCACGAATATTCTGTTTCTCAGCAGCAATCGATACACCTTCGTCTCGAGCCTTGGGATGGATAAGGGTAACTCATGTCTGCAATCAGTGGAGGCAGGTTGCTTTGGACCATCCGGCACTTTGGGCGAATGTCAGCCTCGAGATTGGCTCTCGATGGTCTGAGGAGATGATTCAACGTGCAAAGCTAGCACCGTTAATCATCCAATCGAACGAGGTTGTCAGTGAGACGGTTGTGGGAATTCTGCACTCCCATCTAGCTCGCACAGCGGAACTCCATTTGTTCGGCTGCAAAAGAGATCTCGTTCACATTGCGGGAACACTTACAACCTCGGCACCATTAATGGAAAAGGTGGTGATTTTTTCTCTGGATGAGCGATGTGTGCACCTCCCTGTTGATCTATTCGGTCATCATGCCCCACTCCTTCGCTCAGCGTTCTTCCATGGATGCAGCATTCCTTGGTCCTCTCCGCTGCTGCGCAATCTGTCCTATTTGGACATCACACTTCCACCATTGCAGCAGTCCAACATGGACGTGGCCCCTTATCTTCCCTCGCATGAAGAGTTCTTCGATCTACTGGCAAATATGCATCAACTGGAATCTTTATCCATCGAGGAATACTTCCCTCGGTACCTCCCGGAGGCGACTGCGTCCAGTCGAATGAGACATCCCGTCATCAAACTACCTCACCTATCGGCCCTCAAGCTGGTCGGTCAATGGTCTGATTGTGCCCTTGTTCTCGGAAGCATTGAAGTTCCCGCAACATCGAGAATCATTCTTGACTGCCGTGATTTGGATAGCGATCGTTTCAACAGCATGCTTCTCCCGATCCTTGCGCGACACAGCGGCAAGACAGGAGATACGTTGCCCATGCGCACCCTTCTTATGAATATCCATGATTATGGAAGCGACTCAGTCATCAACATTGTAGGGTGGACCACATCCGATGTTGTTGATTTAGCAAAACTGTGGTGGAATGATACAGCATCTGACATTGGCCTCTTGTTCCAAATTCATCTGCGCTACTCCTCGCCATACAATCTGGAAGGCCAAGAGAGCCTCGATGTGATCCTGCAAGCTCTTCACATCCAGGAAATGTCAATATTGTTTTTCCGACTTCAGACGCAGGTCCCGGAAGGCTACCTCTCGATTTTTGATCAGCTGGAATCAGCTCAGCGCTTGGAGCACGTAGCTTGCGAAGCTGACGCTTGCTCCGTTTTCTCCACCGCGCTCGTACACACGTCAGAGAGCAGGCCTGTCAACACTCGTAGTCAGGCGGTTCTTTTCCCCCGACTTCGATATGTCAAGCTGTCGGCTAACCTTTTAGACATTGGAAGGGAACCTCGCAATCACTTCGATTCGATTGGCCAGGTGATTCCCGTGGATGAGCTGGTGGAGATTCCCAAACGGCGTGAAGCGCTGGGAGTTCCTTTGGAGTGCCTGGAAATCAAAATGTATCCAGACGCAATACATCTGGAATACCTAGATCAAATCAGAGCAGCTGCTAAGAACACCGTGATTAAAGTGGTGGACTGGTACTGACAATGGAAGCATCGTCGGATAGGCTTTTGCAAGGGCGTGCCGCCAATTGGCAGGGCTAAGGGTGATTGAGACATCGAGTCGTGATTATGGTTTCGCAGTCCAGGTCAGATCATACCACGTGGAGGCCGCCAGGATCTAGTGTAGGTGTTCAATTGTAACAAAGTGTATAGCGAAATGTGATATGGGAGATTGCCAAAATCAAACGAGACGTTTCAAACTTGTGTGGCAGACACAGATTCTCCACAGCGCCGTAGTGTTGAACATTCCGAAAGTTCAGGTGAGCCGCGCTGGCCCTGAACCGCACACGCCGTCTGAGTCCAAGATTCAGAGGCCGCAATCGGCTTCCGCATCCAAGTCACCAACTCCTGCCGACTCTTAGCGAGCAACATCGTCGCACTCTCAGTGTTTCGCGAAAACGACTGGTCATGTACCCAGAGCCTTCATCTCTCGCATCCCCAGCTTGCCCAGCGGCCTCGTCTCTCTAGATGCTGCGCTCCGGGCATCGCTCAAGGATAAGGCAGCCCTGCGCGAGCTCTTCGCAACTGACGAGACGCGGGCCTCCACATCGGCGAGCACAGCGTTGGCCAGACTCCCTCGAGCTTACTGTCGCGACCCAGCGGCACTTGGCCCATCGCCCCGATGGCGGGTTCGGCAGCATGTCGAGCACCGTCAAGCCACCGCAGAACGCCTATTGCCCCGCGCGTCCGCAGGCGCACTTCACGTGGAGGTGCCGAGGCTGCGGAGGGCGTTCAACACGCTGCCCTGATACCTGCTGCACATGGAGTCCAAGACGCTCGCCGCGCCATGCACAAGCCTGCAGATTCCGCGGAGACAATGCCGCTCTGCGACGGTGAGCTTGGCCTCGAGCTGCCGGACGGGGTCCCGATCGCGACCCACAGCGCCGCGCCGCGCAGCTCCTAGGCTGGTCGCCAGGTAGATAGTGCTCAATAGTGAGAAGACGGAGAACACAAGCGCAGGACGTCGTCGACGGCGGTGGCGAAAGAAGACAGGATGACGAAGCGCCGGCTAGCCTAGGAGATCACCCGGCGTTCTATTCCTCATCAGCAAACTGGGAAGCGTCTGTACAGAGCTGGACAGATGCTCCAGAGCCCTAGATGCCCCTAGCAAGTCCCCGATTAGACAGACACTATGACTTCTGGTCAGTGTCTGGACATATCTGTCCAGATGCACCATATATGGAAGTGATTAGATAATTGATGTCAATAGATGACCGCAAAAATTAATCTGTACTAAGCAAGGATTGAACCCAGAACCTCTTGAACTATTCACTGGCTAAGAGCAATGTGAGTACCAGAATTATCCACTCCACCATATGGCCATGATATCTTTTGTCAACAATTAGCTTATATCGCACTTTTTGGGACTTCACAGAATTTGAGATGCCTAAACCCTGTGAGGTGTCATCTATTTTCGCATGTTTAGCATCTATCCATGGAAGAATGATGGCATATGATACATCATTCGAATGCTATGATACAGGGAAGTATCCCAATACCACTCATGAGCTGAAATCTAACAGATAGCATCAATGTCAATTAAAATCTTTGAAGTCCAACAAATGTATTTCTTGATTTTCCAGTACTGTGGGAATCTTACATACTCTGCCTTCCGGAAATGTGCTCCTAGTCAACTTATTGATAGAGCACCTTATCTGCCCAGATCTGGCCATACACAGATATCTAGCCAGATATCCCCAGATGACCTAAGCATCTAGGAGCATCTGGGGCTCTGGGACTGGCTGGGACCGGTTACAGGTTTGCTGATGCTGACTGACGCCTGGGCTGGAATCGGTCACTCGATGGAACGTAGGATGTAGGAGCATGTATCGGACGCCGTGGGTCTTCTTGTCTGTCCCTACCGCGGCGCAGTCAGTCGAGCAAAGCTGCTTCACGTGCAGTACGAACGTGGCGTGTTCGTCACGGCACAACGCGTAGAAGGCCTTGTGGACTCGAGTTACATCAGTTGCTCTCTAGCTTGATGTATGACAAGTGAAATGAACATATAGACTGTTCATACTGCCTCACGTCCCCTGCTATCCCCGTTATTCCTGTAGATTTGGATGAAATCGTCTGGGTCCAAGGGCAGAAGGTTCCGTCCTACTCAGCATGGCCTGTCGAACAATATACTTAGCACTAACCTTGCCGAGCCGGGTCCTTCTTGGTATGTACGTTTCACAGATTACTTGATCATCGTTCCAATCGAAGGTAGGAGCTAGGTCGAATTTGGTAGGATGCCTCAAGACCTCATGGCTTGTCGCGACCATTCTCAGGAGCGGAGCGCCGTTGTATTGCGCGAATCCAGTCACATTCAAGCCTAGAATTAGAGAAATAATGCTGGTATATGAACCATAATGGACTTCCCTCCAGTCCCGAAAACTTCGTACGACATGGGACTATAGATATGACTCGGGTTCCCGGAGAAAACCCTCCCCCGCGTTGCACAATGAGAAGAGCGCGGCGGCATTCGGTCTCAGCGAGGCTTAGTCGGAACCGCCATACATTGGACAACATCGATTGAAAGGGCCTGCATGACTACGTCGAGGAAGTCTCCTACTGAGGTTCTATGGAGCTTGCTTCTGTAGGCTGGCCAGAGTGGAATAACACGCGTATGGAGTTCTCAATGCGAGGATGCAGCTCCAGGGTACATACCCCTTGCCGCTGGGAGAAGCTAGCGAGCAAGATGACACAAGTCCCCGAGACATTGAGTGCCTGTGCCAGAGAGTGAAGTCAGGAACAGCAACAAGTAAACGTTGGGGTAGATTCACAGAATGAAATTTGCATGCATACAGGACGAAGAAGTGTCGGACTCGAGCTACAAGGAACTCGTCGAGTGCACTCGGGAGTCGAGGCGACTCAGGCAAGACGAGCTCCGAAAGCATGTCACAGACATCGAAACGGCGCAACGAGGTGATTAGCTGCACACGTCCTGTATCACGCTGACTCTTCCGAGTTTCCACGGCGCACGATGTGCTCTTGATGCACGGTGAGCCGTTCAGGGTGCAAGGCAGCTGACGCGCGTCGGGAGCGGCGGGAGGCGGACGTCTCCAACCGCGTGGGTACCTCCTTCCTTATGCGGCCGCGACGCGCTCCGCGCCCAGCGCTCGCTCGCCATGCTGCCCGACGCGTTCACCTTCGGCAGCCTCTTCAAGGCCCTCCAAACGCCGCACCGCCGCTTCAAGACACCCCCCAGCGCGCGCGCGCTCACCGTGTCGACGCTCAATGTCGCGCTGCGTATGTTCGTGCTCACGGCGAACTACCCCGCCTCGAGCATCGCGCTGCCCGCGTTCGGCGAGCACGGGCTCGCGCTGGACGCGAACAAGTCCACGTCGTCATCGTCACTCTCATGGCACACATGCGCGTCGACCTCGTGTGCGTCGTGCGAGCACGCGCCGGGCTTCGAGCGCTGGATCGACCGCTTCCTCAGCGCAGGCGCGGCCGGGATCCTGCGCGTCGACAACATCTAGGACGAGATGATCGACGACCTGCGCGCCTTCCGCCAGTGGAGTCAGCATCGACAAGAGACAGACGCGGACGCGCGGGCGCAGGCGGTGGGGCGCGCGCCCAAGCCCAAGTTCCCCGAGACGTTCCGCATGTTGTCGCGCTTCGAGGTGCTCGGCGTGACCGAGGCCCCTGCGAACCCTCGGTGGGACATCCACTCGCTCACGCAGCTGGGAGAGACGTGCATGCGGCCCGTGGACGCGCTCGCGCTTGCGCTGGAGGACGCGGCGCAGGACATGGCACCCGCGCTGTCGCGCAGCCTGCAGAGGAAGCTGACATGCGTCGAGCGGAAGCACGCGGAGCGCGTACGGCGGCTGCGCGAGAGCGAGAGGCTGGCGGCGCTAGCGGAGGGTGTTTCAGGTGACCGCGTGCCGTGTGCCGATCTGTGTATCGCTGACGCGCTGCGCGCAGGGCTCGACCAGCGTTGCCGCGATCCCCCCCCCACACGCTCTTCGATTCCTGGCAGAGCCACCGCCACCCTCCTGGGATGCCTGTGAGGTGTTTTACTCCCGGCATCGTAGTGCATCTAACACATTTGACATACGTGCCTTACCATGCGTGTCGCCTGTGGCCTTCGATTCGCAGCCTTGAGGCCTGAGGGCTCAGTGCACGTATAGCTGCGAGCCGACCCGAGGCCGTGAGCGCGCTGGCTTACGACTGAGAACGGGACGCAGAAGGCGACCATCTACCCCACCGCTCTTGTACATGTGCTCATACGTATATTATTCACGACTCTCAACCTTGACTCATGCCAAGACAAGTTCTGTTACTTTCCCTTGACTTCCAAGGCCTGAGGTTCTGACCCGATCTGAGTGTTCGCAATATACCATGTCTTTATTCGGGACGATACATCTGTTCATTACATGCACATGCGGCCTGTGCGGCTGAAGACCGCGAGCGTACGACTCGTATCTCGGCCGCCGCGTTGAATATCGCCCGAGAGCACCCAAAGTGTATACAGGAGTCAAATTGATGATTGAAAGCAGCGAACGTGGAAGAGACGGAGGGAGACTGTCCACAACTATCAGCATCGTTACATGAGAAGAGCAAATGACCTACTGGCGCAGGCGCATGGGCACCTGTGTCCGTCGATCTTCATCCTCACTCGCTTACTGCGAGGCACCACGGTGCGATTCAAACCTAGAAGGTGAAAAAAAAACTTTGCCCGAAGGCAAGAAGGAGGAAAAAATTATGGTGCTGCACTGAGGCAGCACCTAGAGAACGCGATCCCATCCGCTCCCGGATCCCACCCGTGCGTATAGATGGGTCGTCTTCCAACCCCGGGATATAGAACCTGCTAAAAAAACAAAAACGGCTGCGTGCCCGCCCACAACCGGTGCCCACCCGGTGTGTTTCGCAGCTAAGGCACGTACTTACGCCTGGGACACAGGACGAGGTCATATAGGCCCCGCCACTGCAACCACCGACGCCCTTGCCGCCACCTAGAGGCCAGACCCACGACTCTCCATAGCTCGCCCGTCGACCAGGGTGGGTCCACCGGGGGCGGTCACGCGGCCCCGAAGGCACCGGCTCCAATACCACCCGGCTTTCCCTAGCCTTGGGACGGTGGGGCCCGACCGCACCCTGCAAGCGGAGAGCGTCTTACAACGGGATCCAACCGATGCGCGAGCTGGACCTCCTGTGTGTAATGCAGCGCAGGCCGCCCTGAGGGACGGGCTCGAAAGCCACCAGATGGCATCTATCTAGAGGGGAGTGAAACGGGTGAGAACAGACGTCGTCGGAACGGCGGAGGATCGCGAACTCACACTTGTATCGGATTCCTGTCATCTCCCTTTTGGAGGCATCTGGAAGGACAAGGCCGCGAATGAGCATAGAGTACGAGAGCGAGGGGCGGTTGACGTACATATTTCCCATTATCCTTCTTTATTCTGCCAGCCATGCGTGCCCATGTGAACACAAAATTCGATAAGAAGCAGATGGACGTACTTTATATTGTCTTGAGTTTTGTACGCTTATATGCGTAGGGTCTGAGGGAGATAAGTCATTGAGGACAAGGTTGGAGAGATGAGGTGATGAGCGACGTACCGTGTTAGGACCCTCGCTAACTGAGCCATGCCCATGTGAGTGTGGGTCATGACTATTATCGTTGATCCATGCCACAGGATTGTGGACTTGCCGGCGATGTTATATATATTCTACGCACGGTCAGCGAGGAGAGGGACGGTGACATACGTACGCCGTGGTAGGTGGGCCACACGCCCTTGACGAGGCATGGGCATGGAAGATTTGCCTCCGTCGAGGCCACTAGTGGCGGATGGTGTGAGCGGATGCGGAGTGAGTGGCATGGGCACATGCGCACCGAGAGGATCGCGGCAGTAGAGGGAGAAGAGGCGATGGAGGGAAACTGCCATGGGAGGGTGTCTTATATACAGGACGCCGTGGCGGTCACGCCTTCGAGACAAGGGAATGAGATTGGCACTCCGCCGGGCGGATTCGGAACGTGATGGAGGCGTGTGGAGAGGATAAGGAATCAGTTTAATGGACCCACAGCCGGTGGCCCACTACTGACGCCTGTGCACGGACCACGAGGAGGCGGTCCCGCCGGATCTTTTTTCTTCCGGTTCTTTTCCAGAACATGGCTTTGTTGTTCGGTCCGTATCAGATGAGGCGGTACAGGAGGGAAGAGTCGATAGTAGACCTCGAGCGAGGGCTCGTCGAGCGTCGCTCCGGAGTCTGATGGCGAGACCAGCAGTGTACGCTGCAGTATAATACGCACATGGTGTGCAACAGCAGCGATGATTTTCGCCTCAACATCTATCAGCTGTGGTCATAACGCGTTGGGGCGCATTTCTCTCAAGACTGTCGCAAGCGAAGACGGCGTTCAAGGAGAGGCCCGTCGTCGTGGCGCCTGGTCGAGTCGGAATTTCAATTCGTCTTAGAAGCATGATGCACGTGCTGCAAAGCCAGGACCTCCGCCACCGTGCGTGGGCCGCGCTGTCCTACAGGGATCACGAATCTGTTGCCGCATCTGCCACGCTTCCTCCATCTCCTCCTCCGGGCCAGAACACCTAGCTGGATTGGAAGGACAATCTTCTTTACACGCTGTTTCTTATTACCCCAGTACCTCATGGTGCTTCTCGAGAGTCATCAACCCTGCGCACTCCGGCACGTCCTGTCAAAAATCTGACATGAAAAGTCTTTCATGATTTCTTTGTGCGTGCTAAAATGGGACTGGATATCTCTCAGTGGTAGTTGAGCATCTTCCAGCCTACTTTAATTTACAACCCGGCAGGTCATTGTCAATTGACTCGACGGCAGTCGGACACGCTCACAGAGGTGTAAGTACTGCTTTCCTATGTACCCAAAACATCCTCCGAATATTGTTGAGGAGATATCCATCGCACCATCAAAGGGCTCTTATACGCCGCTCAATACTACAGGGCCCAAAAGCTTATACAGAATCTTGCCACGATACACGTTATTTTACTCTCTTTCTACCGCTCGTGGTCAACCAATGCCATCCCCACACCGATCTCACTCCTGTGATCAATTCTTTATTATCTTGCAAGCTTTCTTGTGACCCCCACGTTTCCAGTCGCTGGAAAGGTAGGATTTTATCGTCAGAAAGGGCTCACTGATGCAGCCATGACTCACTTCTTCTGGCATTTTTCGTTGCAGTAGAAAGCTTCCGGAACACGTCTGTAGAACATGCCGCGGATTTTTGCCATGGAACCCACACTCCCTCCAGCTACAGAAAAGCGGGGAAGAGGTTGTCGATGCAGATGCTGCATGGCCAGACATTCCGCTCGTCGTCGGTGAAACGTTCCCCCAAAACGCACTCTCCTCTGCCTCGATGATGCCTACGCGGGCACCAAATTCCTCCCAGGTCTTGATCGCGTACGCGAGCGAGGTAGCACGGAGATCGATCAATGTTGGGTACCACACCCGGTGTAACGCGCTCATCAATATGGTGTACAGGCGTGAGCCGCTGCCTGCGCGGCCCATATCTTGGACTGCGGACCCGTAAAGGCTGGCCAGATATATCCATCAGTCTGCAGAGACCGTGAGACGACCCGCGGTATATTCTGTGGCGTGATCCACATACCTAGATCATCAGGGAAAAAACACTGCTTTGCTCCAAGCGCCATCGCGTGAGCCATTAATTTCATCATGTCATACTCACCGATTAGAGCCACCAGATCTCCAGTATCGCAATACACGAAGGCCCACCTGGAATGAAACCTTTTATCAGGACATCGAAGCACAATACATCGTGTTGGCCTGCATGCTCACGATAACGGAATCGCGGCCCATCGCATGGTAATCCAAGCTACATCCTCGCTAACCCGCTGCTCCCGCCCTTCCAAGGCTGGAAACATCAGCTTGTAGGTGCTCGGCTCCAAGAATAAGTGCTGTGCGGCCGGGTGAGATGCGAAGTGTGCCAAGACGTAAAAAACACTCGAGAGGTCGTGGCCAGCGAAGGCATCATTCTCGAGATCATGATGGAAGCGCTTGATGAATGGGCGCGGACCAAACGTGTCAACGACCGCTTCTTGCACTAGCCTGTTCCTATCCTCCTAGGACGATGCTATTGTCAACACCATCAGACCGTTGATCGCGGTGTCTTCGAAATTCATATGTGGCGTATATTGCCAAAGGTCGATCGCGACGTGCCCGAGCTTTGTTTCGGTGAGCCCAGGAACCCGATCTCTGACAGAAGATCGAAGAGCGAAGCATGACTGCATCGACTAAGGCGGCGCGCGGTGGGGCCCACCTCCAGTACATCATCATGATCCAGTAAAAGTTAAGATATCCAAATACCTCCTGAAACGTCCTCGTGTCTTCCGGTTCCCCCTGAAGAAAGCTACGCCTAGCCCATATGAAGTCCCACAACTCCCCCGTTTTGGCTATCAGCTCATCTGCGATCCTCGGGTTCCAGCGGGTGATGTCCACGTCGTCTACTGCCACCTGAACAAGCATGCCATGGAGACCCCAGACGATACCTATCAAGTAATTGTATGGCCACCGTCGCAAGGTATGTCTGAGCATGATCGACTCGGAGGCTAAAACGATCGGAACATACCCCGATGGTAGTATGATAGATCTCATCGGTCATCAGTATCTCCACGTACAGATGGTGTAGGCCGGCTTCAAGCAAAGCATTCCACTGACTTGGGATCGCGTTGTTTCGAATCACGTCGTTCTGGATCACGGTCATCAGCTCGATAGCCAGCACTTCACGCTGAGGCGATTTTTGCTCGTGAAGAGATCGCAGAAGAGCAGGGACCTCTGCTGGCCTCGCCTTGATCATTTCGTTGCAAGTGCCTTCAGTAAGTTCGCTCCGCACATGTCCTTGGAGAGGCTCTTCAAGGAGCTCGTGAGCTGACATTGTTCAGATATTTCTCAGTGCGAGAGCGAGAGAATGATAAGTCACATCGTGGGCGAAGCACACGAGGCCTGATAAATGATGTCGTACATTTCAGCCTCCCCTAAACCTTCTCGATAAGTGTCATACGGTACTCTCTAGTCTTCCTGAACCTTCATCGGGATTCGATATGCAATTTCGAGGTCACCAGCCAGCAACATCTCGATCTTTTCAACGCGCTGAGCGATCACGTGCAGATACACGTTTGCACACCTAAGTCTCTCGCGTTCATCTTGCGTCTAAGATATATCTGAAATACAATTGTCCGAATGTATATGAGTTGGCTACAAGGGTATAGAAATGTTACAGAAGATGGGTAGTGTACATATGGATTTGCTTAGTGGCAGGATAGTAAATGTTCATGGATGGACTATGGCCTTCGGCCGCGCGTCAACGCGCCAATTGGATCTGTCACTCGTTGTGTTATAGTATATCGGACACAACTCCTTCCACGCGTCTTTAACAAACGTTTGTGAGTATGTATCTTCATTGCTGCGAGGAGGATGGTCAGCGCACCGGGAGATGGATCCACTGCAGGAACATTTTCCACATCTTCTGCGAACACAGCAGCAAACCCGCTGTTGGGTCGGAGGCGTGAAGAAATCTATGAGACAGCGCGGTGGTGTAAACGAGGGTATAATTGCTTACGCGTTGAGGTGCCAGTCTATGTGGCTATGCGAAGAAATAGAGTCAGCGGGCTATATCCAAGCATGAACACAAATGTCGATCTCACCAGTGGAAGAACCAAGGCCCAGGATTATCTGTAAAGAACCGAATCGTCACAAAGTCACCTTTTTCTCCGATGTTGACCACATCCCGCCTGACGGGGTTTTCAAAGTTATACGAGCTATTTTTAGCGCTACGGACGACAGAGAAGGAGTGCTGCATCGCGCGATCTATTTAAGCGATTGTGGATTGTCCTGATTGGAGTAGGTACTCACGCCATGCAGGTGAACGGGATGCTGTGGCTCGATCAGTACGCAATTCTAGAGATGAGGTGTGAAAGACACATACTCCACCACCAATGACGCCGCCTGGAATGACGAGCTCCACGCTTTTGTTCGCTTCCAGCGGGATGATGTTTTTGTGGGGGATCAGGTCCTGCGTGCGGTGCGCCCCGCTTAAGATCTGGAGCAAGACGGGAACATCGGGAGGCTGGAACGGCGCGCCGTTGACAAGGAAGAGGCCCTTCTCCTCCTCCTGGATAAGCACAAGACAATTATTCGTGGAAGTTGAGAGAGAGATAGGATAAGGTCGTACGAAGGTAACATTCAGGGTGTAGTTGATGTCGGCGCCGCCTGGTGTGGGTAGTCCGGGCTAAGCACATATACTTAAGAACAATAAGTTAGCACAGGCAGTTGACGTACTGCACGTGGGCGATCGCGAGCCTAGCAACGATTGTTTAGATATCAAGGATTTAGCCTCACAAAGTACGCACATGGAGATCGGTCTCCCTCATTGGGCGTTTGCTCTCGACGTAAGGCGCCGTAGGGTCCTCGATCGGAGCGCCTTTGTAGCGTAGTATGGCAGAGTTTCGGCCGTTGTCGAAGCCTGGGCGTATGGTGTTGGGTTGCGCGCGGATCCCTTAGAATTGGGGAGCATGTTCAGTTCAGGAGAGGCACTCTGAGATGCAGCGAAGCCTACAGTAGTTGTCTATCTTCCTGTTTGCCTTGACCTAATTTTTTTGAGACGTGAGAATCGGTTGTAGATAATGCAAGCAGGTGATGACATACGACGACAGAGTATCGCTGGCCTGATCGAAACATATTGGTCAATGATCAAGACAGAGAACAAGATTTTGTGTATCCTTACCAGCAAATATTGCAAGCGAATCTACTGTCAGCGGCAGAGTCGGATTACCATCGGCCTCGATGATTGTCATATCATGTCGATCGATGGAAAACACCCAAGTCGGGTCGCACGAGATGGAAATCAAACGAAAGCGATATCTAAAGATCTGTCAAGCATCTAGGGAAGAAACTCTGAGAGTAGAGCACTGACGTCTTTCCACGTTCTACCCCAACGACCGCCAGCGGTGTGTCTTGGTCATCGTTGTATCGGCCTAATCCATTGATCAGGGTCGAGGTGGGTGATCTGTGTGTAAATGATGGGTCCAGAGCGATAAACTCGTATGGCTGGGGAGTAGGAACCCACGGTATAGGCGGAGCGTCATGGGCGAGGTAGTGGTACCAATCAGCCAGTGTGATGATAGTGTTTTCTTTTGTGCATATGGGTCGTCGTCATCATCAGCTCTAATCGTGAGTTACGCGAGGCACACACCGTCATCAACATCATACATATGGCGGTATGGGTCGAGAGGATCATATATGACCAGAGCGCCTCTCAGTCCGTCGCAATACTGGTCCCTCACATGCGAATGGTACCAATATGTCCCCGTCTGCTCGCGCGCATTGAACCTATACTGGAAGCTGTGTTCCGGAGTTATGGGGCACTGTGTAACGAAGGCAGGCCCGTCTGCCCAAGGGGTAGTGCGCTGGTCGATGCCGTGCCAATGCTGCCCCGCATACACGTCTTTCTTAGTCGCATCATACCAGATTTGACAATGAGACTCACAATTGAAGTGGCAGTATCCATTCTGGGGTCCGTTAGGTCGTTAAACACGTTGAGTTCGAAGGTTTCGCCCTTCGTCGCTCGGATGACGGGGCCCGGAAACATACCGCCCGCTAGCACTGCACTGATGAACAGAATCGGCTTCAACAAGGTATGGTTATGATTATTTTGAAGAGGAAGCACGCACGGGCGATTAAATCCATCTGGCGCGATGTTCCTGTTTACAATGTGAAGATCTGCAATAGGCCCAATAGCAGCACGGACGCTGTATGGGAGCGTGCGCAAGGTGGCTATAATGATAGGAATGTAGTGAGATCGTAGCATGGTGATGAAGAAGGAGAGGAATGTTGACGAACCTCGAACATTTCATGTGTCCGGCGCAAACGTCAAGTTGCAACTGCTCTCGAAATGCGGTCGTGAACCAAGATGTGGTGGCCGAAAGAGGCAGTTCAGTTGCCATATATGGATGTCGGAGTGTGGGAGATGGTGCGCCCCGAGCACTCGAACATCTATACTAGTGTCAATTCTACCGGTGTATACAGCAGATTCTGTAGGTCCGTTGATGCCAAGCGACATTGAAAGCAAAGAGGCTGTGGCAGATGGTTATGGACGAGTTGGAGCGCGGACAAGGTTGGTGATCATCAATCTCTTTCTTTTCCAAAATCCTCCACGGTATCCGCGCTTCATCGAATCTCCTCTACCTTGCCTTCTAAAGCGCATCGTCAAATCAAGAAGCCTTTCCTCACTCTCTCAGTCATTAGAATTGTGGGTGCCGGAGAGACGTCTCTTTGAGAGGAATTGCTGCTGCGGGGCTCAGAGATCCATATGTGCGAGTTGTCGTGTTCTCGTTCTAGCAATACATAGGCCTTTGTGGTCTCGTCGTAAAACTTGTGACTATTTCATCTAAGGCAAACTACGTGAAGCGTCATCAGGTTGTGGTCTTGTCGACTGCCACTGAATATCAAGGTTAAATGGGCTTTCGAGTCATCATCAAACCTTATTATCTCGGCAATGCCAGCATATAGAGACCGTCCCTCGACGGCTTCCACTTTCCGGGATCGGCACAAAGTTGAAAGGGTACACATCAGCCATGTTTCTCGCCAGCCGAACTGCCTCGTACGACACCGAGCCGACCACATCGCCGGTAACACAGTGATCTGAGCCGCGGTGGCTACTCAGAGCTTCTCGTCTAGGTCAAGATGCACAGATAGAGGTTTGAGCTGACGATTTCGAAGCTACGCAGGTGAGCTTATGATCGTGATCAGTTGGTGACGAATAGACTTCTAGGTCCTAAAAACAGATTCTCGACATAGCCTGGCCTCATCGAATCACTTGTTGGTCCCAAGCACCGAGGCGCTATATTGTGAACGGGTCGTCTCGTTTAAGTCATATACTTGATTGATCGTTTTTTCATTTGTTTCCTGTTGGAACATGTGGCTTTATGGAACATATCACAATGTAAGTACTCTAGAATACTCTCATACTATACTGATTCCTAGCGGTACGACAGGAAGCTTATTGTTGGCATGTGCACCCTAGCGACATAAACGCTAGCTGTGACAGAAGTCAGGCTAGCTTCACAGATCCTTCTCGAACGCCAGATGTCGGCCCTGAGGACTAGCGGAGCATGCAACATGAGCACACCAAATATTTATGTACATGGGCGCACTAATGTTACATAAATAAGGATTGCCTACTTCTTCAGCACCTGCAACCTTCGCTCCTCTCTCAATTTCTGCAAGCGCCACTTATCTTCTCGTCTCCAGCCCGTATCCTTTTGATCCTTCACCATGTTTCGTCTCCAACGGTTTGTCGTCCTCGCTAGCTTATTGGCTTCCGGCGCGCTTGCGCTCTCCTCGCAGGGGCCCACTGCCCCCCTGCAAATCGTGAACAAGGAGATCGCTCCCGATGGCTACCAGCGCAAGTAGGTTCACAGTGTTGGGCGGTTGTCCTTTTCTAAACTTTTTTGCTTTTCCAGCACGGTCCTTGCGAATGGCGAATACCCAGCCCCTTTGATCAAGGCAACCAAGGCAAGCCATCGCTCATTCGAAGATATTAGGGATGCCATGAAAAATTCTATCATACCAGGGCGACCATTTCCAAATCAACGTGACCAACTCACTGACCGACTCCACCGGAATGGAGACGGCTACCTCGATTGTCAGTGCACTTCCTATTGAATCAGTGAACTCATTTCTTATGTCTTCTCTCGTGTTGAGTAGCACTGGCACGGTCTATCTCAACATGGGACCAACTGGGCCGATGGCGTTTCCTTCGTCACCCAGTGTCCTATCGTCTCTGGAAACTCATTTGTATACAGCTTTGATTCGCAGGGACAGGCTGGCACCTGGTGGTACCATTCTCACTTGTCCGCCCAATATTGTGACGGCTTGAGGGGGCCTCTTGTCATCTACGATCCTAAAGACCCTCACGCCGACCTCTACGACGTGGACGATGGTTTGCCTTCGATTCTGCTTCGCGAGCGTTTCACTGAGTTGTTTTATGGCACGTTAGACACCACCGTCATCACATTGGGAGACTGGTACCACTACCTGTCCAAAGACGCTCCGCCAGCCCCGTATGTGCTCTCATCTGGGATGATTATTTCATGCCCTAAAACACGTTCGAATCCGAATCAGGCAGGCGAGTTCGATTTTGATCAATGGTCTCGGTCGTTACAAAATGGGGCCAACTGGCGCCGATGCACCGTTGGCTGTGGTGGGAGTGGAGCAAGGGAAACGGTCAGTAGAAATGATCCCATTCCGACGGCCGAGTACTCATCCAGCACGGCAGCTATCGCTTCCGACTTGTGTCCATTTCTTGCGATGTCGGGGTCGATTTCTCGATCGACCAGCACAAGATGACTATCATTGAAGCCGATGGAAGTAACACCGAGCCACTAGATGTGGATTCGGTTACCATCCTTACCGGTATGCATGGATCATTTTATCATAAAGCTCTCTCATCTCTATTCTCTTAGGTCAACGCTACTCCGTCGTGGTAAGCTCTAGTCGTTCGACCACGGAGCATGAAAATAACTGATATATCGATGCGATTTTCCTTAGGTCGCCGCGAATCAGCCTGTTGACAATTACTGTAAGCCATCTTATAGAACCTCGTCCATGAATGTACTTGCATTGAGAGCGATCAGGGATCCGTGCGCAGCCCGCGTCTACTGCTATCCAAGGATTTGACGGTGGTCGGAACTCGGCCATCCTTCGGTACCGTGGTGCCCCTAGCACGGATCCTAATACGACGTTTGTGGATGCCACTTCGCCTATGGTCGAGACCAACCTCCACGTATGTCTCTCCTGATTCAGCTACGAAAGTCTGATTATTCTGCCTACCAGGCGCTCGATAATCCCTCTGCTGTATGTATCTAACTTCGTCATGATGCCGAGTAGTAAAAACTGACCTCATGTGGTGAAGCCTGGACAACATGTTCCAGGAGGTGCAGATATCAACTACACATTGGATGTGTCATTTGTATGTTAAAATACGCTGGTACTCGTTCTTGAAGGTATCTGATGAGCTACGAATCTCTCGTAGAGCGGCGGCTCTTTCACGGTGAATGGGACAAGCTTCGAGGCCCCTTCTGTTCCAGTCCTGCTCCAGATCATGAGTGGTGCGAAGCAACCTTCGGACCTTCTTCCTAAGGGTAGCATCTATGGCCTGGAGCCCAACAAGTCTGTCGAACTTGTCATCCCCGGAGGTGTTCTCGGTGGTCCGGTAAGCCCAATTCATTCTACTTGCTGCACATTATCTCATGATTATACCTCCAGCATCCCGTCCATCTCCACGGTGTAAGCCCCTTATGTCTTGTATGGCTATCAACAACACTCATCGTGAGCTGCAGCATTCGTTCTCGGTCGTGCGTAGTGCCGGCAGCGACAGTTACAACTGGGACAACCCCGTCCGCCGTGATGTCGTCAGCATCGGCTCCCAGGACACTGACCGTACCACGATTCGGTTCTTCACCGACAATACCGGCCCGTGGTTCCTTCACTGGTGAGCTGATCCCCACACACCTTCAACAACAGAATGCTGCGGCTGAACGTGCATTGCAGCCACATCGACTGGCATCTCACTGCGTAAGGATCAACCCCTCTCTTGCTGTAGATGTAGTCTCACAGTTTACAGTGGTTTTGCGGTCGTCTTTGCTGAGGATGTTGCGGACACAGCCAGCGTCAGCCCAACTCCTGGTGCGCCCGATTTAACCAGGATTTCTTTCGATCACGCAAAACTTATTCCAGCTCATTTCGTGACAGATTCTTGGAATGACCTCTGTCCTGCTTACAACGCTGCGGAAAACAAGGCCAAGACCAACACGGCCCCGAAGAAGCTTACGCTCTCTTGAACGTCGCTGGTCGGCGTTGCGGTTGTTGAGGACATCAAACAGAAATACTACCGCGAGTGGATTAATGCGTATCTTGTTATCTTATATCCTATATATACTCAGAGAGTTCCAGCTCCAGTAATTGTTTCCAAATAGATCCTATCAAACCGCCGCTACTCAAAGTCCGAGGAAGTGGATTTGAATTGTCCATTGGTCGTGATGCGTGAAGGCCTACCTGACTGCGGTCCCGGATGCGCGAGTCAAACGTACCTTGGACCATATCGTTCCTCGCGACGTGAATTATGCTTTAGTCTTTGAGTTCGTTTCTCCTTTTGGAATGAGCGTGGAGTGGATGACTCCCACCCAAACCCAACGGCAGAATGGCCACGGCACCGTCCGGCCATCGGCATCAGCCCTTTGATCTCGATCGGGTCCGCAATGCCAAACTTCCAAGTCACTCTGGAGCGGTGAATTGGGAAGCCAGGGCGATATATTCCAGTCAGTACCAATCATGTCCGATGTGTAAGAAGAAACAAGAGAGCGTGGGTTGCATCGCGATGCAGATCGTATAGAACAATGTCCAGTCCTCTTCCTCACGCTAACCTCCTGACACGCAGCGGCACCTTCGTCCCCTCCTCCCCTTCGATTGCAGGGCGCGGCAAGATCGCCACCTTCGTCTTGATCTTCGTATCGGGCCCGTCACGCAGCTCGAACGCGAAATTCCGCACCAGCACAGACAACACCGCCTAAAACGCGTGACAGGAAAATCACAAACGAAACAAAAGGGTCCATTCAGTACGTACAGATCGGCTGCCCCCGCACGCTCGCTCGCACGTACCTTGAACTCAGCCAGCGCGAAGTTCTTCCCGATGCACATCCTAGGCCCATCGAAGAACGTGAGTAAATGGCGGTGCCCCGCCAGCTCGCGCGCGCGCGCCGCGGCGGGGTCGTCGCCGGCGATCCACCGCTCGGGCTTGAACGCCTTGGCGTCCGGGCCCCAGACGTCCTCTGAGAGGTGGATGGCGCGAATCGGCACGGTGACGATCATCCCGTGCGCGATCGCGATGCGGTCCGTCATCGTGCCGTCTGCTGCGCGCGTGGGCGTGCTCAGGGGCACCACGTCGTCTTCCATGGCCTGTCGCAGGGGCGGTCAGCCAGGCGTGAAAGGTGCACAGGCAGTGTGTGTGATGGTTCGTACGACGCGGTTGACTTCCAATACCGGTGGGTGCGTCCGCAGCGTCTCGTGTACGATCGCGTCGAGGTACGGCAGGCCGTTTGTCAACTGCTCCCATGTGGGATCGACTGCGCCGAATTGGGCCAACTCATCTCGGAGCTTCGTCTGGATTTCTTGGTTCTTCGATAACTCGATCAGTGCCCACTGTATCAATTAGCACTGTCAGTCTTGTGTTGCAATTGGGAAAGAACAAGCAGAATAGCGCACGGTGAGGCTGACTGACGAAGAGATATGGTCAGAACAGGCTCGACAGATGGAGAGAAGGGAGCGAGACTCACTGGAGGTTGTCTCGTATCCTGCCAAGATCATGACTTTCATCTGCAGCTCGCGATATTGTAATTTGCGTCGCCGTGCACGATACAAACAACTCACCTGCGCCATGACCTCGTCCTGAGTGATCACCTCCTTCTTTCCCTCCGCTCTCACTGTTCGTGACACCGCTGAGCTCTGTTCCTTGCCACAAGCACAAACAAGGCAACGCACACAAGAGCCCTATGACCGACCTCTCCAGGTCCTTCTCCCCCCCTGCCTTGCGCGAGCGCTCGAGCATGACGTCCGCAATCTCGCCCATACTCCGGTTGAGCTTGCGCACCATGCGTCTGCGGTACGTCGGGATCTTCATGAGCCACGGCACCACCGGGGCAAGCACGAACAGGATCCCCTGCAGCGTCGAAAACACGCCATGGCCAAAGGCATCGAACACCGCCGCGACGGTCGGCGTCTCGCCCCGCAGCGTGCTGAAGTCGTGCGCAAATCCGGCGAGGCCGATGCTGTCGAGCCTGCGCGCATCCGGTCAAGTCACAGAGAAGAAAAGTATCAGCGGCGTCGCTTACGAGACGTGGTTCATCCTGTAGCATAAAGGGGTGAGATAGATCTAGTCGAAGCGGCGGTCGAAAGGAGATACCAGGTCTGGACCTCGATCACGCTCTCGCCCGTCGTCCCCGCTTCTATGAAACCGTCCCAAGCGGCCTTGACCTATTTCAGGACCCGAGGTCAACGCGTACCTCGATAGAAGAAACTACCGGATCAACCTTGTACCCAGCGTCGAAGAAAATTGGGGTCAGCTGCCGGATGGTGACGTTGCTGAACGCAGGAGTGAGGGTTTTGCGCTGGCGTTTGTGGGAGTCCCCATCGGCCCACAGGAGTCCCTTCCCGACCTATCATCGCCGCGGTGGAACGTAGCACCGGTCGCATTAAGAGAGAAAGTCACGTGTGCACTCACCAGATCCTGGATCGCGAGCTTCGACAGTTTATTTTGGACGTACCCGTATGTGTCCCGCGCGCAGAAGTGCGTGATCGCCTTGGGGTCCATGAGTATGATCCTGCGCGTGCCGAATGCGGCGGGCAACGCGTACACATAGCCGTGCGCGCGCGACCAGCCGTCATACATAGACGCAGAGTCGGACGCAGCTCGCAAGATACGGCCAAAGCCGAAGAGCCAGCCCGGCGAAGGTGGGCCGGAAAGCTGCGTTGTGTGCGCACGTCTGCGAAGGATCTTGAAGAGCTGCGAGAGCCCGACGATGGTGAGGAGAGAAAGTAGGAGATTGGCAGGCGTGATGAGAGTGCCAAGGGAATCAAGGGAGGGGCGCATGCTTGAAAGCCTGACACGATGAAGTGGGAGGATTTGGGCTACTTTGTCTGCGTCCATACAAGTTTATATATGGATGCAGTCTTCTGGCGGCTATACCCCGCATCGATGTCGTTTGTGAGAACGTACGAGGGCCGGTTTGTCACTGGTGGTTACGAGATGGGCTGCTGCGAGGCGGTGGGAAGCGGTGGGAAACTATTAGCGCGCTTGGCAGAGACGTTTGTTGGCTGAAGGTCAGTAACGAGGCTTACCGTCGGAACTGCTTAGAGGTCCGACGGGTTCAGTGGTAGATGATCTGCGCACTCGGTCAGATCGCCTGACAATGACTGCGATGACGGTGCTGATGACAATAAAAGAGCTTCGAACTGGTAGTCATGCAGTCATGCTTACCTCGGAAATCCTGTGCAGCATGACCCAAAAGACAAAACAGTATTAAGTGCTGCAAAATGCTCTGGGAACTTGCACACCAGCAGACCATATGTGGCACGTGCATGGGGTGTGTTCAAGAACTGCTGCCGTAGCATTGCGTCACACCGAGGCCAGCCGCTGGGCAAGTCAGCGCTGTGGATTGTTTTAGCAAAGAGAATACATGGCAGTGGAGAAAGACTCCAGTCTGCGGTGCTGAAGTGTGTAACCATCAAAGTCAAAAGAAAAGTAACCTGGCCATGAAGGATCCCATCAATCCCATGATGTGTGCCACAAAGGCATGTCCCCGCAGTCTATGGACGGCCCGGGGCAGTCCGAGGCGCCACTGGTGGAAAGCCGGGCCGCCCCGAGGCTGGATGTCCGCCGAGACCGGCGACCGTCGTCCGGCGTCCTTTGTGCCCTCGCACCACGCGCACGCACCTCCTCCCGGCCGAGAGACCTCCAAAGGTACGCTCCCGCTTCGCCTCTCTTCCTTGCCTCCCATTTCCTTCGCGCTCACATCTCCTCCACATCCCCTGTTCCACACCGCTATGCCTCCCCAGCACTGTCGCCAGCTCGCAGATCGTCCGCGATGGACCTTGCACGGCCGCCAAATTCGCCACCACTCCAGTCCATGCACGTCAATGCGTCGATGCATCCCCATCCACACGCACACGCTCACATGCAGCAACAACAGCAGCAGCAGCAACAGCAGCAGCAACAACAACAACAACAACATCCGACATCGCCAGTCGGACCTCCCATGATGTACACGAACGATAACTCGGGCGCCGATCTCAGCAACGGTCACCACGTCCCTGTGCAGATGGTGGGTCCGCACCAAACCGAAGAGCTCTATAAGCGTTCTGTGATGCTGGTGATATGGTATAAGGTGAGCTCCGACTTTTTACCCCCCTTTATTTCATTCTTGGATTTGTTCTGCTGCAAATGGGCGTCTGCACCGGTCGGTTCGTGTGGTACGCATGTGTGCATAAAACACCGTGGACATCCATATGGGGTCGATCATTTTGTTTGCTATCTCAAGAGGAGAAGGTCCATTGCGTCCATATCTTGCTCAATTTGTCTTAGCACGAGCGATCTCGGTGAGATCAAAAGCGACCTCATTAACTCCTTAGGCACTTGAATGAGGCCTTTTTGAAGCAACAGACATGCCTGTTTGATTGTTTGCGGTCCATCGGCTCAGGATCGCCTGTCACTTCACTGAACTCTTCTCGCTGATCAATGACGACGTACTGACCAATATTCCGGCCCGCCAGGCTCACACTACGCCCCTCCGCCTCCTGCACCCATTACCTACCTTCCCCTTCCTCCAGCTATCGCTTTTCCCCTCCCTGCTCAGCTCTCTCTCCCTCACCCAAAACTCCTTCGTCGATGCCTACAACCCGCTGCTTCGTCAGTGGGAGCAGCACACCACCAGCACCGTCCGCCTCGTGTACAGTGAGCAGCGCATTCTCTATCGCCTCCGGCGCTCTCTCCTAGAGGGTCTCTCCGAGGACGAATGCCCCGGCATTCAGGAAGAAATCGCCATGCAACCTGCCAGTGAACAGCTCCAGCCCCAGCGCCTCGTGCATGGCGCCGCCGGTCCAATGCCTGCGGTGAACAGCAACGGCCTCAAGCGCCCTGCGCCTCCATCCGACCCTGGTGAATCCCCCGTGCCTCCGCCCAAATACTACGTCGCGGACATGTATCGCAGCAACCCGCAGGGACCGTACGCAGTCCCGATCCCCATCCCGCAAGGATATCCCCAGGGTCTGTCGACCCCAAAGCAGCAGCCGCAACCACAGCCGCAAGTCCACCAAAACGGGGCCGGCGGAACCCAGCCGCAGACCCCCGGTCCCGCCGGCAGACAGCAACGACAGAACGGCGCGATGAAGCCCCCGGGCCCGGCCCCAGCCCCGGTCTCGGCGCCGTACGCGTATCCCCAAAACAACATGTACGGCGCCCCGCCTCCACAAAGCCCCCCTCAGCCCGTCCAAAACATGGGCGCCATCGCAGACGCGAACGGGAGCGCCATGGCGCTGCCGTCCGCGGACACACTGCCGCCGCACTTGCGCACGCCGCACGCCGTGCCGGCGCCGATCCCGTACCACCCGCACCCGCCGCTGAAGCGCTGGCCGAACGACTACACGGTGAGCGAGGTCGCGGCGGGGTTCCGGCAGATGGATGTTCTGGTGGGGACGCAGCCGACGACGACGCAGCGCGCGGCGTTCGAGCGCGTGTTCGGGTGCCGGTACGTGAAGAGCACGGTGTGCCGCCACCGCGGCGTGTGGCGCCGCGCGCGAGAGGACGTGCGCGCCGCGTTCGAGCACATGGGGCGCGACGAGCACGCGGTATGGGGTGAGTTCGTCCGGCGGGTGGAGGGGAGGGCGTCGGGGCTGCAGGGGTCGCCGCGCGCGGGGCATGGCTTGACGGAGGGGATGGTGCACATGCAGGGGCACGTCATACCGGGGGGGATGCAGGGCATGGGGCACGGGACCGTGTCGCAGCACCTGATGAGGAGGGAGGAGGAGGAGAGCCCGGAGGAGGCGGTGATGGGGTCCTTGGGTCCGCCGCCGGAGCACGAGGCGCCGCCGAATCAGACGGGCATGCTGAACGGATCTGGGCGTGAGTCGTGACCATCTACTTTGCGCAGGAGATGTGTTAACGGTTTTTGATCTACAGTGCCACAGCAGCAGGAAGCGTCGCAGCAGGTGCATCCGCAGCAGCAGCAGCCCGGTGGTATGCTTTCTGCTCTACATGGTGGAAGTTGTGTTGATTTTCGCTCGTGTGCCAGGGAATCATGTGCAGCCGTACGATCCGTCGTTGACGAATGCACTGGGGGGCGGCGAGCAGCCGTGACGTTCGTGATGTATATCTATGTACCACGGTTTTTTTCTGGGTTCTTGGGTTCTTGGTTTGGCATCCCCCTGTTGTTGTCACATACTGATCTGTGTCGATCTGTTGCTGTTGTTGTCAATCAAAGCTGTACCGATTCTCTATGTTTCTCTCTCTCTCTCTCTCCACTCAGGTGTGTGACGCTAAGCATGGTTTGAGGATGGTCGCGGAGATCGAAATGTGTCAGGTCGCGATCAAGCCTCTTACTGCGTGCACCGCAGGGGTTTTCCCGGGATAAACCGTGGATAAAACAATGGATATAGATAAAGTTTTTGTTCCGGTTTATTCACTAAAACAAGAACTTAAGGTTTATCTGATATTTATTCACGTCTCATAATTATTGAACAAACCTTGAGTTTGTGTTTCGGTAGTTTCCGTGGATAAATCCAAACAAAAACTTTATTCATATCTAGGGTTTTATCCACGGTTTATCCTGGGAAAAACCTCGCAGTGCACGCAGTGTCTGGACCCGCATGGACCTACACTCTCTATGTACACGCTCAGTTTCGTTCGCGGCACATATCATGCGCAGACCGAGGAGCGGCTAGGAGAGATTCTGGATCTCCCGCGATATTTGCACGTTGAGCTGCCATCGTCGGAGCGCCAGCACGTTTCTATCGACCGATGCTCGTCTCGAGGCAGGTACGGTTCCATCCAGTTGATGATCGTGCGCTCAATGAACTTATGTGTTGTAGTCTGATTATTACTTTTAGATGACCGTCATTGAGGCGCTCATGATCGTGGGATGAGGGCCCGATATCCCATGATCCCGTTGGGAGCCTGCAGGTGGCGTATACAGAGCGCAAGAATGATGGCCAGCATAATGTCGCTTGTCAATTAATAAGCAGAATTGCCGAACTACGGAACTCGGTATAGTTCGAGCGTAGCGTTTTGCAGGTAAGCTATGAAATCGGGAAAGAATACTAGGATGCGACCTGTACCCTTGCTGGACCGTGATGACGCGCTCGAGGTTCATATTTTCCGCCACGAAGTCTGCTATTTCCACGACTGATTGGCATTTGACTTCTGCAAACCAAAGATGTTGGCAATATCACGCTCAGCGGAATTTCGGGAGCGTCGCACTCGTGAGACTGGTCATTCGTTCGACTCAAAAAAAACAGAACTGGCTCAATACTGGTACAAGAGGCCGTCATCGCGCCTCATACGTGAGATCGAGCACCCTGCCTTCTTGACGCTCAACTGGACAACCCTGTTCGCGTTCATGGCCTCCATCGGCGAGGAGACGTCCACCGGGGCATATGAACGGTGTACGACGCGTGGTTGGTAGCGCTTGCGAGGATCCAAAGACAGGAGCAGAGCGGCCAAGCAGAAGAAGGGTGCGGAGTGATGCAGTAAGCTAGCCCCCCAATTCAGCACACCAAGAACTTCACAGACGTTCCATGAGCGGCGTTTTAACTCGCCTCCGGACCCTGGTCGGGTGGGTGTTTGACGGTGCTGCAAGGTGGCCCCTGCTGTCAGTGATCTGGAAAGGTGAAGCGGTGAGGTGACGACTCACGCTATAGGGCTCATGAGAGGACGAAGGATCGTCTGGAAAGGTCCCGAGCACGACTATAATCTCAAGTTGATCCTTTCAGAGTCTCCCTCGATGCCTCGCGGTCTGTACGGTAACCAGACTCTGATCAGCCTCGAAAACCTTCCAGCCTGTCTGCTCCGGCCCCGCGCGCTTGCTGCCTGGACGAGACTTGATAAAGGGTCAGACCTGTATCTAAGGCGGAGGAGAAAGAGATTGTCAAAAACATTACGCACAAGAAGACGCTCAAAACGCAAGAGGGTGCTCAAGAGACAACGAGCCCTTCGGTGGCCCTGTCACTGCCACTACGCTTTTGTATCGCGAGGCTCGCTAGAGGATGCACATGCAAACAAGCGCAAGGTACGACCAGGTGGGGGGAGGCAAAACAGCTTTTCTCCATCAGTCTCATATTTTCCCTCGACCATTGACGCATGAAAGATATAACGATGGGATACATGGGCAGGCCATTGACATCGCAGGTAGGAGACTCGGGCCAGTGGGCCACCCAACCATCGAACGGCGAGAAACGTGCGCCGGAGCGCGCAGGGCTGTTGGCTTCCAAGAAAATAGTCATGCGATGCTGCGGAGATAAAGATCAGTGTGGAAAGAATCCCTTCGCCTGAGTGTTCTGGCCCCAGGAGGAGGAGCCGACCTCGCCATCGTGGTGGCGGCAGCAAATTCACGATTCCCATTGGACGGCGGGTAGCGTGCGGTGATCGGGGTCTGTACGGCACGTGCGTGTTCGTTCTGGTCTGATTTGAAATTCAGACCCAGCCAGGCGCCACAAGGGCGGCCCTCTCGTTTGTTCACCGCGAGTCGATGCAGGTTGCAGACGGGAACTTGCTCGAGGTCTTTTATTATATCCTCCCTCTTTGAATTTTTTTGTCTGATACCGGCTGGTGCTACACGGCTATGCGCTGTAAAAGAACCGCGGGAGAACAAAAGAGCGGGTGGGCTCGCCTCCTCGCGGTCCGTGCACAGGCGCCAGTTGCCATCGGCTGTGGGTCCATTGTACTGATTCCTTATCCTCTCCACACGCCTCCATCACGTTCCGAATCCGCCCGGCGGAGTGCCAATCTCATTCCCTTGTCTCGAAGGCGTGACCGCCACGGCGTCCTGTATATAAGACACCCTCCCATGGCAGTTTCCCTCCATCGCCTCTTCTCCCTCTACTGCCACGATCCTCTCGGTGCGCATGTGCCCATGCCACCCACTCCGCATCCGCTCACACTATCCGCCACTAGTGGCCTCGACGGAGGCAATTCTCCATGCCCATGCCTCGTCAAGGGCGTGTGGCCCACCTACCACGGCGTACGTATGTCGCCGTCCCTCTCCTCGCTGACGGTGCGTAGAATATATATAACATCGCCGGCAAGTCCACAATCCTGTGGCATGGATCAACGATAATAGTCATGACCCACACTCACATGGGCATGGCTCAGTTAGCGAGGGTCCTAGCACGGTACGTCGCTCATCACCTCATCTCTCCAACCTTGTCCTCAATGACGTCTCTCCCTCAGACCCACGCATATAAGCGTACAAAACTCAAGACAATATAAAGTACGTCCATCTGCTTCTTATCGAATTTTGTGTTCACATGGGCACGCATGGCTGGCAGAATAAAGAAGGATAATGGGAAATATGTACGTCCATCGCCCCTCGCTCTCGTACTCTATGCTCATTCGCGGCCCTGTCCTTTCAGATGCCTCCACAAGGGAGATGACAGGAATCCAATACAAGTGTGAGTTCGCGATCCTCCGCCGTTCCGACGACGTCTGTTCTCACCCGTTTCACTCCCCTCTAGATAGATGCCATCTGGTGGCTTTCGAGCCCGTCCCTCGGGGCGGCCTGCGCTGCATTACACACGGGAGGTCCAGCTCGCGCATCGGTTAGATCCCGTTGTAAGACGCTCTCCGCTTGCAGGGTGCGGTCGGGCCCCACCGTCCCAAGGCTAGGGAAAGCCGGGTGGTATTGGAGCCGGTGCCTTCGGGGCCGCGTGACCGCCCCCGGTGGACCCACCTTGGTCGACGGGTGAGCTATGGAGAGTCGTGGGTCTGGCCTCTAGGTGGCGGCAAGGGCATCGGTGGTTGCAGTGGCGGGGCCTATATGACCTCGCGCTGTGTCCCAGGCGTAAGTACGTGCCTTAGCTGCGAAACACGCCGGGTGGGCACCGGTTGTGGGCGGGCACGCAGCCGTTTTTGTTTTTTTAGCAGGTTCTATATCCCGGGGTTGGAAGACGACCCATCTATACGCACGGGTGGGATCCGAGTGCGGATGGGCTCGCATTCCCCAGGTGCCGCAACACTGCGGCACCAGAATTTTTTCCTCCCTCTCGCCTTCGGGCGAGGCTTTTTACTCCCCTCTAGGTTCTTCGAGTGGCTGTTGGATTGCACCGCGCTGGCTCACAATGAGCGAGCGAGGATGCAGATCGACGGATGCAGGCGCCGCGTCGTCTGCGCCGGTGAGTCGTTTGCTTTTCTCATGTAATGGCGCTGATGGATGTAGACAGTCCGCCGAGCAAGCCTTCTGTTTCACCTCCATTCACCGCTCTCGGTCGGCGAGCTGGCTTCTGTGTAGACCTCTGGGAGCCCTCGGGCGACGTTCGAAGCGGCCGTGGAGATGCGATGATAGCCTTTAGCTGTACCATCTTCTCATAGTTCGTTTGGAAATGATCACATCGCATTTTGGCACAAAGAGCGGCATTGAGCGGGACTTGAGCGCCGACGATTCTGTGCTTAGATCGTCGGCGCTCGAGCTAATTTCTCGCCGAAGATACGAGCGCGATCCTGGTGCTCACATCATAGATATCGTCGAACGTGAAAGAAGTATGGTGGAGCTTGCCCTCTCTCAGGTCTAAGCAGAGAGCTATGCTCATCGCCGGGATGGTTAGTAGAGGTACTACGCCACCAAGCCACCACCGCTATCGCATTGGCGCAGAGTAGTGGTCGTACGTTGCTAGGTCTCGATGAGCATCAACGGGGCCACACCCACTTCCGTTTCGAGGCGACGAGAGCGAACGGTGAGCGCTGGCTAAGTTCGCACGGGATCAGCGATAGCGCACCAGAGCGCGACAACGCGCCCGATGAGAGCACAGAGGTGGATCTTCCGCATGACCTCCTCTCGAAGCACGGAGCGCCGTCGGTACAAGTCGTAGCGTCTGCGAGCGGATTGTCGGGATCATCCCGCAAGGCGACAATGTAGCTGAAAACGAAGCGGTCGTCGCGGCGTCCGGTCCACGCACCACGCGCTGCTCGCATCTCACCCTGCACGACGTGCTCGGTCTCGGAGCCACACACTCGAAGCTGTTTCCGGCCTCGGCACGGCAGAAGCAAAGGGGCTTAGGGTTGCCTGGAAGACTATCTGATGGGCCGCCATTCCGTCCGAGCTGGGAGCGCGTAGGCCGGCACTACGGCGCGCGCTCGAATGTCCGAGAAGGTGCTTTATTTTAGGTCGGGATGTGGGGGGACGAGCGAGCTCGCAGGGCAACCACAAGAGTGCGGGATCGAGCCTCGGCGTCAGGATGCCGATGCGGCTCGCCGTCAGCGCAGTGTGCTGGGCAGTCTGGCCGACGCTGTGCTCGACATGGAGCTTTGTGGGCACGGTCGCGTTTCCTTTCTGTGTTCGCGACGTACAGGAGCGTGCGACCACGGGCTGCGTGTGAAACCTGGCTTCGAAGCTACGCTGTACCGGCAGAGTGGGGCTGTCTCTGTGATGGTCCAGTCTAGTCTACATGCGACTCTCAACGGTGCTGCTGACTAATGCTCGCGGCATCTCTCGCTCGTCCTCCTCCTCTCTGATCTGCCTACTCCTCCGGTTTGGCTCTGCTTCTCGAATAGAGACGGCGGCCTCAGGGCCAGTAGTGCAGTGCTGCTCGTTCCTGTAGGTCAGCCGCAAGTCTCGGGCAGACGCGGTTAGGGACGCAGAGACATGCGCGTCGGAGGCTGTGGGAACGCCGATCGACGCCTACCGGAGGTACCCATATAGGCAACACTTTCCCACGGGACGCGTCGCGTCCTTCTTCGCCCAGCTCGTTCCGTCCTCCCCGTTCGCCCCTTCGTCAGCGACCAAACACACTTTGCCGCGCTGCATCCAGTAGGTTCTGCCCGCGAGTGTGGCGACGGACACGGGCTGACCTGCAGGCATCTATAAAAGCCCTGCGCCATGGCTGACATGGACGACGAATGCGACTCTGCGTCTGCCATGAGCACCACCAGGCGATTCAAAGACCCGATACATGACTATAGTGCGTGCCCCGGTCCATCTCAACCCAGCTTTCGCGTACGTACTGACACCCGCGATACTTGGATCTTCATGAACGCCGTTCATGTGCGACACGCAACACGCTTCATAGTCCCCCTTGCGCCCGAGGTTTGCGCAGTAGTAGACACGTACGCGCCCATACCCCCACCCCCACCCCCACCCCCCACGCACGTCCCTTGCTGACATACATCGCCCAGAAAACACTTCCAGCGTCTCCGCAACATCAAGCAGCTCGGGACCTCGTACTACGTATGGCCCGGGGCATCCCACAACCGCTTCGAGCACTGTCTAGGTCCGTGCTCCGCAGCTGCCTCGCCCCTTCCGCGCGTGCTCACGGACAGACTGCGCGGCATCCTCCCACGCGCCCACTATGAATAGGCGTCGCGCACCTGGCGCGTCTCATGACCGAGCACCTCCAGAAGTCACAGCCCGAGCTCGACATCACCGATCGCGACGTCCGCTGCGTCATGCTCGCCGGCCTGTGCCATGACCTCGGACACGGGCCCTGGAGCCACGTGTGGGACAGCATGTTCATCCCCCGCGCGCTGTCTGTCCCCGCCCCCGCCCGTCTCGCGCGACGCCGCTGACCCGACGACCCCGTTTACAGGAAAGGCAAAAAGTGGAAGCACGAGGACGCGTCGGAGATGATGTTCGACGACATGATCAGGCAGTACGACCTGGGCATCTCGGAGCAGGACGCGACGTTCATCAAGGCCCTCATCGCGGGCGACAAGACGCGCTGCGCGTGCGTGTTTCTCCGCGTGATGCCCCTCCCCCCCCCTTCCCGATCTTGATCGCATGCGCGCACATCTGCAGAGACACCCTCGAGAAGCCGTTCTTGTTCGAGATCGTCGCGAACAAGCGCAACGGCATCGACGTGGACAAGTCGGTACTCCCACGTCGACTCTGACCCGTCTCTCGACCGACCCTGGCTCTCACACAGGTTCGACTACATCGCGCGCGACTCCAACGCCATCGGCGAGCGGGGCAACCTCTCTCTCAGCAGGTCCGTCCAGACGCACGCGCGCGTGTCTGCTCGACGCAGCTCACACCTCTACAGGCTCATCGACTCGTCCAGAGTCGTCGACAACGAGATCTGCTTCGATATCAAGGACGCCAACCAGGTCTACGAGCTGTGCTACACGAGGGTATGTGGCCCCCTGCCTACTAGTGCGCGTGCGCGTCGAGCTGACGCGCGCCGAAACAGTTCAGCCTCCACAAGCGCATCTACCACCACAAGACCGGCACGTATCCGAGTCTCTCTCTCGTAGTCTGACTGGCATGCTCACCACATGCCAAACGTCGCACAGCCAAGGCGATCGAATTCATGATCATCGACGCGCTCCTCGCTGCCGATCCGTACATGAAGATCGCAGAGTGCATCGAGCAGCCGAGCGAGTACATCTCCCTCACCGACGACATCATGCCGTTCATCGAACGCACGAAGGACCCCGTGAGCGTCCCCCTCCCTCCCGCTGCGTGGCGGTCACCGCGACGCACTGGCCCCTGACGCCGCCCTCCCCCCGCCGCAGGAACTCGCCGAGTCGCGCGCGATCTTCGCGCGGATCCGCGAGCGCGACCTGTACAAGTGCGTCGACTACAAGGTGTTCGAGTGGGGCATGCACGACCTCCTCCAGGCGGAGGTCACCGCGGCGGCGATCGTGCGCGAGGCGAAGCGGCTCGACGCCGCCGCCGCCGCCGCACGCGCGGCGCAGTCGAAGGACATCGCCGCGCTGCAGGCCAGGGACGTGATCGTCTCGCTCTCGCAGATGCACCACGGCATGGGCGAGGACAACCCGCTCGACTCGGTCAAGTTCTACTCCAAGCGGAACCTCGACCGTACGCACGCCCGCCCGCTCCTCGCGCGCGCCGCCCCTGAGTGCAGTTCGCTGACCGCCGCCGGCGCTTCTAGGTTCTCAGCACGCCGGGCGCGGCGACCTGTCCATCCTGATGCCCGCGAGCTTCGGTGAGGTCCTCCTGCGCGTGTACACCAAGGACACACGGTGCGCGCCCCCCTCCCCTCCCGCCGCTCGGCCCGCCGAGCCCACCGCTGACCACCGCCGCGACCCCACCCACAGCTACTTTGGCATCGTCCAAGCGGGGTACCGCTCCATCATGCAACAGCTCCGCGACCGCGCCGCCGCCGCCGCCGCCGCCCTCGTAGCCGACTCCGTCCCGCCCTCGCCGATGATCGCCGCCACCGAGCTCGAGCTCCCGCTCACGCCGTCCACGCCGCCGCCGCCGCCGCCGCCTCTGTCACAGTCGTCCAAGCCCCGCAAGCCCTTTTCCCGCGTCGCGAGCCGCAGCGGCCTGTTTCCCGCCGGCGGCGGCGGGGGTGCAGCGGGTGCGGGTGCGGGTGCGGGTGCGGGTGCGGGTGCGGGTGTGGGTGTGGGTGCGGGTGGAGGAGGCACGCCGCTGGAGTCGTCGCCATCGTTTGGAGACGAGAACAAGTTCATGACGGTCGATAAGGACTATGGGCGGCGCGTCCTGCCGGTGCCGGGGTCGCCGACGCGCGAGGGCCGCGGTGGCGGTGGCGGTGGCGGTGGCGGTGGCATTGCAGGCGCAGGCGCAAGCGCAGGTGGAGGCGCGGAGAGGATGCTGCGCTCGGGTAAGCGCGCGCGGGAGCTGGAGCCTGCGAAAGGTGAGAAGGAGAAGGGGAAGGGGAAGGAGGGGGAGAGGGAGGGGGAGAGGGAGAGGGAGAATGCGCAGGAGAGTGAGAAGGATGCGGGGCCGGGGCCGGATCGGGGCCCGGCGAGGAAGAGGCGGGCCGTTTGACGTGCTTGGGTCGGTGCGTGGATCGACGCCGACGTGTGAGGCCGTGGGCTCGTAGGCGGTCATCGCGTGGTCGTGGTCGGTACCAGGCTGATATGTCTTGCTCTCGCTCGTGGCCGTGGTCGTGGTCGTGAAGGGTCGTGTTTGCGTTCATCTGTACAGTCTTGCCCGGCTGCTAACCCATCTCTCGCTGACCGTTCTCGTAGATACGCATGCTGCTCGTGTGGATGGACGGAAGTACTAATTATAATCTCTGTAGCATACTTCGCTTTGGCTTCGGCGCTGGCTTTGGCCGTCTGCGGTGCTCGCCTCATCTTGGCAGACTCGAGCCGGGCTCGCGCGCATGGGGATCTCGGGGGCCTGCAGGGAGGCCTCGCGAGCCGCGCCGGGAGATCGCACGCTTGCGCGAGTGGACGAGTGAATTGGAGAGGGGGAGGGGGAGGGGGAGTCGAGGGCGGGCACGTCCCCCGCCGCCGTCGTGGGCGCGGACCCTGCTGCGAGATCGGCGCGCCGGACGTCGCGCAGATGCGCGCGCTATAACGGGTAGTTTATTTGTGCGGGGGGGGGGGGGGGGGGGGGGGGGGACGGCCGCCGTGAGGCGCGCGAGGCCTGAGACTGGTCTGAGGGGCGTGGCGTGGCGTGGCGTGGCGTGGCGTGGATTCGTGCGGCGCGCGTCTTGGGGCGGCGCAGGGAGCGGCAGATCGCCGGGCGGACGCATGCGGCGTCTAGTCGTAGAGAGCATCGGACTTACACGCACCGCGACGCAGTGCCGCGGCGAATTTCGGATCGCCGGCGCACGTACTATACTATCATCCATCGCATCGCTCCCCGAGTCGAGGGACGAGGCGGGACCGCGCAGATGGGGTGTGGAATATCCTGGCATTGTATGAATATGAATATCGAAGGCTGATGCCCAGCACTAGCACTAGCACTAGCACTAACAATAGCACACATACACCGCGAACGGCTGTGAGGCGTCTCGTAAAGCCGACTCCCGTGAACAAAAAAGCGAGAGCGGTTGAATCTACACCTCCACTGGGATCGTGCGCTCTCCCCCGATATAGCACCTCGACGCGCGGTGGGCGGTTGCCGGGCTGCGAGGGAATAAGCAGGGTTGCCCATGCGGTACGGTACGGCAGTGGCAGACTGGCAGACTGCAGCGCGCGCAGATTGCGCCGACGATCGCTGGCAGTGCCGGTGGCCGACCGCTAGGATCGGGAGGTGGATAGGATCGCTCGTCGCCGGGGTCCGTTCGCCTGACGCGCTCAAGTGCTACGAGGTGCTACAAGACGAACAGAGCCTTGGCAACGCCAGCCTCGCGCGTCGGCACAAACGACAAACAGCGAACGCGACTCGAGAGCAGCGTCCACCAGAGGCATATATCGACCGGCGACTTTAGGGCCGTCACTCTCCGGCTGGGCGCCTCGCCGCTCCTGCGCCTTGAACGCACGACGTCCGCGGACCTCCGCCGCTGTGTAGCCGCCCAAAATCAACGATGCTCATGTCTGACGCGCAGGGGTCACGCGACTCGGCGGGGGAGGAGCCCAGAGCCGGCGGGTGGGACTGAAGCCTCGAGGACGACCCACTGACGACCATCGCGGATCCCCAAAGCGGACGACACCGTCTGCCGAAACCAACGCCCGTCGCCCGTCGCTCGCACATTATCATCATCATCATCATCACTATTATCGTCGTCGTCGTCGTCGTCGCCGCGAACCGACATACGGAATACAAAAATACGGATACGGATACGGATACGGATACGGATACGGATACGAAACGCCAGCCCGTGGATTCTGAGCCATTACAAGCTGGTATGTTCTACTGATTACACTGATGCGCGCGTGCCGAGCCTGATGCGACATTTAAAAAGTAATGAAAAAGAAAGAAAAGAAAAGAAAAGAGAAGAGAACGGTCCGTGCTGGTGCTGGTGCTGGTGCTGGTGCTGATACTGCTATACTGCTATACTGACGAACGAAACCGACTGGCTCGCACCGAGTCCGATGCCGCGAATCCTCCCCCCCTCACCACATCGCCTCCCACATCCACATCCATTCACCTACCGCCACCGCCTCAGCCTCACACGATCATCTGCCCGACGTAAAACTGCCTGAGCGCCGCCAGCAACCGCCTCTCATGCTCGCGCCACACGCCCTGCACCTCCGCCTTCGCCGCCGCCCGCGCGTCGTGCCGCACCGACTTGACCGTCATCCTAAACGCCGCCGAGATCGGCCGGTGGTCCGACACGTCCGCCTCGTACCGCCGGTAGTGCAGCTGCTGCACGCGCGCGGGGTCCCGCGCGCGCCACAGCACGCGGTCGCACCACGCCGGGATCCGCCGCTTCTCCGACGAGTCGTACTCGGACGTGCGCGGGTCGTACTTGTACGTCGGCGCGAACGTGATCGGGCCCTCGGTGAAGGAGCGCAAGCGGAAGCCCGGGTTGAACTTCATCTCCTTGTGCAGCTGGTCGTGCACGAGCAGGGACGCGTACTCGTTGGCCTTGACGGCGGCGACGACGACGTCGCGCCGTTGGTCGATGCGGTAGTTCATGTCTCCGTTGAGCTAGACGCACGCCGTTCAGCATCGTGGCACGGGTTGGACCGGCGTGGACTCACAAAGACAATCTCGTGGTCGAGCACCATGGATCCGTCCCCGCCGCCGACATACGCCAAACCCTCTTCCAGCGCCTCCGTCGAAGGGAGCACGGCCTTTTCCTCGAGCATCGCCGCAACGTCGCCGTTCCGCTGACGCACGTGCGCCTGTCCAGCGGCCAGGTGGCAATTGATGAAGCACACCGACGAGTCGTCGATGACCATGCGCGCGACGATTCCGCCCTAAACCGCCAACCACGGCGAACGTCAGCCAACGACGCGCACTACGCGTAAACGCACAACGATTCACCTTGTTGCCGTACCGCCCGCCCATCCCCCGCTTGACGGTGGCGACAGCTACATGCCGCAACGCAACGCGTTCCTTCTGCTTCACGAATATACAACTGAACAAACCGACTAGGTTCTCCGTGTGTATGACCATGTACGGGGTATCGGGCGGCATCGCGAGCCGCACCGCCAACACGAGCCGGTCGTGCCACCGCTTGTACGAGCTCGAGACCTTCTCGGAGATGCCCCCGTCGGCCGCCTTCTTCTTGCCCATCAGCACGCTCTTCGCCGCCATCTTGCGGCTCTCGAGGTCGATGACCTCCTGCCACCCGAACGAGATGATGTCGGGCGAGTCGACGGTCTTGAGCACGTCGCTGAGGAAGTTGAGGTTGTCGGGCGAGCCAATGAGCGTGTCTGGCTTCGAGGCGTCGACGTTCCACGACACGATGAGCACGTTCATGTTGCGGAACGTGCTGAACGCCTTCTCGCGCTTGAGCATCTCCGTGTCTGAACGCATTCGGTGAGCAACCCGCAGAGACAGGGCGCATATATGCACGTATATGCACTCACCCATCCAGTCTGCGCCGAGCATGCCGTCCCAAAACTTGATCCTCTCGTCCCTACCAATGCTGATCACGCACAAGCGCCCGAGCTTGTCGATGCTGTACGGGTCGGCCTTGATGTCCACCAGCGGCAGTCCTGCGTGCGCGATCCAATTGTTCGTCATCACCCACGGGCGCGGCACGACGTCGTACGCCGCGATCATCCCGTTCCGCCCGCCCGCCCACAGCCGGTCGTTAACGCCCTCGAGGCTGACGATGTCCGACGCGGAGACCTTGATGACCTCCACGCAGACCGGGACGCCGTCCGCCGCCGCGAGGGACCAGATGCTGACGTGTCCGCCCTCGTGGCCGAGGTAGACGTGCTCCGGCTGCGACGGCACGACGGTGCCCGTGAGAACCGCGCCGACGTGCTCCGTCGGGAGGAGCGACCTGCCCTGGCTGCCCGGCGCGAACGGGTCGTACACGCGCACGATCGGCCCACGCGACGCGCCCACGGTGTTTGGCTCCTTCATCGACGTCCAGAGCTTGCCGCCGAAGACGCGCACGAAGGTCTGCTGGTCCGCGATGCGCGCGATGCGCGGCTGCGTGAACGCCAGGAGCGGGAAGCCGTCCCCGTCGCCGACGAAGAGAAGCGCCTTGCCGTTGTCGTCGAGCGTGATCATCGACGGGCCGTGCCGGAGGATGTGCGTCACGGCATGCGAATGCACGGAGAGCTTCATGCCGACGATCTGTCCGGTTTGGACGTCCAGCTCGAACAGATGGCCCTCCTTCGTCCCCAGCCAGATGTACCGTCCCTGATCGACGTCACTGCGCCACTCCATGCTCGTCACGCGCAACTCTTTGGTGAGCCCCATGTCTTTGCCGTCGAGGTTGAACATCGGCAGCTCGGAGAGGGCGAGGTTGAAGACCTTGACGTGGTGCAGAGTCGCGACCACAACCACGTGGCCCGCCACGGCGACCGCGCCCTTGTGCGCGAGGACGTGGATCTCAGACTCGGAGTGGGGATGAACGGCGATCGTCGGAGTGCGACGCGAGGAACGACTGGTGTCAGGCATAGAGTCGGCCAGCCTAGTTTTCGGGTCCTCTTCCTCTGATTCGTCAGAGGACTCGGATGTCATGCGGCGCGGAGGCGGGAGCTTGTCGCCCAACCCGATCGTCCGCATCGGCGGCGGCGGGAGCTTGTGGTTCCCGAGAGGCTTACGCTCGACGATGGGCGACGGGGCCTGTTGTTCGAGAAGCGACGGCGCACTCGTCGAAGGTACGTTCGTGTTCTCAGGTATCGAAGAATGTCTCACGGGAAGCTTTGGCGTCAATGGCTCTTCGGGTGCAGATGGACGGCGATTAGGGAGTGGTGGAGGAATGCCCGGGATGACTAGCTGAGAGGGCGGTTCTATTAGGGGTCCTGGGTTTGGAATTGTGGCGCCCTTGCGAGGCGGGGGGCGTGGAGGCACGGGGCGCGGAGGGGATGCAAAGACGTTGCTATTATTGCTGTGAAGGGAAGCTAAGGTGGAGCTGCTGGAGAAGGTGTTGGAACTTTCGAGCGAAGAGGACGATTCTTGTCTAGGGTGGTGGGTATGGGGATGATCATAAAAGGGGTCATGGGCTGCGGAAGATGCCTGGGAGTGCGCGAAAACTGTTTCTGAATCGGATTCTGTGTCTGAAAAGGTGGCAATATGGACGCGAGGGCTGGGCGGGGGCCGCGTGGGGGGGAGACGAGGAGAGAGGGGGGCATGGGCGTATGCAGAGGGCACAGGTGGCTTGGGAGGGCGAGGGGGCACTGCGGGTGGAACGTGGGCAGAAGATTCGGCATTGGATAAAACGTTTGGAATCTGAGCCTTGACAAGCGGACTCGAGGCTGGCGTCCTATCAAAGGCATATGTCAATATATGCGCGGCGCAGGATAGCTTGACAGCACGTCAAAACAGAATATATGCGCTTAAATAGCATTTTACTTCTGCTTGGGGTTAGATCGCATCTCGTACAAGACGGCGTGCGTTGGCACCTACTGTTAAAGTCGCGCCACTAGTGCTACAGGAAATGTCGAGATCATGGCATATATGCTCATGAAAAAACGTATAAAAGTAGGACGAGACGAAAAAACCAGGGGAAAGACCGAGTGTGATCGAGCACTCACGCAAACACGTTTCTCAACGACGCCACGCTCCCAATGGCGGGAGAGTCCGAGCTCTCGCCATCTAAGAGCACAGAAGGAATAGGGGGAGGCCGCCTGTCCGATAACCGTCTGATGGACGACTGACTGGACGTGGAGACATCGGAGGCATACCCAGAAGATGCGGCGTGCACCGGGACCGGACAAAGATGGGGGGAAGCAGAAGGAGAGGCAGAGGGTTTCGTTGCACGACTGGGCGGGGGAGGCGGGGGCCTCTTGCCCGCAGCTTTCAGGTCGGAAGAGGAGGAGGAGTTTCGGACATGGCGGGACGGGTCAAACGGGCTGGACGGCTCCTTTGGATTCGACGATGCCCGCGCGCGCGGGCTCGGCGTCTCCGCCGTGAGCAGATCGCGGGTGTCGTTACTGGGACGGTTGGGAGATGGCGAGGACGATGGAGAGGATGTGTCGAGGGCGAGTTGTTCGAATCTTGAGCGAAGAGTGTTGACGGCGGGTTGCGCGACTGTCTCGACGCCCTCTGATGTGGGCAGCGACATGGAGATCGTTCTATGATGCGCGGTCGAGGACCACTGATCGTGCAGACAGCACCGTGGTCATCACCTCGCGCGGCGGGCAGAGCGATGCAGCGTGCACGCGGACGCTGTTGAGTCGGCGTGGAGAAAGCAATGAAGAGGTCCGTCCTTGCGGAGTCTGAATCGCGCAGGCGCGTTTTCGTTCCGCTCCCCGCCACCGCCGTCGTCGTCGCTCCCAACGTCCTCGAAGGTGCGTTCGCAGCAGCCATCGACGTCGGTAGCAGGACTCACGTCGAACAGCATTTCTATCCAGGCCTTCGCACGTCTTGTCCGCCTCCCCACCAGCCCATGTAGCACACATCCGCTACATGCGCATCCTGCTTCGCTCTCTCGAACCGCGGTGCACCCTACTACGTCGTCCATCTCCTCCTTCACCTGTCCACATCCTCCCAAGACACGTCTCTTCGACCCTCCGCCTCGCCTCTACACCTGAACCAGACCACACCCAGCACCGCGCACGATGGAGTAGTGTCAAGCACCTCGAGTTCTCCGTCAAGAGACTGCTGGCTCTCGGCAAGCCCGACGACGCCCTTCGCTATTTCCACCTAAAGCTCAGCAGCATGGACGACGACCGAGGATCACGCGTCACCGCTTACGAAGACGCCATCTCCCTCTTTCTGCACTACTCTCGCTTCGACTTTGCGTCCGACCTGTACAAACAGATGTCCGAGGACCCCGTTCCACGGCTCCGTCCGTCTCCTCTGGTCGAAGCCAAGATGAAGGCCGTCTCCCATCTTCTAGAGAGCACGCCCCCGACCCTGCCTGATGCGCTGGCGCCTGTCCTCGCGCGCAGATCCTGTACCGAACGCGACCTGCGCGGCCTGATCGACTTTCTCGCGGGCACGCTCAACCTCGACCTGGCCACCATCACCAGCGTCGTCGAGCGATACGCCGACGCTCGCGGCGCCGACTACGAGCTCCACACGCCCACCGTCGACAAGCTCATGAGCCTCTCTCTCCGCGCCGGGAACAACGACGCCGCCGAAGCGTGGTTCGAGTCCCGCGCGGACAAGCCCTCTCCCCAGGAGCCCGCGTCCCCCGCGATGCTCTACACCACGCTCGCCAGTGAGCTCGCCGACAGCACCATCCAGAACTCCGCGCAGATCGACGCCGTCCTCGCCCGCATGACGAAAGCAGGCGTGGCGCCCGACCTCGCACTCTTCAACGCGCTCATCCGCGGCTCCGTCCGCCACCTCGACCTCCACAAGGCCTTCGCGCTCTACGACGCCCTCCGCGCCCAGCGCTCACTCGCCATGATGCCCGACGCGTTCACCTTCGGCAGCCTCTTCAAGGCCCTCCAGGCGCTGCACCACCGCCGCACCGCGCGCTACCGCCGCCTCAAGGCGCCCCCCAACACGCGCACCCCGCGCGCTCTCTTCCGCGAGATGCTCGAGTGCCACCTCGTGCGCGCCCTCGCCGCGCCCACGCAGGCACGCGCGGGCGGCGCGCGCGCGCTCACCACGTCCACGCTCGACGTCGCGCTGCGCGTGTTCATGCTCACGGCGGACTACCCCGCCGCGAGCGTCGCGCTGCGCGCGTTCGGCGAGTACGGGCTCGCGCCGGACGCGAAGACGTTCCACGTCGTCGTCGTCACGCTCATGGCGCACATGCGCGTCGACCTCGTGCGCGAGCACCCGCCGGGCGCCGTGCGCTGGATCGACCGCTTCCTCGGCGCAGACGCGGCCGCAGGCCTCCGCCTGGACGACATCTCGGACGAGCTCATCGACGACCTGCTCGCCTTCCGCCCGTGGCGGCCGCACCTGCAGGAGAAAGACGCAGACGCGCACACGCACGCGCACGCGCAGGCGGTGGAGCGCGCGCCCAAGGCCAAGTTCCCCGAGACGTTCCGCGTGCCGTCGCGCTTCGAGGTGCTCGGCGTGACCGCGGCGCCTGCGAACCCGCGGTGGGACATCCACCCGCTCACGCGGCTCCTGCGGCGCGCGATCCACGCGCGGCTGGGCGAGACGGGCCTGCGCCCCGTGGACGCGCTCGCGCTCGTGCTGGAGGACGCGGCGCAGGAGATGGCGCCCGCGCTGTCGCGCAGCCTGCAGAGGAAGCTGACGCGCGTCGAGCGGAAGCACGCGGAGCGCGTGCGGCGGCTGCGCGAGAGCGAGAGCGGGCGGAGGGCGGGGCCGACGGAGGGCGACGGGGGTGAGTGCGTGTCACGGTGCCGAGCTGTGGGTTGCTGACCCGCTGCGCGCAGGGATCGACTAGTGTTGTTGCGATCCGCCTGCGCTGTGGTTCATTCCCTTCACATGCTTTTCGGGGCCTGGAAGAGCCACCGCCATGCTCCTGGGATGCCTGCGATGCGTTTTACTCCCGGCACCGCAGTGCATCTACAACATCCGATACGCGTACCTCACCGTGCGTATCGCTTTCGGCCTCCGATTCAAAGCCTTGTGTTGGCTCGCAGTTAAACATGCATGAGCACTTTCTCACTCTCACTGGGCCCTCGAGGCCGTGGGCGCGCTCGCGGGTCGCAGAAAGCGACCATCTACCCCACCGCTCTTGTACATGTGCACATACATATATCATTCACGACTCTCAACCTTGACCCAGCCACAAAGACGAGCTCCGTTACCCCCCCTCGACTGTCGAGGCTTGAGGTTCGGGCTCAATCTGAATGTTCGCGATACACCACGTCTTTATTCAGAGCGATATATTTATGTATTACATGCACATGGGGTCATACGCCTGAGGACGACGAACATACGGCTCGCATCTCGACCGCCGCGTTGAACACCGCCCGAGAGCACCCAGATAGATGCCCGAGTCAGAAGAGACGGAGGGCTCGCTCGGTGGACTGCCTAGATCTATCAGCGCCGTCACATGAGAAAAGTAGACGACCCACCGGCGCAGACGACGCGGCGCCTGCATCCGTCGATCTGCATCCTCGCTCGCTCGTTGTGAGCCAGCGCGGTGAAATGCAGCAGTCGCTTGAAGAAATTAGAGAGGGAGAAAAAGCCTCGCCCGAAGGCGAGAGGGAGGAAAAAATTACGGTGCCGCAGTGTTGCGGCACCTGGGGAATGCGAGCCCATCCGCACTCGGATCCCACCCGTGCGTATAGATGGGTCGTCTTCCAACCCCGGGATATACATTCTGCTAGAAAAAAAACTAGCTGCGTGCCCGCCCACAACCGGTGCCCACCCGGCGTGTTTCGCAGCCAAGGCACGAACTTACGCCTGGGACACAACGCGAGGCCGTATGATCCCCGTCGCTGCAACCACCGGCGCCCTTGCCGCCACCTAGAGGCCAGACCCACGACTCTCCATAGCTCACCCGTCGACCAAGGTGGGTCCACCGGGGGCGGTCACGCGGCCCCGAAGGCACCGGCTCCAATACCACCCGCCTTTCCCTAGCCTTGGGACGGTGGGGCCCGACCGCACCCTGCAAGCGGAGAGCGTCTTACAACGGGATCCAACCGATGCGCGAGCTGGACCTCCTGTGTGTAATGCAGCGCAGGCCGCCCCGAGGGGCGGGCTCGAAAGCCACGATGGCATCTAGAGGGGAGTGGATGGGTTAGAACGGATGTCGACGTGCGATCGGAGAGTAGCGAGCTCACCATTTTATTCCATGCATTCCTTTCATCTCCCTCGTGGAGGCATCTGAAAGGACAAGGCCGCGAGTGAGCAGCGGGTCTGAGAACGAGGAGCAATCGACGTACATATTTCCCATTATCCTTCTTTATTCTGCCAGCCATGCGTGCCCATGTGAACACAAAATTCGATAAGAAGCAGATGGACGTACTTTATATTGTCTTGAGTTTTGTATGCTTATATGCGTAGGGTCTGAGGGAGAGACGTCATTGAGGACAAGGTTGGAGAGATGAGGTGATGAGCGACGTACCGTGTTAGGACCCTCGCTAACTGAGCCATGCCCATGTGAGTGTGGGTCATGACTATTATCGTTGATCCATGCCACAGGATTGTGGACTTGCCGGCGATGTTATATATATTCTACGCACCGTCAGCGAGGAGAGGGACGGCGACATACATACGCCGTGGTAGGTGGGCCACACGCCCTTGACGAGGCATGGGCATGGAGAATTGCCTCCGTCGAGGCCACTAGTGGCGGATGGTGTGAGCGGACGCGGAGTGGGTGGCACGGGCACAGGCATGCCGAAGGGATTGTGGTGGTCGAGGGAGAAGAGGCGATGGAGTCCAACTGGTGTGAGGGGGAGCCTTATATACAGGACGCGGAGACGGTCATGCCGGCGGACCTTCAAGAGAGAAGGGAAGCCAGTTCATACTCAGCCGGGTGGATTCGGAACATGATGGAGACGTGATAGAGAGGATAAGGGATCAGTAAAGTGGACCCACAGTCGATGGCAAACTGACGCCTGTGCACGGACCACGAGGAGGCAAGCCCACCCGCTTTTTTGTTCTCCCGGTGCTCTTTTGCGGCAGATAGCTTTTTTCGTCGGTCCGGCTCAAATGAGGCGTGTAAGGAAGGGAGGAGTCGGTGGCAGACCTCGAGCGAGGGCTCGTCGAGCGCCGCTCCGGGAACGGCACCGGGGGCGAACCGACGAGCGAACCGTCGCCGTAGCACCTATTCAAGTCGGATTTTCAATGCGGCCCAGTACATGTCAACGATGTCTGCCCATACCTATGCATCTAATCAGCCGGGCGCCATCTGGCATCCTCTCGAAAACCTTGGTGGCACACGACTGTCGTTTTTTTAGCTTCAAGCCGGTTCTTGAGGCGCATCGCTCACGGAAGCCCGTCCCAGTTCAGCAGCGGATGCAATTTCAGCATCAATAATTGACCGGTTCTTCGTGATGTCAGGTTTGCAAGGCGTTGTGGAGCGGGGGAAGGGGGGTTAAATTTCATACAAGGCAGTCAGTACGAACAACACTCAATGTGCCAGAAGAAACAGAGCGTGCGGGATGCAGATCATACGAGAACGGTGTTCAGTCCTCCTCACGCTAGCCTCCCGACACGCAGAGGAAACTGCGTCCCTTCCTCCCCTTCGATTGTTGGGCGCGACATGATCGCCACCTTCGTCTTGATTTTCGTCTCGGGTCCGTCACGGAGCTCGAACGCGAAGTTGCGCACCAGCACAGACAGCACCGCCTGATAGCCACGACAGGAAAAACGACAAAAAAGAAACATAAGAGGAATCGTTCGGCACACGCAGTCGGCCACAGCCCTCTCCTACGTACCTTGATCTCAACGAGCGCGAAGTTCTTCCCGATGCAGATTCTAGGGCCATCGAAGAACATGAGCAGATGACGGTGCCCCGATATCTCTCTCGCGTGCGCAGCGTCGGGTTCGACGCCGGCGAGCCACCGCTCGGGCCTGAAAGCTTTGGCATCCGGTCCCCAGACATCTTCTGAGAGATGAATCGCGCGGATCGGCACCGTGATGATCGTTCCGCGCGCAATGGCGATGCGATCTGTCGTCGCACCGCCTGCCGCTGCGAGTGCAGGCAGGCTCAGGGGCACCACGTCGTCTTCCATAGCCTGTCGCAGGGGTGGCTAGTCAGACATGAAGAGCGCACGGGCAATCTAGGCGATGATGCGTACCACGCGGCTAATCTCCCCTACCGGTGCATGAGTACGTAGCGTCTCGTGCACGATGGCGTCGAGGTACGGGAGGCTGTTCGTCAACTGACTCCATGTGGGATCACCTGCGCCGAACTGTGCCAACTCCTCGCGAAGCTTTGTCTGGATTTCTTGGTTCTTCGACAACTCAATCAGTGCCCACTGCAGCATTTGGCGTTGCATCCGGTCAGTGCTGTCTGCCGTAATGGAAAAAGGCGACTAGAATGGCGCACGGTGAGGCTGACTGGAGAATAGATATGGTCAGTGAACAATGAACAAGCGTAGAGAAGGGAACGAGACTCACTGGATGTTGTCTCGTATCCCGCTAATAGCATCACGTTCATCTACAGGTTGCGATACTTCAACATGCCGCGTGTGTCGTCGTACACGATGCAAATGACTCACTTGCGCCATGATCTCGTCCTGGGTGATTACTTCCTCATTGCCCTCCGCTTTTACTGTCCGTGGTATCGCTGAGCTCTGTTCCCAACCGCAAGAAAAGGGAAATCGACGTACACAAGAGCCCTATGACTGACTTCCCCAGATCCTTCTCTCCTGCCTTGCGCGAGCGCTCGAGCATGACGTCTGCAATCTCCCCCATACTCCGGTTGAGCGTTCGCACCATGCGTTTACGGTGTGTCGGGAGCTTGATTAGCCATGGGATGACTGGGGCGAGAACGAAGATGATCCCCTGCAGAGTGGAGACCATACTATGGCCGAAGGCATCGAATACCGCCGCGACGGTCGGCTTCTCTCCCCGCAGCGTGCCGAAATCGTGAGCAAACCCGGCGAGGCCAATGCTGTCGAGCCTGCGCGCATTCGTTGAAAGTCACAGATAATAAGCAGGAGGGGTGGTGCTTACGAGACGTGGTTCATCCTATAAATACGATAATCTGTGTGAGCAATTCAGGTGGAACTGGATTTGGGAGGAGGTACCAAGTCTGAATGTCAATCACGCTCTCGCCTGTCGCACCCGCTTCGAAGAATCCATCCCACTCGGCCTTGACCTATTTGAGGACCTGTGGTCAGCACGTCACTCGATAACAGAAATGGCTGGATTGACCTTGTATGCAGAATCAAAGAAGATCGGGGTCAGCCGCCGAATGGTAACGTTGCTGAACGCGGGAGCGAGGGTTTTGCGCTGGCGTTTGTGGGAGTCGCCATCGGCCCAAAGGAGTCCTTTTCCGATCTAGAAGAAGATGTGGAAACGGTCGCGTTCGGAAGCGTAGAAAACGCCGAGCCAGCGTGCGCACTCACCATGTCCTGGATCGCGAGCTTGGCCAGGTTGGATTTGAAGTACCCGTATGTGTCCCGCGCAGATCAGTGTGCGATCGCTTTCGGGTCCATGAGCACGATGCTGTGAGTGCCGAACGCGGCGGGCAACGCGTACACGGATCCGTGCGCGCGCGACCAGCCTTCGTACAGGGCTGCGGAGTCGGCCGCAGCCCGCAGGACGCGACCGACGCCAAAAAGCCAGCTCGGGGAGGGTGGACCGGGAAGACGCGTGGTGTGCGCACATCTGCGGAGAATCTTGAAGACCTGTGAGAGCCCGACGATGGCGAGGAGAGAGAAGAAAACATTGGTAGGTGTGCTGAATGTGCCAAGGGAGGGGCTCATGCTTGAAAAGATGAGTCTGGTATGCTTGGTTCGCCCGCAGCGACACAACCATATATATATATCGTGTGCGTCTACAACGTCCTTCGCATTGATGATATTTGTAAGAGCGCACGGTAGCGTACGGCCACCGCTTTGTCAGATTAATGGATCAACATCCCAAACTGAAAATTTTCTGTCTTTGCGCCTTCGAGGTGGAAGCCTGCGGAAGCATATGAAGCTTTGTCAATGGCTGCCAACTGTTTTCTGAGCTGTTACTCCCCTGCTCGAACTATGAGTGACATGAATCGAATACATATACCATGCCTCACCGCTTGCATGTCGATGCTCCTTGACTCATTGAGCTCTGTGCTGGCTGGCTGCGTTGCCGGTCTGGATACGTGTCTTCTGCGGCTTGCTTGATCATCGTCTTAATAGGTGTGATACCAAGGCACATACTCATCAGGAGGTATCAGGCGGCTGATCACGGGGGTTCTTGCATCGATCCTGGATCGCCAGTGATCTATATACTGTTGCGGACAGCCAAAGTCGATAATTTAAATGACCCACGTTTCGGATATCCGAAAAGTACCAGAATCGTGAGCACTTGACCAGGGGAGCCCGGCAAAAAAGTTTGAGGGAAATCCCACGAGCCGTTCGTCCAAAAGAGGTATTCTTCAAAGTTTTCAGGTGAGTCGTAGTCGTCCCAGCCCTGAATTGCACACGTTGTCTCCGTCCAAAATGCCAGCTTCCACGTCCGAGTCGCCAACTCCTGCCTCGTATCAGACATATTTGCTGCTCCTGCTTCTGAAAGACGAGAGGCCGCGTGTCCCCAGTACACGTCGCAGTCCAGGAAGGGAATACAGCTAGGAGCGTACCACTGCTGCTCTTTCAACATGCCTCGCCTGCGTGTCTTCACATTCATGAGCATAGCGTCGGTCAGACCGCCTCAGGCTAGATGTCGCAACCCAGCGGCACTTGGCTTATCACACCGATGGCAGGTGCGGCAGCGCGTCGAGCGTCATCAAGCCGTCGCAAAGCTCATTGTGCCCCGCGCCTCTGAGGCGCACTTCACGCGGAGGCGCCGAGGCTGGTGAGGGCGCTCGACACACTATCTCGAGACGGACTTCCCATGCAGGGCACGATGCCTGTCGATGAGCTCCTTGCCTTTGCAGACACGCTAGAGAGCAATGCCGCCGGCATGCACAAGCCCGCAGCTTCCGCGGAGACAATGTCGGTCGGCGACGATGAGTTTGGGCCTCAAGCCGTTGAGCAGGAACCGATCGCGACCCACGGTGCCGCCCCGCTACTGGGCTTGTCGCCAGCTCTATAGTGATGTGAAAACAGAGAACGCGCACGCACACTGCAGAGCACAGGGCGTCGTCGACGGTGGTGGTAGGATGATAAAGGGCCAGATTGAGCTGGCGTCCTATGAGATCACCCGGCATTCTACTCTTGGCTGACGCCTGAGCGGAGTGACAGAACTCGATAGAACATAGGATGTGGGAGCGTGTGCCGCAAGTGGAGGGTCGTCCTGCCCGTCTCTATCGTCACAGATGCCGCAAGAAGGTGTAGTGCTCGTCACGGTACGATGTGTAGCAGGCCTTGTGTACTCACGTTACGTTAGTTGCTCTCCGGCTCGATCTACGACGAGTGACATGAACATACAGGTCCTTATCATCCCAGTTGGTCTTGTAGCTTCGGACAAGATCGTCTGGGTCCAAGGGAGGGAAATTCTGTCCCACTGAGCATGGCCTTTTGAGCAATATGCTGAGCACTTACCTCACCGAAGTTGGTTCTTGTTGATACATATGTTTCACGGAGTTCTTGATCGTTTGAGTCGACGGCAGGACCAAGAACGAACCTCGTAGGATGACCCAAGACCTCGTGGGCTATCGCGACCATCCTTGTGTCTATCCTGAATCTCTGGACCGTACCAGCGCTCAGCGCTCAGCTTCATGGCTTGGAATGGCTCATGCATGTGAGCATTTGTGACGCTTGCTATGCGTCGCACACCTTTTCACGTATGATCCGTGAATTTTGAGCCTTCTGCTTGGCGAGCCCCGAGCTGAGCGCCGGCGTGCTAGATGTAATGGGGGAATGACCCACCTCGTATCCTTGGATTGGGGGAGACATGCTGGCATATGAATCATGGCAGACTTCCTCTCAGTCCCACAAACTTCGTACACCATTGGACGATGGATGTGACTCGGACCTCATCAGAGAACTCCTCTCCGCGTTGCGCGATGAGAAGAGTGCGGGAACATGTGGTCTCAGCGAGGCTGGCTAGGAAGGGCCTTACATAGAACAACATCGATTGAAAGGGTCTGCATGATTACGTCGAGGAAGGCTCCTAGGCTGACCAGAGTGGGAGAACACGCGGACGGCGTTCTCAATGCGGATGGGATGCAGCTCCAAGGTCCATACCCATTGACGCTGGGAGAAGCCGGCGAGCGAGATGACAAAAGTCTCTGAGACAATGATTGCCCGTGAGAGTGTTCTTTGTGTGAGATGAAGTCAAGAAAAGCAAACACGTACACGTTGGGATGGACTCACAGTATGAACAATGGTCGTTCTGTGCTCAGTATGTCCTCCCTGGTGCTTCTTATGAGTGCATGGTCAGCCGAGTGCATTTGAGACAAAGCAGAGTCCGTCTCGAGCTACAACGGGCTCGTCGAGTACGTTCGAGGCGACTCAGTCGAGAGGAAGCGAGCCTCTCGCGGACATCGTAACGATGCAACGTGGTGATGCGGGCGCACGCGTCCTGTATCGCGGTGACTTGTTCAATATTCATGGCGCATGATGTGCTTTTGACGCGCGTCGGGAACGATGAGAGGAAGCGGACGTCGCCAATTGCGTGCGCGCCTCCTTCCTAATGTGGCCACGACGCGCGACACTGACCGACGCGGGTCTGTTCTCACGCTCGCGTCGCCGCCCTCACTGTGCGCGACAACAATGCCCGGTGGGTAAGTACTGTAGATATCTGTATACATCAGATCTGCCAGCATACGCGAGCGCTCGTCGCGGCCGGCCCCAGCAGTGACCAGAACTGGATGCCCTGAATCACGAAAGGTCAGTGCAGCGCCTCGCGTCCATGTCACCGTGTGCGACTTTTTCATGAATCAACTACGGGGCTCATTTTCACCAACGAGAGTATAAATACCAGACTCCCATCCTCTTTCGAATCACCCCAATCCCACTTCACCTGAAAATTGACTAAATTATAACCCAGACGTACCTGCGCCAGATGTCCCAGAACGCCGAAGCCGAGGCGTTCTTCGCAACGCGTCGCTAGCCTCCCCAGCGGGCCCGGCGTGTCTCTCGATGCTGTTCTCCAGGCATTGCTCGACGATGAAGCTGTCCTTCGCAGGCTCTTTGCCACCAATAAGGCCCTCCGCGCCTCGTCGATATCCATGTCGGCCTCGTCGATGTCTTCGCCGCCCCCACCGCTGCGCGCACCACACGCGCCCGCATCGTGCCAGACGACGCTTCCCTCGCTGTCAATTACGTCCTGCCATTTTCAGGCGCGCGCAGACGCAAGGAGGGCGCGTCCACCACCGTCCCTGATCTCAATGCGTTCAAGAAGAGCTGGGGAATCTTCACGGAGGGGTCGCTCTCCCAGCTCACAGACTGGAACAACGTCGTCGCAGCTGGAGGCTCCGTCCTCGCATGCTTGTCACCCCTCCCCGACGCGGCCAAGGCGACCAAGCGGACGATGAGGAAGTATTTCCACGAGACCGCTTTACCCTTCCTCAGATGTCGACTTGTGTCTGTGGGGACTCACCCCTGAACAGGCACGTCCTTCGTGGTTCTTTTTTATTTTCCTCACATTGTGTGACACATCGACAGGCGGAGCGCAAGATCGTGGCTATCTACGAAGCGGTGCGCGACTCTGTGCCCTGGGACGTCACCTGCGTCCGCACCAAGCACACCGTCTCCATCCATTGTATCTCTCTCTCATCTCCCTTCTCCCCTTAAGTCCTGACCCTTGACCCACCCAGCACACTACCCCTACCGCTGCACCCAGATCGTCCTCCGTCTATACCGCTCCTCCGCCGAGATCCTCGCCGGCTTCGACGTCGACGCGCCCTGCTGCGCGTACGACGGCGCCCGCGTCTGGGCGAGCCCGCGCGCGCTCGTGGCCATGATACGGCAGTGCAACACCGTCGACGTCGCGCGCCGCTCGCCCTCGTACGAGGCCCGTCTCGCGAAGTACGCCGCGCGCGACTTCGAGGTGTACGTCCCCGCCCTGAGGCGCGCCGACGTGGGCCCGACGGTGCGCGTCCTCCTTGAACTTCTCCCTTCCCGTTCTCGTCTCTGTGCTCACGCGCTTTGGCGCAGATCTTCGAGCGCGCGACCACGCGCATCTAGGGCCTCGCGCGCTTGCTCGTCCTCGAAAAGCTGTCCAGCCCCGAGTCGCGCGCGCAATACCTCGCCGAGCGCGGCACGCTGCGCGGGCGCCCCACGGCGAACACCTACCGCGCCGTGCGCCGCGCGCGCCAGTACAAGGGCGACCTCAAGTCGAGCCTCGCAGGCGGCAGAGGTGGGGTGCTTGAGATGAGCGACTACGAGACGGTGGCGCTGCATGTCCCTTACGGGCCCGGCTGGGACGCGAAGCGGATCGAGAAGCTCGTGTTTAAGACTGTGAGTCTCCCGCTCCGTGCGCGGGTGTCTCTGCGGGTGTTGATGTATCTTTTTGTGGGCGTTTTGTAGGATCTCAGAATCAACAGTATGTTCTGGTTTCTGTGCGTACGGAGGAAATCTGACAGCGTCGTTCGATAGCGCCGTTCAATCCGAAGAACAAAGGGCGCAGGCTACACAGACATCCCGCGTTCTTCGGGACCATGGAGGAATGCCTCAATGACTGCTGCGGGGTGAGCGAGCCAGCTGCCCCGTCCGGAATCTGCGGTCTGCAGACTCGCCTCCTGATGCACGGCCTTGCTAGCACTGTCCTGAACCTCGTGATGCAGAGGAGCACCAGTTGCGGAACGAGGAAGATAAATCGTGCATCCGCGGACGCGTCGCGTGAGTCCCTCGGTTGTCCGTCTGCCCGTTCGCATTGCTCTGACCCCGTGCCTCCGACCCCGCACGCCTCTGACCGTCCGCCCGCGCGCGCGCGCGCCCCGCCAGGTTCATCGCCGAGGATCCAGGCCGGCAGACCCTCTCTGGCAGCTTCAACCCAATCTCCGACGGCGAATGGAGCGAACAAGCCTACATCCTCTCTACCGCGCGCCTCTTCGCCGCCATCGCCGGGCGCGACCGCCCCGCCGTGCGGGCGCTCCTCTCCGCGGGCGCGCGCCACGACGTTGATAGGCGGGACCACGTCGGGCGCACGCCGCTACACGTCGCTGTGTTGTCGGACGCGGGGGATATAGCGTGTGACCTGGTGGACGTGGGCGCGCGTATGTCTGCGCGCTTGGTTGGGGGATGCTCGGCGCAGCGGGATATGACGGGCGTGGTGAAGAAGATGCTGTTGCAGTCCAGCAATACTACGCTTCACTGACCAGAGTCATCCTCGAATACATCCCTTCCGAGGGGCTCTACATAGAGAACGGTGTAGGGCAGACACCGCTTGACATCGTCACTCAGCGGTATCTCACAACACGGACGGGGAGCAGGAACATCATGCCTAGAATGAACGTCCTGCCTCGCCCTATCTCTGGACTCGGTCCACCCACACACCCATTGTTTCAGCAGGAGGCGCAAGTCCAGAAGCTGAGGGCCACGCTAAACGATCTGCTGGAAGACGGGAAGCTCGTACGGGACACGAAGCTCACCAACGAGCTGCTCGCGTTCGCAGACAGGATGGAGAGCAAGCTCGCCGCTGCCCAACCTGCCAAGCAACCCACGAATGTCACGACTGAACCTGTGCTCGACCCCCCGATGCCCATGGCTGACCTGGATGCCACCTACGCCGCCATCCTAGATGCGGTCGCTGCCATGCCCGGGCACCGGCAGCTCGTGCACCTCCTGGACGTCCAAAAGTCCGTCAAGGCGCAACTGCGGTCGTACCGACCCGCGGTCGACATCGGGCGCGCGTTCGAGCAGAAGATGAAGGAGAGCGATGGCTTTGAGCCCGCGATCGTCGACGGCAGCGAGAGCTCGCTGCCGGTCAGCCAACTGAGTGCCTTGACTCCACAGCTTCCATTTTACTCCATCCTTCACCACCGCTGAATCCTGGTGGCCGCTTGACGTTTTAGTAGCAATTGTGCGAATAGTCACTAGTCACTGTTCATTTTCTATGTACACTAGTATACTCGTACTGTCCATCCAATTTCATTCGCCTTGTTTCTCTCTGCCTGCAAGCAAGCCCCCGCATCCGTGGCCTTGTACCCGCAAAGTCTACGATCGTCAGCTTCCGTGCTTGGGGAACGATGAACAATGTCCTTTATGAAATACTCTATGGACCCAACAAATACACGCATTACACAAATCGACTCGAATCGAAATAATCTACTCCTCGGCGCCGGGGACCTCCCATACGACCTCTTCCACCAGGACTTCCGGTCCGCGCGCCCTGCGGTCCCTGGTGTCTCTCCAGCCCGCCCACACGCTGAGCCCCAGCGCGACGACGCACGCGCCGAGAGTGAGGTACAGCGACGCGACGTAGCAGTCCCGGCCGTCGAGGCACTGGTGCGCGGACGGCAGCCCAGCGCGGCGCATCAGCCGCAAACTCGAAGGCGCATCGGCGGGGAGCAGCGTCGCGTTCGCGGGCGCGGAGGCGCGCGGCGAGTCGTGCGCGTCGAGGTTGCGCCCGAAGGCGAGAGAGAAGAGGTTCCCGCCGATGACGGGCGAGAGCGAGACGTATCCCCAGTTCTCCGAGAAATGCGCTACCGGGCGCGCTGGTCAGCAGGTGTGCGCAGGGCAGGGCGGAGAGGGGAGGGAGGGGAAAGAGTGGCCGCTCACCGAGGCCGAACCACTCGATGCAGATCGTGGGGAACAGCCCGAACATGCTGCCGTACGCGAGCCCGAGCAGTGCGCTCGCGCGCCAGAGGTGCCGCACGTCGTCCATGCCGAGCGTGATGGCCTGCGAGAGCACGAACAGGCCTGCGACGGCCGTGATGCAGACCGAGCGCGGATAGTGCAGGCGCGACTTTGTGAAGTCCGCGGCGACGCCGACGAGGATGCGCCCGATGAAGTTCATGATGCTGATCATGGAGACCTGGGCCGCCTGGAACGCAGCCGCGGCGACTTCGTCGTAGGACGTGTTGTCTTTGGTGTACAGGGCTTGCGAGATCGATCCTACGTTGTTGATGTCTGATGCGCAGGTCGTCCCATGATTGCTATGCACTCAGATGGAGAGAAACTCACACATAAGACCTGTGCCGCTCACTGCTTCCAAGTTAGCCTTGATGCACCAGGATATAAAGAGGGGGAGAGGGCGTACGCAGCATGCAGATACTGAACATCAACCAAAAGTCCCCTGATGTCCAAAGCGCGCGCCCGCTGATATCAACACCATATCCCTGAGCTGATTTCTCGAGCTCCCCGCGCCGCGACGCCGCGGCGCTCCTCGAGCGGCTTCTATGGATGCTCCGCAGCCCGTCGGCCGACGCGGATGGCGAAAGCTCTACCGAGTCCGCGAGCGCCGTACGCGAGGCAGCGCCAAACCGTTGAGGCGACTGAGACGGTCTATGATGCTCGTACGGCTCTTCCTCGCTGTCCCCGCTGTCGTCCACACTCGAAAGGAGATGTGTGTGGCTGCTGTTGCGTTGCTCAAACACGCCTGCGGTCTCGTTCGTTGAGAGCCGTTGGTATTGGTCTGCCGCGCCGTGCTCGAGCGTGTGCGTGTCGTCGCCGGCGGGCAGGGGGATCGGACGGATGAAGAAAAAGCCAAGGATCATAGGAAGGGAGGTCCCGAGGGCCAGGATGAGCAGGAACCGCGACGTGTCTCCGGGAAAAAAGATGTGCGAGAGGGACGTGAAGAAGAACGCGGAGAGGCCGAAGCCAGAGATGACGACCCCCACGGCAGTCGCGCGCAGACGGTCGGGGAAGCTCTTCGCCGTCGAGTTGATCGCGCTCGTCAAGCCTGCATTGCCTCCGAGGCCAGTGAGGAACCCGCAGAGGATCATGAGCGACAGATGCATATTGCTGAGTCTCTCCCCTTCGTCGAGCCCCGCATCGTACAGACTGCGAATCCCTGAGTAACCCGCTAGCAGGCACACGAAGGCGCCGATGAGGAGTATCTGAGGCCCGCGTGAGTCAACTAGCTTGCCCCATACGGGACCGCTAGTGTACACGCCCACTATATAAGCACGATGAATTCATGAAGACGAAACGGTTGATAAGAACCTCCACGAACCGTTCCCTGAGAGGGCTACGAGGTTCAATTGCGTATGTGAGAGGTGCAGGCGGGATCCTAACTGTGGTGCGTATGCTATTAAATCGGAACAATCAGTCCCGAATCAATCTCGTGAGAAGGCAGGGCAGAGAATCCCGGTGTCTCCTCTTTTCTGTATGTAGATCAACTCTACATCCAGACTTTCTATCAAATGTAGATGCTCTGTGCCTGGAGCAATGCACACATGCTGAGTTGCAAATAGCGTGTAGCAAGCGTCGCCAAGAAGGCTTTCTAAAATGTTCCATAGATATTCGCCTGCGCAAAGGAGTTGAGAACTCATAGAATAAACGAGTATCCGTGATATTCCCTCAGATATCTTGCATGGATCGCGTGGATACTGCGTCGTTGCAAGAGCTACCGCAGCATACCGCAGCATACGTCTCGCATGGGGCTGCTATCTGTGCTCTGAACGTTTGCGGAAAGAACCTGTCACTCACCGGAAACGACCTGGCACGACACGATGCGTTCCGCAAATAGCACGGGGTAAACAAAGGACCCCGGAGCAAACAGAAGAGACTTTAGACGCACATAGTTTGTTCCGGAACTCAAGGCAACCAATAGAGATGTGAGCAGAGTTGCGAGTCTAGGCAGACTGAGAAGGCTCGGCGCGTCGGCCATGAACCGATTAGTTCTGTGCTAAGCTTCGATTTGAGGTAGGATAATGAAGAGCTCTAGTACGCTGCAACGGTTTTGCACGATGTCTTGTCCGACGGCCAACAGAGGTCGAGATGAGAGTTGGAAAGGAGCGTGAGTGGGAATGTGCTGGCGTGGAATGGACAAATGATAAGAAAGGAGCGCTCACGGTAAAGTGCATCATGGTGACCGCGGCTGCGAGCGGCCCGGCCTCTTACTTCATTGCCATTTCGGGATATTCACCACTCCCGACTCATCCGCCATCTCGACTTCATCCACGACTTATGCTCGATTGTCCCTCGGTAGCCGTTCGCCCATCACGAGTATTTCGTGAGCTGCAGCGTAATTTCCAGGTCACGATTGCCGACATAGCCTCGCCTGCAGCGCTTGTCGCGTGCTGGTATCTATCCAGTGAAAAGCGAGAACCACCAAGGAGGAGATCAGACCCGGATTCGCGATTTCCTCAGAGAACGCCTTGTCGCGTTACATGACTAGTGCTGATGTGGTTTCAGACTGGTTTCAGCGACGCTGGAGCCGTGGAATCTGGCCTTGGATGGGTCAATATCGATTACGACCACTCGCGTGATGACGTTCGTAAAGTGTGGACTCCCATCTGCGCTGGTCGTGTTCATCATAAACCTTTGAAACTGTAGACTGTGGCAGAGTGTGTATGTGAGGATCCGGCACTTTCACGGCGGATGGCTACTGGAGGAAATGAGTTCCTATGATTCCAGCCTCCGAGATGGTGAGCACCCCTGGTCCCCTCCAGATAGTAAAGAGACCGAGAATAACATGATAGATGATTCTTTCATGATCTACTGACTGGCACACACGCGCACTTTGAGATGTTAGACTAACCGCAGACGACCTCGCGCCATCATCCTCCAGTATCTCCCACGTGTACAGGCCCTCGCTCAACAAATGCTGGAACAGGCGACTCCGACCAAGAATTGATCGGCACGCACTCGCTGCGGACGAGCTTTTTCAACCTCAACATGGATAAATAGCATGTTTTGTCCTCGCAGTGGGACGCCGTACAGTTGTGGCTCGAACCGGTCCGTCGTACAGAGTACACACTCAGTCGCAGCTCGGTCTCAGTGTACATACCCCGTCGCGTCAAACCTTTGCTTCGCCCTCGGCCTGATTCCAGCTCACCCGCTCACACCACATCCATCGTACGCACCGCGTCGTCTTTGGTCACGAGCGCAAGACCGACGACCGCGTTCGGAGAGGCGCCAGGTGAACCCTCCGCTCCAATCGCATCCGCATCCTCCTCGACAGCAGGCTCCTCCTCGACGGTGAATGGAGAGCGCCCTTTGATCTCGAGGCTACCGAAAGCGGTACTGCTCGACCGACCAATGTCCTCCGCTGCATCGATCAAGTCGATCATGGCCTCTGTCAAGTCCTCTGTAGTCTTGGTTAGGTCATCTACAACCTCCTCCAGTAACTCTACCGCGTCCGTGTGATCCGTGCACTCGCTTGCGTTCGCGATCCAAAAGCTGTCGTATACCCTCACCACATTAACTGTCCCCTTTATCCGCATGCCGTCGACTGCCACGTCGCGCACATCATCGCCTGTATCCCGCTCTGATTCGATCTCGAGCTCCATAGAAGTACAAGAGCACCAAATCCGATCTTGTCACCGACGCTACGCTCTGTGTATACCGTTCCTCCGTCTCGTCCTCCGTTTCCACCCCCAGCGTCCGCACGTCGGTCGCGTCCTCCAAACACGCCTGCACCGAATGGCTTCTCGATCTGTGCTCGCTGACGGCCCCCTGCGCGGCGCGGCTGCAGATTAAGGCAGTGCCCGAGCCGCTCAAGAACGCCGTGCTGGTCATGAACGCCGCGGGGATGCTCATGCCGCCGCCCACGGCGCTTCAGAACGGCGACGAAAGAGCGCATGGAGCTGTTGCCGCTGTTCTCTCGTGCGTTTAGGTTCCCATGTCAGAGCCAGAGCCAGAACCGCCGCGCGCGTAGCGCCGGCGCTATTGTACTAAACACGATATATGAAATATTATCACATGGCCTGTCAGACTGTGGAGGGAGGTCGGGAATGAGCAAGGTCAAACATGGGAGCAGTGTGCTCGGCCTCTGCCAGGGCTGCAATCCGCACAAGATTCGTCAAGTACACTATGTTAGTTTTTCTCCTCATTCCCATCTTCTCTTCTCTTCGTTCTGCGTCATTCTCATTCTTTCACTGTCCTCAAAACATGGATAACAGATGCATGGGTTGTGGCTCTAATCGGTACAAGTCACAACGTGCCCTCACCGTTCACCAAAAGAGGTGCAAAGGCTACAAAGACTTCGGGCGAGAGGTAGATGCGAGTAAGCGCGCGTATGTAGAGAAGTTGGAGAGAGAAAAGGCTTTGAAAAGGGCGATGTTAGTAGACGAACACTCACAGGTGCCATCGTCGTCATCGTCGCATGCACCACAGTCGAACGATGTCCCGGTGAGTATCTCTTTCTCAGAGCTCTGACTCGTTTTATTTACGCATCTATCAACAGATCTCTGATAACGACACGATGATTGAGACGCAAAATGCAACGGTATGAAATTTATGAACCTCTGCGCAGAGTATCGTCTAATGCACATGCAGGGCCTTCTGGCAGCCGCACCAGACAACTCGACCACTATTCCCATGGCAAGATCAATACGTTCTGGCCGTTCCTCTCGCTTCCCTGCGCAATACAAGGATTTCCTGCCATCTTCACTCACTCTTCCGCATATCCCCAAGCTACCACCCCGACTTCCACCTCCGGAGTGCGGCCCTTCTCCATCCCCCGAACTACCTGCTGCCATGCCCACCACAGCTCCTCCTGTCTACAACCTGACAAGTTTGGTGCATTGCCGCTATGCTAGGCTACACATGTCATATATCCCGAACAAGAATTTTTCGCTCAGTGAAATATATGATGTATCTGACTCAGTGTCAATTGATGGTCTGACGCCAGTTCCCACGCAGCATTGCATCCAGCACCTCAAACATCAGCATCAACGATGGGATCGCAACCAGCACTTGAACAGGTGAGAACACCACGTCCGCGATACCGATGGCCTAACACTTTTCTGAGTCGACAACACAATCGAGTGCCGAACTCGACCGGCTTGCCACAATAATTCAAGACGCCTCGCTTCAACAAGGAGCATCTCAAGTCGCTTTCTCGTTCAAAAGCAAGAGCAAAGGCATCGACCCTTACCTGGCGCAAGGGTACCTTTCCGATCCGAGGACGGTTGGTACGAAAGCACTTCTCATCATTTTTATTTGTGTCAAATGAGTGCTACCCATGTGCCCAATTTTGGTACAGCTTCGCTGTGGCCATTTTACACGATGTTCGGTGCAAAGTTAAAGTATGATCTTGGCAAGCCGAGCATGCATGTCATCTTCTTGCATACTTCCCTCTGGCGAGTAACAATGTATCTCATTGATAAATCAATATATGCTCACTATATTGGTTTAAGATACAGGAAGACTACATCAAAACCAACCATCGGCAAGTCGGAGAGTGCGAATGTTTGACTCATTGCAAGCATGAGCTAATCCACGAAATATGGGACTTGCTCCTGGATGGCTAGCTCACGCACGCGTACGAGCACGACATGATTGTTCGCTGTGGCGATGGCGCACAGCGTGGTGTATCTGCGCGCCTGTTTGATTACACTGCAAACTATCCTGAAAGGTGGGTCCTTTTGCCCGCTCGAGCTCGGGGCGTTAGTTCTTGTATAGTTTTGTTGATGCACTGCATCCACGACTTATGCTCCACTGGTGACTCGGCAGCTGTCCAGACAACCCATCGCGAGCGCGTCGTGCGCCGCAGCGTCTTGGCTAGGCCACCGCGACTGACGACATCGGCTCGCTTGCAGCGCATGCTCTGCAGCTCGAGACAGACACTGTATTGTCTCGCATGCGCTCCGTGAGGAGCGAGAACCACCAGGGAGGAGATCTGACTCGCATGCGCGATTTCTTCAGAGAACGCCTCGCTGTGTTGCGCGACGAGCGCTGACGAACGACACGCGGTCTCGGCGAGACTGGGAACTTGGAATCTGGCCCTGCATTTGATACTCGATTGCGACCACCCGTGAGACAACGTTTGTAAAGTCCTAACCCCCCTTTGCGCAGATCGTGCTCATCATCAACCTTCGCTTCCGTAGACTGCGCCCGAGCAGCAGTCGGTGCAGTCGGCGTTGGTTACTGCCAGATTCGTAACGATGCGCCTCGACGAAAAAAAAAACATGTTTAACAAAATATGTCGATGCTGGAACATATCATCTTGGCAGTGTACCGGTAGCTGTCTATCTCTCCTCTTATTGTCTGCCCCACTCCTCCCTGTCGTACGCCATCTCCAACTCAAATCTAACGCTCCGACTAAGTCATTTTTTTTCTATAGTTATGAATCTGGCTGTAATACGTGAGGATCAGACGCTTCCGCTGCGAAAGGCTGGCGGGGGGGGGATGGGATCAGCAACGCAATAGATTCATCACATCAGGCGGTCTCCGTGAGTGACCTCTCACTGCCCTCCGCAATTTGTGCAGCCTAGGGCCCCGACAGTCCGCACCAAGTATATCAAGCCTGCTGTATGTTTCCACCAATCGAACGATACGACGTGGGCGATCCCGCTGCCAATAGAGCACAGGTGCTCAGCTCGACGCTCAAGCATTAGGATCCAAGGATCGAACGTGAAGGGGTCTACGCAAGAACTACCGAGATAAGTCGCCTGATACGTGCATGTTGGTCGGGACAGTGGCCAAGCGAGCCGCGAAGCACACGTAACCCGTCGACTCCCGTCGACTAAGATCGGCCAAGCAGGCGGTCAGCACACAACTCGACAAGTTAACAGCCTTCAAGCAGTGTCGACAGACAAGCGGTGAGGAACGTTATCTGCATTAAATTGATGTCATTTACAGATGAAGCAGGACAGGGGCAACTGAGGAAGACGCCTTACTGGCGTTGCGAGAACTTCCTCGGCTCTCCCGTCGAAGACGCAAAGAGTAGTTCTCATTTCTGGGTTTTGATCCGATCTGTAAAATCTCGGGTAAAATGGCCATACGTTCTCACAACCGACAGGGGTACGAGTCACAATCATTAGAAGAGTGTATACACGCACACACATCTATATATATATTAGTCGAACGGTTCCAGACAAAGCAACCGAGTCAACCCACTTCATCATGTCAAGCACGAGCCCATGGGCCCTTGGCTCCCTTGGCCCTCTCCTGACACCTACCAATTTTCTCCTCGCCCTTCTTGTCATCGTCGGGTCATCGCAGGTCTCTAAGATCCTCCACAGAGGTGCGCACACCGCGCGCATTTCCGGGCCACCTTCGCCGAGCTGGCTCTTCGGCGTCGGCCGCATCCTGCGAGCCGCGTCCGACCCCGCAACCATGTACGAAGGCTGGTCGCGCGCGCACGGCTCCGTGTACGCGCTGCCCGCCGCGTTCGGCACGCGCAGGATCGTGCTCATGGACCCTAAGGCGATCTCACACTGCTGTGCGCGAGACACGCACGGGTACTTCAAATACAAGCTGGCGAAGCTCGCGATCCAGGACATGGTGAGCGCACACGCACGCGTTTGAATTACCTCCTTTCCTTTCGAAAGCCGGCCGACTGATGCTAATCCGCGTCCACCGTGGCGGTGGCCTCTTGTAGGTTGGAAAGGGACTCTTGTGGTCTGATGGAGACTCCCACAAGCGTCAGCGCAGGATCCTCAACCCCGCGTTCAGCAATGTTACCATCCGGAAGCTGACCCCGATCTTCTTCGATGTCGGGTACAAGGTTGATTTCTTCGTCTCTACAGTCGAGTGACGCGCCGACTCTGAGTCTTGATATAGGTCAAGACCGCCTGGGACGAGTTCATAGAAGCGGGTACGACAGACGAGAGCGTGATCGACGTTCAGACTTGGTACTTCCTCCCGAATACAGCTTCACCCTAATTGCTCACACTGCTGTATTGATAGGATGAATCATGTCTCGTAAGCGCCATAGCTGTCACTTTTTACTCTATGAGTTGACCGAATGCGTATAGGCTCGACAGCATTGGCCTCGCTGGCTTCGCTCACGACTTTGGCACGTTACGGGGTGAGAAGCCGACCGTCGCGGCGGTATTCGATGCCTTTGGCCATGGCAAGGTCTCCCCTCTGCAAGGGATTATATTCGCCCTCGCCCCCGTAGTGCCCTAGCTAATGAAGCTCCCGACGCATCGCAGGCGCACAGTACGCAGGCTCAACCGGAGTATGGGGGAGATTGCAGATGTCATGCTCGAGCGCTCGCGCAAGGCAGGGGAGAACGATCTGGAGAGGTCAGTCATGGGGCTCTTGTGTACGTCGCTTTTTCTCTCTTGTGGGAGGCAACAGAGCTCAGCGATACTACCCACAGTAAAAGCGGAGGGGAATGAAGAAATCATCACTCAGGACGAGATCATGGCGCAGGTGAGTCATTTTCATCGTGCACGGCAACGCACGTGGCATGTTGAAGCATCACGACCTGTAGATGAAGGTCATGATGCTGGCAGGATACGAGACAACCTCCAGTGAGTCTGGTTCCTTTCGCTCCACCTCTCGATTGGCTTCTGACCATTTCTCCTCGTTAGCCACTCTGACCGTACGTCATTCTGTTTGATTATCCCGCATTGCGGAACCTAGCACTAACCGGGTACAATGCTGAATGGTACAGTGGGCACTGGTCGAACTGTCGAAGAGTTAGACATGCAGACCAGGCTTCGCGACGAGCTGGCAAAACTCGGCGCTGTCGATCCCACCTGGGATCAGTTGACAGACAGCCTGCCATACCTCGATGCCATCGTACACGAGACGCTACGGGTTCACCCTCCGGCGGTGGAGATCAACCGCGTTGTACGATTCATCTCACAGGTTGCTCGTCCATTCGCCTCCTGACTGACCGCCCTTGCAACAGGCCATGGAAGACGACGTGGTCCCCCTGAGCACGCCAACGCGCGCAGCAGCAGGCGGCGCGACGACAGATCGCATCGCGATCGCGCGCGGAACGATCATCACGGTGCCGATCCGCTCCATTCACCTCTCAGAAGATATCTGGGGACCGGACGCCAAGACGTTCAGGCCCGAGCGGTGGCTCAGCGGCGACGAGCCTGCCGCGGCGCGCGCGCGAGAGCTGTCGGGGCACCGCCATCTGCTCACGTTCTTTGATGGCCCTAGAATCTGCATCGGGAAGAGCTTCGCGCTCGCTGAGATCAAGGTACGTATAAGAGTATAAAGCCCGGGCGTGCGCTGAACGGGTTCTCTCCCGTGTTTTATCTCGCGTCTCGGGTATCAGGCGGTACTGTCTGTGCTGGTGCGCAACTTCGCATTCGAGCTCCGTGACGGGCTCGCGACGAAGATCAAAACGAAGGTGGCAATCATGTCGCGCCCGGCAATCGAAGGGGAGGAGGGGATCGAGTTGCCGCTGCGTGTCAGGAGGCTAGTGTGAGCGCTGAGGAGGAGGATTGGACACTGATCCCATATGATCTGCAACGCGCACGCTCTTTTGTTTCCTCCTATACATTGGGTGTTGTTCGCACTCGCTGCCTTGAATAAATTCACTCCCTACTCACCCACTCTACAACGACTTTCAAACCTCTCTGGTACCACGAAAAATCGGTCAAGGCTTGACACCGAAATTCTCTCGATGCTGAGAATGGACAGGCGTCAGTGGGCGAGGCACGACAAGAACCGGCTTTAAGCTCAAGATCGGCGGTCGAAATCCATCAATATCGCGAATAGAGCACTAGATGGTACCGTGCATTAGCAACATAGTAGTGTAGCCTCAGCTGGCTGTATGCGTAGGTATGGGCAGAATCCTTGCTTCATTCTGGAATAAATTTGAAACTTGTATTTGATCAAACGGATGAATTGGGACTAGAGTAAATCGGCATACAGAGACAGACAGTGACTTAGTAATTGAAATCCGCTACTAACATGGCATGCGGCTACTACGCTTCAGAGGTGAAGATATTATCGGCCCTCTGATAGTTGTGGAATGGAAGCCGCGCGTTCAGGTTGCGCAACTGGCTGGTCGGCATCGAGCTCTCACTGTGATTGACGATCGCGATCTCGAACCCGTCGCTCTCCTTCATCTTCTGCTCAAACGCGTGCCCAATGTCAACCGCGGGCTGGTACGATCGTAGCTGCACTTTGACGGACTTTTGGACGTCCAGGAGGTGCACAAGCTGCCGTTTACCGGGCACGGCAGCGACCGCATCGAGGATGGCGGCGTATGTAGCGTCCAAGTCAGCTATGGGCATAGAGGGGTCGAGCTCAGGGCCGTCCACGACAGTCTTGGGTTTCGCGGCAGAGCGCGCAGCGGCGAGCTTGCTCTCCATCCTGTCTGCGAACGCAAGGAGCTCGTTGGCTAGCTTCGTGGTCCGCACGAGCTTCCCGTCCTCCAGAAGAACGTTCAGCATAGTCCTTAGCTTCTGAACTCGCGCCTCCTGCTGAGCCAGTGGGGGCGGAGGACGGCCGAGTCCTGTGATGTTGCGAGACAGGTCGTCCATTCGAGGCATAATGTTGCTGTTCCCATTGCCCGTGCGCATCGTGAGATACCGTTGAGTGATGATGTCAAGCGGTGTCTGTCCGACACCATTCTCTATGTAGAGCCCCTCAGGAGGGATGTGTAGGAGGATGACTTTTGTCAGTGAAGCGTCATATTGGTTAGCCGCCACATGCAAGGGCGTCGAGCCTTTTTCGTCCTTGACGAGCAGAGTTGAAGGCCGCATGCCCCATTCGAGCATTGCGCGCAGGCTTACGAACCACCCCTTCTTGGTGGCCACCATCGCAGGCTGTCGACGACGACGTCAGCGACGCACCACCAGAGATATGACTGGACTAACTGTGTCTTCGGAATCCTTGGATTGCTGAGCCAATAGCTCGTGCGTCTGCTCCGCAGGTAGTGTCTTCATGATATGGTCGAGGAACTTGCGACGATTGTGAGACGTGGAGGCACAAGCGACATGGTAGATATTGCATCTGAAGCATGATAAGCAGTCTCTCGCAGATCTCAAGTGATAGTGTATCAACGCACCCTCTATTATCGCGCTCTGTGGGATCGCAACCCTTTTCAAGGAAGAAATCGAAGATGGCCGTATCGCAGGACACATGCGCCGCGAGGAGCAGGGCGTTAAAGCCAACGAACTTGATCCTGATTGGCGAATGTGCGTCAGACAAGTGAAGGCGCCAGCGTGAGAAGAGACTGACCGAGCATTCATGGCCTCCATCATCAGGTCCGGCTCAAGATCGAACAGCCTTTTGATGAACTCGAGCTTGTTGGTGATGATCGCCGCCGTCAGACAAGATTCGTTCAACGGGTTCAGCTGCCACCCAAGCCACTTGGGGAGAACACCCGCTAGATCCTGCTCACGGCGGAGATAGAGAGCGCGTTCGCTGCTGTTTGATGCCGCGTAGAACCTGTAGGCGGCCAGGGCGCGTGGACCAGACAGGTAGTCCAACACGTTGAGCGCACCGGCCTTGGCGGCCTCAATTAACAGCTCGGGCGAGCGCGAGGCATTCTTCTGAGGCATGCCCCGAGTGACGAGGTCCCGCCTCTTCTTACCGCCAACGTTCAGACCGAGGTAGATCGTTTCCTCGGTGTCCTTCGCAGCAGGCGCGGCCGGGTCCGCCTTGAGCTGAGCGTCGAGGACGGCAGTGATGCCGCACCCGGTGCGGCGGATCATCTCGTCGAGCATCTCAGGTCGGTCGTTCGACATGATCGTGGGCACGAGGTCATCAGCCAACAGATCGTGTCCTACCAAATTGTAAAGGTTGCACATCTGCACGAACCCTTCCATGTCGTCCTGGATGATCGTCTTCTCTATAGGGGACCCGAACTCGAGCTTCTTTCCGTTTTTGGAGATCCAGTTGTTGGCCTGCTGGAGCATCCGCGTCGGGGCGACCTGGCAATGGACCGCAGAGGGGCGTTCCGCAATGTCCGTAAAGTTGATCTCCGGGTCCGCGGCGTCGTCGTCCATTTCCACGTCCGAGTCGCCATCAGAGTCCGAACCGTCGACTACCATTCAAGAGGTCAGCCATCGTACCGCGGGAGACATCGACGCGGCGGCAACTGACCAGGCCAAAGGCAGTTGGGATCGCTCAGCGAGAGATCAGGTTTGTCGGGCTGGTACTGCGCACTCGCGATGGCGAGCACCAGCCGCGCGGTGTCCCAATGACGCCTGTACAGCGCCACATGCAACGGTGTGTGGTCTGAAAGCAACAACTCAGCTCAAGAGGCCGGTCACAGAGACAGCGTAACGAGCTCGTACCTAGACTGGGCGGGATTGACGCATGGACCGAGATATGAATGGGGGGCTCAGACCCGCCGGGCACGCGCCTCGGCAAACACAGCTCCTCGATGCGCGCGTTGTCCCCGGTCCAGCACGCCTCGAACAGCTCGTCGTATTGCGCCTTGAGGTGCAGCGGCACTGGCTCGGTGGTGAACTGGGTATGGCGATCATAGCCCGACCGCTGCTGATTCATCTGCGCGCGCAGGAGACCGCCCGACGCATCCCCGACGGCAGCCTGCTTGGAGCCCGAAGCGTCGTCGGGGGGCAGGGTCGCGCCATGCTTGATAAGGGTCGTCTTGACGTCTTCGAGGTACGCCTTGGCGGCGCCGACAAGGCCCGGGTCGTCCATCCCTTGATTCTGTTGCGCGTGCACGCCAGGCTTGGCCAAGAACAGCTGCATCTTCGTGACGTACGCGCGGTATGCGCTCCACGTGTCCTCCGCAGGGGCCTCCGGGGCGACGCTGGCTCCTTGGGACTTCTTGTCGTCCTCTATCTTGGCCAGCGCGGCGTCGTAGTACGCCAGGGCCCTGGTGGTCCACGCGAGGAGGTCGAGCCGCTCGGGATGGTTTTGCGACAGCAAGGCGGACAAGCCCGTGACGATGTTGACGTCCGCGCCGAGGGCGGCGAGGAGGTGGACAACCTCGTCGCGCGCGGCCGTCGCGACCTCCAGCGGGAAGCGGACCTTGGATTCGAAGCTCCTCGGAAAAATCCTCCACCGAGTGTTCGACCTGTGACCGGGAAGCAACGATAAGTTAGCCGCGCGGTCAGCGACGGTGAGGAAGGCGGGACAACTCGCCACTTCTCCTCCGCCCGCTCGACGTCCTCGGGCGTGATCGTCAGCGTGCTCCCGTACGCCAGCAGCACGGCGAGCATCGCGTAGTCGCCCTTGGCGACCGCCGACACGAACGGATACACGAGCACGTTCGTGGCCCACGCGGGGAAGCCGACGACCGCCTTTGCGTTCGCGTCGTGGCGCAGCACGGAGGCGGCGACGTGCGTGGTGCCCGCGAGCACGATCCTGTGGAACAGCGTGAGCAGGTTCTCGTCTGCGACCGACGAGGAGGCACCCGCGGCCAGCAGCCGTGCGGCGATCTGCGCGCCGCGCGCCTCGTCGCGCGCGAGCGTCGTGAGCATGAGCGGGTGCAGCGCGGGCCGCGCGTGGGTCGCTTTGGTGGGCAGCTTCGGGTCCGCGCCTGCGGCGAGGAGGACGTCGACAACGGCGGGCGCGCCGGCGATAATCGCGTACGCGAGCGGGGTGAGCCCAAAGTCCCAGTCGGGCGCGGAGAGGTCGAGGATGTCGGGCTCGTCGGCGCTGTCCTCGAGGGCGTCGGCATCCGCGTCCGCAGCGGGTGCGTCGTCCTCGGTCTTGCGGGCCTTGGTGCGCTTGCGCTTCTTGCGGCCCCCATCGTCGTCGTCGTCTTCCTCGCCATCCTCGTCCTCCGCCTCTTCCGACGACCAGTCGTCCTCGTCGCTCGGCCTCTCGGGATCCGCATCCGCCACCTTCCCCTCCTCCTCCACCTCTTCCGCCGCCTTCCTCGCCGCCTTCTCCGCCTCGTCCTTCTCCTCATTCAACGCGCTGCGCTCCAGCATCTTCCGCACCACGCCCGCCATCCCCCGCTGCGCCGCCAAATGCAGCGCCGAGCACCCCCCCACCAAGCGCGCAGACATGCGCGCGCCCGCGTCGACCAGGTCACACGCCACGTCCGCCGCGTCCGCGAAGATCGCGACGTGCAGCGCCGTACGCCCAACGTGGTCGCGGCGGTTCACGTCCTCGTGCGCGCCCGCGGCGAGGAGCGCGTGGACGGCGGGGCGGTCGCGCGCGGCGATGGCGGAGAAGAGGCGCGCGGTGGGGAGGATGTAGGCTTGTTCGCTCCATTCGCCGGCGTCGATCGGGTTGAAGCTGCCCGAGAGGGTCTGCCGGCCTGGGTCCTCGGCGATGAACCTGGCGAGGGCGGGGTCAGGGGCGGGGGCGGGGGCGGGGGCGGAGGAGTGCGGACGGGGGACTCACGCGACGCGTCCGCGGATGTACGATTTGTCTTCCTCGTCGCGCAGCTCGCGCTCCTTCTCGCCGCGCGGCTCCGGACAGTGCTATCAGCGCCTCGCGTCAGGGATCTGTACAACGCGGAGTCGAGGCCGGCGCGCTCACCCCGCAGCAGTCGTCGAGGCATTCTTCCATGGTGCCGAAGTACGCGGGATGGCGGTGCAGCCTGCGGCCCTCGTTCTTCGGGTTGAACGGCGCTGGCGAAGGACGCTGTCAGTCGTCGCATGCATGCGCACGTGGAGAGCAGAACGTACAGTTGATCCCGAGGTCCTATCCCCGCACAAAATTAAATCTAGAATCAGCACACGCAGACGCACACCCGCGCCCGAAGCGAGCGAGCGGGAGAACTCACGGTCTTGAACACGAGCTTCTCGATCCGCCGCGCGTCCCACCCAGGCCCATACGGCACGTGCAGCGACACCGTGTCGTAGTCGTTCATCTCCAGCCCGCCGCTTCCCACGACGTTCGCCTTGAGGTCGCCCTTGTACTGGCGCGCGCGGCGCGAGGGGCGGTACATGCTCGCGGCGGGGCGCGCGCGGAGGGCGCCGCGCTCGGCGACGTACTGCGCGCGCGCGTCGGGGCTCGCGAGCTTCTCGAGGACGAGGAGGCGCGCGAGGCCCTGGACGCGCGTGATCGCGCGCTCGAAGATCTGCGGCCGGCGCGCGTGAGCTGGGAACGGGAACGGGAGCGCACGAGGCGAGGGCGCGCACGCACCGTCGGGTCGACGTCCGCGCGCCGGAGGGCGGGGACGCGCACCTCGAAGTCGCGCGCTGCGTATTTCGCGAGGCGGGCCTCGTACGAGGGCGAGCGGCGCGCGACGTCGACGGTGTTGCACTGCCGCATCATGGCCACGAGCGCGCGCGGGCTCGCCCAGACGCGGGCGCCGTCGTATGCGCAGCAGGGCGCGTCGACGTCGAAGCCGGCGAGGATCTCGGCGGGGGAGCGGTATAGACGGAGGACGATCTGGATGCAGCGGTAGGGGTATTGGGCTGGGTGGGTCAAGGGTCAGGAGTTAAGGGGAGAATGGAGGGGAGAGGGGCGTACAGTGGATGGAGACGGTGTGTTTGGTGCGGACGCAGGTGACGTCCCAGGGCACAGAGTCGCGCACCGCATCGTAGATAGCGACGATCTTGCGCTCCGCCTGTGGAGATGTCGCGTGAGATGAGGACAATAACAGCCGACCACGCGTAGCTTACCTGCTCGGGAGTCAGCCCCCACAAAAACAAGTCGACGTCTGAAGAAGGGTAAGCGGCCTCGTGGAAATACTTCCTCATCGTCCGCTTGGTCGCCTTGGCCGCGTCGGGGAGGGGCGACAAGCACGCGAGGACGGAGCCCCCGGCGGCGACGACGTTGTTCCAGTCTGTGAGCTGGGAGAGCGACCCCTCCGTGAAGAGGCGCCAGCTCTTCTTGAACGCGTCGAGGTCGGGGACGGTGGCCGGCGCGCCCTCCTTGCGCCTGCGCGCGTCGGAGAGCGGGAGGACGTAGTTCGCGGCGAGGGCGGCGTCATCGGGGACGACGCGGGCGCGGGTGGTGCGCGCGGCGGCGGGGGCGGCGAAGACGTCTACGAGGCCGACGTGGATGTCGGCGAGGCGCGGATGGGCCTTGTCGGTTGCGAAGAGCTTGCGCAGTGCGGACTCGTCGTCGAGCGAGGGCTGGAGGACGGCATCGAGGGAGACGCCGGGCCCGCTGGGGAGGCTGGCGACGCGCGCGAGGAACGCCTGGGCTTCTGCGTTCTGGGACATCTGGTGCTGGTAGGGGGTTCGAGGTGGGTTAGTTGGCTCGTGTGAGTGGGGGCTGTGGGAACCTGGTGATGTGAGCGAGGAGGGCGGGCTCGTATTTATACTGTCCCTCGCTTGCACGAGTCCCGTGGTTTGTCTTATGAAGAATTCGCGCACGCAGGGAGAGATGAACGCGAGTCAGGCCGACCTTTCACGGCGCGCATTTCTGGGCACCGCCGGAGCCGTGGCAGATGGGATATCCACCGAGCGGCGTCGCACGCGGTGGGACGGGCGACGCGAGCGTGAGAACAGTCCCGCGTCGAGTCACCGTCGTCGCCGCATTGGGAAGCAGGCGCGCACGCGGTGGGAAAGGCCCGCCCCCGACGCGCGTCGGCTGCCAGCGAACGGCCCTGGGCGCATACAGCCGCATCGAGAGCGCGTCGTGCGTCCCTGCACGAGTCACCGCGACTCACGACGCGTGCACGGGCATCACCGGTGCATCACCACGTTGCGTCGTTTCCATGTCCGCGACATGCCCTCCTTGCGTCGCCCGAGTCGCCTCGAGCGCCCTCGACGAGCCCCTTGGGTTGTGAGCCGGACATTGCTTTGTCCCGTATGCGCTCGGCTGTCCGTGCACTTAGAAGAAGCACCAGGGAGGAGATATGACTCGGGGTCCTTTATAAAACCCCTCCCTGGCGCGTTGCGCAATGAGAGGAGCGCGGCGCGCGGAGATGTGCAGACTCAGCGAGGCTACTGTAGGAAGGGCCCCGCATACTATATGGATCACGTCGAAGCAGTCCGGACCCCCCACTCGCACAGGTCTCACGGCGGTTCAATGATGCGTCGTTTCTGTAGGCTGACCAGCTGGATGGCAGAACACGCGGGCGGCGTTCTCAATGCGAGGATGCAGGTCCAGCGTGACTCCAGGGTGCCTACTGCCGCTGCGGGGAGCCCGCGAGGGAGACGATGAGTGCCCGTGGGAGTGGCCCTCTCTCAGATGCAGGAGTACAGATAGTCAACCAAGTACGTTACGACACACTCACAGCCCCCACTCTCCTTGGATGGCTTCACACGGGATGCACTCGTTCTCTGCTCGGTCGGTATAATCTCATGATGTACGACGTCTGCGCGACTGAGAAGAAGTCCGCTATGAATCGTGCAGTGCCAGCATGCTTCCCCAATCCATGGATGCGAGGTGGGCGACTACGCACACCGGCGCTCAGCTCATGGCTGGCCAATCGAACGCCCCAGGATGCCAGAGTCGTGCGTGAGAATGCAGGATAGCCCATGCGGTGCACGAGCCATCCCGAGCCCACAACCACGCGCAGCGTGCCGAGCGCCGGTCCTGTCCGCCGATTCAATCCCACCACAAAGGTGGCCGCGATAGGCCGCGAGGTCTTTGCGCGACCTGCGACGCTCGTCCAACGAATCCGTGAACCGCACGTACCTAGAAGGCGCCATCTCAGCGAGGCAAGTGCCAAGCGTGTTGTTCTACAGGCCACGCCGAGAGATGCGTGCGCTGGCTCGTTTGGCGCCAGACAGGCCCAGTTGGAAGACTGACGGCTAGTGCGGAGACGCCGTTCGGGAGTAGCAGCTAGAAGGAGCATCTGGGGATGTGCAACGTTCGACACTGTGTCCTCGTACGAGCCCCAAATCGTCTCGTTTCACTCTGGCGATAGCATGCATCGCATCTCGTTGCGATACTGCGTCCTGGCGGCCTCTACGTGGTACCATCTGGCTTTGACCGCGAAATCACGACTCGATGTCTCGCCCGCCCTGGCCCGCCCTCGCAAAGCCTATCAATCGGTGCTTCTCTAGGCGTCACCGGCTCACGACTTTGACCACGGTGGTCGCAGCGGCTGCGCCGAATCGATCCAAGTATTTAAAGAACTTCCTCCAGCTTGTGCACGGAGATCACCGGGCCGATCGAATCGGAGCGATAGCGCAGTTCCGTTCCGACGTCTCAAAGGTTAGCTAACAGCTTGACGTATCGAGGAGGTCGGGGAAGGGAGCTGCCGGGTCGTGAGCATTGGCAGGCTCGCCCTCTGACATGGACGTGTGCGCGAGAGTGGAGGTGAATAGGCAGCGGGCGTCAGCTTCGCAAGATAGGTAGGTGCTCCAGGCGCTGGGCTTGCTTTCGACGGTTCGAAAATCGCGAGGTGGGCCTCCGAAGCTCGCGTCGCGAGCCGGAGAAACGGTATTGACGTTCCCTGGGTTGGAAGAGCTTTCAGGAATGCCTTGACGGTCTCTGGGCCGTCGGGATTGTATGGCGAGGTGACCGCATTAGAGTAAGCACAGGTAAATTTGGAACAGAAGGCTAATGTCAGACACCATTTCCTCGTCCGACCACGGCTCTGCTGAGTCAACGACGTAGGAAAGGTGCGATGCGGATAAAAGTAGGGTGGGCTGTATCCGTGACGGGAAGAGGCAGGGACTAAGGAAGGACAAAAGCAAGAACGACAACGAGCGGCGCCGATCCCGATCGTGAGGGGCTTCTTCTAATACAGTGCGTGCGTCTTCTTTTCTTCCACTTCTCCTCGCGCTTAGAAGCACTCTGTGAAGCGGGGGATCAACATGACGTCCACGTAGACACGGAAAGGCGAGAGACTACGCACTGCGGTGGACAATGCCAGGGCCCGACTCGTCGTACTCCTGCTTCGAGCACCACAGATTCTGGAATGTGCTCAAAGACGCAAGGATAGATCCACCGATCCAGACCGAGTACTTCCGCTCGGGAGGCGCGACAATCTTGACCTTCATGCTCGATGGCGACAAAGACGTCAGCTCCTTCTGCATACGGTCCGCAATTCCGGGGAACATCGTCGTTCCACCAGAGAGCACGACGTTGCCGTACAGGTCACGACGGATATCGAGATCGCACTTGAAGATCGAGTTGTACCTGGAAGAGATGGACGATCAGCCCCCAGCTGACACACGACCATGCATGTAGATCCCTCGACTCACGTCGTCTCGTGGATACCGGCGGCTTCAAGTCCGAGGAAGGCGGGCTGGAAGAGCGCTTCGGGCGCACGGAATCTTCGCCCACACACATCAGAGTGACTCGCGCCTCGATATCACAAAACCACCCACCGCTCGTTGCCAATCGTGATGACCTGACCGTCGGGAAGCTCATAGGACTTCTCGAGAGCGGACGACTGGGCGGCAGTCTGGAGCTCCTGCTCAAAGTCCAGCGCGACGTAGCACAGCTTCTCCTTGATGTCACGGACAATTTCGCGCTCGGCCGTGGTCGTGAACGGGTAGCCGCGCTCAGTCAAGTTCTTGATCAGCAAGTCGGTCAGGTCACGACCAGCGAGATCGAGACGGAGGATGGCATGGGGGAGCGAGAACCCTTCATATATGGGGACAGTGTGCGACACACCATCACCCGAGTCGAGGACGATACCGGTGGTGCGACCCGACGCGTAGAGCGAGAGCACAGCCTGGATGGAGACGTAGAACGCGGGCGCGTTGAACGTCTCGAACATGATCTGCGTCATCTTCTCACGGTTGGCCTTCGGGTTCAGCGGGGCCTCGGTGAGCAGCACGGGGTGCTCCTCGGGCGCGACACGGAGCTCGTTGTAGAAGGTGTGATGCCAGATCTTCTCCATGTCGTCCCAGTTGGTCACGATACCGTGCTCAATAGGGTACTTGAGGGTCAAGATACCACGCTTCGACTGGGCCTCGTCACTTAACAGAGGGATGCGATGAGATAGATGGATTGCAAAGCAACCCCTAAACAACTCGGACATACCCGACATAGGAGTCTTTCTGGCCCATGCCGACCATGACACCCTGGTGACGGGGACGGCCGACTATTGAGCTGCGATGGGTGATCAGCGCTGGCGCACGCGTGGGAGAGCGGGATGACTTACGGGAACACAGCACGGGGGGCATCGTCACCTACGCGGATGTGAATTGTCTAACTTACTGTGCGAGCAGCACACAATCTTACCAGCAACTGCAAACGATTCGAATGAGCATCGAGAGATGAACAGAGTGAAACGAGTGCTTACAGCCAGCCTTGCACATGCCGGAGCCGTTGTCAATGACCTGCGGACGATGAGCCGATCTTGTGAGCTGGACGGCGCGGATGAGAGAACGGAGAGCACACGCACGAGCGCAGCGACCTCATCCTCCATGTTGGCAGATTAATATGTAAAGTGGGAAGGGTAGATGTAAGTGGGGGGCTGATGTTGTCGGAGAGTGACACGCGGGGCAGGTATATATCGATTTGGCAGGCCGAGGCGGTGCACGGGCGCGTGGAGCACCGCAGTCGCGGAATTGATGTTAGAGGATAGATGGGAGTGGCCTGTCAGCGACTGCGGATGCCGAGCTGAACAGCGAGGAACGTACGTTGGGAACGACGGCGACGGCGAGAACGAGTAGAAAGGCAGGACAAAGGGTATTGAGCTCACAATCGCTGCTTCTGTGTGCCCTAGAGCAGGCTCCCACATCCCGGTGACTGCCTCCCCTCGCAAAAACATACCAACTTCATACATTGATACGTCCAAGTCAAACCCATCATGGTTGGCGCTGGGCTGGCGGCTATGCCATAAGCACAGGATCTTGGCATGTTTTACGTGGCTCCTCATGTATTCTTCTCGGTATGTCATTTACCCCGAGACACAAAGGCGCTCCGACCGCGGTAATACACAAGCCCGCCATGAAGCAGACGTGCAAAGCTTAGCATCCTCGAGCTGGGTCTCATATGTAAAACACTACGTACCGTGGGCTCATTATGAATCAATTCTCAAGCACTGTCACTGACATCTCGAACATTGCTAACTCTGCCTTGGCTAGTCGCATCCCGCAAGGAGCTTGCGGGACTCAGGATCAGTTTCGAGCTCCCAATGACCAGCATCATTCAGCCACAATATAATTAGCAAGCGCGTGACGAGTAGTCAACATCTGACGTCGAGGTGCCAAATGCATCCCCGGCGATACGCACAAACTGAGGTGTGCCGTTGACGCCTCCGATGTCTGTTTCCCCTCCGTCTCAATGGGGATGGCCGATGATGAGATCTTGACATTCCCCGAAAGGATTCTGTTGCGATGTAGAGGTATGTCTGAGCACCTATAAACGCATACCAATCAGACTTCAAGGTGATTAATTGATTCCTGGACTAATATGGTTGTCAGACTGTGGAAGAAGAAGGCGAGCTGCGTTCGCATGACCCACTGCAAAAGCCGTCAGAACAGATTCGCACCCACTGCAAAAGCCGTCAGAACAGATTCGCACCCAATACTAGTCCAATACTTCGACAAGGAAGTGCTTTGAATCTCCGCGGCGTTGCGAACTTTGCTTTCGACTAAATCGAATGGCTTCCAATCGCTCATTATCGTGAAGCATCGACAGTGCGACGATGCTAGTGACTTGTATCGCGGAAGCTGAACACTGTGTCCTCTGCATCTTAGACATAGACGGCATGTGCAGTTCAGGGCCGGGACGGGCACGACTCACCTGGTATTTGGAACGTTCAATTTTCAACGCTAGAGCACTGCGTAGGATCTATATTCACCGCGCGGGGCTGATCGTCGCACACGGATTCTGGAGACCCCCCACATTCTGCTCCAATAGTACGTACTTGCTGCACCTTGACTGGGAAACCATATTTATGACTCGATATCCAATCACCCATAGCCCTGCCAATTAGTGGCATGCCCTTGCAAAACCTCTTCGACGAAGCTTCTCTGGACATCACTGGTCCAGAACTTCAATTACGGTGTTCTGAGTGGCGGCTTTGAGTTGATCCAGGTATCCGGGATCGGTCCTGGATGGATCGATGTGAATTTCAAGGCGTTCTAAGGGAACTCCCAACGCTTCGCGTCGTTCAAGAGTTTCCACCAGCTTATCCACAGGGCCCACCCGGCCAGCTGCACCATTATAGCGCAGTGCCGATCCATCCCCGAGAGCGTTAGTCCAGAGTTCGATAAATCGAAGTCGGGGAAAGGGTATTGCCTGGTCGTGAGCATTGTCGGGCCCGCTCTCGGACACGGACGTGTGCGCAAGCGTAGAGGGGAAAAGGGAGCAAGCGTCATCTTCGTACATTATGTGCTCCAAGCGCTGGGCTGATTTCAGCGGTTCGAAAATCGCGAGGAAGTCCTTGGGAGCCCGCGTCCAAAACCCCAAAACCAGTAATGACAGTTCCTGGATGTGAAGAGCTTGTAGGATCGCGTGAAGGGTCTCTAGAGAGGCGACCACATTGGAGTAGCGGAGATAAATTTGAAACGAGTAGCCCAGGCCAGACACCTCTCTCTCATTCCGCCACATTTCTGTGAAATCGACGGCATTGGACATGGTCCACCCACAGATGTCGATGATAAATTCTGGGTCGTCGACAATGCCTATACGAAGGGTGCGCATAGGCAACGCCTCTCCCGTCTTGCCGCTATGTCTCTCGACGATCGGGAGAAGCACGCTGTCGAAAATATTGCTATCCAAATCAAGGCAGTCAAGACTGATTCTCGATGTTGCGGGAACTTCAATGCTTCTGAGAACGGGGGCACAGTCCGACCATTGACCGGTCAGCCCTAGAACCGATAGATGGGGTAGTTTGATGACAGGATATCTCATTCGACTGGACGCAGTTGCTTCCGGGAGGGACCGAGGAAAGTATTCCTCGATGGATAAAGATTCCAAACGACACATATTCGCCAGTAGATCGAAGAACTCTTCATGTGAGGGAAGATTAGGGGCCGTGTCCATGTTGGAACCCTGTGATGAAAGTGCAATGTCCAAATGGGTCAAATTGCGCAAAAGCGGAGAGGACCAAGGAATGATGCATCCACGGAAACACGCTGAGCGAAGGCGAGGGGCATTATGACCGAATAGATCATTAGGGAGGCGCACATATTCGTGTATTGATGAGATGCACACCTCTTCCAACAATGGTGCCGAGGCTGTGAATGTCTCCATGGGCGGAAGAAACACCTTACGGCTGGTCAAACGGAGTTCTGTTGTGCGACCTAGATGGGAATGCAGAATGCGTACAGCAATCTCACTGACTGCTTGAGTGAAAAACCTAGGAGGTGTGATGATCAATGGTGCTAGCTTTGCACGTTGGATCATCTCATCAGACCATCGAGAGCCAATCTCGAGGCTGACATTCGCCCAAAGTGTCGAATGGTCCAATGCAACTTGCCTCCAGTGACTGCAGACATGAGTTACCGTGATCCATCCCAAAGCTGAAGACGAGGGTGGGTCAATTGCCGCTGAAAAGGAGAATATGCGTGCCAATAGCTCGGGAGGAAGACGTGAGACAAATAGGAATCTGTTCCGTCGCATGCGAGAAGAGGCCAGTACCATTAGCAATGCGGAAATTTCCTCATCTGCATTCTTCATAAAATCTGTGTAACTAGTGCTGGGGCCAGAGGATGCGAGAAGAGTGTCCAGCGCGCTGAACCGTGCGTTTGCTGCCTGTTTCCAATGATTAAGAGCACTGGTAGGGTTCAATAATGATCAGCACGGGTTGAGCCTCTGGTGAAATTGTGAATCTCACTTTGGTATTAACATCTTGATATCCGAACTTTGTCAGAATATCTAGAGAGGGAGACAATTCGAGGGACAAAATCTAGTCATAGAAATTTGCTGAGGCTCATTTTGAGACGGTGATATGTAGATATTAGAAGAGTGCAAGACACCTAACTAGATGCTGCGGAACCCAGTACATACCTGGTAAGACGATGATTGTGCTCGGGAAGCTGCCTCGTGGAGAATATATGTCCTTCGCGCCCTCTCTGAGTATGATTCAACAGTCGCGGAGCCCGCTCGTATTTCTGAAACAAATCAAGCGTCGTACAATCCGACTCGTGCGACAAGTGTTCTGAACCGAATGGGGGTACAGGTATGAGCGGCGGTGACGACGTGGTGTGCGGGCAACAGTTGTTTTGACTTACGGACAAAGCTGGATACAAATGACACTTTCGCTCTCAACCTTGCAAACGTGACGTCCAAATCGGGCATTTTATGGACGAATCGGGAAACCACAGTTGGCAGCTACATCGATTTCGTCCGCCACCCGACGCCCTCCAGTTGCTCCCTCGTTCTTCAATACTGCTCATACACCGAGCAAGACGTTGTTTGTGTTCAACCATTCGAAAGTTTTCAGGCTCCGCTTATGTCGACTTTTTGGTCGCTGTGAATATCATGCTCCAAGCAGAACGAATGGATTCTCCATCAGACAGTACGGGCTTTTGGCATTGTTCATTTGCACGAGCAAACTTTACTGCAGCCTGAGCCAGTTGCCTTACACTCCAGTGTGTCCGCGGACGTGAGGAGCTCGCCGACGAGCGCTGTGACCTGCACAAGCAGCGCGTCTCGGAACAGCGTCAGTGTCGACGTGCTGCCGAACCCGCCGCCAACAGCGCGACGAGCCAAGTGCCGCCGGTTCGCGATCTCCAGGGAATTCTAGCCGCCTTTATCGATGCGGAGGACCGCGTGCATGGTGTGTTTTAGGAGCAGCAGCAGCGCCCGCGGCTGCATTTCCTTCCTGGACTGTGACGTGCACTGGAGGCATGCAGCGCCTCCCATCTTTCAGGGATAGAACTCCATCCCTGCGGCCTCAACGTGGTATCATCTGGCCTTGACTACGAAACCATATTTATGACTCGATATCCAATCACCCATAGCCCTGCCAATTAGTGGCACGCCCTTGCAAAACCTCTTCGACGATGCTTCTCTGGACATCACTGGTCCAGAACTTCAATCACGGTGTTCTGAGCAGCTGCTCTGATTTGATCCAGGTATTTGGGATCTATGTCTGAACTCATGTGAACTGCAAGGCGCTCTAAAGGAACTCCCAACGCTTCGCGTCGTTCGATAAACTCAACCAGCATATCCACGGAGACCATTGGCCGGCCAGCTACAGGCTCTTTATGGCGCAACACTGCATCATCCCCGAGAGAGTCAATCCACAGTTCGACAAATCGAACTCGGGAAAATGCCTGGTCATGAGCATTGACAGGCCCGCTCTCCCGCATGGACGGGTGCGCGAGCATGGAGCTCAAAATGGAGCAAGCGTCATCTTCGCAAGCTATGTGCTCCAAGTGCTGGGCTGATTCTACCAGTTCAGTGAGCGTACAATGATCCTCGGCCAGCCGCGTCCGAGACTCGACACACAGTTTTGACAGTTCCTGGATGTGAAGAGCTTGCAGGATCGCTTTGAGGGTTTCTCGGCCACGAAGAGGATATCAAGAGGCATCCAGGGTGGAGTACAGACAAATATGGAACGATAGGCCAATGTCAGCCACTTCTTCATCATTCCTCCATGGGCCTGTGAAATTACCAGCATCGGACGTGGTCCACCCCCAGATGTCGAGACTTGCGTCATCTGAGTCATCGTTGTTGGCACCTATAAGAAGGGTGCGCATAGGCAACGCGTCTCCCGTCTTCCCGCTGTCTCTCAAAGATCGAGAGAAGCACATTGTTGAAATGATCGCTGTGAAAAGCATGGCAGACAAGAATGATACTTGATGTTGCAGGAACTTCAATGAGTTCGAGAAAGGGGGCAAAATCCGACCATTGACCGACTAGCTCGAGATTTGATAGGCGAGGTAGTTTGATGACAGAATGTCTCATTTGACTGGCTGCAGTCGCCCCAGGGAGGTGCTGAGGGAAGTACTCATTGATAGATAAAGATTCCAGACGACACATATTTGCGAGTAGATCGAAGAATCCCCCATGCGAAGGAAGATAAGGGGTCATGTCCACGTAGGAATACAATGATGATGGCCGAAGTGCGATGTCCAAATGGGACAAATTGCGCAAACCCGGAGAGGGCGAAAGAATGATGCTTCCACGGAAACACGCTGAGCAAAGGCGAGGGGCGTGATGACCAAATAAATCAACAGGGAGTTGTACATATCCACCTATTGACCAGATCTCCGCCTCTTCCAACGATAGTGTCAAGGTTGTAAGTGCCTCCATGATGGGATCAAGTAGTGCTTTGTTGCTGAACAAACGGAGCTCTGCTACATGACATAAATGGGAACGAAGGATGTGTACAGCCATCTTACTGACTGCTCTGGTGCGGATGTCGTAAAGTTTGATGATCAACGGTGCTAGCTTTGTGCGTTGTATCATCTCATGAGACCATTAAGAGCCAAGATCAAAGCTGACATTTGCCCAAAGTGCCGAATGGTCCAAGGCAACCTTCCTCCAGTGACTGCAGACCTGTGTTACCCTTATCCATCCCAAGGTTTGAGACGAAGGTGTATCCATTGCCACTAGAAAGGAGAATATGCATGCCAACAGCTCGGGAGGAAGACATGAGACAAAAGGCAGTCTGTTCCGCCGCATGCGAGAGGAGGCCAGGACCATCAGCAAATCTCTTCATCTGCAATCTTCAAGAAATCTGTATCCGATCTGCCGGGGTCAGCGGATGAGAGAAGAGTGTCCAGTACACTAAACCGTGTGTTTGCCGCCTGTTTCCAGTAATCCAGAGCACTAGGAAAATTCAACAATGATTGTGGCATGAGTCGAGTCTCAATAGTCTCATCAAACGGTGAATTGCCTACCTCGATATCAACATCTTGCCTCCTTATCCTTGTCTAAATTTCCGGAAATACTGGCAGTGGCCGGTGATGTGGACTTGAAAAGGGAACGAATACAATTCAAATGAGTCAATTTAAGTCACAGAATTCTGCTTAGCCTTGTTCTGGGACAGTGTGATGAAGACAGCAGAAGGGCGCGAGACACAAGGGTAGACTACAAGTTTGAGCGGCGGCGCGCCACTCTGCGCCACTGCCAGGTCACATTCAGGCCAGTTATTTGAATAAAATGTGATGCAAACAACACTTTTGTGCCCAATCTTACAAATATTACAACCAAATCAGGCTCTTGAATAAGCAAACCGAAGTTGACAATTACATCGCTTCGTCCATCCAGTGCCAGTTGCTTCCCCGCTCATCAATCATCTTTATACAAAGGGCGATGCATTGCTTGTGTCCATTCATCTCAGGGCTCGCAGGCTTGCTTGTGTCTATCTTATGTCCAGTCACTGCAACGATGATGAGAACGAATGGATTCTCAATCGACCATTTCGGACTTACCTCGCTTGACATGTTGGATTGCAGTATCGAGCCTTGCTGCAGCCTGAGCCAGTGGCCCTACTCTCCAGCATGTCCATGGTCGCGGGGAGCTCGCCGACGAAGCCTTGTGCCCTGCACGTCTCGGTTCTCGGTCCGGTACCACAGGGCTTGACCAACGGCGCGATGGGTCAAGTGCCGCTGGGTCACGATCTCCATGCAAGTCCAGCCAACGCTGTTCTTGATTCGGAGGAGCAGCAGTAGTGCTCATGGCTGCATTTCCTTCCTGGACTGTCACGTGTACTGGAGACATGCAGGCCCTCCCGTCTTTCAAGGAGCCGGATGGACAAGGACGTCTATGGGGCCTGGGTGTGTGTGGTTCAGCGGGAATAAGACTTTTTGCTTGCACAGAGCTGGTGCAGGGCTGCCTCGCCTTGGGGCAATGGCTGGAGCTCAGTATCTCGCGAGACGGGGCCGCTGAGCAAGCTGTAGATGCGGGAGACGAAGACGTTAGCTTCTTCAAGGTGAGATATCCCCAGTCGCTGTCGTGAATCACTGACAGCGCGACGATGCTAATCGTGAATAGTCAGTCGGACGACTTTGATGCGGAAGCTGACCACAGCCTCTGCATCTTCAATTGGACCGACGCCATGTGCGACTCTTACGAGAATGACCCACCTGCAATTTTGAAATGTTCAACACTAAGGCACTCAGCGTAGAAATTATTTTGACCATACTTGTCTCAATTAGAACATGTCTCGTTTGATTTCGGGGGATATCTGATAACACTCTTTGCCATACATCTCGTTCCAATACTACATCCTTGCAGCCTTTGCGTGCAACCATCTGACCCCGACTACAATATTCACGACCCGATGTCTCATTCACCCATAATCTTGCCAGTCACCGGCACGCCCATCAGACGATGGTGGTCTGGACATGAATCGTCCAGAACTTCAATCACGTCGACCGGAGCAGCTGCACTGAGTTGATCCAGGTCTTCGGGATCTGCTCTGTATGCATGGATGTGAATTTCAAGGCGCTCTAAAGGAACTCCCAACGCCTCGCGTCGTTCGAGAGTTTCCACCAGCTGATCCGCAGAAACTACGCGGCCAATTGAAAGCCCCTGATGGCGCGTTGGCGGTACCGGTCCAACTTCTAAGAAGTCACCCCACAGTTTAACGAATCGAAGTTGGGGGAAGGTAACCACCTGGTCGTAAGCGCTGACAGGCTCGCTTTCTGATACGGACGTGTGTGCGAGCGTAGAGCTAAAAAGGGAGCAAGCATCATTTTCGCAAGCTACGGATTCCAAACGCTGGGCTGATTCTAGCAGTTTGAAAGTTACAAGCCAGCGCTCGAAGTCCCACGACCGAAGTCCGAACGACAGTATTGACAATTCCTGGATGTGAAGAGCTCGCAGGATTGTGTTAAGAGTCTCTGGACCGCCCAGGTTGGATCTATTAGGGTAGCATAGACTGACATGGAACGAGATGTCGTTGGCAGAAAGCGGTGTCTTGTGTGGAAACAGCGTCATAGGGCTTAGCACACCCCCAAATGAGAATGTCCGTAGTTATCTCATCGTTGACGTGTATACAGAGGATGCGCATAGACGACGCTTCTCCCGTCTTGCCGCTGTGTCTCTGAAAAATCGGGGGAAGCACGCTGCTGAAACTATCGTGGTCGAAATTCCAGCAGGAGAGATGGATAGTCGATGTTGCAGGAACTTCAATGCTCCCGAGAACTGGGGCACAATTCGACCATTGACCGACTAGCTTGAGATACAATAGATGAGGTAGCTTGATGACGGGATGTCTCATTCGACTGGATACAGTTGCCCCCGGGAGGTACCGAGGAAAAATTTGATCGATGGATAAAGATTCCAGTTGACGCATATTTGCCAGTAGATCGAAGAATTCTTCATGCGAGGGAAGGTGAGGGGTCGCGTCTGCATTGTAAAGCCACGGTAGTAGATTTGCGATCTCCAAACAGGACAGATTGCGCAAAAGTGGAGAGCTCCAAGGAACGCTACATCCTTTGAGAAGCGCTGAGCGAAGGCGTGGGGCATGATGAGTGAATAGATCAACAGGGAGGTACACATGTCGATCGAGTGAACAGATAGCTACCACCTCCAAGAATGGTGCTGATGCTGCAAGTGTCTTTAGAATGGGATCAAGAAGTGCATTGTCGGCGAACAAACAGACCTCTGCTGTGTGCGCCAAGTGGGAATGCAGAATGTCCATAGCAATCTTACTGTCTGCTCCAGTGAGAATTTCGTAAGGTCGGATGAGTAATGGTACTAGCTTTGCGCGTCGTATCATCTCATGAGACTACCGAGAGCCAATATCAAAGCTGACATTCGCCCAAAGTGCCGAATGGTCCAAAGCAGCCCACCTCCAGTGACTGCAGACATGAGTCACCCGAATCCATCCTAAGACTGGTGTCCAAGGCGTAGGTTCTTCCACTGTTGCTGAAAAGAAAAATATGCGTGCCAACAGCTCGGGATGAAGACGTGAGACAAGAGGCATTATCAGCTGTTCCTTCGCGTGCGAAGAGAGGGAAATACAATCAGTGATGCAGCAATCTCTTCGTCTGTGATCTTGAAGAAGTCCGTGACAGTACTGCTGGTGTCAGTGACAGAGATACTGGTGGTGGCTGGTGATGCGGAGTATTGGAAATGAGACAAAGACGATTCAAACGGAAAGAATTGGTCAAAGAACTCTGTGAAGGAAGCCTCGTTCTGGCACAGTGTTGTAGAGACAGTAGGAGAGCGCGAGACACCTGGAGAGGTTATGTCGTGTCAGCGATGGAAAGCGTCGCTGGGCGGGCTAGGGCTGGGCTAGTACGTACCTGGAGAGGGATGGTTGTGCTCGAGAAGCTGCGGCTGCCTCGTGAGATATATATACCCCTCGCCAGAGGTTCTGCAAACGATCGCCCTCTGTGAGTTGTGACTCAACAGTCACGGTACCCACTCATATCCTTGCACCAGATCATGCGTCGTGCACTGCAGTACATACTGTCCCAGGCGAGTGGTCCGACCAAGGTACAAGTTTGAGCGGCGGCGACAACGTAGTGTGCGGCGGCGCGCCAGTGTTCTAAGTAGAGTCAATTGGACTTACGGATCAACCCGATCAATTGACATTTTCGCGCTGAAGCTTACAAATATTACATTCAAATCGAGCTCTTCTGGGACGAATAGGGAAACCGAAGTTGACGATAGCCTCGATTTCGTCCGCCACTTGACGCAAGTTGCCTCTCTGCTCTTCAATACTACTAGCTTTTCACCCGTCGCGTTGCGACGGCGCAACCATGCTTAATCTGAGTTTTTGTTACAGTGCTTGGTCTGATGTGTCTGTAAAGTTTAGTGTTCACAAAGTCCAGTGTCTATAAAGTCTAGTGCCTGTAAAGTCTAGTGCCCGTGCTTAATCTGAGTTTTTGTTGTAATGCTTGGTCTCATGTGCCTATAGAGTGCACTGACTATAAAGTCTAGTGCTTATAAAGTCTAGTGCCCGTAAAGTCTAGTGCCCGTAAAGTCCAGTGCCCATAAAGTCCAGTGCCCGTAAAATACAGTGCCTATAAAGTGCAGTGCCCATAAAGTGCAGTGCCCATAAAGTCTAGTGTCCACAAAGTCCAGTGCCCACAAAGTCCAGTGCCTATAAAGTCTAGTGCCTGTAAAGTCCAGTGCCCATAAAGTCCAGTGCCCTAATATCCCTATATGGCTCTTTTATGATATCCTATAAGGTTCTTCCTATAAAATTCCCATATAAAGCTCTCTATAAGGTCCCATCCATTAGATTCCCCTATGAGATTCTGCCCTATGAGGCTCCCCCATCAGGGTCCCACCCATGAGGCTCTCCTATGAGGTTCTCTGTGAGGTGCTAGGATGCCATTTCAAGCTCCAATGGCTGCTGAGGCATAGCTCATTCTAGTTGCTAGGGTTGCTAAGAGCACCCAAGACATGGCTCACTCTGCTTACTAAAATTCCTGTGCCCCAATATCCCTATATGGCTCTTCTGTGACATCCTATAAGGTCCTTCCTGTAAGTTTCCCATATAAAGCTCTCTATAAGGTCCTATCCATTAGATTCCCCTATGAGATTCTGCCCTATGAGGCTCCCCCATCAGAGTCCCACCCATGAGGCTCCCCCGTGAGGTTCTCTGTAAGGTGCTAGGATGTCATTTCAAGCTTCAATGGCTGCTAAGGCATAGCCCACTCTAGTTGCTAGAGTTGCTAGGAGCACCAAGACATGGCTCACTCTGCTCACCCAATTTGTCATGGATGCTTGCTTTGCTCACATGGTTTCTTATGTGGCCTACATAAGTGTGAGCAAGGACATATGACTTGAGCTATTAGCCCAGTGCCACCATTTCTTATTGTCCCCTTTTATTTATTATTTATTTACATAAAAAAATACCTGAAAACAAAACCAAGAGCCCAGAGTGGTTGCCAAGCTAAGCACTTGCTGAATGCCCCCTTACCTGAAGAAATCACTGCAAGACAGTGCCAGGGGAAGAGAATTCTCTATGGTTAGGTTAGCCCCGGGCACGCGCGCGCTGACCAACTCCGTTTGAGACCCCGACACGCTCCGTTTCGCGTCCCGAAGCCTATGGGACAGTGGTCTCGCGTGGTTTGTCGCGTGGGATTAGCCGACGGCTAGTTGCCACCGGACCCCTACTGTCGCCCTCTATATAGAGACTAGCTTTTCACCCGTCGCGTTGCGACGGCGCAACCATGCTTAATCTGAGTTTTTGCTACAGTGCTTGGTCCGATGTGTTTGTAAAGTCTAGTGCCTGTAAAGTCTAGTGTTCACAAAGTCTAGTGCCTATAAAGTCTAGTGTCTGTAAAGTACAGTGCCTATAAAGTCCAGTGCCCATGCTTAATCTGAGTTTTTGTTGTAGTGCTTGGTCTCATGTGCCTGTAGAGTGCACTGACTATAAAGTCCAGTGCCCATAAAGTCCAGTGCCTGTAAAGTCCAGTGCCCATAAAGTCCAGTGCCCGTAAAGTCCAGTGCCCATAAAGTCCAGTGCCCCAATATCCCTATATGGCTCTTTCATGATATCCTATAAGGTCCTTCCTATAAGATTCCCATATAAAGCTCCCTATAAGGTCCCATCCATTAGATTCCCCTATGAGATTCTGCCCTATGAGGCTCCCCTATCAGGACCCACCTATGAGGCTCCCCCATGAGGTTCCCTGTGAGGTGCTAGAACACCATTTCAAGCTCCAATGGCTGCTGAGGCATAGCCCATTCCAGTTGCCAGGGTTGCTAGGAGCACCAAGACATGGCTCACTCTGCTTACTAAAATTCCTGTGCCCCAATATCCTTATATGGCTCTTCTATGACATTCTATAAAGTCCTTTCTGTAAAATTCCTATAAAGCTCCCTATAAGGTCCCATCCATTAGATTCCCCTATGAGATTCTGCCCTATGAGGCTCCCCCATCAGGGTCCCATCCATGAGGCTCCCTCATGAGGTTCTCTATAAGGTGCTAGGATGCCATTTCAAGCTCCAATGGCTGCAGAGGCATAGCCCACTCTAGTTGCTAGGGTTGCTAGGAGCACCAAGACATGGCTTACTCTGCTCACACAATTTGTCATGGATGCTTGCTTTGCTCACATGGTTTCTTATGTGGCCCATGCAAGCATAGCCATTGCTTAAGTGCCACAATTTTCCACTGTTGCCCTCTATTTATGGATTATTTATTTATTAAAAAAATACCTGCAAACAAAACCAAGAGCCCAGAGTGGTTGCCAAGCTAAGCACTTGCTGAATGCCCCCTTACCTGAAGAAATCACTGCAAGACAGTGCCAGGGAAAGAGAATTCCCTATGCTTAGGTTAGCCCCGGACATGCGCGCACTGACCAACTCCGTTTCAAGCTCCGACACGCTCCGTTTCGCATCCCGAAGCCTATGGGACAGTGGTCTCGCGTGGTTTGTCGCGTGGGATTAGCCGACGGCTAGTTGCCACCGGACCCCTACTGTCGCCCTCTATATAGAGAACTAGCTTTTCACCCGTCGCGTTGCGACGGCGCAACCATGCTTAATCTGAGTTCTTGTTACAGTGCTTGGTCTGATGTGCCTGTAAAGTCTAGTGCCCATAAAGTGCAGTGCCCGTAAAGTACAGTGCCCGTAAAGTACAGTGCCCGTAAAGTACAGTGCCCGTAAAGTGTAGTGCCTGTAAAGTGCAGTGCCCATAAAGTGCAGTGCCTGTAAAGTGCAATATCCATAAAGTGCAGTGTCCATAAAGTGCAGTGCCCGTAAAGTCTAGTGTCCACAAAGTCCAGTGCCCACAAAGTCCAGTGCCTATAAAGTCCAGTGCCTATAAAGTCCAGTGCCTGTAAAGTCTAGTGCCCATAAAGTCTTGTGCCCTAATATCCCTATATGGCCCTTTTATGATATCCTATAATGTCCTTCCTATAAGATTCCCATATAAAGCTTCTTATAAGGTCTCATCCATTAGATTCCCCTATGAGATTCTGCCCTATAAGGCTCCCCCGTGAGGTTCTCTGTGAGGTGCTGGGATGTTATTTCAAGCTCCAATGGCTGCTGAGGCATAGCCCACTCTAGTTGCTAGGATTGCTAGGAGCACCAAGACATGGCTCACTCTGCTTACTAAAAGTCCTGTGCCCCAATATCCCTATATGGCTCTTTTATGATATCCTATAATGTCCTTCCTATAAGATTCCCATATAAAGCTTTTTATAAGGTCCCATCCATTAGATTCCCCTATGAGATTCTGCCCTATGAGGCTCCCCCATCAAAGTCCCACCTATGAGGCTCCCCCGTGAGGTTTTCCATGAGGTGCTAGGATGCCATTTCAAGCTCCAATGGCTGTAGAGGCATAGCCCACTCTAGTTGCTAGGGTTTCTTATGTGGCCTACATAAGTGTAAGCAAGGACATATAACTTGAGCTAGTAGCCTAGTGCCACCATTTCTTATTGTCCCCTTTTATTTATTATTAATTTACATAAAAAAAATGCCTGCAAACAAAACCAAGAGCCCAGAGTGGTTGCCAAGCTAAGCACTTGCTGAACGCCCCCTTGCCTGAAGAAATCACTGCAAGACAGTGCCAGGGGAAGAGAATTCCCTATGGTTAGGTTAGCTCCGGGCACGCGCGCGCTGACCAACTCCGTTTCAAGCTCCGACACGCTCCGTTTCGCGTCCCGAAGCCTATGGGACAGTGGTCTCGCGTGGTTTCTTACGTGGCCCACGCGAGCATAAGCGAGGAGCACGCGAGCATAGCCGTCGCTTAAGCGCCACAATTTTGCAGTGTCGCCCTCTATTTACTAGCTTTTCACCCGTCGCGTTGCGACGGCGCAACCATGCTTAATCTGAGTTTTTGTTACAGTGCTTGGTCTCATGTGCCTGTAAAGTCTAGTCTCTGTAAAGTCTAGTGCTCGTAAAGTCCAGTGCCTGTAAAGCCCAGTGCCTGTAAATTTTAGTGCCTATAAAGTCCAGTGCCCATAAATTATTTTGCCCTAATATAGCTCTCTGATCATATTCTATAAGGTCCTGCCCATAATATTCTCTATATAAGACTCTCTTGTCAAGCATTATTTAGTTCCTCTATAAGGTCATACCTATAAGGCTTTTCCATAAAGTGCTGGGATACTATTTCAAGCTCCAACAGCTGCCAATATATGGCCCATATAAGGTTCTCTTATATAGGTTCTTTTATTATATTCCCCTGTTAGGTTTCTCCATTATGCTTACCTATTATGTTCCTCTATCAGGTTCCTCTATAAGATCTTGCCAGTAAGGCTCTCTTGTGAAGCTCCTCTATAAGGTGCTAGAATATCACTTTTAGTGCCCATAAAGTCTAGTTCCCATGATATTCTATAATGTCCTGCCTATAAGATTCCCCTATAAGGCCCCTCTATGAGATTTTGCAAGATGACATTCAAAAGTTTCCCCTATAAGGTTCCTCTGCCAGATCCTGCCTATATGGCTTCCCTATTAGGCTCCCTTTTCATATGCTATGAAAGGTTCTGCCCATAAGGCTCCCCTATGAGATTCTGCCCTATGAGGCTCCCCCGTGAGGTGCCAGAATGCCATTTTGAGCCCCGATGGCTGCCGAGGCATGGCCTGCTCCAGTTGTTGGCATTGCCGGGCAGACCGGGATGCCGTGTAAAACCCCGACAGCTGCCGAGACACGGCCCGCTCCAGTTGCCGAGGTTGCCGGGCGGCTGAAGAGACAGCTCGCTCCGCTCGCCAAATTTGTCATGGCGCTCGCTTCGCTCGCGTGGTTTCTTACGTGGCCCACGCGAGCATAAGCGACAACACGCGACATTAGCCGGCGGAGTTTTGCCACAATTCTTCACTGTCGCCCTCTATATAGGGACTAGCTTCTCACCCGTCGCGTTGCGACGGCGCAACCATGCTTAATCCGAGTTTTTGTTGCAGTGCTTAGTCTGAGGTTGTGTGGCAGTGCTAAATCTAAGTTTGTGTTATAGTGCTTAGTTTGTGGTTAGGTTTTAGTCAAGCAGCCAAGTTAGAGTAGCAGTTTTATTTCAAGCATACATATAAACAGTTAGAGTGGGGATTGAGAGTCAAAGTGTAAGAAGTTTCTATATAAGTTTTATACTACAGTCCTTGTTCAAGTCCTATTATAATTGTTAGCCATGTCACAATGATTATGATCCAAGACATACTATTGATTATCCAAAATGCCTTGCAATACCTCAGGGTACACTATATTGGTGGTTTTGGTCCCTTGTGAGTCTGGTGGGAATAACACCTTGATTCTATCTCCTGATGTGCAGCGTGACAGTGCAACATAAAGCTGGCCATGGGAAAATACAGGCCGCTCCAAATCCAATCCAACAAACTTGACAGACTGTCCTTGTGACTTGTTGATGGTCATAGCAAAGGCAACATGAACAGGGAATTGTCTGCGCTTCAAAGGAATAGGACAGGCTTCTCCAGATGGCTCCAGGGTTAACCTAGGAATAAACACAATTCTTCCAGCATGTGCTCCACCCAAGATGCGGCATTTTAAGACACGTGTCCTTGCCTCAAGTAAGATGAGTCGAGTGCCATTGCATAGGCCATGAGAGGGATCAATGTTGCGCAAAAGAATGAGAGGACAACCTCTTTTGACATGGAGGTGAGCAAGAGGAAGGCCAGAGATATTGATAGAGTTCAAAAACTCTATAGGATAACCCTCTATGTCCTTGACAGAGTCAATGCTGGTCAGGAGCTTGTCTTCTCCAGGAAACTTGGCCAGAATCTCCTTGTTGATCTCAGCAACAGTGTCATTGCGCCCAGAAAGAATCATACGGTCAAGGAAGAAGTGGTCTGGTTTGGGGTGCTGATCAGAGATGTCAGGATAGATAAAGTCAACCAAGGATTCCTTAGTGTTGTTATCAAGATGCATGTTGGGAGGAAGTTCAATAGACTTGTCTTCACCAAGGTTATAGCCAGAACCAACATTGAGGAGCCATTGAGCAAAGGCATTGCTTTCAGGAGTCTGGTCTAGACGCATGTTCTGTTTGAGAGTAAGAAGTTGGATGTGATTCCAGAGTGAGGACTTGCGCAAAGATGCAGCCACAATCTGCTCTCTGCTTCCTTTGGGAACCACAGGCAAGGTCTGACGAAAGTCTCCAACAAACAACACAGTAACACCACCAAAAGGAGCAGGGTTGCCCATAAGATCCTGAAGAGTGCGATCAACGGCTTCAATTCCATAGCGATGCTGCATTGGTGCCTCATCCCAAATGACCACCCCAGTCTGATGAATAAGACCATCAAAGTCAGAGTTTTTCTCCCAAGAGCAAGAGGAGCGCTCATTGAGACCCTCAATGGGGATTTTGAAGCGAGAGTGAGCAGTGCGACCACCATCCAGAAGCAAGGAGGCAATGCCAGAAGAAGCAACACAAAGAGCAGCCTTGCCTTGAGAGCGGACAGAGGCAGCAATGGTGTTGCAAACATAGGTCTTTCCACCACCTCCAGCACTGTGCAGAAAGAAGACTTGGCCTTGGTTGGACTGGACTGACTGCATGACAGCATCATAGGCATTCCTCTGCTCAGCATTGAAGGTCAATAGATTAGTCTCCACCTGAAATGCAAGGTCAGCTCAAGGTCAACTTTGAAGGATGCATGGTAACTGACCTGTTCCCAAAGAGCCACATAATCATGGTTAAGCTCATCCTGAAGAAGCACATTTGCAGCTTGGTTCCAATCTTGCAGAGGCAAAGGCATAGGAGGATAGTCAATAAGGCGCTTTCCCATTCCAGTAAGGACTTTGTCCAGCAAATAGAGGCCATAATCAAAGACATCCTCTTGAGTAGGATCAGGAAAGCCCATGGCAGTAAGACGCACATGCAGATCATCACAGATTTTGTCCTTGTAGCGATTCCAAAGAATAAGAGGTTGTGAAGGAATACAGAAGCGAAGGATGGTGGCAAAGAGGGATCTAAGTTGAGTTCCAGTCTGCATATCTGCTGCTTCAGCCAAGGCCATATCCCACTCTCCATCATCCTCCAAAAGGCCACGTGCAAAACAGGCATCACGATAGGTAGGATATTCAATGCCTTCATAAGTGCGAATGTCTTTCCAGTCTTTGGCACCTTTAACAATGGTGAGCAATGTTCTGAGGTAAAAGCGTTCGCCTGCAGAGGGATGGACAAATAACATTCTGCCAATAGTAGAACCCTGCTGACGTGGAGTCCATATTTTCTTTGACTGGTTCCAGACATAGTGAAGAGGAAAGTCCTGGTAGGTATGAGCATGAGCAGCAGGAAACTTTTGGTTGGCAATAAACCATTCAGTCAACTCGGTTTTCTGGGACCTGTCTCTGTTTAAGACTTCTTCAGGATTATCATCAGCATCAAAGTAGACCTGCTGTTCATTAGGGAGATGGACAGGAAGACGATAGACTGTGGGGGATTCCAGATGCCTTGGGAATTCAAAGATGTTCCAGCAAGCCTCTACAGGTCCAATATAGCGAGCATCCACATAGTCCTTAATCTCATCAATGTCTCCAATCTGAAGTGTAGCACGATCAGGACCTTTGTAGATATACTTGTGGATATATTTGACAGCCTTGATGGATGCACAGACCTCCACATTGATATGGCAGTTGTATTTGGCAAGGAGATAGGGATTATAAGGAACAACATCACGATTGTCAAACTGCATAGTATGCCGAGTGAAGGTGCGCCCATTGTTTGGCCTAGCATATGTAGGATAGCCATCCTCACCATAGAGGGTCTGCTCAGTAAAGTCCTTCCGATAGCGCTTGCTACAGAGCTTGACTTTTGTGCCCCCAATATCTTTTTCTTCCATGCAACGTGCTTGAGGAAACTCAGGGCCACAGCGTCCATGGAGCATGTATCTTGTGACAGACTCATAAAGCATAGGATGGGTAGCAGGATCTGGAAGCTGGGCAGAGACAATCCTATCCACATCTTCAGCACTTTGAATTTTGTCCTGTGCATCAAGGAAAAGAAGAAGATGCATATGAGGAAGACCACGCTTTTGAAACTCAATGGTATAAACCATCCCTGCCACCTTGCCAAACAGGCCCTCCTTGATATCCTTTATAAGAGCCTTCATCTTCAAGGCAAACACACGTGCAACCAAGTCTGGACGATCAGAAGGCTGCTGAGTTGAACCACCATCATATTTTAAGAGCTCTTCAGTAATCTCTGGCCAGTTAGGGTTTGCAGTCATGGTGATAAAGATGTCAGGCTTATGGCAGTGGCGAGTGATAGCCATAGAATCTTGGAAAAGCTGATACATATAACGTGGACTGCCTGCATGAGTAGAGGGAAGCACAATACGTTTTCCCCGCTGGCCTAGGTCTACCTCAGCTTCTGCATGGATAGCATCAAACAATGACTGGTACTTTTCAGCTCTGATCTCCTTCTGATGGTTCCTGATCCAGAAAAGGTTGCTAGACTCAATAGATGCCCAAGCATCAACCACATATTGCTGAAATAGCTTGCCAGCTCTAAAGATGGTTTCAGGATCAAGCAGACGGCGCATAAGACGATAGGCATAATAGCAGTGCTGAGACACCTTGGATGAGAGCATTTGGCCATTAGGTCCAGGATGAGCAGGAATATTGGGATAAAAGCCTTGTTCGCCATGTGGAAATAATGTCACATAATGCAAGGGACTATAGTGAGGGTGAAGATGGCTGAAATGCTTTAGACCTCCATGGTTATAGCGGACAACAATATCTCTATGCAAGTCTACTTCCTCATCTCCACTTCCAGGAATGATGGCAGCAACTTCATCTGCGGTAGGCTCATTATAGCGGCGATGATCAGTATTGGGCAAGACAGCAATACGGGCTGCAAGCTTGTCTCGTTCTCCAGGATTCTTGTCTGCCATGATTTGATAGGCATGGCGGTACAGGGGAACATAAGGATTGTGCTCATGAAACATATCCTGCAAGTTATTCATGATCTCAGACTTCAAGTTGGGATTGGCATTGTTGCGCTCATTGAGTGCAGCCTGAGGATCAATAACATAGAGCTGAGCATAGGAAGGTCTAAGATGGTTGGGTGGTAGCAGGGTACCCATTTGATGATAAAGTTCTCCATGGATTTTAAATGCATATGGCCCAGAAGTAGTGGTAACATGATCTGATAGCTTGGCAGCAATAGAAGTAAATGCAAATGCACTATTGTATTGCCTGATATTTAGCCTGAATGATTTGGCATTCTCAGTGTCTCCACAGAGAAGATTACGCAGTGTTTGAGGAGGGTCCAATAACACAGGCAGCCTAATTTGGCCTTGTAAATAGCACATGCCAAAGCGGATGTGATTGCGAGTAGAGGATGATAGCTTTTCAGAGGAAAAGTGAAGGGCTTTGCAATGGGAACATTCAACATCCATATGGCCAACACTATAGCGTGCGTCAGGCTCTTGATAAGGACGATGACCAAGAGGTAGCTGTTGCATTACTTGATTTTGAGCCAAAGCATGGTGGTTTTGCTGGATGGCTAGATTGGCATAATGCTCCTGCTCTTCTAGATGGACTTGTATTTGATTTTGAAGGTGCTGCTGCTGCTGTAGATCATCAAGATGTTGTTGCTGAACAAATGCCTGCTCATGGATTCCTTCCTCCTGTCTTTGCAATTCATGCTGCTGATGTCTTTGCTGAGGCTGCAAAAGCTGCTGACGGACCTCTTCAAGACGCTGCTCATGAAGGAATGCTCTATGCTGATCAAATGCCTGTTGCTCTTGCTGATATTGCAAAGCCTGTACATCTGACTGAGGTGGCAATGGAGGCTGTGGTCGATAAGAGGAAGAAGCTGGATTATGAGGGAGAACATCTGATTCAGGCCTTGTATTCTCTCTACGACGCCGTCTACACTCTGCATGGCTTTGTTCAAAGTTATTCATCATGCGGCGCTCATAGTCAGGATGGCTAGCTGCTGCAAGACGTGTGCGAGCCTGTCTATCATGATTCCCAATCAAGTGTCGTGGAAGATTAGGATAGGCAGAAACATTCACAGGCCAATAATGAGGTGGTGGTGCAGGCATTGGAGGAGGAGCATAGATAGGATACTGTCCAGGAATTTGGTAAGCCGTAGCACCATGATAGACAGAGTGTTGGAACATGGGAGCAGGATAAAAGTGGGGAGGAACATATTGAGCAGGATAATATGATGGAGCAGAAGGAGCAGCAACTGCAGAATAGTATGACTGGACAGGAGGAGCAAGTGTGGCAGGCTGGTGAAGCTGAATGGGTGGTGCAAGAGAAATAGGAGGCTGAGCAGGATTAGAAGTAACAGGATGGGAAGGTCTAAAAAGATTCTCAAAGACAGGCTGACGAATAGAGCCTCGTAATGCAGAACGCTTGCGCCGAAGAGTAGGAGAAGTCATCTGAAGCCTTTCAGCACGCTCTTGCTCCCGCACAGTCTGGCGTTCATGCTCAGGAGTCCTAGGAGGAGTTCTTATAAACCCTAAAATTAATAAACAAATTTTGTGTGGTTTAACAAAAACTGCATACCTTGTCATAGTCACATCCACATGGGCAGCCTCTTCAACAGCCTCTTGGTTTTCAACATGTCTATAGTTTCTTTTTTTTAGCCAATGACCATAAAAAGATTAAATAAAACCACATACCCATTGAGATTCTCAGGTGGAGGAGTCATATACAGATCATCCTCATCTTCACTATTATTGGCATTCTCGCTATAGCAAATATGAGTACACACAACCAATAATAAGCAAAAAGTAAAACACATACTTATGTACAGTCTCAGGTGGAGGTGTCATATAGAGATCATCCTCATCATCATCTCTAAAGAGAATTTTAGCACTAAAACAGTATCCAAGCAAGCCAAAGATACTCACAAAGGTGCCAATGCAGGCATCCAGACTTCCACCACACCCTCGTTAGGAGGCCTACAAAAAGAGTTGAGCACAATAGACATGATGCAAGCAACACAGACTTACAAAGGTGGAACACTCATTGTGAAAAGCTAAATAAAAAAAACACCTGCAAACAAAACCAAGAGCCAAGAGTGGTTGCCAAGCTAAGCACTCGCTGAATGCCCCCTCACAGTTCACCTGAAGAAATTGCCGCAAGACAGTGCCAGGGGAAGAGGATTCCCAATGCTCTTTGACAACTCGATGTCACTCGTTGTCTGCAAAGCAGGTCGTTGTGACTGTGAGATTGTGGTAAAAGGTACCTGAGCAACTGAAACACTGCAGGATGAGAGAGGTCCAGGCAGCTATGAAAAGACTGCTTTTGGCTACAGCAAACTAAGGCCGTGCTGGTAGACTTCACACCCTGTAGGCTCTTTCTAAGCAGAATCCGTGCTCAGAGACACCCAGTAGAGCAGAGTAGAGTTTGAGAGAAAAGCCAGTGAGGAATAAAGCAGAGGAGAGCACAGATGAGGGTCCAGGACAGAGATGATGGTGGTTGGCGGCAGAGATCCAATGTCGCAAGCCTCGCGCGGAAGCGCTGACTCATCGAATTTCAAACTCCGACACGCTCCGTTTCGCGTCCCGAAGCCTATGGGACAGTGGTCTCGCGTGGTTTCTTACGTGGCCCACGCGAGCATAAGCGAGGAGCACGCGAGCATAGCCGTCGCTTAAGCGCCACAATTTTGCAGTGTTGCCCTCTATTTACTAGCTTCTCACCCGTTGCGTTGCGACGGCGCAACCATGCTTAATCCAAGTTTTTGTTACAGTGCTTGGTCTCATGTGCCTGTAAAGTCTAGTCTCTGTAAAGTCCAGTGCTTGTAAAGTCCAGTGCCTGTAAAGCCCAGTGCTTGTAAATTTTAGTGCCTATAAAGTCCAGTGCCCATAAATTATTTTGCCCTAATATAGCTCTCTGATCATATTCTATAAGGTCCTGCCCATAATATTCTCTATATAAGACTCTCTTGTCAAGTATTATTTAGTTCCTCTATAAGGTCATACCTATAAGGCTTTTCCATAAAGTGCTAGGATACTATTTCAAGCTCCAACAGCTGCCAATATATGGCCCATATAAGGTTCTCCTATATAGCTTCCTTTATTATATTCCCCTGTTAGGTTTCTCCATTATGCTTATCTATTATGTTCCTCTGTTAGGTTCCTCTATAAGATCTTGCCAGTGAGGCTCTCTTGTGAAGCTCCTCTATAAGGTGCTAGAATATCACTTTTAGTGCCCATAAAGTCTAGTTCCCATGATACTCTATAATGTCCTGCCTATAAGATTCCCCTATAAGGCCTCTCTATGAGATTTTGCAAGATGACATTCAAAAGATTCCTCCCCTATAAGGTTCCTCTGCCAGATCCTGCCTATATGGCTTTCCTATTAGGCTCCCTTTTCATATTCCATGAAAGGTTCTGCCCATAAGGCTCCCCTATCAGATTCTGCCCTATGAGGCTCCCCCATGAGGTTCCCTATGGGGTGCCAGAATGCCATTTTGAGCCCCGATGGCTGCCGAGGCACGGCCTGCTCCAGTTGTTGGCATTGCCGGGCAGACCGGGATGCCGTGTGAAACCCCGACAGCTGCCGAGACACGGCCCGCTCCAGTTGCGGAGGTTGCCGGGCGGCTGAAGAGACAGCTCGCTCCGCTCGCCAAATTTGTCATGGCGCTCGCTTCGCTCGCGTGGTTTCTTACGTGGCCCACGCGAGCATAAGCGACAACACGCGACATTAGCCGGCGGAGTTTTGCCACAATTCTTCACTGTCGCCCTCTATATAGGGATGGATTTATGGATGGATGGATAGAGATTCACACACCGAGCGACACGTTGTTTGTGTTTCAATTCTCCGAGGGTTCGCAGACTCGCTTGTGTCCTACTTGTTAACAGTCACTGCGAGGATGATGAATCATGCAGAACAAATTCACAGTCAGACATTACGGACTTACCTCGCTTGACATGTTCGATTACAATATCGAGCTTTGCCGCAGCCTGCGCACATTTGAAGAGCGTGCGGTGGTTCCTTGTCGTGGAATTCGCATCGTGCCCAACTGCAATGAAGAGCAGCGATGGAAGGGGTAGCCGATGACGCCGCTTGGTCAGAAGACCCTGTCGCGATCGCAGAGACATTTCCCGAAAACATGCTCTCTTGCAAGCTGAGGTAATAACCAAATTCCTCCCAGTCAGAGATCGCGCGCTGATGCGCGGATTGATTCTTGACGGGCGATGCGATGGCGCGGAGACCAAGGTTCGGTATCAGACTCGCCGTATAGCGTTCATCAATATAGTAGACAGGTGGTGATCCCCGTGAGCCCGCATTTCTTCGGTCTTCGTTCTTTGAAGATACAGCTTCGGCAGATAAGACCAGTCCACTGACAACGTGCCAAAATGGCGAGACCAGGATCAGTTTGGAGTCGGAAGCCCTCGGAAGCCGCATACCTAAATCTTCCGGATCTACAGCATGCTTTGCTCCAAAGATCATGGCGCGAGACATTAACTTCATCATGCCGTGTTGTTCGACCAATTCTATCAAAACCTCCCTATCACACTCCTTGAACGCCCACCTGAGATGGAGTGTGGGTGTCAGTATGTGAGAGGCCATATTGATTTGCACTCCCACACTAGCGGCTCAACGGCCCATCTGATGGTCTTCCATAACACTTCTTCGCTTTCCCCTCTCTGCCTTCGTATAGCAGGAAAGATGAATTTGTAGGTGCCTTGTTCCAATGCCAACCATTTCGTTGCCGGATGGGCGGCGAAGACGGCAAGGAACCTCATTAGTTGGTATAGTTTGATGCCGATGAGGGTTTGGTCCTGCAGGTCACGATTGAGCTGATCTACGAACAGATGATGACCGAATGTGTCGACGACGGCTTCTTGCACGAGCTGGTCTTTGTCGCTCCGGGACGATGATAAGGACAAGGTCAACAGGCTCAAGGTTGCATCGTCATCAGAATTGGGGCGCTTCGTGTACTGCCAGATGTAGAATGCGACATGTCCGATTCGTGTTTGTGTGAAAATAGAAGTATGCTCTTCGGTCCAAGAAAGATAAGCTGGCGCATGAGCGCTCAAAGACAACGGTCAGCGCACCTCAGATGCACTGCCGTGCTCCATCTTAAGGTAAGTTGTCCAAGCAAGCATCGGTATAAGTTCTCATCGACGTCTTCTTGCAAGATGCTACGCCTAGCCCAAATGAAGTCCCAGAGCTCGACGGTCCTGTCGATCACTTCATTGGAGACAATCGGATTCCTCAAATCGTCTATGTTGTCCTCATCCTTCTTGGTTAGGTTCGGGAGTATGATGGCTAGACCAAACATGACCGTCGACAAATAATTTCGTGTCTATCACAGCAGGATCAGTCGAAGCATGCGGCAGGTTATACAAACAGCACAGACCCTGACGTCGTGATAGATCTCATCGGTCAATATGATATCGATATACACACGATGCAGCCCAGCGGCAAGCAGAGCATTCCACTGATCGCCCGAGGTAATTGAACCGCTAGTAAGGCAGGACATCACTGCTCCGGCGAGATCCTGACGCTCAGGCGATCTGTCTTCGTGAAGGGCTCGTAGGAGGATCGGTATCTATCCTGGCTCACTACAGAGCATCGAATAGTAAGTGTGAAAGTTCTGGGGGATGCCGGCCATCAGCGGAGGTAGTGCAGCGACGATGGAGTGGTATGATTTAGACGGTGGTTGGTATCGGTGTGAATGGAGGAAGGCGAGCTCCAGGAGAATCAGACCAGCTTTATAAGAAGCAGAACTGGTGAGAACGTTTTCCAGCCCGCCCTAAAACATGTCACCGAAACCAGTCTCGGAGCGGTTGGAAGCCATTGGTTCCAGCCGAGAGCAGAGTTCGCAACGCCGCGGAGATTGAAAACACTTCGTTGGCAAAGTATTGGGTGCAGACCTGTTCTGACGACTTTTGCAGTGGGTCGTGCGAATGCAGTTCGCTTCTTTCTTTCACTGTCCGACAACGATATTAGTCAAGGAACCAAACGTTCACCTTGAAGTTTGATTCGTATGCGTTTATGGATGCTCAGATATACCTCTACATATCCTGCTCGCAATTATGCTCCATCGAAATCCTTTCAAGCAATGTCAACATTTCATTATCGGCCATCCCCGTTCCGACGGAGGAAAAATAGACATCGGACGTGTCAAAGGCACACCTCAGGTTGTGTCGCTAGCCATTCACCTGACAACCTCTGCGTCACATGTCGACCACTCGTCGTGCGCTTGCCAGTTTTTATGTTGTGGTTGTATGATGCTGTTCACTAGGAGCTCAATAACTCACAAGCTACCAGTAGAACGCGACTAACCAAGGTAGATCTGAAGATGCTTGAGATGTCAGTGACAGTGTTTGAGAATTAATCTATTGATGAGCCCACGGTACGCAGTGTTTTCTATATGAGGCCCCACACCGGGCTTGTGTATTACTACTGCGGTCAAGGCGCCTCTGTGTCTCGGAGTTAAGGACATACCGCGATGGGATACATGAGGAGTCACGAAACACATCCCAAGATCCTGTGCTTCTGGGTAAGCCGCCAGCCCAGCACAAGCCATGATGCAGCGCAGCGTGTTTGCCTTGGACGAAATCATGTTCGAGACTTCGAGTGTTGTGTTGTTCTGAGGAGAGAAGGTTGCCACCGTGATGTGACGTCACGGGAGCCTGCCCTAAAGCACGCACGGAAGCAGCGATCATGAGCTCAATACCCTTTGCCCCGCCTCTCTACTCATTATCGCCGTCGCCGTCGCCGTCGTTCCCAACGTACGTTCCTCGCTGTTCAGCTCGGCATCCGCAGTCGCTGACAGGCCACTCCCATCTATCCTCTAACATCAATTCCGCGACTGCGGTGCTCCACGCGCTCGTGCACCGCCTCGGCCTGCCAAATCGATATATACCTGCCCCGCGTGTCACTCTCCGACAACATCAGCCCCCCACTTACATCTACCCTTCCCACTTTACGAATTAATCTGCCAACATGGAGGATGAGGTCGCTGCGCTCGTGCGTGTGCTCTCCGTTCTCTCATCCGCGCCGTCCAGCTCACAAGATCGGCTCATCATCCACAGGTCATTGACAACGGTTCCGGCATGTGCAAGGCTGGCTGTAAGCACTCGTTTCACTCTGTTCATCTCTCGATGCTCATTCGAATCGTTCGCAGTCGCTGGTAAGATTGTGTGCTGCTCGTACAGTAAGTTAGACAATTCACATCCGCGTAGGTGACGATGCCCCCCGTGCTGTGTTCCCGTAAGTCATCCCGCTCTCCCACGCGTGCGCCAGCGCTGATCACCCATCGCAGCTCAATCGTCGGCCGTCCCCGTCACCAGGGTGTCATGGTCGGCATGGGCCAGAAAGATTCCTATGTCGGGTATGTCCGAGTTGTTTAGGGGTTGCTTTGCGATCCATCTATCTCATCGCATCCCTCTGTTCAGTGACGAGGCCCAGTCCAAGCGTGGTATCTTGACCCTCAAGTACCCTATTGAGCACGGTATCGTGACCAACTGGGACGACATGGAGAAGATCTGGCATCACACCTTCTACAACGAGCTCCGTGTCGCGCCCGAGGAGCACCCCGTGCTGCTCACCGAGGCCCCGCTGAACCCGAAGGCCAACCGTGAGAAGATGACGCAGATCATGTTCGAGACATTCAACGCGCCCGCGTTCTATGTCGCCATCCAGGCTGTGCTCTCGCTTTACGCGTCCGGTCGTACCACCGGTATCGTCCTCGACTCGGGTGATGGTGTGTCGCACACTGTCCCCATCTACGAGGGTTTCGCGCTCCCCCATGCCATTCTCCGTCTCGATCTCGCTGGTCGTGACCTGACCGACTTGCTGATCAAGAACTTGACTGAGCGCGGCTACCCGTTCACGACCACGGCCGAGCGTGAAATTGTCCGCGACATCAAGGAGAAGCTGTGCTACGTCGCGCTGGACTTTGAGCAGGAGCTCCAGACTGCCGCTCAGTCGTCCGCTCTCGAGAAGTCCTATGAGCTTCCCGACGGTCAGGTCATCACGATTGGCAATGAGCGGTGAGTGGCTTTGTGATATCGAGGCACGAGTCACTCTGATGTGTGTGGGCGAAGATTCCGTGCGCCCGAAGCGCTCTTCCAGCCAGCCTTCCTCGGACTTGAGGCCGCTGGTATCCACGAGACGACGTGAGTCGAGGGATCTACATGGATGGTCGTGTGTCAGCTGGGGGCTGATCGTCCATCTCTTCCAGCTACAACTCGATCTTCAAGTGCGATCTCGATATCCGTCGTGACCTGTACGGCAACGTCGTGCTCTCTGGTGGAACGACGATGTTCCCCGGAATTGCGGACCGTATGCAGAAGGAGCTGACGTCTCTGTCGCCATCGAGCATGAAGGTGAAGATTGTCGCGCCTCCCGAGCGGAAGTACTCGGTCTGGATCGGTGGATCTATCCTTGCGTCGTTGAGCACATTCCAGAATCTGTGGTGCTCGAAGCAGGAGTACGACGAGTCGGGCCCTGGCATTGTCCACCGCAGTGCGTAGTCTCTCGCCTTTCCGTGTCTATGTGGACGTCATACTGAACCCCCGCTTTACAGAGTGCTTCTAAGCGGGAGGAGAAGTGGAAGAAAAGAAGACGCACGCATTGTATTAGAAGAAGCCCCTCACGATCGGGATCGGCGCCGCTCGTTGTCGTTCTTGCTTTTGTCCTTCCTTCGTCCTCGCCTCCCGTTATGGGCACCCCCACCCTACTTTCATCCGCATTGCACCTTTCCTAACATGAGTACATTCACAGCAACGACCGCACCGGCGATTCTTTCTCTCATTACGACATTAGTTCTGCGCTTGTTTTTTTCTTTTCTCTTTTGACTGCTTCTAGTTTGATACACTGCGACGGCTGCAATGAATGATTTTGAAGCCTTTGTGTGCGGTGTTTGATTGAGGAGACGATCACTCGCAATATCGGCGGTATCGCCTCGGTTCGCCGCGGCGGTGTTGCGATAGTTTGTTGATCCGTTTTTATGTTTTCATTTTATTCGATCGGAGTCGAATGAAGTTGCTGGCGGTCAGCCTATACTGGACGCATCCCAGAGCTGCCAGCAGCCTTGGGTCTGCAGGTCTGGCTTGAGTTTGACTGCGTGCACATCGCGATTTTTATGACGGTTGGTGGTACAAGTCTCCTTGTTGTTGTCCGCTCGCACGGAGACTTATGGATTCGTTCATCACAGCTATCTGCCGTCCTTATCGTGGACGGACCTCGTGTGCGAGCGTCCTCGCGCGCTCGCTCCGCAGCGTCAATTCTCTCACTTATCAGCGCTTCGCCGTCTGCTTTTGGCTCGCTCTGGTCTGCATTCAATGAACAGGCTGATATGGTGCAGGGCTTCTGGCCCTCGTTCCTGCGGCCGCGCTTCTTGGGAAGATTGACTGGACGGCGTGACCCCGTTCATGACGATATATAAAGGTGGGGACACAGGTGCCTCTTGTCGACTCGAGACTTGCCGCGCGTCCGTGTCTGTCTGGGATCTGTCATCTCTTTGAGCGACCTTGCTCTGGTGAGTTACACCGCTCGACCTTTTGTTTTTGTTTTCGAGTCGTGCGAGTGGGTTAGTTGACCTGTTGCGATCTTGCCGCTGGGTGGGTTTCTAGACGAACGGAGCTGAGACTCGAGCTTGAGCGAGCGAGACGAAGATCATGTCGGAATTCATCCCAGAGCTGCCCGCGACGCGCCGAGGCGGATCCGCCCCCGTCCTCGAGCACGCGTCCTACGAGAAAGAAGCGTCCTCCACCGGCGCCGCAGACGTGCCCATGGTCAAACCGCACTGGTACCGCTCGACGCTATTCCAGTGCGTCACACCCCTCTTTCCCACACCGTCGCGCCCGCCGCCTGAGGCACGCGCGCGTACGCAGGATCTGGGTCGTCGGCGGCGTGTTCTTCTGCGCCCCCGGGATGTACAATGCGCTGAGCGCGCTCGGCGCGGGCGGCCTCGCGACGCCGTGGTACGCGAACGCGACCGCCGCGGCGGGGTACGTGTTCATGGCGTTCATGTGCATCTTCGGCGGGCTGTTGGTGTCGAAGATCGGGATGACGAAGGCGCTGCTGGTGAGCACTCTTCGCGCTGGTGCCTTCCGCTCTCGCTGGACGTGTGTTGAACATCGTTGGTGCAGATCTCGTCGACGGGAGATGTCATGTTTGTCCGATCTCGAATCTGTGCGAGGGTGTATGTGATTTACGTGCTGTGGGTAGATATGCGGGTAGTCTATACCTGAACAGCAAAAATGGGACGCAGTGGTTCCTCATGCTGGGTGAGCGAAGACCATCGCTTCTCAGGTCCACATCAACAGCCTATCTGACGCGGTCTCCCAAGGATCCATCATCTCCGGAATGACGTGTGTGCTTACTGCTCGTGATATCGTCGACACACGCTCACCACATCTCGCCGTGAGATAGGGACGGCCTGATGTACTCGGTCGAAGGTGCCATCATCACCGGTGTGTCCTGTCAAACTCTGCCGGCGACAATGGGCCTGATGACAGCTGAACAGCGTACCCCGAGCCCGCCCGTCGCGGGCGAATGCTTTCGCTTTGGGTCTTCTTGCGCAACGCAGCGCCCGTCGGTGCGCCTCCCTCCCTCCTCTTCTACTCGCGCTTTGTTCATGACGACTGCGCATGCCAGTCGGCGGTGCTATCATCTTCGGCCTCAACTCGAAGACTGACTCTGCGGGAGGTGTTTCGCTGCATACGTACCTCGTCATCATCGGCATCAGTGAGTGATCCCTTTGCACCAGGGTTCGCCTCGTACCGCGGAGTATTGACCAGGAGCGCTTGGGCTTCACGTTGCGTCACAGTGTGCGCGGGCCCGTTTATCGCAGTCCACCTCTCGCCGCCCAAAAAGGTGCAGCGCACGGATGGCAAGCCTATCATCTTCCGCAAAACTAGCTTCCGGTGCGCTCCTTCTCACCCATCTCCGTGCCCTCTTCCACCACGCGCCAGGCCTGACCTCCCCGTGTGCAGCCAATCGCTCAGAGAATGGGCTGCGGTCGCGACCGCGCCCAAGATGTGGCTGCTCTTCCCGCTCTTCTTCACGTCCTGGTTCTACGGGTCGTACATCGGCACGCTGCAGACGCAGTACTTCAACGTGCGCACGCGCGCGCTCACCGCGTTCGTGACCCCCTTCGGCGACATCCTCGGCGGGATCTGCATCGGGTACTTCCTCGACTGGAAGCGCCTCACGCAGAACCAGCGCGCGAAGTACGCGTTCGTGTTCCTCGTCGCGCTCAACCTGGGCCTCTGGTGCGTCCCCGCCTGGCGGGGTTTTTTTTTTTCGTTTTGGAGACTAGGACTTAGGGATCGGTGCAGGATCTGGACGGCGGTGATCACGAAGTGGCTCGAGGACAATAAGCCCGTGGTTGACTGGACCTCGGACTCGTTCGGGCGCACGTGGGCGCTGTTCATCCTATTCGAGTTCGCGACGATGGCGACGCAGTCGACACTCTACTGGATCGTCTCCTTCCGTGCGTACCCACACCCTCTCAGGCCCGCACACGGAGCCCTCATCCCTGCGGTCTACCCTCGCTTCCCGCAGTCTCGTCCGACGTGAACACGCTCTCGTATATCACTGGCGCGCTGCGCGGCGTCGAGTGCGCGGGCCAGGCCGTCGCGTACGGCATCAAGAGCACCAACACGTCCGACTGGATCTCCATCGGGCTCAACGTCGGCCTCTTCGTGCTCTCGATCCCGTTCGCGTGGGTCGTCGTCCGCGACATCGGGAAGGAGGGCGTCGACAACACCATCGGCGTCGTCGTAGGCGCCGGCGCGGCTCAGCCCGACGCGCCCGACGCGGCGGAATACGCCCAGGAGAAGGCGGGCTCGGAAAAGTCGGCGGTTTAGACTGGCTCGGGAGGCCGAGAACTGCAGTGCTCGGCTTGGGTTGAACATGGCAGTTGTGGCAAGGCGAGGATGCCTTTCATGCTCTGCGACGATGATTGGAACGACATGTATTCACGAGCTCTGCTGGTAGTTTCGATGTTTTGTTTTATTTACCTCGCCCTCATCCGGGGTCGGACTTCCGATGAGATAGCATTTTTTGCCGCTCGAATGGTCTCGATATGAAGACGCAGACCACAATTCTGTCAGCTGCTCCGCGTAGGTAGGGGTTGGCAAGCCCGCATTGATTACAATATATATCGTACTCTTGTCGTCTAAACTGCTTCTCTCCTCCGTGGTGCCGCGCGCAAGATATCGTCAACTCTGCGGGTGCAAGTCAGTATGACGCATACGAGGTGGAGGAAAAAATAGAACGCACCGGATGATCATTTCCGCCGCTTCGCTCGCGCTGTTCACTACCTGCCACTTGAGCTTGTAGCTTTCTGTGACGCCCAGCTTTTTCATGGAGCCAACGTCGCCAAGCTCCATATCTAGGAAGGCTGAAGTTTAGCGTCACCCTTGGAATATACGGGCAGCACCTACCAAGGCCCGCGTCTGGCTGTCCCTCGTAATGCGCCGCGCGCAGCCGCGAGACGAGGTCTGAAGAGTCGTAGCCCGCGTTATCCGCGAGGATGGTCGGGATCTGCCTGAGGGCGTGCGCGAACGCCTCGACCGCGAGCGCCTTCTTGCCCCAGACCGTCTTCGCCGCGCGCTCCACCGCAACGCTCATCAGCATCTCCGCGCAGCCGCCGCCGAGCACCACGCGCGTCTCCTTCACCGTCTGCGAGAGGACCGAGAGTGCATCATGCAGCGACCGCTCGGCCTCGTCTACCATCTGGTTCGTCGACCCGCGCAGGACGACCGTGCACGCTTCGCCCGCCGCGACGCCGGAGAATTTGATCAACTGCGATGGTGTCAGCGTTGAGGATGCGGCGCGAGTATATTATGTGGACGGTGCGCACCTTGTCCTCGCCGATCATGATCTCCTCGATCAAGTCGCACGTCCCGAGCTTCACCAAGTCCGGCCGCTCGAACGTGCTCGCGATCTCGCCGCCCGTGACGAGCGACAGCCGCTCGACGCCCTCAAAGTCGGCGTGCTCGATGGTCAGGATGCCCTTCTCAGCCAACAGCGACTCCGGGTAGTTGTAGATGAGCTGCCGGTTGACGAAGACGTTGATGCCGTGCGTGGCGATCGCGTCGACTTTTCGTTTCATTTTTTCCTGCGCTTGGCGTTGGGGACGAAGAGAGGGTCAGAGGAGCGGAAGAGACGCACCCGCTCGGCACGTTCCAACTCGGCAAGTTTTCCTGTCCCGTCAACTTTGACGCGGGCACCGAAGATCTTGATCTTGTCGGTGTCCATAGCTGGACATCCGATGTTACACGTGCGACTTCAACTCCACAGTCAAGAAAACTTACAGGTGTTGGCAATAAGGATTTTGGCATTTTCTAGCCGCTTGGGGCAGTTGACGCCAATCGCCTTGTCCAAGATAAAACCTGATGGAAGTTGAATAGGGAGATCGTCCGAGGATAAATGAAGCGCACCTTCGTCAAGGTACGAGTCTGTCAGCTTTCCGCCGACCTTTTTGATGATCTGGATGTGCTCCAAATCTGTTGAACCCTGTTCACCGCAGCATTAAAAGAGCGAGATCGTGATCAGTGGTTCCATGACATACCTTCAACCTCAAAACTGCATCGACGGCGAGATTTGCGAAATAGGCCTTGTCTTGGGACAAAACTTTCGACGACAAGGTTGTCCGCGCGATGTTAATCAAGTCTTGGCGGAACGTTGCAGGGTTAGAGCTGAGAAAGATATGGAGTCAGCCCAGCTGACAAAAAAGGAGCAGCACACCACGCACCCATGATCAACAGCAGACTCCTCCAATGCCTTCAGAGCCGCTGCGCTCGCGATCCGATAGCCCTCGACAATGGTCTGAGGGTGTATCTTCATGGCGATGAGCTTTTCAGCCTCTCGCAGCAGCTCCGCCGACAACACACACACGCTCGTCGTCCCATCTCCGACCTCATCGTCCTGCACCTTCGAGATATTCACGAGAATCTTCGCGGCGGCATTGTCGAGCTGAATCGCCTTCAAAATCGTCGCGCCGTCGTTCGTGACGTTTATGTCTCCCGACGACATGGATTGGAGAATTTTGTTCATGCCCTTCGGTCCGAGGGTCGATTTGACGAGATCGCCGAGCGCGAGTGCGCCGACGAACGACGAGAGGCGGGCGTTCTCCGCCTTTTCTTCTGTAGCCTGTGGTTGTTGGTCAGTGGGCGAGCATAAACGACTGGAAATGAACGCGCCTCGTCGTTGAAGATATTGATGGACATTGTGGATCGTCAAAGTCGTTGAGGACGATTAGAGCGAGCACGCTTACGCTTCCAATAATGGCCTTGCGCGGTGTGACCTTTCGTGACGTTGTACTTGTCACTGTGACCTTCGCGCTCGTGACGACATTCACTACTGGTCTTCACAGTTCAGGCAAGCACGACAAAGGATAGGCTTGTATGCACGGCTCAATGTTGTTACTCTCCGAGCTGTAGCTTTACTTAGGTGCTTTGATTCTTTTAGTGCGTTCTTGGACCGTCCAGCGGCGCAGCGCACTATCTCAGCCCATATGTCCTCTGTGCATCGGTGCGAAGGTTCAAAACGGGATAGATTCCCGTCTCGTGGGTTCAGAGCCTTTTGTTCGTATTGCCAGTATTTATGATTTATTTTTCGTTCGTGAACTGATCGTGTACAGGTGTTCAACCACCTGATACGGTCATCGCGTCATCCCGAGGGCTACATATTTATCCCTTATGCTTTCGCGAGGTCATCTGTTCCAGCGTGACTTATGTCGCGGGACCTGCAGGTAATTCTCTCAGTATGTCCTCCGCTACGACGACTTGGCTAGACCCTCATGATGCAGCGGCCCGACATCTGCCATCCCTGTGATGCTCGGTGCCTTCGCAAATTGGTCTTGTTCGTGCTGCCCGAAACGGTCCTCAAAGTTCATTTCATGATGTTCACTGGTATAAAGCAGCGGATATTACCCCCACAGTGATAGCGTCTGCACGCAATGCTACTCCCTTTGTCCCTCTTATTCCTTGCTGGTTTTGTTGCGCGGGGTCGGTCTGCCGTGTCTTCAGGCCCGTGGGACGCTTTCAACTATTCACCTCATTCGCGGACCGTTGTCCCCCTCTCAATTCACTCTACGCACGGGCCCATTGAAGGGGCAGAAGGCTTGGTCAAGGACGGGAGCGCCACTTTCAAATCAAAAGATGCCTACCTCACGCTTGATTTTGGTAAGGAGGTAGCGTACTTTCCCCGGGTTTCACCTTTCACTTCATTGTTTACGCGGATGAACAGGTTGGAGGCATCCTCTCTCTGAACATAGACAATGCGACAAATTCCTCCGCCTTCTCGTTTGCCTTCACCGAATCCTCTATCTTTATTAGCCCCACCGCGTCAGACGACTCAGGCTACGCGACTATTAACCGCGATGCTGACGGGGCCGAACACATCCTCGCTCCTCTTACTCTTGGCCCATTTACCCAGCCAGCTGACCGGCTTCGTGGTGGTTTCCGTTTTCTGACCATTGCCTCCACGTCGGACGCTGTGCTCACGATCTCCAACATAACTCTTGCGATCACCTTTGCACCTGATGCGCCAGACCTTCGCGCATATACCGGATATTTTTATGCGGACGATCCAGTCTTCCATGATCGAAATTTCTTGACGAAGATCTGGTATGCTGGCGCATATACTGCGCAAACCAACATCATCGACTCGAACCAGGCCAGAATGTTCTGGCCCACTGGGGTACAAGGTCAGCGATATTGTGATTTGGCGGAGTTTGATAGATAAATCGGGAATCTCACAGGTTGGGCAAACAATGCTTCTGGAGGGCCGGTCGAAGGGACTATCCTGGTGGACGGAGCGAAGCGCGACAGGTAAGATTTATGATTACCCACGAATTACGAGTGGAAACAATAGCTGAATAAATTCGCAATTCTATAGAAATGTATGGCCAGGTAATTGAGACCGTTCTCAGCCTCAGCCTCAATTTCAGCTTTCATTCCTTCCTCTAGGTGACATGGGCATCTCGGCGAACACGCACCTTCTCTGGAGTACGGACCTGCTTCCGATAAAGAACTCCCTTCTCGTCATGTTCTCGACATCCGACCCCGTAACGGGCGCTTTGAATTATTCTGGTCCGCCGATCAACGCCCGAGGCAGCGACACCTACATCTCTTGGACGCTCATTGGGACGCACACCTATTGGTTGTACTCGAACGACACAGAATTCGTGCAGCGTGTGTGGGCGAATTACACCAAGGCTGTCGCATTTTTGGAAAACCAGGTCGACAGCACGGGATTGATGGACGTTCCGATAGCGTTTATGAACGATTGGGGAAGGGATGGGGGAAGTGGGCATAACTCGGCAGCCAATGCTTTGCTATACCAGGTATGTGATAGTGTCGGCTGGTGAATCTCGTCAGTACGTGCTCATGGAAAAGACACCAGACACTGCTCACCGGCGCTGACCTTGCCAAAGCGTTGGGCGATAACGAGCTGGCGACTCGCTACCTGGCCAATGCGACGACCGTCAAGGTCGCATACAACACCCTTCTGTGGGACGCCAAAGCGGGAATGTACAGAGACAACGATACGACGACGCTGCACCCGGAAGATGGCAACTCTTTGGCGGTGGATTTTAATTTGACAACGTCCGAGAGCCAGATTCAGGCTATCAGCCAAGGCTTGACGAATTTTTGGACGGATATCGGGCCTGTCACTCCAGAGTTGGCTGATACGATCATTCCGTTCGTGGGAGGGTTCGAGGTAAGGACTGATTCTCATGGTCTCTTGAGTGCGCTTTACATATTGACTGGCTTTCATGAAGCTTCGGGCACACTTCATTGCTGGTCAAGGAGAGCGTGCGCTCGACCTGATTAGAAAAGAATGGGGCTACATGCTCTACACGAACCTCAGCGTGCAGTCTACTCTCCTGGAAGGATTCACCGCGAATGGTTCTCTTGGGTGCGGGTTCTTCCAACTCTCTTTGAGCGCACTTTAATATGTCTTGAATTGTAGATATCGCAGCGCTGTCGGCTATGACCACGATTTCTCGTACACCAGCCATGCCCATGGCTGGAGTACAGGCCCGACGGCCGCCCTTTCATTCCACGTTCTCGGGCTACAGATCACCACACCGCTCGGCGCCACCTGGTCTCTCAAGCCTGTGCTCAGCGGACTCAGCGCTGCCGAAGGCGGATTCGAAACGGGCCTGGGCTGGTTTGGCGTGAAGTGGTCCGTGGCGAAGGGGACGCTCACGGTGGTTGTCACCGCGCCGGACGGCACGTCGGGCGTTGTGGACCTGCCTGGTCACGGCGCGATCAAGGTGGATGGGCGTTCGGTCGGCTCTGGTACCGTCACGGTCACCGGCGGCAAGCATACACTTGTACAAAGAGTTTGAGTTCTGCGTTCAAGCTCCTTCATAACAGTTTTTGAACTGGATCTGCGTTGCACTGTGCTTTGCGATCCGACTGTTTCTGGGCAGGATTGACATTGTCGTTGAACGATGTGATGAAGCTTGAGGCCTCACGCCTCACTCTGAATTCGGCTCATCCTACACCCATCACCGACAACTGGTGAGTCCCATGCTTCCAACAACCTTCAGCAGTATGCAACAGATTCGGGTCGCGAAGTATCCTTCTAAACAGTGTCGTAAAAATTTCAGCCTCACGGGAGGTGGCGAAATATGAGCATCGGCGTTCAAAGACGCTACAACGACTGCATTTACGACAAATAATATCCAAGATAGCTGACTGCATCTCGAGCCTGCATCCGCCGGTCATGACATTGTCTTGAGGTCAGCATTGATCTTTGAAGGGCTGAATGGACGGAACAGTAGAGATGCCGCCCTCATCTGTCTTCTGCTCACTCACCTGACCTAGTGTGCTCAAATGCCTTGGTGAGCGACGCCCCCTTGTCAGCGACATTGCTTGATTCAGGTTTGACATTGCTCTATCTTGAAAGGCGCCTCCACTAATCACATGATATGATTCCATTGGACATAGGGTGTCGGGAAGCTTCACGGGGTTGCCAGTATGATATATATAAGAGGAGCATCGAGTAGTATCCGGGTCAAGGAACCGCTCCTAAATCTTGAAGATGGCATCCATTCTCAAACAGTTATCAGATCTCATAGCAACCTCGGTCCGCGACATTGACGCCGCTTGTGATGCACGAGGAGTATCTTTTCCTTCTCTGGATGAACCTTTCTCGGAAGAATCGGAGCGCGCGCGCCAGGAGGAAGAAGTTCTCAGCAGTATTGGTATCATAGTAGCTGCCGCGACGCAGCTCATCGCTGTCGCCAGGGCCCCGTCAAACTATCTGCTCTCCATGGTCCTTCAGGTATTACTTTCTTTAGTTGAGATGGATGGAACACACCTTGAGTCCACTGGCTGGCAGCACACCATCCCAGCTTGTCTCGGAGCAGCAAACGATGGCCATGTTGCCGAAATATTGCGCGAGGCCGGCCCGCAGGCGAGCCCTCACTTTCCGTTCTAAATCCGAGGCCTTACAGAGGTGTGGATTATAGGGAGCACATGTCAGTGATATCGCCAAAAGGAACGGCATGAACGCGGCTCGGATTGGTAGCGTGTTCTCTGGTAGCGTGTCGGTCATCGCTGAATCGTGATTGCAGGTCGAGTTCTTCGGCTGCTCGCTACGCACCATATATTTAGGGAAGTTTCTCCCGACGTTTTTACCAATAATCGTGTTTCTTCTCTGCTGGACACCGGGAAACCAGCGGAGGAAATTCTCAAATTGTGTGTATTGGCTGTTTCTCCGCACAAATGCCCGATTTGAGTGCTGTTCAATGCGAATCTCTAGCCCACTCCTCAAACACGACGGCACCTCCGGATTTTCAGCGGCCGTTGGACATATGTATGTTCGTAGGATGATCATGCAGTCATTGCCGACCGGTGACTATGCATTTGTTATAGATCAGATGAAACATTCAAAATCGTTGCAGCACTCTCTGAGACTTTGCACGACCCTATATTTGGTCATTCAGACGAGCCCAACCGATGTGCCCGTTCTGTAGCCTATAAAACAGATCTTCTTGCCTTTGAGTGGTTGGAACTACCGGAGAATAGCTATCGCAGGAGGCGTTTTGGGGTGTTCATGGAAGCCATGTCCAAAGTGCAGCCGCTTGACGCTGCTTCGAGCGGTGAGTTTCACTAGGTATCTCATGAATATCTATGGGTGATACTGAGATCACTATCTCACCAAGGTTTTGACTTCTCTTCACTTCCAGATGGCGCATTGGTTATCGACGTTGCTGGAGGCATCGGGTCTGTATCGATGTTGCTTGCAAAAGCCTATCCCGAGTTGAGAATCGTCGTCGAGGATCTTCCTGGGGTTGTCCGGGATGCAGAGAAGGTATGATACGCCGCCTGCTTGGTTATGAAGGAGTTTCCTACATGATCTTCGCAGTTCTGGAAGGCCAATCTCGCGGAATCACTCGATAGCGGTCGTGTACGACTTGTTCGTAAGCGAGCCTCCTTGTTATATATTCGCCTCAGAAGGCTGCGGCTTACTTCCAATAACTCGTCGACAGCCCATGATATGTTCACACCTCAGCATGAAGCCTTTCGCGCGCCGGATTTATTCGTCCTACGTAGAATCCTTCATGACTGGTCAGATACCTATGCGATGAAGATTCTCAAGCATCTCCGCATTGCGGCAGGGGCAAGGACTCAACTGCTCATTATCGACAGTGTCCTTCCATACGCGTGCCCACCTGACCCTCGGAAGACAAAACCGTTCAAGGTGTCCGAGATTATTGAACCGCCTGCGCCATTACTGGCCAACATGGGTGGAGCCGCCTCCTTATGGTACGCTCATGATATCGCGGTAAGATTTCAATTTTTTACTGGCCCGCGGCCGTATTACTGAATCTTGACACGGCGGCGTGTTTCTAGATGTTAGCTTTTCAGAATGGTCAGGAGCGCACCGCTGACCAGTTCAACGAGCTTTTGAGAAGCACAGGATGGGAGTTGAAAGAGATCAAGAAAACGGATAGCATAGGAGCATGGCCACATATCATCGCAGCCCCATTGTGATGTTTCTCGCCGGAAAGACCCCACGCGTGTTGGACACTTACTTGATGTGTTGTGTACCTTCTTTAATTGCACTCAACACATAAGAACACGCGAACTCAGACGGTCAGCGAGGGCAAGGAGAGCTGATACTTGCATGTGGAGCAGGAAGAGGCGGGAGAAAACAAACACACTGCCTGGTTTACTGCTTGGTTTGGTAAAGCGGATGACGTGAGCGCGCAGCACCGAAACGGGAGATCCATCGCAGCTGTGCGCTGTCCGGTGTCGGCCACGAACTCATTCTCAACCATCACTTCAATTTCCTCCCCTTGCCTTACTTTTCTCTCTTGCCAAACATTTCAGAGACAATAGGCCTGTTTCTCGTCACTCCTTAAATTCATGGCACCGAGCGTGCGCGCGCGGCGCCCCGCTTCACCACCGCCTGGCCTTCCCCACTCAGTACCCGCACAGCGTTTCCCCGCACCTAATAAAAACCATCTTGACGCAGATGAGCGTCGTGCAGCAGCGTCTCGCGGATATGGGCCCTCTCGAAAACCTTCCTTACCGCCGGGAGGCTTTGACATCACTTCGGGGGAGTGGAAGCTGCTTGCTGTTGTTCTAGTGATCGCGTCTGCTGTGCGTCTATTCCGGATATCTAGGCCGGACAGCGTGGTGTACGTGTTTCGATGCAGCGGCTTCATTATTTGGCGCGAACTGACAGCGTGTTGGGCTCAGGTTCGACGAGGTCCATTTTGGAAAGTTCGCAGCGAGATACCTGAAGACGCGGTATTTCGTGGACGTGCACCCGCCATTAGCCAAACTGCTCATAACCCTGGCAGCATTTGTGTTCGGATTCGATGGAGACTTTGACTTCAAAGATATTGGCAAGTGAGTTTGTGATTCGCCTCTGACCGCCAACCTACAAGCAATCCTCCCGCCGTACCACGTTGAACCCGTCACCTAATATGAGTGTTTTCAGAGTCTATGAACGCACTCCGTACGTAGCAATGCGTATGGTCCCCGCCATTCTGGGCATTGCTACCATCCCCCTCTCATATATCACCCTGCGAGGCCTCGACTGTCGCGCAACAACCGCGCTTTTGGCGTCGTTGCTCATCACATTCGAGAACGGCATGATCACACAGTCACGACACATCCTTCTGGATTCTCCTCTAATTTTCTTCACTGCTCTGACCGTATTCACATGGACGGGCTTCTGCAACGAGGATAAACACAAGCCCTTCACAGAGCGTTGGTGGGTATGGCTCGTACTCACAGGACTTTCGCTGGGCGCTGTTGTCAGCAGCAAGTGGGTAGGGTTGTTCACGATTGCGACTGTCGGCCTCGGCACCCTGAAGCAACTATGGACGCTTCTCGGAGACGTACGCGTGCCCCCAAAGCTCTTTATCAAGCACTTTTGGACCCGAGCTGTGTGCCTCATCCTCATCCCAGTCCTGTTCTACATGGCCATGTTCGAAATACATTTTTTGATCTTGGAAAATTCGGGCGAGGGCGATGGGTTCATGAGTGCCGAGTTCCAACATACATTGGGCGGACACAGCATGGAAGACACTTACGCAGGTTGGAAATATTTTTTGTATTTGGAGCAGAGGATGTTGATTGTCCTTTTCAGATGTCGCTATTGGCTCTCAGATCACGTTGCGCCATGTGAACACACAAGGCGGTTATCTCCACTCGCATGCACACAACTACCCCGGCGGAAGTCAACGTATGCTCGCACATTTCTGATTACATTCACGCAAAGGCTGACCTCAATCCTAGAACAACAAGTTACCCTTTACCCCCATCGAGACCAAAACAACGACTGGCGCATCGCCAATGCGACCCAGGAAGGCATTCCATGGAAGGACTGGGAATCGCTTGACCACCTGCACTACATCGAAAACGGCGCCCGCGTCAAGCTTCGCCATCTTTCGACTGAGAAGAGTCTCCACTCGCACGACTTTCGTCCCCCAGTCTCCGAGGTCGATTTCCAGAACGAGGTCTCGACGTACGGTATGCCTGATTTTGCGGGGGACGCGAACGACGACTGGATCGTGGAGATCGAGAGAGGTGACAGGCGTGATTCCCAGTCGTCCAAGCGCCTTCGGACTCTGCGCACGGTGTTCCGGCTTCGCCATGCATTGACTGGGTGCTATCTCTTCTCGCACAAGGTCAAGCTTCCCACGTGGGGTTTCGAGCAACAGGAGGTGACTTGCAACAAGAACGCCGTCAAAGCCAACTCTTTGTGGATCGTCGAAACCAACATACATCCCCACCGTATGTCCTAGCTCTTTAATCATGGTAGCTTGACGCTAACGCGCCTTTGCTACGCAAACAGTACCTGAAAATGCGCCGAAGGTCAACTACCGGTTGCCAAGCTTCTTGTCCAAGTTCTTAGAGCTGCAGAAGGTGATGTGGCAGACCAACGCCGGCTTGACAGACCGTCACACTTTCGACTCGCGCCCAGACTCTTGGCCCCGCCTGCGTCGTGGTATTGTGAGTGATACGTCGCATATCGTCCATCAAAAAATCCTTAGGATGATGTGCTCCCCCAGAACTTTTGGGTAAAAGACCATCGTCAAATTTATCTCATCGGTAACCCCATGATATGGTGGCTGAGTACAGCTGCTGTGCTTGCCTATGTGGCCGTGCGTGGTCTGCTCATCCTCCGGGCCAAACGCGGTTACAGAGATTTTGAGAACAGTCAGTTTGCTTTCCCTGCATCTAGCCTACCGTATTGACTCTTACTTCCTTCAGCCAAAGTGGTCAAATACGACACGCTCTGCGGATTCCTTTTCGTCGGTTGGGGCCTACACTATCTGCCCTTCTTCTTGATGGGTCGTCAGCTCTTCCTTCACCACTATTTCCCCGCCCTCTATTTTGCCATCCTCCTCTTCTGCGCCGTGTTCGATTTCTTGACGTCCTTGTTGCGTCCCCGCGTTCGCCTGCAAATCGCTGCCGCCTTGGTCCTCCTTGCGATCTGGAACTTCTCTATATTCAGTCCTTTGGCCTATGGAACTCCATGGACCAAGGCGAAGTGCAACAATGCGCGGTGGTTGAAGACTTGGGATTTCAGCTGGTACGTAAACAGCTATTCATGGTCGTGTATGTGAGGCTGATACATCATGCATTCAGCAACGACTTCTACGATGACGTATGTATCCGTTTCAATGTCTGGAGTATACTTTTCTGATGGGTTGCTGTTCGTCAGTTATCCCATTATAACGGCGTCATCGCGCCTACGCCTCAGCAGTCGAAGATGGGCGTTGCAACGATCGGCGGAGAACCCGGCGGGCGCGGAGCGATTGTCGTCGAGGACAACTTTGGGCAGGACAATAATGTCGTGCTACCCAAGGCCGAAGAGACCTTCGTCGATGCAGCCAAAGCCGAGCCCGGACGTGACATTTTCGCCAAGGGCGACAAGAAAGACATCAAGAGCGATGCCCAAGTGCCCGTGCAGGAGAACGACATGAGGGAGAAGGAGGTCAGCTCCGTCGGGGTCGCTGAATCGTCGATCACGCCGGCTTCGGCTTCTGCTTCCGTGGCAGCGGCGGAGGAGAAAGTCGCGGATAACGCCCCAGCAGTTCAGCACTCGACAGAATCCAGCTTATCGCCGGCCACGTCTGACGCGGAGGTCAAGGCTGCGTCGTCGTCGTCGTCGTCGTCACCAGGTGCTTCCGAGTCGCAGGCGATCCCGGAACCGGTCCGCCATAAACCAGAAGGGCCCATGGGCGCGGAGGAGGCGGAAGCGGAGGAGGTGAGGAACGAGCTGTTCCCGGACGCGTGAGTGTGTAGATGGTGTAGGCGCGGCTCAGTGTGGAATACTTGTTACCGTGGTGGGTTCGTCCTTTGCAAAACATCTAGTCGTACATAAATCTATATCCTATGCGTAGTGTATTTAACGGACTGTCTGAACGGGTGTAGGTTCCATTGGCTTGACATTCTCGAATGCCCGATTCACCGAAATGTCACATTGGGAGAGCGCCGCCTTGCGTTGAATATATTTCTCAAAAATATAGGTATATTTGAACTCAGGATCATGGTATGGACGGAGCCACAACTGGGGATGATACATGAAGATCGGCATCGTTTGCTGGGAGTATGGAAGGGGTGGGAGGAATACGGGCACGGGTGTCGGAAATCTGAGAAGCCGTGATGGAATGTCGCAACGGCGTCGAGGCTTTCAGAGGAACCTCGAGCCTGGTGCGGGATTGTGCGTGGCCCGATTGCGCGGACAGAAGACTCGAGCCCATCCCCGTCGCGTCCTTGACCAGCGCCAAGAAGTCCTGGACGATCTGTCGGAGCTCTCTGCTTTTCCCCTCCAACACCGCGATCTCTTCCCTCATCGTCCGGAACATCACGTCCATTCCCCTCTTGTCGTCATATGCCCTGTCTTTCTTCCACGAATACCGCGCCCAAGCCTCGATCCGCATTCTTTGTTTGATCTCGCCGGCGGCTACTCTTTCCATGAACGCATAGAACAAGGATAGGTATTGGGGAAGCACCTCTGTGCTCTGCGAGGCGTTCAGACACGCGAACAAAATTGAGGAGAGGATCTGAAGGACCAAAAGTCAAATTGACATCATCTATTTATTAGGAAGCCCACTGACCTGCACCTCAGTGTACATGTGATCCGTTAGTTTCAACAGCAGGAACTGGCGGAAAACATAGTACTCTCTGCAGTCCACCCCGCCGAATTCCTTCCACTCCGCGATCCTGAACTTCAAGTAGTTGAGCTCCTTGTCCCATTCATCGAGCCTTGATTTCAACGTGGAAACGTCCGTTCGACGCCGACCGCCATCACATGCCTGCATGTGGTCTGTTTGTATATGGGTGAGAGATTGAAGGGATAAGAGAGGTCAATGGCATGCGAATTCAGCGTTCTCGAAGTGCCATCTGCGATTCATCGTCTGACTGGAGGCGGTCCAGAAGACAATGCGATCAAGGGGGAGTCAGACTGGTCGTCGGCGGGCGGGATATGCATCTCATACACACCGTCTGAAGGCATTCGAGTGAGAAGCAATAGCCAGCGTAACGCCAACTCACAAATCTATATTCGAGGGCCTTGATGCGTCCAAGCGCATAATATACAGGTGGGAGAGACAAGACGTGGATGTTCACAGAACTATAGTATGAGCGACGGTGTCTCCGCCATATGTGTTTCAGAAACCGACCCCATCGACGGCGTCGTCACCAGACCCGCTGTCAGATCGCAGCCCGGCCAGGTCTCCTCTCAGCCTCTCCAGGTTCTTCCCCATCAGCGCGAGCTTGACGATCTCTTTCTCCATACGCTCTGCTGTCTCCTTCACGGTCAACGCGTTGTCCTCGAGAGCATTCGTCGCTTCTTCATATTGTTTCCACTCTGCCAGGTGGTGCTTCCGGACGGCCTCTCCAGACGACATGCTGTCCAGCACGACGTTGATCTTGCGACGATCAGAGGCTCTGTAGCGAATCGCCTCAAAGGCGTTCCTAAGGTCCGAGAACATCTGGAGAGCCAGTGAATCACATCCTTGAAATCGCGCATGGATAATAGTCTCACCTTTGCCTCGAACACGATGTTATCCCTGAGCGCCCTCAGCAGGTAAGCGCGCAGCTCGGGGTGCTGCTTGTTCGGAGCCTGGCCGCTGCCCTTCCACTCCTCTATCCTGGCATTGATATATTTCAGCTCTGTGTTCCACATCTCGAGACGAGTGTTGAACAGCGTGCGATTGGCGAGAATGGCGGAGCGAGTCATCCTGAGGGAGCGGATGGGTCGCCTGGTTTGCATAACAGTGGGCGCGGTACAGGTCGTGGTGGTCGTGGTGGTCATGATGTTTGGTATAGAAACGAAGGTAAGTGTCTGGATAGTAACGGCTGATGTGATGATGGTTGTGGTAGTGCTGTGTGAGAGGTGCCCTCGCCGAATCGCAACTGAGTCCTGATTCGAGTTTAGGCCGCCCGTGACGCACTTGAACGCGACCTATGACTAGATTGTGAAAATGACCGATCCAGGCGAGACCACAGGCAAGGCGTGCAAGGAGTCAGGCAAGCTTTAGGAGAGAGCAGACGCGACATCCGGGAAGATGATGATGAACAGGTCGAGAGGCAGAGATCTTTGAGGTTGGCGATCGTAACAGAGTATCCAGCAAGGAGAAGAGCTGAGAGTTCAATCAAGAAAAATCATCCAAGTAGTAGCGGGATCGAAAACGTCGCTTTGATGTGTCTCGCCCGCTGGTCGGATCTCGAACGAGCATGCTTTGTGTATCCGAGAGCGCGGCTTGCAATCATACCAAGGCGATCTCATTGCTCTAGGCAGTTTAATGTATTTGCCCCGAAAGACTCAAACATCGTCGAGGCATTACTTCTAGCCAAGTATCATTGCATACGAGCACGCCAGATGACCAGACGCTGTCACCAAAAAACCCTGCATTAAATCCCACACCAGCGACGAGCGAAAACATTCAGTACCCAGCTTCATCCCGCCGCCTGCGTCCTCTCCAGCATCTTATTCACCGCCACGGGCATCCCATTCGCCGGATGCGCCAAGTCCGCTAATCGCGCCTCCCTCATCTCGATAACGATCTGGGTCATCATACCCTGCGTCATGACCTGCCGCTGCGCCTCGTCCACGTCCGCGTTATTCGTCGAAAACGGCGTGCCCCCCGCGCTCTGCTCGCCGATGCCGCTCTGGCTGCGGCTCGCCGACCCGAAGCCCTTAAGGTCCGTCCCGTCCTCCTTGTATCGCTCCCAGAGCGAATACAGCCCCATGACCTCCTGCGCGATGGTCGCGACGAGCGACATCGACACGTTCAGCCCCGCCATGAAGCCCACGATGTCCTGGTGGTGCGCGCTCTTCTTCTGCCCCGCGCCCGAGCTGCGCGACGAGCGGCGGGTCGCGTGCGGCGCGGCCTGCGTCTGGGCGTGCGACTGAGACTGGGCGTGGATGATAGCGCGCGTGTTGGCATTGAGGACGAGGGTGAGGTAGAGCGCGGCGATGGCGATCAGGTGCGGGGGGTACAGGAGGCAGAGCTCGGAGCGGTAGGTGTCGTTGATGATCAGCCTGCGTTCGCGGCGCGTCTCGTCAGCACATGCCACGCGCATGCAGACATAGGGATCGTGGAGAACGTACCACGCTGTCTGTAAGGCGCCTTCTGGGAGCTCGAGTTTCCCCTCGCCTGTGCCCCAATAGCGGGGTCCTTCATCGATACCGGTCCCCAGCTCACCCGCTTCGGCAAGGCCGACTACAGACTCCTTTCCGCAGAGAGTCATGAGCGTGCGGTACGGATGGAACACCGTCAGATCGCATTCGAGGTCGTCGACGAGGTAAAACTCCATTTCTGCCAGTTTAGAATTGTCCGAGGGGAAGTTCTTGATGCCGTAGCCCTCTGGCGGATGTCGTTCAATGAGCGCGACATCCGACATTAGAGGACATAGACTCACGACTGAAGAGTGACCGTGACTCCGAGACTACGTTCTTGATGTGCACGGGAGATTCCTCCGCCTTCGCGGCGACATAGCAGCACGCGGAGATGACGATGAAGGGGTCGGTCTCGCAGTAGGAGTTCTTGATGTAGAACCGGCGGAAGAAAACGGTGGCGGTCGCGATCACGCGCTGGCGGAGCTGCAGCCGCTTTCCTAGTTTCGATATCACTGCGGGTCGATAGATGAGAAGGCGATGCGACGAAGGATGATGGGGCGCGAGACGCACCGTTTGCGAAATAGATGTTTAGAAAATCGATGTGCTCTGGGTCACTGACATACTGCAGATCGTCCAGGCGGGCCTGCTTCAGCGTCGCTCGGTCGACGATCCACCGCTTGCTGCGAAGACAAACGCGGCACGCCTGTCAATGGTGTTTTACGACGACAGCGATGATGAACCGTTCGCACAAGTGGGAGCTGGACCAAAAGTCAGTGGCCATCGGTCAATATTAAGATGCTCAAAATCGTCTTCGACGAGTTCATTGAGAAATGATTTTGTGTGGCGTGCGAGGGAACGCGGACGAACACCCAGAAACTGTGTACGTCATCGTTGTCGACGAGGTCAGTCCTCTCCCGCACCCACTGACCGGCGTATTCGCTCTGGTCCGCGTTTTCTACACCTCTCACGCAGATCTTTTACTCGTTTTGCTTCTATCAAGCAGCAATGGCTGCTACACCCCTTGAGCCCAGAACCTCTGGTGCCCGTAGCACGTACATTCTATCTCAAGGATATGAAATGGCTTGGTGGAAAGCACGACAGATACCGCCCTCGACCGCTGGAGCATTATCTCGCCGTGCGTAAAGTTGAGCTACGCAACTCAAGTATCCAAGAGATGCTCGCCCACTATCAGTCTCTCTTCACGTTTGGGCTCCTTGAATCAGTTAAGTGCCCGAGAAAGAACTCCTTTCTGCGGATGAACATCAGGAGGGTAGCAGGGTCATGACTGACAAAAACACCCATACTCTATTAGCCGATTGGCAGCGACGCACTCGACAACTATCTGAAAGCCATCCGAATCGTATTCAGCTATGGGAAGATCGCGTGTACGAGGACTTAAACCTTCTGGAGACACTTTTCTATAGGCTGGCATCTTCATCCAAGTCACCATCGCGAGAGGTCGCGCCATATTTCGCTGGTATGGCCTCCATTGCTGTGACGATAGCAGGCGTTCGGGGGACAATCTTTCCTCGCGACATGTCGACGGCTCCCAATAAACCAAGCCATTCTTTTCCAGTCTCTTTCTTCATTCAGATCAAGGATACTGTGCGCTCCAATGGGTGGTGCCCGCTGGCCATCAAGCGCTTTCTCGAGCCATCCATAATCCTCCTAGAGTATGCGAGTACATGCGAACCTTCCATATATCACGGTGCCGAGTGCACCGAGGAAGCGTGCACTCGGAACACAATTAATGCCACGGGATACAAACCGCAACACACGACGGAATGTCCATCCGCTTACGCGTATACGATACCTCCCAAATCAGGAGTATATGACCTGCTGCAGCGGGGAAGGATCCCAGTTATTCAGCGACAGCCGAATGGGACACTATGCGTCAGAGACGCTTCCGAGACTCCGTATGTTGCTATATCCGAAGTGTGGGTGGACGGCCTCGGCGGCACGACCGAAAAAGGGCTGCCTACGTGCCAAATTGAACGATTGGCGAAGCTCGTCCATGCTTTGCTTCCTGGCGGGGCATTCTGGATGGATTCGCTCTGCGTGCCGGAAGTCAGAGCGATGAGGAAGCAGGCAATCAGACAGATGGGGAGGACATATGCGGATGCAAGTGCGGTGCTTGTGACGGACGCAGGCATTCGATGTTACTCTCGATCATCTGCTTTGGAAGATGTAGCGCTGGGTGTTCTAACTTCAGGTTGGATGCAGCGTCTATGGACACTCCAGGAAGGTCTATTGGCGAAGAAGCTAATCTTTGAGCTTTCAGATGGTTTCGCATCTCTGGACAGTTTCTTCCCCGATCCTGCCATGCAGTGGGCCAATCCGCTTCTTTCTCAGTGCCTTTCGAAACTGTATCACTTCACAAGACGGCATAATCAGCGCCTTTTATCTATACCCGGGGCTCGTACAGAGTTCATAGACCTCGTGCGATTTTTGTTTGGGAGATGGACTAGCAAACCGGAGGACGAGACCATTGCAGTATGTGGGCTGCTGAATGTCGACCCAATCACGTTATTCGATATCGAGCCGCTGGAGCGCTTGAAGACTTTGCTCATACAAGTCGGACGCCTGCCAAGCGATATCGTTTTCATGGATTGTCCAAAGATGGAGGTCCCTGGCTTTCGCTGGGCACCCAAGTCTTTGATGCGCTCTGATTTTCGTGTAGGACACGAGTGCCGCGCGGTGTGCACGGCGGAAGGGCTTGACGCAGAATATCACTGCGCGCGGTTCGCTCAGGTCGTTATTCCCGCTGGAATCACCGGGAAGCTTTTGATCCAATTCGACGATCAGGGCGCTGCAACTAAAGTGTTAGACGGGGCGATCGGAAGACTAGATGTTTCCTATGCTTGCAATGTCGTGCTGTTAGAGAAAGACCTGAAGAACGGGAAAACGTGGATGAAGGGCGCATTGGGCCTGTTGGATACTACTGGTTTGTCCGAGTGTGATCAAGGCACCAATTTAAGAAGAGATTGTGAATATCTGGGGCGTGCGATGTTCATTCCGTTAACTAACAGAGCGTTGGAAAAGCGTGTAGCCGAGAAACCTAGATCTGCTATAGTCATAGAAGCAACACTGGAAAAATTGCGGGTGCTGGTGAGATAGGAAGAAGAGAGCTTCGTGTGGTACTGTAATTTCTTATCGTTGTATTGTACTTGTATTGTACTTGTGATAGCATCAGATTCTGGAGAGTTCGAAAAGGGCCTATAATTTTGGTTCATATTGATCGGTTGGGGTTGCGGATTAGCCTATCCGTGGGCATTGCTCTGTTTTATTCGATCCCAACATATAGAGACAGTGCTTCCGTGTTGATACGTAGGCCCTAGGTATGTGACTGCAACTGAATGACGTCTAACTTGAAGCAAATACAGACATTCAATCTGACGACGATTTGGAACAAGGGTGAGGACCTGCGCGCATAATTTTTGTTGGTAGACAGCAACGAGTTGGATGAACATAGAACTTAAATTGCATGGTGAAGTCTGTGTCAGTCTACTCAGAATCGAGAACAGATCAGTCTCATATCTAGACTATCATTGACAGGCCAAGTGATAGACGTACCGGTCAGCCTGGGGGTTGATTTTTTGAGAAAGCTTGTGGCAGTGAGAACGCTCAACACGACTCGCAAATCCTTTCGTAGAATGAGTGCAGTCAATTCGATATCAGGGTCAACGAGCGGGAGCGTCAGCCCACGGTCAACGGAAGGCGAATGTGTTTGACTGTTTAACTTTGACAGGAAACAGAAATAAAAGCAACCAAGTTTGCGGGCGGTGCGGAGTTGGTCTCAGCATGTTGATAGATGGTCGATGTCGAATTGATGGCATGGGTGCAGCGTGGGCGATATAAGGGAAGCCTGTAATGTTTGCAACTTTCCTTCAATGTTTCAACCTCTGACGTGGTCTAAAACAGAAGGTAGTTTTTCTGTAGCACCGCACCGCCCACGTCGCCCGGCCAGGTACAATGAAATGTGTGTGACTGCACGCAAATCGTCAAGGTTGAGCAGAAATGTTGTGGTCAGGGAAAGACGAACGAACGGAGGCGGCCCCGGAAGAAGCCGGTGTGTAGATGACACGATAATTTGGCTTGACCTTTGACAATCGAAACCAGCTCGTCCGACTGCTCCGAAGCAACCCAGGTTTGTTTTCAACCCAGAAGATAATCCAGATACTGCTGGGCCTTTAGCTTTCCGGGGCGTCTCTGACCGGCGTTCTGATGAACCTCCGAAGCATGCTTCATGAGTCATGAATCGCAGCACAAATTGTACGTACGCGTTCATCTAGTATACCTGACCTGCTTCATCCAGTATACCTGACCTGCTCATCCACGATATATACATCAGGCCCACCGTAGATACTGAATATCACTTGACACATATAACGCGCAGTTTCAGAGGTGATCAGCCCCGAGGATCACCGTATAGACGCTGTGTTGCATGATGCTATCCTGTATGAGATCATGCATCGTGGACAGCTCGTTCTATACTTAAGGTCTACCCTTAGGTGAGGGAACTTTGTGATTCCCTTGTTCTACACTCACTCGGTACGTATGCAACCGAACTTTGCCCTCGTGCTGATGTGACCGTAACTCTTTGCTCTAGACAGAACTGAACAGATTCTGAACGTCATGCTACAGAAAGCTTCGCCAACTCACGAAGACGTGAAATATTCGATGTACGGCCAGGGCATATCATGCACAGCCGCATCCCGTTCCTCTGCACCGACCCTCGTTCGCGAATGTTCACGTCTCCGAGAGCACGCTCGCGTCGAGACCATATTCTCGCACCTCCCTGTTGAGCTGGTCAGGATCGTGTTCCTGTTCTGCATCCCTGATGCACCATTCGTGACGTATCATCGGCGCGAGGCACCACTCAATATCTCGGGCGTCTGTCGCTTCTGGCGCGCCGTCGCGCTCGCGACTCCAGAGCTATGGTCGAGCCTGCGGCCTTGCATGACATTCCGTGAGAGCACGCGCACCGCAGCCGATACAATCGGATCGTGGCTGTTGCGCTCTGCCCCCCACCCCTTCCGCCTGGCTCTGGCCTTCGACAAAGTCGACCTGCCGAGCGAGTGCGGGCTCGAAATCATCGCACCGACGTACTCTCTAGGGCACGTCGAAGGGCTCTCCGCGCGCCTGTCGTCTTTCTCGCTTTCGCTGCGGGCGGAGGATCTCGAGGGTGCGCACGAGCAGCTGCGGTTTCTCGATGGAGATGCCGAACGCCTCGAACACCTCTGTATCACCGCGTGTTCGAGCCCCGCGTCGTCGTTCACGTCTCCACCGCTGTCGAAGCTGCAGACGTTCCGCTCCATGCCCCGCCTGCGCTCCTTCACGCTCCGCACCGACGTAGCCTTCCGCGCGTCGTCCTTCGACGTACCCTGGGCCCAGCTGACGGAACTGACCCTCTGTCGGCACGCGCCAGCCGTCCCTCTGTATTCGCGGTGGACGAAAACGCACAACGCCGACGTCCTCGCCGTCCTCCGCTCCTGCCCTCTCCTCATCTCCTGCACAGTCTACCTGCGCGCCGACTCAGACGCACTCCGCACACCCGCGCCGACGGTGCATCTGCCGCACCTACGGACGCTGCGCCTCGACGTGGACGCTGTTCTTGGCGCCAGCTCCGCCGCGACGGTCGACGGCGCGGTGTTCGACGCGCTGCGGGCCCCCGCGCTCGAGGCGCTGCGGGTGTGCGGGCCTGTGAGCGGCGCGCGCGGGGTCGTGTGGCCCACGGCGGAGTTTGCGGCGCTGCTCGCGCGCTGTGCGGGCTCGCTGCGTGGGGTCGCGCTGGAGCGCGTTCCGCTCGGTGAGCGGGAGCTGCGCGGTATACGCGAGAGTGTGCGAGTCGTGGTTGAGCTGTGTGGGCGGTCCGATTGGGTCGTGCGTGTCTAGGCTTCGTGATAGTGTAGGGCAGCGGGCAGTGGGTAGTGGGCTACCAGCCGCGTTGTGAACATCCTATTCTTGATCTTCTCCGTCGACCTAACTTAGCAAAGATCATCCATGATTCTGGTTACTTTCCGAATTCATAGTTCAATGTAGGGCGCCGAGATTCATAAAAAAAAATAGTATTTCTCATCCTACATAGCCCTAGAACCCACGACGCGAAAGTAACAAGGACCGTGGTCACATTACCGTCGAGGCTGGATAATTGTGGTGTCATGGAGCGTGCGCGGAGTGAGTCGGGGAGGGGGAGAGGAACGGCCCGCTGAGCGCCGAAGGCTCCCGACACGGAGACGGACGCGCCTGTCCGCTCTCCCACGATCCTTTCTCTTCCTCCAACCACCACCACCACCGCCGTCGTCGCCGTCGCCGTCCTTCACGTTCATCATGTTCGCCCGCTCCGCAGCCCGCACGCTCACTTCCCAGGCCCGCACGTTCTCCTCCTCGGCCGCGCGCCAGACGAAGGTCGCAGTCCTCGGCGCAGGCGGAGGCATCGGCCAGCCGCTCTCGCTCCTGCTCAAGATCGACCCCCTCGTCACGTCCCTCAGCCTCTACGACATCCGCGGCGCCCCCGGCGTCGCCGCCGACGTCAGCCACATCGACTCTGCGGGCGAGGTACGTCGCGTTTCGCGCCTGGGTATCGCTGTGACGTGGAGGGCAAAGGCGCTGCGGCTGAGGGCTTTGGCGCGCACAGGTCAAGGGCTACGCTGCAGACCAGCTTGACCAGGCCCTCGAGGGCGTCAAGGTCGTCGTTATCCCCGCCGGTGTCCCAAGGAAGGTTCGTGTCTCCTTTTACCTTTTTCTGTGCGCCCCGTCTCATCTTTTTCCCGTTCCAGCCCGGAGTAAGTCTCCCGTCCCGCTCTCCTCCTCGTGTCCACTCTAACCCCACCGCAAGATGACCCGCGATGACCTCTTCAACGTACGTACTCGCTACCGACAAAGACAACCTCTTGCATGCTAAATGTCGCGCGCAGACCAACGCGTCCATCGTCCGCGACCTCGCCTCCGCGATCGCCCGCGTCTCCCCCGAGGCGCACATCCTCGTCATCTCCAACCCCGTCAACTCCACCGTCCCCATCGTCGCCTCGACCCTCCAAAAAGCCGGCGTCTACGACCCCCGCCGCCTCTTCGGCGTGACCACGCTCGACGTCGTCCGCGCCGCGCGCTTCCTCGGCGAGGTCGCGTCCACCGACCCCAGCGACTCCGTCGTCACCGTCGTCGGCGGGCACTCGGGCGCGACCATCGTCCCGCTGCTCTCGCAGAGCGCGTACGGCAAGGCCGTCACCGGCGACGCGTATGCGAAGATCGTGCACCGCATCCAGTTCGGCGGCGACGAGGTCGTGCAGGCGAAGGACGGCGCGGGGAGCGCGACCCTCTCGATGGCGTACGCGGGCGCCAAGTTCGCGCACGCGCTGCTGCGCGGCTTGAGCGGCGAGAAGGGCGTCGTCACGCCGACGTTCGTGCAGAGCCCGCTCTTCGCTGACCAGGGCATCGACTTTTTCTCGTCCAACGTCGAGCTCGGCGTGCGTTGCCGTCTCTCGTCCTCCGCGCGCCGTGTCATTCCGTGCTTATCCCGTGCTTGCTCGGTTGCATGCTTGTTTGTGTTTGTAGGTCAACGGCGTGGAGAAGATCCACCCCATCGGCCCGCTCACGGCCGAGGAGGAGAAGCTCCTCGCGGCGTGCCTTCCCGACCTCAAGAAGAACATCGAGAAGGGCAGGGCTTTCGTCGCTTAGAGTCTGGCGTAGTCGTAGACACCGTCCTGCGTGGTAGTGCTCGGGGACTTATAAAATGGATGGTCGAGATACATCATGCCGATGCTCGTGTGCCGCTGCCGCTAAGATTACCCTGTCCGGTTTGCCATCAGTGCGTGGCTCTAACGAGTCTACATCCGCCTGTGCGCCGTACTATGTATGTTGACACGCGCGGTGACACCACCTGTCAGGACCCAGTACACAACTTGAGCCGAGCTCTACTGACCACGAGCACAACGTCATACTCGGCCGACCTCACAGCCATCTAGTGAGCCCGCTGACTCTGACATTTCGACCCAGACCGCCAGTCCTAACCCGCATCAAGACATATCACCCTCGCCCCCGCGCCGCCGACCCATGCCCCCGAAACCCAACGCGACGCCTCCAAAGCCCAACAAGCCGCGACCAAAACCGAGGACGAGGACGCATCGCTGCGGTTCATGGTCTTCATCGGGTCGCTCCGTGGGCTCCTAGCCAAGACTTGTGCCGCGCCGCCCCAGGCTCAGGCTCAGGCTCATACTCAGGCTCAAACTTATACTCATACTCAGGCTCATACTCGGGCGCAGCATCCGCACCCCAACCCAACCCCGCATTCGCACCAGCACCAGCTCTCGCGCCATGAACAGCATCATCCACAGCAGCTGCGCCAACAGCGCCCGCTGCCAAACTCGCGCCGTCGCAAGCAAGGACCAGGCGGCCTCGTCGACGCATGGCACGACCCCGAGGTCCTCGACGTCCGCCGCTGCGTGCGCGCCCTCGCGCGCGCGGCGTGCGTCCAGCATGTGGTGCGTACCCTCCCCCGCGCGACCCTGCGCACGCCGACCGCGGACTAACCATCGCGTCGCCGACCCGCAGCGATTCAGCGACGGCGTGCACTGCACGCGCTTCGTGGCCGCGCTCGGGCATGTGTTGGCGCGCGCGTGGCATATCCCTCTCACGCCAGCATCACTCTGCATGTCCGCGTCGCCACCGTCGACGACGACGCGCCCCATCCCCATCCCCATTGCCGCTCACGCTCACGCTCCGGCAGAGGCCCCTCGCGCGCGTGCGCCTCCGCGCGCGCGGGCTCTGGGCGGCGGCACGCCGGTCGTCTCCGTGTACATCCCGCACCCGCTGGAGCGCTTCGCGCCGTCGACGACGTCGCCGGACCTCAAGTCCGTGCTGAACGCGCTCGCGGCAGAGCCCGTGCAGTTGCGGATCCGGGGGGCCTGCGGTCCCTGGGAGGCGCACGGGCTTGGATGTGTGGGCTCCGCGGACGCGTTGGGGGACTTTGGCGAGCGGGGCGAGGGCGAGGACGGAGATGGGGACGGCTCGTTCTACGAGGACACGGCCTCTTTTTCTGCTGTACACGACGTCAGCTCCGTCCAGGTTGAGCCAGAGGAACCCATCCTTGCCCCCCGTGCGCGCGCTGCCGCGCGCAGGCTCGGGTCCGGGCTCGGTTTCAGCGACGCAATGCACTCATCTGGAGCCGAGCCAGCTCCAACATCAGTCTCGCCGCCCCGCCAGACGCTCGACCTCGTCGCGCTCTCTGTGAGTCTGGTCTCAGCGACGGCAGGCCGCTCTTCGGATACGGTGGCGCCCAAGGCCGTGAACGAGACGCAAGCCAAGACTATGACCATGACCGCGACCAAGACCACGACCAAGACCAAGGCCGAAGACAAGCCGAAGCCGGGGGCAACCACCGGCGCGCGGTCGAGCGGGGAAACCGACGCGGGCGCGGACGCGGACACCACCGACGTTGACGTCGACGCGTCGATGGCGGCGCAGCTCGCCACCGCGCTCGCGCTCCTCGGCGCGCTCGAGCCGGTGAGTGGTCTGCCCGTGCGCACCGTGCGCTCACTCACTCACTCATACTCACATGGCTCTGCCACAGCAGTCTCCGTCCGGCCCCCCACCCGCGCTGTGCGCGCACGCCGTCGAGAGTGTCGCCTCCGCCTCGACGCCTGACCGCCCCGCCCAGGCCCGCACTGTGCAGCCGCCGCCGCCGCGGCGACCCGCGTCGCATTCACAGCTCCCGTCGCAACCCCCACCACAGGTCAAGGCGCACGCTCGGCAGGCGCGCGCCCAGAGGCACAGCGCCGCCGCGGCGGTGGAGCCTGTGAAGCTGCGCAAGATGGGGTCGTGGGTGAGTGGGCTGTTCGGGGAGATCCAGAACTTGAAGGGGCGGGAGAGGGCGGGTGCAGGGGGCGGCGCGGTCAGGGTGGATGGGGACAAGGCGCGCGGGTGAGCGGTCGGGAGGATTGTTGTCGATGGTGTGTCTGTCTAGTTGTTCGTTTCTTTGTGATGCTTGTAAGTGCGCGGGATAGTGGAGCTTTAATTTAGGTATCAGCTTGACCAGTTGCTTACTGCAGTCACAATTAATCGTGATATTTTTCAAGAGTACCGGCTGGAGGAGACGTATTCAGATCAAAAGAAGGAGAGAAGAGACGGGTTGCAGGCGCACTGACTCGAGTAGATCGGTTGATGGTCACCTCGACGCACGACGTACACGACATAGTTGATACATGGTTAAGTAGCAAAACAACGATCCCACAGATCGCTCGTGCGATGTATTTTGATTGGAGAGATACGACACTGAACACAGCAAAGGACGACGTGAGTCACTGTGTTATGTCCACTGCTCGGTCGACGTACGCGGTGTGCTCGATCATCGGCCCTTGCCCTTGCCCTGCACGAGCGTGAACCCATCCTCGTCGACGACGGGCTCCGGCTTCGGCGTCCTCTGTGCGCGATCCAGCAGCTGCGGCGCCTCGTCCTCGCCTTCGTCGTCCTCGTCCTCCCACTCGCTCCCGCTTCCGTCCGCCTCCACCTCTGCATCCTCGACCTCGACCTCGACCGTCTTCCCCCGCACCCCCTCTGCGCGCGCCTCCACCTCCCGCACCGCCCTCTCGCCCTCGCCGCCCGCACCCGCACCCGCGTTCACGGCCCCCCACAGGCGCACGACGTCCCGCGCGACCGCGTCCTCGCTCCCGTCCTCGAGCACGACGTCAAACTCGTCCTCCATCACCTGAAGCAGCGTCGCGGCGACGTACTCCGCGTCCGGCGGTGGGTCTGTCTCCGTCTCAAACGCGTCGACGAGCACGGAGGCGAGCCAGGTGCGCTTGGCCGCGGACGCGGGCCCGCCCCAGGCGTTGTCGACCGCGGCGCGGAGGGCGGGCCAGAGGGCGAGGCGCGCGAGGACGCCACGGGCGAAGAGGACGGAGGTGGTGGGGAGCACGGGGGCGGGGGCGGACGTTGAGCTCGATGGTTGGGCGACGTCCATGGTGTTCAGGACCAATTTAGAGATATTCGGGCATTCTTTCCGTCGAGAGCTCGACATACAAGGCGCATTTACGTAATCTGACAAGATACATAACCGCCACTCGGGGCATCGGGGGGCGCGCTTAGTATTGGCCACCGCGTGCGCGCCTCCTTCCTGTACTGATCAAAGGGCCGATAATATCTTCACCTCTGACAGAAGCGTAGTGGCCGCGTGTAATGGCAGAAGCGGATTTCTGTGATCACTCGCTGCTGTTCGTCTCTGTGTATGTATGCCGATGTGCCTCAATCCCAATTCATCCGTCCAAGTGTCGAAGCTCCCCGGAACGCATCCACGATGTCTGCCCATACCCACACATATAGCCAGCTGAGGCTCACTATTATTGCAAACACACGGCACCGTCTCGCACACTCTTCGCGATGTCGATGGAATCTGACTGTCCTATTGACCGGCATCATGGGGAACTTCCGCCGCAGGACAACTCGTGCGTGCATGCACTGAATTATATCGACCTGGTCGCAGGTGCGCTGTCCCCCAGGACGTACATCTTACTCTAGCTTATCGACGACCGGCATGCATCCTGGCTTTGATATGACTCGGGAAGCGCATGTAGCGTTCTAAAACACCGGACTTCGTCGGTTAGCCGGCCAGAAGCGAGAGAAAAGACCTGCTCACGCTACCGTGTGTTCAGCTGGTGATTACATGGTGAATACATGGCCAACTTTCCTTTTTTGGGTAGGTTAGCCATGTAATCACCCTTTATCGGTTGATTCCATGCTGAACACATCGAACTCTGCCCGCGGTGTGAGATATGACAACGGAGCTCTTAGCTGTTCTCGAGGCTCGCCTGCTGCGGCCGACCGAAGCTTCAGAGGCGACCAACTAAAGCTACCTATACCTATTGTAAGCACAGCTGAGTGGACGATGGCTCGCAATTTATCGTCTTCTGTCGCGGAGCGCTTTTGTTGTCGTCGAGCCGATGCAGGCAAAATGGAGGTGCATGAAGGATCTCCATCCGACACCGATCGAAGTTTAATTCCTCAAGCGGGTTTCCGCTTCGATCTAAAAAAACAAAAAGTATAAGCTTTTTGCCCCTAAGTCAGCGACGAGTTTCTGCACCTCCACATCGTCGATTCTTGCGACTCGCCAGACTCCCTATACTTATAGCGGGCGACCGGCATACGCGATGGGCGACGAGAACCGCAGGCAGAAGCTTACCGAGCTGATGGCGAGGCGTGAGTCGGAGGCTCGCGCCAACGCTAGAATCTCTCCGGAAATAGCGGCATCTATGCAGTCGGCAAGGGAGATGGAGAGACGGTTGAAGCGGCTCATGTTACCTCTCAGGAGGGCAATTGCAGAGTCGAAGGCATTGTCAGCGCATATCAAAGTGGAACGGGACAAGCTGAGGGCGACGATGGCGCGGTTGGGACTCGAGAGTGGATATGGAGAAGAACGTAGGGATGGCGGCGCTGGAGGAGTGGCGGCGACGCCTGGGCTCTAGGCAGAGGATCTTGGGATTGACCATGCCAGCCATCGCCAGATGCCTTTAGCAGGCTTGGCGCCGCGGGGCTCGGGTGCGCTGCCGCACGATCACGGTGAGATGCGGGAGCTATGTAGATGAGGAGCAGGTCAGGGTTGGGTGATGGCTGTGCGGACTTTGAGGAATGCCAGCCTTCCCTTGGACTGCCCGAGAGAAGCGTTGTGTGGCGGCTTTGGTGTTGTCTGCTCGGAGGCCGTTCTGGTTGTGATTTGGGTGATGGCGGAAGAGTACACGGTGCGGTGGGCGGGGAGCTGTGAGCGTTGGCAGCGACGCTCGAGAGGGCTCGAGCCAGATGGCGGCGGGCGGGAGCGCGGATGCAGGAGGAAGTACAGCGTGCAAAAGACCGGTCTCTTTCGCGCGCTTTCCAGTCTGCGCGGATTTTTTCAAAGCGTCCTCGTCTCAGGCAACAGAAATCTCCGCCGTCACAACCAGCTTTGAATCCCGGGATCTCACCTCTGCGATGCACGACACAAGGCTGCAGGAACGAGCCGTCCGGCGCAGCACCGGTGTTCTCTTGTCAGGAATCCACGAGCAGTGGGAGCAGGAGAGAGCGAGGCACAAGGAAGAGCTTGCTGCATTGTTTGCGAGGCAGCTGCAGGAGCTACGGGGTGAGATGGAGGGGATGTTGGAGAAGGCGGTGGAGAAGGCAGCAGGAAAGGCGGAGAGGGAACAGGAGATGCGAGACGTGGTGCTGGCAAAGAGGCTGGAGAAAGCAGAGGGAGCAGGAGAAGCAACAGCTCGAGTGGGAACACAAGTCTGCCCAGGCTGACAATGAGCTCCGGGCGGAGCAGGAGAAGCTTCAATTGGACTCACGCTTCAAGACGGATCACGAACAGCTCCAGGCAACAGTTCATCGACAGGTTGAGCATATGGCGATGTTATCAGAGCACAAAAAATCCAAGGTGCGTTGTCGGCAACTCACCACGGTCGAGAGCCTCGTCCCCAGTGAGGTGTGCCCGTCAGATCATGGATGCTCTGGGATCGTAGGTCTCGGTAACGAGACCAGTAACCAGTGCTAGCTTTGCCTACACCTGTTCTATGAGGTTTCACAAGCGCATACCATCGAGGGCCTCTGCAACCTAATAAAACCCACCAAAGCGTTCGATAAAATAGTGGCAGCAGGATGTAAGGACAAGGAGCGGCTCGCCACCGCCAAGGGCCTCTTCACAGGGTCCACAAGTGACAAGGTCCTTGCCCTCCGTCTGCTTAAATCACCTGCTGGATATCTCGTCGTGCGGCGCTTTGCTCCTCTGCGAAGGAAGGCGCCAGTCGATCGTGAGCTCGAGGGGATCCAGCCCGCCGGTGATCGCCTTCATTCACAGACCAGAGACGGAATTCTCCTACTGGTTTTCTTTGTCTGTGACTATGACTGAACGCTGTTTATTCTTGAGACCGTTTTTACAACACGCACTCGGCCACGTTCCATAATTCCATACCAAATTCTGTGGAATTCCGTATCCCGATCCTGTATTCCGATTGTAGCTACTGCCAGCATTCATGAGTAGAGCCCCGCTGCCCATGATCTTCCACAGGTTCATACGTCTAACACCGACACATTACTAAAGTGTATATCACCGTTTTGTTCACCACACATCGTACACTCGCGCTCTTCTCTTTCTTTCTGCCTTTCTCTTCGTCTGTGGGTCTGAACGTCTGAACGGGCGCCCTGCCACGCGCGCACGCGCGCACGTTCACTCGAACACGATCGCGATATCGGGGCCCTTCGCATCGAGCCACCGCGTCCACATGTCGCGGTAGACCGGCGTCCAGCGGAAGGACGCGCCGAAGACGGCCGCGTCGGGGAGCAGGCGCGCGATGCGGTGCATCTCGCGCCGGTCGCGGCTGCTGTAGCGCTTCAGGAGCACCGCGGCGCGCTTGAGGCTCGGGTGGTTCTGTAGGGTGGGACGGAGTGGGCGCGGAGGGAGGCGGGAACGGAGGGGCGGCGCACCTTGCCCGGGAAGACCATGCGGTGCCATTTGCGGAACGCGGCGGGCGGGAGCGCGTACTCTGCGCGCTCCGCGTCTGTGTGGGCGCGGGTGCGGGTGCGGGTGCGGTAGGGCGGGAGGAGGCGCGGGACGTAGGAGAGCACGAGCGGGATCTGCGGGGCGTCGCGCGCGCGGGCATCGGAGGGCGCGAGGGCGCGCTGCCCGCGGGCGGCTGCGGCCCAGTATTTTTGTTCGTCGGCGGGGGAGGCGTATTTCGCGTGTAGGGGGAGGGGATGGGGGTGGGGGTGGGGCGCGAGGGGTAGGAGCCAGCGGGGCAGCGGGGGGATCGGTATTGACGGTGGGCGGAAGCGGAAGTTCGGGATCGGGAGGCGGCTGAGCGCGTATGCGCATCGGGATTTGAGGAGGTGGTGGAGATGGTGTGCGTATGTGTAGATGGAGGAGGGGGAGGGGAGCACGCGGGATAGGTACTCGCGGCAGTGGGAGAGGAGGGCTGTGATGGGAGGGGAGGGGATGCGCGGGGCGGGGCGGAGGTTGCTGCTGGTGCTGGTGCCGAGGTTGCATTCTGGGTCTGGGACCACCAGTGGTGAGAGCCAGAGAGGCGCGAGGTGCTGTGTGGGTAGAATCAATGCGGACGCGCCTGAGCAGACGGACATGCCGGCACTCACTATTGCGAAACTGTGTCCGAGGCGCATGGTTACGGAGAGGAGGAGCGATGCGTGTTGCTGGAGGGGGGATCGGGGGGAAAGGGCGCTGGCCGACGGTCAGTGGGGTGAGGAGTAGTCGAGTTACATAAAACGGGGTGCGGGTGTTGTAGGTACATCATCGATCGCTTGGACCGCGTGTCGGCAACGCGGGGGAGCAGGCAAAAGCTGAGAGTGGGCGCTGCCTGGGGGCAGAGGCGCTGCTTTGGCCGTAGCTGGAGAGGGCACACTCACTTGGAGTCGGAGATGGGCGCGCGGCTCGCGGCCCTCTGCCCTGCATCTCGAGGCATTCATAATGCCGAAAGGACAACGAACGTTGTCCCCGAGCAGTATCTTGATAGGTCTCTAAAAGTACGCTGGTCGCGAAGCAGAGGTCATCAGGCCTCAGGCCGAGTCCGATTTAATCGTCCCAGGAGCCGGTCGAGGCGTTGGGCGCGTCGGAGAGATGCGTGTGGAGATTGCAGCCCATGCATCGATCGATGAAACTGTGTGTTCTAGATTGCAAGGACGTGTTCGGAGGCAGCGTCGACGACGACGACGACGACGACGACGACGACGACGACGACGACGAGGAGCAGGCCGAGGAACAGCGAATTGGATCTCCGCTTGAAGGGCGAGCCGCAGACCAAGGACGCCGGTCGTAGCAACATTGTCCTCCTCCTCATCCCTCTCCTCTCCTCTCCTTCCCCTCCTTTCTTTTCTTTTCTTTCTGCTGGTGAGCCCCGCGTCGCTCTCGCAGACGTGGCCAGCGCTGACCGCACCGCTCAATTTATTGCCCGTTCAATCGCATCACGCCCGCAGGTCTGAACACGCTTTCGTATCGCTCTCGGTCTTCCTGCTTTGGCCCCACCTTCCCTTCCCACAATTCCCGATATAATCACCATGGACGCCGCGCGACGACCGCAGCGCCAGGACACCTTCGACCTCCGAGGCCAGCTTATTCCTGACGACGACGGCCTCGCCGTGCAGGCCCATAACGACGCCTACCCCTCCGACGAGGAACACTCCGTCCTCGAGGATGACTCCGACACGGACGACAGAGACGGCGACTACGCCGAGGAGGACGACCGCTCCTCCACCCTCTCCATCCCCAGCGAGTCCATCGACTTTGATCTCGTCTACTCGCTCCACACCTTCGCCGCGACCGTCGAGGGCCAGGCGAGCGTCGTCAAAGGCGACAGCCTCACCCTCATGGACGACAGCAACAGCTACTGGTGGCTCGTCCGCGTCCTCAAGACCCAGGAGATAGGCTATATACCCGCCGAAAACATCGAGACGCCCTTCGAACGCCTCGCCAGGCTCAACAAACACCGCAACATTGATGTGAGTGCCCCATCATCGCGTCGCCGTGCCGCCAATGATACCACCGCGCGCCGGTCGTGCTTCTTTCCGTCCCGATTCTCGTTCTCCACGCGTCTCTGACGACCTCGCGTGTACCAGCTCGCACAGCCGAATCAGATCGAGAAGCAAAATGGCCTGCAGGAGTCGCGCGACCACTTCAGGAACAACATGTCCTCGCGCACAGGCACGCACGCGAACACGCCCTCGCCCCCGACCGCGTCGACCGCGCCCGCTGCGCGCGCGCGCCGGTCCGCCAAGGGCGTCGTGTTCACCCCCTCGCTCCAGGTGCACCGGTACCCGCCTGCCGTATGGGGCGAGGAAGAGGACGAGGAGGAGGATGTGGAGTGGGACGACGAGGGGTACGAGGGCGAGGACCGCGCGCTTGCGGAGGAGGCTGCACGCGCGAACGGCGAATTGGGCATGGAGCCCGACGACGGGATGAGCTGGGAGGACGGGGCGGCGGAGGAGGCGCGAGCGCGCCAGCAGGAGGCGCGCGCGGAGGAGTCGCGACAGCAGGAACTTCAAGTGCAGCAGCAGCAGCAGCAGCAACAACAACAACAACAAATGCAACAGCAGCAACAGCGCCAGCAGATCGAGGAACAACAGCGTCGGCAACAACAACAACAACAGCAGGAACAGCAGCAGCGCTCGGCCGCCGCGCAACAGCCTCAACAAGGCTCTTCGCTCCTCGTGCGCAAACCCGACTCGCGCGAGGTCCTCGTCGACAGTCCCGTGTCCGCGTCGCCGACCGCGTCCGGCACGTCCCATCGCTCGCTCGACCCGGCCGACGCCGTCGAGACGCGCAAGGTGAGCGCGACGCCGGTGATCGCGCGCGACGACGCGGTTGTGATGGAGCAGAGACAGCAGCCGCAGGCCGGCGCGGTCGGCGGCCCGCTGCTGCCCAGCGCGATCATGCAGCGCCAGGAGGACGACAGGAAGCGGACGCGCGAGGAGATCGAGGCGATCGAGAACGAGGCGCGGAAGAAGAGCAAGGGTTCCCCCGCGACGCAGCGCGCGCCGGTCAGCAGCGGCGGGAAGCTGCGCAAGGAGCGGGAGTCGACGGACGAGGAGGGCGGGAAGGATAAAGACCGGAAGAGCAAGTCTGGGCTCTTTGGCGGGTTGTTTGGGCGGAAGAAGGACAAGGGCAAGGAGAAGGGGTCGTCGGGCTCGATCTCGGACATGGGGCACAGCGATCCGGGTCGTGGGTCGGAGGAGTCAGGACGGTCGAGCAACCCTCAGTACAGCATACAGAGCGATGTCGTCCCACCGGCGACCGCGACCCCGCCACGACAACCACAACAACCACAGCAGCCGCAACAGCAACAGGCGATGCAGCGCGCCATCGGTCCATCAACACCGCCGCAGGACACGCGCGCGTCTGGCTCCATGTCGCCCGTCTCTCAGCACGCTATCCAACTGCGCCAACGCGATCAGCAGCAGCAGGCGCTGTACCAGCAATATCTCAACCGCTCCCCGTCGTCCCCGCCCGAAGCACAGCCCTCGTTCGGCCTGCAGTCCGTATCGGCCGTCATGCACGGCTCGATGTCGTTCAGCACCGCCAGCTCCTCTTCGGGGCTCGGCCCGCCGACCGAGGGCCGGCGTCCGCGCCCGGGCTCGCTCGTCCTCGCACCGAGCACGGTCGACGGACAGGGCGTCGGCGTCGGCGTGCCCGAGCTCAGCGTCATCCGCGTCTTTGCGGGCAAGAGGCTCGAGACGGAGGCGACGTTCAAGACCGTGCTGCTCAACTCGTCGACGACGTCGTCGGACCTCGTCAAGCAGGCCATCCAGCGCTTTCGGCTCCCTGCCGGGGAAGACGCGAACGACTACTTTCTCACAGTGAAGCAGGTCGAGGGGTCGTCGGCGATGCTCAGGCCCGAGGAGCATCCGTTGGTCGTGTTCGAGACGCTGGTCGAGGCCGCGATGGAGCTCCCGAAAGTCAAGCGCAGTAGCGTGGGGAGCATCAGCTCGATCACGAGCAATCTCTCCATGCACCCCGCGATCAAGAAGCTCCCGATGAACGATTTCACGGACGACTCGGCCGTCAAATTCTACCTGAACAGGAGGGGAGAACGCGGGGCTGATGACGGCATGGGCGACGACGGCGACGACACGCTCATGGCGGAATCCGTGCACAGCGACGACGAACAGCCGCTGTCGCCACGGCCCCAGTACCTCTCTGTATCTGGCAGCGGCCCCAGCGTTCCCCCGGAGCGCTTCAGCTCCCCCTCCTTCCGCTTTGCGCTCAAGCTCATCATACATCCGGACGACCTCCCGGACGACATGGTCTTCGATCCGTCGACAGAGGCCATCGTTTTCAAAAACACGCTGCGCGACCGGTCGCAGTCGAGCGCGGGCGTTCCGCCCGGCATCTCGCAGGCGCACCGCCGCAAAATCTTCGTCTTTCCGAAGAACATCACCGTGGCGGAGGTGATCGAGATCGGGCTCGAGCGGTTCGGCATCTTGGAGGGCGTCGTGGACGGCGGGGACGAGGTCGAGGACAAGCAGTCGAAGCGGCGGAGCTCGTCCCGCGTGCGCTACGCGCTGAACGTGAGCGTCGACCCCAACAGCAGTAAAGGTACGCAACGGCGCCCGCTCTGCCGCTTTTGGCGCGTTGCAACAGATTCTGATCGCGCGCCTGTGCTTTAGAACGGGAACTGTCACCGTCAAGCAAGGTGATAGACGCGTACCCGCGACCGCCCGCATACCGAGCGGTGGAACGTCGGTTCAGTGATAGCAAACGTCGCTCCGTGGATTCCATGCAGCTGCTCGGGAACTCTGACGACGTACAGCCTGACGACCCTATTTTTGTCCTCCGCCGCGCAGTCAGCTACCGCACGTCTTCGCGCCGCCTTTCCACCGCGCTCGACGAGATCGCGCTCCAGCACATGCACCGCGAGTCGGTCTCGACCGCCAGCATGACCTCGGACTCTGCTGCGGGCCCCAGCGAGGAGCCGAGGCAGCGGCACATGTCGAAGCAGGAGCTGATCGCAGCGCAGCGGGCGGCGACGCGCGCGAACCAGCGTGCCATCTTGTCCGCGCAGACGAACTCGGTCCGCGGCATGGACGTTCTTCTCCCAGGCAATGCCATGATCCGGAGCTCGCGTTACGAGGTCGACGACAGGATGCGGTACTCGTATGTGCAGCCCGACGGGGAGACGTACGACATCAGCGATATCGTGGAGGAAGAGTGGCAGGGCGAGGGTGCGCAGAGGAGGGAGACCGCGTCGCAGCAGGGCGACCTGCTCGAGGGCGTCCTCTCGCGTCACAAGGACGGCCTGAGCGAGAAGCTGGACCGCGTGCTGAGCAAGATCAAGGACAGCAGAGGCGCCGCCAGAGTCCCAGTCTCTCAGGCGACGTCCGCCTCGACGATGGACAGCATCGCGTCCGAGTACTCTGACGTCGGCCCGGACGCGGCCGAGCAGTCGACCTCGCGGTCCGCCACGCCATCAGCCGCCCAGCTGAACGCGCACGCGCGCGCGCTTGCCTCGACCACCAACGCCAACCCCCAGATCATCACCGATGCCCCGCGCGTCGCTTCGCCGGTGATGGTTGCCGCTGTGCCTCGAACGGCATCCCCAATAGACCCGAAACGGCCAAGGACCAACACCCCCACGGGGGCATCTTCCTCCTTGTCTTCTTCGTCTTCTAATTCCAAGGGCGCCGCCGCCACCGCCGCCGCTCCTCCGTCGCATCTGCGGCAGCCGTCCATTGCATCCGTCATGTCTGATTTGTCGGGCTACCGCACCGCCGTCGGTTCGCCCGTGGCGTCTTCGCCCTCGTTGCCGTCCAGGAACGCTTCGACGCCCAAGCCCCCCAAGGCGAGGCCCGTCCTGCCCAAGGACGACTTTGGGTTCTCTAATATGATGGCCATCATCGAGCTCGCGGGCGCGCAGAACAAGGCGCCGCCGCTGGCGCCTATGGACCCCGTGGACGAGCTGCTGTTCGGGAGGACGATCGATCTGGGGACGTTGCACCCGCACGTGCGCGAGATCTACGCGTCGACGTTTCAGCAGCTGGAGGAAATGGACACGGTGCGTCACGAGGGCCTCTCTCGTTGCGAGTGTGTCATGTTGAGTGTTTGCTGACGCTGGGCTGTGACGCAGACTTTGGATGATCTTCTACGGAGCGCTGTGCGAGCGTAGATGTCTTGTTCCTTTTTTTTTTGGCTTTGTAACTTATTTGTCGCCCTGATACCACTTTTAATCATTATTCGCCCTGTGTTGGACCTAACTCGAAGCCCCTAAACGCTTTGGTGCCAGCGTTGAAGCCCCTAAACGCGTCTGGTAATGGCGCTGATTCGGTCCTACGCCGGCCTTTGCGTCCCACACAGAACGCCTTGGCAACGCCAATTCGACGTGCGAAGCACTTGGACGGCAGACAGACAAACTGAGGACACCGAGGATCAGAGTGCGTTCTGTCCTGCGTCGTCAGTGTGAACACGAAATAATCTCACCAAGCCATCAGCGCCCTAGTCATTCAGTGCTTGCTTCCACGACAATTTTAAGAGGCCAGACTCTGGAAAACGTGATTGTTGCGAGCGTAGCACGCACCCCGACCCTGCTTCATTAGTGTACGTTGATCAATCCGTGTGAGTGCGGCCCTCGTTCTGATGTATGGCACAGAAGTAAATAAACGCCCATTACAAAGGCAAGGTGCCATACAGGATAGGGCCTGGCGTGGGTGCTCGGGTTCTCATCGCAGCCCATCGCGTTCATGACTTCCAAACTAAGGAAGGGTTGCCAAACCGGACGCCCTCTCACGAGCTGTTGCGGCTCTAACTTTACAGATGTGATCGGTGATAATGTGTCAGTTAGAGGTATGTCACCCCCACTGACGCGCATACATGGAGCAACGTAGGGCATAGAGCTGCTCGACTCTTCTGCTCGTCCGTCCATCGTGCGACGACTGCGCACACAGCACCGGCAGTGGTCTCTGCGTGGACAAAAGAGTCATCGCGGTGCTGCTCCCGAGTTGGTTTCAGACAGCTGGAGCGTCACGATAGCAGAAGTGCTGTGCGTTCACTGATCCTGGGCCACAGCGTTTTGCAAGGCGGCTCCGTAACGCAATTAAGTGAGCTAACGACTCGATCGAATATCACGTCGCAGCCTTACATGGTAATAGGGCTGTTTTTTCGAGCCAACGCGAGACAGCGCTGCGTAATTGTGTTGCTATACTGGTGCGTGGTCCCCAGCGCTCACATCATTTCCGCGCTCAACAATCGAGATACCGGATGCTTGTGACAGCCTCGTCCGTTTCACTTTAGGATTGGTGCTGTAATTTAGTAGGCGACAATGGAGCGCAGTCGTCGTTATCTCCAAGTGGCAAGGGATATACTCACATTTCAAGTTACTGTGGCCTGAGCCACCAATTATGGACGGCCTACTTGGAATTATTAAACTGCATCTGACTTGGAGCGTGCCACTGATATGTTGTCGTCTGCAGATGTGACTCCAAACAAGCCATATCCCATCATTTCAGGATGTATGGGATTACACCCGTGCTCGGCGTCGCCAGGAACTGTGGCTCCAACAATAGGCTTTTATCTGATCTATTCACCTGGAATCATTATAACAGATGATCCCTGGCCGCATCTATGATTGTATAGATTAATTCATCTCCTTTAGATTCAACATCGACATTTGGGGAACGAAGACCTACAAGCGTTATGACTGGCCATGTACCTGTCTGACAATTGCGATGACACTACGTCTCGTAGCATTCCGCCCAGTCATTGCAGGACACCTCGTCAGCAGAAGCTGTTCAGCAGAATTAGCGCATAGCGCGTATAAAATCCTAGCACTTGCGTGAGTTTTTATCACTACCTTGTGCATTCTGCACTTTTCTCTCGTTTCAAATCTCTCTGTCGAGATGACCTACGGCTTTGCGGCCTTTGCGGCCTTGTTGCCTGCTATCGCTTTTGCTGCCATTGGACCTGTTGCTGATCTTCACATCGTGAACAAGCAGATTGCTCCAGACGGTTTCAGTCGCGAGTACGTTCGTCTTTCTGACGTTCAGTTTCCTCGAAATGCAGACGTTGTTGCTTTGCAGCACCACCCTAGCAGGCGGAACCTTTCCGGGGCCTTTGATTAAGGCTAACAAGGTCCGCTACATTTGACGTCACTTGCGGAGAATATGCTGCTGACTGCAGGCGCTATGTAAATTAGGGCGACGAATTCAAAATCAATGTATACGATGATTTGACAGACGACAGGATGGAGCTATCTACCTCCATTGTGAGCACCCGCACTTGTCCAATGGAAACGTCAGTCATTCGAGCCTCTTTTCTATCAGCATTGGCACGGTCTCTTCCAACATACCACCAACTGGGCAGATGGTGTTTCTTTTGTGACACAATGCCCTGTCGTGCCCCAGCACTCCTTCCTATACGATTTCCATGCTCCTGGACAAGCAGGGACCTTCTGGTACCATTCGCATATTGCTACGCAATACTGCGATGGTTTAAGAGGTCCGTTGGTCATCTATGACCCTGCCGATCCGTATGCCTACATGTATGATGTGGATGATGGTCAGTCGAGCTCTATCCTGTTTTAAGACATTGTCCTGATTGACCTTCATTTCGCTGCAATATGTAGAGAGTACTGTGATTACTCTGGCCGACTGGTAAATTTCTTCATTTGCTGTTCTATACATAGATGCGCCACTGAGCGCTTCATAAAATCTAGGTACCACTATCTGTCCAGCGATGCTCCGACCATCCCGTCAGTCGTATCTCGATCTGTGGCACTCTGATCAAACTCAATATGATCTCATTCGAGCTAGAGCACCGAATACGACTTTAATCAATGGGCTAGGGCGGACCGTGAATGGCTCCGCCACCCCACTCGCAGTCGTTTCGGTGGTACAGGGCAAACGGTGATTATTGCGCTTTCCGTATTTGATCGTGTCGCGCAGCGCGTGTCTGACCTGTCGTTTGAATCCAGTTATCGCTTCCGACTCGTCGGCATCTCTTGCGACACCAACTTCGTGTTTTCAATTGATCAACATAATCTGACCATAATCGAGGCAGACGGGAACAATGTGCTGCCCTTGCTTGTGGACTCGATTCAAGTCTTGGCTGGTACGTCCTCATTTACTCCTTTTTCGCGATAGCAGTCATCACACATCCATTAGGTCAACGATATTCTGTCGTCGTAAGCATCATGCCATCTGTTCGCCCTGTATTTATTGACCACACCTGCTCAGGTCCAAGCAAATCAACCAATTGACAATTATTGTAAGTCAATTTGGAATGGATTGGTCGACCCGAAGTCCATATGTTACATATCCAGGGATTCGTGCGCAACCCAATGATATCGCTCAGGGCTTTGACAATGGTCGGAACTCTGCCATTTTGCGTTACAACGGCGCTCCCACCACAGATCCAACGACTCCTCTCGTCAACAGCACAATGCCAATGGTGGAAACCAACCTTCATGTGAGTGTCATGTCCATCAACGTCAAAACAAAACAGGCAGTTGATTTTTTCGCAGGCGCGCGAAAATCCTCCAGCTGTACGTCGACTGTGACCTAATTTTTGAGCGGAAATCACTGAGCTAGACATTAGCCTGGAAACCCTGTTCCTGGTGGAGCTGATATCAACATCAGATTGGTCTCATCGATTGTGGTGCGTATCGTGTCGCCGTCTTCGTCAACCAATAAACCTTGCTGACTTGCTTGCGCTTCCGGATAGAATAACACTTACTTCGCGATGAACGATGTAATATTCGTTCCGCCCTCTGTTCCTGTCCTCCTTCAAATCATGAGTGGAGTCAAGCGCGCTCAGGATTTACTTCCTAAAGGGAGCATATATGGCGTGGAACGCAACAAATCAGTCGAACTCGTTATCCCCGCACTCGGGCTGGCTGGTCCCGTAGGTCCACACTTATGTTGAGTGTTCATTGAAGCTTACACTTATAATACATGTAGCACCCAATGCACTTACATGGTGTAGGTTTCTTGTTTGGCTGTATAGCTCTGGATGCGCTCTGACGATTATCTTCACTCTCAGCATGCTTTCTCGGTTGTACGCAGCGCTGGGAGCAGCACATACAATTTCGAGAATCCCGTTCGCCGCGACGTAGTCAGTATGGGCAATGACGGTGACGAAGTAACCATTCGCTTCTTCACCGATAACCCCGGCCCTTGGTTCTTCCACTGGTGAGCCAGGTTTTCTTTGGAAGAGTCGTTGGGTCATATTAATCTCGAACAATTCAGCCATATTGACTGGCATCTCGCCGCGTAAGTTGAACGATCTCACTCATGAAGCCAGGGTGGTTGAAATATTCTGTTTCAGCGGATTCGCTGTCGTCCTGGCTGAGGACGTTGCCGATGTTCCTCTTGTTGACCCGACGCCAGGTTTGTTTGCTTGACTGCTTCCACATCAATTCATGCATGCTAACTCCACACTGTGCTAGCTTCTTGGAAGGCCTTGTGTCCAACCTACAACGCCTCGTCTCCCTCTGTTCATGTGCGCCCATTGCCAAAGGCACAGGGCTTCCCTCAGTGATTACGCCTATACTTGACAGCCAAAAAACCAGTTTTTCCTTTGACTAAAGATACTCTTCCGCTCTCTTGGACATATACGAGCATATGCCTTCCCATTCAGTCGCCCAACTCATGGCACGACACTGTGAAATTATTTGTGCATTTTTTCTTTGGGTTTAATTGGTAGCTACATCTCCCTGACAAATTACTACCTTGTACATAGCAGCTTTGGTCTGCAATTCAAACCAAATTGTCCAGCTCGATCGACGACTCGCGCCACGGAGATCAATGCAAAAGTGGCTGTGCAGTGTTGTGGTCGGATTTTGCCGAGGGAGCAAAGTCCATACTCGCCGCCAGTGCGCCACGTCGATTTCAGGTTGCTCGAATCCATTCAATAGATCTCCTGGGATCTGCACAGTGGTCTTCGACTTATTGGATAGATCACCTATGGCCACAGAAACATAACACAGTGGTTACGGCTGTTGAAGGAACGGTTTGGTAAGCATGGTCGTTTGTCGCTTTGCCCGCCATGCCAGAGTACCCGCCTGCTTCATTCATTTGGCTATCAAGACATTCATGCGTATCACCTTCCTACTGCAACTGGAATCGCCATACACGCATCTAAGGTAAGAGCCTCTGTACGAATGTCTACCCTTCTGAACTTCTGACGCTATGAAAAAAGACGATAATCTATGCTCGGACTAACGTCCAAGGATTTGCTGATACCCTTTCATGATTATCACATATCTCTTTAGCAATTTTACAGCTTGATACACAGTCATGACATGCTTTATTCCCGCTGCCGATCAACCCTTGACTCGCATCGTGCAATATCGGCTTGGCCGCCGATCTGTAGGAAGCGTTGCGATCTCATCTCTTGGAGATGAGGTGACTGCACTCATATAGACCTCCGCTTGCAGGATCATCGAGTGCTGTCAAGGGAAGGCGTCAAGACTTTCCGATGGCGGAGGAAAGTGTATCATCCATGTCTTCGATTTTTACCTCTCTTATTCTGGTTTGACAGTTCCACATGCATGAGATCCACAATGGGATCCTGGGAGGATGTCAAATGATAGCGTCGTCCAGATAAGTCACTTCAGTTATCGTATATCTACAACTTTCATTCGAACTTCTTTGTGAGTGTGTCTATTTCGAAGACCGTACTAAACGCCGCTCCGTACTCGTGCACTTTCATACGTGTATGAGGATACCCCGATTCCGAACTCATGAAGCCCGAATTTCCTTGTCCCAAATCCGTCAATATATCCGGTGCTCGTTATGTTCTACTGTTTCACGACCTTACCGGTGCTGCACCATGCAGTCGAATTGATCAATGCGACCTGATGTCGTCCAGGTGTCATTCCTCGAGCTGGTGCGCCTTCTCGGAGTTGACTCGTCCTTCTGCGGAGGCCTGCTCGTACCTGGGAAAAGCTTTCCGGGTCCTAACACCCCTTCCGACCCTTTTTATCCATGACACATGGGGCAAAACTCGGGACCTCGCAGGGAACACGGTTCTCCCGCAATGATTTGAGTTCCATTCAATAATTTCTCGCTGTGAAAGGGCATGATGAAATTTTCAAACATGTATCAGGAACAGGACGGAGATAGGGTTGGCGCTCAGCGAAGGTCTTCTTCTACCGCTTTCCAAGCCGCAGTGAGTCACCGAATTGCCACAACGCTTTGTGACTGAAGATGCCGCGATACCAAAGCTGTATCAACAAACATAAAGGCGAGCAGTTGTCAATTCTTGTCCTCGAATCTCTATGCAGCAGGCTTACGAAGTTCAAAGGCATCTCGAATGGTACAGCTCTGATTCCTTAGGCAAAACACTCAAAATATGGGCGTCAAAGGACTAACAATGCACATGACGTATCGATGATCCGGACGTCGGTGGGTCTCAAAATTATGTGAGAATTCTGCGAGGCAAGGCACCAAGATCCGCGACGCGTCAGCTTCTAGTATCTGCGGCCATCTTTATAAGTTATGAACAGCCGCGGCAGTGCCACACTGCTTATGGTTAGTCCCTACAGCACTCGAGGAATACTTGGCCAGGTTTGTTGTTGCAGCCTGGGGAATGATCATTTACTGATTCATCTGGGCTGTGCTCGTCCCTGTGCTCCCATCGCGGTCGACACAAGGTTCCTTGCCGGGTCCGTATTCGGCAGTGAACTCACCAGTCAGAGAGCGACGATCGATGTGAGTGTCGCACGCTGTCCTCAACGAGACACGGCGATAGTCACTTTTGCGCGCGAGCGTGAGCTGACCAGTTCACGACAGCCGTCATTTTATGCAATCCATCCGCTGAGGTGTTAGAAGCCATCTATGTGCACTATAGCCTGCCTGTCTCACTTGTAGGTAAGTAATAACCTGAAATGATTTCAAGGATCACGGCTTTGTTTCAGAATTAATTGCCTCAGCACGGCCATCATGTCCACTGTATTCCTCGGCTCTACGACCCCGCCATGGAAGTGATGATCCTTTCCCATTTGTTCCGCATCTCAAACGGTCGTAGAGAGCCTTTAGTCAATTTATGGGGATCATCCTTCGCAAGAGCCGAGCCTGATGACTCTCACTCAAGCTCTGGACAGACTTGACTCACCGCACCGTGCAATGTTTTGTGTTCTCCGTGCTTAGGAAATCCCAGGACCTGACATACTAGAGCTTGCGTTACGTAGACGGGCAGCAGTTGCGCATATAAAGGTAGTCTGAACTGTTCTCATTTCTCTCAGACCTCTCTCCTTCATAACTTTTATCTATCCTTTGACATGCAACGTCTCCAACGGTTCGTCCTTGCGAGCTTGTCGATCTCTAGTGTCTTTGCTTTGTCGGTGCAAGGTCCAACTGCCCCTCTACAAATTGTCAACAAGCAATTGGCCCCCGATGGCTTCCAGCGCGAGTAGGTCACTCTTTATGATGCCTACGCGACTGCAGTACTCAGAATTTGTTCTTCTAGCACCGTGCTCGCGAATGGTGAATACCCAGGGCCTCTGATCAAGGCTAACAAGGTATGATACGTTCTAAGCGGTGCGGAATAATATTTATCGACTCTGTCAATGCAGGGCGACCATTTCCAAATCAACGTGACCAACTCACTCACCGATACCAATATGGACACGGCTACCTCTATCGTGAGTGTAGACAAGACAGGCCCGTCTGAGGTTGGACCGCTGACTTTTTTTCTCTTGAGATAGCACTGGCACGGCTTATTTCAACACGGTACTAATTGGGCCGATGGACCCTCCTTCGTTAATCAGTGTCCCATTGTACCCGGAAACTCGTTTGTGTATAGCTTTGATGCACCGGGGCAGGCTGGGACGTGGTGGTACCACTCTCACCTCTCTGCCCAGTACTGCGACGGCCTGAGAGGCCCCCTTGTCATCTATGATCCGAACGATCCGCACGCCGGTCTCTATGATGTGGACGATGGTCTGTTATAGCTTTCTAGATTGAATCTCGCGGTCTGAATTGTTCTTTCAGAAAACACTGTGATCACACTTGGGGACTGGTGCGGTGTCTCTCAAGTCTCTTTGCCCATTTTGGGTCTCTGAAAAGAACTCTCCCAGGTATCATTATCTATCAACTAACCCTCCTGCGAGTGGTCCACCGTGCGTACCTTGATTTCTCACTACTCGTGTATTTGATCATATTGCTTTTACATTATTTTAGAGCCCCAAGTTCCATTTTGATCAACGGTCTGGGTCGCTATATCTCGGGTCCAGCCGATGAGACTGCACCATTGGCTGTTGTTGGCGTGGAACAGGGTAAACGGTAAGCTGTGTCCCGATCATCGAGCCTTCGTAAACTGATGTGAGTTGCAGCTATCGCTTCCGGCTTGTGTCTATCTCTTGCGACTCTGGTGTCGATTTTTCGATTGATCAACATAATCTAACCATCATCGAGGCTGATGGCAGCAATACCGAGCCGTTAGTCGTTGACTCAGTGACAATTCTCGCAGGTGTGTTGCGTCCATCATGTGATTCAACTTCTGCTCAATTCTTACCTCTCTAGGTCAACGCTACTCTGTTGTTGTGAGTCATTCGCTTGAGACGTTCATATCGCATTAGGAAGCCGACCCGAATATGCTATCCAGGTTACCGCTGATCAGGCTGTCGACAACTATTGTAATTCCTTTGTTTTTGTTGTGGTCCACCCCTCTGACCTGCTGAACAGGGATTCGCGCGCAGCCCGGGACAACCAATATTCAAGGATTCGACAACGGGCGTAACTCTGCCATCCTTCGTTACAGCGGTGCCGCTGCTTCAGACCCTACTACAGCACTTACCACCTCTACGTCTCCTATGGTAGAGACAAACCTCCATGTGAGTGAATCTATCATATGATTTTGACACATAATGAATTGTGGATTTACTTCAGGCTCTTGAAAATCCCTCCGCTGTATGTTTCACTTGTCTGTTCAGTTTCTGGAGGTCTGACGTTATACTTACTACCTTGTGAAGCCTGGTAATCCCACCCCAGGAGGTGCCGATATCAACTATACTCTTGATGTTGCCTTCGTACGCTCTATACCCTAGTGCTTATTCAGATATTCGCCTGATATTTCTATTTTTCCACAGGTCAATGGACTATTCGAGATCAATGGAACAAGCTTTACGCCCCCCACTGTCCCCGTTCTACTTCAAATTCTCAGCGGAGCAAAGTCGGCTTCTGATCTTCTCCCCAAGGGGAGCATATACGCCCTCGAGCCCAACAAGTCTGTGGAGCTCCTGATCCCTGGTGGTGTTCTTGGTGGCCCGGTAAGCATACTGTTTCAGGCCGTTATTTCTCGCCCTCTTACGAGAATTCGTTTCTCCAGCATCCCATTCATTTACATGGTGTAAGTATCATATATCGAAGTTGACGGCCTACGCTGAGATCGACGAAAACAGCACTCGTTCTCGGTCGTGCGCAGTGCCGGGAGTACTTCCTACAACTTTGACAACCCCGTCCGCCGTGACGTCGTCAGTATCGGAACGGAAAGCACTGACCAGACGACCATCCGCTTTTTCACTGATAATCCAGGACCCTGGTTCATCCATTGGTGAGTCTCGATTTGTGCTTACAATTACACAATTTGACATTGCACAGCCACATTGACTGGCATCTCACTGCGTGAGTAGCTCATTTGTCGGTTCATACGTTTACATCCACGTTTACTGACACATTGATTTGTAGTGGATTTGCCGCTGTCATGGCCGAGGATGTCGCAGAGACGCCGCTTATCGATCCAACGCCTGGTGAGTACAACTATTTAACTCTCTTCTGTGTCTTAATCTGGCTTTGGTAGACTCTTGGAATGCTCTCTGTCCCGCCTACAATGCTGCGAGCCCTAAGGTCAAGGTAGCAACGGCTCCCAAGAAGCTGAAGTCCCCTTGAGATATTTTCGATCATGCTTCAACGATTCAAGCTTAGGGTTTCCAAGCCATATTTTTAGCATTTATGCATATTTGGGATATCTGCTGTTTCTTCATCGTCTATCTGCCACTCTCCTCGCTATCTTCCCATCCTGTGTCCTCGCTATCCTGATGCAATCACTCTCATATGTTTAAGTTGTGTTGCTATACTTAATAGACTGGTGGCATCCTCAGCCATCTGAAGCTACCCAATCTATTGCGGAGGTTGAATGCAACGAGTTGCAGACACATAACGTGCTCGAGAGCGCTTGCTAATAAGCGAGATGTCTACCCTCTCGACCCCAAGAAGCCCGTCGAGCTTAGATCTCCTAGTGGTGGGCCAATGAACTGAAGAACCGCGCTCGCCGCGACACCATCAAGGACGACTAGTGACATCATACCTATACATCATTATTACTGTTAAGAACGATGTCCATCTCGTTCACATTATTACTTTTAGTCGACGACGACGTAAAGACGTCGGCACCCGATGCCAATGAATCAATCAACAAAGATAGTCGTGATGTCGTCATATGAGGTTCCTTCAAATCCGTAAATCTCCAAACGAAAAAAGCCGCTAAGGTAGCGTAGCTCACCTTGCGAATCTGCTCCAAATCATCTCTAAAGCCGTCCGCAACTGACCCCATCCAAAATTTGCGGAATCGTTCTTTCAGCACACCCTCGCGATGATCATTAGTTGAGTCTTCTACAGAGGGTAGGAATGATGGTATTGGGGCGGGCGGAGGTGAGGGGGAGGGTGATCGTCGCGGCTCTTGTGCGACGCGAGTGGATCGGGCCTGTGTCGCAGGCGCAACCCGTGGAATCGCTGCAGCAGCCTCGGGTTCGGATTCTGAATCGGATGAAGACGAGGACGAAGATGATTCCTCCGACGAAGACTCATGGGCTGGTGGAGGTTTTACTGGGACACGTTTTTTTATGGTCACTTTTGGTGCCCCCTCGTCTGATGAAGAGTCGGAAGAGTCGGATGACGAAGACGACGACGAAGATGACGCTAAACGCCTCTTGCGTTTCCTATTGCGTTTCCGAGCGGGTGCTGGCTTTTCTGGAGCCATGTCTGTCGATATTAAGCACGACTGTCAAACTGAAGCCATGTCTATCAAGGTCAAGCATCACGTGACTGAGATCACTTTTCTGTGAGATTTTGAACAGATTTTGAATAGCTTTTCCGTCTACAACATCCGCGAGATCAACGACGTTTTCTTCGCATTGGGGAAGCGAACTCATCGAGAAATAAGAGATAGATCTGTAGGAAAAGATACGTGATGAATACGAGGGTGGTTGGCATCTTAGGTGGGAGCATCTAGATTCTATCTAATCTGCATCCTTTCTCGTAGACCGCCATCTGTCGCACCGCAATAAATAACCACTTATTATGCAGGTGGAGGCCAGTTGGGTCGTATGCTCGCAGCATCCGCATCTTTGCTCAATATCGACGTCGTCATTCTCGATGTTGGGGATAGCAGCCCTGCGAAACAAATCCTCGCCCGTGCCTCATCCGACCATGCGCACGTTGACGGCTCGTTCACGGACCCAGAAAAAATACAGGAGTTGGCGTCAAAAGTGGATGTCCTGACGGTGGAAATAGAGCACGTCAATGCAGACGTGCTCGAGGAGGTGCAGAAGTCGCGTAATGTCGAGGTTCATCCCAGTCCTTCGACTATCCGCATCATCCAGGACAAATATCGTCAGAAAGAGCACCTCCAAGCTCACGGATCCCCCGTCGCTCAATCAATTTCGGTCGAATCCCAAATAGAGTCTGTTCACTCAGCGGCAAAATCCCTTGGCCTTCCCTTGATGTTAAAGAGCAAGACCTTGGCGTACGATGGTCGCGGCAACTTCGTTCTTCGTGAGCTATCACAGGCGCAGGAGGCGATCACCTTCCTCGGCGACCGACCACTCTACGCCGAAAAATGGGTACCTTTTGTGAAGGAGCTTGCCGTCATGGTGGTACGGGCTGTTTCTGGCGATGTTCAATCGTACCCTGTTGTCGAGACAGTTCACAAGGACAACGTCTGCCATCTTGTCTTTGCTCCCCTTCGCAGTCGGGACGCAAACCTTTCCTTGCGTGCTCGTACCGTTGCAGAGAATGCTGTCAGGTCACTGAGCGGAGCGGGCGTCTTTGGTGTTGAGATGTTCCTCCTAGACGATGGTAGGAGGTTGACCTAGTATATTATGATCTGACCTCTCAACTCTCATCAGGGGAATTGATCGTCAACGAGATCGCTCCCAGACCACACAATTCTGGGCATTATACAATCGAGGCATGCGAGACTTCCCAATATGAGAACCACCTCCGCAGCATCCTGTCCCTTCCGTTAGGATCAACCGCCCTCAAGGTCCCTTCGGCAGCTATGCTCAATCTTCTGGGCGCGTCCTCATCGATGTCAGAACTCACCTCCTTCGCTGCCCAAGCCCTCACTATCCCGGGTGCGAGTGTCCATCTATACGGCAAATCCGAATGCCGAAAAGGGCGGAAGATGGGCCACATCACCATCGTCGCAAATTCGGATGCGCAATTGCGTGAACGCCTGCGCCCACTTCTCGAACAGCTTCCAGGCGGGAGCTCTGCCGCTGAACTCGAGCGCTATGCGCCCGTCGTGCCCGAGCCAGGATCGGGCTTCGCGCACAAGCACCCGCTTGTCGGGATCATCATGGGCTCTGACTCGGACCTCCCTGTGATGCTTCCCGCCGCGCGCATTCTCGACAAATTCGGTGTGCCGTACGAGTTGACGATCGTTTCCGCACACCGGACTCCAGACCGACTGGTGGAATACTCACGCTCTGCGGCGGCGCGGGGGCTGCGGACTATCGTAACCGGCGCGGGTGGAGCGGCGCATCTACCTGGGATGGTAGCAGCAATGACGGCACTCCCTGTGATCGGAGTTCCTGTCAAGGGCAGCTCACTGGACGGCGTGGATTCGCTGCATAGCATAGTGCAGATGCCTGTACGTACTTGCTCGTGTTGATTTGAGACAATTTCTGACCCTCCTTTCCAGAGAGGTATACCTGTTGCAACCGTAGCCATCAATAATGGCACAAATGCTGGTTTGCTTGCCGTTCGCATCTTGTCCGCGGGAATCCCACACCTCGTGAATGACATGGAGAAATATCTATTGTCGTTGGAGAAGGAGGTATTAGGAAAGGTGGACACCCTGGAAACCGTGGGTTGGGAAAGATATGAGGTCAGGAGAAGCTAGTCGACTGTTGCTGGTGTCATTTTGTAGAATTACCAAGCCGTAGTTCACGCCGAATTCCTGTAGCTATAGCGCACTCCAGGCTGCCCAATACATTAGATAAATCATAAAGGCAGGAATAGTGACTACAGTATGAACTGCTATTGAGCGAGATTGCTACCTCTGCTTAAACATATTCTGAATAACTTGGCCCCTGATCCACTCCCCGACTTTGCAGTCTTCCTGTCTTGCCATGGACCGCCAAATGAGCGATCGGCTTGTGAGCTCATCCCAACTTGAAAGCCCATTTTCAGAGAGCGTCATCGAAATGCGCCACAAAGCCTCCACTGCCGACCCCCAAGCTTCTGAAGATTCTAAGGTGGACTGTTCATGTAATGCGTAAGAGGAGAAGGGCGCTAGCGTCGACGAGTTGTTGGCAGACGACGGAGTAAGGGTTGAAAAAGCGATATCGTGCTCAAGTCGGTCTAACCAAACCAAGGACTTCGATAGCAGTCTAGGAAGGTTGGGGACGGAAGGACCAGGTAGCATGCTAAGTCGCAGGATAACTTGCGTCGCTAGGCGGAGCATGAAGGGAGAAGGTGTTTCTGGAACGGAAGCGATAGTTAGCGGGACACTACCACAACAAGATAGTCTTCTAACCATGCTTGGCCATTGACAACTCCAGGCATCTGGCAATGGCCGCTCGCCACTGGCCGTTGGTTGAAGACTCGATTTTTTGTGGATCTACGACCTTGAGAATATTGTCTAGAATCTTCATCCAAGGTGTGCCATCATCGCCTTGAAGAGATTCTAACGTCATCTCCATCCAAGATAAGAGGGATGATTTCAGAATAAGAGACGTCGTCATGCGCCTTTTGCAGGTCAGATTGCTCAGAACCTGCATTTAGAAAATTAGTTTCGACGCGCATCACCAGGGCAAGCCATCTGACCTCCAATATGCCATTCCTCAAAACGCGATCTTTCCTTCCGCTTTGCCAAATGCTGGCCAGAAGGTCCCAAGTATGTCTGCGACTAAAGATTCTCCATTCCGCATCGCCTGCACCATACATGGCATCTGACAGGAATTTCAATATCCAACCTCGCTCCCTCTTCCAATCATCGGAGCTACTGTAGAGCATGTTATACAACATCGGCACATCGGTGACGTCGAGTCCGGGCCGCTGCATGAGGAAGTGTGCTGTCAAGGGGTAGATAAAATTCGCAGGATAGAAGACGCCACGGAGGGAGTGGGCCAAGAAAAGGGTAGTGTACGATGGGAGGCGGGGGGGTGCTTGATCGTCAGTTGTACCATAAACGGTATTTTTAAGAAGACCCAAGATATAATTTACGTGTTGCTTTTCTTGCATATCTGCTACCTGAAGGTTTCATGTTCAAAATATTCAAAAATGATCCCCGTTCAAGATTCCCGAAACACCTACCTCTAATGACTTCGCGATCGAAGCAACTTGCAACAGAGACATATCCCGAGTCGGTTCATCCTTGGAAGATAATGATCGGATGAGAAGACTGATTGCATTCGTCCGGAATAGCTGGACCCATCCAAGTGCAGACGAAGGCTGACAGTCTGCGACCATCTGGGCACACAGCAAAATGACGAAAACAGGGTCATAAAGTTGAGCATCGACTGCCTGGAAGTCCGTTCCGTCCTGGTTATCCCTCATATGTCTCCACGAAGGATAGGCCATGCAAGTTCGAAACACATGGTTCGAGTCGAGACTCTCTAGTGCTTCGCATGCGTTTGTAGACACTGTTCCAGGTGAAGCTGACCAATTGCTGAGCAAGGCCGCAACAGACGTCTTTCGGGTCTCCTCAAACAACCGCAAGACGGACAAAATCTGTCTATCAGAAGGGGATAACGTTCCTCCATAGATCTGCGCAAGTGGTTGGATATGGCTGGGTTGGCAGGTGTTTGTGGGGTGCTGGTTGAATAGTGCATGGAGAAGGCGGACTATGACATCACGCGTAGGTGTATTGGCGGCTGTGTGTCTGTAAAAATTTGGGTGCTGAGTTATGCCTTGCAGGTGTCGGTTCACAAGAAGTGGCTATGCACAGGAATCAGAATTTCTATAAGACTGAGAATGACATGCCTCTTACCTTCAACTTAGCAATAGACACAAGATCGAGAGCAAATTTAACGGCAACCGGATCTGACAAGTGATCCTGTATCACTGCGGTCACAATAGGATCCACAAGATGGGCTTTGATAGTTGAGACCCCTGCTGCGAGGGTCGCTGTTTAAGACATTTCGGTTAACTGAAACGTACCTTCTCAGATTGTAGAAAGGTACTTGCATAGATGATGAATGACTTCAGCGCCCCCTGTCGAGTCGCTTGCAAAATAACGCGAAGCCCAGCTCAAGCCGTGATCAACGAACAAGGCCGCATGTTCTTGGAAATCTTCGGGTATCGCATGAAGCAGTTTTCGCACAATAATCAAAGCGTCAGCCGTTATTGTGTCCAACGGTAAAGCTTGCAGCTCTTGCTGCATGATTCCTAGGAAAACCGAACGATGCACAGGATAACGGTGAACCAAGATTGAAACACAAGCGGCGCTTATGTTACGATGGCGAGAAGACTGCCCGACATCGAAAGCGCTTTTTGTCAAATTTGTGAAGTGTTGAACCCATATTTCCCCTCCTTGTTCGACAAAGGTTTCCTGCGCTTGTATGGCTGAATCCAGAAATGCGTAGATGACTGGCGCAATATGTTCATTGAGACGAAGAATTGATGCTTCTTGGGAAAGATGGCGACCGCAAACTTTTCGGACAGCAGGACTAGTGTACAGAAGTCCTATTATTATTTGGACTGTGTAGTCTGTCCACTTGTCGTGGAAAACCAAGGATGTCGCATCAATATCCTCAATTAGAGCCTCTGATCGCCGGAACCAGCGCGATCTGGACTGTTGAACAACGTCGGACAAGGATGGCATTTCAGCGAAGCCAAACTCCAGAGGTAGGCCGTCAATCCCTAACGGAAGACCAGTGTTGACCGCCAAGAGGATGACTTTATGAAGCGCGACCGACTGAGGGAAGAAACGGTCCAGACCCAGTAGTTGAGGCAAACGGGAATGAAGATGTAAACTGATGTCGGACGATGCCAACGAACTCCGCTCGAAGGAAACGAGAACGATGTTCAGAAGGCTTATTGAAACACTGTCCAAAGTGCTGTCTGTGTCCTTGATGAGTTCGTCAAATAGTGTCAATAGATGCTCTTGATCGAAATACTGAATCCAAGGGATGGCATGAACAGCCTGTCTCTCATGTTTTGGTAAAATGATACTTCAATGGTGGGCTTGAGCTCACCTGGCTGCGTGTATCAGATCCCAAAAGTGCCTTTGTGATATCAGCCCATTGCGAAGCAAATACAGAAATCAACCGTCGGTCTTCAAGGTTAGCAAAATCGACCGAGTCTTTCAAAAACTTGTCCAAGCCTGCAAGGCGTCAGCGGATCCTACAGCAGCTCCGATACAAACACACACCTTCTTGTACGGCCTCATCAAGTGTTAAAGACACGCAAATCTCCTTTACAGCACCCAAACCGAACACATACTCTTTCAGACGCGTCATCTCGCCTTCAGAGAACCTTGACCTCGCTTGCCGCATAATGGCTGCGCCTAGGAGCAAGATGTCTCGCTGGAATGAATACGAGGTCTGCGTAGCTAGCATCCTGTGGCCGATGAGGTTGAAAGCGACCTTAGCTTGTGATAGGACATGACTTCCCGAGAAGATCGTGTCGACTAATGCAGCTCGACATGCCCCGTCGGAAAGTCGATCTTGTCCGCATTGAAGGAAAAGCCAATCAAACGACAAGCTGGAAACATTGATCTCAGCTGGCTTTTCTTGGAAGGGAAAACGACACACTCACACAGATTCAAAATTTCCTACCTCCGCAAGTGACACGTCCCACAGCAAATTCTGGCGAGGATCAAGGTGAGTTATGAAAGATCCGATGGCTGGCTTGTAAAGGCGTTCAATGGCGACTAGCAAGCGCCTGACATCGCTGGTTTGCAAGGAGCATTCGACAAGGCGCAACCAATCAACAAGCTCGTAGGCAGATACTTGACGCGACGACTTTGAAGCAGCTGAAACATCGTGAGTAAGATTCGAGGTGGATGCCCTACAAAACGCACGGATCGGCAACTGCTCTACTTGCTCCAGAAACTCTTCTACAGCAGGATTTCCATTTTCTTCCATCTGAACGGAGACGGGCGAGTCTGCGATGCTGCGCAAACAGACCCGTAAAATAGATATCTCTCGGAGAACCGCCTGCTTAAGGACAGGGAATTTTACAGGCAAATGTTCGACGAATGGAAGGAATGTTATTCTATCGACCAGTGAATTGACAACCCGAATGTCCTGTTGCTTGCCTGAGATCTTGAGCACGAGTTTTCGGATGAAAGTAACGACAGCCAACACGTCCGAGGGGGCAAGAAGACCACCGGTGACTTTGCGAGCGAATTGTTCTACCACCGTCATGATCAACGGACTTGGTCGAGCGTCTGGCGATTGGGAGTCCCGCCCTAGTTCAGCGCCAGAAGGTGGTACAAGAGCTTCTAGGTCCTCGAGATATCGGTAGGGTGTCTTCATACAGCGCTGCACGCACTCATCCAGAAAAGCAATCACTGTCTGCCTCTCGTCGGTAAGAGCGGCACCATCGGGAGCCTCGGCGCCGGGAGAGCGTTTCAAGAAAGGCAACGAAGCGAGCCAAAAGTGTACTTCATCTGGATCGTGTTTGAAGAGTATGCTCTCAGATAAAACGTGAGATACAAGCGTCTCGATGGCGTCTCGGATAGCCGTAGACTCTGTTGCAGTGTAATTGTTTAATAAGACGTAGAGGTGTGTGTGGGAGCCTACGAATACATGAGACTCGTGAGTGTGCGATACATAGCAGTCGATCAAATTTGCTCACCAGTCTTGCCGGACCATGCAAATTGTTCGCTCTCCTGCAGCAGCCGTAAAACATGCAATTGCCGCAATGTCGATAAACCAGCAATAGAGTCTAGCGAATCTCGCTCCGGGAGAACAGTGTCAGATATATAGAGCAGTAACTTTCCAACGTCGAACCGTGCCTCGGCGACCAGAGAAGGGAGACATTGGTGATACAGCCAAAGCAGCCTAGTCGAACTTTCCGCTAACAAAGCCGCCTGGGTATCGTTCTGCGTGGCAGCGCTATAGCCAGACTTTTGCTGCGAGAATGCAACGATGACCTGTAGGTCAGGAACCCGACGGCGAACCTCCCGCTCGATCTCCTGGCGTCGTCTACTCCATTGACCCACATCTTCATCTTCCTCTAGCACTGCTTGAACCTTGCTGAAAAATGTCAACACGGTTTTGTACTTCGTCAAGCACTTTGCAATGGCAAGTGCCGTATAGTGCTGCACAAGAGGCGACGCTGACTGCAGCCCGCGCGAAAAATGTGCCTTCGTGTTCACTGATGGTAACACATTTTCAATTACCACTGAAAGCGGTGGTGGCGTTGGCTGGTACAATGAGCTGTTTGGGAGCAGAAAACAAGCTTCGGGGACCGGAAGCGACAAGACTGTGGCAAAAAATGAGATATTTGCTATCCACTTCGACGACAGACGCGGCTCAAGGGTGAGCGCCGCCGCCGACCAGTACCTGCAATCGCCGTCAAACTCGTTTCTTGCACCTTGGTAGAAGACATACCTAGCGACAAGCTCAGGACAGGCGGATAAAATCCTGTGCGCGAGCTCCTGTTGGCGAGCATCGTCGTTTGCTCGAAGCGTGCGCAATAGATTACCGAGGATCTTGTTGTACACTCGACCGCTCCTCGGATACGCGTCTCCAGCGTCCGTTTCTGTGGTTCGTTCGTCGTCGTCCGTTTCTCGCGGATACCAACCACGATCTCGGAAACAGACTCCAATTCCAGGCCGAGTGCAGATAGCGAGTAAAAAGTGGTGAATAAGGTCGGCAGGTACCTGGTCATCGTCAGGTCCTTCCGGTAAGGAACGGTCATATAGTTTGATGATCTGATAGCTATTCATACGCTGTACTAAAGAGAGTGTTTGTAAAAAGCATACCTGAGAGAGGCACGCCTCGTTGAACAGACTAACTTTTAGCGTCCTTTTGATTTTGTGGTCTGACCAGATACCAGCCCAACACACTTCCAGCACCTTTTGCACGACTAAGTACGGATCTTGGATAAGACCTTTAAACATGGACAAGAAGACTTCACGCCGCTGCTCAAGAAAAAGAGTTTTGACAGAGCTTGAGACGGTAGTATCCACGAAGGAAAGGATAAAATTGATGTAGAGCGTTCGGATGTCTTAAAAATCAAGCTGTGAGCTACCGAACCTTCGATACTGGTTGAACGACTTACCTGGTCGCGACACTACATCGACAGACTGGCTAGTTTTTCCCTTCCGCCTCATGAAGAAAAGTCGCGGCAATGACTGCATAAAGGTTTAGAGAACACAGAATGGCTATGATAAAACAACGGACCTTCGTTTCCCATGCAAACGCTTCAAACAAGGCTTTCCGTTCTTTCCCACTCGCGAACGAAGTCATAGCGTTGAGGACCTTGAGGGCTGCCATGATAAGGTCGTTATGCGATCCGCTCAAGTACGAGTTGAGGTGACGCATCCATTGTGGTGAGAGCAGGGCTTTGAGAATGGGGTACCCAAAGGCATGATAAGTGTAGTGAGAGGAGAGGACGGTCAAGAGGGACGATATGACGGAAAGAACGAGAGCTAAAAATGAAAATTGACGCTGAGACCGTTGTTAGCCTGCGGGGAGGAAGATTGGCGGAATTTGTACCTGATTTGCCCCCTCCCATAACGCAAACAGCTCTTGCGCACTCGGATCCGCTTCCATCCACTCTCTCGCCAAGACTGCGCGCGCATCCTGGGGCGATATCGTTCCTTCATTCGTCTTGACGGTGAATTGGTTCCGCAATGCGGTCAAAGCTAAATGACCGTGAGCATGGACAGAGAGATGTGTGAACCAAGATGTACCTTCTGTGAGACCGTCTTGATGTTGACTGCGTAAGCTCGCCCTGATTTGCCCGACGTTGGCAAAAGTATGAGGCGCTCTCGAGTCTGCGTCGAGCTTGACGCGTTTCCTTGGAGGTTCGCCCCTCCGAGGTGGAACGGCGGGCATCTTTTGCCTGCCAAGTCCAAGCTGTGTCCCGGTTTGGAAGGCGTCCATTTGCGCTCCCACGGATCGCGTGATTACTCTACTATAACCAAAAATACTGCGTGCACCGCAGGGGTTTTCCCGGGATAAACCATGGATAAAACTCTGGATATTGATAAATTTTTTGTTCGAGCTTGTCTGCGGAAATTACTGAAACAAAAACTTAAATTTTATCCAAGATTTTATCCTAGGATAAAACTGTAACATAACTTTCAGTCCAAGCTCAGACATTTTGTTTAGGTTTGTTCTATAGTAAAACAGTGGATAATCTTTAACTCTTATGTCACAGGACTTTTGTCACACACAATAAGATGCAAATGATGCCACCCAAAATCAGTGAATGCCATGGTCATTGCAATTATCAAGACTGTACAAGGGCTAGCTTAAAGTAAAATTTATGATAATAGCTCTTAGCCTTTAAAAAAGAGTGTATAGTTGGAGTGTTCAATTTGACAGTCAAGTATGCATGTTTGGCAACCTGTACTAATTATGAGGATCTCTAATAGTCTATTGAAGATGACAACAATGGTCTAACAATATGGCATTGGACTGCATCACAGAAAAGCTCCATATTAAATTAACCATAGTTAAGCATAAATATAGCTATATTCTTACCAATTACCATTAAGGATTTTTAGCTTACCCCCCTCTAATCTTGAAATTATAAAATCTAATTAGAGCTAATTAAAGCTAATTAATAATTAGGATTTTTGGAAAAATATCAACCAACCTAGTTTTATGGTTTCCCTACTATTATATCTCTAATCATAAAGTATGTATAGAGCTTACTAATCAAGCTAAAGTCATACCTTATTATAAACTTGCCTATTACCAGAATTGAACCAATAACCTCATGCCTGCATACCCTGGACTAGTGCTCTAAACTACTAAGCCACAAGGTCTAAATTATTTACCTGGTAACCTAAATATATTGATATGAATAAGGCAATCTCAATATTTCTGATTTTCTTACATATTTATCTCTTATCTATTCTATATATAAAAGGTCAATAAATGCCCTAAAAATCAGGGCTGATACTTGAATTTAGGCACTAGACAATGATATAGTAAACTAATAAAAAATAAAAAATACTGTAAAAATAAGATTGTAGCATCTACACAATTTAGATTTGAAATGTGTAAAATTGTAATTGGATTGTAGATTCCATTGGGACTATAGTTGTATAGACAATATTACCTTTACTTGCAGATTTGATTATAAAGTTGATTATGGATAATATATTCTAATTAGCTCAGATTAGTATTTTAAATAATTAGATCTAATTATAAGGAGGTTTTTCCAAATGACTATTGGACACTATTAGAGGCTGTGACAATCTGCAACGACTGTCTAATACTACAACACTAGACTGTCAAAGGCCACAACAACCTACAATAGCTGTCTGATATTATGATGCCAGACTGTTAGAGGCAAAAATAGCTAAATAGTGATAGGTTGATCTATTAGACTTATGAACAATTATCAAGCCACTAGGCTTATCATGTGTACTTGATGCACTAAAAGGGGTTCCCTGAGCTAATAGTGATGGCCCAATAGATAAAGACTATTGTGTGCCTTTGGGCTTATACTAGGAAGTCTTGATTACTGTCAATCCAATCTTTGAATAAGTGGAGAAGATGTTGATTGATGACAGGACAATGTTTGTCAGGTACTAGCAGGTCTTCTCTAATGCAACAGATGACTTCCGAGGGATTCCAACAGATGACTTGGTAAGCGGTGAGTCCTTGATAGGTTGCAGGCAGAAGAGAATGATAAGAGTGTTGAGACAAATCCAGTGCTTTGTCAGACTAGGTATGGTTCTATGGATCTGGCAGAGTTTGCAATTATCAGGAAAACCACCTCCTTGTATTAGCTCTAGATTATATCTAATAGTGTCTAAAAGTATCTAAAAGTATTAATAGCATCTAAAAGTATCTAATTTCCTAATTGGGAGCAACACATTGTGAGCATTAGATTGGTTTATAATTTTATAATATTAGCACTAATTCCATACCAAGAAGTCTTTAATTAGCAGTAGGAAATAGTAAGTACTACTGCTCTATCAGTGAGAAGGTAAATATGTGGCACATTCTATACTGTTTTAGCATATTACTCTCCTTTATATATGCCTGTACCATTATCTTGTAGCTATTTTGCTAACTTTCTAGCTGCCTTTACAAGGAACATGGAAAGAAAGGAATGTGCATTGATGCCTTTAGCCACTTTGTTGGTAGCTTGGCAGCTGCCACAAGAGGCTATGAAGACCTAGGTACCTTGTCCTTGCACACAAGATCATTGAAGTTGTCATTGTTAGCCAATGCCTGCTACTGGTTGTCAGGACACAACATGCAGGCTGGGCTAAGGGATATGCTACATGCAGCCTTGTAGACCTTGTTTATTAGTGCAGTGGTTAATACTGTCTTGTATAGCACATAATCATCACCACTATTAATATTACAATTCTCAGTGCCATTTACACCGTCCATTGCCTTGTTATATAGAAGATGCTCAAACTTGGTGTTTTTCTCTAGCTATTGGGCTGTGGAAAAGGCAGTCATGTTGGTATATAATGCCAGAATGATATATTTGCCTGCTATACAGAAAATATGTGCACCAAGCATATTAAGATCATTTCTAATAATATTGTGCTTATTTATACATAGGCATGCCATACATATACCCTTGTTCCCACTATTTACCTCACTAGTGGCCATTTGGAAAACCCTTTTCTCTTATTGGATCTGAATTATTGATAATCATTAATAATACTAATTTGGGATAATTATGGCTAATTATTCATAATCATGTTCTTAATCAAATTTGCAAATTAAGGTAGCATTGTCTATACTAGTAGAGTCCCATTGAATATTACACTCAATCATAGTTTTACACATTCTAAATCCAAATTGTGTAAGTGCCACAATTTGTTTTTACCCTATATAAAGTGTATTATTTATTTTCTATTATTTTATTATCTTCTTAACTAGTGTTTAAACTAAATCCTGAAAGACCTAACTTTTTGGGTATTTATTGACTTATATTATGTCTACTTATTTTGATTACCAAGTTTATATATTAGACCTTATGGCTTAGTGGCTTAGAGCATCTGTTCTGGGTGCTTGTATATATGAGGTTATTGGTTCAACTCTAGCAAAAGGCAAATTTGTTATAAGGTATATTCTGTGTTTAGGTATTTAACTAGTGCTTTAATAGACATGACTCTATAAAAAGGCTATGAGAACTGTGATTATTGATTTATTATTATTATTCTGAAATTTCAAGTTATAACCAATCCTAAGAATTCTTAATTTAGGAAAATTATATCTAATTAGAACAGGTTTAGAGGGGGGGTAAGCTAAAAATGTCTAATTCTAATCTTTTATAATTTAGTATAGCAAAGCATCAATTATAGCTAATTAGAGCTTAATACAAGGGGGTGGTTTTCCAAATGATACATAGGCTGAAGGGGCCAGATGCCAGATGCAGTGCAGAGATTGAGATATATACAAAGTGAGTGAGCTGATCTTCTAAGAAGCTTTGCTCTCCTATATATAATACAGGCTATTTAGGGCTGGATGGACATATGGTCTATGCTTCTGAATGCTAAGTAATCCATAGTCATAGTTTGTATCCTGTAGCTCTTCGATGTAACCATATATAGTAAGTATATCAAATGTTTGTCTGCAGTAATATCAAATTGGAACTCAATTATGACCAACATTAGTAAGCCATATATGAAAGGGAGAAGGATAAGTTATAATGTCATAAGTAGTCATGCATCAGCATATAAATGGTAAACAGTCTGAGTCCAAGTCATGTGTGTAGCTCATGATCTTGTCCTGAGTCATATGTCTAAATGTGTGTCAAGTCACAGTCCTAGTCATTAATGTCTAAGTTTAATGAGACACCTAACCTTCTTTTCTGTTCATGTGCTAAGCACATGTTAGGATGTGGTCCTAACAACAATAGACTTTGGCACTAGTTGCTAATGAGCTTGTATACTTATAGACCTTACTAAGTTGTAAACTTTGGGACTTTGGGGTACGGGAAGGGTGTTATGATCACGTTCTATCGGGCCTACACGGCGGTCTATACCGATACGATCATCACAAATATCACGCGGCCTCACAGGTTGAGGCGTACACCGAGGTACAGATATTAACCTTGGTCATCCACTCCCAACGGATCATCTTATCGTTGGTCGAGTATCACGGGCCTATTGTATTAGCGGGCATGGAACGCCGCCTTATAAATTACTCACACACAGGGCATGAACCTCCTAGTCTCTCCTGGCCGGAAGGAGACCAACGGAGAAGCACAAGAGTAGTCGTTATTGAGAGAGACGACTTAGAGAATACCTACAGATACATATTCGGTATTCTCACGCCCTACTTCCCAAAGTAGTATAAAAGGCCCATAGAATAGGCTGACGATCTTCAGTCTATTCTCTTCGTTCAGTACTGTCTTCCTACAGTACTCCTTCGTTCTCCTGTATCTCCACATACAGGAACCTTCATTCGCTGTAGTCTTCCTACTACAGTCTTCATTGCTATATCGCAATACACTTCTGGCTCCTGTGCTACACGTACAGTTGAGACCATCGTTCCACACATCCTCCACGAGTGACCTAGGGAAGAACCTCCTACTCTTGGGGTTACCGACGAGCAGTCGTAACACTAGAATAGACTCTTCTGCCCCTACCTTGCTCGCACTAGCTTGCTGCCACACTCTCTCTCATAACCTTCCTCGGTGGGGATAATAGACCCCCATCAAGAAAGCGTTACTGCATACACTCTGGAGCAAGACCTAGGCCAGGAATACCCACCCGGCACTAGACTTATCAATAACCAACTCCGTCACAACAATCGCCCTATCCGGCGCGAAGGGGACTTCTGGGTCTACGAAGACAATAACGGAACTGCCCCTCCGAATTACGATAACTGCTCATACCGAAACGGGCGTTATTACTTCACACTTGAAGACGGAACAGAAGAAGAGGATATTTGGAACG